TTGTTCGCTCGCTCCCGGCCCTCCTCGAAGCCCTCTCACCTGGCCACGCCTCCTCTTCCCCCTCCTTCCCTCTCCTCGCACACACGCACACACACACACACGCAGGCGACGCCCCCGACGCCCGGCCGAGCGAGGCGCCGTCCGCCCTCGCCGATCAAGCCCGCCCTCGCCCTCGCGCTCGACCCTTCCTCGTCGCCCTCACCGTCGCCCTCGCCCTTTGCCCCCTTTGCGCCCCTCCTCCTCCCTTCCTCCTCGCCGTCCACCCTCCCCAATCCCTCGCCGCCCACCCTCCCCAGTCCCTCGCCGCCCACGCTCCCCTCTCCCATGCCGCCGGCCCTCGTTCTCGACGCCCTGCCCCCGCTCCCGCCGCCGGACCTGGACGAGGAGCGCGACCTCCTCGCCGACTGGCTCGAGGGCGTCGCTTTGTCTACGTAGCTCTCTCGATCCCCTGCCCTCTCGTACCCCTGATTCGTTCCTTGTTGTCGTGCAACCACCTTTCTCTCTCTCTCTCTTATGCTCGCCCCTCGTCGTCGTCGTGAGCAAGCGAGCAAGCAAGCGGGAGAGCAAAAGAGCTCGAGAATGCCGAGCTACGGAGTGAGTGGGTCCGAGCGGCAGCAAAAGAAAAGGAGGCGTGACTGGGGATCGAACCCAGATTGCTCGGAAGCAGAACATAGTCAGAACCGAGTGTACTAGCCATTATACTATCTCGCCCTTGCTTAATGCGGCATCGCAGTCTGCCGTACTGGTCCGCGCCAGCTAGCTCCAGGCGACGACACGGAGCGAACGCGGCTTTTGGCTCTGGCAGCTTTCGCCGTCTTGGCGCCGTCCAGTCAGGAGAGCAAGAGCGCGCGAAGGAGCACCGGCGCGCCTCGTCTCGATGAGAGCGAGCAGAGAAGCGAGGACCGAGCGGACTCTCTTGTCTCTTCCTCTCTCTCTCTCTCTCTCGAGCTGCTCGAGCGCTCGCGCCACGCACGGGACCAAGGCACTGCATTCCCCAACTCGACGTGCCTCCACTCACTCAGCTCAGACCGTGCGCCCCGCCGTCGTCGTCGCGCCCTCGCCCGCCGGCTCGCCCCTGGCGGCGCTGATGCCGCTCTTGAGCTCGTCGAGGCCCTTTTGCGCGACGCTCTGCTGCTCGCCCGACGCAGCAGACTGGGACTGGCGCGACTCGACCGAGCCTTGTGGGCGGTTGGCGATCTGCGAGGGGAGGGGCGGTCAGCTCGGGGCGGCGTGAACGAGGGCGAGGGCGAGGGCGAGGGGGAGAGGAGAGGAGGGGAGGGAGCGTGGGGACGCACACCGTCGCCGAGGCCGTCGACTGCCGCATTGATGTTGCCCCTGAGGGCCTCGCCCGCGCCGTGGATGGCCTCAAAGACGCCCCTGACGCGGCCGCCGAGAGAAGCACCGGCCGAGGACGCGGGCGACGAGGTGTGAGCGGCGGTGGCGGTGGTCGTCGGGGTTTGTGAGGGTTGGGAAAAGGGGAGAGTGGTGGGCGCGGGAGGGTGACGAGGCGGTGGGGCGAACGAGGAGGACGACGTCGAGGAGGAGGAGGAGGTGGGGAGGTCGGGCGAGGCGAAGTTCCTGAGGTCAGCGAGCGAGGTCACCCCCTGCTGCCCATCTGAACACCGAGAGTACAGAGAGAGGTGTGGGACGCACTTGCCACGCTGCCCTGCGTCGGCGCCGACGCTTTGCGACGAGGTGCCTGTTCGCAGCCGCGGGGAAGCAGAGGTCAGCTCACGGTGCTTGGGGACGCTCGCTGTGGGGCACAGGAGAAAGAGTCGCACCAGTAGTGTTGCTCATGGTGGTTGCTGTCGAGTCTCGAGGGTGGGACGAGGTGCGAGAGGACTGAGAGTCGTTCGAAGCTGATGACGGCGACGTCGAACGCGCGCCCCAGGGGCGGTGCAGCTCTCGCTCGGACCGTCGTCGAACTCTCTCGCTCTCCTCTCGACCGCGCAAAGGAGCACTCTGAAGAAGGGAGTGCAAATAAGAGTGTGACATGCCCACCGACCGAACGACCGAACGACTACAGAGAGCGGAACCGAGTCTAGAGGTGAGGGGTATCGACGACGGCGAGCTTCACATGGCGTAGCCCGTCCCGGACGAGTACGACGGCTGCTGCGCCTGGTGGTGGTACTGGTACTGGTGCTGGTCGTACGGCGGCTCGGGCGGCGACTGGGGCAAAGGCGTCGACCGCGGTGACGTGGTGTGCGACTGGGCCGCGCTGTGGAAGCTGTCGGCGCCCGGGCTCGACGCCTCGGACCGCCACTGCCGGTGGCGCGCCGCCTCGAGAGGCGACCGCGCGTACAGGTCCTGCTCGGTGAAGCCTGCTGGAGCCGGCGGCGGGACGACGCCGGACGATGCTGGTGCTGGTGCTGCTGGTGGCGGTGCTGCTGCCGCGCCGCCGCTGCTGCCGCCCCACTGCGAGTCGCGGTGGTTGGCGTAGTCGAGCACGTCAAACTCGAGCGAGTCGTTGGCGCCGTGCTGCCCGGCCGTCGTCGTCGAGCCGTACCGCGACGACGCGACCGACTCGCGCGGGGTCGCGTCGTTGACGAGGATATGCGGCACGGGCGTCGCCGCCGCCGAGCGCGCGCCGAGCGGGGTCGATCGCGCGGTCGCGTACGACGGCGACGAGGCATAGCTCGACGTCGGGCCGTACGGCGAGGGTATCGGGCCGCCGCCGCCGGGGCTGTGCGGAGGTGCGCCCGGCGAGGCGGGCGGCCACGACGCCAACGAGGGGTCGCCTCGAGGCGTTAAAGGGTCGTCGAACGGCTCGTCGTGCGAGAACTGGCGCTGCCGGGCCGGGTCGTACGGGTCGGCGACGAGCGGGAGGTGCTCGCGCGTCTCGACGGCGGCGCTCTGGCTCGTCGAAAAGGGTACGATCGTGCCGCCGTCGGCGTCGCCCGCCTCGAGATCGAGCGCCGACGCCTTGCCCTGCTGCCGCAGGATCTGCATCTCGCGCACGATGTCCGAGTCGAGCGGGTAGTACGCCGACCGGACGTACTTCCACAGGTACCGCGGGCCGATCGCGATCACCTGGACGAGGACGATCGACGTCCAGAAGTTGAGCGTGCCGTACAGGTCTGCGCACGAGGGGAGGGTCAGTGGACGGCATTGGGGCGACGAGAAGAGAAAAGGGAGGAGGACGAGGACGCACAGGACAACTCGTTGTTGAAGAAGTAGGTGTCGAACTGCGAGTAGATGGCGATCCACACGTGGAACGACAGGGTCGACGCGATGATGACGACAAACACGATCCAGGTCCAGTACCGCGTGTTGAGCCCGACGTACAGGTTGGCGGCCGTGACGGCGCACGCGGCGACGGTCGTGCCGAGCTCCCAGATGGACCAGTCGTGGCCGGTGACCGACAGCGACGGCGACCACATGTAGACGAGGAACGGCACAAAGAAGGCGACGGCCGACTGGTACAGGCCGTCGAGCATGTACGCAAAGAACTTGGCGCGCGTCCACTCCTTGCCGAGGATGCCGCGCCGGTAGAGCTGCGGGAACTTGAGCGACGTCTGGGCGTTCAGGTCCTGGTCGGCGATGCCGAGGATGGCGACGGGGAGCGACGTAAACACGAGGTTGAACAACATGATGAGGGTGTACTCGTAGAGATAGGTCGAGTCGAAGCTGTGGGGGCGGCGATGGGGGCCCAAGGCGGTCAGGTCACGTCCGCGCTCGAGCTCGGGCGTGTCGAGGAGGAGAGCGGGACGCACTTGCAGAAGATCTGGTACAGGAACAGGGTGAGGGTCCACACGATGTTCTTGTAGAAAAAGTTGGCGTGCCTGCGCAGGGGACGACGAGTCAGTACGAGGCTCTCACGCTACGCACGCGCGACGACGACGACGAGATACGAGAGGGAGAAGGAGACGCACATGTCGGCGACCCGGATGTAGCACCATCGGCCGTGAACGAGGAGGAGCTTGGTGAGGAACCGGAACTGCCCGACGGCATAGTCGGCCGACATGGACGCCTGGGCGCCCTCGAGGCCGGCGATGCCGACGCCGATGTGGGCCTCCTGGATCATGGCGACGTCGTTGGCGCCGTCGCCGATGGCGAGCGTCATGGCGTTCTTGCCCTCCTTGACGAGCTTGACCGTGAGCGCCTTCTGGCTCGGCGACACGCGGCAGCACACGACGGCGTTGCACTGCGTCGTGAGGTCGAGGAACATGGGCTTGAGCGCGTGGTCGAGCGCGTACCGCAGCGTCTCGCCGTCGATGACGACGGCGAACCCGCCCGTCTTGGTCGCGCCCGGGATCTTCTCGCCGCCGTCCGTGTCGAGCGGCGCGAGGCCGGCCCGAGCGCGGTTGACCTTGTCGAGCGCCGTCTCGATCTGGGCGCGGGCGCCTTCCTCCGACTCGGCCGACAGGATGAGCTGCGGGGCAGGTGCGAGAAGAGGTCAGTGCGCCGCACCAGGCGACGAGCCGACGAGGAACCGGGGGACGCACAATGTCCATCTCGTTCGTGAGCAGGTTGCAGCTGAAGCCGATCTCGATGGCCGTCTGGAGCTTGTCGCCTGCGAGGGCGGGGAGGGGAGGGGGAAGGAGGTTCAGGGTCAGGGTCCGGGCGACGCGACGACGACGACGACGAGGGCAGGGGAGAGACGACGCACCCGTCAGGATCCACAGCTTGATGCCGGCCTGGTGGAGCTGGGCGATGGCCTCGGGGACGCCGGCCTGCAGCTTGTCCTCGAGGGCGGTCGCGCCGAGGATCGTCAGGTCGTGCTCGATGAGCTCGCACGCCCGCTCGATCTCGTCCTCGCGGTCGTCGATGGCGGCGCACGCCTGGTCGTACCGCTTGCTCCACCCGACAAACTCGTCGTCGGTGAGGTACCGGCTCGAGATGAGGAGCGTGCGCAGGCCGGCGTTGGCAAAGTCCTCGAGCTGCTTGGACGTGCGCTCGATGACGCCCTGGTCGTGGTCGTCGCGCAGGCGCTGCAGGATGACGCTGTCGGCGCCCTTGCAGATGAGGAGGACGCGGTTGTCGGGCGTGCGCACGAGCGTGCTCATGCGCTTGCGGGCCGAGTTGAACGCGAGCGTGCGCAGCGGCACGTAGCGCTCGGGCTGGCCCATGACGTCGAGCGTGATCTCGTGGTTGTTGCGGTGCAAGAAGGCGAACCCGGCGTCGCGCGCGGCGGCGACGAGGGCCGCCTCGTCGGGCGACTCGGCCTTGTACTCGAGCACGTCCGGGTTGGTCTCGTCGGGCCGCTCGGTCATGACCGTGTGGCAGATGGCAAGCGAGCGCCAGAACTCGGCGAGGCGGTCGTGCTGCTCGGTGCCGCGCGCGGCGAGCTGCTCGGCCATGGGCGGCGAGATGAGCGTGAGGCGGTCCTCGCGCAGGTACCGGTTCGTGAACGCGCCGTTGAGGACGTCGATCGTCTGCTGCTTGCGCGCCGTGAGGCGCGTCACGTTCTGCGCCGGGTCGAACGCCGACGTGTCGCGCCCCTCGCGCTTGGCGGCGCCGAGCATGGCCTCGGTGATGCCCTCGCCGTACGACACGCCGCCGACGGCGCACTTCTGGAACTCCATGACGTTCTGCGTCAGGGTGCCCGTCTTGTCCGAAAAGATGTACTCGATCTGACCCAGGTCGTCCGAGATGTTCCACGTCTTGGGCACGCACGGGTGGTCGAGCTCGTCGTAGTACATGTCGATGTCCTGGTAGATGAAAAAGGCCTGGATCGTCTTGACGAGCTCGACCGTGATGACGAGCGAAATCGGGACAATGTTCTGGAACAGGATGAGCGTCGCGCTGTGGAGGAGAGAGGCGTGGTCAGGTCCGCCGCCGGTGAAGGACCTAGCTCGACGACGGCGACCCGCTCAAGTCGCGCATCGTCGAGCAGCAGGGAGGGGAACAGAGGACGGACCCGAACGTGATGAAGCCGACGACGACCGCCGAGCTCGAGTAGGCGGCGCCGACCTCGTAGAACTGGGCCGAGCGACCCGACATGCCGTCGTACACGCCCGCGCCGATGGCGCACCCGACGCATAGCCCGATGAGGACCGCAAAGTTGACGAGCACGTTGAAGTTGGTCTCCTTCTCGATCTTGGACCGCTTCGAGGGCGTCTCGCCTGCGTCGGCGACGAGGAAAAAGGGGTCAGTGCGGGCTCGACGACCTCCTCGTCTCGGGAGGACAGGGACAGGGAGAGCGAGGGGACGCACCCTGGTTGAGCATGATCTTGGTGTCGGCGCCCGTAAAGACGACGAGGCCGATGACCCACTTGGTGTTGCGCAGGGCGCAGCCTCGCAAGAGGAGCTCGTTGATCGTGACCGGCTCCTGCGCGCGCTCAACAGCGTCAGAGCCTGCTGCTGCCGAGCACACGAGTGCGAGGCAGACGAGAGAGACAGAGGGGGAGAGAGGGGGAGAGAGGGGGGAGGAGAGAGAGCAGAGAAAGGGGGAGGACGGACCTGCTGCTCCTCGCCGTCGCTGCGCTCGCCGCCCTCGATGATCGGGTGCTCCATGCCGAGCTTGTCGGGCTTGGACCGCCACCGCAGGACGCCGTTGTACGAGTACAGGTTGGCGTGCGGCGGCTCCGAGTCGATCCAGAACCGCGCGTGCTCGACGTCCTCCTCGTTGCCGATGCCCATGGTCGCCTTGAGCGACTTGCGCGGCTTGAGGTTGGTCTCGCCGTCGAGGTTCTTGGTCTCGACGAAGCACACGCCGTCCGGGTCAGACGTGGCGAGGACGACGACGTCGGCCGGGATCTGGTCGTTCTCCTTGAGGAGGACGACGTCGCCCACCTCGAGCTTTTTCCACAGCGTGCGCTCCCACTTTGCCGTGCCCGGCGTCGCGTGCTCGTACGACACGACGTCGCTCGACGACTTGCGCGGCTGCGACTGTGACGCCGACGTCGTCGACGGCGCGAGGATCGAGTCGGCCGCGTGCGCGCTCGCCGTGCGCAGGAGCCGAGGCGGGTACGACGTCGTCGCCGAGCTCTCGACCGAGTAGGTCGAGTACGACTTGTGCATCGTGCTCGCCGTCGTCGTCGTCGGGAGCGTCGACGCCGAGCTGTCGCCGCGAGCGCGGGCGCGCGGGCCGGCAATCGCGATCGACTCGGGCCCGCCGCCGCCGTCGGCGAGCGTGTCGCGCGACTCGGCGGCGAGCGGCTGATCGGCGTACAGGAACCCGGCGTCGTACGAGCCCTCCTTCTCGCGCAGCTTGCGCACGCCCTTGGACACGCGGTGGTTCGGGTTCGGGCGGCGCCAGAAGGCCCACCACGGGCGGTCGTCGTCGGGGATGTTGACGTTGTGCCAGTCGCCGAGGCGCGTCACGGCCGAGTTGTTGACCTCGTTGTCGAGCTTGTGCCGCCGCGTGTCCTCGATGCCGTCCTTGATGCCCGTGATGCACAGGATCGCGACGAGCGGGAGCATGCCGATCTCGGGCGAGGCGGCGCCAAAGATGGGGAACACTGCGCGCGCAGGAGCTGCTCGTGAGCCTGCGCTCGTGGACTCGAACGAGAGAGAGAAGGGGGAGGACGCACCTTGAAGGACGACGAGGGCGAGGAAGTAGATGTTGGCGATCCGGCGAAACTGCTCGGTCAGGTTCTGCTCGACGGGGGCCACAAGGTCAGTTCGGGCGCAAGGACAGGGAGAGGACGAAGGACGCACCTTGGGGACGAACGACAGGAGCGTGTACTTGCTCGTGCGGACCTTGTTGCGCTCGTAGCCCCTCGGGTCCGTCATGACGCCCTCGACGTTCACGTAGACGTTCCTGCGCTCCTTCTCCTTCATGCCGCGCCGTTTGCGGTCCACCTTCTTCTTCTCCTGCTCGCCCTCGTCCTGCTTGTCCTGCCGGCGCGCCGACTCCTCGGCCTCTCGCGCCGCCGCGAGCCGCGTCATCTGTCGCTCGAGCTCGGCGCGCTGCACCTCGTCCATGCCCGCCGTCTCGGCACCGTGGCCGTGCCCGTCGCTCGTGCCGTGCCCGTCCTGGCTGTCGGCCGGCTCGGCCGACGCGCGAGGCTTGCGCCGCCCGAACAGGGTCCGGCGCGGCTTGAGGGTCGACGACGAGGACGGGTCCTTCTTGGTGCGCCGCGACGCGAGTCGCCGGAACCGCCGTCGGTCCTCCTCCTGGTACAGCTCGTGGATCGACTCGGCGGCGGTGCGGGTGACGCGGAGGCCTGGGTGAGGGCAGATGGTCGAGGAGGAGGAGGAGGGCGAGGAGGGGCGGGCGAGGGGCAAAGAGGTCAGTGACATGTCCTGGACGGAGAGAGAGGGCGTTGCGAGAGTCGCACGATGCGGCCCCAGTGTGCGCTGTCGACGCGAAGGACCCGAGCACACCCCCACCTCGCGTGCCGCTCCCGCTCGTGCTCCCGCCCGCGCACCCGAAGAGCATGCACCGACCGCCTCTGCGCGCCGACGCCACCTCCCTTGCAGTAGGCCCACACTCTGGCAAGCACTCGGCCCTTGAGGCGTGTGCGCCGTCCCTCGCTGCCGCCGCCGCAAGCTCCCCCTCGTGTGCCCAAGCCGAGGTCGGGGCTCCTCCTGAGCTCGTCTCCCGCTGCAAACGCGTCTCGTTCGCGCGTGTCTGAGGGTCGAGAGTGCGACTCACGGAGCTCGGGGTCGGTGCCCGGGTCGTAGTCGGGGTGGGTCGAGTCGGACAGGTTGCGACCGGAGTCGGGGTCGAACTGGAGCTCGAGGGCCGAGTCGCGCCTCTGTGGGTCGCGCTGGCGGCGAAACATGGCCGGACGAGGTCGTGCGAGAAGGTCGCTGTGGTGCAGGCGAGGCGGATGGCGGTGGTTCGAGGTGAGGAGGTGAAGCTCGGCGGGAACGGCGAGCGTGCTGAGGCTGAGAGGTGACGGGACGACGAGGCGGGTCCGGTGGGTCGTGTGCGCCCGGTCGCCGGTGGCTGGAGAGTGCGCGTGCAGCAGCTATCGCTCAGCCAGCGAGGCGAGCTGGGATGTGCTCAACCAGCGAGTGTGCTCTCTCACTCTCGCTCGCAGCTCGCGTTCTCATCGCCTCGCCCGAGTCCACCTCCGACCACGCTCCGCATCCACGAAAGCTTGACCGTAGCACCCTTACAAGCTATGGGGAGGTACCTCCGACGCGACCGACCCTGCCGGAGCGCTCCCTGCTCTCCTCCTCCTCCCCCTCCTCCTCCTCGCGTGCGGGACCCCCTGCGGCGCGCACACGGCGTCGCGGGACCTGCTGCGGCGCTCGCCGTCCTCAGAGCCACGATCTCGTTCGCGCGGACCGGTACCGGCCGCTCGCACGGACGCCGCACGCGCCCGTCGTCTCCTCTCCGGTCTGCCAGCCTGTCCGTTCGCTCGGCCGCACAGCTCCGGTCCAGCCTCAGCTTCCGAGCTCTCGCTTCTCAGCTTGTCGCCACCGTCGGCGAGCGAGCCAGCACTGCGATGCCGGCCCTGTCGAGCTGTCGAGCTGCACCGCCTATCGCGCCACAGCTGGCGCCAGCTCCAGCCCTCGGTCCTCCAAGCGACCGCTCATCGCTCGAGTACTTTGACGAAGAGCGCCTCATCATCTCGTTCGACGTCGGCAACACGAGCAGTGCGTGCGCCGCCTTCTCCTCTCCATCATCCGCCCCGCACTGACCCTCTCTCCTCCAGCATCCATCACGCTCGCCCACCTCACCTGGGCCTGCCGCCCGCTCCACCCAACCTCCTCGACCCTCCGCACCGTCCTCACCTACCCCTACTCGAGCCCGTCCGTCACGCCCATCCCCTCGCGCACGCCCTCGCTCGCCGCCTTTGACCGCGCCGACCGACCGCGCGCGTTCGGCGCCGAGTGCCTCACGCCGCGCGCGCTCCAGCTCGCGAGGGACGAGGGCTGGCTCGTCGTCAAAGGGTTCAAGGAGCAGATGAGGCCCGGCCCGGCGAGGGCGCCGCAAGGTCCTGCAGCACTCGAGAGCGGCAAGAAGCTGCTCAAGAAGTTCAAGGCGCCGCTCTCGTCCTCCTCGTCCGCGTCCGCAACGCCAGCGCACCTCGCCCCGTCCGCGTCGCCCGCCCCCGCCACGTCCTCGCGAGCGCCGGCCTCGGCGCACGACTCGGTCCGCTCGCTCGCCTCGTCCGAGGGCCTCGTCGACGCCGCCAGCCCTACCGCCGCGCCTGCCTTGTCCTCGGCACCCGCACCCGCGCACGACATCGACCAGTCGTACGTGCTCGTGAGCCCGGGCGTCGGCGGCATCGACGGCGGCACGGGCGCGCTGGGCGACCTCGGCCGCAGCGCCGGCGGCAAGGACCGCGCCGAGGACAAGCCCGCCGACGCTCCCGCAGCGCGCAAGGTGCTCCACCACGGCCCACGCCTGCGCACCATCTACGCCGAGTACCTCAAGTGGCTCGTCGCGTGCGCGCGCGCGTGGTACGCCGAGTCGTTTGCCGGCGGCGACGACACGTTCGTCCGGTGCTGGGAGCGAGCGAGGTTCGTCGTCGCGATCCCGGCCGACTGGACGGGGGACGAGACGGAGATTGTGCGGGGCGCGATGAAGGACGCGAGGTTGTTGCCGACCAACTTTGAGGTCGGGAGGCTCGTGCGTCCCTCTCTCTCTCTCCCTCTCTTCCTCTTGACCGAGCGCCGCCTGACGCTCATCATACGCGTCACGCAGACGTTCGTCAAGGAGCCGGCGGCCATCACCTACTTTGCCGCTCGCCACACGCGCTCGACGACCTGGCTCGAGGAGGGCTCGTCTTTTGCGCTCGTCGACGCGGCCGAGCAAGGCGTCTCGATCGTGCGTCGGGCTTCTGCCTCCCTTTCTCTCGGCAGCTGCGACCCGAGGACTGACCTTGTCGTCCTGCAGATCGGCTACACGGTCTCGGCGAGAGCGCCTCGCCTGAAGCTCCGAGCGTACGAGCCAGTCACTCGTGCGTCTCCTTCTCTCGCCTTCTCTTCTCGTGGAGTCCTCACTCACGCTTTTTGTGCCCTCCAGGTCTTCCCGCAGGAGCAGGCACCGTCCTCGACGCCCTCACCGAGCTCCTGACGGCCCGCCTCGCGCGCACCAAGTTCAAGTCGTCGGCCATCCTGTCGCACCTCGTCGCCGAGTTCCGCGCCAGGGTCCTCAAGCGCTTCTCCGGCATCGGTGGACCGGCCAACTACCGCTTGCGGCTGCCCGAGGGCGACGCCAAGCTTGAGAAGGCCGTCGACTCGGGCGCGAGGATTCGCGATGGGTGGCTCGCGCTGAGCGCGTACGTCCTCTCTGTTCCCTCTGGCCATCGGAGAACGGATCGTCTGACTGTCTCGTCCCTCGTGCGCAGCGAGGACGTCGAGAGCTGCTTCCGACCGGTGGTGGACGTCATCGTCGTCCGCCTCTCGTCCATCCTGCCACGTGGCGATGCCAAGCACATTCTCCTCTCGGGCGTGCGTCCCCTCTCCCTCTATCCTCGAGTATCGACCTGACGTCAGTACGTGCAGGGCTTCTCCGAGTCGCCGTACCTCGTCTCGAGGCTGCGCGAGACGTTCTCGCCCGGCGGCATCCAGCTCGTCATTGCCGACATCCCGACGTGCGTCCCCCCTCTCTCCCTCATCTCTCCCCTCGCCCTGACGCTTCAGCCACAGCCACTCGGCCGTCGCGGACGGGGCCCTCGCCTTCTACCTCTCCGAGACGCTCGCGCCGCGCCGCACGCGCTTCGCCCTCGGCACGCAGGTCGCCGTCGACTGGTCGACGCAGTGGGAGCGCGGTATGCACGAGCGCGCCGTCGTGCAGGGGAGCGGCGGGAGGCGCGTCGTCATGGGCAAGTGGAGCGAGTTGGTGCCGCAAGTGCGTCCCTCTCCTGCGCACGGACCTCTTCCTCTCGTACCCTCCCGAACGGACAGGCTCTGACCTCGCTCTCGCGCAGGACTCGACCCTCTCGATCTCGACGACGTGGCGGCGCACGTTCAACTTCCGCTATCGCCTCGCGGCGCGAGACCCGACGTTCAAGACGACGCTGTGGCGCTACGACTCGGCGGCCGACGAGGTCCAGAACGGGTGGATGGTCGACGTCGACGGTGCGTCCGCTCTCTCTTCCTCAATCAGCGTCCTAGGGCGAGAGCTCACACCTCGTCTCGCCCGCAGGCAAGCCGCATGCAGCGTACCGCGAGGTCTGCGAGGTCGAGGCGGACCTCCTCTCGCTCGTCGCGGCGTCCGAGGTGTACGGCGAGGAGGAGGCGGCGTGGGTGCAGCTTCAGGTGGATGTGCGTCGACCTTCTCTCGTCGTCGCCGAGGGAGTCGAGCGGCAACTGACGACCTTCCTAAACAGCTCGTCGTCTACGTCGGCGACGACTCGCTCGAGGCCGTGGTTGAGTGGGCCGAGCAGGTGCGTCTCTCTCTCTCTTTGCGTGACCGCCGAGGATGTCACTCACGCTCCCTCTCGAGACAGGGCAAGGCGGTGCGAGGGCCGGCGACGAGAATCCCTCTCGGCGCTTTCTGAGTAGACGATGCGACGAACAGAGACGGCGCGAGTGTAATGAGAGCAAAAAAAGATAGATCAAGAGAGCTACAGGCTGTTGACGACATCGGTCGCGAGAGGCTTGCGCAACGCGAGAGCGCCCCCTCCCCTCCTGATCGGCTTCTCCTCCTCGACGTCCTCCTCCTCGTCCTTGACCGAGCGCACCGACACCCACGCCTGCGCCTGCGCCCGCAGGGACACCTCGAGCCCGGCCGGCAGAGCGTAGACCCACTCCTTGCCCTCGACGAGGTCGAGGAACTGGCGCATGAGGGCGTTGTGCGAGAGGGTCGAGCGCGAGCCGAAGAGGACGAGCTTGGCCTTGGCGCGCGTCAGGACGACGTTGACCCTGCGCCAGTCTTTGAGGAGGTCGCCGACCTGTCGGTGCGAGGCAGCGTCAGGGGTTGCGCTCTGGGCGGGAGAGGAAAGGCGAAAGAGAGGAGGAAGGCGAGGGACGCACGTGGCCGCCAGTGTTGCTGCGCACGAGCGAGACGAGGATGCACTCCTTGTCGCGACCTTGACTGCGGTCGGCCGTGAGGACCTCGACGCCTGGGAATGACGGCTCGAGGAGGCGCGACAGGAGCTTGATCTGTTGCCGGTACAGCGTGATGACGCCAATGTCGCTCGACGGCACGCCGCAGGTCGACAGGGCAGCGACAGACTGTGAAAGAGAGGCGTCAGACGAGTCGTTATGCAGCGCCAACGAGGGAGAGAGAGAGAGAGGAGATAGGACGCACCTGCTTGATGAGCTCGCCCTCGAGCTCGTTGTCGATGAGGGACCCGTTCCGCCGCTCGCGCGCAGGCAGGGCGTCCGTGTCGACAAAGATGACCGAGCGACTGTGGACGAGGGAGAGTCAGTGGATGCGGGAGGAGAGAGAGAGAGAGCGGCTCGCGGACGTACCTCGGGTTGACCACTTCGCGCAGCCACGGGTCCATCTCGTCCACCTTCTCGCGCCTCGGCAGCTCAAGCTTGCGGGACCCGACGGCTGCTGCGCCGACCTGCAGCCGGTCCGAGTAGACGAGCTTGTTTGACAGGAGCATGATGTCGGCGTTCATGCGGTACTGGTGCGTCAGGTTGACGACGGCCGCCGGGTGAGTGTCCGAGAGCCGCTTGAAGAGGCTGATGTCGAGACCACCCTTCTTGGCCGAGGCGTTGCGGACCTGCGCGCTCGTCAAGGTGTTAGTGAGCTCGTCTGCGGAAGACCGAGGCGCGAGGAGAGGCTCGAGAGCAGGTCCCACAAGAGGCGGAAGCTGGTTGTGGTCGCCGACGAGGACGAACTTGTCGGCAAACCGCAGCGGGCCGAGGCACGTCGGGAGCGTCACCTGCGACGCCTCGTCGACGATACAGACGTCGAACCGGCGCTTGACGAAGATGGGCCTGCGCGCACGGCGGATCGTAAGCGAGACGGCCTGTGGAAGGGATGAAAGAGAAGCAGGACGCACTCGTTGATGCCGAGGCAGGTCGTCGCGACGATTTGCGGCGTGCGGAGCTTGTTGTCGATGTCGGTGAGCGAGTTCGAGTAGTCGTCGGGGCCGAGCGTCAGGTCGTGCAAGGCCGGCAGAATCTGCGGACGACCACAACGCTCAAGTCAGGATGCTGCGCTCGTTACGAGGCAGACGCCGACAGAGAGAGCGAGACGGGTCGGGCGCACCTTGTCGCGGTTGCCGAGGCGCAGGATGTTGAGCCCGTCGCCCTTGATCTTGAGCAGGATGTTGTCGACGGCCGAGTGCGTGTAGCTCGTCAAGAGGACCGACTTGCCCGCACGAGCGAGCGCGCGAATGACCTCGGCGATCGTCGTCGTCTTGCCCGTGCCGGGCATGCCGAGGATGAGGGCGTAGTCCTGCGCGGCGAGGACCTTTTCGAGGGCGAGCTTCTGGTCGCCGTTGAGCGCCGACGGGATCAAACTCTCGCTGCTCGCCGCGAGTGCGCCGTCGAACGAGGGCGGTTCGAGGTCGACGACGAGGCGGCGCCGGCGCTCATCGCCGCCGGGGACGAACAGCTGGATGACGTTGTCGCGGATGCGGCCCAGGCCGGCGGCGAGCTCGTCCTTGTCGACGCGAAAGATGCGCTCCTCGTTGCCCGGCGCCTGGGGCAGGTCCGTCAAGGACCGGTCGACGCCGACGACGACCTCGTACGGCGTGAGCGACAGGACAAAGCCGCGCGAGATGGCGAGGAGCGGCGGGTCCTCGAGCGAGATGACGACGGGGTCGTTGACCGAGATGGCGCCGCCGAGGAGGGTTGGCGACTGCGAGTGCGGCGGCGAGTGCGGGCGGAGCCGGTACGAGAAGCGGTGGGCGTGCTTGACGGCCGGCTCGTCCTCGATCTTGCCCGCCGCGACGACCATGTTGGCAAAGCACCTGCAGGGTCACGCACAGGTGAGCGATCATGAAAGAGGGCGAGAGAGAGGACACGAGGCGAGACGAGGACGCACCGGCCGACCTTCTCGCGCTCGTGCGCCGTCAAGGTCCAGATCTCCTTCTTGTACCGGACGAGCTCCTGCTCCTCAAAGCTGATGAGGCGCTCCCAGTGCTGGAAGAACGCGGCGTGCTCGGCCGTGAGGTGGCCCGTGCGCTCCTCGAACAGGACCTGGAGCGGGTCGGCGCCGTCGGTCGAGATCTCGAGGTCGCCGTCGACGGCCTGCGAGCGAGGGCGCACGTCAGGGACGGACACAGGGAGAGAGGGAAAGAGTGAGACGCACTCGGCGGTAGAGCATGCAGGCGTCGCGGACGTAGCACCACTTGCACGAGCGCTCGTCGTCGATCGGCGGCGGCAGGAGCGCCAGCTCGAGGTCGGCCGCCGTCGCCGAGCTCGGCGGCAGGTCCATCTCGGCCCACAGCTCGGCGTCGTCGTCGTCTACGGCGGCGTCTGGTGCTGGTGGCGGCGGCGGCGACGTCTGCGGCGCCGGGGTGACGCTGCGCTGCGTCGACGAGAACGTGCCGTCGGTCGGCGAGAGCGTCATGCGGCGGTGCAAGAACGTCGCGAAGCCGTTGCGGGCCATGAGGAGGCCGCGGATCTCGTTGCGCGCGGCTTGAACTCGAAAGACCTCGTTCGACTGGGTGTAGTACAGTAGGCCCGAGTCGACTTCTTGATCTGCGGACGACGGCGGCGAAGCGGCTCGTGAGCTCGACCCTCTAGGACACGCTCGAGACCGCGAGAGAGAGAGAGAGGTGGGACGCACCGTAGCGGTCGGTCATGAGGAGCGTGTACAGCATCGTCTGCGCCCGGTGCTCCATGCCGGCGCTCGTCCTGCCCGTCTTGATCTCGAACGGCGTCGTCCCGCGACGCGTAAAGCCGACCGAGTCGACGACCGTCGACGAGGTCGAGACGTCGATCTTGCCCTTGAGGCCGAACCGCGGCGACCAGATGTCGTCCTCGACGCCGAGGGTCGACGTGATGGCGAGCCGGGACCGGGCCGTGTCGAGCGCTCGAGGGTCCGACAGGAACGCGTCGGCCTGCACGTTACTCGAGAGGGGTGTCAGTCTAGGCCGTCGGGAAAGGAGGGCAGGCGCAGCGAGAGGCGGGCGCACCTTGGGCTTGTCGTGAGAGAACCGGTCGGCGAACGCCTCGAACTCGTTGCTGCGCTCGCGCAACTCGAGCCGCACCTTGTCGAACGACATCTCGAGCTCCCACAGCATGCCGCCGTTGTCCTCGACAATGTCGTCGATGCGCTCGAACCGGTACTCGTCGTCCCACCGGCCGTCCGTCATGCAGCTCTGGAGGAGCGCGTGCAGCATGTTGCCGTACAGGAGCGACGGCGACGACTGGCCGAGCGTGCGGATGAGCTCTTGCAGGACGGCCTTGCGCGTGCAGTGCGACGAGTCGGCGACCTTGGTCGACGAGACGAGGATGTCGGGGTGCAGGACGAGCAGGCCGACCGACCGCGTGAGCTGGACGGGCGCGTCGGGAGGCGCCGTGACGAGGTCGGGCAGGTCGATGAGGTTGATGATGTCGCCTGCGAGACGCGAGGGGGGTCAGTGCATTTCGAGTCGCAGAGGAAGAGAAAGAGAGCGCACCGGCCTCGACCGGCGTGTCGACCCAGTCGTCGCAGAGCAGGATCTGCCGCACGCCCTCGAAGGCGGTACTCGTGACCGTCAGGATCTGTTCGCGATATTCATCGACTAGAGTCAGTGTCGTGCTCGTGATGACGACCGGCTCGTGCGAGCGAGCGAGGCGCACCTTCTGCGGCCGAATCGCGGTGCCGACGCGGTCGACCACCTCCTCGACCGTGCATCTCGCGTACTGCTTGCACCTCGGAACGCGCGTTGCCTGCAGAAGACGCAGTGTCAGTGCCCGGTCGCGCACAGGAGGGGAGCGGAAGGGGGACGGACCGACGCCTCGACGGCTTGTTCGTCCTCGAACCCGAGCATCGCCTCGTCCCAGTCGACGCCGCCGACCAGGTCGTCGAAATCGTCGACCTCGACGCCCGCGCGCGGGAGCACGACCTCGACGACAGGCTTGACGTCCACCACCTCCTCCTCCTTGACCCGCACCATCCTCGCCGCGAGCGTCTTCTCCTCGATCCCGCGCTCGTCCCTCTTGCTCCGCGACGGGTTCTCCTTGCCCTGGATCCCGATCTCGACCCGCCTGACCCGCCTCGGCTCACCCCCATCTCCTGCGCCCCCTCCTCCTGCCCCGAGAGCGCGCACCTTGCGGCCCCTGCCCGCCTCCCTCGCCAAGCCCGGCGCGAACCCCGCCGCGCGCTCGACCTCGTCGCGCCGTGCGAGCGCCGCCGGGCTCAAGAGCGGCCGCGCGAGCGGGTCGTCCCAGAACGGCTCGTTGCGGGGCGGCGGCGGGTTGAGCGACGAAGTGGGAGGGGGAGGGGGAGGGGGAGGGCGCGCGGCGCGCTTGCGCGGCGTGAGGGGCTGCGAGGGGGGCTGCGAGGTGGGTGCAGGGCGCTTGAGCGGGCGCGGGCGCGGGCGGGACGAGGCGGCGGCAGCGGCGGTGGTGGTGGTGGTCTGCGACGACGAGGGCGGGGCAAAGGCCTCGGCGTCGAGGTCGGCGAGGAGCGAGGCCATGAAGGCGTCTGCGCCGTCGATGCGCGGCATGGCTGTGCGTGCCCGCGCTAAGCAAGATGGGTGGGCGAGGCGAGAGGGAGGACGAGGGCTGCTGGCAAACACGGCTGGCGACGCGTCGGGTCGCCACCTCGTCAGGAGACGAGCGCACGAGGCTGCACAGCTCTCTCACAAGGCCTGACAGGTGCGGGAACTGCGACTGTTACAGAGTGCAGGAGAGAGCGCGTCTAGATCTCGAAAAGAAGTGACAACAAGGTCGGCGAACGAGCCTCCTCCTCCTCGCCTACAACCGAAAGAGTGTCTGTCCGGCCGCCTCGCCGAGCGCGAGGCCGACCGTCAATAGAGAGTTGTCGAGTACTGCAGGCGCGTGCAGGTCAGACGAGGCGGCCAGACCCGGAGATGGTCGCGCGGGAGAGGGCGAAGGAGGAAGGACGGACGCACGTTCAGTGGTTCTGCGCGTGGAAGACGAGCACGCCGGGCACGCCGACGACCTCGAAGCCCGCCCTCTTGGCCACCTTGGCGAGGCCCTCAGTCTCGACCTGCGACGGACACGAGAGAGAGAGGACAGAGTGAGCGCCCGTCCTCCCTCGTCGCAGCTCCAGCGGCGCAGGAAGAGAGCCCCGCTCCGACGCACCTGGTTGTCAAAGACATAGGTCGGGAACGTGACGCCCTCGCGGTGGACGTGCGCCTTGACGAGCGCAAACGTGCACCCGATGCCGTCGAGCGGGACGTGCGCGAGGCCGAGGTGCGTCGGCATGTCGACGAGGTGCGCCCGGCTCGTCATGAGCTCTCGGTAGCCTGTCGAGGGAGGCGCGTAGGGTCAGTCCTGGCGGGAAAAGGGGTGCGAGGGAGACGAGGCCGCGCACCTTCGACGAGCATGACGTCTGGGCCGAGCTTGTCGAGGAGCGCGAGCGACTCTTCCGTCTCGGCAAAGTTGTTGCGGTCAAAGCCCTGCGCCGTGCCGAGGTGCGTCAGGACTCGGTGTGCGGGTACGGAATGGGAGGAAGAGAGCGAGCGGGCGGGCGCACCCAGAAGGCCCAGTCCTTGACGTGCCAGAGCGTGTTGGGCACGACAATGTCCTTGTCGACGCTCATGAGGTCCGACAGGATGTGCGGGTCGTACCGCACGACGTCGACGTCGAGCCACAGGACGTAGGCCGAGTCGGGTCGCAGCGCGGCCGACAAGAGGTAGTTGCGCGCCTTGGCGATGAAGGCGCGGCGGACGGGCTGACCCTCGAACCCGTGGCGGACCTCGCTCGCGAGGTTGAACTTGAAGTCCCTTTCGAAGATCGTGATCGAGTCGTAGCGCTCCTTAGGCGGCAGCTGCGACAGGCGGCGGGCGCGCGCACGCAGCTTGGCGACCGTGTTGTCGGTCGAGTCGCTGACGAGGAAGGCGAGCGAGATGAGGTTGCGCGGGTACGACAGGCGCGCGAGGTTCTCAAAGTACTCGTCGAGGTACGGGCCGGCGTCCTTGAGCGGCGTCAGGACGAGGAGCTTCTCGCCGGCCGCGGCCCCTTGCGCCGTCGCCTGGACGGGCGTCAGGTCGAACGAGGCGATGTCGGTGCCGGCTGTCGCGCTCGTCGAGCCTTGTCGTCGGATAGTATTGGTGGGGCCGGCCCAGGACGACGACAGGACGAGGGTGATGAGGACCGAGACGATGCAGACGGCGAGGCGAGAGGTGAGGAGCGAGGCGACAGGGCCTCGATCTGCGTGCGCCGTTGCTCGTGACGCAAAGCCGCCTCGTGCCATTCGAGTTGCGCGACGCCGTGCAGGACCGGTGTGGTCGAGGGCGGACGGCGACAAGAATAGCGAGAGAGAGTCGAGCTGGAGAGGGAGACGAGGTGAGCGGGACAGGCGGGGGCAGGGGCAGGGGACGGTGCGGCGCACCTGATCGAGAGTCACTGTGCGCTGCGGTTCAAGCGCTGTGCGGGTCTGGCTCTGAGGAAGGTGTCGGAGGCTCCGGAGGAGGAGCGTCTCTCTGCTCCTTGCTCTCGTCGTCGCTCGATAACTCGCCCGAGGCTCACGCAAGAGTGTCACAGGGCCCAGCACACCTGTATGTGTCCACTACGACCCCTCCAGCGTCCCCACTGACCTGTGGCCCGCGCGCAGCTCGCCTCATCGCCCCATCTCCCGTCCCCGGTTGAGCGACACGCTCCCTCTCGCCCACCCTCCTGCGCCCACCCAGTTTTCACCCCGCCGTGCTCTCCAGCCTTCATCAGCGTCGCACGCCCGACCGCCACGCCGCCCGCGACAAGCCTCGTCCTCGCTCGACGGCAGCATGTACGGCACCGCGACCGCGTCCGACGAGTCCGAGGACGAGGGCTGCTATGTCTTCTGGGACACGCCGTCCATCCTGCCCCCTGCGCCACGCCCTGCGCCCTCGCCCGCCCCACGCCGCCCTTCGCAGCGCAGCGGCGCCCCCTCCCCCTCCCTCGGCACCCTCGCCATCGCCGGCACGCCCAAGCCCAAGCGCACCACCACCGCCGCCGCGCTCCCGAGCCCCTCGGGCTCGACCACGAGCAGCCACAAGGCGACGCGAGCGCTGCGGCAGCGCAAGCGGCTCAAGGGCGCGAGAAAGTCGGCCGCCGAGGCGAGCAGCCAGCCGCTCGACGCGAGGGCGCTCCAGATGGTGAGCCAGCTCGCGCTCAAGGTCAACGCGCGCGCGGCGAGCATGGCGAGCCAGGCGCCGCTGCCTCCGGCGTCGCGCGCGAGGCGGGACGAGACTGGGGCAGGAGCGGCGCAGGGAGCAAAGGGCAAGGGCAGGGCGGACGAGCAGGAGCAGGTCGTCAAGCGTGCGTCCCCTCTCCCTCATACCTAGTCTCCCCTCCCGAGACTGACGCTTCGATCCCGCAGGTGAGCCGCTGCGCCCTTCCCCGACCGCCAACGGCTCGGCACCCGCACCCGCGTACACCTCGACCTCGACCACCCCGCTCCGCCGCACGCCCGCACGAGCCACTCGAGCCGCCCAGCCCGCCCTCAGCCTCTCTGCGACCAAGATGAGCGCAGTGCACGCGTCCCCTCGACCGCGCAAGGCCGCCGCCGTCCCCGTCACGGCCGCGCCTCCCCCACCTCGACCCGCGCTCGGGAAATCTACCTCGTCGGCGACCGTCACGACCGCCGACGAGTTCGACTCGTTTTTCGACGACGGAGACGACACGTTCGAGCTCGCCCTGTCGCAGCTCGACGAGCGCGCCGTCGTGCCGACCCCGCCGTCGTCGGCCGGTCCCCCTCCTCCTGTCGCCCTCGTCCCCGCCGCTCGCGCCGCACCAGCACGGCCCGCCAAGCCAGCCCCAGCGCCTTTGCCCTCGCGTGCACCTCCCGTATCCCGCGCCGCACCCCCTGCGCGGCCCCTCGCCGCCTCTCGCCCTCCCCCTCCTCCCGGACCCGCACTCGCCCGCGCGCCGCCCAAGCCCGCCGCCGCCCCGACCCTCATCCTGCGCACCTCGCGCGCCTCGCAGGGCACGGCGCAGCACGCGCTCGTCGAGCTCGCGCGCCGCGAGGCAGAGGCCCTCGCCAGCGCCGACTTTGACCTCGGCGCCGGCGGGTGGAGCGACGAGGACTTCTGAGCCCGCGCTCCCCTCCCTCGAGCGCGTACCGTGGCGTTCTCGTTGCTGTTGTTGTACTGGTCGTCGTGGCCGTTCTTGCTTTTTATCCCCTTTCCTTCTCGTCCTGCAACGACGGGTCGTTCTTCCGCACGAGGCGAGCTTTCGGCCGGGCGACTCCGCGCCGGCTCGAGCTTTGTGAGACTGCGAGAGCTTGTTATGAGAGCTGCTCCAGGGCGTAACAGGCGAGGGCAGAGCTCAGGTCTCTGAGATTCGCTCGCTCGAAGGTGGTCGACGCGTCCGCCCGCGCGCCTCGTCCTCAGCTCTCATCCGCCAGCGACGCTCCAGAGCAGCTCGGCATCAGCTCACCGCACTCTCGAGCCAGCTTTACACGCTCCAGACGGGCACACGACCTCCCGCAAGCCGCGGCCACCTTCTCGCCTCTCCACCCTCGACCTCGCCCCCCTCACCCCGCCTCTCGACCTCTCGCGGGCATGGGCCGGCCGTTCAACAAGTACCCGACCGCGCGTCGAGGTGGCGGCAGCTCGTCCTTTCGCGGCGGCGGGCGCGGGCGGGGCCGAGGAGGAGGGCGAGGCGGCCACACGGGCGGTGCGGTGCTCAAGACGATGACCGAGGGCACGCGCGAGGACGACAAGCTCGACGATGCGCGTGTGTGGGACGAGCTCGACGAGCACCTCGGGTTCCCCAAGTTTGTCGAGGGCGACCGGCGGCAGGGCTGGCTCGTCAACATGAAGGAGGTGCGTCCTCCTTCTCCTCCTCCTCCCTCCCTCGTCCGCATGGATTACCGACTCGCGCACACTGCAGACGCTCGTGCCGGACGAGGGCAAGAGCTCGGGGCGGCAAGGCGTCGACTACTACTTCATCCAGGACGATGGCGGCATGTTCAAGAGCACGCTCACGTACGAGCCCTACTTCTACATCGCGACGAGGGTGCGTCCCCTCCTCCCCCTCGGTCCCTTCTTTGAGTGCCTCACTGACCGTATACGCCTCCCTGCAGAGTGGGCACGAGGGCGCCGTCGAGGAGTGGCTCATGCGCAAGTACGAGGACCTCATCACCAAAGTCCAGCGCAAGCGGCGCGAGGACCTCAAGCTCGTGCGTCTCCTTCTCTCTCCCCAGTCTCTCTCATTGTCGAGCTGACTCGTTGGGCCCGATGCAGCCGAACCACCTCATGGGCTACCGCCGCGACTACATCGCCCTCTTCTTCCGCAACCAGGCCGACCTTTTCTCGGTCCGGCGCGAGATTCTCCCGCTCGCGACCAAGAACCGCGAGATGCTCGACGCCGTCGACACGTACGCCGAGGTCATCGCGGGCGAGACCAACTTTGCGGCGATGGACTACGACATGGAGGACGGGTTCGGACGCGGCGAGAGCTTTGCCAAGGGCGCAGGCGCGACGGGCCCGGTCGGCAACCCGTCCGACTCGATCATCGACATTCGCGAGTACGACGTGCCGTACTACCTGCGCGTCGCCATCGACAAGAGTGCGTCCCTCTTTCCTCCTCCTCCTCCTCGTCGCCCGCCCGAGCGAGCCCGCCCTGACCCTGCTTATGCCCCGCAGACGTCCGAGTCGGCCTGTGGTACGAGGTGACGGCCGACGCCGGCGAGATCCGCCTGCGACACCTCGAGGAGCGAGTCGCGCGAGCCGAGCCCGTCGTCATGGCGTTCGACATCGAGACGACCAAGGCGCCGCTCAAGTTCCCCGACCAGCTCACCGACCAGATCATGATGATTTCGTACATGATCGACGGCCAGGTGCGCACCCTCTCTCTCTGTCTCCTCCAGGTGGCGCGGCGAGGGCGACACTGACGAGGCTCGAGCGCAGGGCTTCCTCATCACGAACCGCGAGATTGTCGGCGCCGACATCGAGGACTTTGAGTACACGCCCAAACCCGACTACGAGGGCCCGTTCACCATCTTCAACGAGGCCGACGAGGTGCGTCGTCGGCTCGCCCGTCTGTCCGCCGCCGAGCCGAAACCGTCCTGACCTACTTCTCCTCCTGCTCGCAGGCCGCGACGATCCGCCGCTTCTTCGAGCACTTTCGCGAGGCGCGCCCGACCGTCTGCGCGACGTACAACGGCGACTCGTTCGACTTTCCGTTCCTGCTCGCGCGCGCCAACGTGCACGGCATCGACATGTACAAGGAGATTGGCTTCACCAAGGACGCCGAGGACGAGTTCAAGAGCCGCTCGTGCGTCCACATGGACTGCTTCCGGTGGGTCAAGCGCGACTCGTACCTGCCGCAGGGCAGCCAGGGCCTCAAGGCCGTCACGGTCGCCAAGCTCGGCTACAACCCGATCGAGCTCGACCCAGAGCTCATGACGCCGTGCGTCCCATGCTCTCGTCGTCGCTGTCGTCGCCGTCGTCGCCGTCGTCGCACTGACCCTCGTCCTCTCCTCTCGCGCAGGTACGCCGCCGAGCACCCGCAGATCCTCGCCCAGTACTCGGTGTCGGACGCCGTCGCAACCTACTACCTGTACATGAAATATGTGCACCCGTTCGTCTTCTCGCTGTGCAACATCATCCCGCTCAACCCGGACGAGGTCCTGCGCAAGGGCTCGGGCACCCTGTGCGAGACGCTCCTCATGGTGCGTCCTCCTCTCTCTCTCTTTCTCTTCCCCTCGTCTGTCGGTCAGAGCTCTGACGTCGCTCTGCGCACCGATGCAGGTCGAGGCGTACGCCGGCAACGTCGTCTACCCGAACCGCCACGTCGAGAGCCACAACAACATGCACGACGGCCACCTGCTCGAGTCCGAGACGTACGTCGGCGGCCACGTCGAGGCGCTCGAGGCCGGCGTCTTTCGCAGCGACATCTCGACCGACTTCAAGATCGTCCCGAGCGCGATCCAGGGCGTGCGTCCCGCCTCTCTCTCCCTCTCTCCTCCCAAGACGGCGTCCGAGCCTGACCACCCGCCCTCACCCGCAGCTCATCGACGACCTCGACGACGCGCTCCAGTTCGCGCTCGCCAAGGAGGGCAGCAAGCCGATCCCGCTCGAGTCGGTCGAGAACTACGCCGAGGTCAAGCGCGAGATCCAGACGATGCTCGAGGAGCTGCGCGACAAACCTGTACGGTCCGACACGCCGCTCATCTACCACCTCGACGTCGCCGCCATGTACCCCAACATCATGTTGTCGAACCGGCTCCAGCCCGACTCGATCGTGACCGAGGCCGACTGCGCCGCGTGCGACTTTAACCGCCCGGGCAAGCAGTGCCAGCGCCGCATGAAGTGGGCGTGGCGCGGCGAGTTCTTCCCCGCGTCGCTCGGCGAGTACAAGATGATCCGCAACGCGCTCGAGAACGAGGCGTTCCCGCCCAAGTGGCCGGGCAAGCCCGAGCGCCGGTTCGCCGACCTCGCGCCCTCGGAGCAGACGGCGCTCCTCCACAAGCGCCTCGGCGACTACTCGCGCAAGGTGTACGCCAAGACCAAGGAGACCAAGATCGAGACCAAGGAGGCCATCGTGTGCCAGCGCGAGAACCCGTTCTACATCGACACGGTGCGCACGTTCCGCGACCGGCGGTACACGTACAAGGGCCTGCACAAGGACTGGAAGAAGAACCTCGACAAGGCGTCCGCCGGCGGCAGCCTGCCCGAGGTCGTCGAGGCCAAGGCCATGATCGTCCTGTACGACTCGCTCCAGCTCGCGCACAAGTGCATCCTCAACTCGTTCTACGGCTACGTCATGCGCAAGGGCGCCCGGTGGCACTCGATGGAGATGGCCGGCATCACGTGCCTCACGGGCGCGAGCATCATCCAGATGGCGCGCAAGCTCGTCGAGCAGATCGGTCGGCCCCTCGAGCTCGACACGGACGGCATCTGGTGCATGCTCCCGAGCACCTTTCCCGACGGTGCGTCCCGCCTTGTCCTTCTCGTCCTCGTCGTCGTCCTGCCCGTCGTCGCGTCCTCGTCCTCGAGCCTCGTCGCTGACTTTGCCCCCTCCCATCCTTCCCTCTCTCCCTCTCTCTCTCTCCCTCGCCCTCGTCCTCGCGCAGGCTTCACGTTCAAGCTCAAGGGCGGCGGCAAGTTCGGTCTGTCGTACCCGTGCACGATGCTCAACCATATCGTGCACAAGGACTTCACCAACGACCAGTACCACGAGGTCGGTCCCGACGGCCGCCACGTCGTGCGCGAGGAGAACTCGATCTTCTTCGAGCTCGACGGCCCGTACCGCGCCATGATCCTCCCGTCGTCCAAGGAGGAGGACAAGCTCCTCAAGAAGCGCTACGCCGTCTTCAACGAGGACGGCAGCCTCGCCGAGCTCAAGGGGTTCGAGGTCAAGCGCCGCGGCGAGCTCCAGTTGATCAAGACGTTCCAGTCGCAAATCTTCGAGAAGTTCCTCCTCGGCGCCACGCTCGAGGATTGCTACGCCGAGGTGGCGACCGTCGCCGACAAGTGGCTCGACGTCCTGTTCACCAAGGCCATCAGCCTCCCCGACGAGGAACTCGTCGAGCTCATCGCCGAGAACCGCTCGATGAGCAAGACGCTCGCCGAGTACGCCGGGCAAAAGTCGACGTCGATCAGCACGGCGCGCCGCCTCGCCGAGTTTCTCGGCGAGCAGATGGTCAAGGACAAGGGCCTCGCGTGCAAGTTCATCATCTCGGCCAAGCCCGCCGGCGCGCCCGTCACCGAGCGCGCCGTCCCCGTCGCCATCTTCTCCGCCGAGTTGAGCGTCAAGCGCCACTTCCTGCGCAAGTGGCTCAAGGACAACAGCCTCGAGGAGTTCGACCTGCGCTCGATCCTCGACTGGGACTACTACATCGAGCGCCTCGGGTCCGTCGTCCAGAAGCTCATCACGATCCCGGCCGCGCTCCAGAAGGTGCCCAACCCGGTCCCGCGCATCCGCCACCCGGACTGGCTCTTCCGCCGCGTCGCCAACCTCGCCGACAAGTTCAAGCAGCACCGTCTCGACGACATGTTCGCGCGCCAGAAGCCCGTCGGCGACGTCGAGGACCTCGGCGGCGGCTCGAGCGCCGCCGTCGGCCAGTCGCGCAGGCAGCGCACGCCGCCGCCGCCGCCGCCGTCACCGCCTCCACCTGCGCCCAAGCCCGACATCACGCGCTCGTTCAGCGCCTGGATCGCCTTCATGAAGCCCGTGTGGCGCGAGAAGCGCAAGGCGGTCGCCGAGGCGAGGCGGTCCGGCGGCGGGTTCGGCGCCAAGACGGGCACGATCGGGTCGATGCTGCACCAGCGCTCGACGTTCCTCTCGTCGTCGGTGTGGGAAATTGTCCAGATCGCGCCCGTCGCCGAGCGGCCCGGCGAGTTCAAGATGTGGCTCCTCATCGCCGGCACGCTCCAGAGCGTCCGCCTGCGCGTCCCTCGCCAGTTCCTCGTCAACTTTGTCGACTTGCCGACCGGCGACGACGCGTTCCCGCCCGACTGCAAGGTCGAGGCCATCTCGCGCACGCTGCCACGCGCCCAGCCCGCCCTCAACCTCGTGCGCCTCACGACGTCCGAGGACGCCTACGTGCGCGACGAGCCCCTGTACGGCGAGCTCCTCAAGGGCCCGAGCGTCGACGGCGTGTACGAGCAGCAGGTGCCGCTCCTCATGCGCGCCCTCCTGCGCCTCGGCGCGTCGTGCGTGCCCGACGCCCGGCGCGGCGTCACGCTCAACCGCGGCCTCGACCGCCACTTTGAGCTCGACGACCTCAAGGCGCCCGAGGCGTCGCTCACGCGCCGGCAATACCTCAACAAGGGCCTCGAGCTGCGCTACACGTACCTGTTCCACGCCACCAACGACTTTCGACACGTGTTCGGCCTCTTTATGCCGACGGGCACGGCCAAGGTGTACGTCGTCGAGCGGGGCAAGGCGCGCGACGTGAGCAGCCTCGACACGTACTACGCCGACCAGCTGCGCAAGCGGCGCGACGCCGAGGACGAGCGCGTCAAGGGCGACAAGGCGGCCAAGCGCGAGGTCGGCGCGTTCGAGTACCTCGAGCGCATGAGCATCGTCGTCGCGTACGCGAGCAACGAGGACGTCGCCTTGCGCCAGCTGTCGCGCGACCTCGTGTCGCTGTCGGCGCAGAAGCAGATGGCGTCGCTCCTCGTCGTCCACTCGCCCAAGCCACGCGCCTACTTCGACGAGCGCGTGCCCGGCTGCAGCAACTTCCCGTTCGTCGCCATCCAGTCGTCCAAGGCCGAGAACACGTTCCCGAGCGCGCTCGGGTGGCAGGTGCCGGCCTGTCGCCGCATGGTGCAGCACTACCTGCGCTCGTCGGTCTGGATCCGCGAGCGCATCGAGCTCGCCGACCGGTTCGACGTGCCCGTGTGCAACCTCGACCGCGACGTGCCCGTCTTCCTCGCCGACGTCGACTTTGCGCGCCGCCTGCACAAGGCCGACTGCGTCCTGTGGTGGTCGCCGGCGGCGCGACCCGACCTCGGCGGGCGCGAGGCCGACGCCAACGCGAGCCAGCTGTCGGACGAGCTCGTCAACCCCGAGGTCGGCAAGCCCGGGTGCTACTCGAACGCGTGCCTCGAGGTCGAGATCCGCAACCTCGCCGTCGACGCCGTCCTCCAGTCGGCGCTCGTGTACGAGCTCGAGGGCGGCGAGGGCGCCGGCCTCGACGAGCAGGCGCACAACCTCGACGACTACGCCAAGGGCACCGCCAACGCGCCGCACGTCCTCGGCGACGCCATCCTCCCGACCTCGACGTTCAACATGGTGCGCGCCATGGTCAAGGCGTGGTCGATCGAGGCGGCCAAGCCCGACGGCGCGCACTGGCGCCTCATGCTCGAGCACTTTTGGCGCTGGATCAGCTCGCCGGCGTCCAAGCTGTACGACCCGGCCCTGTACCGGTTCGTGCACGGCCTCATGCGCAAGACGTTCAGCCAGCTCCTCGCCGAGTTCCGCCGCCTCGGGTCCGACATCGTCCACGCCGACTTTGGCCGCGTCTTCCTCCTGACGTCCAAGCCGTCGTCGTCGACCGCGTACGCGTACGCCAACTACATCGTGTCGTCGGTCACGACGCGCGAGCTGTTCCGCTACGTCCAGCTCGAGATTGTCCGGTTCTGGGACGAGCTCGTGTGGCTCGACGCGGCCAACTCGGCCGGCATCGTGTGTCACCGCCCGGACCTCGACGAGCAGCCCCTCGAGCAGGTCGAGATCGAGATGCAGTTCAACATCGCGACCTACCTCCCCGCCGCCGTCCAGGACGACTTTACGGCCGTCGTCGGCCGCTTCGTCCACGGCATGCTCGTCGCCAAGCGCCAGCAGGCCGACGACTTGCGCACGCCGCTCCGCATCCTCCAGAACGGCCTCGAGTCGACGGCGCGCCCGACGGCCGCCCCGGCGGCGGCGGCGGCGGCAGGAGGCGACGGCAAGGACGGTCCCGCCGAGCCCGACGCCGCCAAGGTCCTCGTCAGCGAGACGCTCACGCGCCAGCTCCTCAAGGCCGTCACGTCGCTCAAGGAGCGCTACGCCGACAAGGACGACCCCGAGGCGTTCGCGTTCCCGGTCCTGCCCGGCTCGCACCTGCGCCTCAAGAACCCGGTCCTCGAGTTCATCAAGACGACGTGCGCCGTCCTCGCCCTCGCCAAGGACGTGTCGGAGGAGGTCGTCGTCCTCAAGCGCAACCTGCTCGACCTCATCGGCGTGCGCGAGTTTGCCCGCGAGGCCGCGTTCGTCAACCCGTGCTTGCCGTTCAAGGTGCCCATGGTCGTCTGCCGCACGTGCAACTCGATCCGAGGTGCGCCCGCCTCTCTTTCTCTCTTTCTCTCTTCCTGTGTGCGCCGTCCTGATCCTCGACTGCCCCCACGCCAGACCTCGACCTGTGCCGCAACGTCGCCTTCCTCGTCAAGGACCACCCGTGGCAGTGCGAGCGGTGCTCGACCGAGTACGACAAGGCGACGATCGAGGCCCTCATCATCGACGCCCTGCAGCGTCGCCTCGTGTCGTACCAGCTGCAGGACCTGCGCTGCGGCAAGTGCAGGACGATGAAGGGCGAGAACCTGCGCTCGCACTGCGACTGCTCGGGCGAGTACCAGATGGCCGAGACGCGCCAGGAGCTCGTCAAGCGCCTCCAGGTCACGGGCAACGTCGCCGAGTTCCACAAGCTCGCGACGCTCGGCGCCGCCGTCGAGTGGATGCGCAGCATGGTCCACTGAGGTGCGCTCCCGCCCCTCTTTCCCTCTCTCTCCCTCTCTCTGTCCCTCGCCTCCACTCACGCACTGACACCTTGGCCCCTCGCCTCGCAGAGTACGCGCCCTCGTCTCTCTCCCGGCCTCGAGTGCCGGTCGCTCGTCGCGGGTCGTCGTGCCCCCTCCTCGAATCGTCCTCTCGCCTTCCTCTTCTTCCTGTCTTTCTCTCCCTGTTCCCTCTCTCTCTCTCTCGCAGTCGCAGTCGTCCTCCTTGTTGCAATCACCAGCCTTCTCGTCGTTATCGTGCCGCTGGTCGTCGCTCGCGAGAATCGAGCGTCCGAGCGAGCTGCGAACGAGGCGCACGCTTCCCAGCCGCCGGGCCTGCACTGCCGCAGAGAGAGGACGGCTTGGCTATGCAAGGGTGCGCTGAGCGCTCAGCGCGACGAGCCGACGCGAGAGCCTCGCCCCGCTGGACAGCTCGACCTCGCCCACCTCGCGCCATCTCAAGCCCTGCGCCTGCGTGCACTACCGGTACCGGCGCACACTCTGGCTGTGCAGCTCGTCATGCTCACGCTCGAGGACCTGCCGTTCGAGGTGAGCCTTCTGCTCTTCCCCTCCTCGTTCTTCATCAGCTCGTCGCCGAGGGGAGGATTCAGCTGACCACGTCCCACGATGCACGCAGCTGTTGATGCATGTGCATCTTCTGTCGCTGTCGCACGCCCTCCCTGTCGTCTCCCGCCACCTTCGAGCCGTGTTCGCCTCGACCACCGCGCACCACCGAGCCCGGTTCCTCCTCCTCCGTCACGACCACAAGACGCTGTCGCACGCCATCAAGTACCCGACCTGCACCCTCGACGTCGTCCACGCCCTCGAGCGGCTCGCCAAACTGCGCGGCAAACGGCTCAAGTGCTCGACCCTCCCGCGACGACTCGTCAAGGGCCTCGGCAAGGGCGCGGCGGGCAAGGGCGCGGCGGGCAAGGGCGGCGGCCAGGGCGACGGCCAGGGCGACAACGACGGCGTCGACCTCGAGCTCATCACGTACCTCCTCGACACGTACAACGCGTCGCCCAACAGCCACGACGGGTACCCACTCGCGCGCGCCGTCTTTGCTCGCCACCTCCCCCTCATCCGCCTCCTCCTCCAGTACGGCGCCGACCCTGCGCTCAAGGACGGCTGGGCCGTCACGACCGCCATCGCCAACGGCGACGCCGACCTCGTCAAGCTCCTCATGGAGCGAGAAGTCGAGCGGGACGAGGACGACGGCGACGAGGGCCCGCTGCACGAGGTCGTGCTCGAGCGAGGCGGCGGCGGCAAGTCGTCGAAGAAGCGGCGCAGGGACAGCGGTGGCGGCGGCGGCAAGCGGCGGCGGGTGGCCATGGGCGATCGGTGCACGGCGACCAAGGAGATGCTCGAGACGGCGGTCAAGGCCAAGCAGTGGGGCATCGTCGACTACCTCACGGCGAAAGGTGCGCCCAGACTCTCTCTGTCTCTCTCTCCTTCTACTCGACGGGCTCGGCCTGACGCTGTCACCTTGCAGGAGCGCCGCCGAGCATCAGCGTCCTCGCCATGCTCTGAGCCGCCTCGCGCCGTCGCGCTCCCTTCCCTCCACCTCGTACCCTCACGAGCAGTCGTAGCAGCATCGCGGTATTCCTGTATCACAGGTCCATGCGCTCTCGTTCCCCTTGTGCCCCTCGGCTCGTCGTCGCGAGCAGAGACGGCTCGGCGCCTCCAAGCGCTCGCTCGAGCCTCCTTCTCGACGTGTGCTACCTAGCCTTTCGAGGGCAGGTCCTTCGCCTGCACAAGGACGATCCTCTCGAGCTCTCGCAGTACGGTGCGTCCGTCTTTTCGAAATCCCGTCCTGCACCCGCGTCGTCCCTGACCGTACGTGCAGCTCCCTCTCTCGCAGTCGACCTCGTTCTGCTCGCCCTGCACGCTTCGAGAAGTCGTCGCCGCCGTGCGCAACTGTTCGGCGACGACCCTCGCTCATGCGCGACGCGGTGGACGAGTGAGCGAGCCTCGACGTCTGTGCCGGACGACGGCCGCAGCCGGACGAGGCGGGTTTTTGGCGAGGGCGCAGGAGGGCGCTCAAGGGCGGCCCGGCGGCGGTGCGGCGACGACACCGAGCGATCAACCTTGTTGCGCAGGTGCGCCCGTGCCTCGAATCTCTCGCTTTCGTCGCCCTTTCCGTTCTCGCCCACTCTCTCCCCCGCAGCGAGAAGCTCGTCGCGATCGGCCTCCCAGCCTGAATGCCGCATGCCCGACCGCCCGCACCACTCTCCTCTCCCACCTCCGCCATCTTCGCCCAGCACCAGGCGCAAAGGTCAGCTCGACCGCACGCCGTCCAGCTCCCGCAGGTCCGTGCGCTGGACGCGCCTCCTTCCCCTCCACCGCCTCCACTTCCGCCTCGACTCGTGCGGCTCGATCACCTCTCGTTCAGCACGCCGGCCGTGCGCACCGCCATCAGTACGCGCGATGGACCCGGCTACGACCGACGTGCCCTCTCTCGCGGCGCCGCAGAGCACGGCGACGATCCTCATGGTGAGCTCGTTGTTCCCTCCCCTCGTCCTGCTCGCCCACGAACCCGAGTCTGACCCTCTCGTTCGTCTGCAGGGTCCGACTACGGCCGGCTACAGCGTGCAGATGCTCCTGTTCGGCGCCGTCATCTCGCTGTACCTGCAGGCGTGGCGGACTGGCGAGTTTCGCGCCCAATCTCGACCCGCCCGCCTGGCCATGTACCTCTCGCTCGGCTTGAACGCCGTCTACACCGGCATCGTCTTCTATGAGAACTACGACGCATCAGGTGCAGCCGCGCCCTCGTTTCCTGGTCCGCTCGACGAGCCCGTCGCCAACTCGCCTCTCGTCCTCTCAGTTTCGCAGAACCGGACGTACAACTACCTGTCAAACGGCAACGCGACGTGGAACAGCCTCAGCATGCTCAACGGTGTCATAGCCGCGCTGACAGAGGCGTTCTTGGCCTGCAAGGCCGGCAAGGTGCGTCTCCTTCTCACTCTCCCTCGTCCACTCTCCTCCCCGATCTCGTGAACCTGACCTGCCCGCACCTTGTACAGTTCATCCCGAGCCGCAAGCTGCGGTGGGTTTTCTTCATCTGGATGGGCTGCGTCATCGGCCTCGTGCTCGCCGGCAGCGCCATGGCGACCGCCAACGGCTACCTCGTGCGTCCCTTTCCTCTCCTCTCCTCGGTCCTGCCCCAGCCGTCGCCAATCGTCCTCGACACGAACACGAGCTAACCTATCCCTCCCGCCACCCCTCGGTCCCTCCTCGTTCTCTCCTCGCCGTCCGACACCATCTCTTTTCGCGCAGTATTACCTCGCCGCCGCCGACAGCGACGAGCCCGCACTAGTCCTCACGTACAACACTAGCCTTGCCATCTTCCTGTACGCCTCAGCGTTCGCCGACCTGAGCATCTCGGCGACCATCGCCTGGGCCCTGCACTCGCGCATCGCCGGGTTCAACGAGACGACCGATTCGCTCCTGCGCCGCCTCATCTGGCTCTCGATCCGGTCGGCGTCGTACACGACGGCTCTTAGCATCGCTGCAGCCGTCACCATGTCCGTGTGGGGCGAGAACAACCTGCTCAGCTTCATTACGATCGCTGTACGTCCTCGACTCGTTCCTTCCTGCCCTCGTCGTCCGTGACCTGACTTTTCGCACACCTCCCGCAGCTCTGGATGCCCATGGTGCGCTCGCCTCTCGCCTTTCGTCGTCAGTCCCTCCCTGACTCTTGTCCTCGTGCAGCCCGCCCTGTACGGCCTGTCGCTCTTCTCGTTCTCCTTCGGCGCTCGGCGCGCGATCGATTCACGCCTCGGCGGTCCGACAAACGCAACACCGCCGCAGCCGCCAGGTGGCGGCATCTACGTGCGGCGGAGCGTGCACGCCTTCGACTCGAAGGGCGTTTCGATCCGGCGGCACGGCCTGTTGGACGACGACGAGCTCTCGAGATCGCGCCGGGCACCGCCGCCGATGCGCATCAAGGTGGAGCAGCAAAGCGTCGTCCAGTACGAGGAGCCGGACCTGGAGCTGGGCGAGGGCGTGGGCGAGGGCGAGAGCTCGAGACGCCTCGAGGGGAGCGCGCCGAGCGAGGATTGGAGGAGGGAATGCAAGTCGTGGGACATTCAGCAGCCGCCAGAGCCTTGACAAGTAGAATAGACGGGTCGTTTGTTGTTGTACTGCACTAGATCGCGTCAGACCGAGCGGCTTTCGTGCGAAAAGTGAGAGATCACCTTTTGAGCGCGAGACGAGAACGCGGGCGAAGCCGGTCCGACATTCTCGCAGCCTCTACCCTTTGCCATCATCGACAGCCTCGCGCTGCATCAGCAGGGTGGCCTGTCGTGCGCGAGAGAGCAGCCGAGGTCCGAGCGACTTGACCTTCCCAAGTTGACCTTCTCAAGTTGACCTTCCTCGACGGCTGAGGAAGAGACTCCTCGATCGACGTCGAGGCTGAGTCCGGGGCCGCCCTTCAGCGAGCAAGCACATTTCGGGCGCAAGACAGCGCGGCCGGACCGATCGTTCCCTGCGTGTTAGAGCCGTCTCCCCCCCTGAACGCTTTCCGTTCTCGTCGTCCTCCTCACCGCGCGACCTCGCTCCGACGCTCCTCATTTTCTAGCTTCATGGCCATTGTTCTCGAGAGAGGCGAGAGTCGTCGGCACACCAGCTAGCCGGAGCGGTGGGCTCTTTCTTCCCTGTCCACGCCCGCACCGCACGACTTGCTTCTCTCGCTCACTCTCCTCGACGGCGACGCACCGCTCGCGCTCGGCCCGCTCGACTCGACACGTCCGAGCCTGTCGACGATGGACTCGCCTCAAGACGGCGTCGGGCTAGACCTCCCTTCCCGCTCCGCTCCGCAGGCGATGGCGACGCTCATCATGGTGAGCTTCCGTCGCCCTCCCTCTTTCGCTGTCGACAGGCAGAGCTGACCTCGTTGCACGCTCGCAGGGTCCGACGTCGTGCGGGTACAGCGCGCAGATGCTGCTCTTCGGCGCGTTCGTCTCGATGTTCCTCGAAGGTTGGCGCTCGGGCGCGCTGCAGGCTCAATCTCGACCTGCCCGCCTCGCCTTGTGGACCTCGCTCGTGCTCAACACCGTCAACACGGGCATGTGTGTGTATCAGAGCTTCGACTCGGCAGGTGAGCGCCGCCCTCGCCGCTCGGGCCCCTTCCTCGTCGAAACGCCGGTCCTCATCCGCGGCTCTCGCTCGTCCCACAGTCTCGCAAAACCGATCGTTCTTCTACCTCTCAAGCGGCAACATTGCATGGAACGCCCTGAGCGTACTGAACGGCGTCATTGCGGCGCTCTCGGAAGGGTTTTTGGCGGTCAAGGCCGGGTCCGTGCGTCCCAGTTTCGTCTCTGCCCCTCGTTCCCTCTGCGTTCAAGACCTGCAGGCACTGACTGGCTGCCCGTCGTCCGCAGCTCATCGCGCGCCGTCCTTGGCGGCTTCTCTTCTGGGCGTGGCAGGCCTGCGTGATCGCCCTCGTGCTGGCGGCGAGCGCAATTGTCACCGCCGACGGCTGCCTTGTGCGTCACCGCTCTCCTCTCTTCCTGCGTGCGACGCATTTCAGGAGACGTCATCTGCTCGAGGGCCGAACCTGACTCGCCGTCGTGCGACGCTTGCGCAGTACAACCTCGCCGGCGTCGACGGCACCGTCCCGACTTTGGCGCTCGACTACAACACGGCGTCGGCCGTCTGGCTCTGGTCGAGCGCCGTGGCCGATGTCTCAAACTCGTTGGCTTTCGCTCGAGCGCTCAGCAGCCGCATCCACGGCTTCAACGAGACGACCGACAACCTTCTTCGGCGCCTCATCTTGATCGCCATCCGGACGGCGTCGTACACGACGGCGCTCAGCATCGCTGGGGCGGTCGCAAACTCGATCTGGGGAGACGACGACACGCTCGGCTTTGTCGCGATCGGGGTGCGTCGCCTGTTCCTCTCGTTCTCGTCGAGCCGAGGCCTGAGCTCACCTCTCCTTCCCTTCTCTCCTCGCAGCTGTGGCTCCCGATGGTGCGCTCTCGTCTCGTCCCTCTTTCTCCGACGACGTAGACTGACTCTCGGACTCGACGCAGCCGGCCTTGTACGGCTTGGCCCTCCTCTCCTTCTCCTTCTCGTCGCGACGAGCGATCGACTCTCGCCTCGGCGGCTCGTCAGACGAGCCATCAGCGCCCCCGCGAGGGAACGGCATCTATGTCAGGCGCAGTGTGCGCGCGTTCGACTCGAAGGGCCTCTCGGTCCGACGACTCGGGCTCTCGAACGAGCACGAGCTCGTGACGCTGCCGACGCAGAGCGTGCCCGCGGTGCGCATCACGGTCGAGCAGCATCGAGTTACCGAGAGCGACGACGTCGACTTGGAGCTCGGCAAAGCGAGCACGGCGACCGATACGCCCGGCGACGACGAGTGGAGGAGGAACTGGCGCGGCGAGAAGTCGTGGCAGATCCAGCCTTGACGTCTTCCTGCGGCTTGTGTTCTAGCATTTGCAACGACCACATGTGCACTCCCGAGAGGCAGGACGAGAGCGTCTGACGAGAGTGATTCGGCTGCGTGAGCTACCAAGAGCGTTCGGGAGCGCGCGTCGAGAAGGCGATGCTGCGGCCCGCCGACCCGCCCTGAGCTCGTCGAGGGCTTCGGCGTCTCGTTGAGAGGACCGAACGTTAGCTCGCATTGATCGACGAGCGAGTCCATTGCGGCCTCGGAAGCTAGCGGACCGGCAAGAGAGAGAGAGCCAATCGGCCTTCCCAAGTTGGACCTCCGCCTTTCGTCCGCCTGTCCTTCGTTCTCTGCGCGAGTACGCGACCTGCATCCTCGCCCGAGTCCATGGCGAGGTCTCGCGCAGCTGCATGAGCGGTACGAGAACCGTACAGGGCGGGCTGGTGGCGGTGGTCGGCCCCCTTGTCGCGCGCTCGAGCCTCTCGCTCGCACCTCGCCCTCAAAGCTTCGAGCGCTCATCCTTGTGCTGCGGACGCAATCTGAGTCCCCTTGTGTCAGGAAGAACGAGCACAGCCCTCTTCGCTGTCTGCCGACGGATGAGAGAGGATCCGGCGCATCGCTCGCTGCAGGTCGATTCGCTCGTGTCGTCCTCTCTCTTTCTCCTCTTCTTCGTCGAACAGGTTACGGCGCGTCGTTCGTAAGCACTCTCAAGCTTCTGGTGCGTCCCACGGTCCTCGTTCGAGGGCGTTCTCCTCGTACGCCTGTCGGTACCCGTTCCCCCGGTCCACGCTCACGTCGCCTTCGCCCTCAGCCTTGCACTCGTCGACGACCATGAGCTCTCTCGACGACTTCCCGAAGATGTCGGCATCGCAGCATGCCGCCACGCTCATCATGGGTGAGCTCCTCGACGACGAAGGATGCCGGCCGTTTCCTCGAGCTGACCTCCTCCCTTTCTACAGGACCGAACCAGGCCGGCTATCTTGTCCAGATCTTCCTGTTCGGCGTCTTCCTCCAGATGCTCGTCTCGTACGCCCTGAGCGGCGAGCTGGGCCTCCACACTCGGTGGGCGAAAAGCGCTTTGGCCGCTTCTCTCCTTTTGAACCTCGTCTACACGGCCATCTGCTTCCAGCAGGCCTACGTCGCCGGCGGTACGCACTCTATCTCACTTTGACGTGTCCCCCTCCATGCGGCCGCCGCAACGCGCACGAGCCTCGCGCCCTGCCTCGCCCCTTCCCTTCCACCTCGCGGCACCCTTGCGTCGATTTAAGCCTCGTACATCCAGCTGACTCTCTTCCTCGTCTCTCCCGAGCAGTCAGTCAAGATCGAACGTTCGACACGCTGTCGAACGGCGACGTCTGGAACCTCCTGCCGCTGCTCAACGGCATGATCTCGACCGTCTCGGAGGTCTTCCTCGCCGCTCGCGCCGGTGCGGTGCGTCGAGACTCTCTCTCTCCCTCTCGACCGATGCCCTGAGCCCTTCTCTGAGTCTCGCTCCTCCAGCTCATTCAAGACCGACGCGTGCGGCTCGCCTTCTGGGTTTGGATCGGCGCGCTCGTCACCCTCGTCCTCGTCGGGTGCTCGTTCACTTGCGCCGATGGCTTCCTCGTGCGCCCATACGTTCTCTGTACAGCGTCCTATCGAGCGAGACTGACCTGCACTGCCTCACAGTACACCGCCGGAGCCGAAGAGAGCGACCTCGTGAGCTCCTTTCCCTGGTTTTGTCGTCTCGGCGACGCTCGTCGTCCCTCTCGCGCCCTCGACGACGTCGACGCTGCCAAGTCTACTGACACAGCGTCCCTCAACCGGTCAGATCATCTCGTTCAACGGCGCGTCGGCAATGTGGATGCTCTCAAGCGCCGTGGCCGACCTCTCGATCTCGCTCGCCTGCGCCTGGGCGCTTCGTGCGAGGATTCGCGGCTTCAATCCCGAGACCGACACGCTCCTTCGACACCTCTCGTGGATCTTCCTGCGCACGGCGGCCTACACGACTCTCCTCAGCCTCCTCGCGGCCACTATTTTGGTGACCTACGGCGAATACGACCTCCTAAGCTACCTGAACAACGCCTTCTGGACGCCTGGTGTACGTCCCCTCTCTCTCTCTGAGTCTCCTCTCGACCCGCCTCGACCGTCGACTCGCTCACGAGCATCTTTTGCCCCGCTCAGGCCGCTGTTTCTGCCCTCTCCCTCTTCACCTTTTCGACCGCGACCCGCCACGCCGTCACGAACCGCCTCGGCTCGTCGGGCGAGATGCCCGGCAACGTCTACATCAACCGCGCCGGGATCAGCGCCGCCGGCAAGGTGCGCTCGAGTGTCGGCCCCGGCATCGCGCTGCAGCATCTCTCGGGTGGGAACGCACAGCCGTCCGTCCCGCTGCAGATCACGGTGCAGCACCAACGCTCCGTGCACTACGAGGGCCCGGACGACGAGGACTTTAGCACCAAGGCGGGCTCGGACAGGGAGAAGGACGCGAGGGACTTTGCGGTGTAGCTCGCGGTTGCCTCGGTCGAGCCTCGCAGCCGTGCAACGACGCTCGTTGTGCCTGACTCTACGTACGAGCGCTCGGGAGCTTCTGAGGGTCAAAGCGCACTGCGGTCCAGATCCAAATGTCCGCTTCCTGGTCGCGCTGCAGTGCCGGCGGTTCCGATTTGCTTCTTTGATGAGCTCGTAACGCAAAAAGATGACTTGGGCGGTTGTCGGAGCCGAGGAAAGAGCCGCTGGCGACACGGGGCAAAAGAATCTGGAGAACCAGGGAGTCGAACCCTGCGCCTCTCGCACACGATGGTGCTAAGCGAGCGCTCTACCGATGAGCTAGATCCCCTTTGCACGTGCTCGCCCCCGTAACTGCCATACGGATACACCTTGAGCTGCTGCTGCCGCGGACGACCCGCCAGCTGCTTCTGCGGCCGTGGCAGGGAGACATTTGACTGCTTGGCGATACTTTCTAGAGCCTAATGTGTCCTGCAAGCGGCCTCGCTGATTTACCGGTGCGCGTGACCTCCGTGCGCCGCCAGCTGCCAGCGCGACTTTCTTCAGAGCCGAGCCTCTTCGCTCTTCCGCACCAGCAACTCGCGCAGACCAGCTCGTGCCAAGCCGACCGCACAGCAGTCACCGCCTGCTCGCCACCGCCAGCACCACCAGCCGCCCCAGCCAGCCGCTCGCGGGAAACCACCCCCCTCGCTCCGCCAACGCTCATCGTCGCTCGCCCCGTGGCCAGCTCCGCCTGCGAGACCGAGCCGCCGTGCCAAAAACTCGCAATCATGGCTACCTGGGCCAAGCGCGCATCCGCGCCCACCGACACCCCCTCTCACGACGACTCGACCCCTCCTCTTTCCTCCCCCGCCGACGTCGCACCCGCAACCCACCCCGCCCCTTCGTCTTCCGTGCCCCGCTCTGCGCCCATCTCCAAGGCCAACGCCTCGGACAACTGGCGCGCCAATGCCCGCCCCAACACGGCCCCGAAGAACGGCGACCCGCCCGTGCGAGCGCGGGCAGCGAGCAAGGGCAACTCGCACGCGCCCGCCTCGGCTGCTGCCCCGGCCGCGTCGGCGTCGCCCGCCGGCCAGGACGATGACGAGGGTGCGTGGGAGACGGTCGAGAAGAAGGACAAGCCGGCGCCCGTCTCGCGGCTCGGCAGCAAGAAGAGCTTCGCCAAGGACGGCAACAAGAAGGCCGGCGAGGGCCGCAAGACCGCCGTCGTCGAGGAGGCGAGCAGCACGGCTGAGGGCAGCGCCGCGCCCAAGGGCAAGGCGGCGGCAGGGCGCGCTCGTGCCGGGTCGTCGAGCGCGGGCAAAGGCGAGAAGAAGGCGGCGGCGGCGGCCGCGGGTCGGCCAACGCTCAAGCCGGCGAGCTGGGCAGACGACGAGGAGAACGGCATCCTGCCGTCGCCCAACTTTGGCGCGACGAGCGCTCCCGCCGCCGCCGCCCCGAGCGACGCGGCCGTCGAGGTCCTCGTCCTCCCGCCGTCGCAGGCCCCGTCGCCGACCGAGGAGAAGGAGCAGAAGGAGGTCGAGCAGCCGGCCAAGAAGGCCCCCTCGGCGCCGGCCGTCAACGTCTGGAGCGTGCGCAAGGACCAGCTCGCGCAGGCGTCCGAGCCGGCGTCGTCGTCGCCGGCGCCCACGCCTTCCGCGCCTTCCGCGCCCACGCCCGCCGCAGACGACGCGGCGCCGTCGTCGGCGACCGAGACGCCCGCGCAGGACGAGGGCAAGAAGCCGGCCGAGCAGGCGCAGAAGAAGAAGGAGGCGCGGCCCAAGGAGGACAAGGGCAAGGCGGCGGCGGCGGCGGTCAACGGCGGCGGCGCGACCGCGACGACCTCCAAGTCGTCGCCGTCAACGAGTCGGACGACGAGCGCGATGGGCTGGTCGTCGACGGCGACGCCGGCTACGAGCGGGTCGTCGAAGCCGCTCGTCGTCGCCGGTGAGGACGCGACGAGCTGGCCGGCGCCCGAGGACGCCGTCAAGCAGGACGAGCCCAAGGCCAAGGCGGGCAAGGAGGACAAGCAGGCGGCGCAGCAGCAGACCGGCGGCAAGAAGAAGAAGGGTGCGTCCCCCGCTTTCTCTCCCTCTCCTTCTCTGCCCCGTTCGCCGCTCACCTTTGAGCCCGCCCCTCTCCCTCGCAGGCGACAAGAGCAAGTGGATCCCGATCAAGGCCGACATCACCGTCAGCGCGCCGGCGCCGGGCCAGCTGGCCAAGCGCACGGCCAAGGCGGCAAAAGCGCCGGGCGCGTCGACCACGGGCGGCGCCGAGAAGAAGGGCGCGCAGCCGGCGCAGCAGCCGGGCAAGGGCAAGGCCGCGGCAGGTGCGGCCCCGCAGCCGGTCAAGGGCGCAGCCGCCGCCCAGCAGGGCAAGGGCAAGAAGGCGGCGGGCGCCGCGGGCCCCAATTCTCGGACCGCGCCGCTCGACACGAGCGTCGACGCCGAGGGCATCATTCGGCCGTTCGGCGGCGCTACGCCTGCCGGTCCCTCGTCTACGACCGCCAAGTCCGCGTCGGCCGAGCAGACCGGCTCGACGTCGGGCCCGACCACTACGCCGTCGGCGAGCGGCGGCGACTCGGCCCAGCTTCCTCGTCAGCCTCCCGCGTTCGTCCCTGCGCACCAGCAGCAGTTCGCCGGCCGAGGACGCGGTCGTGGCGGTGCGGTGCGAGGGCGCGGCGGCGCACGCGGCGGCGCCAACGGCGCCGGCTTCAACCGCCAGTTCCAGCAGCAGCACGCCGTCGCGCTCGCTGCCGGCTACGTCCCTGTGCCCGTCGAGCTCGACGCCAACGGCAACCCGATCGTCGACCAGTTCGGCTACCCTGTCGCGGCGCAGCAGCTCCCGCAGCCGACGCAGGGCCAACAAGGCCAGGCGGGCCAGGCGCCGTTCGACCCGCGCATGCTCGACCCGACCCGGTACTGGCTCCTCGGCCAACTCGAGTGGTGGTTCTCGATCGACAACCTGTGCCGCGACCTCTTCCTGCGCCAGTCGGTGCGTCGCCTTCTCCTGTCCCCTCCTCGTCCTCCCTTGACGAAGCCCTCACTGACTTTCTGTCTCGCCCTCGCCTGCCCACAGATGGACGCCGCAGGGTGGATCTCGGTCCCGCTCATCGCGTCGTTCAACCGCATCAAGAACCTCACCTCGGACCTGTCGATCGTCGTCGAGACGATGCGCATGACGCCCGTCCTCGAGGTGTCGCCCAAGGGCCGCTTTGTACGCCTCGCCCAGACGTGGCCCGAGTGGCTCCTGCCCAACGCGCAGAAGAACGACGACGTCGAGAAGGACTTTGAGGAGGCGCGCGCCGAGGTCAAGGCGCTGCACGAGCGCAAGGAGCGCGAGCGCGAGTCGAAGGGCGACAAGGACGCTGCGCCGGACGCCGAGGGTGCCGCCAAGCCTGCCGTCGAGCGTGACGAGGCTGCTGTCGAGCCGGCCGCCGAGAAGAAGGACGACGCCGCGACCGACGCTCCTGCCGACGCCGACAAGGCCGACGCCGCCTCGGCTACTACCTCCGCAACGGTCGCCGAGCCGGCACCTGTCGCTGTCGAGGTCAACGGCGAGAAGGACGTCCAGCGCGAGGAGGCCAAGGACGCCGTCGCCGAGCCGCAAGACGACGCGACCGAGGAGGCGAAGGAGACGGCGGCTGCCCCCGCCAAGAAGGACGCGCCTTCGGCACCACGCAAGGAGTCGCTCTCGCCTCGTGAGGGTGCGTCCCTCAATTTTCTTCTCGTCGCCGTCGCCCGTTCACCTGATTGACACGTCGTCGACGCCCGCAGCGCCCCGGACCATCTCGCCCAAGGCGACGCCGGCCCAGCCGATCCTCGACACGGCGTGCGCGTCCATCACGAGCACGACGCCCTCGTCGACCGCATGAGCCTCCCCTCTCCTCGCACAACATCTCCCTTTTCGCCTTTCCCCTCCCATGCCCCTTCTCTCGCCTCGCCAAATCAGCCACGAGTGTCTCCCTCTTTCCACCCTTCCCTCGTGTCCAACCTACATTGCGCTCCGACTGTTCTACTCCTCCGCATACATCCCCCGTCCCCCTCTCTCCCTCTCTCGCGACCCCTCCTTCTCTCGCCTTGTGTCGGTCCCGTCCTCTTTCGCCCCTCTCTCTCTCGTCGCAGATTCTCTCTCGCAAGCTCTGGATTTCTCTGTACGGCGTGCAGGCGCAGAGAGACGCCCGTGTGCTCGCCAGGCCCGAGAGACGAGAAAGACGAAAGCGCTCGACGAGAGGAGCGCACGAGCCCCGAGACGTCGTCCTCTTCTTGCGCTTGGTTTACCTCGACTACGCCTCGACCGAGCTCGCTGCATCGGGCTTGCAGGCGGGTCAAGGCTGTGCAACGGGCCGCCGGGAGCAAGGCCACTTGTGGCGCTTGTGCAGGTGCAACTGTACGCTGTTTGAGTCTGACCGCATAGCTCGCCGATTTGCAACACGCACGGCGAGATAGTATAATGGCTAGTACACTCGGTTCTGATCGTCTTCTGCTTCCGAGCAATCTGGGTTCGATCCCCAGTCACGCCTGCACTTTTTTTTGCTCCCTCTTCCGTTGCTCTCTCGGACCCTAGCAGTGCTGCTACCGGCTGAGCGACTCTCGCTTTTGCTGCTCGTGAAGCAGGGCGTCGAGAGAGGGAGCGAGGGACCGGGCGCGCGCCGACGTCGGGAGGGAGAGTGGCTTTGCGACTCGAGGCGACCCGAGCGTTTTGACCTCTTGCGCGGCTCGACATCGACAGCGCCGTCTCTGTGTCGGGTCTCCTGCCAAGCGAGTCCCGCACGAGAGCCATGCAGGGCGGTCTTTCGCCGGTTGGCCTCCCCCTTGCCGACGCGCTCGAGCCTCCTTGCGTCCTCGCCTTCCAGAGCGCTTTGGCCCGCCCGCGTGCTTCGGTAGCTTCAAAGAGCGCTCTCGGCAACCGCGACGCCCACGTTCGAAACGTCTCTCGAGCTCTCTTGAGTCGCGAGGCCAGCTCTCGAGTCGAGACAGAGAGCGACAAAGGATGATAGAGACGGAGGGACACTTACAACACGGCAGGGTGCGGGTACGAGGAAGTCGCGCACATTAAGCCCGGGAGGAAGTAGAAGGGAGAGCAGCTACGGAAGAGGAGGGTGGGGCGACGAGGCGAAAAGGGGAGAAGGAAAGGACGAGCGCGGCTCGAGGGGGGGTGACTGAGAGAAAGGACGAAGGCGGTTTGCCGCGAGGGCAGACAAGGGGGGGAGAGAGCGACGGCGCCGGCGAGGCGGGCGTCGTCTATGCAGGTATGGATGAGGGCGATGGGGAGGGAGAGAGGAAGGATGAAGGCGGGAGGAGCAGGCTCTACTCGGCCGTGAGCTGCAACTGCTGAACCGCCTCGTCGTACCGGCGCTCGGTCTCGCGCACGACCTCGACGCCGGTGCGGATCGCCTCGTCGACCGTGCACCGCTCCTTGCGCGGCGAGAACTTGAGGCCGAGGATGTCGCCAATCTCGTCGGTCGCGCGCAGGATGCGGTCGAGGTCCGACTTGGTGTGGGCCGCCGAGATGCAGAAACGCACGCGCGACGAGACGAGCGGCGTGCTGAGGGTGGGGCCGTCAGGGCCATCCCGCATAGAGAAGGAGAGAGAGAGGACGATGCGACGCACGCAGGGTACGCGACGACGACGACGACGATCTTGTGCCGCTCGAGCACTGCAGGGAGTGGCCGACGACCGACGGTCAGTGTCCGCACTCGGACGGCGAGAGTGACAGTGTGAGAGAGAAAGGGGGACTCGCTGAGCCTGGAGAAGAGGCCCATCTTGGCGGGCGCGAACAGGAGGGTGGGCACGATCGGGGAATCTTGGTGCCCATAAACAATGAACCCCAGCCGGCGGAGTCCATTGCTTAGGTACCGGGCATTGAAGGCAAGGCGCCTAAGGCGGTCCTGGCCGTCCGTACCGTCCATCACGTACGCCGGGAGCTTGCTGAGGGCGGGCACGATGGCGACGGCCGACGGGCCCATGATGCTGCCCATCGACGTGACGATCTGGGCGAGGATAGGCGGCGACATGGCCTCGGCGTAGTTCTGGGCGTGCGACGACAGGCGCAGCGCCGAGATGAGCTCGTGCGAGCCGGCGATGTAGCCGCCCGAGGCGCCGAACGCTGCAGGGGAAGGAAGGAGAGAAAGAGTCAGTGACGTGAAAGAGCGAGAGAGAGTTCGACGAGGGCGAGAGAGCGCCCGACAGCGAGAGCCGGCAGGTTGAGAAGGCGCTCTATGAGGAGCGCCGCTCTCGCCGCTCTCGCCGCCGACGCCGCTCCCCCGCGACACGCAGGACACACAGAAGGGAAAGCAAGGACGCACACTTGGTGAAGGTGCCCATGAGGATGTCGACCTTGCGCGGGTCGAGGCCAAAGTAGTCGCACACGCCGCGGCCGCGAGGACCGAGCGCGCCAACCGAGTGCGCCTCGTCGACGTACAGGTAGAACTGCGTGCACGAGTGGAGCGTCAGGACGAGGCGCACGAGAGACAGCGACGGGCGGGGGAGAGAGAGAGAGAGGCGAGGGACGGACCTTGTAGATGTCCTTGAGCTCGAGGATGCGCGGCAGGTCGACAAGCGTGCCCTCCATCGAGTACAGGCCCTCGACAATGAGGAGGATCTTTTTCCACGGGCGGTGGGTGCGGGGCTGGCCCTGCGAGATGCACTCGCGCAAGAGGTTCTCGAGGTCGTCCATGTCGTTGTGCTTGTACTGGCGCACCATGGCGCCCGACAGGCGCGCGCCGAACCGGATCGACGAGTGGTTGAGCTCGTCCGAGATGATGAGGCACCCTTTGCACATGAGGGCCGGGAGCGTCGTCGAGTTGGTCGCGAACCCCATCGAGACGATCATCGAGTCCTCGACGCCGAGGAACTCGGCGACGAGGCGCTCCGACTGGATGTGGAGCGCGCTCGTGCCGACGTCGTTGCGCGCGCCGTGGAGCGAGACGCCCATCTCGCGCACAATCATCTCGGCCTCGTCGGCGCACGGGCCTCGCGACTGGGCAAACCCGAGGTAGTTGTACGACGAGACGTTGAGCGCCTGGGTCGTCTCGCCCGTAAAGACAAAGTCGTGGAAGTGGTTGGTCGGCGTGCGGTCGAGGCAGATGGCGGTGCGCGCGGCGACGCCCGTGACCGGGCGCGCAAAGCAGTCCTCAAGGCGGAGCTTGAGGCGGCGCGTGTAGAACGAGTCAAAGTCGGAGAACAGGGGCGCGTAGCCGTTGCTGGGGCGCAGGTGCGAGTACGACGCCGGGAACAGGCGCTTGCCGATAAAGTCGCGGATGTGGCCCATGACGAACAGGAGGGCGTCTGTGGGCGGATCGGTCGAGTCAGGGTCGTCGCGTCGACAAGCGAGGGTCGCACGAGGGGACGTACAGGACAAGTACGTGTGCAGGTAGACCCAGACGCTCGGCTCCTCGTCACTGGCGCGCAGGCTCGTGCCGGGCGTGTGCCGCGAGACGGTGCGGTGCGCCGGGTCGACGTCGTGGCCGTACTCGGAGTGGCGCAGCGAGTACGGGTCCTCCGGGTTGGGCACAAAGTCGACGTCGAACGACGTGGTCGGGAGCCGGGTCGCAGAGATGCTGCTCGGGGTCGGCATCTCGGTCGCGACGCCCTTCCACGCCGTCGAGCGCTCCGAGTCGGTGCTCGTGTCCGAGTTGGCGGCGTCCGAGTTGGCGCGGTTGCGGCGGTGGGTCGAGGCCGTGTCGTACGAGACGAGGCTCGACGAGCGCGACGGGCTCGAGTTGCGCGCCGAGAGGGCGGCCGAGTTCGAGTCGCGCGACTGGAGGTGGGTGAGGTAGCTGGCGGCGTCCTGCAGAGGGAAAGGGCGAGGTTAGTTTGGTCGGACAAGATGCAGAGAATCAAGGGGACGGACCATGGCGCTCGAGACGCTCGTGGTCGCAAAGGCCTTTGACGAGCCGCTTGAAGAGGGCGAGTTGGCGCCGGGTCCGCCTTTGCGCTTGATCATCTGCCGGGGGTGTCCGAATTCACTTAGTTGCTGGAGAAGGAGGAACGAGGATCGGGGGGCGCACCTGCTTGAAGGCGGCGAGGCGACGCTTGTCGGAGGACGGCGCGAACGATGAGGAGAGATCGGACGTCGTCGTGGGCAGAGGTTCCGGGGGTGCGGGCGCGGCGTCTAGAGAGGGGGCTGCTCGGGTAAACCTGTGCAGGCGGTGCTGGAGAGCAGAATGCGCGTCCTAGCTGAGCAGCAGCGGGTGGTGGACAAGAGCGAGGCGACGGGAGACGGAGCCCGCGCTTGCCCTTCCGCGCGACGCTCAAGCCGAGGGTGACGGGTCCCTCGGCCACCGCTTTCCCTCTCTCTCCCTCTGGCACCTGCTCCTGTGCGATCAGGCTCGACCTGCCAGCACTGCTGTTGTGCGCACCCTCGCCCCGTCCAGCTGGCCGCCCGCCTTCATCCCGCCGCCCCTCGCCCAACTCCGCCCGAGCCAGCGAGGATCTCGCGTCAACATACCCTCGTCGACATCGCCGCACGGCGCGCCGCTGCCTGCTCGAGCTCGTGCAACGGCGCGAGTGTCGCGTCCTCCCGCTGTCGACCCTTGCCGGCGTGGCCACGGCGCCGCCGCTCGGACTCGTCGCACTCCGAGCGAGCACTGCCTTGCGGATCGCCCCGCTCCGCCAAACATCGCTCGGCCGGCCTGCTCGCTCGCACGACGCTTATCGAGCATCCAGAGATGCGCGACCGGGCGATCCGCTCGCCCGGTTCCAGCTCGTCCTCGTCCTGCTCCTCCCTGTCCTGCTCATCCCTGTCGCACAGGTCACCTCGTCCTCCTGCATCTCCTCGCTCGCGTCGAGACCGTCGCAGGCGCATACCTGCACAAGACCTGCACAACCGCCCGGTCTCACGGGACCAAACGCCGCCAGCCAGCTTTCAGTGCGGTCGAAGACTCGCCGATCGTGCCCACCCTCCTGTTCGCGCCCGCCAAGATGGGGCTCTTCTCCAGGCTCAGCGAGTCCTCCTTTCTCTCTCACACTGTCACTCTCGCCGTCCGAGTGCGGACACTGACCGTCGGTCGTCGGCCCCTCCCTGCAGTGCTCGAGCGGCACAAGATCGTCGTCGTCGTCGTCGCGTACCCTGCGTGCGTCGTCTCGTCCTCTCTTTCTCCTTCTCTCTGCGGGATGGCCCTGACGAGCGTCTCCTCCCTTCTCCTCTCGCGACAATCGGTCCACCTTCCTCGACTCGCCTCGACCGCCTCGAGACAATTCAGGTCATGAACGCGCTCGTTACAGCACGCTCGCTCCGTCCTCGACCTGCGAGAACGAAGCGCCCTCCGACCAGTCACGAAAACTGCCCGCCGCCAACGACGGCGCCAAACGCCTCTGCGAGGCCCTTTTCGGCGAGAAAGTCGCGCACGTCGCCCATCTCGCCGCGGTTGGCGCGCCCGCCCGTGCGCGCAATGAGCGACGTGATCTCGGACATGTCGGAAAAGATGCGGTGCTGGGTCGGGTCGGGAGCGGGAGGGGCGCCGGGAGGCAGGGGAGGGAGGAGAGGGGTGCGGTAGCGCTCCGAGACCTTTTTCTGGAACGAGGGGATGTCGGCCTGTTGCCGCGTTGCGAGGGTCAGCTGGCGAGGAACGAGAAAGAAAGAGAGAGAGAGAGAGCGGGACGCACCCAAGAGTTGGCCTTGATGTCGCCGAGAAACTCCTGCACCATGCGCTCCGTCCCCTCGAGGCACATGATGGCGGGCTTGCCTGCGGGTGAGGCGCCTCCCGAGATCAGTACTCGCTCCTGTACGTGCGAGAAAGAGAGAATGAAGGAGGAAGACGGCTGCGACGCACCTGCGAGGACAAAGCCGGTGATCTCGTACTCGCCCGCCCAGTCGACGATGTTGTCGCGCTTCTCCCGCGTCGACAGCGACGGGAACCACAGCCACACCCTGAACTCGTCCTCGTCGCCGTCGGCGCGTGCGGGCGCCCTGCGCCGCTTGCCCGCCCCACCACCGCTCCCTGCACCGCCGCCGCCGCCGCCGCCAGTCGCTCGCGCCTGCTCTGCCGCCGCGAGGGCCGCCGGGTCCGGCAGGAAGGCGATAACCTGGTTGCGGACGTAGTCGATCGTATCGAGGAGGAGGTCGGTGTTGCTCAGGAACGTGCGCGGGCTGGTCGACGGGAGCGAGGCGGCGAGGGCGTCGTGGGCGGTGCGGGACAACCAGGGCGGCTGCTGCAGGTGGACGGTCGCCGCCGAGGTGCCGTCGGGGAGGGTCGCCGACGCGTCGACTGGCGGCGTGAGCGGGATCCGCACGGAGAGGACGAGAGGGTACGGTGGCGGTGCGGTCGAGGACGAGGAAGGGGAGGGGGAGGGGCCGGGCGGCGCTGCTGGCTCGAGCGACAGCGTGACGTGGAACGACAGCTCGTCGGTCGTGACGGTGCTCCTGTCGCCCTTGCCGCCGTGCTCGATCCACGCCCGCAGAGAGGGGAGCGCGGCGTCGACGTGCTCCTCGACGACCAGCTCGCCTGGGAGCGGGAAGATGCTCTGCGCGAGCTCGAGCGTCTCGAGCTGGAGCGCGAGCGCGTCGACAGCGAGCAAGGGTGCCATCTGGCGGGCAGAAGAGACCATGGTGGTGGCTGCGCTCTCGCCTCGCGTGTCGGCGGCGGTGTGGTCAGGGCCGACTCCGCGCTCATCTCCCTCGGCGACCGTCGGCTCCACCGGGACGCGCCTGCCGACAGTCGGCCTGAGCGTCTCAAGGGCACCTCTCTCATGAATCTCGCTCTCTCTCGCAGTCTCTGCAGCTCGGCGAGCGGGGCAGGCTCAGTCGCAATGCTCGCGTGCGCTTTTTGTTTCTGCAGCAGTCGAGGATCTGCGTCTCCTTCACGCCTCCTCCGTCACCCTGTCCTCGGCATCGTCCATCTCGGCTTTGGCGGCGAGTGCCTGAAGCTCGTCGGCCGTCTTGAACGCGCGCGCGAGGGGCTGGAGCTGTGCGGCGCCCTGGCGGAACGAACCTTGCGCCGCCGGCGAGTCGGCGAGGAGCCCGTGTGCCCGGACGAGGAGCTGCAGGGCAGTGTCCGAGAGAGAGAGTCAGTCCATGCTGGCGCAGGGAACCGTCGAGAGAGAGACAGAGAGAGAGACGCACCTCGAGGCTTGGCGACACCTGAGAGCTCTGGACGACCTGCAAGAGGAGCGCCTCGGCGCTCTCGCGGTCCCCGAGCGCGAGCTTGGCCTCTGCCGCCGCGACGAGCCACGCCGCGCTGCCCTCGCCGTGCGTCTGCAGCTGCGCGTCGACAAACGCCGACGGCTGAGCGCCGCCGAGGAGCGACTCGATACCCGACGACAGGACGGTCGAGACGGCCGAGTTGGACGAGGACGACTGGGCAAGGCGGACGACGAGGGGAAGGAAGGCGGGCGAGGACGGGTACAGCTGCTGCGCCGTCTTGAGAGCTCGAAGCGCCTCGAGGGGCTTGCCTGTGTGTCGATCGAGAGGGTCAGTACCTCGTCGTCCTCAGGTCCGTGCGCCCTCACTCGAGAACGCGGGACGCACCTCGTCGCAGCATGACGTCGGCCTTGAGCTCGAGCGTCTCCTCGTCGGTCGGGCGCACGACCTCGAGGCGGCTGACGAAGCGCATGGCGAGCTCGAGCGGGTCCTTGCGCGCCTTGTCGAGGTGCTCGACGCCGAGCGGGTCCGTGTCCTTGTACAGCGACTCGGCGACCGCCTTGGTGTCGTCGTCCTTCTTCTTGTCGTCCTTGGTGTCGGCTGCGTGGGGCGCGAGGGGAGGGTCAGCTCGGCCGGGCGAGAGTCGGCGAGCGAGAGGGAGGCGAGGACGAGTGGGACGCACCCTTCTTGCCCTTGCCCTTGGCCTTCTTCTTCTCCTTCCGGCTCAGCGCCTTCTCCTCGCCGCCCTCGTCGCCGTTCTCCTGCTTGACCTCCTCGGCGTCCACCTTGTCGCCGTTGGTGACGGGCGTAGGCGCCGCGCCGAACGCGGCCGGGTCGTCGTGCATGCGGCAGTAGATCTGCGTACGGCGATGACGGTGAGCTCGAGGGTCTCGCCGAGGGGGATGACACGGGAGAGAAGAGAGAGAGGCGGACGCACGGCGACGGCGCCCTTGGCTGCGGCGACGAACCGAGGGTGGTCGCGGACCCGGTCCTCGAAGCGGAGGAGCCTGCGAGGGGTGCGAGGGTCAGGCCGTCGCCCAAAGAGACGACAGAGGGAGGCCTGGACGCACTCGATGTAGGCCTTGAGCGTATACTTGCGCACGCAGTACGAGTGAAAGTCGTACTGGTCCTCCTCGATGTCCTGGAAGATCTGCGCTCGACGACGACGGGGGCAGGACCTCCTCGAGGGTCAGGTCCTCGTCACCGACACTGGCAAAAGAGGAGAGAGGAGGGACGCACGTCGAGGATCTGGTGGTACCGGCGCAGGGCCCGGCCCCAGTCTTGCTGCGCCGCGTACGAGTCGCCCTCCTCCTGCAGGAACCACAGGCACTGCATCTCGACCATGTCCTCGAGCGGCGACGGCGCGTCCTTCTGCACGTCGAGGCGACTGCCGCCTATCAGTACACGCACCTCGATCGAGGTGCAGGGGCGCGAGGGGGAGAGAGGCTCGAGCGACGCACCCTCGTGAACAAGCCGATCGTCTTCTCGGCCCTCTCAAACTCGCCGTTGCGCACGGCGTACTTTGCCGCCTTCGAGTTGAGGAACCGGTCCTGGCCGTCGAGCAGGCGGGCGTCCTCCATGGCCTGCGCCGCCTGCTTGCTGTCGCCGGCGCGCTTGAGGATGCGCGCGCGCAGCGTGTGCAGCTCGGGGAGCGACGGCGTGTGCGACAGGGCGAGCGAGAGCGTGCTGAGCGCCGCCGAGTGGTCGCCGAGCTGCGAGTGGTGCGACGCGAGGAAATAGAGCGTCCACAGGTAGGTCGACGGCGACTCGAGCGCGTCGTCTGCGGGCGCGCAGGAGGGCGAAGTCAGTTCAAGATTCGCCGGTGCGCAGACAGAGGCGCAAGAGGACGAGGGACGCACCGTCGCCCGTCTCGTCCGTCACGACCGCGCCCTTGTCCTCGAGGCCCTTCTTGAACTCGTCGACGACCTCGCCGACGACGCGCGCCTTGTCGAGGCCCTCGGCGCCCTTGTACAGCGCCTTGACGTCGGCAAACGCGCTTGGGACACCCTTGGACAGCGCGTTGAGGATGTAGCTCGCGGCGCGGGTGCGGAACTCGGGCGACGAGGCGGGGAGGACCGAGAGCTGGAGGCGCTTGATCGACAGGGAGCGAGGGTGCGCCGACGACAGGGCCGACAGGATGGACGAGGTGGCGAGACGGGTCTCGGGGTCGGTGGCGTCTGCGGACGAGCGAGGGGGAGGGCCGGCTTGGGTAAGCGGCGAGGGACGTAGAGAGGAAAAGGAAGGCGAGGGACGCACCGCAGTCGCCGCCCTTGGCCTGCACGGTCGCCTTGATGTACTCGGTCGACTCGGGGTTCTCGCCGAGGACGGTCTCCCACGCCCACAGGGCCGACTCGGTGCGGCCGAGCTTGAGGAGGAGGCGAGCTGCGAGGGGAAGGGGGCCCGGCGTCAGTGCGACGGCTCGTTGCGCTGCGACTCGACGCAAAAGGCGAGAGAGGACGCACCACGCTGGACGGTGTAGGCGGTGCGGTCGACGATCTGGGCGCTCTTGTCGCCGAGGAAGTCGAGGCAGCGCTCGTACTCGCCGGCCTCCTCGAGGACCTGGGCGTGGAACAGGAGGACCTCGCCCATCTCGACGTCGCCGTCCGGCACGTCGCGCAGCATGTCCTCGTAGTAGGCGAGCGTGACGGTCGCGGCGCGGTACTGGCGCGCGAGGAACTGGGCGACGGCGAGGTTGACCCAGTTGCGGCGCACGCGCGGCTGCGTCTTGAGCATCTGGAGGCGGATCTCGGCATGGTCGTCGTACTTGCGCAGATGAACGGCGAGCGGCGCCATGTCGGACAACAGGTTGAGCGAGTCCTGCGCGGAAGAGAGAGGGGGTCAGCTCTCGTCGACGGAGGAGCGCCTTTGAAGAGGACGAGGGCGCACCTTTTCGATCTCGACGGCTTTTTTGTAGCACTTGAGGGCCTCGTCAAAGTTCTTGTCGGCGCGGAGGACGAGGGCGTAGACGTGCCAGACGATGTGCGAGCCCGGGTCGTTCTTGGTGCCGCGGCGGACGCAGTCGTAGCCCTCGGGCTTGCGGTCGAGCGAGCACAGGAATATGCCCTTCATGACGAGCGACTCTGTGCGTGCAGGGCAGGGTGTCAGTGTGGTACGCACAGAGAGGGTGCACCGCCGCAGGAGGAGGAGGAGGAGGAGGATGAGGGGACGGACCGCCGTGGTTCGGGTGCTTGTCGAGGATGGACTGGACGCCCTCGAGGCCTTCCTTGAACTGCTTGTTCTCGTACATGCCGAGGACTTTTGTGAAGAGCTCTGCGTCCTCTCGGGGGAGGTGCCGGTTGTGGTCGGGCGGCACGGGCGAGCGCCAGGTGGCCGTGGCCTGGCGGGTGTTGGCGGCAGGTGGGGGAGCACGGCGAGGCGGCATGGCGGGTGGGTCGAGTCGAGAGCGCAGCGTCGAGACGAGCCAGGTCGAGATGAGGACGACGACGACGGCGACAAGTCCAAGACAGCCCTCTCTGCTCTCTCTGGGGTAGGGCTGGGTGCCTTCACAGTACCTAGTAGTGTAGCTTGACCTACCTCGTAGCTTCAGAGATTCGCCTGGAAGCCTGGGCGAGGCTGGCCGTGTTGACGCGTCCGGGGCGCGTCGACGACGAGAACGACCTCATCTCTTCCGGCCGCACCCTCGCTCCTGCCGGCTGAGCGACCACTGCGACCAGTCGAGGCCAGTCCCGCCACCCACGCCGCGCGACCGAGCCCGCGAGCGCACCTCCACCAAGGGCACACTCCCCGCTCGACGACCATGCCAGCCCAGCAGCGGCTCGACTTTACCCAGCCCCTCAAGGGTGCGGGCAGCACCTCGGAGCTCACAAAGCGCCTCAAGCACGCCCACACCCAGCTGCGCGACTTTGACCAGGACCTCGTCGACACCTCGTCCCTCGACGACCTCGCTGCCCAGCTCCGCCAGCCCAACCTCCTGCTCCACAAGGACAAGGGCGTAAAGGCCTACGCCGCCGCGTGTCTCGTCGACGTCCTCCGCCTGTACGCCCCCGAGGCCCCGTACACACCCGCCCAGCTCAAGGTCCGTCGTCGCCCCTCCCCCACCTCTCTCGCTCTCCTCGTTCGAGACTCACTCCCCCTCCGCAAACAGGACATCTTCGACTTCCTCATCCGCCAGTTCCGCTACGTCGGCAACCCGACCGACCCGCACCAGGCCGAGTACTTCTTCGTCGTCGACTCGCTCGCGTCCGTAAAGTCGATCGTGCTCGTGTGCGACCTCGACGCCGCCGACGACCTCATCGAGCGCGTCTTCCGCGAGGCGTTCGACACCATCTCGACCTCGTCGCCCAAGAACGTCGAGCTCGCCCTGTGCGACATCCTCCTCGCCCTCCTCGAAGAGGTGCCCAACGTCCCGACCCCGGTCACCGACATCCTCACGGCCCAGTTCCTCCCGCGTGCCATCAAGCAGCGCCCTGCCGCACACCGCCTCGCGACCGAGGTCTGCCGCGGCGCGACCGACAAGCTCCAGCGGCACGTCAGCCAGTACTTTGGCGAGACGATCGTGTCGGCCATGAACGGCGGCGCCGGTCGCGGCGGCATGTCGAGCGACGACGACGACGACATGGACCAGGACGACAACGACGACGACGACGACGATGATGATGACGACGACGGCGCGTCGGCGGCGGCCAAGAAGCGTCGAGGGCGCAAGGCCAAGACCAAGGCCAAGGGCAAGCTCAAGGCGACCAACGGCGGGTCGAGGGCCGGCGGCGGCGACAAGGACGACGACCTCCCGACCGCGCTCGTCGAGGCGCACGACCTCATCCGGTCCCTGAACCGCCACGTGCCCGCCCTCCTCCTCAACGTCGTCCCGCAGCTCGCCGAGGAGCTCACGACGGCCTCGCCGGCCTACCGCCGCCTCGCGACGGGCGCCCTCGGCGCCATGTTTGGCGAGCCCGTCGGCCGCGGCGACCTCGCAAAGGCGTTCCCGACCGTGTGGAAGGAGTGGCTCCGCAGGAGCAAGGACGTCGACGCGACCGTGCGCGCGAGGATGTGCGGCAGCTTGAGGCGGATCTGGAGGGAGCACCCGGAACTCGCCAACGACCTCACGCGTGCGTCGTCGGCTCTCTCTCTCTCTCTCTCTCATCGTGTCGAGCGGCCTGGCCTCGTCGGCGCGCACGCGCGGTACTGACTCGCCCTTGCCCTCCCTCCTCCCTCGCTCGCCCTGCCTGCAGAGGTCACGGTCGGCGCTCTCCTGAGCGACAGCGACGAGAAGGTGCGCATCGCGGCGTGCTCGTCGTTCGACGACATCGACTACGAGACGGCGTCGCACCACGTTCCGCGCCTCGTCCTCGAGGCCGTCAGCGCGAGGCTCCACGACAAAAAGGTGCGCCGCACTCGGTCCCCTCTCTCTCGGCCCGCACGCGTCGCTCGTTCCGACGACGGCCTACTGATACCGAGGCCCGTTCTCGCGCTGCAGGAGAAGGTCCGTGCGGTCGCGTGCCGGATCTTGAGCCGGCTGTACGACCTGGCCTACCCCGAGATGTGCGTCCTCCTCTCTCCTTTCTCTCCCTCTCATACAGTCACTGACACCCGGGTGACCCGCAGCGAGAGTCGTGACGAGCAGGCGACCAAGCAGTTCGCGTGGATCCCGGGTCGACTGCTCGACTCGCTCGTGTTCACCGACGCGAACGCCTCGTCCAGGTGCGCCCACCTCTCCTTCCCTTCTTTACCTCTTAACGCAGTCGCCCTGACGCTCTCTTGCGGTCCCGCAGCACGACTCACCGCCACCTCATCAACGCCGCCTTCCTGTCGTCGATCGTCCCGCAGCCCAAGTCGGACAAGGACGCCGGCGAGCCCGACGCCGTCGCCTCGTGGGTCGACCGCCTGCTCGTCGTCGAGCGCTCGCTCGTCTCCGAGGAGCAGCGCTTTGCGTTCCTCAACCTGTCGAGGCTCGCCGACCGGCGCGGCGGGAGCGTGTGGGAGGGCTACGTCTCGGCGTGCGAGAGCTACAACGTGCGTCCCGACGGTCCCCTTTTCAGCCTGTCGCCCGTCCTCGAGCGCCTGAACTGATGTAGCGCGTTGCCATGTCGCACAGTCGGGCATCATCGACGACAAGAGCCAGGCCGACGTCATCAAGGGCTTCCTCAAGCGCACCATCCGCACCATTTCCAGTGCGTCCCACTTCCTCTGCTTCGTCCTGCACGAGCATGCCTCCCTGACGATGCGCCCTTGCCGCAGGCAACATGCCCGACCCGACCAAGGCGTCCGACGACCTCATGACGTTCGCGACGCAGAACGTCGCCCAGCTGTACCGCGAGCTGCGCGCCCTACTCGACCCGCAGACCGACCTGCGCGCCCACATCAAGAACACGCGCGACCTCCTCAAGCGCGTCGAGAAGTTTCCGCACGGCGACAGCTGTCGCGCGACGTTCGAGGCCTTCATCCGCCTCGCGAGCTACCCGCTCGTCAACCGCTCGAGCATCCCGCAGCTCCTGCGGCGCCTGACGGGCACGACGGGCGACGACGCGCCCCAGTTTGCGGCGAGCGCGGCGCGCGTCCTCGAGCACGTGAGCAAGAGCCGCCCGGTCCTGTTCAAGTCGCACGTCGCCGAGCTCGTCAAGCTCCTCGCCGACCAGAGCCCGAGCGACGAGCCCGTCGAGGGTGGCACGGTCGCGTCGCTCGTCCTGCACGCGCTCGCGTGCCTCAAGCGCGCCGACGAGTCGGTCGTCGTCGAGGCCAAGCTCGCCAAGAAGGCCGTCGCGTTCGCGAGCGGGTCCAAGGACGAGCGCGAGGCCAAGCATGCGGCGACGCTCGTCGCACTCGACAAGGGTCGGCCCGGCGCGCTCGATGATCTCGTCGAGGTGCGTCCCTCTCCCTGATCATCGTTGCCTGCGGAGCGGCTCGCCTCAGGCGGGCTCTTCTGCATTGGGCATCATCGACTCGAGGAAGGCCACTGACGTCGCTGTCACCCACAGACCCTGTCGGACTCGATTCAGAACGCTCCCGCCTCGACGCTCGTCGCCCACCTCGCCGCCCTCGCCCGCATCGCCCTGCACGGCCAGTCGTCCTTCGAGCGCCGCAGCGAGTCGCTCATCGCCTCGTCGCTCGAGGTGCTCACGCGCGCCGGGAGCGCCGGCGAGGCGGTCGGCGGGCCGGACGGCGCGGCGGACCAGGACGAGGACGAGGCGGCGCCGACGTGGTCCGAGGAGTGCGACCCGCTCACGCGCGCTCGCGTGCTCGCCATCAAGGTCGTCGTCAACCGCTGCCTCGCGTACGCCGCGACGGACGAGGCGCAGAAGGTCGGCAAGGAGGCGTTTACGATGCTGTGGCCGATGTTGACGCAGCACGGCAGCACGGACGGCACGACCTACAGGTGCGCCTCGCTCCCCGGTTTCTCTCTCTGTCTCTCGGCCTTCTCGACCTGAAAAGACGACGTCTGACTCGAGCCCCTCCCGCAGCCCGGCCGTCGCCTCGCGCATCCGCCTCGCCGTCGCCCTGTCGATCCTCAAGCTCTTTGCCTCGCGCGACCCGTACTACATGCGCGTCGTCCTCGCCAAGTTCGACCTGTTTACGCGCACGGCGCAAGACTCGACGTTCGAGCTGCGCGAGGCGTTCCTCAAGAAGCTCGTCGTGTACCTGCGCAAGGACCGCTTCCACCCCAAGGTCGTCGCTCGCCTCAACATGGTCCTGTTCCTCGTCGCGCACGAGCCCGAGGACGAGCTCAAGGAGACGGTGCTCAAGTTTGTGAGGAGTCGCCGCCAACGTCTTCCCGACAGTGCGTCCCAGCTCTCCCTCGTCCTCGTCTCCCTCGCGCCTCGTCCAACCTCACCTGACGTTCTGCCTCGTCGCCTTCGCCTACAGCCGTTCGCCAGGAGCTGTGGGAGTACCCGTTCCTGCGCCTTGCGCACATCCTCGCCCACCACCCCGACTTTGAAGGCGTCGACACGAGCGACGCCGTCGTGCTCAAGTCGATCGCCAAGTACCTCGAGGACTACTTCGACATCTTCGTCACGAGCGAGAACCTGTCGTTCTTCTTCCAGCTGGCGCTCAAGATCAAGACGGTGCGCGACAAGCAGTTGCCCGACCGGAGCGAGGTGCGCCCCTGCTCAATCCTCCCTCGGGACTCGACCAATCCTGACATCCCCCTCCTCTCTCCTCGCAGAACCTGTACATCCTGTCCGAGCTCTCGCAGCACCTCCTCAAGCTCCTCGGCGCGCGCCACTCGTGGCCGATCACGACCTACGCCGGCAAGGTCTCGCTCTACGCCGACCTGTTCACGACCTTCTCGACCCAGGACGAGGCCAACAAGGTCGTCAAGAACGAGTTCATCGCGCCCGAGGTGCTCAAGGAGATCGGCGGCGTCGAGCGCAAGAAGGTGCGTCCTGCCTCTCCTGCCTCGTCCGCGGCCCTTTCTCGAGCCGGCATCGTGTTGCCAGATGTCCTGACACCCTCTCTCTCCCTCACAGGCCGCACCTCGCAAGCGTGTCGCAGCCTCAAACGGCGCCGCCGCCGCGCCCAAGGCCAAGCGCGCCCGCACGAGCAAGACGACCTCGTCGACGCCCCGCAAGCGCGGCGGCAGCGCGCAGAAGAAGCGCAAGGCCGACAAGTGGGACTCGGACGCCGAGTCGTCGCCCGAGGAGGACGACGACGAGTCGAGCGCCGAGGAGGAGGACGAGGACGAGGAGGACGAGGCGAGCGACGCGACGGCGACGCCGGCCAAGCCCAACGGCAAGGGCAAGGGCAAGGCCAAGGCGTCGCCCGCGGCCAAGAAGGGTCGTCCTGCGCCGCGCGGCTCGCGCGGCGGCCTGCGCAGCGACCCGGCGCGGTCGCGCAAGAGCGTCGGCGCGTCCGAGGACGGCGACGACCAGGACGAGGAGGACCGTGCGCAGAGCGGGAGCGGGAGCGGGAGGGGCGACGCGCGCTCGGTCACGGCCGAGCAGGAGGACGAGATGGACGTCGACGAGGGCGAGGGCGAGGTCGTCGCCGCTGCCCCGAAGCGCGGCGGCGCCAAGACGGTCAAGAAGGCGACGACGCCGACGTCGGCCAAGAAGGGCTCGACGGCTGCCGCCACTGGCGCCGCCAAGGGCAAGAAGGCTGCGCCGGTCGCCGCCTCGCCGCCGCCCAAGACCAAGACCAAGGGCAAGGGCAAGTCGTCGTCGAAGGTCGCCGCCAAGCCCGCCGCCGGTTCGAGTCGGCGCTCTCTGCGCGAGCCTCGCCCGATGAAGGCGAGCACCATCGAGCAGGTGAGCGACGTCGGCGACACGGACGAGGACGACGAGTAGAGGGGGCCATGGGCCGGAGCTGCGGGGCGGGCGAGGGAGGATGGGAAGGAGGTCGGATCCGCTTGTTCTCGAGAAGGCTCAGTAGCGTCGCCGGTCGCGCCGTACATGTTGTCACACTTTCGCTTCCTCTCTCTCTCTCTCAAGCACGCACGAGAGTGACTGGAAAGCGGCTCGTGGGCAAGCGGCAGAGAGAACTCGCTACAGGCCCGTCTCGACGAGGATGCGGGCGAACGCCTCGAGGTCGACAACGCCCTTGTTCTTTGCCGCGTACTCGAGCATCTCGTTGAGCTGTCGGGGAAAGAAAGTCAGTGACGCTGCTCTGGGACCTGGGGAAAGAAGAGAAAGTGAGAGAGAGAGGACGCACGTCGCCGTCGGTCATCTTCTCCTTGAGGACCCTGCAAGCGCGCTGTAGCTCCATGAGCGTGATGGCGCGCTCCTGCTGCCCGAACGCGAGCTGCGGCGACTCGTCGAAGAAGAGGTCGAACGAGTCGGACGCGTCGGCGAGGTCCTGCTTCGAGAGCGGGCGGGACGGGTCGCCCTTGACGGCGGTGCGACGACCCTTGGCGCCCTTCTTGCCCGCCGCCTTCTTGCCCTTGGTCGTCACAGCGATGTCGTCGTCGTCGTCGTCGATGGCGACGTCCGACTCGGACGCAAAGGACGAGGACGACTCGTCGTCGTCGATCTCGACCTCGACGCCAAAGTCCTTCTCGACGACGCCGTCCTGCGCCTCGTCGGCCTCGTCCTCGACGTCCTCCTCCTGCGCGGCGCGCCGACCGCGCGTGGACCTGCGCGACGGCTGCTGCCTCGTCGGCTGGCGCCGCCTGCGCCTGCCCTCGCCGAGCCCGAGGTCGTCCTCCTCTCCCTGCTCCTCCCGCTCGTCGTCCTTCTCCTCGGCCGAGGGCGGCTCGTCGTCGCCGAGCAGCACCTCGCACGCCTCGACGAAGCGCTCGCGGCGCACGCTGCGGCCGCGCATCGGGTCATCCTCGTCTTCGGACGCGACGTCGTCGAAGAGCGCGATGAGCTCGGCGCCGGCGAGGCCGACGCGGTGCAGGCCGAGGTCGCGCAGGGCGGCCGGGATGCGCGCGAGCGGGATGCGCGACGGCGGTGGGGGAGGCGTCGGGAGGCGGTTGGTGAGCGGGGCGGGGGTCGGGAGGAGGGACGAGAGGCTGGTGGACGGGTCGGCATCGTCGGGAAGGAAGCCGCCGCTGCCGGCGAAAGGGTCGGCGTCGCGAGAGAGGTTGTCGGGAGGGGGGAGGAATCCGCCGGCGCCGCCGTAGTCAGATTCGGCGGGGCGCATCGGCGTGTCGGTCGAAGATGGGTCGGGGAGGAGGAAGCCGCCGCTGTCGCCCGCACCGCTCGCCGATGGCTCAGGGAGGAAGCCTCCACCGATCATCGCGCCCTCTTCGTCGTCGAGGAGGAACCCGCCGCCGCCGCCGCCTCGAGATTCGGGGAGGAAACCGCCCGCCTGCTGACCGCCGTCCTCGACGACGAACCCTCCTCCGCTCGCAGCACCGCCATCCGCCGGCTCGGGCAGGAACCCACCGCCGAGTCCTCCTGGCTCGGCCGCACTGCTCGCCGTGCCAGCATCTGCCCCTGGTCCCGCGACAAGCTCCATCTCGACGTCGTCCTCGTCGCGGTCCTCCTCCTCGTCATCCGGCACGACGGCGCGCCGCGAGCGCTTGCGCCGAGGTTGGTCGCCCTCTTGGGCGTACCGGGAAGGGTCGTAGCCGGCGGCGCGGTTGAAGGCGGCGTCGATCGAGGCGAGGCGCTTGGCCGCCTTTGCGGCGTCGTCGGGCGAGGTGTGCCGAGCACGGCGCAGAGGCTGGGGGTGGTACAGGGTGGTCAGTGCGGCTGTACGAGTGTAGGGAAGGCTGAAGATCATGTCCTCGCCATGGTGGGGAGAGGGTGGGGAGACGAGTGTGGCGCCGCGCTGATGAGGAAGTCGGGCTGGCGGGACGCGTCGGGGACGGGGCTGGGTGGGTCGCTGTGCTGCGCACTCGCAGTAGAAAGCCCACGAGCGTGTCGGGCGGCGCAGGCGAGAGCACCAAGTTTAGGTTGCCGAGATGGCATCAGAGCGACGAGTGACGAGGGGAGCTCGAGACGCAGCAGCCTCTTTCTCGCTCCCGACAACCCTGAGCTGCCCCTTGCTTGCTCTCGACCTGTCCTCCACAAGCTCATCTCGGCCCCTGTCCCACCAGAACCGCCGTCGCGACCTCGCCCACCTCGTCCACCTCGTCCTCCCGCCGCCCCACCTCTCGGCCTCGCTCAACTCGCCCTCCGCCAGAACAACATGCTGAGCCGCCACGTCAACTCGGACCGCGTCCTCGCCCAGGCGAGGGAGCACTCGGCGACGCACCGCCACGGCAAGCAGCCCATCCACGAGATGCTCGGCCGCGAGTCGCCGCACACGATCCCGCGCCAGCCCGCCCACAAAGACTACGGCACCGAGCCCGTCCCCAAGTTCGCCATCCCGTCGCACGGTGTCCCCGCTGCCGACGCGTATCACATCTGCAACAACGAGCTCGCCCTCGACGGCAACCCGCTGCTCAACCTGGCGGTGCGTTCCCTTCTCCCTCGTCTCGCGCCTGCACGCACAGCCGACTCACTCGCATTTCTCCTGCAGTCGTTCGTGCACACGTCGATGGACGAGTACGCCGACCGCCTCATGCACGAGAACCGCATGAAGAACCTCATCGACCAGGTGCGCCACGCCCTCCTCCTCCTCCTTTCCTCCCTCCTCGGCCTTGAGCCTGTCCACCCCGACGCCTCCTTGCACCTGTCCCTCCTCGACCTCGAGCCTGTCCACCCGACGCCTCCTGGCACCGTTCGTGTCCTGACCCTGCCCTATTTCCTCAACAGGACGAGTACCCGGCGACCCAGCTCATCCACACGCGCCTCATCTCGATGCTCGCCAACCTCTGGCACGCCGACGACCAGAAGGAGTCGGCCGTCGGCACGGCGACGACCGGCTCGTCCGAGGCGATCCAGCTCGGCGGCCTCGCCATGAAGAAGGCGTGGCAGGCGCGCCGCAAGGCGGCCGGCAAGGACTACTTCCACCCGAACGTGGTGATGGGAGCAAATGCCCAGGTTGCCATCGAGAAGGCGGCCCGCTACTTCGATATCGAGAACCGCATGGTCCCCGTCGACGAGTCGACCAAGTTTGTAATGGACCCGCGGCGCGCCATCAAGCTCGTCGACGAGAACACGGTGCGTCCCCCTCTCGCTCTCTCTCTCTCGCTTCCTCAGGAGGGAGGGCACTAACTCTGCTGCCCGAGGACAGATCGGCGTCTTTGTCATCCTCGGCTCGACCTACACGGGCACGTACGAGTCGGTGCAGGAGATGTCGGACCTGCTCGACGAGTACGAGCGCAAGACGGGCATCTCGATCCCGATCCACGTCGACGGCGCGTCGGGCGCCATGTACGCCCCGTTCGCCAACCCGTCGCTCATCTGGGACTTCCGCGTCTCGAAGCGCGTCGTCAGTATCAACACGAGCCTCCACAAGTGGGGCAAGACCTACGTGAGCTCTCTCTTCCTCACTCTCGAGCGAGGAACGGTACTGACATCGACCACGTGCAGGTCGGAGCCGGCGCCGTCGTCTGGCGCTCGAAGGAGCACCGTGCGTCCCCATCTCGACCTCCTTCCCTTTCTCCCTCCCTCTTGTTCCCTGCCGCTCTTTCCCTCTCTCTCTCCTTCACCATCGTCACCGAGTCTGCCAAGTCCAGGTACTGACCCTTTTGCCGAGTGCGCCCCCGCAGTCCCCAAGGAGCTCGTCTTCGAGCTGACGTACCTCGGATCGGTCGAGTACTCGTTCTCGCTCAACTTTTCGAGGCCGGCGGCGCCCATCATCGCGGCCTATTTCAACCTCGTCCACTTTGGGTTCGACGGGTACCGCCGCATCTCGCTCCACGACGCCAAGAACGCCCGCCTCTTTGCGCGCGCGCTCGAGCGCTCGACCTGTGCGTCGTGTCTCTCTCTCTCTTCTCTCCCCTCTCGAGCGAGACGAGCGACGGCTCGTCCCCCTTCCTCGAGCGAGCGAGACGCACCCGTCGGTGTCGCCCAACCCGACCCTGACCGCCCCTCGTCTGGCCGCGCAGACTACAAGGTCGTGTCCGAGACGCACCGGCTCAAGCCGACCGCCAACCAGTCGCTCGTCGACAAGGCCAAGCAGGCGACCGGGATCGTCGACGACATCGAGGCCTACATGCCCGGCTTGCCCGTCGTCGCCTTCATGTTCTCGGACGAGTTTAAGCGCGAGTACCCGCGCATCGAGCAGCGCAATGTGCAGCTGCAGCTCCGCCAGCGCTCATGGATCACGCCGAATTATCGTCTCCCTTCTTCCTCTTCTTCCCACGCCGAAACCGAGGTCTTGCGCGTCGTGATGCGCGAGACCTTCGACGAGGACCTCGGTGCGTCCTCCTCTTCCTCCTCTCTCTTCCTCCTCTCCCCCTGTTGCTCCCTGCCGTTCCCTCTCCCTCCTCGTGCACCGTCGTCACCAAGTCCAGCCACTGACCCTTTGCCGAGCGCGCTTCGCAGTCGAGCGCCTCTTCCACGACCTGATCGAGGTGACCGAGGACATGATGGAGGAGCACAAGGCCGACGTCGCGCAACCGGGCGCCGGGCTCGGCCACGCGCGCAAGAGCCCGAACGAGCTTGCGGGCCCAAAGAGCGGCTCGATCGCCGAGAAGCTCGCGGCGAGCCATGGCGAGGGGACGAGGCCTGTGCGTCGACCGTTCCTCTTTTCTTTCTTTCTCCCACCCTCTTTTCCCTCTCGGGCCCCTTTCTCTCCTCCCTCCTGCCTCGACACACACTCTCTCCCGTCCTCCTCTCGCGACCGTCCATCCTCCAGAACCCCTCGACCCGCAAGGCGCCCTCACTGACTCCTCCCTCTGCCCCCCTTCTCGCCGCACCAGGTCGGCCACGACTCGGTCTGCTGAGCATGTGCGGCACGTCGAACCAGGGAAGGCGATGGAAACGCTTGCGCGAGGCCGAGGACGAGGGAAACTGCAACTCTGTGCCTTTTTTTTTCCGTGTCTCTCAGAGGCCCGTGCACGAGGGAGCGAGAGGAGCTTTCGAGAGACGGGACGGGAGCGACGGGCGACTCTCTCTCTCTCGCGAGACGGTGCGCGAGCGTGAAAGAGTGCGAGAGAGGGCAGAAAGGACGGTCGAGAGGACGTCGTCATTACGGCTCGCCTCCTCGCTCGACAGAGTCCACCTCAAGCCTCTATCATGACCTGGTCGTCGTCATCGCTGCCCTCGTCCTCGACCTCCCCGACCTCCTCATCGTCATCGTCCTCGTCCGCTCCTCGCCCGCCCTCGAGAGCGCGCACCTGCGCCGGTGGCGGCTTGCCCTCGACGCCGTACTTGGTCTCGACGCTGCGGCGGACGAAGGCGAGCACGGTCTGCGCCGCTTTTTGCGCGACGTCTTGTGCGTCAAAGAGCTGCGTCACGGAGTCGAGTTCGAGTTCGAGAGTCAGTCAGGCCGGCCGGCGCGAGACGCAGAGAGGAAGGGAGAGAGGGAGGCGGGGGGACGCACCTGGTCTTGGGAGAATTGCCCGACCGAGTCGACGCCGACGCACGTGCCCTCGGTCCCGCCGACGGCCTGCCCAAACGAGAACGCAAACACGTGCGTGCTCGTCGACGCGAGCTCCTCGTGCTGCGTCGGGTCGAGGCGGAGCTCCTCCTCCTCCTCCTCCTCCTCGGCGTCGTCGTCGTCGTCGTCGTCGCGGGCGGCTGGGGAGGGCACGATGGCGACGGCGACAGCGACGAGCACGCCGCGCGTCTGTACGCCCGCGTCGACGAGGCTCATCATGGCGGCGTTGATGCGGGCCGCCTTTTCTGCGGCGCCGAGGCCCGTGCCGCGCGCCTTGCGCTTGCGCTTGCCCTTGGGGTCGTCGTCGAGGGAGAGCGGGTCGGTCGAGAGGGGCGAGGTGAAGGCGGTCGAGGGGAGCGAGACGGTCTGGAGGGTGAGCTGGAGGAGGGCGCGCGGGTACAGGTGCAGGAGGATGAGGGGCGCGAGGAGGGCGGCGAGGGTCGACTCGGCGGCGCGCGAGGCGGGACCTGTTGGGGCGGGCGTGGGCGGGTCAGTCAGTTGGGCGCACCAGGGGTGTGCAGGAGAGAGCGAGACGGACCTGGTTGACCGCGCAAGGGGCGCAGGTGGATGTCGAGGGTGGCTCGGTCGACGAGCTCGTCGCGGATGCGGACCTCGGCGGGCCCGGTGAGGGACGCGAGGACGGCGACGTTGCCTGTGCGGGTGCACTCGAGTCTGTCAGTCGGTGGCCAGGGGTGAGAGCGAGAGAAGGGAGGACGGACCAAACGCGAACTGGGCCGAGCCGTCTGCGCGTGAGAGGAGGCCCTGCGAGAGGGCGAGCGGGCGGAGCGCAGTCGGTGCGCGGTCGGTGCGGTCCATGACGAGCTCAGCGGCGAGCTCCAAGCGGGGCAGGTCGGTGGGAGGACGAGGACGAGCGCGTACGTCCATCTCTCTCGACTGTGCTCCTCTCCTCGACCCCACCCAGCAGCCCAGCCCAGATCCACAGCCATGTCTGCCGACGAGAACCAAGCCGACAAGAAGCCCGAGACGCAGCACATCTCGCTCAAGGTCCGCCCCCCTCTCCTCCTCCTCCCTCCTCCTCCCCTCCTCCTCCTCCCCTCCTCGACCCTCCCATCACCCACAGACCGCTTCCACGCGTGCGCCTCACCCAGCACACTCGTACTCACACCCTCCACCCCTCGCAGATCCAGGGCGCCGGCTTCCCTGACCTCGTCATCAAGGTCAAGAAGTACGCCCTCGCGTCCCTCCCTCTCCTCCTCCTCCCCCCCTCGCAGCCGGCCTGACCCTCGCCCCCCGACCCGACCTCCGCACAGGACCACCAAGCTGTCCAAGATGATGAACGCCTACTGCCAGCGCGCGGGCAAGGCCCTCAACGAGGTCCGCTTCATGTACGGTCCGTCGCGCCCTTCTCCCTGTCCTCGAACCGCACAGGCGGATGACGGACCCTCACACGCACACACACACACAGAGGGCACGCGCCTCAACGGAGACCAGCTCGTCGCGGATGTGCGTCGCGTCGCTCGTCCCCCCTTCTCGCCCCTCCCTCCCCTCCCTCCCTCGTCCGTGAGCTGACCCTCCCTCACCGCCGCCCGCAGCTGGACATCGAGGACATCGACGAGGACGAGGAGGTCGTCATCGACGTGGCTCAGGAGGCCGTCAGTCTCCCTCCTTTCCTTCCTCGCCGTCCGGTGGCGTCGACCCGCTCGCCGTCGTCCTCAAGCGCATCCTCTGACGCGCCTTCCCTCCCCGCCCCACAGGTCGGCGGCTCGCTCTAGACGTTCGACTCGCCCTCGCCTCGCCTCGTCGCATCGCCCCGTCTTTTCTCTCTCTCTCTCTCGCTTGCCCGAGTTTACCTGTCGTCCTCTCCGCAAATACCTCGCTCCCCTCCCTTCTCCGGCCTCGGCCATGCCTCTTCTCGAACGCCCACCCACCCTTCTTCTCTCCCACTACCCCCCCTTCTGCGGAGCGTCGCACGGCCGTCGAGCGGGACCTCGCCCCGGCGGCTTTGGCGCTCCTCCCGCCCTTTTCTCTCTCCTCTCTCTCTCTCTCTCTCCCTTTTCCTCCTTTCCTCCTCCCGCCCCCTTCCTGCCCTCTCCCCCCCCTTGATGTAAAAGCTGTGCGCCTGCCCCCTCTTCGATTCCTTGAGCGAGAGCGAGCGAGAGCCCGCGAGAGGCCCGCGAGAGAGCAAGCTACGCGCGAAGCTTGACAGGCCGCACCTCGTCCGCCGCCGTTCTGGGGGTGCGTGCGCCGAGCGCGACCCGACATACCGCGGGCAGTGAGCGCACAGAGACGCGGTACGCGCTCGCTCGCTATCGCTCGGACAGAGGCTCGTCGAGGAGGCGCAGCTCTCGCTCGCTCTCGCTCCCGGACCCTCTCTCCTCGTCCTCCTCCTCCTCCTTCGACGACGAGCGCAGCACCGAGCGAGCCGCGTTGCAGCCCCTTCCCCTCCCCTCACCCTCCCACAGCCTCTACTCGACCCTCGCGCGCTTCTTGTCCCCCTTGCTGCTGCTCCCGCCGCCGCTCGGGCCCCCCTCACCCTGACCCATCTCGACGTCCCTCCCCCTCTCCCGACCGCGCACCTCGTCCCCCTCGCGCTCGCGCTCGCCCTCGTCCTCGGGCGCCCTCGCGCGCTTGGGCGTCCCGGGCGTGCCCGGCTCGGCGACCGTTGCGCCGGTGGTGGTGCCGGTGCGCGGCGGCGGGGTCTCGGCTTGCGGCGACGGGGGAGGGGGCGTGCCGGGCTCGTCGGGTGCGGGTGCGGGTGCGGGTGCGGGTGCGGTCGAGGTCGAGGGAGCGGAAGAAGCTGAAGAGGAAGAAGGGGCGGCGGCGGCAGCGGCGAGGGAAGGAGGAGGCGGCGGCGTGCCCGCGTCGTCGTCGCCGTCGGCTGCAGCTGCAGCTGCGGGCGGCTCGACGTCCATTTTGGCGTCGTCGCCGTCGCGTGCGCCCGTCGCGGCGGCAGGCGGCTCGGGCGTGCCGGCCTCCTTCTCGCGCACCTTGGGCGGGCGCAGCCCGAGTACCGACTCGTCGCTGTCGTACTCGCCCTTCTCGTCCTCCTCCTGCTCCTCGCCCTTGACCTCCCCCTCGCCCGCTCCCTCGCGCTCCTCCCTCTCGCGCCTCTCCTCGTCCATGAGCCGCTTGAGCTTCTCGACGTCGCCCGCGCCGATCCGGGCAAAGAACCTCAGCTCGCTCGACGCGGCGGCGCGCACGGCGCGCCACTGGGCCGCCTGGTGCGCCGCCTCGGCGCTCGCGAGTGCGCCGGGCGGCGAGGCCGCCGACGCACCCGCAGAGCGCAGGCGGCGCAGGGCCGCGAGCGACTGCGAGTAGGCGCCTGTGGGCGCGAGGAGCGATGAGAGGTCGTCGGCGCTGTTGGGAGGGGGAACGTGCGGGTGCAAGGTCAGGGTCGTTGGTCGCGAGGATCGGGGCGCGAGAGAATGGCCCGAGAAAGAGAGAGAAGGGGAGAGAGAGGAGGACGCACCCGACGCTCGGCTCAAACCCGTCGAGGCTCGTCGTGTTGTGCCGCCACAGGCGGTCGAGCCTCGGGTTGCCCAACGCGTACGGGAAGCGCTTGGGGCGGCGCGCGAGCGCCTTGTGGCGGGCGCGGGCAGTGGCCGACACGTCGGCGGTCGCGAGGGCGGGCTTGGTGAAAGGCTGGCACGACCGGAGCTTCCAGTCGGTCTGTGGGGCGCGAGGGAGGCACAAGGAGGGAGTGGACGCGCAAGGCGAGTCAGTGAACGTCGATGGGGGACTTTGCGAGGGAGAATGGGGGAGGAGAGGGCGCGAGAGGAGAAACGAAAACGCACCCAGTTCTGCTCGCGCGTGAGCACGACCATGACGGCCTTGCGGAACCTCCTCCCACCCTGCATGTCGTCCATCTCGTCGAGCGTGCGACTCCTCAGCTCGCGCACCCACTTCTCGTCGTCGGCGCCGAGCACGTGCGGCGACAGGGCCGGCTGGTTCGTGACGGGGAGCGCCGCCGTGCGCGCTCGCGCCGACGGCGTGAGCGACAGGAGGTACTGGAACAGGATGAGGAGCTGGACGAGGATCTGGCGCCGGAAGGACGGGTCCGAGAGCTGTGGCGGGGGCCCGAGGGAGAAGGTCAGGGCCGGAACGGTCGTGCGACGATGACAACGACGACAACAAGAGACGAGAGAAAATGCGAGCGTACCTCGAGGTCGAGCAAGTTTCGGCTCGTGAGGAACTTGGGGAAGAAGTACTCCTCGAGGCCCTCGTCGGCCTCCTTTGCGCCCTCGCCACCCCTCGCCGGCGCCGCCTTGTCGCCTTTGGCCGCCGTGCCCGACAGCGCCTTCTCCTTCTTGGTCGCGGCGTCGAACGCGGCGAGCGTTTTGCGGACGCCCGTCTGGAGGTCGGCGAGCGGGGAAGACGAAGAAGAGGGAGGTGCGGGCGAGAAGAGGAGGTGCGGGTTGTTGAAGACGCGTTGGAGGGACCAGAAGGTAGCGTAGAAGCCCGACGACGTCCCGCCTGCGCATTCGAGAGTCTGTCAGTGGCGTTTCTAGACGTCGGGCGAGGAGGAGAAGGAGGAAGAGGAGACGCACTCGAGCCCGCCTCGGCCTCTTCTCCCTCCTCGACGTCGCCCATCTTGGCGTCCTCGCCCTCCTTGCCCTTGCCCTCGGCCTCGTCCTGCTCCTCCTTGGCCGCATCGGCTTTGGCGCCCTCGATCTCCTTGGCCTTGACCTCCTGCTCCCACACGGAGCCCTTGCCGAGGTTGAACCCGCCGCGCAGGTTGACGCCGCTCTTCTCGCCGAGCGGGAACACCGAGCTGAGGAGGAGGAGGATCCGGCCCGAGAGGATGACGGGCCCGGACTGGGAGCGCGGGAGGCGCCGCAGGAGGTCGTTGAGGAGGCGGAGGAGGATCGGGCCGCGGCCGCGTGCGGAATCCATGCCCTGCGGGAGGCACGTCGGCGTCGAGGTCAGGCGAGTGCTGAGAAGGAGGGAGGGGGGAGGCGGGCGCACCTTGGTAAGGCGCTCGGAGCGGGTCTCGATGTAGCTCAGGAGCGGCTCGCACGCCGTGACGGGGCGCAGGTCCATGAGGGCCGACAGGATGTTGAGCGGGACCATTTCGTCGAGGTATTCTGTGCGCATGGCCGCAGCTCTCACGTCAGGACGTGCAACAGGCCGCGCGACTGGAACGAAGAAGGGCGGAGCGCGACGCACCCGACTCGTAGGCGCACAGGACGGCGTCGAGGAGGTCTTGCAGGTGGGCGAACGCGGCGTCGTCTGACGAGGTTGTTGCCTGTACGCATCGGCGAGTGTCAGTACGCCGCACGAGGCCCAACCGGGAGCGAACAAGGGGGGGGGAGAGACGCACCGCCTCGTTGACGAGCTCCTCGAAGGCGCGAGTGAGGGTCGCTTGCCTCGCGTCGACCTCCCAGTCGGGCCTGCCGGTCATCTCGGAGCGTTTGAGCGCACCCGCATGGCTCAGGGCGTGGTGGACGGCGTCTTGGAGCTGCTCGGCGGTCGCGGGCTCGTCGTGGTCGCGGCGCGTCTTGAGCGACTGGGCGAGGTCGCGCAGCTCGTGGCGGATCGCGGTGCGGAAGGCGAGGTAGGGCGACTGAACGGCGGGCGTGCTCGGGGCCGAGGGCCCTGGTTGAGCGACAGTCGGGGCGGCGAGCGAGGCGGAGGCGGGGGTCGACGAGGTCGAGGCCGTGAGGGGCGTGAGGGGCGACGACAGGGTGGCGAACGGGTCTGCCATGGGCCTGTGCGTGCTGCGAGTCGCTCTGCAGACGCTGGCGGGATGATTGAGCAAGAGCGAGGTCGGGCTGGTTTCATCTCGTCTCGTCTCGCCTCTTCCTCCTCCTCCTCCTCACGTCGGGCTCAGCGTGCGGTACTGCTTCGGCGAGACGTGCAGCCATGTCCAGGTGCATAGCTTGCGAGTGAGTGCGCGCTCGTCCCATGAGGCGGGCTGCACACTCCTCGTCGAGACGGACCGTCTCAGCGTCTTGGCGACGTCCGCTCTCCTAAACTCTCTCGCTCGGCGTGCGACGCGAGACAGGGCGGGGTCGAAGGGCTCATCTCGCGCATCTCGCATGGGGCGGCGAGCTGGCCGCAGTGTCGTCTGTCGACGTGCGCCCGCAGACGCTCCGAGACGGCGGGCTCTCGCTTGTTCTGCATCTACAAGCTCGCTTGCGAGAGCCGACTCTGCGTGCGACACGCTCACTTGAAGCCAGAAGCACCCGCTCGAGCGCCAGCCTTGTCACCGCCGGCCGCCTCGCTCGTTCCGAGTCCGACTTTCGCCTGATTGTGGCCGTCCGTTCCCTCCTCTCCCTCTCCCTCGTTCGCCCTCCCCGCCCTCTCTTTCCCACCTCGCCATCCAGCAGAACCTCGAGCACCGCACCCAGTGAGCCCCCTAGCCTCCCTCCCCGAGCCCCTCCTGAACGCGAGCTGACCCACGCTCCCCCTCCCCCTCGTCCGCCCTCCCATTCCCTCGCAGCCGCCCTCGAGCCACCATGGACGGCTTCCCCGACCTGCGCCAGCAGCCTGCACCTGTACCGACATCGATCCCGTCGACCCATGAGGACCTCGTCGTCCTCGAGGACCAGCACCCGGGTCCGCGTCCGTCCACCTCATCAGGTGAGTTCCCTCTACTCTCGCACCCATCCAGCCCCTCAGAGAAGCACTCGTCGAGCTCTAGAGCACACGGCAGTAGCCTGGAGCTGCGCGCTGGCGACGCATACACCCTCGTCCGTCGCCCTCGCCTCGCCCTCTTCCTCGCGTTGACATGCCTCCTCTCTCGTCCGCAGCGCCTCTTCCGCCGCCGCCGCGCTTCTCGGCCAAGGACATGGTCACCATGGCGCCCAACAACTCGAACCCGCACTCGTTCGGTGTCATGTTCAACGGCGCCGTCAACCTCGGCGAGCACCCTTGGCCCGCGTCGGCGCCTCTTCCTCCGCCCGAGCTCCCCGTGCTCCCGTTCGTCGGCGTCTTCGAGCCCAAGGTCGCGCTCCTGCCGCCGCCACCGCCGCCGCCTTTCAACGTCGAGCGCTCGCCGGTCGGCGCGCCGCCGCCTCCTCCGCCTCAGCAGCTGCCCGCCGAGCTCATCCAGCAGCAGCCGCAGAAGGTCCAAGGTCCGCCGTCGCCTGTCCTCCACATCAACGCGTCGTCGTCGCAGTCGTCGTCGATGTCGGCGCCGCCGCCGCCGCCGCAGGCCCAGCAGGCGCCGTTCGTCGGCTACGCGCCGTTCCCGGGCGCCGTGCCGTGGCTCGGGCAGGGCATCCCGTCGCCGTACCTCGGCTACGCGCCTCCTCCGGGCATGCCCGGTGCACCGCCCCTCACGCCCTGGTCGCCCGTCCCGCTGCGCAACATCGACGAGTGGGTGGGCGGCACCTGGTCGCCCGGGCAGGCGCCGTTCCCGGCGTCGGCGTCGTCGCCGCCTCACCCACCGCAGCCGTCGACGACGTCGGCGATGAGCGTGGCGGGCCACCGCAGGCGCGGCTCGTCCTCGGTCGCGTCGACGACGACGGGACCGGTCGAGTACCCGATCTCGGCCGCACGGTCCGCCGCCGCGCATGCCGCCGCCGAGGCGACTCGTGCCGCCCAGGTCGAGCACGCCGCCGCCGTCGCCCAGTACCACCACCAGCAGCAGCAGCAGCAGCAGCAGCAGCAGCAGCAGCAAGGCGGCGGCGACCCCGCGTCCTTCTCGAGCGACCTCGGCTCGTTCTCGATGGCGAGCATGAGCGGCTGGCCGGCGTCGTATCCGTCGCCGCAGCAGGTCCACCAGGCGCAACAGCAGCAGGCCCACCTCATGCAGCAGCAGCACCTGCACCAGATGCACCAGATGCACGCGCACGCCCAGATGCAGCAGGCCCACGAGCAGCAACAACAGCAGCTCCACCACATGCGCCAGTCGTCCTCGCCGTCGCTGCACGCCTGCTCGACGACGCACACGCCACCGTCCGACACCGGCGCCGACCTGCGCACCTCGGGCTCGCCGCCGCACTCGTCGTCGTCGTCGTCGGGCGTCGCCTCGCCGGGCTTGTGCGCCGTCGCCGGCTGTGCGCGCCCCGTCTTCTGCGAGCTGTCGCCGTGTGGCGACCGCCTCTGCCGCGACCACCTCGGGTGGGTCATCCGCGGCGCGAGGACCGTCGAGGTCGACGAGCGCGCGAGCGACGACCATGGCGGCGAGGCGGCGGCGGCGCCGAGGACCAAGAAGCTGTTCCGCTGCGTCGCGTGCCGCGTCGAGTCGAGCATGGCGGGCCCGACGTCGAGCGCGAGCGCTGCCGCCGGCGCCGCCAAGAGCCGTCGCCCGTCCGAGCCCGTCGTCGGCCTCGGTCTCTCGAACGTCGACGTGCCCGCCGCCAACGACGACGCGGTGCACGCCTTCTCGATCAAGTACTTCTCGTCGGGCCCGGCGCCGTTCCTGCACCCGTCGCAGCCGTCGCCCACGTCGAGCTCGGCGGTCACCGCCGGCACCGGCAACGGCGGCGCGCACGAGATCGTCGACCTGTCGACGGCGCTCGATCCGGCTGGCGACGCGTCGCTCGTGCAGCACCTGCGCTTCCCTCCCTCGTCGGTGCCCGGCCTCGAGCTGCAGCCGGGCGCTTCGTTCGTCCCGTCGCACGCGCACGGCGGCGGTGGCGCGCCCGCCCTCGCGCCTCTCAACATCGAGCTTGCGCGCAGCGGCGGCGGCGGCGGCCTGAGCGGCATGCAGCGCGTGCCGCGCCCGCCGTCGCCGCCGTTCCCGGTCGGGTCGCGGTTCGTCGGGCCCGAGGGCACGTTCCTCTTCCAGGCCTCGACCTCGGGCCAGGACGTGCAGCAGAGCATGTCGGCGGGCGAGCTCACGCCGACCGAGAAGGCGAGCAGCTACGGCAGCGAGCCTGGCGCCTCGTTCGCCCGCGACGACGCCGAGGCCGACGTCGTCGCCCGCCCGAGCTCTGCGCAGCCGACGCTCGAGGGCGCCTCGTCGTCGCCCGTCACGACGTCGCCGATCCGCCGCACGCACGAGTACAAGCGCTCTCTAAGCCGCTCGGTCACATCGCCGGCGGCCATGTACGCGCCCAACCCGCTCGAGGCGGCGCTCGTCGCCCAGTTCGGCGCGCGCGACGTGCCACGCCGCCTGCCGTCGCCGCCCGAGAGCACGCGCACGCCGTCGCCCGTGCACCGCGAGGGCCGTGCGCTCCCGCCGTCGTACCCGTCGCCCGAGGTGCAGGCGCGCTCGACGAGGGCGGCCGACGAGGCGGCGCAAACGGCCGATCGCCGCGGCTCGCTCGGGCACGCCATGCTCCAGCCCGACTTTGCCTTCCCGGCGCCGCACCACGTCCTCGTCCAGCAGCAGCAGCAGGAGCTCCGCACGCCGCCGCGCAGCTTCACCCAGTCGACCTACCTCCCCTCGCCCTACTCGGCGATGCCCATGCCGCCCATGCCGCCCTACCCGTCGTTCCCGCCGGGCAGCGTCTCGGTCCAGCCGCAGTACGCGTCGCCGAGCGGGCTCAACGCGTTCGCGCCGACCTTCTTCGGCCCGGTGCCGTCGACGCCGACGCAGCGCGGCGCCAAGAAGCGCGGCAGCCTGCCCGGGCCGCCGATGTTCGGCCTCGGTCTCGGCGGGTTCCCGCACTGGGTCGAGCGCGGGTCCGGCGCCCCGGCCGCCGGAGGAGGAGGAGGAGGAGGAGGAGCGCGGCGCGGCGGCATCACGGCGAGCGCGACGTTCCCGCCGAGGCAGCCGGCGACGCTCGACCCGATGGAGGACGGCGCCAAGCTCGAGCAGGGAGGGTGGCCCCTCGTCAAAGTCGAGAACGTGCGTCGCGCTCGTTCCTCCTCCTCCTCTGTCTCTCTCTCGCGACGAGCGACGAGCCTTACTCGGTCTCGCCCCTGCAGATCCCGTTCCACACCCGGGTCGTCGACATCGAGCAGTGGCTGCCCGAGGGCTGCCTCCCGACCGAGGCGCAGTGCCTCCAGCCGATCCACATCATCCTGCACCGGTGCGTCTCCTCGAGCCGCCTTCCCAAGTCGAGAACCGCCGTCCTGACTCGTGCCCTCGCCCCTGCAGCGCGACGGGCCGCACGCTCCCGCACTGCTACCTCGAGGTCGTCGACATCCAGCACGCGACCGACCTGATCGCCCGCATGGACCGCTCGCACCTCGGCGACCGCACGGTCCGCGTCAAGTGGGAGCGCCCGGGCGAGCTCATGCGCGACGTACGTCCCGCCTCTCTCTCCTCCTTCATCGCGAGCGTCACTGACCCTACGACGATGCGCCGCAGCTGTTCGCCCAGCAGGCCTACTTTCAGATGGGCGGCTCGGGCCCCGGCGGGCACGCCCACCTCTCGTCGCCGGCCGCCGCACCGCTGCCGCACCTCCCGCCCGAGGGCTTCCGCATCCCCGAGGTGCTCCTCACGGCCGACGACTTTGTGCGCCTCGTCGGCTTCACGACCAGGGCGGTGCGTCCAACCCCTTCTCCTCCCCTCCCTCTTCTCGACCTTGAGCAAGCGCACTGACTCGGGCTCGCCGCGCAGATCCAGTTCCGCGAGCGGCCGTTTGAGCGTTCGTTCTACAACGTCGCGACGCTCGTCAACAAGGTGCGTCCGCCGTCCTGCGCCGTCTGTCCCGTCCGCCCTCTCTCTCGAGTGCGTGACTGACTCGGCTTTTCGCCCGTATGATCGCGCAGTTCCCGTGGAAGAGGGACGACCTGTGGGACGAGGCGCTGCGCAACGACATGTTCGAGACGGTCCGCTGTGCGTCGAGCCTTCCTCGCCGTCGTCGTTCGTCGCCGCCCGACTGACCCGCCACACGTTCCCCTCCCCGCAGTGGTTCTCGACAAGGCGCTCGAGCTCGCTCAGCAGGACTCGCTCTTCGTGCGCATCTCGGACCTCATCGTGCGTCCCCTCCTTCCTCTACTCTCGCCACGCAAAGACGCCGAGACTGACGAGCCGAGCGCCACCAGGTCAAGAGCGGCCAAGCCTGTCCCGGTGCGCTGCCTCTCTCCCTCTCTCTCTCTTTCTCTTCCTCGCGTACCGGTCCTGACGCTCGATACAGTCTTTACGGACGAGCAGAAGGCGAGCCTGTCGTCCGCACTCGCTCAGATGCTCGCCGCTCGCGCCTCGACGCCCAAGAAGCACCACCGCGCCTCTTCGACCTCGACCCGCTCGTCGGCGTTGCCGTTCGCCCCGCTGCCACCCAACCCGAACTTGGCGACCGGCTCGCCTCGCACGCCGCAGCACGGCGCGCGCTCGTACGCGGCGCGCATGCCCGCGACGCCCGAGTCGCCCGAGTCGCCGCTCGCTGGCCTCGGCGGGCGTGCGCTCCCGCCGCACATGGGTCGCGGCAGGGGCCGCTACGGGCACGAGTACCGGCGCACGACGAGCTACCGCAACCTCGGCGAGGCCAAGGTCACGATCGAGGGCGCTGCGGCCGAGAGCCCGGCGTCGGACGGCGAGCCGCAGGAGGAGGAGGAGGAGGAGGTCCAGCAGGGCGGCGCGTGGGTCCCGCTGCAGCAGGGCGAGGGAGGCGAGGGGGCGGACGAGGGCGAAGACGACGTCTTCAGCGACGGGGGCGGGAGCAAGAGCGGCAGCGGGAGGTCGAGCGCGGGCGAGCGCCATGGCCACGACTGTGCGTCCCTCCTTTTTCTTCCTGCCTCTCGTCTCTCGTCGCCTCTCCCCTTCCTGCACTGACTCGCATGTTCCGTACGCAGACACGCACCGCAAATCGCCGTCGTCGACCTCGCAGTGCGGCGCCGGCCGGCCGGGTTTCGTCGAGCACGCGCCCTCGGCTGCTGCGGCGGGCCCGACGCTCGGCGGCAAGGGCACGTCGGGCCTGCACACCCCGCCCGACTCGCCCGAGTTGACGCGCAGTGCGCCTGTCCTCGCCGCTGAGCCGAGCGAGGCGAGCGAGCAGTAGGAGCCGAGACGGCGCTCCTCTCGAGCGAGCCAGGCCGCCCGGCGCTCGCGCAAAATGTACTCGTACCCTTCCCTCGCCCTCGTCGTCGTCGTGTTCCACTCTCTCTCTCTCTCTCTCTCTCTTTCCCCTCTCTGACTGTACAACGCCCCTCGGTCATCCTCCCCGTCCTCCTCGTTCGTTTCCTCCTCTCGCACTCTCGTCGCACCCGTCGCCCTTCAGTCTCGCCCTCTCGATTCGTCAGTGCCGTCCGTTCTACCTGCAACTTGAGCCCCTTCCTTGTTCATAGCCTCGCGTGAGCCGCAGAGAGAGAGCCGCTGGTCCGAGTTGAGGAGAACGAGGAGGTCGAGGCAGCAGGCGGGAGACGCGCGGCACAGGGCGCGTTACTCGCGCACAGAGAGTCACTGCGCTTGAACGCGCTGTGTGACCGGCTGCAGAGCGGCGTGTTGCGGCCGCCGTGGCGTCGTCGCGACAGCAGCGCGGAGACGGGAGGCTGCTCTCCACCGCTCGCCCCTCCACGCCGCCCGAGGGAGTGCGAGAGCTCGCGCAAGCCGCCACACGCGCTCGTACAGCGTCCCCAGCTACACCAGCCAGCCCGCCACCCCTCCCTCGTCCCTCGGCACCTCCCCTCGTTCCTCATCGCTCGACTCGTCGTCTCGAGCTCCCATCCTCCCTCACCGCATGCTGCCGGGCCACGCCTGAGCCCGTGCCATGTCCGACGACGAGTTCGACTTTGACGACGCGGCCCTGGGCGAGCTCGACGCCATCGAGACGGCGCTCCAGTCCGGCCTCGCCCTCCCGCCTCGCTCCCTCGTCAACAAGCCCGGCCTCGTTCAGCGCGACTTGTTTGGCGGCACCGTCATCCAGCAGGAGCGTCCTCCGCCCAAGGCGGGCCCGTCTCGCGCCGGCCAAGGCAGGGCAGGTGGGACCGGCGCCGGCAGCGGCGGCGACGGCGTGACCCAGGCCAAGACCAAGCAGGTCAAGGAGTGGGACCGCTCGAGCTTCGCCAAGCACGGCTGGAGCAAGCGCGGTGCGGCCGAGGCCAAGGCCAAGGCGCAGGGCAAGCGGCCCAAGGGCAAAGGGCGCGCGTACGGCTCGGACGAGGACGACTGGGACGAGGACAACGTGCTCGACGACGACGACGACGAGGGCGACGGCGACGAGTTCCTCATCGACACGTCGTACGACCCCAAGGCGCCCATCCTCCCGATCAAGTGGGACCCGGACCGCGAGGCGGCGAGGACGTTCGTCTACCCGGTCCAGCCCGACAAGCCGATGCGCGTGTACCAGTACAACATTGTCAGCCGGGCCCTGTTCGAGAACACGCTCGTCAGCCTGCCGACCGGTCTCGGCAAGACGTTCATCGCCGCCGTCGTCATGTGCGTCCTCCCTCTTCCCTTCCTCGTCCTCCGAGATTCCCTGCCGTTTTCCCGAGCTCACCTCGTCGTCTACCCACTCGCAGGCTCAACTTCTACCGGTGGTACCCTCGCGGCAAGGTCCTGTTCCTCGCGCCGACTCGACCGCTCGTCACGCAGCAGATCAAGGCGTGCCACTACATCGCCGGGATCCCGCAAAACGACTGCATCGAGCTCACCGGCGGCACGCCGGCCAAGCTGCGCTCGGTCGGGTGGCTCACCAAGCGCGTCATCTACTCGACGCCGCAGACGGTCGAGCGCGACCTCGCCAAGGGCCGCCTCGACCCGCGCGACGTGACCTGCATCGTCGTCGACGAGGCGCACCGTGCGAGCGGCGACTACTCGTACTGCGGCGTCGTGCGCTACATGATGTGCCGCAACCCGCACTTTCGCGTGCTCGCCCTCACGGCGACGCCCGGCTCGCGCGGCGAGGCGGTCCAGGAGGTCATCGACAACCTGCACGTGCGTCCCCCCGTCTCTCTCTCTCTCTCTCTCTCTCTCTCTCTCTCTCTCTCTATCTCGCCTCGTAGAGTCCGCCCTGACTCTTGCTGTCCTGCAGATCGGCCGCATCGAGGTCCGCGCCGACGACTCGCTCGACATCCGCCAGTACGTGCACAAGAAGTCGTTCGACCTGTGCGTGCTGCCGCTCGGGCCGCAGCTCGGCGCCCTGCGCGACAAGTGGGCCGGCCTCATGAAGCAGTACATCCAGCCGCTGTACGCTTCGCGCCTCCTGTGGTCGCAAGACGCCGTCATGCTCTCGCCGTTCGCCGTCCAGCAGGCGTACCAGAAGATCAACCAGCTCCCCGGCGGCCGCAAGGACAACGGCAAGTTCTTCCCCATGATCAAGACGCTCGCCATGATGGCTCGCGCCATGGAGTACCTCGTCGTCCAGTCGGTCACGTCGTTCCTGTCGATCGTCAAGGACGTCGAGGGCGCCGGGTCCAAGAACCTCGTCAACTCGAGCGGGTTCCGCGAGGTCCTGCGCGACACGGACGCGCTCCGCAGCCGCGCCGGCTACGTTGGGCACCCCAAGATGGAGAAGCTGCGCTCGATGTGCATCGAGCACTTTACCAACGCGCAGCACGAGCGCGACGAGTACACGGGCGAGCGCCGCGAGACGCGCGTCATGATCTTCTGCAACTTTCGCGCCGTCGTCGAGGAGATCGTCGAGTGCCTCAACACGCAGCGCCCGCTCATCAAGGCGACGCCGTTCGTCGGGCAGGCGAGCTCGAAAGGGTCCAAGGGCAAGAGCCAGAAGGAGCAGCTCGAGGTGCGTCCTCGTCCCTCTCCTCTCTTCCTCCCCCTCTCCTCCCGCTCGCCTCTAGTGCAGCAACAGGCGACTGACACATGCACGTCGTACCCTGTCGCAGACGATCCGCAAGTTCAAGCGCGGCGACTACAACGTCCTCGTCGCGACCTCGATCGGCGAGGAGGGCCTCGACATTGGCGAGATCGACCTCATCGTCTGCTACGAGGCCAACAAGTCGCCCATCCGCATGCTGCAGCGCGTCGGCCGCACCGGGCGCGCCCGCGACGGCCACATCATCGTCCTCATGGCCGAGGGCCGCGAGGAGAAGAATTGGGACCGCGCCAACGACGCCTACAACGACGTGCAGAACGCCCTCACGTCCAACAAGACGTTCGAGCTGTACGTCGACGGCGAGCGGCTCCTCCCGGCCGACGTCAAGCCCCAGTGCGAGAAGGTCGAAATCAAGGCCCTCCCACTCGACCTCGACAAGCTCACGATGACGGGCCGCAGCGCCGCCGAGCGCAAGGCGCTCGCCGAGAAGAACCCCAAGCGCAAGGTCGACATCACGGCCAACGCGCCCGACGACGCCTTCCTCGGCTTCCGCACGGCGGGCCAACTCGCCGCCGCCAAGAAGGTCAAACCGCTCCCGCCGTCGCAGGTCCTCCGCGAGCGCAAGGCGTCGGCGCTCCTCACGCTCGAGGAGGAGGCGCAGCTGCGCTCGCGGTGGCAGCACGACACGGCGGGTCGCCCCGTCCGGCCTCAAGTGTTCGACGTCGAGGACCTCCCGTTCGAGCGCGACTCGAGCGGCGGCGCGCAGCGCATCCCGCGCCACGGTGACCGCCACGCCGACCTCCTCGCCGCCCTGCGCACGTGCGACAAGCTGTCGGACGAGCGGCCCGAGTCGCTCGACCCGTGGCACGACGCCCACTCGAAGGCGTTCAACCCCAAGCTCGTCGAGGTGTGGCGCCCCGATGACCGCCGAGGGCCGCCGCTCGTGCACACGCGCCTCAAGCGCCTCCCGCCGTCGTCGCCGGTCGAGTTCTCGGCGTCGCTCCCCCTCCTCACCGGCCTCGTCGCCGGCCCTTCCTTCGACTCGTCCGCGCCCGAGACGACCAAGGCCGAGCTCCCGCTGTTCCGCAGCTCGACGCAGCACGACCTCGACGACCCGCTCGCGCGCGAGCTCTTCTCGTCGCCTGTCGGCGCAGGCCGTCCTTCCCTTCCCAGCCCGCCGAGGTCCCCATCCCCCTTCAGCTCGCCGCCTCGGTGCTCCCCTGTCCTCCCGGTCGCCGACACGCCCATCGACGTCGTGCCCGAGACGCTCGACCTGTCTGCGTTCGACTCGGACGACGACGTCGTCATGCAGCCGGCCAAGTCGTCGGCGCACGAGACGAGCTTCTCGATCGACCTCGACCTCGACGACGACGCGCTCGTCTTGTCCGACAGCGAGCTCCTCGCCGGCGCCGTCGTGCGAGGGCGGTCGGGCTCGGCGGCGCCTGCCGTTGCGCAGAAGGAGCCGCCTGAGCTCGTCTTGAGCGACTCGGACGAGGGCCCGAGCGTCGCTGCGCGGTCGCCGCCGACGGGCGCCAAGGCCGTCAAACTCGCGCGCACCGTGTCGGCGCCTCACGCAGGGCGAGAGCCGGCGCCTGTACCTGCGCCCGCCCGCCGCTCGCAGACGACGACCACGGCGTCGGCTCGGCCTGCCGCGACGACGCCGCCGAGCAGGAGCGCCTTCCGCCCGTTCGCCGCCCCTCGCCCGACGCTCTCGCAGCCCGAGCGTGCCGCCTCGCCCAAGCCTGTCGCACCCGTCGAGGCCGAGCGCGCGGGCGACGTCGAGGACGAGTACGGCGGGTTCGACTTTGCCGACGACTCGGAGCTCGAGGCGTGCATGGCCGACATTCCCGTCGAGGCGGTGCGCGGCCGCAGCGTCGTGCCGGCGGGTCGAGCGCCGCAGGAGCAGCCTGCGCACGACGCCGAGGACGTTGTTGTCGTCGACGAGGAGGACGAGCGGCGCGAGATGCCGCCGCCAGCGTCGACGAGGAAACACGCCGCGACGCCGTCCGTCGCCAAGCGCAAGGCGACGCTCGTCGTCGACTCGTCGCCCGCATCGACGGGCGCCCGGGCCGGCTTCGTCGCCGCCTCGCACCTCTCGGGCGCCAACCGCTCTTTCCGCCCGGCCCTCCCCGCCGCACTCGCGCACGACCCGTCCACGCCCTCGATCCCCGAGTCGGTCAAGAAGCAGAAGCCGATGCGCCGCCTCGCCTTGCCCGACTCGAGCGAGGCGTCGTCGCCCGTCCTCCAGGGCCGGCGAGCGGTCCCGGCCGCCGTCGAGCTCAACGACCACGACGACAGCGTCGAGGTCGTCGAACCGCCTGCACGTGCGCTCGGGCGACTGCGGCGAGGTGGGCGACAGGCGCTCGACGGCGCCGACGAGGGCGGCGACGACATCGTCGAGGAGCGGGCGCCGAGGCGGTCCAAGAAGCGGACGAGCGGCGCCGCCGGCGACCACCATGAGGGCGACGACTCGACTCGGGCGAGCAAGAAGAAGAAGCGGCAGAAGAAGGAACTGCTCACGCACCGCGTCGCCGCCCGGGCCGGCATCTTCGACATCGAGGCCGTCAACTCGTCGGCGTCGGGCTCCGAGGCGTCGACCGAGGGCTACTCGAGCGAGAACTCGATCGACCGCGACTTTGTCGCCCGCTCGTCGGCGTCGCCCGAGCGCGACGACCCGAACGCGAGCGTCGTCTCGAGCGGGCAGCAGGCCCAGTTCTACCGCGACTCGCTCGCCACGCAGGCGCCGAATGGGTTCGGGACGCCGCACTTTGCGAGGGGCGGGCTCGCCAGGTGGGAGGACCGGAGGAGGCTGCCGAGGAAGGCCATCCCGCTGTCGCCCGACGCCCAGTTCGACGAGCAGGAAAGCTGGAGGTGCGTCGTCGTCTTTCCCTTCTTTCCTTCTTTCTCTCTCTCTCTCTCTGTCTCTCTCTCTCGACCTCTCCCTGACCTCGCCTCCTTCTCCTCTCCCACAGCTACGACTCGTTCTGCGTCGCTGACGACGACGAGATCGAGTACGAGACGAGCTCGCCGGCGGGTTGAGGAGGGACCGTGCGCGAGGCGGCTTGACTTCACCTGTACTTTCTCTTCCTCTCTCTCTCTCTCCTTCTTCGTCATGTTGTCGATGCCCTACTTGCATACTTCTCTCTCTCGCTTTTGCACTGCACTCTGTTCAGGCTTCTCGCTCGCTCGCTCGAGAGGAAAGAGAGAAAGAAAGCGCGGATCTCGCTCGAGCAGGCTCGCGACAGACCTGGGCGACGACGAGAGAGGATGATGGGCTAGGATTGGCAACAATGCTGGAGGGAGAGGAAGTGTCTATGCTCGAGGTGGTACAAAGTGGCGGCTCGCTCGTCAGATGGCCCACTGCCCGGCGAGCCACGGGTGCTGGCGGATCTCGTCGAGCTTGATCCTCGACTCGACGTCGACCGTAAGGCACCGGTTGAGCAGGTCGGTCGCCAACGGGCTCATGACGGTGCGTGTCGCGATGCGGCGACCGGCGACGGCGTCCTCGGGTGTGCGGTGAGGGTTCTCGCCCGTGAGGAGGACGTGCAGGAGGACGCCCAGGCTCCACACCTCGGCGGGCAGCATCTGGTACGGCGCGTTCGAGAACACCTCGGGAGCGGCGTAGGTAAAAGTGCCGTAGAAGCGCTCTGCGAGAGAGGCAAGGACAGAGGAAGCGTCAGGAGGGGTTCGAGCGCGGACGAGGAGAGAGGACGAGCCGTCGACGCACTCTCGTTTTGCACCGGCGGCGGGCCTGACGGGTCAAACATGACGACCGAGCCAAAGTCGACGAGCTTGACCTGCAGCAGGCGAGAGAGGGTCAGTGCGCAGGTCGACGGGAAGGGAAAGAGTCGGCGAGCGAGGACGGACCGTGAGCTTTTCGTCGGTCGTGATGTTCTCGTCCTTCCAGTCTCGATGCAAGACGCCGACGCTCGCGAGGTCGCACGCCGTGTTGGCGAGCTGGTGGAAGATGTAGCGCGCGGGCGCCTCGGAAAACTGCTCTTGCCGCTCGACCCAGTCGAACAAGTCGGACGACGCCCGGCGGACCATGGGCGGTGGCGGCGGGCGCATAGACGAGGCCGGTGCGTCGCTGCGCTGCTCAGAGGCGGAGCGAGAGAGGGGAGCGTAGGCGGACGAGGGCGAGATGGGAGGGGTTGGGGGAAGCGCCGAGTGGTCGTGGATGGCGACCTGCGACGACTCGCCGTGGTACTCCATGACCTGCAGGTGCTCGTCGAGGTCAGCTTGAACGCTGTAGAGAGAAAGAGAGAGAGGGAGCGCACGAGGTAGTAGAACAGCTCGTCGGCGAACAAGTCACTGTAGCCGCACACGCCGCGGTGACCTTGGAGGCGCCTGAGCGCGTACGCCTCGGACGGGACGACGATGCCGCCGTGCTCGTGCTCGTCAAAGCCGTGCGGGACAAAGCCCCACGACCCGGTGCGGACGAGGTTCTGCCGCGGCACGCGGTCCTTGGCAATGACTTTGAGCGCAAGGACCTCGCCGTCGATGCGGCGCCGGACCTTGAGGACGAAGCCGGACCCGCCGACGCCAATCTCGTCGACGAGGGCGTAGTGCCGGTGCAAGTAAGGGCTCAGGGAGGCGAAGCAGGACGGCGTCGCGAAGCCCATGGTGTGGTCGAGCTGGGGGTGCGGGCGGGCGGGCGAGCGGGTCGAGTTGCGAAGCGCGAGTGCAGCAAAGTTGAGCAGGAGACAGGGAGAGAGCGAAGCGAGAGCATCGCTAGACAAGGCGCTGGGGAAGGAGGGTCGCTCTATGTGGAACTCCGGACCACAGGCCGTCGGCGGTGGAGAGGCTCCAGCCAGAATTCCGCTCAAGGGGCGGGGATCGTCGCATTCTGTGCGCGAGCGGCGAGGCGCACGGCGCACGCGCTACCGGATGATCGCCCCGACCGCAATTGTGCCCGAACGCGGAAGGGAAACTTCGCCCGGCGCGTACGTGCGCCAGCCCTCAGCGCGTCTTTCGTCGTCTCATGCGCATGTGCTCGGTTCCACCGCATCGCGGGAGGCTCCCCCCCTTGCGCTGGCTTTCCCGCCGAGTCGCTGTCGCTCGGTTCGTGCACGCTTCGCTTCGACGAAGCTGGAGATCCGGACCTTCCTCGCTCGGGCCCCCTTCCTCTCGCCGCTTGGTTACGGACACGCTCGTGAGAAGGACCTCTCCCCCTCGCGGTTCGACCCTTGCAAGCTCGGCGCTCGGTGCGCTCTAGAGCTCCCTCGAGTGTGGGTCCAGCACGCGGTCGAGTGCCCGCGGCCGCTTGCTCGAACCCAAGCTTCCCTCTGTCCACCCGGCTTGCAAGCGGCTCTTCTTCGAAAAGCGGCGAGCGAACGAGAAGCGTGCGGGGGACGCGATACGATAAGCGTCGAGGGTCGGCTCGAGACGGGGTCCGGGCGGCCAATTTGAGAAGGTCAACTCTGCGGGCGCGAGGCCTTGCGGGGCAGCGAGCGGCACGTTTCGCAGCTCGCCACAGCTCTCTCGCCCGTCGCGTGTGCGCAGGCTCGAAGCGCGCTTTGCTCGCAAGGGTTCGGGCGCTTCTCGTTCTCGAACCGCCGTGCTCGTGTTCGGCGGCTCGAACCGACCGACCGTCCCGCCTCCTCCGTCTCGCCTTCCTTCCCCTGGCCCTGATCGTAATTTCGGCAGAACCCTTTGCGAGGAACAGCAGCATCGTGACGGGACCCTTGCGATACGACGCGCTGGAGAATGCCGGGAGCATCAGGGGGCCGGGCCGCGACGAGATCGGGTTTCTGGCTCTCGGACCCCCTCGCCGACGAGAGAAGAGAGGTCCCTGCATGCGAGTGTGCTCCCGAGTGCGACGACGACGACGCAGAGATGCGAGAAGTAACGCGGTCGCTGCAAGTGCACGAGACAGAGACAGTATACAAAGGGCGAGAGACAGGCGGTACAACCCGGGACCGAGGGACGAGAGGACGAGAGGACAAGGGAAGGGGGAAGCTAGGGGAGGCTAGAGTGACGGGCAAAAGGGGGGTGGGACGAAGCGAGTGACGGCGCGATGTTGAGGAGAAGGAGCGGTGACCGCTCATGCCCTCCGTTTCCGCTGGCTCCTCCTCGCGCCCGACCCATCCTCGGACGCCGCCGGGCTCTCGACCTCGACAGCGTCGCTCTTGCGCTTGCGCCCACCCGCCGAACCCTTCTTCCTCGCCGCACCCGCACCTGCGCTCGGCGCGAGGGCATCGCTCGTCGTCGACGCGGGCGTCGGCGCCGAGTCGACCGTGCTCGCCGGCGAGCCGACGGCCCACGCTCCACCGCCGCTGCCGCCGCCCGCGCCGCCGCCGACCGACGAGCCCGGGCTCGTCACCTCGAAGGGGAACATGTGCGACGACGACGAGCCGGCGCCGGCGCCGGCGCCGGTGTCGGTGTCGGCGGCGGCCGAGGAGAAGAGGGACGGGTCGAGCGGAGGGTCGTTGGTCGGCGCGAGGAGCGAGTTGCCCGGCGCGGTCGACGAGAGAATGTCCGAGTAGTCGGTGACGCCGTTGGAGAAGCCGGCGTTGCTCGACGAGGGGTCGTACGCCGAGGGGGAAGGGAGGAAGTTGTACGACGACGAGGACGGGTTGGCTGCGGAGGGAGGTGAGAGTCAGTTCGGCACGCTCTGGCTCTGGCGATGTCGAGCGAGAGAGAGAGAGAGAGAGAGAGAGAGAAAGAGGGACGCACCGATCTCGCTGAACTGGGCGAGCATCTTGTCAAAGTCGATCCCGCCGTCGTCCATCGTGAACTGGCTCCAGTCCATCCCTCCTCCCGCACCGCCCTCGTCCCCTGCCGTCCCACCGAGGTCCCCCGCCGCTCCCTGCCCCTGCCCCTGCCCGTGTCCCGCTCCACCTCCACCGAGCCCAAACCCGCCGCCGCCGCCGCCGCCGCCGCCAACCTGCAGCGGCTGGTCATTCTCGACCTGCTCCCTCGCGTCGTCCGGCAGGTTCTCCATGAGGCGCGCAATCTGGGCCTCGAGCGCCGACGTGCGCGAGTCGATGTCGGCCTTTTCGCTCAGGAGCGTCGCGACGGCCGAGTGGTTGTGCGCGAGCGCCGACGCGACCGAGGGCGACATGGCCGGCGCGCCCGACGTCGAGGTCGAGGTGGACGCGAGCGCGTTCGAGGTCGAGTTCGAGGTCGAGGTCGAGGTCGACGAGGTGGAAGGGTGGGGTGCGGCGGTGGGAGGCGAGGGCGCAAAGAGGGCGAACGGGTTCTCGAGCGGGTTCGAGGTCGGGGTCGGGACGAACGGCATGAGCGCCGTCGACGATGACGACGACGACGAGGGCGGCATCGAGTAGGCGGGGGCGAGCGACGTGGCCCCGAGGGCGGCGCTCGACGTCGGCTGGTTGAACAGGGCGTTGAACGCCGACGAGTCGCCCGTGCTGCGCACGAGGGCGCCGAACGCCTCGGGCGTGAGGCCGTACTGGGCCGGGTCGACGCCGCCGACGCCGGGCGCAGTTGTCGTAGTCGGGGTCGGGAGCGCCGACGAGCCCGCCGGCGAGGGGATGGCCGTGAAGCGGTTCTGCGACGGCGAGCGCGCGAGGGTGCCGATGCTCGCTGTTGGCGCCGACGCGACGAGTGCTGCAGGAAGGACGACCTGTCGTCAGTATGTCGCGCACGAGCGAGGAAGAGGAGAAGAGGGGGAGGAGGGAGAGGCGGGACGTACAGCTCGAGATGGTGGGCAGCTCGTCGTCGTGGTTGCCCCTCAGGAGCGGGATCTCCTCGATCTCGTCGTCGCTGCCGTCGAGCTCGCGCAGGGCGGCGCTCTGGCGGCCCTTGACGTCCTCGAGGAGGAGCCGGCCCTTGGGCATGACGACGACGCCGTGCTTGCCCTTGGCGCCGCCAACGCCGCGGCCTCGTCCCGCCCGTCCCGTCGCCGATGACGACGACTCGCCGACGTCGTCCTGGGCCGAGCTGTCGGGCGTGCCGGCGTCGTCCCTCACCTGGGGCGACGGCGCCGCAGCTCCTGCGCCGCCGGCCCGGTCCTGCTGCTGCGACTGGTCGAGGACGTGGCCGCCGAAGACGCCGGCGAGGAAGCGCAGGATCTTGTTGATCGTCTCCTCCTGCTTCTTGTGCTTCTCGCGCGACTGGACGGCCTCCTGCCACAGGGCGTGGTTGCGCGCCTGGAGCTCCTTGAGGTCGGCGCTGATGGCCGTCTGGTGCTTGCGGATCGCGGCGAGGTCGGTGATGAGCGACGAGAGGTCGAGGGTGCCGTCCGAGCCGGCCGAGGGCACGACGGCGCCGTCCGTCTTGACCTTGCGGTGGATCATGCACAGGAGGTCGGGCTGGCCGCGCTGAAAGTTGGCGTTGCAGAACTCGACTGTGACGGGTGTCTGTTGGGTCAGTAGGGAGGACTGAGGGAGCTTCTTAGAGAGAGAGAGAGAGGGGACGCACGCATGTCGCCGTCCTCCGAGTTGTCGCGCTTGAGGACGCCCTGCTGGAGGTGAGGCACCTTGTGGAAGCCGTACATGTTGAGTTGGCGGACGAACGAGCCAAAGTTCTGGTGCTTGAAATAGAGCGGGAGGAGCTCGGTGCCCATCCTGTCGGCCGAGGGGACTGGGTGCGAGAGCGAGGTCCGGTGAGGGAGGGGTTCGTCGGCGAGAGCGTGGAGAGAGAGGGGGGACGCACCGAAGAAGGATTCGCCGTCGTCTGACCAGCGGATGAGGTCGTCGGTGCCCGGGTCCGACACCATGCTGCACGACGAGGGGAGGTGGGTTCAGTGGCCGAGCTTCGAGGGTCGAGGAGGAGAGAGCAAGACGGACGTGAAGAGCTTTGTGAGGAATGCGGGGACGTTCTTTGCCGTCTCCTTGTTGGGTTTTGCGCGGACAGGCTGAGCCGGTGGAGCGAGCGGGAGCTGTCGAGAGCTGAGGGTGAGCTCCATGCCGGGTCGAGACGGGGGGTCGGTCGCGGTCGAGGTGGACGAGTGTGGTGGCGGGTCTGGTGGTGGCTGGGTCGCTGTTGCTTTGCGCGGGCGGGGCATGGCTGTCGGGTCGTTGTTGGTCGAGAGGAGGAGGAGTCGAGACGAGCGCGAGCTGATGAAGTCGACTCGTCTCGCTCTCGCTCCAGAGCCCAGTCCAGCTGCGCCGTGCACCATGCCAGATCCTCCTCCATCAACCACAGCCTCGCCCGCACCCGCCGCACCCGCCGCACCCGCCGCAACCACCACCTCGGCCGGCGCTGGACCGTCCCCGCTCGACTCGCTGTCGCCCACCGACCTGCGCATAAAGCTCGAGCACGCCCGCAAGACCCTCAGGAACCAGCTCGACAAGAAGCGCAAGATTGACCGCGACCTCGTGCGTTGTGGCCCCCTCTCCTCCCTCGACGCGCACTCATCCCCTCTCCCCTCTTTGGCGACACAGGCCACCCTCGAGCAGTCGATCTACGCCTTTGAAGGCTCGTACCTCTCGGACGCCCTCTTCTCCTCCTCCTCGTCCACCACGGGCGGCCCCAACGGCTCGTCGTCCACAACGGCCGCCCAGTTCGGCAACATCATCCGCGGGTACGACTCGTACCTCAAGGCGCCCTCGGGTGGCGGCAGCGACCGCCGCAAGATGGGCGGCGGCGGCGGCGGCGGCGGTGGGCCCAACGACAAGGAGCGCATGTTCAGCGCGAGCAGCGCGACGTACCACCGCGTGCGTCTCCCTTTCTCTCTCTCTCTCTCGCGTGTGCGCTCTCAAGTGATACGCAGGATTCGCACTCACACGAGCCCGGTCCGCCAGTCGATCGAGCTCCGAGCAGCAGAAGCCGCCGCGTCGGTCGAGCCCGAGAGCGACGACGACTCGGCGCGCACCAAGAAGCGGCGGCATTGAGGCGTCCCCTCCCACAGACGTCTCGAGGTACGTCGGTGGGGCACAGGAGACGAGGGGCGAGGAGCGAGCGAGGGGCGCCTGTACCGGTCGAGGTGGCTCAGGTTGGGGTGTACGACGAGCTGTGCCGTGTTGTTAAGCTGAGCACATTCTAGCCGAAGCTACAAGAGGTGCACCAGCGTGGGCCTCGTGAGGCCCCAGCACTCGGACCTTGTCCCGGTGCGAGAAGGACGGCGTCTCACCCTCCAGCCGACCACTTCCTCCTCCCCTCCTTCCACAGCGACAGCCCCATCGCCACCATGTTGCTGCCCGCCCCGTCGTCCCTCCCCTGAGCGCCTCGCACCTCGCGCACCAGCACAGCCGCGAGTCCTTGACGCCGCTGTCGAGCGACGCGTGCACGACCCTGCGAGCGAGACGATGCCCGTCGACGACGACGACGACGATGAGGGCGAGAGAGGGCAAGGGCGACGTCGGCGAGGGCGAGGGCGAGGCGACGGCGAGGACGAGGACAGGCGAGGAAAGGAGAGGAGAGGCGAGGCGACGAGGGGCGAGGAAAGGCGACGGCGAGGACGAGGAGAGGCGACGAGAGGCGAGGCGACGAGAGCCGAGGCAAGGAAAGGAAAGGCGAGGCGAGGGAAGGAGAGGCGAGGAAAGGAAAGGTCAGTCCCTGTGACTCGGCGACGGTCGGGCACGACGAGGGAGACGGTGAGCGCACCTTGACCGTCGGTCGTCGCCGTCGACGCAGTCGGGGTTCCCGCAGCACTGCGACGTAAAGTCCTCGGGCGTAATGAAGATCTTGTAGTCGATCTGGCGGCCTCGAACGCTCGTCTTGCGCGACTTGAGCTCGAGCTCGACCGCCCGAAGGAGCGGCGCCGTGATCCGGGCGCCCTGCTGCTGGCCCGAGCGCGCGTAGATGCCGGCGCCGACGAAGATGGCGAGCTTCTTGTTGGCCGGGTACGGCTTGCCCTTGTGCAACTCGCCGCCGAGGATCTTGTCGACGAGGTCGGCGGCCGCCTGCCGGTACTCGCGCTCGCGCCGCTCCTTGGCCGTCGCGACGAGTCGCTGTCGTCGAGCGCTCACGTGGCGTAGGACGTCGAGTCGGCCGACGGCGACGACGTTGTTGACCGGGAACTGCGCGCGGCCGAGGCGAGCCGCCTCGTCGGCGTCGACGATGACGCGCCGCATGAACTCGCCGTAGTAGGCGCTGGCCTCGTGCGACGCCCGTCGCTGCAGCTCGAGGAGCGAGTTGCGGCTGTAGGACCCGCTCGCCTCGCTCCGAGGATCGACCGCCTCGGCCTGGGCCCGTGCGGCGGTGACGAGCTGGCGCCGCTGGTCGAGGTCCGACACGACGACGTCGTGCTGCCGCTGCGCTGCGGCCAAGGCGACGAGGGCGGTGGTCGTCGAGAGAAAGCCGTGCTCGAACGCGATCTCGAGCGCCTGGTACGCGCGCTCGGCCGGCGTGGCGGCGGCGGCGGCGGCGGCGGTGGTCGAGGTCGACGGGCCGGCGGGTGCGACAGTCGACGCCTGCAGGAGGTGAAAGAGAGCGTCAGGACGAGGATGAGGCGAGCGGGGCGGGCGAGAGAGAGAGGAGAATAGGACGGACGAGGACGACGCCGCGCTGCTCGGCGCGCACCTTGGCGAGGACCGCCGTCATGGTGGAGCGGCCCCACGTGCCGCGCGCCTTGCTCGCGCGAGTTGTGCACTCCTGGATGGTCGCCTGCATGTCGTTGGGCGACGGGCGCGGAAGGAGCTCGCGGCCGTGGGCGTCGAGGTGGAGTACGAGGCGTAGCAGGCTGACGACGCACTTGCCAAAGTCGGCCGACGTCGACCAGTTGACGCCGCGCCAGGGCACGTTGGGGAGGGTGCCCCATGGCGTGCGGGCGGCGAGCTGGCCGGCATCGACGAGGTACCGCTCGTACCGCTGCTGCTCGCTCCTCGCGCGCTCCTCCCAGTCGGCGACGTCGACCGCCTTGCCCTTGCCCGTGCCCGCCCCGCCGCCGTCGCCGGTGCTGGCGCCTGCTCGGCCGACGTGCTCGAGCCAGGTGCCGAGCTGCGCCTCGTCGAGGAGGGGGACGACGGCGACGTGCAGGAGGTGGAGCGAGCGCGCGTCGATCTCGTACTCCTCGGACGCGTCTCGCATACCGACGACGAGGTTGTCGACGATGTCGATGACCGAGTCGAGGTTGTCCTTCGAGACGACGCCGTCCTGGTTGAGGGCGGCCTGGATGTTGTCGATCGCGGACGAGGCAAAGACGACGTCGCCGGCCTGGACGACCTTGAGAGGGGTCATCGAGCAGGCGGCAGAGGCTGGTGCGGCCTGCAGGACACAGAGAGGCGTGAGCCGACTGCGACGCGACCTCGCGCCGAATGTGGGGAAGGGGAGGGAGGAGCGGGTCTGGCCGGCGGCACACGCACCATGGTGGGAGCGACGGCGCGAGGGCGAAGTTGGAGAGCACTGGTCGCGTAGTCGGGCGTGCTAGGTACGCTCGGCGAGCGAGAGGTGGAGGTCGAGGAGGGCGAGGTCGAGGGGGACGAGAGCGGGTTGTGAGGAGCGAGGCGGCGCTAGTCGGGCTGCGCAGGGTGGTGGTGGTGGCGAACAGGGCGGCGGGAGCCCATGGAGCTGCTCAAGCGAGTCACTGCGGAGGTGTTGAAGCGAGAGCGGGCGGCGGGCGACCAAGTCTGCACGGTGCAGGGTACCCCCTGTCTCGCATTCTCTTCTCTTGCGTCTCGCTCTCTCGCGCCTCCAGCAGGCCTGCTGAAGCTTCCTTTCGCCTTGCACTCACATCGCTGTGACATGGGGTGCGGCGCGACGCCTGCGCGCGGCCGCCGAAGCTTGTTAAACGCTTTCTCTCTTACGCTCTCTCGCGACTGTTCTGTTCCGAGCGAGAGTATTCCCTGTTCCAGGTACCGAGACGAGAGACGCAAGACCTCGCGAGACGCAGCCGACGGCGCCCGCCTCGCGCCCTCTCTCCTCCGCGCGCTCGTCCACTCTCTCGCTCGGCCGCCAGCGCCGTCGTTAGCTGACGAGCCGAATCTGGGCGCAGCGCAACGAGTCCTTGACCCGACGCGAGGGTACGAGAGCGGCTGAGAGCGTGTCCTGGCGCGGCGCACGGGGAGGGTCAGTGCGCGCTCGACGAGGCGGCGACAGGGGCGAGATGGGGGGCGCACCTGCGGCGTTTCGGGCTTGGCTTGAGCGTCGGCGTCGAGGGTGTCGGTGAGCGACGAGTGGGTTGCGCCGCAGTCGGGGTCGAGGTGCGCGGCGCGGCGGGCTGTTGAGCAGGTGCGTCGAGAGAGGCTCGACGGTGCAGGGACGGGGGAGCTGCGGCGCTCGGGTCGTCAGTGCGGCTCTACTCGAAGGAGATTGCGAGACGCGTGAGAGAGAGAGAGAGAGAGAGCCGTCAGACGCACCGTCGTCCCTGCTCAGCCAACCTCATGCCCGCGCTCCTCGACCCCGTTCGCCGCCGACGACAGCCGCCCTCTGCGCTCGGCCGCTCCCTCGCCCTCGCCCTCGCGCGCCGCCCTGATCAGGCCCTCGAGCGCCCTGTTGGCGCTCGCGCTCACGAGCCGCATCGCCACGGCACCGCCGCGGCCGCCGCTCGAGGACGACGCCGACGCCGACGCCGACACCGCGCGAACCCAGTCGTGCGCGTCTCGCGCGCCGCCAGCGGTCACGGCGGGCTCGAGGTGGAGGAGCGCGATCGGGGTCGAGGTCGCGCGAGCGTGGCGGATGGCGGCCTCGGTGAAGCCGCTGAGGGCGACGAGGAGGCCGATGTGCGGCGTGGGTGGGTTCGAGGGCTGTGCGGCGAGGGTGCCCTCGAGCTCGCGGACGGTGGCGGGCCCGACGGGGTGCGACTCGGCCTTGCACTGGACGAGGACCGGGTGCGAGGGCGAGGGCGAGGGCGAGGGCGAGGGCGAGGGCGAGGGGGCGAGGTGCCAGCGTGCGCGAAGGTCGATGCCGTGGTCGCCCTTGCCGCCGACTCGGACGATGCGGTCGAGGCGGTACTGGGGTGCGTGGGCGAGGAAGTGGGCCGTGGCGTGTTCGTAGGCGGTCCCGAGTGCGACGGTTGAGGGACGAGGAGGAGGCGGGCGAGGTCGCGAGAGTGCGACCGGGCGAGGGATGCGGCGCATGGCCATGGCGTGCTGGTAGCTGGTGCGCAGGCTGACCACAGCGAGCACTTGAGCAGCACAGTGACGAGAGAGAGGAAGAGAGACGACCGCCCGACCAGACCCTCCTCGCCTCGCTCTCGCCTCGACAAGATCAGCGACAGCCGCACTCGAGGATGCGGTTCGGCCTCGACGACCACCCCGACAGCTCGAGCGACGACCCAGACTCGCCCCTCCCGCCCCTGCCCTCGTCCCGGTGCGTCCTCCCCTCCTCCCTCCCCATCCTCATCACCTCGCGCTCACCCTCGTCCTCACACAGCTCGAGCCGCCCTGCGCCCACTCGCACCAAGCCCGCACACCCATCACCGGCCACCTCCCCACGAGAGCCCTTCAACCCGACCCCGCTCCGCCTCGTGCGCCCGCCCTCGCTCAGGCACCCGCACCACCACCACCGCCCGCGCAGCCTCGCTCCTCCTTCGCCCGACTCGCCCACCATCCTCGACTCGCTCGACAGCAGCAGCGACGACGACGGCGACAGCAGCGGCGACGACGACGACGACGACGACGACGACGACGACGACTCGGACTTGGACAGCGAGGAGGAGGCGTGGCCTGTCGGCCCCGTCAACAGCGTCGGCCCCGGTGGATGGCGTAGGCGAGGCGCACCTTCGAGCGCACGCAAGGGCAAAGGGTCCGTCCCCTTCCCTCTCCTTCTCTCTCTGTCTCTCTCTTTCAGGACTCGGACTGACGCCGCCTACGCACCCCGACAACAGCCGCGCCGCCGACTACCCGTCGTCGTCCGACCCGCCACGGGTCTTTGGCGCCCCGGACGACCTCGACGTGTGGGACGACAAGGCGCGCGCGTCTAGCTGGGCCCTCGCCAACCGCACCTTCCACCTCTCGCTCGCGCGCTCCAAGCACCTCTCGCCCGCGCTCCACCAGCACGCCTCGTCTTCTTCGCGCCGCTCCACCACCACCGCCACCGCCAACACCGCCTCCCCGTCCTCGTCGTCGTCCGCCGACCTCGACTCGATCTCGGGCCTCCTGTCGCAGCTCGAGCTGCAGCACTCTCGCGACGCGGCCGCGCTCGTGCGCGGCTTCGAGCAGCGCAACGCGGCGCTGTGGGACGCCATCGAGTCGAGCATCCGCGCCGCCGAGGCCGAGGAGGGCGAGCGGCAGCGCGCCTTGGTCGAGGCGCGTGCGCGCGAGGAGGAGGCGCAGCGCCGCGCCAAGGAGATGCGCGAGGCCGAGGAGCGGCGCGCCGAGGACGAGAGGAGGCGCAAGGAGGACGAGGACAAGCGCGCCGAGGAGGAGCGCGTCCGGCGCGACAAGGAGGACGAGGCGAACCGGGCCGCGAGGGCCGAGGAGGAGCGCAAGGCGGCCGCAAAGGCGAGCGCGCTCGGGCTCGCGACAGGCGACGCCGAGGGCTCGCCCGAGCACGAGTTCAAGCGGTGGACCGCCAAGATGCAGGTGCGTCGCGCCTCTCCCTCTCTCTCTCTCTCTCTCTCTCTGGCGTCGCTCGACCTCGCCTCGGGGTCCGAGCACCGTCCTGACCTCTCCCCCCCTCGTTTCCCGCGACGCGCAGCACATCAAGCAGGCCGTGCTCCCCGTCGTGTCGCAGAACCCGGCGTGGCGCAAGGCGTGCTTCCAGGCCAAGCGCGCCATCACGCCCAAGATTGGCCAGCTCACGTCGTCGGCCCAGGCCATCTCGCGCATCACGGCCCAGCTCGACGACGTCCTGTCGTCGATGCGCGCGCCACCCCCTGCCGGGCCGGGCGCGCCCGAGCCCTACACGTGGACGCTCAACCACCTCGCGAAAGCGCTCGTCAAGCAGGCAGAGACCGAGGTGACGGCCAAGCTCGGGACGGCGTACCCGCTCGCGAGGGTCGTCGTCGGCCTGCTCGTGCGCGGCCACACCGAGCTCGGCGACGTCCTCATGGCGAGGCTCGTCAAGAAGTGCTTCTGGGTCACGGGCCACTTTCCGAGGAGGGCACCTGTGCGTCCCGCTCTCTCCCTCTCTCTCTCGGACTTGCCCCTGCCCTGGCATCCTCACTGACTCTTTTGCTCTCCCCCTCTCTCTCTCGCGCGCGCATCCCTGCAGGGCGACACGGACGAGGCGCACCAGAAGACGCTCGGGCACGCCCCGCCAACCTCGTCCGAGACGCTCGTCCAGTACGCCGAGCGCATGTCCGGTCTCGTCGCCCTGTACGCCGCCATCCTCCAGACGTCGCCCCTCTCGCCTCCTCAAGGCCCGCCCGCCTCACCCGACGCCCTGCGCAACGTCCCGCCCCATTTCCGCCCCGCCGCCGGTTGGCGCTGGCTCGCGCTCGTCCTCCGTGCGCCCCTCGTCGCCCTCGAGCCGACCCCGCTCCTCGTCGTCACCTTTCTCGAGGTGGCCGGCGCTGCCCTCGTCGACGTGTACGGCGCCCAGATGCGCAAGTTGCTCGACTGCCTGTTGCGCGAGGGCGTGCGCGACAACAAGGCGGGCTTCTCGGACAAGGCGAGGGGGAGCCAGGTCCGGCTCTTGCTGTGGCTCGAGGAGTGGGAGAAGACGGGCACGGCAGAGTGCGCAAAGGGGAGGGAGGTCGACCCGTAGCCGTCGCGCGAGCCGCAACTCTTTCGCCTTCTCTCTCGTGCTCGCTCTCGGTCGTGGTCGTCCGTTCCTCTCTCGCCGAGAGACACAGAGAGAGTACTGCAGGATTCCTTTGCACAGCTTTGTCGTCGTCGTCATCTTCATCGTCCTCGTCAAGCCCGCCTCGCTTCTCCAAGCTCGAGGAAACCCGCGCCCGTCTCGCTGCCGCTCTACTCGTCCTTCTTGCCCGACGCCGCCGTCGTGCGGCGCTTCTTGCGCGCGAAACTGTCCTTGTACGCCTCGAAGAATGCCGTCGGCTCGGTCAGGTCCTGGCCCGTCACGCCGCGGAACGTGACTCTTCCGGCGACGTAGTTGGTCTTGCCCTCGCGCACGAGCGAGTAGTACCTGCGTGTGACGACGAGGCGGCAGTCAGTGAGACGTCGAGAGGCAGGCAGGGAGAGGGAGAGGGACGCACTCGAGGAGGTAGGCGCGCTCCGAGTCGTCGAGCTCCTGCCCCTGCGGGCCCTGGAGGATCTTCTTGGCCTCGCCCTCGCGCACGCTGTGGAACTTGAGCGGCGCGCCGAGCGCCTGCGACGCCGCCTCGGCGAGCTCTGGGCCGGCCGTGAGCTGCGGACCTGCGAGGCGGGCGGTCCGTGCGGCGAGTCAGGGTCGGCGGGCGGGGCGTGTCGGGAGCAGGGAGAGAGGCCGGCGCACCCGTGAGAGGGATCATCGAGCCACGGACCTCGTCGGCGAGGCCGTGCTCGCCTTCTGACGTGAGGATCTTGGCTAGGAGGAGGCACACGTCGCCGAGCGCGACCTGCTCGGGGCAAGCTGTCAGTTTGTCGTCGAGGAGACAAAGCAGAGAGAGAGACGCACAGGCGCAAACTTGTGGTCCTCGTCGATCGGGATCGGGAGCTTGCCCTCGCCCTGGGCCTGCTTCGAGTCTGCGGCGCGAGGTTTGAGAAGGTCAACTTGCGCCCGCTCGTCGACGGACTCGAGGCGAGGCGAGACGAGACGACGCACAGAGGAGGAGATTCTCGAGGTAGAAGCCGGCACTGCAGAGGCGAGCGAGGCGTCAGTGACGACGAGGCGAGGAGGAGGGTGAGAGGGAGTAGGCGCACCGAACGATGCAGGGAGAGTGGCCCGTGTCCTCGGTCGACGGGTCCGACTTGGGCGCCATGGCGAGGACCTGTAGAGGCGTACATGTCAGTTGAGGCAACAGAGAGGCGGAGGGAGAGAGAGAGCGCGCACGCACCTCGAGGTCAATGAACTCGCGCAGGTGCGGCTGCTTGTCGCGCTCGGCATAGTCGCAGCCCGCACTCGAGACAAAGACGAGGTTCTTGACGTTCTTGGCCTTCTTGCCGACCTCGAGGACCTGCTTGACGAGGTCGAGCTTGTCCTGCGTGGCGAGGACGACGAGGTGAGCCCTCGAGGTACAAGAAGGAGGAACGAGACGCGACGGGCGGGGCGCACCTTGCGCGCCGGCGGGATGAGGCACAGCGTGTCGACGCCGAGTTCCTTGAGCTTGGCATCGTCGAGCGAGTCGGCGGGCATCGTCTCGACCGAGTACTCGTCGAGGATGTCCTTGGCGTCGGGCCCGGGCTCGCCAAAGGTGAGGCCGACGACCTTGGCGAACTTGCCGTCAAAGTCGGGGTCGGACAGGAGGAGCTCGACGAGCGACGAGCCCGTGTGGCCGTCGACGGCCGTGACGGCAATGACCCGGCTCGACTTGGCGGCGTTGGCGCTCTTCGAGTGGCTGGCCTTGGTCGAGCCGTTCTTGGTGTCCGAGTCGGCGGTGCGCTTCTTCTGAGGAGGCATGGTGTCGTGCTGCCGTCGAGCAAAGGTCAGCTTTGGCGCACGGAGAGCTTTCTCGCCCCCGGGTCGCGGAGCGAGATGTGGGGGAAACGGAGGATGAGGGCGCACCTGTGAGTTTGTCGGGGGGGGGGGTGCGAGGCCGGTGGTGGTGCGTGAAGAGGAGCTTTTGTCGAGCGAGAGCAGGTGCAGGGGGAGGGAAAGAAAGGAGGGGCGAGGGAGGACGCGAGGCAAGCTGCGCCGACGACGCAACTGCCTCGCGCGCGCGACGGTGACGGAGAGGGAGCGTGCACCTCGCTCGTCTCACCTGACGACCCTCGCCATCTCGAGCCTCTCTCGAGCAGTATCGTGCAGTCGAACTAGTTACACACGAGAGGGGACAGCACGCGAGAGAGGGAGATGGAGAGAAACGAGGGGGTATCGACAACGACGAGGAGACAAGGGAACCACAGCAATCTGCCCGCCCACCGACCAGGCTCACGGCGCACTGCCGCCCCTCGTCGCCACCTTGTACAGCAGGAACAGCGCGACAAAGCCCGCGACGATGCCGAGCTGAATCCGGCCTGCGCCGCTGCCCGTCTGCACCGACCGCGCGAACCGCGACGAGGTGTTGGACAGCGACGTCTTGAAGCTGTCGAACGCGTTGCTCTGCACGGTCGACGAGTTGTCGAGGCGCAGGAACGCCAAGGGAGGTGGGCCGGGAGAGGTGGGACGGGCAGAGAGGAGGGAGGGAGGAGGAGAAGAGGGTCAGCCACGCGTCCCCGCCTCGCCCGCCCACGACAAAAGAGAGGACGCACAGTGCCGTCGAGGAGCGAGTTCTGTGCCCTCGAGTCCTGGTAGATGTCGCTAGTCACCTGCGAGGGCGAGGGAGCGAGGGCGAGGGGAGAACGCGGGGGGTGGAGCCGATGAGGACGAGAGGGGGGCAACAGTCAGCGCAGGCCACCAGAAGGGTGTGAGGACAGGACGGGACGCACCCCTCGCAGTGCAGAGATCTTGGAGTGCAGGTCGTTCAGGTGCTGGTCGTTCTGCGACTCGAGGTCGACCTCGGACGACTGCTGCGTCGTCTTGCCGCGGCCCCAGCCTCTGCGGGTGCGCTCGAGAGGGTCAGAACTGCTTCCCCTAAGGAACAGAGAGTGGAACGAGCGGACGCACGACATGGCGCGAGTGCGACGAGGCGAGGTCGAGGTGGTTGAGAGAGGCCAAGGTGCTGCACCGCCGCTCGCTCGCTTTCCAACACGCTCTCGGTGCGCCTCTCTAGCGCGAGCTCGAAAGATACACAGTCCTGCAATGACAAGGGACGTCTACTTGGCCACGGCGTGCAAGCTCTCTGCGAGGTGCGCGAACCACTCGACCTCGCCGTGTCCCTCCTCGCGCATCGCCTCGGCGACGACGCGCGCCCGCATGCGCACAATGTCCCTCCACCGCCTCGACATGCCCCGCGCCTGTCGCACGAGCTCGTCCTCGCCGACGGCAACGACCCGCTTGACGAGCTCGTCGACCCGCGCCGACGACCGCTCGCCCGACCGCAGCGCGGCGGCGAGCGTCGACAGGCCGACGAGCGCGTCGTTCGGCGCCGAGGCCGGCAAGTTCTGCCTCGCGAGGCCGTGCAGCGCGAACGCGACGTCGGCCGGGCTGCTCGACAGGAACCGGTACGCGCCCGACGCGGCGACGGCGACGGGTGCGGCGGCGTCGGACGCCTCGGCGCCCTCTGCGGCGGCGGCGGCAGCCTGCGGGCGGCTGATCTTGGCAAAGACCGGGTACAGCGCCGCGAGGTCGGTGGGGACGTCGAGGCCGAATTGGTCGCGGTTCAAGAGGACCTCGACGGCGGCCTGGCCCTCGTCGGCGTCGAGCTTGACGAGGCGCTTGACGACGAGGGCAGAGATCGAGTCGGGGAGGGCGGGAAGGCTCGCGGCGCGCCACTTGGCGACGAGCGACAGGACCTCGGGGAGCTGCGACGGCTCGGCGGCGCGCACGAGGTGGTCGACGAGCGAGGTCGACGGGAGGAAAGACCGGCCGTCGTGCTTCTTGGCGCGGCGGAGCGCCTGCTGGACGTTGCCGACGGCCTGCGCGTATAGTGTGCTGCGGTCCTTGGTCTGGCCGGTGGGCGAGGAGGCCGCGGGGGAGGAGGCGAGGTCCTCCTCGAAGTCGTCGAACTCCTCCTCGACAAACTCGTCGTCGAACTCCTCCTGGACCTGCTTGCTGGCCTTCTTGAAGACTGTGTACGGATTCCAGGGTCAGCTCATGGTTCTTGGCGCAGTTGCGGGCCCGTGAGAGCTCGGCGAGTGACGAGGGAGATGAGGGCTCACCAGGAGCGGCGGCGGAGAAGGCTCGGGGCGCAGGGCGAGCTGCTGGGAGCGCCGCAGGGCGCACAAGCTGGCGTGCAGACCGCACGCACGAGTTGCACACGCGAGAGAGCATGGTTGGCGGGCGAGAGCAGTCTCTCCTCTCCCCCTCGCGCTTTCCTCGCGACCGCGACACTCGACCAAGGCAAGGCAATGGATCGATACAGCGCAAGATTAAGTACTCAGAAGGCTCGAGAAAATGCAACACGAGGAGCACGGCGCAAAGAGATGGGGTATCCAAGGCGAGGAAAATCGAAGAGAGAGAGAGAGCGACGAGGGCAGAGAGCACGCTAGCCTCGAGGCCTGAAGCCTGTCGGCTGCGGCACGAGTCCCTGGCCCCTCGACACCGCTGCCGAAGCGCTGAGCGACGGCGACATCATCTGCGCGCCCGCCGCGCCGCCGCCCGCACCTCCCCAGCCCGCCGGGATCCGCATGCCCTGCGACCCTGCACTCGCCCCGAGGAACGACGCCGACCCACTCGAGCCCGTCGACGCCGACAACGGCGTCTGCGCGACCGTCGAGCCGGCGCCGACCGTGCCCGAGCGCGCGCGCGAGCCGCCTGTCGGCTGCGCCTTGAGCGGCTGCGACGGCGTCGCCGCGACGCCGTAGTTCGAGTGGTCGCCGAGCGCCAACTTTGGTCGACCGATGCGCGAGGCTGACGGGGTCGGGGCGGTCGACGAGCCGGCGCCTTGGGCGAGGCGTTTGGGAGCGGGCGGGCCGGTCGAGGTGGCCGAGGTCGCAGAGCGGGCCGAGGCGCCCGTCATCTGGCGCTTGAGCGGCGCCATGGTCGAGGCGCCTGTGTGCTGGGGCTTGAGGGGCCGCGCGGACGACGACGACGATGAGGCGCCCATCTTGGCGCGCTGCGAGCGGGCGAGGACAAAGCGTCAGGAGGTCGCCCGAGCTGGGCGGAAGGGGACGACCGAGGCGCACCTTGCGGTTCTCCTTCTCCTGCTCGTCGGCGCGGAGCTGCTCGTCGAGGCCCTGGATGAAGCCGACGCCGTTGATGAGGAACGGCCGCCCGTTGGCCGCCTCCCACTCGGGGATCATGAGCCGAAGCTCGGCCTCGAGCTGCGCGACAGGGGCATCGTCGTCAGGAACGTGGTCGAGCGCAGGGAGGAAAAGGGACGAGGGAGAGGGACGCACCTTTGGCCGCTCGCGGTCGACGCGCTTGCGGTCCTTGGCCTCCTGCGCGAGTCGTCCTGCGGCGCCCCGGCTCTTGTCCATGAGCCGACTCGGGTCTGCCGCCGCCGCCTGCAGGACGTGGAGAGGGTCAGTACGGTGCCTGTCGTCATTTTCCACGTGCTGCGCCGAGGCCTCGGTCTCGACGCAGGAAGAGAAGAGGATCGAGGGGGACGCACCTCGAGCTCCTTGGTCTTCTCGACGACCTCGAAGTACCGTCCAAGCCGGTCGAGCACAGGCCTCAAGTCCTCCTCCTCGCGCTCGAGCCGCTCGCGCTCGCGCTCGTGCGCAACGAGCAGCTCCTCGCTCACGTTGGGGCTCACGACCTCGTCCTCGCAGCCGTGGGCCGCGTTCCACACGCGAGTCGGCTCGACGCTGATGCTGTAGGCCGGGAACTGGGCGACGCGCTGCGCGTGCGAGACGTACAGGCGGTCCCACAGGGCCGTGAGGGCCTCGCGCTCGCGCGTGATGAAGCCCGACAGGTTCGAGAGCTTGAGCTGGAGCATGCGCGCGAGCTCGTCCTGGTACTGCGAGGGGCAGGGCTGGGTGTCAGTACGCGAGAGGAGGCGAGAGGAGAGAGGCAGGGGAAGGTGGACGCACGGCGTTGACGACGTCGAGCGTCGAGCCCATGTGGCGGTTGACAAAGTCCTCCATCTCGTCCTCGGACACGCCGAGCATGGTCCACAGCGGGTACAGCTTGTCGTAGGTCGTCTGGATCGACATGTTGCGGCGGTCCTTCTCGTCCTCGAGCTGCGCACGCACGAGACGAGTCAGTACGGGGCGTCGCGACAGACGAGGCGCGACAACGTCACGACGCGAGAGGGAGACTTTGGCGACGCACCCACTTGCGCTTGGCCTCGACGCGCTGCACGTTGTCGGCGGTCGGGACGATCTCGCGCTTGGGCTGGCGGGCGTCGCCAATGCCGAGGTGCCACAGGATGTCCTCGTCGAGCGGGTCGGCGAGCGCGCCGTCTGACGCCTGGTGGATGCCGAGCTCGCTGCGGAGCGCAAAGATCTCGTTGGTGCTCGTCGTGAGGACGTCTCGTCGGCGGGCCTGCGAGTCGAGGTGCGAACAGGGTCAGTTGGCGGGTTCGCAACGAGGGAGGGCAAGGAGGAGGGGAGAGGGACGCACGATCTCGGCCTCGCAGCGCATGATCTCGGTCTCGAGGGCGCCCATGCGCTCGAGCTTGAGGTTGAGGTCCTCCCAGCTGCCCGACTGTGCGGCGTCGTCCAACTCGACGTCGAGCCACTCGCGGCCGACGACCTCGGCGAGGGCCCTCAGGCGCTCGTGGAGGGCGAGGATGCGGGTGCCGCGTTCCTCCATGCGGCCCTTCATGCCCTCGCGGATGCGGTCGACCTCGTCGACGAGGACGAGGAGGGGCCCGTCGCCGCGGCGCTTTGCCGGGCGCAGAGGTTCGCCGAGGGCGGCCTGCCAGTCATGAACGCGGGTCCAGGCGGCGGCGAGGCGTTGCTCGGCGGCGGCGACCTGGGCCTCGGCGGCCGAGCGCTGCGAGGCGAGGAGGGTGTCGAGGGCCGACTCGAGCGAGGCGAGGTGCGAGTCGACGAGGGGTTGTGGGGCGGGCGAGAGGGCGGCGTAGAGGTCGGCGAGGGTGGTACGGTGCTCGGTGATGAGGTGCTCGAGCGCTCGATGGGCGGCTGGCGGTGTCGAGGCCATGCGCGGCGAGGTCGTCGTTGTTGAGAGATGAGAGCGAGTGTTTGTCCCGCTGGGGGCGGCGCGCGGTGGCGTGGGTGCACGCTGCGGGGCTGCAGGCGCGTGTGCTGGTGCTGGTGGGCGGGAGCAGGCACTAGCTGGTCGTTCGAGTGGGTCGAAGCAAGGGGGACCGCTTGCTCGACGTCGTCGTCCTCGGCGCGACCGCCTCTTTGCTTCGCGCACTCGCTCATCCCCTCGCCGTAGCACCGCTTGCTGCGCTACAGCTCGGCAGCGCTCTATAGCACCGCGTCTGCTGCCCGGATCGCCTGCCCGAGGCGGCCGTTCTCGCCCACCTCGCCTCGCCTCCGAGTCGCACCTGTGGACCAGCTTCCTGCCTGTACCTTGACCAGCCACCAATCGAGTCGTCGCACACGCACACCGAGATGGCGCAACCTGTACTCGTCGCCGCCCCGGCTGCCTGGCCCTACGCAGCCCCGGCCGTCGAACACGTCTCGTCCTTCTCGCTCGACGCCGACTACAACGCCTCGTTCGCGTGCACGTTCGAGCTCGAGATCGGCAACCCGGCCCTGACAAAGGTCGTCGCGCTCCCGCAAGTTCCGCTCCAGGGCATGTGGCACGTGTCCGTCTGGCGCAACGGCGACGTCGTCTCGCTCGCTCTCCAGCACAGCCCGCTCGCAGTCGGCGCGCTCGGGACCGACCTCGTCGGAAACCTCACGCTCGAGCGGTACTCCGACGGCGCGTTCACCGTCGTGGCGCAGAGCACGTCGCGTTGGGCGACGGTCCCACAGATCGACCCTGTTCGCCAGTCGTGCTCGTCCGGGTTCGCGCTCACGGTCCCGCCAGCCCACCTCAACGACCCGGCCCAGCGCAGCGTGTACCGCCTCTCGTTCAAGCTCCATCGCCCAGTGCTTCAGCCCGTCGCAGCCCCAGTCGAGCGGCAGGTCGGTCGCGTCGCTCGCCAGCTCGGCTCGCGGGACGCCAAGCAGCTCGCGCAGATCTCGCCAGGTGCGCCCCTCTCGCCCTTTACGTCGCAAATCGCCGACCAGGTACTGAATCGTCGCGCCCGCAGACACCCACACCCTCGCCCAGCCGCACGACGTCCGCATCTTCTTCCCGCACATCTGCGACTACGGGCCTTTCGAGCTGTGGACGTCCGAGAGCCTCCTCGTCGCGTCGTCGACCTACTTCCGCAACCTGTTCGCCTCGGACGACGTCGAGATCGTGCCCGCTGCGCACGGGCGCACGCACGTCGCCCGCGCGCAGGCCCCGCCCAAGATCATCGTCAAGCCGTTCGAGGACTCCGACGACGAGACGGACTGGCTCGTCGACGTGACGCTCGACCCGCTCACGGGTGGGCCGAACAGGCCTCTCCCGTTCGAGTACAAGCAGATCACGATCAAGGGCCACGAGGCGGCCTACACGACCTGGCGCGCCGGCCTCCTGTGGCTTGAGACGCGCTACATCGAGTTTGCGCCGCTCCTGTCGTCGTTCAGCGGCGCCAACGACCCGGCCGAGCGCCGCAACGAGGAGCTCGAGGCCATCCACGCCGAGAACCCGCGCCTGCCGTACCCGGCGTCGCCCAAGTCGGTGTACCGCCTCGCAACGACCCTCGGCCTCTCATATCTCCCCGATGAAGCATCCTACTTCTTCTACGACGTCCTCACGCTCGACACGGCACCTGTCGAGCTCTTCTCGGACCTCGCGCGCGACGACTGGTTCTGGCGCGTCACGGTCCGCTCGTGGCTCGTCAAGCACTGGGACGACGTCAAAGGGACCGAGGCGTGGACCGAGACGATGCGGCGCGTGAGCGAGGGCGAGATTGAGGGCGCTGGGCCGGCCATGGTCGAGCTCCTCGAGGAGGTCGGCAAGCGCAACAGTGCGCTCCTCTTTCTCTCTCCCTCGCCTATCTCCCGCACCCTCGTCGTCCTCGAACATGAACGCAGACACTGATTCACGTTCACTGTACAGACGTCAAGCCGTGAGCCCTTTTCGTCCAACACCACCTCGTCGCCTCGCCCACGCCTTTCCCTCTTCCTCGCGCGCCGTCCCGCCAGCCTCGCTTTGTCGTACCCCCCGCATTTGTACCCTGCAACGCTTTCTGTGCCCTGTGCGCCATGTCGAGCCGTCGTCGAGAGCTGCTCGTCGAGCGAGCCGAGCGAAAGAAAGTCGACCTTCTCAAGTTGCTCTCGGGCTCCCCTCTCTCGCACAGCAGGCTCGACACAGCACTCAACGCCCTGCACTCCAGCTCAACAGCTCTACGAGCCCACTCGCGACGACCGTAACCCCACCCACCGCGACCGTCCACCTTCTCACCCCGCGCTCGACCCCCTCGCGCCTCTCGACGACCCACCTCGCCGCCCTCGTCCGCCCCGCCTTGCGCAGCACCCGCTCGAGCGTGCCGCTCCCCCCCGCCGCAGCGTCGTCTCGCCCCTCGCGGCCCGGCGCGAGGCGCGGCAGCAGGCCCGCCTCGCCGCCGCTGCCGCTGCCGAGCGCGCGCAGGAACGCCGGGACGAGGTGTGCGCCGTCGAGATGCGGGAGCGGGAGCGCGTTGAAGAAGGCGAGGGCGAGCGAGAGGGAGACGAGGGAGCTGGTTTGGGCGGAAGAGGACGAGAGTGAGCTGCGGCGAGCGAGAGAGAGAGAGAGAGAAGGAAGAGGGAGGTAGGGACGCACGAGTAGAAGGCTTCGAGCGAGAGCGGCAGAGAGCGCGAGACGAACCAGTACCGCGGCGAGAGGTACGTCACCGTCACTGCGAGGCATGCGAGAGTCAGTCGAGGCGCTCCTGGGAGAGGGAGGGAGTAAGAGAGCGACGCACCGTCCCGCAGAACCGCGCCCCGCTCGCCCTGATACAGCACCGTCCTCGCCCCCTCCCCCCTCTCCTGCGCCCGACCGTCCACCTGAACCCCCTCGTCGACGACCCCAATCCGCAGCACCCGCTCTCGCGCACTGATGCGCGCGCACACGGTCCCACTCGCGGTCGCGCCGCACGACGCATCGTCGACACAGCGCGGCGCGGGCTCGGGCGCGGGCGGCACGAGCGCGAGCGGGTCGAGGCACGCTTGGAGCGGGACGGGCGCGCCGGCGCCGGCGGCCGAGGCGGGCGGCGAGCGGGCGGTGAAGCACACTCGCGGGACGGCGTCGTTCGTCGAGGCGCAGCACGCCTCGTCGCCGTCGACGTGGCCCGAGGGTACGACGTCCCACGCGAATCCTCGGCCGGCCGGGACGCACCACCCGAGGCGCTCGTACGGGTCGTTGGCGCGCTCAGGCCGCCGGCGGTCGAGCTCCCGGCGCCACAGCTCGAGGGCCGAGTTGACGCTGTGCGCTGCGGCGTCGAGTTCGAGGTCGTCGAGGTGGGTGATGGTGGTGCCAGGGACGAGGTGCTGGGCGAGTGGGGAGGACTGCGGAACGGGCGACTGAGGCCGTCAGGGAGGGCTTCGACGCCGCTGGCGAGCGAGAAAGGGAGAGCGACCCGACGCACCGACGACACCGACACGACGACGACGCCCTCTCCCATCTGCTCCCACACGCCGAGCGCGCTCCCCGTCCGCCTCCCGAGCGCGCCGCCCTGGTCCGACACGGCGAGCGCCGCGAGCGCGAGCACGACGTTGTGCCAGATGCCGGCGGCGGCGATGCGGAGCTCGGTCGCGGGCGAGGTTGGGGACGAGGGACCGGACGAGGGGAGGGCGACGGCGAAGGTCGGGAGGACGAGGAGGAAGAGGCGGACGTGGAGAGAGAGGAGCGGGATGTGCTCGCTGTGGGTCCCGAGTCGCGGGTCAGGTCTGGCGCTCGCACAGGGCCAAGAGAGACAGGGAGAGAGCAGAAGACGCACCATGCTGCAGCGAGCGCGTGCCCGAGCTCGTGGAACCCTTGCGCGACGACGAGCGCGGCAACGAGCGGCGGGACGAGCGAGAGCGGCGTCGTCAAGCCGGGGACCTGCTCGGCGACGCGCAGCGGGTGCGGCGCGCCACAAGGGGCAGTGAGAGGTCGACCCGGAGCAGGGAGGGAGGGTAGAGGAGCAGAGGGCGCACAAGCGGGCGGAGGAGGAGCGAGTCGGCGGCCGAGGAGGCGGCCTGGAGCTCGTCGCCGAGGGCGCGCCGTACGAGTCGCGCTGCAGTGCTGCCCTCGTGCGCGCCACCGACCATGCTCGCAAGCGCAGCGAGCGCCCTCATGCCCGCGACGACGAGCACTGCCTGCGCGACGACGCACCCCAGGAGAACGACGACGGTCCCGGCGTCGTACCACCCACCGAGCCGCCTGTGCCCTCCCTGCGCCGCCCTTCTCGAGCGCGGCACGCAGCGCAGCACGGCCTTGGGCACGCCGTTGAGCGCCGTCGTCGAGAGGTCGAAGGCCGTGGGGGAGAGGGAGACACGCGTCGTGCGGGTGCTGAGGCGCGCGAGGAGCGGGTCGAGGCGTGGGCGGGCGAGCTGCAGTGCCGCCCAGAGTGTGGCGAGGACCGCGAGGGGCAGCATGGCCCGCGGCGGGAGCGAGGCAGTGACAAGGAGAACGAGGTCGTTACGACCTCTCGATCTCGTGATCGCTCTCGAGGTGGCTCTCCCTTTCCTGCGCACGGCGCATGCACGCGTCGGACAAGAGAGGAGACTCGCATGCAGGGAGAAACCCGGGAGGGACAGTTCCTTTTGCATGCTTCGAGGGGGACGAGAGGGCACGACGGCTGTTGCTGCTAAGCGGCTCAAGAGGGGGTGGAAAGAGGGCGGGTGCGAGAGAGAGAGAGAGGGGAAGACGAAAAGGGAGACACGGCTGCGGGTGGTTTGCGGGCGCGCAGAGCGCTTAGTTCTGTCGAGGACCGAGCGAGAGGTCAGTCGGGTGCGCGCGAGAGACCGGCTCGAGAGAGGGGAACGCACGAGGTCCTCGATCTTGGCAGTCTCCTGCACGACAGAAGGAGCGAGTCAGGCACGGCTCGCGGCAAGAGAGAAGGTGGGAGGGACGCACTGCCGGGTCCGCCTCGACCAGCTCGGGAACGTCCTCCTCGTCGGCCTCGCCCTCGATGCCCGTCGGGGCGCCGCCCTCCTGGGCACCGGCGCCGCCCGGGCCAGCCTTCATCTGCTCTGCGAGGCGCTGGATGACGGCCATGGCGTCGGGCCCGAGCTGGTTGAGGACCGAGGGCATGAGCTCGGTCAGGTCCTTGTGGACGCCGTGGCCGTACACGGCGTACGTGTTGCTGCCGGTCGAGCAGTGGACTGTGGGCGCAGGACGAGAGTCAGTTGACGAGGTGAGAGATGAGAGAGAGGGCGCGCGGGGGAGAGGGGGAGGGGGGAGGGAGAGCGGGTGGGAGGGGTCAAGGGCGACGACGGACCGGTCGGGCGCTGGAAGTGGAGGATGCCGTCCTCCTTGAACATGTTGACCTCGTCGACGGCGCCGACGCCCTGGATGTTGAGCTTCTTGAGCTGGTTGCGGAGCTTGGAGTCGTCCTGGGAGGTGGCCTGCTTGGGGACGACCTTGCGGCGGATGGGCGCCTTGTTGCCGCCTGTCGTGGGGTGTGATGAAAGGTTGCGGTCAGCGTGGTGGCATGTAGGAGGCTCCTGGTGGGCTGTGTCGAGAGGGAGAGGCGGGAGGAGGGGGAGGTGGACGACGAGGGGTCCCAGAGTGTGAGCGAGGCAGAGGGACGCACTGAGCTTGAGCGCGGCCGTCTTCTTCTGGAGAGCGGCGAGGCGGGCGGGGTCGAAGGCAGCGTCGGACATGGTGGGCGAGGTGGGGACGACGAGAGGGGGGGAGGGAGCACCAGGAGGTCCAAGAGGAGCTCAGAGGAGGAGGAGCGGGTCGCCCCTCTCGCTTCCACACCTCGCTCGGGCCTGCTGCCATGACCTCGAGGGCTGCACGCGCACTCGCACCTGCACTCCGCCAAGCCCGCCCTTGCTGCCTGTGCCCGCCGCCGCCCCCTCGCCCGCGCAAGGCTCCCCGGCTCGCCTACTCGACTCGCGCCGCACCGGCCTCGTTCGACGACCAGGTCCTCGACGCTGCCCGCAAGCTCCTCGACGACGCCCACACCTCGCTCGAACAAGGCTCGGTCGAGGCCGCAAAGCGCAACCGCGAGCTCGAAGGCCTCCGCACCGCCCTCGACCATGTCGACCAAGGCCAGGAGGTGCGCTCCCTCTCTCCCTCACGCTCCTTATTGCCTCGACGCGTTACCGAGGGCTCTTGCGGCTTGATGCCGAGCTCGAGGCGAGCGTGCGCGGCCTCGCGGGGAGCTGCCACCGCGTCCTTGGTCGTGGCAGCCGAATGTCAACCTCTTCGAACCTCTTGCACTGACTCCCGTACCCCCTCACCTCCCGACGCAGCTCATCGCCAGCCTCCACGAACTCGCCGAGCTCGAGTCGGATCCCGACATGCGCGACCTCGCCCTCGCCGACGTCCCCGACGCGACCGCCGCCCTCGCGCGCATGCGCCAGCACCTCGTCTCGGTCCTCGCCCCGCCCTCGCCCACCTCGTCCCTCTCGGCCCTCGTCGAGCTCAAGTCGGGCGTCGGCGGCTCAGAGTCGTCCCTGTTCGCGGCCGAGCTCCTGCGCATGTACCAGCGCGTCGCGGCCCGCCGAGGGTGGACGGCGAGCGTCGTCGAGAGCGTCAGCGTCGAGGGCATGGGCACGGGCGACGCGTACAAGGAGGCCCTCCTCGAGGTGACGGGCGACGGCGCGTTCGGGTACCTGAGGCGCGAGGCCGGCGTGCACCGGGTCCAGAGGGTGCCCGCCACCGAGAGCAAGGGGCGCGTGCACACGAGCACCGTCTCGATCATTGTGCGTCTCTCGCTCTCTCCCTTTCCTGCAGGACGAGTACTGACTCGTCTCTCCACGTCCCCCGTCGTGCAGGTCCTCCCGAGCGAGTCGGGCAACCAGTCGTCCCAGGTCGACGACTCGGACCTGTACGACCTCAAGGACGTCAAGATCGAGACGATGCGCTCTCGCGGTGCAGGAGGACAGGTGCGTCTCGCCTCCCTCTCTCGAGACTCGCGCCTTCTCGCCGTCTCGGGGTCCCGTACTGACTCTCGCCCCGCCCCGCCTGCAGCACGTCAACCGGACCGAGTCGGCCATCCGCCTCACCCACATCCCGACCGGCATCACCGTCTCGATGCAGGACTCTCGCTCTCAGCACGAGGTGCGTCCCGCTCCCTCACCTCTCTCCCTCGCCCTCTCTCACCTCCTCGACTGACCCCTCTTTCCCTACTCACCCAGAACCGCTCTAAAGCGTTCCGCGTCCTGCGCGCTCGCCTCCTCGATCGCGCGCTCCAGGCCGAGATCGACGCTCGGCGCTCGCTGCGCAGGACCCAGGTCCGCGGCGCCGACCGCAGCGAGAAGATCCGGACGTACAACTTTCCGCAGGTGCGTCCCTCGTCGTTCTCTCGCCCTCTCTCTCTCTCGGCCAGACGAAGAAGCGTGTCCTGACGCTCGAGACTGTGTATCGCAGGGTCGCCTGACGGACCACCGCATCCCGATGACGGTGTCGGCGCTCGAGGAGGCCATGGAGGGCGGCGAGGTGCTCGACCACATCAACCGCGAGCTCGAGGAGCGAGAGGAGCGAGAACGCGTCGAGGACATCTTGGCGGGCTTGGAGGAGCCGTAGCGACGGAGAGGAGCGAGCTAGAGCTGGCAAGACGCACATAGAGACTGCTGTCGAGGTCGGAACGAGAGGGCGAGAGCGACTTCCCGGGTCGCTCACGAGCGCGCTTCTCTCTCTCTCACACAGACGATGACGAACACGATGAGGTGTCGAGCGTTGCGTGCGACCCAGAGACAGGCAGCCTCACCGCCGCTCGCGCCCCCACCGCTGCCCGCCTCCTCCCCCGACCCGATCCCGCTCGCGCTCGTCCCTGCGCTCCCTCTTCTCCGCCCACCCTCCTCCTCCTCCTCCTCTTGCTCCTCTCCGATCCTCCCACGCTCCCCCTCCCGCACCACTCCTCGCCGCCCTCGCCTGCTCGACCGCCTCGCGGTTGTACACGCCCCACCCGGCGCCGCCCTCGCCGCCTCCCTCGCTCCTCGCCGGCGTGCTGCTCGCCGTAGTGCTCCCCGACGACAGCGCCGCCTTCCTGCGCGCGGCGAGGAGCGCCGCGGCGCGCTGCCGCTCGGACGCGACGCGCGAGGCCGCTTCTGCTGCGGGGTCGAGAGGGGCGGCCGCGGCGGCTGTGGGGCGAGATGTGGGCGAGGGCGAGCGGCGAGGGCGAGAGGACGAGGACGAGGGGGCGGGCCGGCGCTCGTGCTTGCGCGGGAGGAGCGTGGGGAGGACGGGCTCGAACGCGGCGGCGCCGGCGCTCAGGCGGGTCGACGACGAGGCCGACGACATGGTCGAGCGGGGCGTGTCGTCCCAGTGCGTGGCGTTGCTTGAGCGGGAGCGGGGCGTCGGGCGGACCTTGCCCGAGAGGACGTCGTCGCGGCGCTGGAGGTACGAGTTCATGAGGGCGAGCGGGTCCGAGAAGCGCTTCGACTCGGTGTCGCGGTACCTGCGGGCGCCGGCGTGCGACAGTCAGGACGCGTTCTTCGACGGGCTGCGGGGGAGAGAGGACAGCGAGGCGCACGTTCGCTCGAGCGTCGTCTCGATCGACCCCTTGCGCTCGCGCTCCGTCTTGCCGTCGCGCGAGGCGTACCACCCGACGGGCTCGGGCTCGCCCTTCTTGGCGAGGTACACCTTGGTGAGCGAGTCGTCGGGCTCGGCGGCGATGACCTTCTTGAGGCGCGACTCGAGCTTGGAGGATCCCGGTTGGCCGCCCTGCAGAGGAGCGAGGTCAGTGGGGAGAACGAGGAGGGCGAGAGGGAGAGCGAGTGGACGTACGTCCTCGAGCTCAGCCCAGAAGTTGACGTGCCCGTTTGTCGTCATGGGCCGGTCCTTGCCCTTGCCCTCGCCCTTGCCGTCCTGCGCCGCAGCCGGCCGCACGATGGTCGCCCGGACGTCCTCCTCCCGCTCGCCGTCCTCCTCGCGCCCCTTGCCCTTGAGCTGCCGGTCAAGCGCCTTCTCGCCCTCGTCGTCCCGGTCCCGCTTGCGCTTGTTGCCCTCGACGCTCCTGCGCATGCGGTCGAGCCGCGCCTCCGAGTCGGCGAGCAGCGAGCGCTGGTCGTCGTCGGCCTCCTTGGCCTCGGCGAGCGCCTCGTCGCGCTTGACGCGCGCAATGTTCTCCTGGCTGTAGACGTGCCACGACTTGTGCTGCAGGAGCTTGATCGGCATGATGAGGCGAGGTCGAGGTGGAGCTGCGTGGAGGAGAGGAGAGTTAGTCGTCGTCACGGCAGATACGAGGCCCTGGGACGCACGAGGGGGTTCAAAGACTGATTCGAGGCTCTCGCAGCGGTCGCTCGAGCCTTGGCGGCGTGCTCGTCGAGATAGAGGGCGAAACTGATGAAGAGGGGGCGGCCTTGTACGAGGCGGTGGCGGCTTGAGCTGGGTGGCGCTCGGCTCGGTTTGCTCGTGACGAGTCTAGTGCCGGTAATAGCTAGCGCACTGCCTGCTCAACGGCGGAGCGAGGCTGGTGGTGGTGGTGCAGGAGCACCTCCTCCTCGATCTCCTCCCCCTCTCACGCTGCTCAGCCCACCCGAGCCACTGCTGCTCGATGCTGCATCTACTCGCCGCACGGATACAGCACCGCAGCCACCCCTGCCGACCTCTCCCGACCAGTCCTCACGTCGACCCTCGCCTCGCCTCGTCGCACGCCGTCCTCGGCTTCGCACACCCACCTCGACCGCAACTCGCACGGCGCACGCTCGCTGCCTCGCAGATGACCTGCCGAGCAGCAGCAGTACTCGGCCGACGCCTCCGCTGCGGCGTTCCGCATTCACAGCTCCGCCTGCCGCATGGAGGAGCTCGATCGCGTCTGCTCCGCTCGAAGGGGAGCGACTCGCGCTCGACCGGAATCCCAGCGCTCGAACAAGCCTTCGCGGAATCCGGGCCGATGATACGGCTGCGCTGTACATCGCGACAGAGGACGCTGCCCCGTCGCTTGGCTGTCTGCTTCTTTCCTCTCCGTCGCGCTCGGTTGCGACCATGCACCGTCTTTGGCTCGCCCTGCTCCTCAGCGCGGCGCTCGTCACCTCGACCAACGCGCTCGCATGTCCTGGGACTGAAGGTTTGATCTACGGGCCAGGCGGCGGCGTCTGGTGCTGCCACGGCGTGCGCACCACCGGCAGTCGTTTGCCCTCCTCGACCGACAGCTCCATGGACACGTACCAGCCGTTCATCATCCTCAACTGGGACATCTCGCCCGACGAGAGCTTGCGGCCGGGCATGGCGGGCCTCTAAATCGACGCAGGAACGACCGTCTCGCAGCTCACCTTCAGCGTCTGGGGCGGTCCGGGCGACGATGTGGGCGCCAACGCGGGCGCTACGGCCAGGTCAGCTCGCTCGAGACGTCCCTCTTCGACCTGTTCAGGGACTTACGCACCCTTTTCGAGTCACAGTGGGCGCGCGACTGGAACGTTCGACAAGACGACCCCGGCGACGACGCTCAAGGCGGCCATCCTCGTACGCCATGCTTGCTCTCGAGTTACTCGCTCTCTCACGCAGTCGAGGAACTGACTTTGTATCTGCAGCTCAACATCAAGGACGGCCAGGAGCTCGAGTCGCCGGCAGGGTCCGTGCGAGGCGTCGACTACGGCTTGGGCGGCGGCTACTCGGCGATCGCCGACGCGGCGTGCCTCGAGGGCCGCAGTAGCCTCGAGTTCAGCGAGGGCGACGAGTGCCGCTGGCTCGTCGCAGCAGGCGGCGGTGGAGCGGGTCCGTGCGTGACTTTCCCGGCCGCTCGTTTTCGTCTCGGCGGCGCCTGACTTTTCGCCTCGACAGTTCTTCCGATGGGTCGTCGTCAACGTGCGACTCGTTCGAGTCGACGTCTGCTGGTGGTCGTCCAGGTGCGCTCTGCGCTCGACTCGTCCTCTCAAAACCGGTCTTGACCCTTGCCTCGACAGTCGCAGACGCTCAAGGTCTTTACAAGGGAGGTGAGCAGCCAGTCCTCGTACGCCTCGGTCCACGACGTCGATACACTGACACACGTCATACAGGCGGCGGCGGCGGCGGCATCCGTGGCGGCGCAGCATCGCCGTCGGGTCAAGGTTGCGCAGGTTCCGAGGGGCTCGTCGAGCAAATCGCGGACATCAGCGACCGGTCCAGCCTACCGCCGGTCGGCTCCCCACGCGCTCAGATCCGGTTCCAGCTCGAGGGCCGTTGCGAGCTCCTCGTCGAGGGCGACGTGACGACCGTACCTTCCTCGATCGACATCTCGACCCGGTACCGCCGAGCAACAAAGGCGACGGTCACCGTCGACGCTGGAACGACGATCAGCCGCGTTTACAGCACGCAGACGTTCACGGCGCTCGACATCTCGACGTCGACGATCACGCTCACGGGGTGCGTCGACCGTTCCGCCTCGTCGACAGTCTGCCGTCCGCTCACTTTCCCTCGTTCGCAGCCCGACCACGACTATCCTCACGACGGCCACGAGCGCCACAACCCCTCCCACGGCGACTGTGACCGAGCAGACTGTGCGCACGAGCCTCTCGTCTCCTCTCGCCCGTCCTCGCCTGACCTTCTCAAGCCGGCGTTCGCAGGACGTTCGCAACCTTCCTTCAGGACGGCCCCCTGTCGCGACGACGACCGTCTTTGAGACTGTCACAACCGAGCCGGCGACTGTGGTGGCCTCCCAGACTGCGACAGCTGGTCCGTCTCGTTCCTCACCTCGATCGTGTCGGGCTTTGCGCACGAGGTTGACGAGCTCTGCCTTCCTTGCCGCCACAGAAGCTTCGTCGTGCTCGTCTTATCGTGTCGTGCGTGCTCTGTCTCTGTCTCTCTCTCTCTCTCTCTCTCTCGATCCTTGCGCCGAGCGCGTCTCGCCAACTCGGCCTTCTCGTCCGCAGGTCTACCCGGCCGCCTGCTGCCCGGCTCAATACTTGCCGCTCGAGTCGGTCGAGGCTCTCGAGCGTCGCGACGGCGAGTGGCTCCAGCCGGGCGACTACGTCACCTGGTACGCGACGACGGTGACCGAGAGCGTTTTGACGACGACGACGACAATCGACTGGCCGCCTGTCAAGACGGTCAGCAGCACCTTCGTGTACACCTTGACAGAAGGTGTCGAAGGCCCTTGGGTGACCAACTAGTGAGTGTCCTTCCTCGTCGTCGTTCAGCGTCGTCTCGTCCAGATTCTGACTCGCTCGACCCTCGCCGTCGCAGCGAGACGACTCGACGCACGATTCGCGTGCCTGGCCCACGCTCCACGTCGACCACCATCGCCTACAGCGAGGCACCAACGCCGCTCGTGACGAGCACCTCGACGCGCTTCCTCCGGGCGCCCCTCAGCGTTCTCACGCCGCTCCTCTTCCCGACGACGACGATCACGGTCTCGACGACGACGACGCTCCCGACGCCGACGACGACGGTCACGTCGAGCCCGAGCGCTGCGTGCGCCGTGGAGGTGCGTCCTCCTCTCTCCTCGCCGTCGCACCCTGTCCCTCCTCGCGCACGGCCCTCTCCCAGCACGTTTCGCTCACCTTGTCCTCTCACTCGCGCAGACGGTGCAGGCGTTCGCTCTCGACAAGTGCCCGTACGCGAACAGCGTCGGCGCCCAGACGAGGCTTCAAGCCGTGCAGCAAACGAGGCTCGAGGGCTACAAGGCGAAGAGCGGCGGGCAGCCGGTCGTCGTCGACTGCGGGTCGAGCGGGTCTTTCACGTACTAGCGCCTCGTTCAGTTACACTCTCTGGAACTCTGAGCTCTCTGTCATGTTCTCGCGCCGGTCGAGAGCGGAAGAGAGGGACGAGGAAAGCTTCTGATGAGCCGGACGGAGAACCGCTCGCGTGTCGCTCTTTCCTCTCGCCTCGCCTGGTCTCGAGAGGCAGGAATGCGCAGATACATAACAGGGTGCGAGTAGAGATGTATGAGAATAAAGACAAGGACGTCGAGCTGCGCCCTCACCAAGCCTCGCGCTCGGCCTCCTCGAGCCAGCTCAAGTTGAGGACGCCCTCGTGCATGCGCCCGTCGAGGCCAGCCTCGTCGGCGGCGGCAGCAGCGACGGGACCAAGGACCGTGTTGAGCGTGGCGGCGAGGCGCAGGCCGGCCTGAGTGAGGAGCCGCTCGACCGTGAGCGAGTCTGCGGGGGAAAGGACGAGGAGGAGCGTCAGGGTCCGTGCGGTCATGCGCGTGCTCCAGGCACACCTCGACATGCCGCACACCGTCGAGAGGATGAGAGAGGGGGCGACGCACCCCTGATGCGGCGGTAGAACTCGCTCTTGCCGCCCGCCTCGACCGGCGCGCCGTGCTCGTCGTACCCGTCCGGGAAGCCCATCTCGCACGTCGTCTTGTGCGTCTCGGTCGCCCACGTGACGGGGCACACGGTCGCCTTGGCCGGGCCTGCGCCGAGGACGAGCTGCGCTGGGTGAGGCGGCGTCGGGGAGGGCGAGAGGGCGGACGACGAGGGGGAGCAGGTGAACCACCCGGGGAGCGAGGTGCGCCACCAGGTGCGGACGCCCTCCCACAGGAGGAGGCGGATGTACGGGTCGTAGATGCGGCCCATGAGCGCCGACTCGATCTGCTGGCTGCGGGCGGCGCGAGGTCCTCGAGGGTCAGTGGCACGTCGCGCACGGCGGGCAGGGGAGGGAGGATGAGGGAAAAGGGGGGCGCACCTCGGCAGCGGCGACGTGTAGTTGCTGTGCTCGCGAAGAGCTCGAGCGATGAGGAGGCCGTCCCACAGCGAGTGCAAGTTGGTGCGGCGGCCCTCCCACAGGACCGGGTCGCCGTTGCCGCCGCGCTCACGCGACGTCAGGTGAAGAGGCTGATGGATGTCGCCGAGGAAGTGGACGAGGAAGCGGAGCGACTCCCAGCTGCGGACGAGGCGAGAGGGAGGGTCAGTCGGGAACTCGAGAGGTTGGGAGGGGGAGGAGCGCAACTCGTGAGGGTTGGTCTCGAGGCGCGACGTGTAGTTGGCGACGGCGTGGATCACGTCGTTGTCGGAGTGCCACCTGCCCTTGCCGCCCTCGTCGTCGGTGCCGTCGCCGGTGCCCGGCCACGAGCACACCTGGGGCGGGTGGTCGCCGTCCCACGAGCCGTAGTGAAGCTGGCCGCTCCAGCCGCGGTACTCGGGCACCATGCGGATGCGGTCGGGCCAGGTGGCGATCGGGGCGAGGTGGCCCTTGGCGTAGTCGGGGATCAGGCTCGAGTCGGAGCGGAGGAAGGCGAGGACTGGAGGGTGGAGATGGATCTCGGCGATGGTGGCGACGATCTCGTGGCCTGCTGCGCCCCAGGCATGTGCCGAGGTGGTAAAGAGTGCTGCGGTGGCTGCCAGGGTCGGGACGAGCATGTTGTTGGTGAGGGAGAGATAGCGAGCGTTGAGCGGCGCGACGACGCTGGTGGGGGCGGGGAAGGCGCGCGTCGCCCGGCGTGCTGGCGCTCCTTCGAGCTCTCGCTTGCGTAGCAGCCAGCGGCACTGTATTCTGACGGTCACATGCGCCGCTCTCAGCCCGGGACGAGCAGGTGAGGACGAGGCTTTCGCTCGCTCAACTCGTCTCGGCCCTCTGCGCGGCCGTCTCTCTCGCCGTCTCCCTCTCGAGCGAGCACGGAAGGGTGGGCACTGATGTCGTTACGGTCGAGTGCGAGCTACGAAGGCTCGAGAAGGGCAGGAGAGGGAAGAGGGACAAGAGGGAAAGGGGGAGCTACAGCTCGCCGGCCGACCCTTCCATTGACGAGCCAGGGCGCGACTGCTCGGCGCCTGCGTTGTCGTTGAGCTGCGCCTGGAGGCTCTTGAGCTCGTCGCGCGACTTGGGCTCCTCGAGCTTGGCGCCGGTGACGTGAGGGTTCTCCCCGCGGCCGCCGGTCGGGTTGTCGTGCAGGTGGGCGAGGTTCGGGGCCGAGCCGAGGCCTGCGAGGGAGGTGAGAGTCAGTCGTCTGTGCGCACGAGGAATCGGCGGCAGAGCGCGGTCGCCTCGAGTCGACGAACCGCGAGGTGGCCGGGGGGAGGGAGAACGGCCGAGGACGCACCGGGGGTCGCCTCAGCGTCCGAGCCGGGGAAGTTGGACTTGGCAGGGTGAGGCTGAATGTGGAACTGCTGCTCTTTGTCGTCGTCGGACATGTTGAGAGTGAGGAGGGAGAGGGAGACATGCGAGATGACGAGTTGGCCAAGTGGGGGGCGCGCTGCCGTCCGCCTCAGCACAGGGTGCACAGCCAGTGTGACCAGGGGGAGGCCAAGGAGCTCGTACGTCCCATCACCCTGTCGAAGGACCAGCTCGAGGGAGGCGGGCAAATGGCGGTCGCTTCGTCTGGCGAGCCGCTCCTCGACGGCCTTGCTCTCGCCTCTACACCCACTCGAACCACATGCTGGCAGCCAGGACTCGCACTGCCACTACGGCGGCTCGCTCCCTGCGAGCCGCTGCCCCGCCCGCCGCCCGCGTCGCCCACATCTCGTCCTCGTCGTCGGTCCCCTCGTCGCTCCTCCTCCAGTCGCAGCGCCGCGTCGAGGCGCAGCAGCAGCGCGCCAGCGATGAGCTCGGCGACATCATGGCCAAGCGCTGGCTCGGCAACGCCGTCGCCCACAGCACCGACGCAGACAGGGTGCGTCCTCTCCCTCTCTCTCTCTCTCTCGCCCGCACGATAAGCCCGCCCGTTGACTCCCTCTCCACCGTCCCTCCCGCCACCCACCACCGCGTCCACGGCCATGCTCGACACGTGCAGGAGACCATCATCCGCCTCCTGTACTCGCTCGCGTCCCGCCGCGAGGTGTCGCGGTACCTCCAGATCTTCTCGTCCGCGACCCACTTCGCCGTCCTCAAGGTCGGCGGCGCCATCATCACCAACGACCTCGAGTCGCTCACCCTGTCGCTCAACTTCCTCCACCGCGTCGGCCTGTACCCGGTCGTCGTCCACGGCATGGGCGACAAGCTCAACGCCCGCCTCGAGGCCGACGGCATCGTGCCCGACTACATCGACGGCATCCGCATCACCGACGCGCGCACCCTGTCGCACGCCCGCCGCGTCTTCCTGTCGGAGAACCTCAAGCTCGTGTCGACCCTCGAGGAGCTCGGCACGCGCGCGAGGCCCATCACGGGCGGCGTCTTCACGGCCGAGTACCTCGACGAGGCGAGGTACGGCTACGTCGGGCGCATCACGTCGGTCGACAAGGAGCCCATCGAGGCGTCGATCCGCGCCGGCGCGCTCCCGATCCTCACGTCGCTCGCCGAGACGCCCGAGGGCCAGATCCTCAACGTCAACGCCGACGTCGCGACGGCCGAGCTGTCCAAGGTGCTCGAGCCGCTCAAGATCGTCTACCTGAGCGAGAAGGGCGGCCTGTACCACGGCGTCACCAAGGAGAAGCTGTCGCTCATCAACCTCGACGAGGAGTACGACGACCTGATGAAGCAGGACTGGGTCAAGTACGGCACCAAGCTCAAGCTGCGCGAGATCAAGGAGCTCCTCGACCACCTCCCGCGCGCGTCGTCCGTCGCCATCATCTCGCCCGACAACCTCCAGAAGGAGCTCTTTACCGACTCGGGCGCCGGCACCCTCCTCCGCCGCGGGTACAAGCTCTACAAGCACACGTCGATCGAGGGCGTCGGCCAGGACCGCCTGCGCCGCGTCCTCGCCGAGCGCGACGAGGACGTCACGTCGGGCCGCAAGTCGGTCGCCCAGGTCCTGTCCGAGCTCGAGAAGAGCCACGCGCCGTTCACCATCTACGGCGACGAGCCGTGCGACGTCGTCGCCATCGTGTCGCACCCCGAGGGCCAGGTCCCCGTCATGACCAAGTTCCTCGCCAACCAGAACGCGATCCAGAACGGCGTCACCGACAACGTGTTCAACTCGGTCCGCAAGGACTTTAAGCGCCTCTTCTGGACCGCCAAGGCCGACGACGAGAACAAGGCGTGGCACTTTGAGCGCGCCGACGGCTCTTTTACCCGCAACGGCCGCTCGCTGTTCTACTACGGCGTGCAGGACGCCGGCGAGGTCGAGCGCCTCGTCAAGGACCTCGACGCCGCCGGCCGGGTCGAGCGCTCGTACCTCCCGATCTCGTACACGTCGTCGTCGCGCGGCACCGTCTCGTCGCCGGGCAACCTCGCGTCGGCGTTCAACACGCGCTCGTACTCGACGCGCGCTCGGCCCGCCGCCGCATCGTCGTCGTCGTCGCCGTCGTCGTCGCCGTTCGGCCAGTCGCAGCAGGCGCGCTCGTTCTCGAGCTCGCCGTCGTACGCCGCGACGGCCAAGCGCGTCGCGCTCATCGGCGCTCGCGGTTACACGGGCCAGAACCTCGTGTCGCTCATCAACTCGCACCCGTCGTTCGAGCTGGCGCACGTCTCGTCGCGCGAGCTCGCCGGCCAGCCGCTCGACGGCTACACCAAGAGCAGCGTCACGTACGAGAACCTCGGCTACAAGGAGATCGAGCAGCTCGAGCAGCGCGGCGACGTCGACGCGTGGGTCATGGCGCTCCCCAACGGCGTCATGGCGCCGTTCGTCGACGCCATCGACAAGGGCTGCGCCAACAAGCCCGAGTCGAAGAAGAGCGTCGTCATCGACCTCGGCGCCGACAAGCGGTTCGACGAGTCGTGGACCTACGGCCTCCCAGGTGAGTCGCTCGTCGCCGCCTCGGCCTGAGAGACCCCTGCCCCCCTCCCTCGTCCTCCTCAAGTTGTGCCTCGTTCTCCCCTTTCCCCCGTCGTGCCGTGTCCAAGTCGTCGTGCCCAGGTGTAGCGTCCCCTCCTCCCGAACGTGCAGACGCTGTAAAGCAGCTGTTCTCGCCCTCGCGCGCCGGTCCTCGCACTGCGTCGCCCGACCCTTTGCCTCTCGCGCTCTCGTCGCCGCCTGCATCTCTCGTCGTCGAGCGCACACAGTCACTGACACTTTCCTTCGTGCGTTGTCCGCAGAGCTGTACAACCGCGAGGCGCTCAAGTCGGCCAAGCGCATCTCCAACCCGGGCTGCTTCGCGACCAACTCGCAGCTCCTCCTCGCCCCTCTCCTGCCCTACATCGCCGCCCCGCCCTCGGTCTTTGCCGTGTCGGGCTTCTCTGGCGCCGGCACCAAGTCGGGGCAGGAGCCCAAGGTGCCCGCCGAGGCGCTGCGCGGCGGCATCAAGCCGTACTCGCTCACGGACCACATCCACGAGCGCGAGGCCGGGTACCAGCTGTCCAAGCTCGTCCCGTCCGACGCACCTTTGTCGGGCGACTTCAAGCTCGCGTTCGCGCCGCACGTCGCGCCCTGGTTCCAGGGCATCATCTCGACCGTGTCGGTCCCGCTGTCGAAGGAGATGCGCGCGAGCGACATCCGCCAGCTGTTCGAGGAGCGGTACGGCGACGAGCAGCTCGTCAAGGTCCAGAGCGAGGTGCCCGAGATCCACCAGATCGCGGGCAAGCACGGCGTCCGGCTCGGCGGGTTCCAGGTCCACTCGAGCGGCAAGCGCGTCGTCCTCGTCGTGCGTCCCCTCTTCTCCTCCTCCTTCCTTTCCTTCCCGGTCGCCGACTGACCCATGTCCTCTCTCGTACTCTCGCAGGGCGTCATCGACAACCTCCTCAAGGGGGCTGCGACTCAGTGCCTGCAGAACCTCAACCTCGCGCTCGGTGTCGGCGAGTACGACGGCATCCCCCTCGACTTCTGAGCAGGCGCGTCGGGCAGCTGTCGGCGGCGTCGCTCGGGGCTAGAGTGGGACGAGGAGCGGCAGGGACCGCTCGCGGATAGAGTGGTGGCGGCGCAGACGCGGCGCGAGGGTCGTCATCGTTTCTGCCAGGTTCTCGGGTCGCAGCATCTCATTCATCTCTCGTGGCAGCAATCTCATGCAGTATCCTCTCCCTCTCTCAGTCCCGCTTCGCTCTGCAAGTGAGCCGCTCGCGTTCACGAGAGTTACCTCGTCGTCGTTGTCGTCGCTCGGGCCCACGCTCGAGCCGCCCACTCGGTGCGAGACGGCTCAGAGCACCACCAGCCGGACAAGAGTGTGAGCGAGCGAGTCGGAGAGCACGTTCTGCTCAAGGGAGCGAAGCAAGTTGAGTCGTCGTCGCCGGCCAAACTTGGTGCCGCAGTTCTCCGAACCGCCGCGCTCTCGCACGCTGCCACAGCTCATCAACCGCCCCGTCGCACCACCCTCACCAGCTCGGTTCTTGGTGGTGCGCCGAGCTAGCTGCAAGCATGGGTCTGCCTCTCACCGGTGCGTCCCTGGCTGTCCATGCGGTGCGCGCCCTCGCTCACCTCCTTCCTCCCCACGCAGAGCTTCGCCCGTCCGCTCCCGCCTCGGCTCGCGCGTGTGCACGACTGCGCAGCGCAGCAGCACTTCGCCATGCGGTCCACCACGCCCTGCACCTGTGCCTTGCCGCGCCGGGCAGAGCCTGCGCCAGGTCGGGGCGAAGCGCGGTTGGCTCGGCTGCTCCCCCTCGAGATAAGCTTCTCGTGCGGCTCAAGGGGGCGCGCGAAGAGCCCCTTCGGCTTGCGCAGAGGGAGTTGCGCTCAAGGCGGGTCGCTTGAAGCGACCATGCGTTGTTCGAGCGCGGCCCTCCTCGCCCGCAGATCTCGCACATTCGCTAGCTATAGTTGGCCCTCGTCTCGTCCAGGCGGGGCCAAATCTGTCGCGCTCGAGATAGACGCTGTCTCTGCTCTGCGGCGGCCGGCTGCTGTCCTCGAGGATAAACCGCCCCGTCCCCCTCCCCCTCCCCCTCCCGCTTCTCCTTCTGTCCCTCATCTCCCACCTCCCCTCGCCGCTCCCGCTCGACAGACCCAACCCTTCGACCGTCGCCATGGTTACGGTCCGCAACCCGTTCAAGCGGCAGAACTCGGTCGACGCTGTCGCCGACCCGACCCTTCACGAGACCGTCTCGAACGAGGTCAAGACGCCCTCCGACGAGAAGGACGGCTACGCCGCCGACGTCCAGGACACGCTCCCGATCGACAACCCGTACGGCGAGGTCCGCAACGAGAAGAACCTGCTCGCCAACGGCAAGGAGCGTCCTATCGAGGTGAGCCCCGCTTTGGCCTCGTCTCTTCGTTCTCGCTCGAGCAGATCACTGACATGGACTCGACGACGCTTGCGCACAGACCGCCGAGGACATCGCGACGCGCTGCATCTCGCTCGAGGACGACCCCGACATGCTCATCCACACGTTCCGCATGTACGCGCTCGGAATCGGCCTCACCTGCTTCGCCGCCGTCCTCGGGCAAATCTTCTACTTCCGCCCTCAGACTGTCTACGTCTCGCAACTGTTCCTCCAGGTCATCGCCTTCATCCTCGGCCGCACCTGGGCCGCCGTCCTTCCCAACGCGTCGCGCGGCAAGTTCTGGGCGTTCCTCAACCCGTGCGAGTTCACGCTCAAGGAGCACGTCGCCATCCTCGTCATGAGTTCGACCGCGACCTCGTCCGCTCAGGCCATCTCCGTCTTTGCGGCCGACGACCTGTACTACGACATCACGCCGAGCTACGGCGTCGCAATCTTCACCCTCCTCGGCTCGCAGCTCCTCGGCGAGTCTCTCTTCCCCCTTCCGAGGCGACGTCCTCGCGACCCTCTCTCGAGCGCAGCCGACTGACTCGATCCGCCCGGACGACTCGCAGGATACGGCCTCGCCGGCTTGTTGCGCTCGTTCTGCGTCTTCCCGACCTACATCGTCTACCCGAACTTGGTCCCGACGGTCAACCTGTTCGACGCGCTCCACCGCGACAAGGACGAGAAGGCGCAGAAGAAGCGCCTGCGGTTCTTCTGGTACATCTTCATCGCCATTTTCTGCTGGGAGTGGGTTCCCGAGGTGCGTCCCCTCGCCTCCCTCCTTTCCTCCTCGTCGTCGTTCGCCGATCGACTGACGATCCGGGTCGTCTGCAGTTCATCGCGCCGACCCTCACGGGCGTTTCGATCTTCTGCCTCGCCAAGCGCGACTCGGCATGGGTCACCCGCATCTTCGGCGGCTCGAACGGCAACGAGGGCCTCGGGCTCTTCTCCCTCTGCTTCGACTGGGTGAGTCGAGCCTCCCAGCCGCCCCTCTGGTGTCGACCTGCGCTCACGCCTTTTCCCGCTCGCAGAACTACGTCGGCTCGGGTGGCGGCTCGCTTGGCGCCCTCTTCACGCCCATCACGACCCAGGTCTCGCAGTACATCGGGTGCGTCGAGTCTTCTGCCTGTCGAACCTCTCCTTTCGTCTCGGACGAAGCAGTAACTGACGGCCCCCTCGCCGACAGCGTCGCCCTCTGCATCATCCTGTTCTGCTCGATGTACGTGACGAACACGTGGAACGCCCAGGCCTTCCCCTTCCTGTCGCAGCAGCTCTTCTACAAGAACGGCACGGTGTACGACCAGCTGGCGATCCTCAACGCCGACTACTCGCTGAATGCGACGGCGCTCGCCGAGCAGGGCGTGCCGTGGTACGCCGCGTCGAACGCCGTCTACTACCTCGGCTCGAACCTCGCCATCGGCGCCACCCTCACGCACGTCGGCATTTGGTACTGGCGCCCGATCCTGAACGCCGTCAAGGGCTTCCGCACCCGCACGATCGAGGACCCGCACTACCAGAAGATGCTCGTCTACAAGGAGGTGCCGATGTGGGTTTACGGCGGCATCATCCTCGCGTCGTTCGCCATGGCTATGGCCACCTGTTGTGCGTCCCGCCGTTTCCGCTTCTCGACGTTCCCGAGTCGACCTTCCTAACTCGCCTCTTCTCGTCGCAGACACCGGTCACTCGCAGCTGCCGTGGTGGGCCCTCATCGTCGCCATCCTCCTGGCGTTCATCATGTTCCGTGAGCCGTACTCCCGTCTTCCTTGGCCCGTACCGTCGACCGTGAGCGGCAACTGACGGGTCCTCGCCATCAGCCTTCATCTGCGTCATCTACGCCATCACGGGCTTCAACACCGACGTGACGCAGCTCTCGCAGATGCTCGGCGCTGCCCTCGTCCCCGGCAACTCGCAGGCCAACATGGTACGCCCGAACGCTCGCCACCAAGTCGCGCCGGACCTGACCTTTCTTTTCTTCCCCTTTCTCTCCTCCTTATCGCTCGAATCCTCCTTCGACTGGATGCGCTCGAGCAGTACTTTGTCCTGTGAGCCCCGAGCCTTTTCATCGTCTCGGTCGACCGGTCGCACCCCGTACGAGCCTCTCGCTAACTCGTTGCACGTGCCCAGGTACGGCGCCAACTCGAGCGGTCAAGGTCTCGGGCTCGCTCGCGACCTCAAGATGGCTCAATACACCAAGCTCCCACCGCGCACGACCCTCTTCGTCCAGTCGCTCGGCACCGTCATCGGCGCCATCCTCCAGCTCATCATCATGAAGCAGATCATCAGCGCTCAGCGTGAGCTGCTCCTCGACACCCAGGGCTCCAACATCTGGTCGGGCCAGCAAGTCCAGTCGTTCAACTCGCAGGCCGTCTCGTGGGGCGCCCTCGCCAAGGTCCGTCCCCTCGACTCGAACCGCTCGGCCCTCCTCCTTCTCGTCTCGACCCTGTCCTGACTTTTCCTTCCCCGCAGGACATGTACGGCCCACACTCGGACTACTTCATCATGTGCGTCCCTCTTTGTCACTTGTCCCGGCGCCCGTTCCCCTCGGCTCCACCTTTCGGCCCTCCTCTCGTCGATTCGCCTTTCGGTCCCTAGTGTCCCTCACTCGACGAGCCTGACTCTCCAACGCCAATACAGCCCGCTCGCCATCGTCATCGGCCTCGCCGTGCCCCTCCCGTTCTACTTTGCGCACAAGCTGTGGCCCAAGTGCGCCCCGCCTCTCTCCCTCTCGCGCGAGCCGAGGCTCTCTCGCCTTGTCTGCGGCCACCTCTCCCTCGCCCCCGTCGACTGACGACACGCCGATCCGCAGGATGCGCTTCAACACGTTCGTTTCGCCCATCACCTGCTGGTGCCTCGGGTACTTGTCGGTCGGCATCAACTCGTCCATCTTTACGACGATGCTCCTCGCCATCTTCTCCCAGTTCTACCTTCGTCGATACCGCGCCACCTGGTTCCGCAAGTACAACTACCTCATGTCGGCGGCGCTCGACGGCGGCACGCAGCTCTTCGTGTTCGTCGCGACCTTCGCCCTCTTTGGTGGCGCAGGCACGGAGCAGACCATGCCGGCGTGGGCGCTCGCTCCTGCGTCTGGGAACTACGACTACTGCAAGCGCTTGACGGCGTAGCGCCGCCGAAAGCGAGGGCGCGTCGTCGAGCAGCTGGACGAGCTCGCAGACGAGGTTCTCTCGAGGGGTCTGTGCGGTACTGCTCTCGGTGTCTCGAAGCCGGTACTTCCTGTGCACTGCGGTCGACGTGTCATGTCGACGTTTCAGTTCGTGCTCGTCCACTCGCACCGAGAGAGAGAGAGAGAGAGAGAGCGCGACCAAGGCGTTTCCCAGCTCTCGAACGAGCCGACGCCGGTTGCCCCGGATCGCCCGCCTCGGCCGAGTACCTTCCGTTCGTACGGCAGCACGTCGGAAACTCCGAGGAACCCTTCTCATCGTCGTCGCCACCCGTGTGAGAGCACAGCTTTGCGGGCTCGACAATCCTGCGCGCGGGTGGCTGCTCACGCGCCCGCACGATAGCGCCATGACAGCGCGGGCCGGCGCAAGTGTAAAACTTGACCGAGCCGCTGCCGCTGCGTGCTCGCTGCTCGTTCCGCGCGGTGCCGGCCCTCACGCGCCCGCCATCCCCCAGAGCTTGCGGGCGTCGACCTCGCGGCCGTCCTCCGCCCGCCCCGTCGGCTCGCGCATCTCGGGCTGCTCGTGGCCGTGCGACAGCTTTGCCATGCGGGTCCGAGCACCTGCAGCTCGCGCGTCAACCTTGCGCTCTCGCGCGCGCGGCGAGGACGAGGCGCAGGCAGGTGGCGGCCGGCCGCGAGAAGGGCTCTCGCCGAGCTCGCTGTTGCAGATGCTGCAGCGACGTGCGCACCCTCGCGCTCGAGCAGGCGATCTGCGCGCTGGAGGAAGCCGTGCGCGTGGTGCGCCCTGCGCCCTCCCCGCTCGCAATTCTTCCCATCTTCCGCTAGCTATTGTTGGCGTCGAGATCTCGTGCTCGGTCGCTCCCGTCCCGCCAGATCCAGATACACAGGCGTGCGACCGCGCCACACGGCGAGTCGCCCGGCTCCAGTGCCGCTTTCCCTCCCTCCTCCCCCACGCTCTCAAGTCAACCCGCCAGCGACCCTCCCGCCCAGCTTGCTTCTCTACTTTCTCGACCCTCTGCGTTCGACAGACCCACCCCCTCGACCGTCGCCATGGTTACGGTCCGCAACCCGTTCAAGCGGCAGAACTCGGTCGACGCTGTCGCCGACCCGACCCTCCATCAGACCGTCTCGAACGAGGTCAAGACGCCGTCCGACGAGAAGGACGGCTACGCCGCCGACGTCCAGGACACGCTCCCGATCGACAACCCGTACGGCGAGGTCCACAACGAGAAGAACCTGCTCGCCAACGGCAAGGAGCGCCCTATCGAGGTGAGCCCCGCTTTGGCCTCGTCTCGTCGTTCTCGCTCGAGCAGATCACTGACATGGACTCGACGACGCCTGCGCACAGACCGCCGAGGACATCGCGACGCGCTGCATCTCGCTCGAGGACGACCCGAACATGGTCATCCACACCTTCCGGATGTACTTCCTCGCCATCGGCCTCACCTGCTTCGCCGCCGTCCTCGGCCAGATCTTCTACTTCCGCCCTCAGACGGTGTACGTCTCGCAACTGTTCCTCCAGGTCATCGCCTTCATCCTCGGCCGCACCTGGGCCGCCGTCCTTCCCAACGCGTCGCGCGGCAAGTTCTGGGCGTTCCTCAACCCGTGCGAGTTCACGCTCAAGGAGCACGTCGCCATCCTCATCATGAGCTCGACCGCCACCTCGTCGGCCGAGGCCATCTCGGTGTTCGCCGCCGACGACCTTTACTACGGCATCACGCCCAACTATGGCGTCGCCATCTTTACGCTCCTCGGCTCGCAGCTTCTCGGTGCGTCCCTTCTCCCCTTCCCTCGACCTTTCCCTCGACGTCGACGACGTCTGGTCGACGCTCGACGAGCGCTCCGCACGAGGACAGTGACTGACCTCGCTCGCCTCCTCCCGCTCTCTCTCTCGCAGGATACGGCATCGCCGGCCTCCTCCGCTCGTTCTGCGTCTTCCCGACCTACATCGTCTACCCGAACCTGGTCCCGACGGTCAACTTGTTCGACGCCCTGCACCGCGACAAGGACGTCGGCGCGCAGAAGAAGCGCCTGCGCTTCTTCTGGTACGTCTTCATCGCCATTTTCTGCTGGGAGTGGGTCCCCGAGGTGCGTCTCGCCTTCCTTTGTCTCTCTCGTCGGTACGAGAACGCTCCTGACGAGCTGGCACGTCTGCAGTTCATCGCGCCGACCCTCACGGGTATCTCGATTTTCTGCCTCGCCAAGCGGGACTCGGCATGGGTCACCCGCATCTTCGGCGGAGCCAACGGCAACGAGGGCCTCGGCATGTTCTCGATCTGCCTCGACTGGGTGCGTCCAGCTGTGGCCCGCTCATCAAAAGTCGACCTGCGCTCACACCCCTCCTGCTCGCAGAACTATGTCGGATCCGGCGGCGGCTCGCTCGGCGCGCTCTTCACGCCGTTCACGACCCAGGTCTCGCAGTTCATCGGGTGCGTCCTCTCTCGCCCCGCTCGCCTCGTACGTTGGCGCTGACTTGCTTTGCCCGGGCAGAATCGGTCTCTGCATCATCCTCTTCTGCTCAATGTACGCCACCAACACGTGGAACGCCGCCGCCTTCCCCTTCCTGTCGCAGAAGCTGTTCTACAAGAACGGCTCGGACTACGACCAGCTCGCCATCCTCAACGCCGACTTCTCGCTCAACGAGGCCGCCCTCGCCGAGCAGGGCATTCCCTGGTACGCCGCGTCGAACGCCATCTACTACCTCGGCTGCAACCTCGCCATCGGTGCGACCCTCACGCACGTCGCCATCTGGTACTGGCGCCCGATCCTGAACGCCATCAAGGGCTTCCGCACTCGCTCGATCGAGGACCCGCACTACCAGAAGATGCTGGTCTACAAGGAGGTGCCGATGTGGGTCTACGGCGGCATCATCCTCGCGTCGTTCGCCATGGCCATGGCCACCTGCTGTACGTCTGCCGCCTCGTTCCGAGTCTCGACGTTCCTCGAGCGACCTTCCTAACTCGCCTCTTCTTGTCGCAGACACCGGCCACTCGCAGCTGCCGTGGTGGGCTTTGATCGTCGCCATCCTCCTGGCCTTCTTCATGTTCCGTGAGTTGCTCGCACCTCTTTCCGTCCCCTCATTCGTCGTCGTCGACGGGCCGTCGCTGACCTTCCTTCCCCCTCGTCCCCTCTCCTCCCTCTCCTCTCGCCTACAGCCTTCGTCTGCGTCATCTACGCCATCACGGGCTTCAAGACGGACGTGCAGCAGCTCGCGCAGATGCTCGGTGCCGCCCTCGTCCCGGGCAACTCGCAGGCCAACATGGTGCGTCGCGCGCTCGAGCCCCTCCCTCCCTCGCTCGCCGCGAACCCGTCCTGACTTCGTCCGTACGCTCGTCCACAGTACTTCACCCTGTACGGCTACAACTCGTGCGCCCAGGGCCTGTCGCTCGCTCGCGACCTCAAGATGTCGCAGTACACCAAGCTGCCTCCTCGCGTCACCCTCTTCGTCCAGTCGCTCGGCACCGTCATCGGCGCCATCCTCCAGCTCATCATCATGAAGTCGGTCATCAGCGCTCAGCGTGAGCTGCTCCTCGACACCCAGGGCTCCAACATCTGGTCGGGCCAGCAGGTCCAGTCGTTCAACTCGCAGGCCGTCTCGTGGGGCGCCCTCGCCAAGCACATGTACGGCCCGGGCTCGCCGTACCAGATCATCCCGTACTCTATCCTCGTCGGCCTCGCGGTCCCGCTGCCGTTCTACTTCGCGCACAAATTCTGGCCTAAGTGCGTCCTCCTCCTTCCCTCTCCTCCTCGACCTCCTTTGGACCCCTTTCCTGACGCTCTCTTCCCCTCTTCAGGATGCGCTTCGACCAGTTCGTGTCGCCGATCACCTGCTGGTGCCTCGGCAACCTCTCGGTCGGCATCAACTCGTCCATCTTCACGACGATGCTCCTCGCCATCTTCTCCCAGTTCTACCTTCGCCGGTACCGCGCCACCTGGTTCCGCAAGTACAACTACCTCATGTCGGCGGCGCTCGACGGCGGCACGCAGCTCTTCGTCTTTATCGCCGTGCGTCCTCAACCCCTCGTCCTCCTCGCCGATTCCTCCGCTCACACTTCTCTGTCTCTCGCAGACCTTCGCGCTCTTTGGTGGTGCTGGCAGCGAGCAGACGATGCCCAACTACGCGCTCAACCCAACGGGCAACCTCGACTACTGCATGCGCCTTACGTAGACGGCGCGAGAAGGTGGTTTAGGAAGAGGAGAAGACGGATTCCCCCAGTTGTGCTTTAGTTTTACCCTTCGTTCGTTCTCTCGCACTGTGTCTACATAGTGCGCCCGGGTCTGCAATCAGCGCGATTGCTCAGTCTCTTCTGCGTCGGCGAGAGTGGCCCAGCTCTGCCTCGTCGGGGGACCTTCCCAAGTTGCCTTCCCTCGTCCTTGCGCTTCGCAAGGCCATCGCCCTTGCTCTGGAGCACAGCCACTAGTCTTTCGTGCATCCTCAGCTGCACTGCCTGGAGGATTTTCTACTGCGCAGCGGTGCACTCGCGTCGCCGCAGCGCCCGACAAGCTCGCTCGGCGCGGCTTCCCTCTCTGCTCGCAAGTCGTTGCTCTCGTGCTGCGGCGGCTGCCCCTCGAGATGTGAGCCATGCTCTCAAGGTCCCTGTGCTTGGTCGCGCTAGGCGAGATTACAAATCGAGGGCAGGCGAGGAAGCCGGGCGGCGCACGGACCCTGCGCGCCTGACGGCGGTTTCTGCTCCCTTGTCGCTCGTTCAGGTCTCTCGACTTCTTCCCTACGCAAGAGAGGACCGCAGAGGCAGAAGCAGGACGTTCAGGCTGCCGTGCATAGCGAGCAGAGCGAGGCGAAGCGAAAGTCGAACGCGCGATTCGAACCAGTCCAGATCAGAATCGCAAGGCTCGTCTCGAGGCAGCGATGGTGCGCTCGCCGTCGAAGTACATGGCCGCACGCTGGAGTGCGCATCGCCGGGGCTGTCGCCACCGAGACCGCACCTGAGCATATCGTAAGCTGACAAGAGCCGATGAGCGTTCGAGTCGGCGGCCGCCGCGCGCGAACTTGAGCCTCAATCGGGCTCGACGAGGACATCGCTCTCGCGGCGACGACGAGGAACAGAGAAAGGAAAGGCTGCATACGTTGCGAGACTGCTACAACAAAAGAGGTTGAACGACGAGGAAGAAGAGGAGACAGAGGAGGGAAGGGATGGGAGGGGAGGAAAGGGCTCGATCACAAGAACGCGACCTTGGCCCGCAGCGCCGCCCACGCCAGCAGTCGCCAGACGACGACGAGCGCCATGAGGATGCCCATGTATTTGCCCGTGCCGCTGTAGGGCAAGCCGAACGTGTCGAGAATCTGCTCGCCCGTCGCGGCGATGCACGCCCCGCTCGCGAGCTGCGCCTCGTCGCAGCGGAACGTGAGGCCGGCAAACTCGTTGATCGTGACGGCGAAAGCTTGCGGCTTCATCGGCGAGATCTGCGGGCGCGAAAAGGTGTCAAGGCCTGGGAGACGAAAGCTCAGAGGGGGTGGACGGTCGACGCACCCACGCGATGATCTGGAGCCAGTACGGCACAGTGGCCGAGACGATGCCGTTCACCTGGCCGAGCAGCGTCAGGCCCGCCGAGACGAGCGAGACGGCGAGGCCGCCGTTGGTCGTCAAGGCGCTGAAAATGATGCCGATCGACTCGCCGCAGCTCAAGAGAGCCCACGACGAGATCCAGAACTCGACGAAGCGGCGACCACCTTGCTGAAGGTTCATGCCGTAGATGAAGACGATTGCCCAGGGCTGCGGGACGAGAGAGGGCCAGTCAGTGAACTTTTGCTGCTGCCGCCGACGAGGGAGGGACGAGGACGCACGAGCGAGCTGACGAGCGACGTGATCGTCTCCTGGACCGTGTAGGCGGCGAGAAAAGTCGTGGCCGAGTGTCGGGCGCTGCTCTTGACCTCGTGAAAGTACAGCGCCCGCTCGAACGGGAAGATGGCGAGGCAGGACAGCATGCCCACGAACGGCAGCGCCGTGGTCTCTTGAAGCAGGCCAACGCGAGTTTGAGGGCTGGATGGGCCATAATCGAGACGGGCGAAGAAGAGCCAGAAGAGGAGGGACAGGAAGACGGGGTTGGCGAGGCGAGCGACGAAGATGTCGGGCTGACGGCGGAGGTTCCTGTGCGAGACGGACCGTCAGGGCCTCGTCGATGCACAGACTCGTCGAGAAAGGGCTGCGGAAGGCGCACGCACAAGAAGCTGCGCCGAAGCACGACAGGGAAGGCCTTGTGGAAGGGCGTCGACTGCAGGCGCGCCGACCGGGTCGGCGCCGACGTTGCCGCGGCCGACGGCTCTGCGTCCTCGACGGCGCTCGCGCCCGACTCGAGTTTCCACGTGGCGACGAGACGATCGACGCGTTCACGAGAGCGCTCCTCGGCGGCAGGCGACGCGTAATTCAACGACATAGCGTCGAGGAGAAAGTCGGCAGGGCTGCAGGCGGCGAGGGTCTTAGTCTCGACGATGCCTGGAGGTGGGAGGGGTGGCGAACGCACTTGTAGTTGGCCGGCGAGTCGAGTCCTGCTCGGCTGAAGAACGGCAACGCCTCCTTGGCGGGGCCCGAGAAGACGGTCCTGCCGCCCTTGGCCAGGAGCAGCACCTCGTCGATCGCGTTCCAGATCTCGGCTCGTGGTTGATGAACCGTGATGACGACGGTGTGGCCCGCCGCAGCGAGGTCGCTGAGCATCTGCATGACGCTTGAGGCCGTAAAGGCGTCGAGACCTGCGCAGGCGAGAGGAAGAGAGGGAGAGGGGCAGAGAGGGAGAGAAGTAGAGAGGGAGAGAGAGGGAGAGAGGGAGAGAGAGGGAGAGAGGGAAAGAGAGAGAGAGAGAGAGGGAGGGGAGGGAGAGAGGGAGAGAGGGGGAGAGGTAACGAGAGGGAACGAGTCAGTCTTCGCCGGGCGGCGGTCCTCGAAGAGAAATGAGGTGGACGCACCGGTGAGCGGCTCATCGGCGTACAGCACTGCTGCGCCCGAGATGAGCTGAACGCCGAGCGACACGCGCCGTTTCTCGCCGCCCGAGATGCCCTTGAGGAGCGGCCCGCCGACGAGGTTCGACGCGCAGGGACCGAGGCCGAGCATGCGGATGACCTCCTCGGCGCGAGCGTGACACGAGGCCGTGCTCTGGTGCTTGAGCCGCAGGCGGGCCGCGAAGCGCAAGGTCTCGCGGACCGTCAAGGCCGGGAGGTGGAAGTCGTCCTCCTGCTCGACATAGGCGACGAGTGAGGCGAGGGTCGAGTCGAACGGCTGGCCGTTGAGCGTGATGGTGCCCGTCGAGCTGAAGGCCGACATGGCGGACGAGTTGAGGCGACCGGCGAGAACTTGGAGAAGGGACGACTTGCCGGCCTGCAAACGACGAGGAGGAGTGAGTGGGTAGGCCGTCGATGCAGGTCGTAGAGTGGCCGTGCGAGTATGGGACGCACGCCGGAAGGACCCATGATGGCCGACACCTTGGCCGCAGGAAAGCTCGCCGTGACGTCCTCGAGGATGACCTTATCCTTGCGCTCGCGCAGCTTGCCGAACCCGCGTTTCGAGACGATGAGCTTGAGGTGCTTGACGGCGATGTTGGCCGCACGTCTCGACGTGCTGCGCTTGAGCTCGGCATCGTGGCCGGCGGCGGCGGTCGACTGCGAGACGTGCTTCGAGGCATGCTGGACGCCGCCGGGCCGATAGGTGACGAGGAGGACGGTCGCGAGGGCGTAGGCGACGAGGACGAAGCCGAGGAGGCCGAGAGGGAAGACGTAGAGAGGCGTCGCGAGGTTGAACTGCATGCCCCGCAACACGTTCTCGCCGACGCACTGATTCAGCGCCGGGCCGGTGACGCCGTCGCAGGCGAACGTGCGACCGATGAACTGAAGGCGAGCGACCCAGTGAAAGCCTGTCGAGGAAGGTGGACCGTCAGGGAGTGACCGCGGGAGAGAGAAGGCGAACGGGTGCGCACCGTAGAAGAATGGCGAGATCCACCGCAACCAGCTGACCCAGGCGCCCAAATCGGTGACGAGGTACCCTGCCGAGAGCAGAAAAAAGATGCTGAAGCCGTTGGCGAGCATAGACGCCTGGGCGAAGCTGCGCTGCACGCCGCAGCACAGCAGCGCGTACGCCCACGCCGCCTCCTGCTGCAGGATGCCCTGGGCGATGAACGAGAGGACCTTGGTCGCCAGATCTTGTCGCCAGAAGCCGGCCATAAAGTCTGCAGGGCACGGGATGTCAGCTAGTGGGCAAGAAGAGGGACGAGAGGGAAGATGATGGGGGAAAAGGGAGGCTCGGGACGCACAGACGATGACCGAGTAGACGGTTGCGGCGACGATGTTTATCGGCGCGTAGCTGAGGATGACCGAGACGACCCAGGGACCAGTCGAGTACAGGTTGTCCTCGCGCTCGCGGTCGAAGACGACGAGCTCGTTGCAAAGTAGAAAGACGGCGAGCTGCGGGGCAGGGACTGTCAGTACTTGCCGCGTGCGTGACAAGAGGAAGAAGAGCTCGACGCACAATGATGCTCAGGTAGTAGAAGGCCGGCGCCTGCATGTAGCACAAGGTCTTGAGCGTCTGGATGCCTGCCGGGCTCTCGGCCGGCTCGAGGAAGACGAGGCCAATGACGATGCCGATGCTGCACGAGGTGACGAGGGAGGAAGGCGCACGGGGAAGATGGAGGTGCGAGAGCGTCAGGACGGTCCTGTCTGGCGACCCGAGAGGGGACGAAAGTGGACGAACATGATCGCCTGAAGGGAAAAGCCCGCGCACACGCCCCAGTTGCGCAAGACGTTGCGCGTGCCTCGTCGCGTGAGGATGAAGGTCTGTTGGAGGAAGGTGGCGCGGACGAGCGGCACAGGAGCGTCGATGGCGGTGGCGCCGCCGGACGAGAGCGACTCGCCCTTCTCGGGGTCCGACAGGCGCAGCGAGTCGGGCTCGTTGGACGCCTCGGGCTCGACAGGAACTGAAGCGCTTGAAGATGACGACACGGTGATGCCCTTCTCGCTCGTCGCGGCGACCGTGTGCTGCTCCTTGAGCCACGCCTGGACGAGCTGACCGACGCGCGCGCTCGACTCCTCCTCGGCCAAGTCGGTGCGGCTGTCGACGGACGAGATCTGGAGGAGCTCGACGAGTCAGTTCATGACGCAGAAGAGAGAAGGAGAGAGATCGAGAAGGCTCACGTCGATGACAAAGTCGAGCGGGTTGGTGTGCGCAGGCAGGTCGTGCCCGAGCGAGGCAAAGTACGGGAGCATGCGCTCGCGCTGCCCCGAGAAGACGGGCGAGCCTCGAGACAGCAAGAGGATCTTGTCGAACTGTAGGCGAGGGGGCAGAGTCAGGCGGGAACGGCTGTGACGAGGACGAGGGAGAAGACGCACCAGGCCGAACGCTTCTGACCGGGGCAGGTGACAGCTGAGGACGACGACACGCCCGTTTGCGGCTAATCTTTGAAGCGTCTGCAAGATCTGGAACGCCGTCGAGCTGTCGAGGCCGCTCGTCGGCTCGTCGAGGAGGAGGATCGAACATCGCTCGACAAGGGCGCAACCGATGCTGAGGCGCCGCCGCTCGCCGCCGCTGATGCCGCGTCGCAATGCTCCACCGACGAGGACATCTGCGACGTCCCGCAGGCCGAGCTCGGCCATCGTCTGCTCGACGATGGCGGTGCGCTGCGCCGGCGAGACCGACTTGGGCAAGCGCAGCGCGGCGGCCGTCTCGAGCGTCTCCTTGACCGACAGGTACGGCAACAGGGCGTCGTCTTGTCGCACGTAGCCGATGACCTTCTTGGCGGTGCCGAGCGACGACGAGCGCGAGTCGGCCGCGCCGCTCGCCGGGAGGTAGTCGATCTTGCCCGTCGGGAGCTCGAGGTTGCCGAGTCGCCCGGCGAGCACGTTGAGCAAAGTTGCTGTGGACAGTGGGCATGTCAGCTTGGTCGCACCCGCAGAGCTCGTACGAGGAGAACGGGGAGGAACAGGAGGAGGGGACGCACTCTTGCCGCTGCCGCTGCCGCCGATACTGCGAGCGCACGCGAGGTCAGGTCCGCACGATGAATCATAGAGGAGGGAGAATCGAGCACGACACACAGTGCGAGCACCTCGCCTGCGGCGATGTCGACGCTGACATTCCGCACCAACTCGGTCGGCACCGCCTCGCCGCCCTTCTGCAGCCGCCGCTGGACCCACCTCGGCACGGTGAACGGGATGGCGACCGGCACAGTCCATCGTGGCACCGGCGCCTGGATCGACAGGCCGCGGACGACGACCCGGTAAGGCGGTGGAGGAGGAAGGCGGGCGAGGAGCGACGAGGGCTCGTGGGCGTCGTCGATCGCCTGGTCCGTGTCGTGTACAGACTCAAGTTCGCTCGCCATCGTCGCAGCCAGTGCGCGCGAGGCTTGTGGTGAGAGCGAGAGCAGGTCGCGCTGTCCATCGAACGAGACGAGAGCGGGGGCCCGGAGCCGACCATGCTGGACGGCGACTCGCCTTTTCGCTCTCTTGCACGACGAGCAACAACGGCTCTGCATGCCGCTCGACGACGGCGAGACGCTCGGCGACGGCGGGAGAGCCAAACGAAACAGATGCTCGAGAGTTGCAGACCCGGACGACCTCCTCGCTCGCGCTCATGCCGCCTTCTTGCCCGTGACCGCCTTGAAGCCGCGCTTGATCAACCCTCCGCCAGCAGCCTTCTTGGCCGCCATGTCGTGGAGCACCTCCTCCTTGAGCTCCTCGGCGTCGAGCTCGCCGCCGAACGCGTACTGCGGGCGAGAGGTCCGAGAGTCAGGCGACATTCGACAGTGCGACGGTCGATGCAAGGAGGGAAGCGAACCCAGACGACCGTGATCATGCCGAGAAGCGCCGTCAAGACGCATCCGGCGAGCGCACCCTTGGCCTTGGGCGTCCTGTCGAGGGAGAAATGGCGAAGAGGAAGGCGGACAGGAGGCAAGGTCAGGACCGCGCCTGCTCGCAGACGTTCCGAGAGGAGGGGGACGCACCAGCCCGTGATGTGCTCCTGGTCCCTTGGACCCTTTGGCGCACCCGCAAAGTCGGTCAACGACATCTTGCCGGCGGCGTTGCCGGTCGTCGAGATGCCCTGCGCCTCGCACTGGTCGACGATCTGCTGCGGCAGCGTGAGGGCCTGCTGGGCGCCGAGAATGTCGGTCATGAAGACGACGGCGAGGCCGGCTTCCATGTGCCTGTGACCGGGAGAGGGAGCTGTCAGTCCGTGAAAGAGGAAGAGGGGAAAAGGAAGGGAGGACGCTCGGACGCACCACTGGACTGTTTGACGCGGGACGGGGGCGTAAGAGGGTCAGTGAGGTCGTCGTGCGAGTCCTTGAGAGAGATCTGTGCGCACTGTGGCAGTGGCTGCGTGCGTGAGAGGGCAAGGTCAGGACGCGTGCGACTTGGGAAGGTCGACAACGACCCGCTCTCAACAAGAGCGAGGGGAAGGCACGCACAAGATCCACGCGCCCGGGTTGTACGCCTGCCACGCGATGCTGACGAGAGGGAGGAGGGGAACGAGACGGGTCAGTCCTCGTCGGCGGTGGAAGAGGGAGGAGGGACGGGCGCACTTGACGGCGCCGCCGGCGGGAACGATGATCGTGTCGCGCCTCATCGGGTTCACGGCACCGAGGGTGTGTGGAGGGTTGAGCAGAGGGTCGTCCGAGGTGACGTCGGTCGCGACTGCAGGAGCAAGGTCGGGTCGTCAGGTCGGCTCGGCTGGGCGTTCCTCCTCACGCCGACGATGCGAGAGGGGGCGCACCTCGAGTGACCTGGAACGTCGAGCCGTGAAGGTGGAACGGGTGAGCGTTGGCGTCAAAGTTGATGATCATGAGGTCCATAACGTCGCCCCGGTTGAGGAGGTGCTGCGCCGTCTGCGGGCCGTACGCCTTGGGGTCGAGCGAGTCGTTGCCCATGGACAGCATCGTCATGAGCGAGGGCGTCTCGGGAGCGACCCAGGTGATGTTGTCGAGCATCGAGGCGCTGCGGGCGTGCGAGGCGTCAGGCTTCGAGCGCTCGGGAGGACGAGGAAGAGCGGGGCGCACCGGTTCACGCCATTGTCGAACGCTGCGCGGAGGAGAGACAGGGTCAGGACAGACACGATGAGAGAAGGTGTACGAGGAGAGGCGACGCACCGTCGAACCAGACGTCGAGCTCGAGCGAGGTCGTCGGGACGAACTGCTCCTCGGCGACGAGCGGGACGAAGAGGTGGTCCTCCATGAGGCCGAGCTTGTTGCGGAAGCCCGACTCGGCAGTCGGGTTGCCCTCGCCGTACGAAATCGTCGTCGTGTAGTCTGCGAGGGAGCGCGAGTCAAGCTTTGACCGTCGAGGGGCCTGAGCGAGGTAGGTCGAGCGAGAAGAGACGAACTGAGCGTGAGGCCTTCAGGGACCGTGTCGAACATCGAGTCGTCAAAGTTGGCGTGGACAAGGTAGTTCTGCGACGTGTCGTTGCGCGCCGTGACGAGGATCGAGTACCGCTGAGCGACCGAGAGCGTGAGGAAGTCGACCGGGTACGGCTCAGTGTCGATCTGCGGGAGCGACAGACGGCGTCAGGACACAGTCCACGGCGTCGTGGAGGGTCGAGGGGAGCGAGATCGGGACGCACGCCGTCCGCCTCGATGACCTGCATCTCGTGGCCGTCGATCCAGAAGAAGGACATGGCGAACACGCCCGTGTTGAGCACGCGCAGGCGGTACGTCTTGCCGGCCTCGAACGGGATCGACAGGTTGCCGTTGAACTGGACGTTCTCGTTCGACGGGAGGTAGGTGCCGTTCTGCGCGGCGTAGATGAGGAGCGCGTCGGGGACGGGCTCGGCGCCGGTCGGGTTGTACTTGTTCATAAACTGCAAAGCGGGCCCGAGGGGAGCGTGAGTAGGTCGTCTCGGACGTGACGAAGAAGTGGCACGAGAAAGGGCGAAGCCGTTGTGGCGGGAAAGTGGACCGGGGCGAGACGAGGAGAGGGTGCGCACCTGGTTGTTGAGCTTCGTCGCGCGCTCGTGGTACCAGTCGGACAGGATGATCGTGAACTCGTCATCGTACTTGTGAGGCTCCTGCTCGGCGTGAATGATGAGAGGCGCTGCGCGAGGTGGGAGCAAGGTCAGTACGGCGTCTTCTGCTCGAGAAGAGGCTCGAGGGTCGACGCACCCCGCAGACCATCTTGGTACGCGACGCTCGAGTGGCTGTGCCACCAGTACGTGCCGTGCTGCAGGTCGACGGGCACCTCGTAGGTGAGAGACGAGCCTGTGGACGAGACGAGGTGAGCAAGGTGAGGGAGAGCGGACGCTAAGGGGGACGAGGGCGCACCTGACGGGATCGGGCACTGCGTGACGCCGGGAGCGCCGTCGTAGTACGCGGTACCGTTGAAGAAGATGCCCTGTCACGCGAGACAGAGGGGCAGTCAGCCAACGCCGCACGAGAGAAGGAGGGAGAGAACGAGACGGACGTGGTGGTGGATCGAGCAGCCCATGTCGAGGCTGTTGAGCGCATGGATCCGGACCGTGTCGTTGGCCTTGACGTTCAGGATAGGCGGCCTGCAGGAAGCGAGTCGAGGTCAGTGCCGCGTGAGGAGGTCCAAGAGAGGGGAGAGCTCGTCGCTCACGGCCAAGTTCCGTTGACGCCGACGACCCAGGGCTTCTCGAAGCCATCAGGGCTCGCAGTCGTGTAGGTGAGGTTGTACCTGCGGGCGACTCGAGGTCAGAAAGGCCGCGGCGATCGAAGCGAGAGGGGGGACGCACCACTTCTCGACGAGGTCGGCGCTGGCGGACGAGGCGAGAGCGAGGACGGCAAGCGCAGAGAGACCGGCGCGCATGTTGTCCGCGAGACTGCGAGGCGCAGCGTCGAGGAGGAGAACGACGAGGAGGGAGGGAGGGCGAGGAGGGAAAGGGCAGCGAGAAAGCTCTTGTCAGATTGTCGGGCATCTCGCTGGCCATGGATCACCCGTCCCCGCGCTTTGGCCCGTGGGAGCGAGGCACGGAGGCGCGCAGCTCGAGCGAGGCGAGATGCGCCCGTCTCGCGAGCCGGACGCCGGAGCGGTGCGAGCGGCCGCGCTTCCCTTGCGCCCTCGAGCTCCTGGTCCCTGTTCTCTGCACTGCGCTCCCCAGCTGGACGAGGGATCACTCAAGCCGGACCTCGTCGAGCGGGCGAGCAAATTCGCTCGTTTGCGGTCTGGACTCGTCGCTCGCTGCGCTCGATCACGTTCTAAAATCGGGGTCTCGTAACGAGACCTTCTCGCCGCTCTTTCGAAGTGCGCGAGCGAGTTCAGCGAGGACGAACAGCGAGAGATGCACTTGCGCGACGACAGCCTTCAGCGCTTCGTTGCAGGTCCCTGCCCGAAGAGCGGCTCGCTGCAGTTCGGCGACTTGAGAAGGTGCCCAAGTGGGCAGAGCCGGAAGCCGCACAGGGTGCAGCAACGAACGAGTCTCGACGACGCAGTGCTCGACGAGCGTGCAGAGAGCGCGACAGGAGGAGAGCTGAAAGCCCTGGAACGAGAGGCGTCGGCGCGAGGGCGCGCTCGAACCTCGCGGACTTCTCGAGTCTCGCTCGCCGAGCTGCGGCCGGGTCAAGCGCTAGAATGTCAGACAGCTACAGGCAGGACACATGGCGACGTCGACCAGGACGCACGCCGGGTATGGACACAGGCGCCTCGCTCAAAGCAGGGGTATGGACCTCCTCCTCCTCCTCGACCTCGCTCGCACGCTCAGTAGGTCCTCGCGAGCACCTCCCTCGCCCACTCGCTCGCCTCGAGCCGCTCGCGGTACTCCTCATAGACGCCCTTGAGCGCCTCGAGCTCGGCGTCGACCCTCGCGTCCGGGTCGGCGGCAGGGAGCGCCTTGGTCGCCACGGCCCATGAGTCGAGGAACGCCTCGACGAGCGCCGTACCGGCGGCGATCTCCTCGGCGGGGAGCAGCGCAGAGGGAGGCGGGGCACGAGGGGCGGCCATGCGAGTGTCGGTGTCGTCGGTCGGCGCGGCTGTAGGTGCAGGCGACGTCAGGTCGGTCGTGAGGAGGGACCAGAAGAGGGCGACGGGGACGCACGCTGCGAGCCAAAGTCCTCGAGGTCGTCGGCCTTGCGCTTGGCGAGCTGTCGCCGGGATAGGGGCCAAGGTCAAGAAGTGCTCGAGGCTCGGAAAGGCGAGAGCGAGAGTGGGCGCACCTTGACGACCTCCTCGGGAAAGTTGGCGAGCTCGGCGACGTGGATGCCGAAGCTCTGGTCGCACACGCCGGGCAGGACCTTGTACAGGAGCGTGATGTCGCGGCCGGTGAGCGTGTTGGGGTTGGCCTCGACGTGCGCCTCGACGTGCAGGTTCTGGACGTGGGCGACTTCGTTGGCGAGCGCCGTGAGCTCGTGGAAGTGGGTGGCGAACAGGACCGAGGCGCGCGTGACGGTCGACAGGTGTCTGTGCGGCGACGAAAGAGGGCGCGAGGACAACAAGGGTCAGGGCCGGCCGTCGAGGACGAGAAAGAGGGGGGCAGGACAAGGGACGCACTCCGAGATGGCCCACGCGAGGCCGAAGCCGTCGTACGTCGACGTGCCGCGCCCGAGCTCGTCGATGATGACGAGGCTGTCGCGCGACGCCTGGCGGAGGATGGCGCTCGTCTCGAGCATCTCGGCCATGAAGGTCGACACGCCCTTGAGCTGCGAGTCGCCGGCGCCGACGCGGCACAGGACCGAGTCGAAGATGGGCACCTCGGCGCTCGCGCACGGGACAAAGGCGCCGATCTGGGCGAGGAGGGCGATGAGGGCCGTCTGGCGGATGAAGACCGACTTGCCGCCGGCGTTCGGGCCCGTGATGATGCAGAACTCGCTCGTGTCGCGCTCGAGGTGGACGTCGTTGGCGATAAAGTCGATGCCCTCCTGCACCTCGAGGCACGGGTGGCGCGCCTCGTCGAGCTTGAGGCTGCCGGCGCCGCGCTCAAACACGGTCGGCTTGACGTACGGGATGGGCGCGACGAGGGCCGAGTTGGCGAGGCTGTAGCGCACGCAGAGGGTGAGCTGTGCTGCCTTTGCAGCAGGAGGAGAGGGCGTGGACGCACCTGGCGATCACGTCGACGTGCGCGAGGACCGTGTTGAGCGCCTCGAGGACCTCGCAGTACGACGCTGTGTGCTCGTGCCACCGAGTCAGTCTCGACGTCGCAGTGGACGGGCACAGAGGGCGGACAGACGTACCCGCGATGCCGATGACGTCCTTGACGAGCCCGCTCTGCTTCTTCTCGTACGCCTTCTGGATGTTGCGGTGCTCCTCGTTGAGGCCCTTGAGCGGCTTGGTCGTAAAGTGGACGCCGTTGGTCTGCGACTTGAGCTCGATGTAGCCCTTCTTGTTCTTGATCGCCGTCGCCTCCTGCACGAGGCGGGAGAAGGGAGAGAGGGAGGGGAACGAGGTGGACGAGGTCAGGGAACGGCATGCCGACTCTCGACGACGACGGTGACGACGGCGATGCAGGAGAGGTCGACGGGACGCACCTTGCGCGTGAGGCGGAAGCAGTGCCCGTAGAGCGCGTTGTGCTCAAAGTGGAGGACCTTGCCGTCGGTGTCCATCTCGAGGTCGTCGGCGACGCGGTGGTGCTCGACGTCGAGCTGGTCCCGGACGCCCTCGAGCTGGGCGTGCAGGTCCTTGAGGCCCTCGTCAAAGTCGGCCTTGATGGCAAAGTTGTGGCGCGAGAGCTCGGAGAGGTCGATGGTCGTCTCGACCATCTCCTGGTACGTGACGAGCGACGCCGTGTGCTCCTGCGGACGTTGCGGTACACGTATGCGTGAGCGGGCTCGACGACGAGACTCGAGGCAAAGAGAGAGAGAGAGCTGGGCGCACCTGCAGCTGAGCGAGCCAGAGCTCGTCGATCAAACCCCTCCACCGCTTCTCTCCTCCACCCTCGGCGCCCTCGTCCTTCTCGCCGTCGCCCATCTCAGCGTCGCCGTCCTGGTCGTCCTGCGGCGCCTCGACGCCCGTCTCGAGGCACGTGACGAGCCCGGGGAGGAGGAGCACGGCCTGGTACACGCGCACGACGTCCTCGAGCGAGGCGGCGCCCTTCTGGAAGCGCTTGCTGATGCGGTGAAAGTCGGGCATGCTCTTGAGGAAGTCGTCCTGGATAAGGGGGTGTCGCCTCGAGATGAGCTTGACCGGCCTGTACGGCGAGAAGGGGAGAGAGGAAGGAGGGAGGGGGACGCACCGTCAGCGCCTGGCGGAACTCGTCCTTGGTACACAGGCACTCGACGAGGTCCTGCCGCTGAAGGATGACGTGACGGTTGACGAGCGGCTGCTTGAGCCATTGGGCGAGGAGGCGAGTGCCCTGCGCCGTCTTGCACCGGTTGAGAAGGCCAAAGACCGACATCGTCTTGGTCGAGCCGCCGAGGCCGGTCGGGTCGGGCATGACTGCGAGCGCGACGAGCGAGAGTGAGCGACTGTCGCGGCTTCGTGTCCACTCGCTCGGGGAAGAGGAGGGCTATCCACTCGACGAGACAAGGCCGGGCAGAGAAACGGGTCGACGCACGGTTCAGGGCCCGGACGGCGCTCGCGTCGAGGCGCATGTACATGCTCAAGTCGTGCGTCTTGAGGTTGTAGGCGCCAAAGTTGGCCGAGTCGGCCATGAGGGCCGAGTAGCTGACGATGGCCGACATGGACGACATGGCGACGCGCTGGTCGAACTCGGCTGTCGACAGCGGTGCAGGACGGTGCGTGAGTGCTGGTGACTGAGAGGGAGAGAGGCGAGTGGAAGAAGGAGGGGACGCACGCCGCGTGGCCATGAGGAGCGAGCTGCGCAGGAGGCGGTTCAAGTCCTGCTCGACGTCGCCCTTGGTAAACTCGCCTGCGCGCGATGTGCAACAGAGTCAGTGATACATCCCGAGAGAGGAGAAATTGCCGGGCGGCAAGGCCCGACAACTGCCTCGAAAGGCGAGGCGGCCACCGGGACGGGCGACGGGAAGAAGCGCGAGGACGCACTCTTCTTGCGCGGCGTGATGACGATGCCGCAGCGCTGCAGCAGGGAGTTGAGCTTGCTCAGGTCGTAGTCGAGCGCCTTGTCCTGGTCGACGACGAGCGCCTCCTTGACGCCGAGCTGGATGAGGAGGGCCTGTGCGCGGGGAGGACGAGGGCGAGTCGTGGCTGGGTCAGTGCGCATGCCTCGACAAGGCCAACCGAGCGGCGCAAGGTGCCACCCGCCAGGCAGCAGATCGAGACAGGGACAGCCGGGACGCACCTCGGTGTTGCTGAACAGGTCGTTGTCGACGAACTCGGCGACGCCCATCTCCCTCGCGCTCACGTCGGCGTACGCGACGCCGACCGTCTTGACGCCGTCCTTGACCTGGACGCGGATGGCGACGAGCACCGGGCTCGCGAGGAGGTCGGTGTGGGCGAACAGGAGGTCCTCGAGCGGGCCGAGGTTGCCCGGGCTCGCCGCCTTTGCGAGGCGCCATTTTGTCGCGCCGCGGCCGACGCCGCCCGACTCGGGCTCCCAGATCTCGACGCGGAGCTGCTTGGCCGTGAGGGCGTCGCGGAGGAACGACTGGGCGACGGCGTGCGACAGGGTGACGGACGCGAGGCCCTCGGGGTCGGTCGCGGTCGGCGAGCCGAGGCGCTTGACCGAGGTGAGCGTCTTGTAGTGGTGCGTCGCGACGTAGAGGGCGTCGGCGCCGTAGGCGCAGTAGAAGTCGGAGCGGTCAAAGAGGCGGATGGTGCCCTCGGGCGTCTGCGAGGAGGACGACGGCGGGGCAGGCAGGGTCAGTCCTGCGGCTTGTGCGCGCCCTCAAACAGTTGCTGCGAGTCCACCAGGTGGACCGGTGAGGCCTTGGCAGCGTCTCGAGGCCAGGAACGCGTCGCCACACGGTGCACGACTGGATCTCGTTCGACTCGGGAGGAGGGGGGGAAGGGGGACGGACCTGGGGCAGCTTGCGGATGGCGGTGCACACGCGGTTGTCGTCTTCGAGCTTCTTGAGGTCGTCGTCGGGGCCCTTGGCCTTTGCCTTTGTCGGGTACTGCGGGTTGACCATGGTCGCGGGGGGGACGGCGACGAGGCGAGTTCGAGGCAGCGAGGGCGAGAGGTGCGACGGGCGCGCTGTGGCGGGTGCTCGTGGGTGCCTCTGGCGAGCTTGGTCGGGCAAGCAGGCGCGCAGGCAGGTCGGGTGAGGAGGAAGGAGCGAGGTCGACCTTGGTCCGGCTCGACCTCATCTCTGTCGACCTCTCGCTCCTCGACAACAGCACCAAGCACGAGCACAGCACAGTCGCTAGCTCCGAGACTACCGAAGCGAGCCAATGCCCTCCGACCTGCGCTCCACCGCGTCCCGGTCCCACCCTCCCCCTCCTCCTCCTCCACCTCGCTCCCGACTGCGCCTCCCTCGCCGCCCCTCGCCGCTCAAGGTCTTCCTCACCTTGTTCGCCCTCACCCTCTACCTCCTCACCGCCCTGCGCTACTCGCTCCCGCCCTTTCGCCCCTCGACCGAGGACCGCGTCCTGCGCTCTCGCCCCGCCTTGCGCAGCGTCGAGCGGTGCGCCCTCGCTCTCTCTCTATCGTTCCCTCGACTGACCGCACGGCGACGCTGACCCAGCGAGCGACACCCCGTCCCGCAGGTACTCGCCGCAGCACAAGTACAGGCCGGCCTCAAGCCCGGTCGTCCAGGTCGTCGCGCCTGACGGCTCGAGGCGAGAAAAGGGGCGCTACTACTGAGCTGGGGTGCGGGCAGGCAGGTCACGACGAGAAGCACAGATGGACACTGGACGGCGCGCAGACACTCGAGTCGACGTCGATGCAACGACGATGACGCTTTCGCTTTCCTTCTCGTGCCTTTCTTTTCCTCTCGCGCGGCGACGACGGACGCGGCGAGAGAGCTGAGAGGAAAGATGTCCGTTTCAGAGAGGCAAGCGAGGTCCATGAGGGTGTATACAAGGGAGGAGAAGAGGCGAGGCGAGCACGCGAGGAGTGGTACAAAGAGGGAGAGAGAGAGAGAGGAAGGGTCGGGCGAGCGCACTCTCCTGCAGAGAGGAAGAAGAGGCGCCGCCCACATCAAGCTCCGAAGGCGCTTCTTGCTGCGTCGGCGGTGGATGCCGAACAAGAGAGCGCGCACGCGGTGAAAGCTCGACCCTCGTGCCCTGCAAGTCGACCGAGGCGTCAGGGCTCGTCGCTCGCCGTCTCGACACCGAGAAAGAGATAGAGAGAGAGAGAAGGAGAGACGGACCTGGAAAGGGAGGACTCGCTGCGCGAGAAGAGTCCCGCCCGAGCTCGCTCGAGAAGAGCGAGGTAGGGGCGCACGACGTCGGTCACGGCTCCTCGAGCAGGGCCGCCCCACAGTGGGACAGCCCGCCTTGCTGAGGTCGGAAGTATGCTGGCCTCGATCGCTGGTGGTGGCACCGCACAGGTGCTGGGGGGGAAAAGGGGAGGGGGACGAAGAGCCTCGACGACGACAAAAGATGCCGCCGAGGACGACGAGGAAGGGAGGGAAAGGGGGGTGCGGTGCGAGCGATGTCGTCGGCCGGCATGAGGCGATGGCCTGGCATGCAGATCGTGGGGTGGGTGCGGAACAAGAACAGGTGAGGGCACTTGTCGCAGGTGGGAAGAGGTGGTGGGGCGAGGGCGGTTGCGGCGGCGACGTCGAGGCTGAGCAGCTGCACGGTGACGAGACGAACGTCAGGTGACAAGCTCGAGGCGTGCAAGAGTGGCGAGGAGTGTGAGAGAGGACGAACCCTGGACGAAGGTCTTGAGGCAGCCCTCGCGGTTCAAAGAGGTGGTGGGTGCGCGAGCTCTAGCCAGAGCCCGACGCGCCGACGCCGACGTCGAGGTCAAAGTTGAACTCGTCGCCGTCGTGCTGGTCGTCGTCGCGGTCGAGGTCGTCGTCGTCGTCGCCGGCAAAGTTGCCCTCGCGGTCGATGTGCTCGTCGTGGACGGCGGCGCAGTGCCTCGCGCGGTCGTGACGGCGGCTGAACATCTTGGGGCACACGGGGCACTGGAACTCGCGCACGCCGAGGTGCGACTTGTAGTGGCTCGCCATGTTGAAGTTGCGCGCGAACGCACGGCCGCACCCGGGGTGCGGGCACGTGAAGCGGCGCACCTGCTCCTTCTTGGCCGGGCGGCGCTTGGTCGAGCCCTTCTTGCCCTGCCCGACGGGGAGCCGGATCTTCTGCTGCGTGCCCATGGCGACGGGCAGCGCCGAGACGGGCACGGTCGCGCCGGTCGGGAGGACGAACGTCGCCTCCTGGTCGGGCGACGCCGCGGGCACGACGACGGGCGCCGTCACCTTGGGCTTGGGCGGCGCCGGCGCCGGCGAAGGCGACGCCTTGACCTCGACAGGGCGCGACTGCTCGCGCTCGACGACGGGCTGCGACTGGGCGACGGCGACGGGTGCGGCCGGGGCGGCCGACGTGGCGGACGACGAGACAGGTGCGGCCGTACCCGGAGCAGGGACGAAGTAGTAGGTGCCGTGCGGCGTCTCGATGGCGGCCGGAGCGGGCGCCGACACGGGGACGGCGACGGCGTAGATGGCGCCGTTGATGGCCTGGAACTGGAGGTGCTGCTGCTGCTGCTGCTGCTGGTAGTGCTGCTGCTGCTGGGCGGCGACGGCGGCGAGCGCAGCTTGGTCCGAGATGGCGGCGGCGAATTGGCCCGCCGTGAAGCCCGCAGACGCCGCACCCTGCGAGAAGAGGGCCTCGGCCTGGTGGTGCGAGTGCGCGTACGGGTGCTGCTGGTACGGCGACGGCGTCTGCTCGACCTGGTACTGTGCGTACGACGCGTGCGACGCGGCGGGCGACGGCAGCTCGAAGCGCTGGACGGCGGCGGCGAACTGGCCCTGGTGCTGGGGCTCGAGGGCGACCGGCGACGGGGCAGGCGGCGCGAACGCGTACATGGCGGCTGCGTTGAGGGCGACGGGGGCCTCGAGGTGGTCGACGACCGAGGACGACGAGAACGAGCCGTGGTTGAACGAGGCCGTGGGCAAGGCCGAGTGCTGCGAAGACGTGCCGCGGGCGAGGTCCAAGATTGGCTTCGTCTCGACCTGCAAGGTTTGCGGGCGGGGCGCGTAAGTACAACGGCTCTGCGAACGTCTCGGACTGTCCTTCCGAGAAGCACAGCCCCGAGGACGGGAGAGAGAGAGAGGGGTCGGGGACGCACGAGAAGAGAGGCATCCTCGAAGCTGGCATCGCCGGCCCACGCGCCCTCGTACGGGTTGACGGCCGCACGCGTTCCCTCGACGACGACCGCCTTGTCGAGCACGGGCGAGCCGCGCGGCGTCGAGTGGTGCGACGTCGCGGGGGACGAGGCGCGGTCGGAACCACCGGCCGACCACGACGGCTCGGGCGTCGACGCCGACGAGGCGGACGACTCGTGGAGCGGGGCCGAGAAGTCGCCAAAGCTGGCCTGGTAGTCGAACGCGGCCGTCGAGGGGCTCGGGAGGTAGGCGGCGAGGGACCCACCTCCGAAGAAGTGCGAGGGGGATGGGAGGACCGAGAAGTCGGCGCCGGGGAAGTGCAGGTGCTCCGTCTTGAGCTGGAGGGGCTGCATCGTGTGTGCGTGTGTCGGACCGGCGGGTGGGCGAGGCCGGCAGAGGTCGAACGAGGGAGAGAAGAAGGGGGGGGGACCGTTGCTCCGCTCTCGGCGCGGCGCGGCGGCCTTCTTCAGGCACCGCCTCCGTCTGCCAGCGGTGCGGGCTTTTTTGGGCCGTCTCTCCTCGCGCGTCTGGCGGGCTCGTAGATTCTCAGCCGCACGGCGTCGCCGGCAGGAGCGAGCGCTTTGTGCTGCGGCTCTCTCTGTCTCTCTCTCTCGCTCCCTCGCGACCGGAGCCCGCACGGACGACTGAGTGCGCAGTACAGGAGGCGCAGGAAGAGGGGAAGGTGCACAACGCCCGCGCCGAGGCACAGAGGGGAGAGAACGAGAAGCGCGAGGGCCGGGCGAGGCAGGGAGAAAAGGGGAGGGGCGAAACGAGGTCAGGGTGAGGGAGAGAGGGAGGGACAGCTGCGGGAGGAGGGAAGGTTGCAGCTGCCTGCCGACTCGGTCGACGAGGTGGGGATGAACGAGGGGGAGGCGCGAGGACGAGCCGCAGCGTCGGCAGGAGAGGGAGGCGGCGAGAGAGGGAGGAGGGGGAGAGGTGACCTGGGTCGAGGCGAGGCGCCGTCGACGAGGCGTAGGCTATGGCGGCGGCAGCGAGCGGAGAAGAGAGTGTCGAGAGGGTGCTCATGTGGAGGATGCGGTGGGAGGCCGCTGAGGGCCGAGAGGGGTTTCGCTGTCGGACGCCGACGATTCCTATTTCCTGACGACGATCGGGACTGTGAAAAGGACGCACTCGATCAGTGACCGATTCCAGGATGTGTGTGAGAGAGAGCGTGAGCCAGAGAGAGAGTGAGAGAAAGGGAGGAAGAGAGGGAGAGAGGGACGCACCGACGATGACGACGACGAGGATGGCGATGCCGACGGCGATGAGGATGCGCATCTTCATGTCCTTCCACCACATCTGCTTGCGCACGCGATTGGCGCCACGGCGGAACCCTTGTGCGCTCTGCGCGAGGTTGTCTGCGGCACAGGGAGCGCGAGTCAGTCCAGGTCTGGGAGAGGGTCGAGGAGAGCGGCACGACGGACCGGTCTTGTCCTGCAGCGCGTCGAGGCGCTCGCCGCGCTCAGCAACCTTGGTGATGTTCTCGCGCATGATGCCGACCGTGTCGTCGATCTGCTGCTGGATCTGCGCCGTTTTGTTGTTCTTGCCGCCGCTGCCGGAGCCCGAGGGGCCGGGGCCGCCGCCGGGCATATTGGGGTTGCCGCCAGGGACGTAAGGGTCGTACGGCTCGGACCTGCGTGCGTAGGAGGAGGGCAGAGCGAGGTCAGCGGCTGTGCAGCCGGAAGAGGGATGCGGAAGGGGCTTGAGGGGGAGCTCGGTGGCCGCGCCCGCCGTGGCAGCGCGCTCGTGCACGGAGCCTGCCAGGCTGTGGGAGCACTCGATCCCGGCGCGTGTGGCTCTGCCCGTCGCGCCGCTGTCGCCGAGAGATCTGGTCGCCCCCCACCCCGCGTGCGCCTCATCGCCCTCGTCCCGCCGCGTCGTCCACAGGCCTCGAGAGAGCGGCAAGGGGCTCACATGGTGCTGCAGAGAGGTGCTCGAGGGGTATCGAGAGTGAAGCAAGCGAGCGCAGGTGTGTGCAAGAGCAAGGCTCGTGCCGAGCCTCGTCGGCGGCGAACGAGCGCTGGGAGCTCACTTTGCTCGCCTCCTGCGAGCCGACATGTGCCCAGTTCTCTCTGTTATTGCTTCGAATGGCCTGCCAATCAACAGAGGAATCGCAGAGACCCGCTCGCGTGAAGCGCTCGTCCAGCTGCTGCGCACGGCGACAGCGCTCGCTCGCTCGCAGACACTCGCCGGACCGGCTGTGCAGCCAGAGAGACGACGAGGAGGTGCCCGTATGTTGCACGAGAGGCGCTGCGCTACAAGCGCCGCTCGACCTCCTGCACCGCCTCCTCGACCCGCCCGAGCAACTCGCCGACAAGCTCCAGCTCGAGCGCCAGCCCCGGTCCCGCCCCGGTTCCGTCTCCTGGTCCTCCCGCCGAGGCAGTGAGCCACTTGACGAGCTGTGCGCGGAGCGGGCCGAGCAGTCGCCTGCGCAAATTGGCGAGGGCTGACGGGTCGGCGATGCCAGTCTGCGCGACCGAGCTTGTCAGAGACTGTGGCCGGCTGAGGCCGCAGTAGAGGCGATCGAGGGAGACGTGGGTGGACTGGAACGCACCCGGTTCTGCTGATCCCTCTTCAGAAACACGAAGAGGAGGCTCAGGCGCTCCATGACGCCGGCGCGATGTTGCTCGACAAAGTCGCTCGGCTCGAGCGCGTCGACGGCGAGGCCGGAGGGGTCGAGGTCGAGGAGGGCGTTGCCGAGGGGCGACGAGAAGAAGGTGCCGCTCAGAAAGAGCGATGGCGACGATGGCTGTGCAGGGTGCGAGGGCAGGAGGCAAAAGTCAACGCTCGGGAAAGGCCAACGAGCGACTGCGTAGAGAGAGGAGGACGCACTGGAAGATCGAGCTTTTGCAGAAGCACCTCCTTGACGATCCCGACGCTCGCCGCTCGCAGGCTTGGTGCGGGGCAGTCGACGACGAGCTGCTCGAGAAGGTTGACCTGGGTCGCCTCGCCGTCGACCGTGTCGCCGTCGGCGGTCGTGACGAGCCGCGTCAAAAGTCGAAAGGCGAGGAAGCGAGTTGGTGGGTCGGGCGACAGCGAGGCGAGCGGCGTGACGATCTGCAGGCGAGGCGACGTGAGGCAAGGCAAAGTCAGTTTCCCCGGACGAGAGGGCCGCACGAGAAAAGGCGAAGGGGACGCACCTCGACGAGGTCGAAGAGGAGGTCGACGTTGAACGGCTTCTCGAGCTCGAGCTGCTGCTCGACGCACCACCACAACCAGCACATCGCCTCGTCCTCGGCGAGCCGAAGCGGCGGGTCGACCTCAGCGGCCCTCAGGATGTCGAGCGACTCGGCGAGTAGTCCCTCGACGGGCCGGCCGAGCTGATGCGAGGCGATGCTCGGGTTCGCGGCAACCGTGTGGGCGAGGAGGACGAGTGCGCCGAGTCGAGATGGGCGAGATGCATCGCGCGACAGGACCGTGTTGACCAGGCTCGACGGGTTGATGCGCATCATGTGCAGCACGCTCTGCGAGTGTGTGAGACGATGAGGGCGTGTTCCCGAGAAGTAGGAGGGCCGGAAGAAAGGGCGACGCACCTCGACGAGCTCCCACACGAGCTGACTTGCTGTCGGCGACGATGGCGGGCCTGGTCGGCGGTATGTCGGGAAACGCGCGAAGAAGAAGGTTGAAGCGATGTCGACGGGCATGGACGGGTGCAGGAGCGCGACGGCGTCGTACAGGTACGTCTTGAAGAGGGCGAGGGCCTGCGCGAGAAGATGGTCAGGTCGGGACGGTGGTGGGCGAGAGCTGCTGGACGCACCGTATCTTGCGCAGCTCGGTCGCCCTCTGCTGAGCTGACGATCCACGCGCCCACGTTGCGCAAGAAGAGGACGACGGCTCGAAGAAGCCCTTGGGCGAGCGGGTCGCCGTGGTGCCGCGCGCCGCTCGTAGTTGATGCGGCCACGAAAGGGCTTTGACGAGCGACGTCGGTCATGGCGGAGCGCATCTGCTTGACCGCCGACTCGAGGAACGGCAGCGGCCGCTTCGCCTTGACGCGGACCAAGGCTGCGCGCGAGGTTGTGGCTTCGTCAGGTCGGGTCTCGTGGCAAAAGAGGAGGAAAGGAGGGGCGCACCGCTTGCGTACATGGTCGTTAAACACGCGAGGCGGAAGGCTGCATCTCGAGCGTCCTCGACGGCGTCGTTGTCGTCGTCGTTGGCCGACTCGTCCATGCCGTTCTCGGAATGGGGCGACAGCTGCTGCTCGACCGCCATGACGACCTCCTTGGGGCTGCAGACCGTCGCGACAAGAGTCAAGCAGGCCTTGACGTGGTCGCTCGTGCTCATCGAGCGCTCGGGGACAGGCTCATCGGCGGCGAGGAGGGGGACGAGGAAGTCGAGGAGGAGGAATGCGTCGGCGAACAGCGTGGTCTGCAGGAGGGGCTGGTCAGCTCGGCCGCAGTGAGGTAGTGAAAGTGGACGCACGCACTGCAAGGTCCCGACCGTCTTGTCTGATCTCGTGCGCCTCGCTGGAGAGTTGGATGAGGAGCTCCTTGGCGAGGTCGGCCCTCGCCTCGCGCGACGCCTGGAGCCGTGTGGCGCGATTGATACGGTCCAGCAAGGGCATGGACGGGCCTGCAGCAGAGCTCATCGTCGAGTGAGAGCGGTTGACGTCGAGCGAGCAGCCGCGCAGGCGGACAGCTTCTCTCCTCTCCTCCTCCACCCTCGCACCGCGAGATGAGCTGCAGACGTTCCGCACAGGCTGCGTCGCTGCCGCAGGCCCGCTCAAGCTGGCGAGCCTGCCTCTCGCCGCCGGTCTGGCGTCTGCCCACCTCGTCCTCCTCGAGCCGCCGGGGCGGCCGTCGGCTTTCAAGGCGAGGAACTCGAGTGAGGGCAGGAGCGGCAACTCGCCGTTCCAGGTCCGGCACGACACGCAGCGCTGTGCCCGTGGGCAGTCCCTGAGTGATTGCGCGCTGCGTGGGTCGGCGTGGCAGCTCGTTCGCTCGATCGTCGAGCCGAGGCTCGAACGTGGCTCGCAGCACGTTCACTCGAGGTTACCGGCTCGTTGCGGAGCATCCGCTTCGTCGCTCTGCCTGCTCGCTACAGCTGCTCTCTCGCTCTGCCGCACGCGGACTCGGGGCGCAAGATGGAGCCGACTGCTCCTGACTCGCCCTACGCTGCGGTTCTCCTTGCTCTCGAGTGGGAGCTCCGGCCCACGCCCTCGCCCGGCTTTCGCAGCCGTGCACTGTTCCTCGAGGCCCTCACCGCGTCGTGAGTCGTGCAGCACTCCCTCCTCGTCGCGCACGCCAGTACTGACTCTTTGCCTCTCCAGCTACGTCGCCGTCGCCCTCGTCTACCTCACTATCCTCCGACGACGCGCAGAACTTTCGTCCGGGTCGAGCACACCGCTCCTGCGGAGAGTGAGTCCACCCTGTTTCCGCAGCTCTCTGCGGTTGCCGTCACCGTCGACTGACCTTTCAACCCGCCTAGGTGACGTTGCCGGCGGGCCGCCTCCTCGTCCTCGATACGACCTACTTCTTGCCGTGCACCACCATCGTCATTGGCGCTCTCAGCCTCGGCAACCTTGCTGCGCTTTCGTCCAAAGACGTCGGCGCCGGTACCGTGCGTCCTGATCCTCCTTCCCTTCCTCCCTCGTCTCGCCTCGAGCGCCGGCAACTGACAATGTCTCGAGCTCGTCACGCAACAGGGCGTCCAGTTTGCCCTTCGCGCCTTCCGGGGCGTCTTGTTGTTCCTGCAGGGGTGGAGCCTGACGTTCGCGGCGCTCCAGGGCCTGTGGGTCGCGACTCGGACCCGGCGCCCAAGCGCACGCACGGCCAACGCCGTCTTCCTCGGCGTCGGAGGCTGTGGAGCTCTCGTCGGCCTTGTCCGTCCCAATTTCCTCGACTGTCAACGGGCGAGAGCGAGAGACTGACCTGCACGACCCCCCGCAGGCAGTCGGCTTCGTCACCCTCGTCGCCGGCGAGCGCGTCAACGGTTGCTACGTTTGGATCCGCTCGGCGTTGCGCATCATCGAGCAGAACCAGCTCGCCTCGGTCGCCGCAATCCTGCGCATCGCGCCTGGCGTCGACGCGCTCCGAGAAGCGGTGCACAACCTGCGCACGGTCCTGTTGGCCACCTTCGCCGTTCTAGCGACTCTGGCGGTCGGCGTTCTCGTCGTACGTCCTCGTGTTCCTCTTCTCTTGTCGCCTCGGGCGGAACGCTCACCTCTTCGCCCACTCCTCGCAGCTGTGCTCGTGCGGCCTCCTGGACGTGGTCGCGCATGAACCCGTCGCGGCGCCGATCCAGCTCCCGAGCACGCCTCCCATATCGCCGGTCGATCTCGAGAAGAGCGAGTTCATCGAGGACATGTCGGCCGTCGAGGGCGGCGGGCTCGTCGACTTTGAGGCGCTTCGAGTCGAGAAGGCGAGGGACGACTTGGCCGTGGTGCGCCCGCCTTTCTCTCTCTCCCTCACATGAACCAGCGTCTACAGCGAGCTTACATACACTCGGTATACCTCTTGCAGACTTGCCTCACGGTCGGCCTCCTCGCCGTCGTCATGGCCTGCTCCTTGGCCTTCTCGGTCAACCTCGCCGTGCACGACCGCATCTTTGGCGTCGCGAGCTTTGCGTGCGTGACGTCCCTCTTGCACCCGTACTCGCACTGGACGGACCTGACACTCTCTCCTCGCAGAGCCGAGGTCGCCCATCTCACTTTCGCCTACGTCTACTCGGTCGTCCAAATTGTCTCGCTCTCGATCCTCCTGCATCACGCACTCACCGAGCGCACCGCGCCCGAGCTTCCTGCGACGCCTGGTGCGCCGTCTTCCTCGTCTCGGAGCCGCCTTCCGCCGTCGTCGCGCGTCCTGAGGCGCCTGCGGCTCTTCGGGGTGCGTGCGAGACGGTGGATGCCGAAGGGTCTGGTGCAGCAGGGCGGGGCAGGGCGCAGGACACATCTGTAGCAGTATCGCATCCGAGCTCGGCGGGCAACGTTCCTTCTCAGCTTGAGCCGCGCTGCCGTCGTCCAGTCTCTCGAGAGCAGCTTGAAGCGAGAGGAGAGACGGGTCGGCTCCCACAGGTTTGGGCGCCTTTCCGCCGCACATCTGTCTCATGGAACTATGCGCGCTTGTTCCCCCCGCAAGAGCGCGCACGGAGGCGAGAAGTCGCCTGCTGCTCGCGCGAGCCGAATCTCGCCGCTGGCAGAACGGCTCGACCACCAACCACCACCTCGACGCTGCCACTCGCGCTGCTCGCGAGTTGCGCACACCGTGCCTGAGCCCACACAAGCAGCCCCCCGCCCGCCGCTCGCCCTGTGTAACCCTCGCGTCGCCAACTCGTCCTCCTCATCACCCCGAACCCCCCACCGACGGCCGACACATCTCGCCAGCATCTCGAGATACGTGCACCCGCCAGCACTAGACTCGAAAGATGGCCTGTGAGTCCACCGGCCTGTCCCAGCTCTCGCGAGCCGCCTGTCTGCCCCGCCTTTCCCTCACTGACGCTCCTCCTCGCCAGCCGACAACAGCTTCCCGACACCGGGCCAGCTCGTCGACAAGGTCCCTCTGATCCGCAACCCGGGCTTCTGGGTGCCCAAGCCGGTGCGTCCTCTCGTTTGCGGCCGTCTCTCGCCGTTCGGGTCTCGGACCTGACCCTCTCGAGCACCGGCAGGTCGAGCTCCCGCCAGACATCCACCCTTTGCCGGAAGATGTACACGCCTATGTGCGTCCCCCTATTTCTCTGCGGACCAAGCCCTCGCAGTGGCTGACCCTCGTTCTCGTGTGCGCGCACAGTTCGTCTACCCTCACTCGCTCGAGGCGCACGTCCTCTCGACTCTCCCCGCCGCCCTCGACACGCTCCAGCAGACGCACACCCAGCGCCTCGCCCTTCTCGCGAGCTACGCCGAGTCGAAGGAGCGCGCCCGCAAAGCCCGTCTGAACCAGGTGGCGCCAGGCTACGCCGAGGGCGGTGCGGCGCTCGAGCCGGTGCGGCGCGAGACGGCTGTGCCCAAGTCGGCGGCGGCGGCGCAGAGGTCGTCTCGCGCGCAGAGGGAGAACCTCTTGGGCGGGTCGGACGAGGACGAGGCGGCGGTGACGGCGCCGAGCGAGGGGAGCGTCTTGGGCGAGCCGAGGGCCAACTCGCCGGGCGAGATGGGCGCGGCGACGATCGACAAGATGCAGCGGGACCAGATGATGGACATGTTCGCCGGGCTGGACCGGCTCGACTCGACGTTGAGCGGCGGCGGCGGCGGCGGCGATGGAGCAGGCAGGTCGGCGGGCCGAGCAGGTGGTGACCTCGACGACCTCATCTGATCCTTTGTGCGCGGACGTAGCCCCTTGCGAGCAGCCTTTCCTGTCCATTGTACACCTATGCAATGCCGTTCAGCGTTTCTGTCGCGAAAACCGTCATCGCCTCGATCGGCCGGCTCCTCGCCTCGTCTGGATCTCTCGACGCTCCACCAGCCTCACCTCCTTCTGCGCTCGACATGGCTGAAGCAGGCCCGTCTCACCCACACCCGCCGCCCAAGCCTGACGCGCCCAAGCCCGACGCCAAGGGCAAGCCGACATTCGCTCGCCGACTCGCCGGCAGCAAGGGCGCTCGTCTCGCGGCAACAGCATGGCGGTGGAAGGCGCCTGTGTTCGGTGTGCTCGCTGTGGGCTATGTGGGCCTCGTGTGCGTCCCCTCTCGCTCCTGCGTGCTCTCCCGCCGAGCTCACCTCGTCCCTCCTCCGCAACAGCTACAGCGCCGAGAAGCAGAAGGCGCGCAAGCGCGACACGATCCCGGACAAGACGTACCTCTACTGGAAGCTGTACGACGGCGGCATCGTCGAGGCCAAGTCGACCGGCTCGTCCCTCAACTACCTGTTGAGCTCGTCGCAGTCTGGCGCACCAGAAGAGCCGCCACGCGTCATGACCATCTTTGACGTCGTTCGCACGCTCAAGTTCATCGAGAACGACGACCGAGTTGTGCGTCCCCTCTGCCTGCCCTGCGCCCTCGACCAGGGCCTGAGCGCTCACCTTCGACCCTCCCCCCTCCCACCCTCTTCCTCGCCCTGCCCCCTCTCTGCACAGCGCGGCATCATCGCCGACTTTTCCCATACCTCGCTCCCGTCCGTCCCGTCGTACAACCTCGGCCTCGCGCAGCTCGAGGAGATCCAGGACGCCATGCTCGAGCTGCGACGGGTCAAGCACGACAAGTTCGGGCCCGAGGGCTGGCGCACCGTGGCCTGGACCGACACGTTCACGAGCCAGGGCCAGTACCTCCTCGCGTCGACCTTTGACGAGGTGTACTGTCAGCCGACGGGCGAGGTTCCTCTTGTCGGACTCGGTGCGTCGGATCCCCTCCCGGCCCTCTCTCGCGCAGGTCAGAATCACTCACGCATTTGCCGCGCCTCGCAGGATCGACTACGCCTTTCTTCGGTCGACTCGCACGTTGGCTCGGCATCGAGGTGCACGCTGAGGCGAGGAACGAGTACAAGTCGTTCATCAGCCCTGTGCGTCCACCTCTCCCCGCATGTTCGTCCCGCAACCGCCCTCACCGACACGTCGTCACTGCCACAGTACACGCGCGAGGAGTTCACCGAGCCGCAGCGCGAGAACCACGCCCAGCTCATCAACGACTTGAACGACAACCTCCTCACCTACATCGGGCGCAACCGCTTCCCCGAGAAGGGCGGCCAGGGCTCGCTCGACCACGTCCGAGCGCTCACCAAAGTCGGGCCGTTCACGGCACGCACGGCGGTCGAGAGCGGCCTCGTCAACGGCACGACCTACCGCCAGGACGTGCTCCACTCGGTCACGGACGAGGGCTTCGGTGGCGACCCCGAGGTCAAGTTCATGGGCTTCTACCACTACCACAAGGTCCTCGAGCGCGCCGTCGAGAAGCACATGAAGGAGGCGGTCGAGGTCGGCGTCGTCTACGTCCTCGGCGGCATCGGCGACGCGGGCGAGTGCGTCGACAGCTCTTTCTTCTCCCTGAGCGACCCGGCAATGTCTCGGTCCTGACGTCTCTCCCTCTCTGCGCAGGTTCGGTACAGCGTCGATCGTGCGAGGACTCAAGGAGGCCGGCGAGGACGAGACGATCGGCGCCGTCGTCTTGCGCATCGACAGCGGCGGCGGCGCCGTCGTCGACTCGGACACGATCTGGGGCGCCGTCCGCGAACTGCGCGTGAAGTACGGCAAGACGGTGGTGGCCAGCTTCGGCAACGCGAGCGCCTCGGGCGGGTACTGGATCAGCACCCGTGCGTGGGCTCTCTCTCGCTCCCCCATGAGTCACAAACTGACTCTCTGACCGGCCTGCAGACGCCGACGCCATCCTCGCCGCTCGTACGTCCTCTGTTTCGCTCCATGTTGTCCCTCTCGTCCTCGTCTATTCCGGCACTGACGCTCGTCGCCTTGCCTCGCAGCTTCGACCATCACCGGCAGGTGAGCCCTCTCGCCCCTCTTGAAGCGCCCTACCCCGGTTACTGACGACGGCCTCCTACCTGCAGCATCGGCGTCGCCTCTCTTCGTCCCACGTTCCTCCAGTCCTTCTTCGACCGCTTCCACGTCACCCTCGAGTCGTTCTTCACCGGCTCGCGCGCCCAGGACCCGACGCACTCGCTCACGCCGGCCGAGCTCGAGCGGCACTCGCGCAGCGTCGACGACATGTATGACGACTTCAAGCGGCGGGTGTGCGAGGGGAGGGAGATCAGCCCGGACGTCATCGAGGGCATCGCCGGCGGCAGGGTCCTGAGCGGGCTCAAGGCGTTCGAGCTCAACGCGCCCGAGGAGCTCATCCGCCAGATCAAGGGCCTCGACGTGCCGCCGCTCGATGTCGAGCAGCTGCGCACGGTGGGCGACGCGTCGGTCGCGCCGGTCGAGGTCGGCGGCGCCGAGTCGACACCGGTCGCCGTCCTGCCCGAGGACCAAGAGACGTCGCCGTTCGCCGTGCCCGAGGTCGAGCTGCAGGCGATCGTCGCACCTGTCGCCGACGCCGCCGGCGCCGACACCTCGGCGAGTGCGTCGGCGGCGAGCCCTTCGCCGGGTCCCTCACCGACAACCTCGACCTCTTCCTCTTCCACCGTCGCCAACGTCGCCGCAGCCGCCCTCGACAGCTCCGACACGACCTCTTCCATCACCTCTCGTAGGACCTCGACCGACGCCTCGACTGAGGCGGCAGGCGCGCCGGCGGCGGGACCTGCAGCGCGGCGCCAGGTCGGCGGCGTCAATGGTGCGGCCGGCACGTACGAGTACGAGCCCGGCCCGTACGGCCGAGGCCTGATCGACGGCTTGGGCGGTCTGCGCGACAGCGCCATCTACGCGTGCCAGCTCTTTGTGCGTGCCTCGTCCCTCCTCTCGCCCTTCCCTTTCGCCCTTCTTTTCGTACCCCTCTCCCCGGTCGCCATCTTTCCTCGCCAGAGCATGCAGCCCTGACCATGGTCCCACACGACGCAGATCGCCAACGGCATCGCCGGGTACAAGGAGCAGAACCCGGGCGCCACGGACCAGGACGCCATGCGCGAGCTGCTCCCCGACGTCAAGTTCGTCCAGGCCGACAACGGCGAGCTCGCTCTCGCACTCGATGGTGCGTCCCTTCTCGCTCGGTCCTTCGACTGCCTAGAGCGATCATATTGACCTGAGAGACTTGCACACAGTCACGCTCAAGCGGTTCCCGGTCCAGAAGAGCTTCTGGCAGCAGCTCGCCGTGCGTTGACCTCTTCCTCCCCGCCCCTCTGCCTCTCGAGCCACTCTCGAACCTTGGCTGACACCTCGTTGCACCCGTGCGCGCGCAGGACGCCTCCCGCCGCGGCGACTCGCTCGGCGACTCGGTCTCGTCCGTCCTCGTGCCGCAGCTTCACGCTCTGCGGACCGTCGCGGCACGATGGTTCCTCTCGGCCGTCGCCGACAGTGTCGTCGAGGAGCTCAACGGTTCGGCAACGCCCGGTGCGGGGAGCGGCGTCGGCCTCGCAGGCGCGCGCGGCGCAGGACTGGCGGGCAAGCTCGCGGGTGCGACGGGCGTCAAGGAGGGCAGGAGGGCCGAGTGGAACGGTGGCGCGAGGTGGATGTAGAGCTCGAGCCGACGCTCGTGGGCGCGAGGGACGCGCGAGCAATAGAACCTGCCCGCTCTCATCGAGAGTGAGATGTGTTCGAGCGTGTCGCTGCTCGGTGTTCAAGCTTCGCGGTTCCTGCTCTGTGTGAGAGCGTCGACGAGCTCTCCCTCTCGTCCAGCAAGTATGTACGTCAGGCTGAGCGGCTCCGAGGTGAGCTAGCGCACGAGCCTCGGACCTTCGAGCGAGCGACCTTCTCAAGTGCGACTGCAGCGTCGCCCGACCTCGTCGTTCTGCAGCCACAATCGAGGCCTTTCGGCGACGTGCGCGTGCTGGTTCGACGTCGTTCCCGACCGACCCGCAGCTGCATCTCGCGTGTGCGTCGTGGACCGGCCGAGGTCACTCTTCTTCCTCTCCGTGCGAGGGCTTTCCGCTCGCGGCAATGTCTCGCGCGTCTCGCGGCTCCATCGCGCTCATCTCGAGGGTCACCAGTCGGCTTTGAGCGTCAGCCGGAGGTGGAAAGCGGATCGGTCGGCGTCGAGGGGCGTCTCGACGAGCGGGAAAAGCAGGAGGCGGGGACGAGCAGGCGCGCGGCGAGGTGCGTCAACGCCGACCCGCCGGCGTTGTACCGTGACGCTCGAGCTCCTCTCGATGTGCCTCGGAACGAGCGGCAGCAAGGAAGCGGCGAGCGAGGGCGAGGTGCAGCAAGCGAGGGCGGCAGCAGTGTGCACGGACCCCGGACGCCGCCTGAGCGGGCAGCCAGAGGGGTGACGGGAAAGGGCAGCAGCACTCGCTTGAGCAAGAGCAAGTCGTGGACTCGACGTGGAAAGCTGAGCCGGCGAGGAAAGTCGCGGGAAAAACAAGGTCAAGCGGGCGGACGGGCGAGCGTGGAGAGGGCCAGGAGCTCGCCGCCTCTCGCTCACCAACCACCACACACGCGCCACAGGGTCTGAGGAGTGCACTGCAAGGTCTCTCCCACTCCCACACGCGATCCCCCGTCCCTTCCCAGGCTGCGCCTCGCGCACGCCGCCCCCAAAACCCTCCCTCTCCGCCTCCCTCGCCCTCTCTCGCCGCCTCGGCGTTTGCCCGTCGCTCTCTCCACCAGAGTAGCGCCAGACCCGTCCCCCTGCCGACTGGTAGTCGCATCGACCGCTTCGAGCACCGCAACGCCCATCTCGGTGAGTCGCCGTCGCGCCAGACCGCTTTGCGCGCCGACGAATCGGCGTGCGTCGACGCCTCGCCCGAACCCTGACTGACTCTCCTCGCCGTGTGCAGGCTGCGCGACCCGCTCGACTCGCACCCGTTCATCACCACCAACCCGCGCAACCTCCCTCCTCCTTCACCTCCTCCCCTCGCGTGATGGCGGACCTCCAGTAAACCGACACCTCCGGGACCACCACCTCGAGCCAGCCCAGCCCAGCCCGCCCAGCTAGTCGACCGACTCGCCTAGCCCGGTACCGCCAGCTGCACTCGCGCCCACCACATCACCCAGCTCCGCCAGCCAGCGGACATCTCCCGTCACCCACCTCCTCTTCGCGCCGACCACCACTCCCCCTCGGTCGCCCCGCCATGTCCTCCTGCGCCTTCACCAACTTCCTCCAGATGCGCGGCTACGGCAAGGGTCCGGCTGTCGCAGCTGGTCCCGCCGCCGTGCCGTCCTCTTCTTCCTCGTCGTCGTCGCCGTTCGGTTCCGCCGTCGTCTCGGCCGGGCCCGTTGCCGCCGCGCTCCAGCACCACGCGCCGGCGCTCAGCGCGCTCGACGTCGGGTCGCCCCACAAGCGCCAGCGCAACAAGTCGCCCGACTCGTCTGCGCCGGCGCAGCAGGAGCACGAGCTGCAGCACCACGACGCCCTGTCGGTCATCAGCGTCGACGCCGCCGTCGGCTACTTTGGCGCGTTCGCCCTCCCGTCGTCCGACGTCGACTCGTCCGCGACCGTGACGCCCGTCTCGCCGTCGCCCGTGTGCCCGCTCAAGTCGATCTTGTGCGCCCCCTCGTCGCCCTCGAGGTGCGCTCCCCCTTCTCACAATCAGGTCTTCCCGATCGACCTCGTCCCTGACTCGTTGTCCGTCCTCGAAACAGCACCGTCCCGTCGTCCCCCTGCACCTCTCCTCCCGTATCTCGTCCCGTCTCGCGCCGCTCGTCGACGAGCAAGTCGGTCCGGTTCGCTCGTTGCACCAACGCGAGCGTGTTCCCGACGCACTCGACGACCGAGTACGACCGCTCGCCGATCGTGCCGACGTGCGAGGCCCAGTCGCTCGAGATCAAGCGCTGCAAGAACGACGACGAGGACGGCGAGTGGGTCCAGTGCCAGGCGCGCGAGAAGGCGGCGGCGGCCGCGGCCGGCGCTCGCCTGCCCAAGCATTCGCCCGCGATGGAGAACCCGGTCGAGGGCGTGCACGGCCTCATCGAGGGCTCGTACTTCGTCGGCGAGGAGCGCGACGACCCGGCCTTCCCGTCGCCGACGCCCCCGTGTGGCTCGCTCGGCGTCGCCGTCGTGCCACCCGCCATCCCCGAGGCGGTTGACGAGGAGGACGACCTCGCCCTCGACGATGACGACGTCGACTTTGCGGCGCTCGACCACGGCGTCGGCGGCGACGGCGAGCTCATGTTTGTCGACGACTCGGCAGAGAACGACGAGGCGCAGCAGCAGCACGACGCGCACCGGTACGGCGACAGCGTGCCGCACCTCGTCCGCTCCGACTCGTCCGACGAGGCGTCGTCGTCGTCCGAGGAGTGTGGCGCGTCGTCGTCGTCGGTCGGCGGCATGCGCTCGAGCAGCCCCGAGGGCAGCGTGTCGGGCGCCGAGGGCGCCTCGACGGCGGCATCGTCGGTCGGCTCGGTCGACGAGCACGGGCAGCAGTGTGGACCGGCCGCCGAGCGGTGTGCGGCCGAGAAGAAGAAGAAGTTTGGGCTGTGCGCGTTGGGCAAGTGGACCCGCCAGGACCTCTTCCACTCGACCGACTCGCTCGGCGGGTTCTGAGCTCTCTCGGCGGGTCGGTCGTCGATGGCGTGTCTGTTTGGGTCGTCGGTGTTTCCTGTGTGAGGAGCGGTGACCCTCTCCCTCTCTCCCTCCCCTCTCCTCCATCTCTCCCTCCTCTCCCACCATTCCTATTCTCCCCATCTCTCCTCCCCTCGCATCTCTCGCAACTTGTCTCTCTCCTCGTCACACGCAGTATCCCTCATTCCCGTCGCGTCGAGCCCCTCGGGCGGCTCCGCCGGTGTCCTCCTCTCTCTCCTTCGTCCCCGTCACTCGTTCGCGCCGCGAGCTCTCCTCCTCCCCTTTTTTCGTACTACCTCCCTCTCTCTAGCTACGCTGTGCATGATCTCGTTTCGCGTCCCTCCCTGTCGTCCGTCGCGAGCGAGCGAGAGCTGGAAAACCGCCTTGTCCTCGACCGCGCGAGCTCCCGCCACGCTCGACACAAACACCTTTGACAGCGCCATGCTGGGCTTATGCTCGTGCTCGTCGCTGCGAGAAGTACGAGCCTGAGCGCGAGGGGCGAAAAGGCGAGACGGAGTTTTGGTCGCCCTCGCCAGTCCCTCGCCGCCGACGCCGAGTTCGTCCAGCTCGCTCCCCTTCCTCTCGTCGCCTGAGCTCTCGCCTGCTCCTCGAGGCGCGCACCACACTCGTTAGCACCACACGAGCGCAGCCCGCACCCGCCCAGACCGCTCCACCTCCTCAACCCTCCCTCTGTTGTTCGCACAACCCTCGATCTACTCGCGCCTCTTCGCCCTCGGCACCGCCTGGCACGCTCAAGAACCCGCTCAGTCCAGCCTCAGAGCTCCTGCAAACACTAGCAGGACGCGCTCGCCATGTCAGGTGCGCCCCGTCTCTGCCCCTCTTTGGTCGACCGCCGCGCAGTGCTCACGCCCCGTTCTTCCTCTCGCCAGCCGTCTACTCGATCTTTACGAGCCCGCACCATCCACCTGTACCAGACCACCTGCCAACGCTTATCGTGACGCCGCACGGCAAGCCTCAGCAAGTGCTGTGTGAGCCCGCTCCCCTTCCCCCCTCTCACGAACCGATCGCTGATCTCGCCCTCGAGCCCGCGCAGACACCTTCTTGCACACTGTACGTCCTCCCCTTCCCCCTACTGCACGTCCCCCGAGCTGATATCCCTCGGCATCCACCTGCAGAACGTCAACACCGAGAACTACCTCCTCACGCCGGCGCCAGAGGGCGACCTGTGCGTCGCCAAGCTGTACCCGCCCGACTCGTCGGGCTCGCTTCGAGGTGCGGGAGGAGGAGGCGCCAGCAGCAGCGGTCATGGTGCGGCGGCGGCCCCGAGCGTGCGGTGCGAGGCGGGCCGAGGACTCAGCTGGCGCGTCGTGCAGACTGGCATCCAGGTCCGTCCCGCCACCCTCTTCTCCCCCTCGGGCAAGGCCATGAACTGACCTTCTCCTCGACGTGCGCAGAACCCGGTGTACAAGATCCTTCTCCCCAACCCGGACATGCCGGGCGAGGACCAGCCGCTGTTCCAGGTCAGCAAGCCCAACCCGAACGCGACCTTCTGGACCTTGACCTACTTTGCGTGCGTCCAAAGTCCTCTCTCTCTCCCTCTCTCACGAGCAGGACCGACTGACGATTTTCGCGCGCGACAGCTACGCCGGCCACCTCATCCCGCCCAAGCGCGTCGAGTTCGGCCGCATCTCGAAGAACGGGCCCGAGCACGGCGGCGGCACGCGCCTCGCCATCACCGGCCGCAACGACGAGGAGAAGGCGGTGTGGGCGTCGCTCGGCTCGGGCAACGAGGACGCCGTCGAGTGGCTCGTCGTGTGCGCCGCCCTCGTCGTCCTCGACGACGAGATCGTCTTTGCCGCCGGCGCCGCAGCTGGGGGCAAGATGCGCATCCGTCCGCCGAGCCCGCAGAAGCGCGCCGCAGGCTCGGGCGCGATGCGTGTCGTCGCGCCCGTCGAGATGCAGAGCGGCGTCCCTCGCTCGGCGAGCTCGTCCAACCTCGTGCCCGCCGCTTCGGCGCCGCCGAACGTGTCGCGCGGTCCGTCCCCAAGCGGGCAGGCGCCGTCGGGCCCGGATCCGCGCTTCATGCCGCCGCCGCAAGGTCGCCCTCAGCAGCATCCGCCTCAGCAGCAGCAGCGCATGTCGCCTCCCCACCCTCAGCACCAGCACGCTCCGCCTTCGCCCTCGTACCAGCAACAGCAGCACTTCTACCAGCAGCAGCAGCAACCTCGACAGCAGCAGCAGCAGCAGCCCTCGCGCGCTCCCCCTTCCGGCCCCGCTCAGCCCCAACCTCGCTCGTACGCCCCGCCGCCGCGCACCTCTTCCGTCCCGCCGTCGCCTCACGGGCAGGGCTATGCGCAGGGACCGCCCGGGCCGCCGCCGGGCCAGTCGCGCCAGCCGTCGGGCTATCGCCCCGGTGCGAGGCCCAGCCCGCCGATGCAGGCGCCGCCGCCCGTGCCGCCGCCTCACGGGTACGGCGCGCCGGCGCCCGGTGCGGGAGGCGACGGCGCGTGGGCTCAGGCGCAGCGCGTCAAGGAGTCGGACGGGCAGAGGAGGTTGGTCAAGGAGCGGCATCGCTGAGTTGGAGCGGGACGTGCACGGAGGAGGGGGGTCGAGGCGTGTTGTCTCTCATGTTTCGCTTCTCTCGGACCTGCTATCACTAGACTATCGTTCTCCTGGATCCTCTCGTGCGACTCGAGAGAGACATCAAGTCGATTTGCAGAGAGAGAGCGCGCGCGAGAGGGGGTACAGCAGGTTTGCGAGGGAACGACGACGACGAGAGGAACGGGGCAACGGCGAAAGAGTGGGTACAGGGCACCTCGCCATCGTAAAGGACGAGGGCGGGTGTTTTTGGTGGGCGTTGCGGGGGGTCTATGCGGTGCGAAAGAGGAGGAGAGAGGGCACGACGGGCTGTGTCGGCGTGCTCGGGGCTGAGGTCGAGTTCGAGTCGCTCGAAGGGGAGCGGCAGCTGCGCACCTCGTACGTGCGAGTTCCTGGGCGGTGCGGGTCGGGCCGAACGAGGGCGACGAGCGCTCACTTGGCCGGCGCGTCGCCCGACTTGCACGCGACGATGCGGCACTTGCCCTGGACGTTGAGGATCTCGTTGTTGTTCTCGAGCTTGAAGGTCGGGTTCTGCAGCACGAACGTCCAAACCTGGGGTGTGTGTGTTCGAGCGTCAGGTCCTGCCCGCGAGTGCGGATGAGGGGAAGGAGAGGGGGCAAGAGGGGAGAGGAGCTCACATCCATGACGTGGTTGTAGGTGCGCATCTGGGCCTTGACGTTGGCCTTGGCCTTGACGTCCTTCTGGAGGGCCTGGCTCGCCGACTTGTCGAACTGCGAGAGGAGGGCGAGTCAGCTGCGAGGTGATGAGGGGAGGGGGGAGGGAGGCCGACGAGGACTCGCCTGGTTGAGGGTCATGAGGGCGAGCTGCGGGTTGATGTGGCCGCTGTTGATGAGCTCATCGAGGGCCTCGACGAGCGCCGTCCCGAGGCTGTGCGGTCGCGGGTGAGCGGGGGTGGGACGACGAGAGGGAGGGAGGGGAGGGGCGCGGCTGTGCGGGGACTCACGCCGAGCGGCGGTAGATCTGGTAGAACGGGGTCTGGGTGGCAGCCTCGGCAGGGGCAGCACTGGCCGACATGGTGACACGGGCGAGAGGAGCTTCCAGCGGGCGGAGACGAGCAGCTCTCGTCGTCGTTCTGGCGTGGCAACTGCGCCAGCTGAGCTGCTGCGCGCTTCCGACTGCGCCGTCTACCTGCTGTGCCCCGACCACGCCCAACTCAGCCGCAACGAGCGCCTCTCCACACGACACCCCCTCCTCGCGCCAACCCCTCGTCCATCCGTCGCCTGAACCTCGCTCGCTGGCCCAAGCAGCCGTCCTGCCGCTTGACTTGGCACAGCAACTCGCGCAAGCTCGCACTGCAGCCGGCCCGACCGCCGGGCTGTGCCGACGCGAGCGGCAGCCCCGTCTCGAACGTGCTCTCGAACGTGCGCTTTTGCGGGCCCTTCGACCTCCCCTCGCCCACCAAGTACCGCCCGACTTAGCGCAATCTCGTCGGCGCGCTATTGGCTCGCCGGTCCAGTCGGCGCTGCGACGGCCGAGCGCTGCAGCCGCTCCACCTGGCCCTCCTCCCGCTCTCTCTCTCTTGCTCGCCTCCTCGTCTCTGCTTCTCTGTCGGCACCTCCTGCCACCTGCACGAGACATCGTCTGCATCCTGTGCGACATGCTGTCTATCGCGCTTCACTCGGTCGCTGCGCTCGGCCTCGTTTCCTCCGTCCTCGCCCAAGCCCCCGCCACGAGCTACAAATGCGGCACGACGGATCTCGGCAACGGCGTTCACGGTGCGCTCCTTCTCTCTCCCTTTCACTCTCGACAGTGCGCGCGATCCTGATCCTGCTGCTCCCCCAGTTCCCGGCGCTATCCCCAAGAACCTCGACGAGCCACTGCAGCATCGACTCGCGTTCGCCGGCCCGACCGGCATGACCGTGTCGTGGTCCACGTTCAACAAGCAGGACTCGCCGACCGTCTTGTGTGCGTGTAACGCTCCTCACGATCCGCCTGCGGCCCGTCGCTTGACCCGCAGCTTGCCCTCGCAGACGGCACCTCGCCCGACAAGCTCGACCAGTCCGCGAGCTCGAACCTGTCGTCGACCTACCCAACCTCGCGCACCTACAACAACCACGGTACGCGCCGCCCGCCGCCCCGCCGCCTCCCCTCTCTCGACGTCTCGCTCGAGCCGGCCCGTGCACGAGCCGCGCTCGAGTCGTTCACTGCGCACGAGCCTGACCTTCTCGCGTCGCACACAGTCAAGCTCGAGGGCCTCAAGCCCGGCACGCTGTACTACTACAAGGTGACGGGCACCAACGGCTACGAGGCCGCCTACCTCCCGACGTTCAAGTTCCGCACGGCGAGGCCGGCGGGCGACGACGAGAGCTTCACGATCGCGACGTTCGCCGACCTCGGGCTCATGGGTGAGGACGGGCTTTCGACGGCGACTGGGCCGTTCGGCGGCTCGGCGCACGCAACGCTCGAGCCGGGCGAGACCAACACGATCCAGTCGATGCTCGCCCTCGCCGACACGTACGAGTTCGCCGTCCACGTCGGCGATGTCGGCTACGCCGACTATGCCCTCAAGGAGTTTGTCCAGGGCCTGTGGGGCTCGGACAACGCCACGACGCAGCCGTCGCGTCAAGATGTCGCCGATCATTGTGCGTCGGCAGATCCTCTTTGCGTCCCTCTCATCCTTGCGAACCTGACCAAGCTCCTGCCCTCTTTCACTGCCGCAGACGAGTGCATGAGCGAGCAGTTCTTCGACCAGATGCGCCCCATCACGGCCGAGAAGCCCTGGTGCGTCTTCAACTTTCGCCCTTCCTCCTTCCCTTCTCACTCTCTCTTTTGCCGCTCTCTGTGCGTTGAACATGCTCACGCTCTATGTTCGCAGGATGGTGTCGCCCGGCAACCACGAGGTGCGTCCCTCGGCCCTCGCTCGAGCTGTCCAGCGTCCTCGTCCTCACGACTTGCTTCCTGCAGGCCAACTGCGACAATGGCGGCGTCACGGACAAGCGCGCCAACATCACGTACACGGACGACTGGTGCCTCCCCGGACAGACCAACTTCACCTGGTTCGGCGAGCACTTCAAGTACGTCTCTCGTCGTCTCTCGTCGTCCCTCGTCCTCCCTCCCTCGTCGTCCCTCGTCGTCGCTCCTGTCTCGAGTCGAGAGACCGCCTCACTCACTCGCTCTCGCTCCGCAGGATGCCCTCGTACGAGAGCGCAGGACGCGGCAACTTCTGGTACAGCTACGACAACGGCATGGTCCACTTCGTGTCGCTCACCGCCGAGACGGACCTCGGCAACGGCCTCGTCGGGCCCATCGAGAACTCGACCAACAACGTCAACGGGCCGTTCGGCTCGTACCAGAACGAGCAGGTCGACTGGCTCAAGAACGACCTCGCGTCGGTCAACCGCACGGCGACGCCCTGGGTCGTCGCCTCCCTCCACCGCCCGTGGCTCACCAACGTCGAGCCCGACGGTCTCGACTACCCGGCATGGCAGCAGGCCTTCGAGACGATCCTCTACGACGGTGAGGTGCGTCTCGACCGTCGACCTGTCCGCCGATTCCTCGCCTGACTCGCCTGTCTTTCCTTCTCTCTCTCGTCCTCCTTCGCGCAGGTCGACCTCGTCCAGCACGGCCACGTCCACACGACCGAGCTCTTCCAGCCACAGTGAGTCTCAGACTGTCCCTCTGCGCCCTGTCGGCGTCGTCAGAGCCTTACGCTCGGGCCCCGACAGGTACAACGGCACCCTGGACGAGCGCGGTCTCGACAACCCTCGTGCTCCTCTCATACTCGTCAACGGTGCTGCGGGTCACTACGACGTGCGTCCTACCCCTCCCTCTTCCTCGTCTCGTGGAGCGTCTCGACGCCGACCGCGTCAGCCTTCCCAAGTTGGCGCCGACCCGACCTGACTCGCGCGAACGTCTGCAGGGTCTCGACGAGTTCCCGAGCGACGAGCGCGTCAACGGGACTCTCTACGCGAACGACTCGTACGTCCTTGCCGTCCCTCCTCGCTCTAGAGCCGTCGAGTTCCTGACGGTCTCTCTCTCCCACTCGCAGCGAGTTCACGTGGGGGCGCTTGACGTTCCACAACCGCACGCACATGACCTACGAGCTCGTCGCCTCGCGCAACTCGAGCGTCATCGAGCACTGGACCTTGGTCAAGCAGCACGAGCTGGAGAAGAAGGGCGGCGAGCGTGGCAGGTGGTGCGGCAAGCTCAAGTGCTGAGGCCGGCCGACGGCAAGCGCACTGCAGATCCTTGTCGTAGATGTGGCTGGCCGCAGTGCATCTTAGATCTTTTCCCACCTCTCGCGCGGCCGTCTCTCGCTTGGAAAGGCCGTGGGCTTCAGTTCCTCGACCACACTCGCTTGCAGATCAGGTCGTCCGAACCTCTGCTCTGCTCGTCTTTCGCCCCTTAACGTACACCGAGCAGCCTTGCGCAGGCTTGCCAGGGAGCCACTCAACCTTCTCAAGTCGCCTCGTCCGCTCTCCCGCTTCTGCTGAGGCACACAGGGAGGTGCCGGCTCAGCTCGGCTCCGCTCGACGCCTCACTCTGACGCGGTGAGTGCTGCGCGAGTCTCTGTCTCTCGAACGTCTCGGAGCGAGTCGCTGAGCTCGCCGTGTCGCCGTCTCGGCTGGCTGGCGGCTCGAGCGTCAGAGATGGCTTCCTGGCTGGTCGCTCTGCTCTCTCAAGGCTCTCGGTCTCGACGCTCTCACGCAAGAAAAGAGAGAATGGGGCACGAAAGCTATGTTACGTCGAGGTCAAGCGAGGGCGGGAGGGGAAATTCAAAGCGGGACGGGTCGACGAGCTCAGTAGGCGACCGACGAGATGTCGCGGTCCCAGTGACGGTGCTTGGCGACGGCGTCGATGAACGCCTTGCCGAAGCCGCCGAGGTCGGCGACGCCGGTCACCTTGGCCCACAGCGACGCATCGTCGTTCGGGAGGTTCTCGGCGAGGACGACGCCGTTCTTCTCCGAGTAGGCCGCCGAGAGGTCGGCCTTGTAGTCGGTGATGCCGGGCAGGGCCTTGTGCGCAAAGACGGGGACCGAGGCGCCGACTGCAGCGATCGTCTTGAAGTGGGCGAACCTGCGAGGGACGGGAAAGTCAGTCGAGGCTTGCGAGCGAGGATGAAGTGGAAGGATGGACGCACGCCTCGCGGATCCAGTGCAGCCCACGACCCGACGAGAGCTCCTTGAGGAACGCCTCGTCGCCGTCCGGGATAAAGATGGCGTCGAACAGGGTCGAGCGCGCCGTCTCGAGGGTAAAGTTCGAGTTGATGACGCCCTTGGCGTCCGAGTCGCCGCGCTTGGTCCCGCGAGGGCTGCAAAGGGGAAGAAGGACGAGTCAGTAAGGTCCCGCAGAGTGGGAGAGAAAGAACGAGGGAGAGAGAGAGAGAGAGAGAGAGGGAGGACCGCGACGCACTAGCAGGGGCCCTTGCGCGAGCCGATGACGTTCGGGATCGAGCCGAGGGCGGTGACGGCGGCGACCATGCCCGAGACCTGGAGGCTGTCGAAGCCGTCGAGCGCAAAAATGGCGAAGCGGCGGCCGGTCGCGCTGCCCGGGTTGTTGGGCGAGAGCATCGAGAAGGGGCTCATGCCGTCCGTCTTGCGGCCGTGGTTCTTGAGCTTGGGCTCGGGCACGTCGATGTCGAACGCCTCGGCGACGGCGACGGCGAGCTCGTGGTCGACCTCGTTCCAGCGCATGATGTTGCGGATCTGGACATCGCGGTCGTCGCACCTGCCGAGCTCGAAGCGCGCCGCGTCGATGATGTGCTGCTGCTCGACCTTGCTCATCGAGTTCCAGAAGAGCTGCGCCTGGTCGTAGTGGTTGTTGAAGCGCTGCGGGCGGATGCGGCCGCGACTGCCCTCGACCTTGTACGGCGCGACGCTCTGGACGCCCTCCTTGGGCTTGAGGTTGTCGGCCGTCTGCGCCTCGCCCTCGTAGTTCTGGCCCTTGCCGTGCGGCGTCGCCGTGTTGGGCGTCTCGTACCGGTTGGGGTAGTAGTTCGGGCCTGCAGGCGAGATGAGAGGGTCAGTGCACGCTCGTCGACGAGGACAGGCCGGGATCTCAAAGACGACGGTTCGAGAGCCCAGGTGAGAGAGGGAGATGTGGGCGTACCGGCAGGGATGCGGTGCTGGCTGTGGCCGTCGCGGATAGTCGAGATGAAGGGGCAGACCGAGCGGTTGATCGGGATCGACGAGAAGTTGGGCCCGCCGAGACGGCTGAGCTGCGTGTCGAAGTAGGCTGCGGGTCAAAAGAGAGCGTCAGTATATCGGCGAGAGAAAGGGGATGAGGAGAGAGGGAGAGGGGACGCACAGAAGTTGCGGAGCTGGAGCATCGGGTCGTTCGAGTAGTCCATGCCCGGCGCGATGTTGGACGTGCAGAACGCGACCTGCTCGGTCTCGGCAAAGTAGTTGGTCGGGTTGCGGTTGAGCGTCATGGTCCCGACCCACTTGATCGGGACGAGCTCCTCGGGGACGACCTTGGTGCAGTCGAGAATGTCGAAGTCGAAGCCGAGCTCTTGCTCCTCCGAGATGAGCTGGACGCCGAGCTCGTACTTGGGGTACGCGCCCGCCTCGATGGCGTCGGCGAGGTCACGGCGCTGTAAGGCGAGGGAGGGAAGGGAGGGACGCAGGTCAGCGCTCGAGCCCTCTCAGGGAGAGGACGACGATGGCGCAGCTCACGAGGAAGTCCGGGTCCTGACCGCCGAGCTTGAGCGCCTCGTCCCACACGAGGCCGTGAGCGCCGAGGTGAGGGCGCCAGTGGTACCTGAAGGAGAGGGGAGGAGAGGGCGAGTTAGTAAGGCTCTCGACGACGACGACAAGAGGATCAAGAGCGACGCACTTGACGAAGGTGCGCGTGCCCTGCTTGTTGACGAGGACGAATGTGTTGACGCCGTAGCCCTGGATCATGCGGTACGAGCGCGGGATGGCGTGGTCCGAGAGCTGGTACAGGCTCATGAAGACCGACTCGGGCGTGAGCGACAGGAAGTCCCAGTGGTTGCTGTTGGCGAGGATCATCGTCAGTGACTGTGGATGATCGCTCGATGGGCGGGAGGAGAGGCGAGAGGGAGGGAGGAGGGGTACGAGGAGAGGCGACAGAGGGAAAGGTGGACGCACTCGTGCGCCGTCTGCGCCTGCGGGATGTTGGTCTGCGGCTCACCCTTTGCGGCGTGAATCAGATCGACGAACTTGACGCCGTCCTGGATGAAGAAGACCGGGATGCTGCGAGAGGGACGAGCGTCAGGCTCGAACGAGCGAGAGGGAGAGAACGAGCGATAGGGAGAGAACGAGGACGGACTTGTTCCCGACGATGTCCCAGTTCCCCTCCTGCGTGTAGAACTTGGTCGCGAACCCTCGCACCTCGCGAGCGGTCTCGGCGGCGCCGTTCTGGCCGAGGACGGTCGAGAAGCGGACGAACACGGGCGTCTCGACGCCGACCTCGGTGAGGACCTTGGCGAACGTGACGTCCTCGAGCGACGTGTGGAGCTTGAAGTTGCCGTGAGCGCCGACGCCGCGAGCGTGCACGACGCGCTCGGGGATGCGCTCGTGGTCAAAGTGCGAGATGCGCTCGCGCGCGACCGGGTCGTCGATCGAGGTCGGGCCGCGGGCGCCGGCGCGGACGCTCGTGTCGAGGTTGTCGACGGGGACCTGGCTGAAGACGCCGACGTGGCGGTCGCCGTCGCGCGGGCAGCGGACCGTGTGGCCCTCGAGCTGGTCGAGCTTGGCGTTGGTCGGGAGCTTGCGGACCGCCTCGACGACGGCCGGGGTCTGGGCGACGCCGTCACCGGTGTAGGACATGACGGGCGAGTGGCGAAGTGGGCGAGTGGCGGAGAGAGAGCTGTAGGAAGAAGAGAGAGTGAGCGAACTGCGACGACGACGACGACGAGGGGGTGCGAGAGCTCACGAGGTGGTCGCGGTGCGTGTGGCTGGAGGGGAACTCGTGCGAAGCTAGCTAGCGGTGCTTGTCGAGGTCGACGAGCGGTGTCGAGAGAAAGAGAGAGGAGCGACGACGCAAGCTCGCCCGCCGGTTACGACGGACGTCAACGCCAGTCCGAGAAGTGGCGCCGATCATCGCCGAACGGCTTCGCGTCCGCTCGCCCCGGCTCACGCGCTTTTGTCAAACCGCGGCCGTCGGGCCACAAGCTGTCGCGGCCGACTCGAGGTGGAGCTGCCCGTCGACGGCGAAGGCGAGCTCTGGACGAGTGGCGACGACAGGAGCAAAGTGCTGGGACAGGTCATGGACTAACTCGTGCAGCACTGCAAGGAGTGTTCGAGCCCGCAGAGTCTGCGCAGAGGGCCTGAGACGAGTGAGAGGACGAGAGACAGATGAGGATGCGGCCGCTGGACGAGTTGCTCCTCCGCCTCTCGACAAACCCGCTCTGCGGTCCGCCTGCAAGGCCACGACACTCCCACCATGTCGTCCCAGCACTACCAGCCCCGCCGCTTCACGATCCCGCCCACGCACGAGCTCCGCTTCGAGCTCGAGAACCCGACGGACGCCCTCTCGCTCCGCCTCGTGTCCGGCCGCGCAGAGGTGTTCGGCGCAGAGCTCGTGCCCGGCGCGAGCTATGGCTACAGCCACGAGCAGCGCGGCGCAGTCTGGGCACCCGGCATCAACGGCGAGGGAGCCGAGGTCGAGATGAGTCGTCCCTCCTCTCCCTCCTTCCTTTGCACGCGTGGACCGGTGGGCAGGTACAGCGTGACGAGCTTCGAGGGTCGCAGAAGGCGGGCACATGCGGGCAGCCCAGGCGGGAGCGCGCCGAGGTGGAATGCATCGCGTCTGTTGCGGCGCACAGGGAGGCTCCGGCGAGCGCGTCTCTCGGCTCTCCTGCTTCGCCGTGCCACCTCTCGAGAGTTCGAGCGTGCTTCATGTCCCGAGGCGGCGCATAGTCGGTGGCGGGCGGCGAGCGGCGTGGTCGTCGGGCCTCCTCGTCCTCCGAGCCTCGCACCGGTCAGCGAGCTCACACGCGCAGCAAGCCCTCCTCTTGCACATATCGTGCGCGGTCCTGACATCTTCTGTTCTCCCGGATACGCAACAGGGAACCTCGACTCGGTCTACGTCGCGTCCGAGTCGGCCCTCTCGACCTACTTCAACCTGCACCTGTCCCTCTCTCGCCTACGCCTCCTCGCCCGCCCCTCGTCTTTCGAAGTCACTCGCGACCTGTCCCAGCCCGACGACGAGGTCGCACCACCACGAGTGCTCATCGTCGGCGAGCGCGGCGCGGGCAAGTCGAGCCTGCTCAAGATGCTCGTCAACTGGCGCAACCGGGGCGAGCGCGCCTTGTGCGGCACGGGCCGCGCGCCGAGCGGCATCACGGTCGTTAACCTCGACACGAGCGAGGGCCAGTGGACGCTGCCGGGCACGATCGGCCTCGCGAGCACGAGCGCCGCCCTCCCGACCACGTCGCCCGCCGCCCCGATGGGCACGTCCTTCTCGTCCGGCCCTCCTGTACCCTTTCCTCCACCGGCATCGTCGACCTCTTCTTCTGCCGACGCACCTCCTCCCTATCACCCTCCCGTCAACGTCGACGCGTACGCGCCCCTCGTCGACCCGCTCGTCTTCTTCGCCGGCCACCTGTCGTCGACGACCAACCTGCCGCACTTCGAGCTCCTCATGCAGAGCGTCGCCGATGCGGCCAAGCGCAAGGTGGACGCGGCGGGCGTCGAGAGCTGGAAGGCGGGCCTGTTGGTCGACTCGCCCGGCGAGTGGGCGGAAAAGCGCGGAGGAGGGTGGGAGCGGATAAAGGCGGCCGTCCGGGCGTTCGAGAGTGCGTCTCGCTCTCTCTTCTCTTCCCTCCCCTTCCTCGAGGAGACGACGCGCGAGCCTGGACCGTCGAGCTCGTCCAGCGACTAACCTCGTGACCCCGGCATCACAGTCAACATCCTGCTCGTCGTCGGCTCGGAGCGGTCGTACGTCGAGATGACCAAGCTCATGAACACGAACAAGACGGTGACGGTCGTGCGAGTGCCCAAGTCCGACGGCGTGCGTCCTCTCTCTCCTCCTGTCGAGCCCGCCGGCGTGTCGCCGCCAGACTTCTCTCCTGCGCGAACCTCACTCACACCGTCCTCTTTCCGCGTCGACAGGCCTCTGATCTCGACCTCTCGACCCTCGCCCGCCTCCAGGCGCTGCAGACGCGCGCCTACTTCTACGGCGGCCCGGCCGTCACCCAGGGCCTCCTCTCGCCCTTCAGCATCATCGTGCGCCTGAGCGACATCCGCATCGTGCGCGTCGGCGAGCAGGCGGGGTCGCACGCGCCGTCGAGCGCGCTCCCGATCGGTGCGACGCGGCTCACGAGGGATACGGAGCTCGTCGAGGTCGACCTCGAGGGACCACGCGCCGCGAGCGAGGTCGTCAACCGCGTGCTCGCCGTCCCGATGGCGGAGGAGGAGCGAGACGGGCAGGAGAAGGTCGTCAAGGGCCCCGTCATGGGCTTCGTCTGGGTGTGCGTCCCACCTCTCTCTCGTTCTCGCCGCACGAGGCCTCAGAGACTGACTCTCGCCTCTTCCCGCCGCCCTCAGGTCGGCTCTCGACAAGGACAAGAAGAAGATCACGCTCCTGTCGCCCCTCCCCGGCCGGCTACCGCGCAAGACGCTCATCCTCGGCTCGATCGACTGGGTCGACGCGTGAGCGAGTTTGAGAAGGACGTTTCGTACTTTTCTCGGGCTGCAACGAGATCAAGCTCAGTTGCGCGCTCGCCGAGGCCATGCCGAGCTTGCGAGGAGAGAGAGAGGGAAAGTCAGAGTCGGCCTTGCCGCTTGCCACTTCGGCCGCCGAAGCATCGCCGACCCCGTACAAAGGTCGGCCAGCCTTGCAAGGTCAACCTCGCTTCGTCGGCGCTTCTGCTTCGGCTCTCTCTCTTCCAGACTGTCCCTCCTCGATGTTCGCTCCTCGCTTTCCGTCGCACAAGGTCGCCGTGCAGCCGTACAGCCTCCCGCCGACCCCGCCGCTGTCGTACGCCGAGTCGCTCGACGACGACTTTCCTGTCTTCGAGGCGTCCATCCCGTCGTCTCTGACGTCGAGCCGGGCCTCCCACTTCACGGTACCGCCGCCAGGCGCCCTCGTCTACGAGCAGCGCGTGCACCGGCCGCCAAAAAAGCTCACTCGGCGCGAGCGGGCGAGGTTGCGCTACGGCGGTCTCCTCTTTGACGTGCTCGAGCCGGCGCGTCGAGTCTCTCTCTGCACTCTCTCCTACCGAGCGCGAGCTGACGACCCGCGCCCGTCGCAGTGGGAGACTCTCGTCGTCCGTGCGTTTTGACCTCTCGCCACGGCCAAGTTGACCTCTCGCTGACCTCGCGCTTAATTTCTCCTCCCCTCTCCTCCCTCACCGACGCCTCTCCTCGCCCTCTTCTGCATCCTCACGACGCCCGCACGACGCACTCTGCCCCTCGCCACACTGGCACGGTCGACCACTCCCTCGGCGAACGTGGCGATCCGCATCCTCGGCCTCCACTCGTCCTGCCTCCCTCGTTGCCTCCCGACCGACCCTCGCCCTCACCCTCGCCCTCTCTCCGCCCTTTCCTCTCCGACCTCTCCTCTCCCCTCCCCCTTCGATCCATCGCCCGCCGAACCACGCGACCACGACCGCGGCCACCCTTTCCTCGCACAGACGCCCTCTTCCTCGCCCTCCTCCTCGTCGCCTACCTCGCCCTCTCGCGCCTCGTCGCACCCGCACACCTCGCACGTCTCGGCGCTCGCGCGACGTGGTACCTCACCGGCGGCGGCACGAGCGCGAGCGGGCTCGTCGCGCGACCGTGAGCGTGCGCCGCCGCGCGGCGGTCGGTGCGCTCGAGCCTGAGCGGCGCGCGCTCGGCTGAACTGCGCAGTCGTCGTCGAGGCGCGACCGACGGGCGATGAGTGACGACGTGTACATAGTAGAGCCCGGCGGCGCGGGCTCGTTCCCTCCCTTCCTTTCACACCCTCTTAATGCGGCTCGTGCGGTCGCCCAGGCAGTGCGCCCGGCACCGCTCAGCCTTCTCTCGATCCCCTCTATCCTCTCGCACATGTTGTATAGAATTGGCATGTCAGATGCAGACGAGCACTGTTCCGGGCACAGAGAGGGCGAGCGAGAGCAGGACGTCCGAAAGCGACTCTCTCGCCAAGGTTGACCTCGAGCGCTCGGCGAGCAGGAGCGATCGAGCTTACGAGCGAGACGGGAAAGGGCCCGAGAGTGCAGGCTCCCGGCATGGAGAGGAGATGCGCGACCGGGCAGCGACAGCAGAGGGTGCGCCCGGTCGTGGGGCGCGAGAGGCGCTTCTTCAAGGCTCACGCCGTCGAGGACGAGCCGCAAACTCCAGGGAGCAGGACCATCTCGGCTCGAGCGAGAGCGCACGTCTCGTTTCGAGAACGGCAGCGATGAAAGGTGTGGCAGCGCGAGGCCGGCCTGAGGGCGACAGCACGCTCCGAGCGACGGGCACAAGGGCCTCGCGTCGGGCGGCCCTCGAGTAGACGGCGCCGAAGGTAGAGGACACAGCGCCAGCTGGAGCGATGACCGTATACGGCCTCGAGCGGGCTTGTTGAGCAGGCGACGAGGCAGGCGAAAGAGGGGAACGGGCGCAAGTGGTCGGGCTGGCGGCGAGGCGCAGTCGGTGCAGCCGGGTCGTCGATGCTGTAGATCTGTGCGTCGACGAGGGGAGGCAACCGAGGGTCAGTGAGGCTGTTCGAGGACCGCTCGGTCTCGCTGCTCGTCGTCGTCGTCGTCGTCGTCGTCGTCGTCGTCGTCGTCGTCGTCGTCGTCGTCGTCGTCGTCGTCGTCGTCGTGTTCGTCGTCGCTCGAGGGATCAGGTGTTTTGGTATTTTTGGTATAGTTTTCTGTGTCTCCGCAGGGCCTGTGGCTCGGTAGCAGAACTGAAATTGTAGAAATCATCACGTCGAGGCGAGGTGGTGGTGGTGGTGGTCGAGGGAGGGAGGGGGGCAACCGACGAGAGGGGACGGCTGGCGCAGGGGTGGACTGACCTGGTGCAGGCGAGCGTGTAGGAATGGCGAGAGTGAACGAGAGAGAGAGAGAGAAGCTGGAGACGAAAGAGCAAAGTCGCTCGCCCGCCCGCCGCGCTCCCCGCCGAGCGCGAGGCCACCTCCCCCTTGCTCTCCGTACATCGAGTCTCGCTTGAGTGCCGCCAAGCCGCCAACATGGTCAGTCTCTGCCCAGCACTGTCGCCACCACCAACCCCTCGCACCACCCGTCCAGCCCTCGCCAGCCTCGCTCGACTCGGCCCACCACCCGACCCAAAAGCTCGACGCCCACACACCCATCCCCAGCCCTCTCCTCGCACTCTGTGGCTCCGCCTGCGCCTCGATCCACCCACTCGATACCCTGCGCCGTCGCACACCCACTGCGCGCCCTCCGAGCCGACGAGCGGCGCCCGACACGCCCGACCGAGAAGTCCTGTGCCCACCTCGACCGCGACCGCCTCGCCGCTCTCGCGGGCTGCACAGCCGTGCAGGGCGCAAGCAGGACGGCTCAGGGTGCAGGAGCGCAGGCGCAGGGACGTGCAGGAGGGCGGCGAGGGCGCCTGGAGGCCGTCGCGCGGCCACCGCCTTGGTCGAGCGCCCACTGCACCGCCCACCGCGTCCGCCTGCCGCGCAGCTGGCGTCGAGCGCGCCCAAGGGCCTGCAGCACTTGTCCCACGAGCCTCTCAAGGACACCGCGCTGACCTTTGCTCCCCCCCTCCTCCCCTCGTCTCTCCCCCCTCGCCAACCTCCAACCTCGACCTCGTCCCCGACCCCGACCCGCCCACTCGCGCACCCTCGACCGCGCTCCCACCACCTGCAGGACCCCAACGGCGCTGTGACCATCCGCACCCGCAAGTTCCTCACCAACCGCTTGCTCCAGCGCAAGCAGATGGTCGTCGACGTCCTGCACCCGACGCGCGCCAACGTCTCCAAGGACGAGCTCCGCGACAAGCTCGCGGCCATGTACAAGGCCCCCAAGGACCAGGTCATCGTCTTTGGCTTCCGCACCCAGTTCGGTGGTGGAAAGTCGACCGGCTTTGCCCTCATCTACGACTCGAAGGAGGCGCTCAAGTTCGAGCCGCGCCACCGGTTGATCAAGGTGCGCCCCTCGCGCTCTCTCCCTCTCTTTCCCTCCTACCTCTGGAACTGACGTCGTGTGTGTCCCTCTCGCGCAGTTCGGCCTTGCGGAGAAGAAGGAGCGTACTGGCCGCAAGCTCCGCAAGGAGCGCAAGAAGTGCGTCCACCGTCTCTTCTCCTCTCTCGGCACGTCGCCCTGGGTCGAAGCTGACTCTCGTTCGCGTGTCCTCCACCTCCCCTTCCTCTCTACAGCCGCGCCAAGAAGGTGCGTCCTCGCTCGCCGTCTTCGCCTGCCCCACACGCCGACCCACTGACCCTCCTTCCCCTGTCCCACTCCCTGTCCTCCTCCTCGTCTCGCGCTCCCGCAGTTCCGTGGTGTCGCGAAGGTCACCAAGTCGGCGGGCAAGAAGTAAACGGCGTCGTCGTCGCGCTTGTAACGTGCACACGGCCTGTTTTGCTTTGGGGGACACATCTCACTCGGGTCTGGTTGCGCGCGGTCGAGAGAAGGGATCAAGAGAGAGCGAGAGAGACAGGGCATGTCGAGTCGCGACTGTCGAGAGCAGGCGAGATGCTGGGCCGACGCTGCACGAGGAAGAGGCTCGACGAGGAACGAGCGCTCGGTCGTCGCGAGCTGTCGTGCGGCCGGACCCACTCGAGGGGGCAGAGCGCGAGCGCTGTCGTTGCGGGCATCGGCCTGAGATGACGAGGCTTGACTGGCAGCAGTGCGCAGTCGCCGAGCTGGGCAGCGGCAACGACGAACAGGGCGAGGGTGTCGTGCTCCGTCTCGGTCGACAGGCAGCGGCCTCATCGCTCGGCGCTCGACCGTCTCGCGAGCACCGCTACGCTCGTACGTCCTCGACAATGTCGGACTCAGCCAGCGAGAGGGCGCGAGCGCTCTGAGAGAGTGCGAGAGACAGGGAGCGAGCAAGCGAGCGTGGGCAATGCGCAGCGAGTAGGGGGGCGCCGAGTCTCGCTGGCTTGCGACAGCGTCGTAGAAGCTGTACGGGCCATGTTGAGCGGGCGAGTCTGTCCAGGGAAGCGTGTGCGGCGGGTCGTCTAGGCGGCCGTGGCCGAGAGAGGGGAGCGCGAGAGCAGGATGGGGAGAGGCCGCCGCAGCGAGGCACGATGCGCGACAGTCCGCCCAGTAGCTGGCGGGCAGGCTAGAACAGCAGCAGCTAGCTCTGAGAGAGTTGCGCGGGAGGGAGCGGTGTGGTCGTCGGGGAGGAGGACGAGCAGCTCTCCCTCCATCCTCGTCGCTCCTGCAACCAGCTCGAGCCTAGTCCAGCACCCGACCAGATCTAGCGCAGCCGCCTCAGCCTCCGACCCGCACTCGTTCCCGCCGCGTCGTCGCCTCGCCCGTCTCGCTCTCGTCGTCGTCGTCTCCCTCTCCACCTCCTGCCGACCCCGCCCAGCACTGCCACGATGAGCAAGAGCGTCCTCGTCCAGCCCATCGTGCGTCCACTCTCCCTCCCTGTGCGCCCCGAGCACCCGCCCTGACTCGCCCCGTTGCCCCCCGCCTCTCGTCCCTCGCTCGCCTCATCTCCCCGCCTCTCCCTCGCCGCCCTCCCGCGTCGCACCGCCGCCCGACTGCCACGACTCGACCGTCTGCTCTACTCGCCTCGCACGGTACCCCGCGCTTCGCCGCCGCAGAACGTCATCTTCAAGCACCTTCAGCAGGGCGCCCGCGTCCAGGTGTGGCTCTTTGACAACATTGAGCAGCGCCTCGAGGGCAAGATCCTCGTGCGTCCCCCCTTTTCACTTCGTCTGCCGGGTCTCTGGACCGTCGAGGACGGCGGTGCGAGCACCTGGGGCCTTACGAGCTCGCACGACTGACCTCGTCTCCTCGCACCCGTAACCTCCTCCCCGCAGGGCTTTGACGAGTTTATGAACGTCGTCCTCGACGACGCCGAGGAGGTCTACGTCAAGGACACCAAGTCGAAGAAGACGGGCGACCGCCAGCGTCTCGGTGCGTCCCCTCGTCTCGCCCTCTCTCGTCTCTCTCTCGCCCGGCCGCACAGGGCTGACACCTTTCGTGACACAGGTCGGCTACTGCTCAAGGGCGAGAACATCACGCTCATCAGTCCGATGCCCAAGCCCGTGTCTGCATGAGCGTGTGCGAGACGGCGAGATGGACGGAGCGAGCGCGCGAGAGAGGAGAGGCGAGGTGGTGGGTGTTCTTGAGCCGCGGCCGTTGTGTAGAAGCGAAAACCTGTACCAGTTGTGCGAGCCCTTTCCTGCCTGCGAGAGCGTCCAGGAGGAGCGAGTTGTCGTTGCCGCTGAGAGGACTTAGCCGTGTCAAGCGCGACAACCACAGCTACGCTCGCTCGCGGCCAAGTCGGTCGACCTCATCTCCCGCTCGCATCCACGCACCGCACAGCGCTCGCCTCGGTACCCGCACACCCTCGGCCACCTCCAGCACCCCTCGAGCCTCATGTCCGCCCTCCGCAAGGCCCTCCCGCAAGCCGTCCGCGAGCTGCGCCTCTTCGGCTGCCAGCAGTCTCCCGCCTCCGAGGGCGTCCGGTCCGTCCCTCCTTTGCGCTCTCTCTCTCTGTGGTAGAGCTGACCACGAGTCCCACCCCCACCCCGCAGCGCCTTCATCAAGTCGTCGTACCCGGCCGTCAAGAAGGCCAACCCGGACTTGCCTATCCTCATTCGCGAGGCGCACGGCACGCCCGCGCGTGGGTTTGTTCGCTTCGGTGCGTCCCCTGCTCTCTCTCTCTCTCTGCCTCTCTCGTAGTCACTGGGCAGCCGGGCGAGAGGTGGGCGCGCGCGAGACGAGGTCGTCCCGGCGCGGGGCGCGATGAGAAGCACGACGAGGGGCCAGGGGCTCTGTGCGGGACGGTTGGCTCGCTCGGCGACAACGAGCTGTGAGAAGATGGTGGTGGACCGGACGGGCTTGACCGAGCCGCACCATTCATTCGCACCTCTCGATCCTCTCGCTCACGAACCGCCCTCTTGCCCCCCTCTCTCCCTGCACAGAGCGCGGCGTCGAGAAGCAGATCTCGCTCGAGGGCGCATCGTCGGCCGAGGAGGTCGAGCGCAAGATCGCGTCGTTGCTGTAGAGCGAGCGCGAGCGGGCGAGGCGAGGGCGGAGGAGACGTTGTACTAGACACGAGGCGAGACGACGCGATGCAGTGCAACCAGTGACTCTTTCATCGGACAGTTTCGTCGCGTTGCAGAGAGCGAGAGTCTATCCGTACGACGCGTACCCGGTCAGGACCGGCGGCGTCGCCTTGCCCTCTCTCGCTCCTCCGCCTCCTCTCCTCGCACCACCGCCGCTGCCGCCACCGACAGCGTCGACCCACGACGGGACGCACACCCTGACGGGCTTGCTGAGCCGCACCGAGTCGCCGCCGGTCGCGGTCGAGCCTGCTGGCGGGGCGACCGAGGGCGTGAACCGGCTTCGAGGGACGACGAACAGGCCCGACGAGCCGCCCGACGTGACGCAGCTGCGGGGCGTGCCGAACATCGAGAGGTCAGTGTACCGCTTGTGTGACGAGAAAGGCTCTCGAGAGGCGAGGGAACAAGAGAGGGAGAGAGAGAAGCGACGCACCTGCACCCGCACCCGCTCGGGCACGCTTCCTCCGACGAGAACCACTCCTGCAGGCACGCGAGATGCCCGACGTGGCAGCACGTCGTACAGCTCTGCTGCAGGCCTGCACGACAGAGATAGCGTGGGAGAAAAGCAGAGGTCAGGAGTCGAGCCAACGAAAGTCGACGACGAGAGGGAGAGAGAGCGAGACGCACCAGAGACGGGCAGGTGGCACAGGACGCACAGCGTCGCGCGTTGACGCTTGCGGCATTTGGCGCACGTCGACTCGCCGTGTCGCAGGCCCGAGCCGCACTGCGTGCAGGCGTGGCCCGTCTCTGCGAGAAGGTCGAGGAGGACGACGGTTCGGCAGAGTCAGTGCGTGGTCGTCGTGGCGATGTCGCTCGGGAAAAGAGGGAAAGAGAGAGAGAGAGAGAGAGAGAGAGAGAGACGCACCGATCGTCGCCGTTGGGCCCAAGCCGTTGGCCTCCCTCAGTCGGGCGACCGCGACCTGGTTCGTCGCGCTCGGCTTGACGGCCGACCGGCACAGCTTGAGCACATGCGCTCGCTCGACGTGCTCGCCCCACCGGTACAGGAGCTCGGCGTACGCGAGCCGGATGAGCTCGAGCTCGAGCTGGGCCCGGTCGGTGAGCCACCACGAGACGGGTTTGCTGCGTGCGAGACAGGGCCGAGTCAGGGACTGCCGGCTCGGATGCGTCGAGAGAGAGGACGGGGACGCACTGCAGGTTGAAGGCGGCGTTGAGCGAGATGGCGACACGCTTGCGGGCGGCCGGCTTCTCGACCTGCGAGATGGCCGCCTGGACGACCGGGCTCTTGGACGGGATCAACGCGACGCTCGTGCCGCCGAACGTGACGGTCGGCGACGTCTTGGACCTCGTGCCGCCATGGTCGTCGTGGTGGTGCATCGCCGACGGGAACGTCTGCCCGGAGCGCAAGGGGCTCTTGGCGAATCCGGGTGACGTGGCCGGACTGGCCGACGTGCTCGTCGAGGTGGGCCGCGTCGCGCCCGGCGTACGGTCGGGGCTCGAGGGCGACGACGATGATGCGCTGCGGAGTGACAGCATGCTCGAGGTGAAGAAGCCCGACATCGACAGGTTGCCCCACGACGGCTTGGGCGAGTGCGACTCGCCGCGCGCTCGGCGCAGGCTCGCCGTCGTCGGCAATGGTGTGCGCTCGCCCGACGAGTCGACGTCGTTGAGCGGCTCGAGAGGGCGGTGGCGCTGCGAGAAGTAGTCGGGCTCGGGTTGTCGATCCGACTCGCGCTGCTTGATGGCGGCTTCGACGGCTGCAAGGGCGAGGCTCGGTCAATTTCTCGACCGGACAGGGTGTGAGACTGGGGGACACACCTCGTGTGTGGGCCTCGAGCAGACACGCGATGACGCCGAGGGTCTGGATGTCCTTGAGGTGGGCGAGAAACTTGAGGCTGCGCCGGCGCAGAGTCAGTCGTCGTCGCGGTGGCTCACTCCGATCGAGAGGAAGAGGACGAACAGCTCTTGCAGAAGACGTTCGGCGAGAAGCGACTCGCGGCGGTACGTGAGCTCGCCGCTCTCGGTCCCGAGGCCGTTCTCGAGGAAGGCGATCATGGTCGTCCAGACCTTGGTGAGGAACAGGTCCTTGGACGCCGCGGCGTTAAGTGCCGCCTCGCGAGCGACATCGACAGGAGGCATGCTGAGGGAGCAGGGCGCTCGGCTGGGCGACAGGAGCGACAGGTGCGAGACGTCCTTGATCTTGACGATCGTGCTGAACGACGGCGCGAGGTCGGCGGCGGCGGTGCTCTTGCGGCGCTTGTTGCGCACGGCCGAGTACTGCAGATGTTCGAGTCAGTGACGTGACGACGAGGGATGTGTGGCCGAGGAGGGAGAGAGGGAGCGCACCGAGCGGAACCCGTGCGCTTTGGTGACCTGGAGCGCCTCGTCCGCCTCCTGGTACTCGCCCTCGTAGTCGGGCGACTCGGACACGAGGTTGCCGAACGCCTCGGACAGGCGGAGCGGGAACTTGCGGCGCGGTGTGGGCTCGAGCTCGTTAGGCGGCGAGGCGGTGCCGTCCACGTCGCTGGCGGGCGAGACGCTCAGGTTCGACGGGAAGAAGACGACGAGTTGGCCTGCGGGTGCAGGGCAATGTAAGTCACCTTTACGCGAACAGGTCTGGGTCGAGGAGAGAGAGAGAGGGCGACGCACCGGAAGGACCGAAGCACGCTCCGCCTCGTCTGGGCGGCGGCACGTTGACGTTGTTGCGTAGGATGTCGGCGGCGAGGTTTGGCGTCGAGCCGTCGAGCGCCTCCTCGGCCTCCTCGTCGTCCTCGTCATCGGCGCGCTCGACCGAGCGGTCGCCGAGGAGGTACCGCAAGGCCTGCTCGAGCGACGACACGCCGCGCTCGGCCCGGTGCGACATGAGGCGGCGCACGCCCTGCAGGATGACGGCGCGCTGCTTGAGCGAGATGTCGACGCTGCGCTCGAGCTCGATTTGGGGTGGCGCCGACGCCGGGTAGGTGCGCGGGAAGGTGAACGTGGCGCGGACGAAGAGCGGGCTGTAGAGCGAGACGGTACAGGTACGGCCGGCGACGTGGACCTGCGACGAGCGCGACGTAAGTACAGGTACCGAGAACGCGTCGAGGAGAGAGAGAGGAGGAGGAGGAGCGCACCTTCTCAAAGTTGATGCGAGGGAACCGCCGCACGACGCTCGTGATCTCCTCGCCCAGGTTGGCGTACAGGTACTCCTTGCCGACCGCCGTGCCCGTCTGTCTCGACTCGCCCGAGAGCACGCTGTCGGCGCGCTCCGTCTCGTCGCCCTCGCGCGCCGTCGCCGTCCCGCCGTCCGTGCCGCGCACGATCGAGCTCGCGCGCGTCGAGGGCGGCGCCGTCTGCTCGTCTGTCCCCTCGGCGTGCGTGTGCTCCGACTCGTCGACCGCCGGCGCCTCGATCGCCTGCACCGGGCGGATGATCTTGACGCCCTCCATCCATGCGAGGCGGTCGTGCTCCTTCTCGCGCCGGTTGCGCACGCGCGTGGTCGACATGGTCGCGGTCGCCGCCTTGGCCTCGGCGGTGACGGGGTAGGGAAGAGCCGTCGTCGGGAGCGGGACGTTCTCCTTGCTCTGCGGCGAGGTCGGCAGGCTGGCGTTGCGGAGCGAGGACGTGAGGAGAGAGGGGGTCGGCGGCGACGACAGGGACGCGGCGAGGAGCGAGGTGCCGGACGAGAGGTGCTTGGGGATGGTGCTGGTGGGCAACGAAGGCGTCGCGGGCGTAAAGCTGATGGGCAACGGCGGTGCGGGCGCCTCGAAGAAGGACCGGTACGAGATGTCGGGGCCGCCGCGACGACTGACAGGCACCTCGATCGGCGCGCCCTTGACGTGACCGACGTCCTGCAAGGAGGCGATGTCAGTGCGTGTCGCGTCGACGGCGCGAAGAGGGGCGAGGGCGCACCTTCATGAGGCTCTCCGAGATGGGCCAAAGTCGAAGCCGGCGGTCTCTTGCCCACGTGACGAGCTGGAACTCGCGGTCGTCTATGGAGGGTTAAAGTCAGTCGGGGCTTGTGGACGAGACGACGAGGGAAAGGTGCCGGCGCACCATGGTCGAGATCTTCTCCTCCCCTCGTCCTCCAGACGTACTCGCGCACGCCTTCCCTCGCGCCCTCGAACCTCGCCACCGGCGTCGGCTGCTCCTCCTTCTCGTCCGTCTTGTAGCTCCACACGCTCAGGGCGTGGTCGCTGCGCTGCGGCAGGCTGAGGACGCCGTCGCCGAACGGGAGCCACCGAGCGCGCCAGATGGGGGACGAGGTCGTGACCGAGCGAAGCGGATCTCGCACGTCGCCGAGGCGCCACGACTGCAGGAGCGAGGACTCAGGAACGGCTCGTGCGGGGGCGAGAGCTAGAGCGAGAGAGAGTGGGCGCACCTTGAACGACTGGTCGAGCGAGCAGGTGATGATCTGCTTGGCGTCCTTGCGCGACCAATCGATGCCGTCTGTGCGTCGAGGTGCGTCAGAGAGACAGGTGGAGCTAGATGTGAGAGAGCAGGACGCACAGATCTTGGCCGAGTGCCCCTGGATCGTCTCGACCGGGGCTGCGCCCATCTGCGACGACGAGAGGCGAGTAAGTCTCGGCATTGCGAGCACATATGAGAAGGGAAATCAGGGACGCACACGATCGTCCCAGATGTGTACGAGATTGTTGTGCGAGCTGGCGATGACGTGCGGCTCTCGCCGGTTGAACTTGACCTGGGTCGCCGGCGCTGCGAGGCGGGCACGACTGGGTCAGAAACCTGGAACGCATTCTGGGGGACGCTTCACGACACGGAGGAGAGACGAAAGTGGACGCACAGCCCCAGCCACACACTCGCCAGATGGGCTTCCTCCCTCGCCCGGTCGAACCGTAGCCCGTGCGCAAGTCCCAGGCCATGACCCAGCCGTCCATGGCGCACGTTGCGAGCACCTCGGGCGCTCCAGGCGACCAGTTGACGTCGGTGACGGCTCGCTCGTGACCATACAGGGCATGCTCGATCGGCGAGACCGAGAAGGCCGGCGAGAGCGACAGGTTGTAGACGACGGCTTGCTGGCTCGACTGCGGACAAGGGGCATGTCAGTGAGGGGACCCCATCACCTCGACTCAGGCGGGACGCACTGTCGCGACGACCCACTCGCTGCGTGCCGGGAACGGGTTCCACTGCGAGAGGACTCGAGTTCAGTTTTGGGGCGCCGAGTCGTCGACGAGGAGAGGAGGGAGTGGGGCGCACTTGAACATCGGCGACCTCCCAGGCAGACTGATGCGGTAGGTAACGTGGAGGATCGTACGGGTTCTGCAGGTCGACGATAAAGAGGCCCTTCTTGGCGCCGAGGGCGACGTCGCGGTTGGCGGGACCTGTGCGAGGGCAAGTCAGTGTACGCCCATGGTCCAACGAGTAGAGGAGGACGCACTGATGCTCATAGAACCAATGGGCTGGTCGATGAAGATGTCCATGCGCTGGTAGAACGTGTCCTCGCTGTCGGGTTCAGGTGCCGCGACTGGTGCGGACGACGGCGGTGTCGCGTCGCGAATGGCGCTCGGCGGCTTCTCCTGCGAGACCGAAAGTCCTGCACCATCTTCTGACATGTTGACCGCCGACGAAGCAGAGGCTGACGAGGGCGAGAAGGGGGAGATCAGGGTCGAGGAGGAGGGACGAGGGTGGACTGCGAGAAAAGGACGACAGAGGGTGTCAGTGCCCGTGCCTCGTCTGCTGCGCTCCTCTGTGCTCCTCCAACCTGCACACGCTCTGTCCACGTCGCGCTCCTCGAGAGCAGCCGCACTTTCCCCACACCTCGTCGAACAAGTGCCGTCCCCTCGTCTCGGCACGCCTCGATACAGTCTACCGGCCAGGACAGCCCCATAGCATGGACAACTGAAGAGACTGGACGGGAGCGGGACGCACCAGGGTTGAGGAGGGAGAGTGGAGGATGGGTCGCTGATGAGGTTCGAGGTCGACGGGGCGCGCGTACGGCGCGCTTGATGCAAGTCGCAGAGCTGCTAGATGCCCTGGTGAAGCTTTCTCACTCGCCGTCGGATGGCGGAGCGGCTGGGTGAAGAAGAGGGAGGCCGGCCTCTCCGGCGAGTCGACGTCGGTCTGCGACGACCGCGACGACCGCGACGAGCTCTACACTCTCTGCTTTTCGCTGCTCTCGGTTCTGTCATGCACTCGTATCGCACGCACGGTCGAGTTGCACCGAGCAGTCCGCTACTTGCGCCGGTTGACGGCGTTGTACCTCTCGGTCGCCCACGAGAGCGCCTCCTTGGCCGGCTGGCAGTCGGGCGCGATGCGTTCCAGGTACTTGAGGTCTGCGGCGCGACGTCGGAGCGGTGAGCGCTCCGGCTCGAGCGTGCGCTCGGGACGAGAAAGAGAGAGAGAGAGCTGGACGCACCGACGAAAGCCGCCTTCCAGTGCCCGAGCATGGCGAGCGCAGTGCCGCGGCGGTACAGCGCCTTGATGCTGTCGGGGTCCTGCGCGAGCGCGAGCGTCGTGTCGCACACGGCCTCGGCGTACTGGGCCGGCGTGCCGATCTTCATGCGCGCCGCGGCGCAGTTGTTCGAAAACAGGGCCTCGGTCGGGAAGATGATGGACGCGGTCGTGAACGAGACAATGGCCTTCTCGTGCTCGCCGGCCGCAAAGTAGTCGTTGCCCTGCCGTCGACGGAAGGGGTCAGTGAGGTGCAGGTCCGAGTGAAAGAGAGAGGTGGACGCACACGCTGCTTCTCCTCCTCGGCGAGGTCCCGACTGAAGGCGATGCCCTTGGTGCGCGCCTCGGCGCTGAGCTCGAGGAGCCGGCCCCAGGCCTGGAGCGGCCTCTTCTCGACCGGCCCGGGCTCCTCGTACTCGAGCAGCTCGACGCCCGTGCCAAACTCGTCGACGATGTTCTCGCGGCCGAACCGGAGCGCCGTGTCGAACGCACGCACGCCACCTTGCCACTCGAGCAGCGTGATCATGTCCTCGGCGAGGACGAACGGGTCGACGAGCATGAGGCGGTCCATGGCGGCGTCGAACGCGTCCGAGAAGGCGAGGAGGTAGTCCTGGACGATGTACTGGCGGTTCAGGCCTTCCCATTCTGGGCCGGCGAGCTTCTGCGAGAACGAGAGGGCAAAAATCCGAGGTCAGTGCGCGGTCGACGAGGGCGATGAGGACGACTCGGGTCGGGCACGAGGGTCGACGAGGGGACGACGAGGGAGAGAGCGAGGGCGCACCTTGGCGCGGAGCTGGACGTGACACCACCGCATAAACTCTTGCGGGTCCATCTCGGGGAGGTCGATCGGGATCTGGCGGTCGGCTTGCTCGCACAGGCCGAGGCGGTGGCGAGCCTCGCGCAGGATGTCGGTGTGCTGCGACACCTTGCAGATGCAGACATCGCCGAGTGTTGCACGCTGTATGTCGGGGAGGGGCAGGTGGTGTCAGTTAGAGAGTACGCGCAAGGACGAGGGAGAGAGAAGGGGACTCACAAGGACGTCGACGAGCTTCTGCATGCTGATGGCGAGCACGCGTTGGCTCCACGCCTGGATCTCGGGGTGGACCGCCGAGTGCCACAAACCTCGGTCCTCGGCGATTGCGAGGAACGAGTCCATCTCCTTGGGCTCGCCCGAGTCGGTCGTCATGCGCCCGCCGCCGAGGATGAAGCTCTTGGCGAGCTTGTCGCGCAGGAGGAACAGCGGCGACGGGATCGCGCCCATGAGCTCGTCTGTAGGCAAGCGACAGAGAGACAGGGAGAGTCAGGTCCCGGTCGGGCGCAAGGCGAGGGGAGGAGAGATGAGGGAAGAGGACGCACACTTGAAGCCGGCGAGGATCGTCTCGTAGAGGAGCCCGTCGAGGTCGGCCCACCCGGCATGATCGGGAGCGACGCCTGTGCACCGGTGTGGCGGGCAGCACCGTGGCGGCGGGTGGCGCGACAGCGGGCTGAATCCAGGCAGGAGCGACGTGTGCGGGCCGGGAGGCCCCGCCGCCGCTGTTGGCGCCGAAACGAGGTGCGCGTCGCCGGCGACAGTGGCGCTCGTGCTCGTCGACGAGGCGCCGCCCTTCTTCTTCTTGCGCTTCTTCTTGTGCCCGACAGCGGCCGGAGGCGGCACGTCGGCGACGTTCGTCTTCTCGACGAGCGGGAGCGAGCGCGCCGCTGCGGCGGCCTCGCCGTCGCCGTCGCCCTTGTCCTCCTCCGTGCCCTGCGCGGACGATGCCGCTCGCGGCCCTCCCGCACCTTCGACCTCGTCCGGCTCGCCCGCCTGCACCTCGCCGCCGTGCTCCTCCCTCGCGCGCCGCGTCTCGGCCGCACAGGCAGGGCAGCACACCTCACAGTGCACGTCCTCGTTGCCCTCGACCCCTCCCTCGTCCCGCTCGTCCCCCTCTCGCCCGCTCACCGCCGACCGCGCCGGCGACTCGGCCGGCGAGCTGCGCCGCGACAGGCGCGACGCCGACGGCGGGCCTGCGCCTGCTCGACGCGTTCTCGGCGTGCGTGACGGCGAGGCCGATGCGGCCGAGCCCGCGGCGCGCTTGCGCCTCGGCGGCGGGACCTGGACGATGGTCGCGCCGGGCGCAGGCGACGGCGCGCGCTTCTCGGTCGGCTCGGCGGCGGCGGCGGCGAGCCTCGATGCCGCTGTAGCGATGGAGCTGACGGCGGACGAGGCGGTCGAAGCGGCGAGGTTGGCGTGGCGGTGCGTCGGCGGCGGTGGGGCGTAGCGCGCACGGACCTTGCCCGGCGGGTTGAGCGCACGGGCTTTGCCCTTTGCCGAGCCGGGTGCGGCGGCGGTCGAGATGGTGCGGGGAGCCGAGGTCGAGAAGGGGTCGGGCGGGGCAGAGTCGTCGGCGGAGGAGGAAGGCGAGGACGAGGCGGCGGAGAGGGGGAGGAGGTCCTTGGACGAGCCGAGCTTGAACCCTTCTTGTGGTGCGGGAGCCGGCTCGTCGGTCGTCGAGAAAGGTGGCGGGCCGCCCTCGAGGCGCACGGGCGCGAGCCTCGGCGCCGCTGACGCCGGCGACCCGATCGAACCGTCTCGGCGAACGCCCAGAGCGGCGCTCGCGCGCTCCACCTCGGCCTGGTCGCGCCGACGGCGGCGCTCCTCGTCGTCCTCCTTGCTCTCGAGCTCCTCGATGTCGGCCTTGACGGCGTCGCGCGTGTCGAGCGCCGCCTCGAGCTCGCGCTGGAGGCGGTGCATCTCGTCGACGATGCGGTCGTCGGCGTCCTTGATGACCTCGAGGCCGTGCTCGCCCTGCTCCTCGGTCACGGCCGTGCTCGTGCCGCCGTTGCGGTACTCGAGGAGGAGGCTGCGGATCTCGGTGTCGAGGCCCTTGAGCTCGGCGCGCAACGACTCGAGGCGCTTGGACCGGCGCTCGCGCTCCTGCTTCTCGGCGACGCGCTGCTTGACGCGCACGAGGAGCTCGCTCGGCTTGCGCGCGGCGCAAAAGTCCATGATGCTCACGAGGTTGTCGCCGCCGGCCTCGCCGACGCCGAGCAGGCCGCGGGTCGCGCCCGGCCCGAACTCGGCCTCGAAGTCGTCGGCGATGAGCTGGAGGAGCTGGATCGGCTGCGAGATGTTCTCGAGAAAGATGTAGAACTCGAGGGCGAACGAGCGCTCGCTGACGAGCTCCTCGGCGAGGTCCTTGAGGTGCGAGTGGTACGTCGAGAAGGCCGTGCGGATCTGGGCGCGCCAGGTCGCGGTCGACTTCCACACGTTGCCGCGCAGGGTGCCCGACTGGATGAGGGTGCGGATCGAGGCGAGGAGGCCGGCGGGCGACGGTGGCGTGCGCGGGGGGCAGACGGGGAAGGCCGACTTGAGCGGCGCCGACTTGAGCATCGACAGGCCGGTCGGCGTGAGGAGCGTGTGCAGGCACGGTAGTGGCGCCGTCTTGGAGGGCTTGAGCTGTGAGGGGCGAGGGACCTCGTCAGTCCGGGACGGCGGGACCGAGCGAGAGGGTGGCGAGACGACGAGGACGGACCTGGGCGACGAGGCCCTCGTACACCATCGACACGCTCGACGAGAAGCCCGTCTCGCGCAGGCTCGTGGCCCACGCCTCGTTCTCGGCTTGGAGAGCGCTGCGGATGACCTGGCGGAACGCCTCCTTGCCGAACTCGAGGTTCTTGGGGTTGGCGATGTCGTCCGGGAGGCGGCCGCCCTCGAGGCCGGTGAGGATCCACGCGTCGACGGTGCCGCTGCTCTCGAGCCAGTCGAGGATCTCGCTGACGCCGAGGTACCGGAGCGAGGTCGAGAAGAAGGTCTGGAAGAGGAGCGACAGGGCGGCGGCGACTTGGTCGTGGAGGGGCGAGCCCGGGGCCGGCAGGGGCGAGTCGGGCGAGAGGCAGCGATGTGGTGCGCACTGCGGATCTCGACCCAGGCCGAACGGCAACGGCGGCCGAGCGGACATTGGCGAGGAGGCGGACTGGCGAGCTGTGTCACACGATGACGAGGTCAGTACAAGGTCCTGCGCAGGCTCCGTCGTGCTTGTGCGTCCAATTAGTGTCCTCTAGACCACCGCGCCGCTCTGTCGGGGCTTTGGCGAGCGGCTACGAGGCTCATCGCTCTGAGACGGAGACGGACGCCGACACGAGAATGCGCTGCTCTGGACGGCCACTTGCTTCATGGTAGGGGAAATGAGGACGCACCTGGATGCCCTCGATCACAGTCTGGTGGGCTGGAAGGCGAGGTGCGGTGGCTGTTGTCGAGAGGACGAGGCAGGAGAGGGAGGACGGCGGCGAATGGGCCTGCCGAGGCGGTTGGTGCTGGTGGGTCGGGGTGATTGGCAGCTGCGAGTACGATGAGCCCGGCGGCTGGGCTGCTCGACAGGCGAGAGAGGCTGTTGGCAGTCGAGCTGCTCGAGCTGGTCCGCCTCCGAGCAGCTCTCGGTCGCATCTCGGCTCCTCCTCCTCCCCGTCGCCAGCCATGCCCAAGGTGAGCTCCCTGTCCTCGTCCACGACTGCTCAGGAGACGCGCCGTCCCCGTCCTCCCCTCTCCCCGTCCTCGCACGACTCGCCGCCGCCTCGCCTCATCTCAAACCTCCCGCGCACCGACGACCGCCGCGACTCGCCCTCACGCACCCAGGGGGACTCGTCAAGCGCACCTAGTCGATCAAGGAGCTGACTCTTGCCCACCCTGCCCCACCCTCCACTCCGCCTGTCGCCTCCCTGACCGCAGAACAAGGGAAAAGTGAGCCCTCTCTCCTTTGTGGTCATCGCCGTCTCGCACCAGCCCTCTCGAGCCAGTCCTGACCCGTCCACTTTGCGCGCACCCAGGGTGGTAAGAACCGCAGGCGAGGAAAGAACGAGAACGACGGCGACAAGCGCGAGCTCGTCTTCAAGGAGGAGGGTCAGGGTCCGTCTCTCGCTCTCGACCGCCCCTCTCGCGTCCTGTCGTGCGCAAACTGACCCCTGTCTGGACCGCAACAGAGTACGCCCAGGTCCTGAAGATGCTCGGCAACGGCCGCGTCGAGGCCATGTGCTTCGACGGCGAGAAGCGTCTCGCCCACATCCGCGGCAAGATGCGCAAGAAGGTGCGTCCTCTCGTCGTGTGAGTGCCCAACAGATCGCGTACTGACGCTTCTGTTTCGCGGCACGCAGGTCTGGATCAACCAGGGCGACATCGTGCTCCTGTCGCTGCGCGACTTCCAGGACGACAAGGCCGACGTCATCCAGAAGTACTCGTCGGACGAGGCCCGCAAGCTCAAGCAGTACGGCGAGCTGCCCGAGACGGCCAAGATCAACGAGACGGACCTTGGCGGCAACGAGGAGGGCGACGACGTGGTCGAGTTCGACGAGGTGTCGGCCGACGAGGACGACGACGACGACGACGAGCGCAAGGACGACGACTTTGACATCGTGCGTCCCCTTCCTTCCCGTCCTGTTCCTGCGTGCGAGCGCGCCGCTCACTCTGCTCCTCGCCCCGGTCTCGCAGGACGACATCTAGGTTCCTCGCCTCCTCGCCGTCCCTGTGCAAGTGTTGTCTGCCCTCGCCGCTGTTCGCAATGTACATTCGCCGTCCTTTCGCAGCGCACCCTCAACGATCGTGTGCCACCAGAGTCTGAGCGAGCGCGAGAGCGAGCGAGAGCGAGAACAAGAGCGAGAGAATGCTCTCAAGCCGGACGAGCGGAACGACCTGCGAGAGCCCTTGCCGAGCAGCTCAGTGCGTCGCTCGAACGTTCCTGGACTGACGATGTGGTCAGTGGTCGAGAGAGGCGAGGCGAGCTTGTCGGGAGCAGCTAGCGAGCCTTTCGTCGCTCTCGACCGCCTCGAAGCCTGCTCGCGCTCTTTGATCGTTTTCAGCGAGCCGTCCTCGCTTGAACGCACTGCAGCGTGCCCCTCGACGTGCTGCCGTTCGTCTCAAATCCGCCTGTCGAGGTTGAGCCTTGGGACCTCGAGCCAGCGTTTGTCGCGCCTCAAGCTCTGCGGGTCCGTGCGAGGCTCCTCGCCGCGAGCCCGGCTGCATGTCAGTCTCTGTAGGTGCGCTCGCGTCGTCCGTCGACGCGAGAGATGGCTTCGACGGCTGTCGGCGACACGAAAGGTCTTCGGCGCCGCGTGCAAGCCATTCCATGCGTTCGGACCTCGTCTCCGACACAGCGCACGGTCGCGATCCCGACGAGCCCGTCGGAGATTCCGCAGGTCGCAGCAAACGTGTCGTCAGTCGGAGAGGGAACCCTCACGGTGCTGCCGCTCGTCGGCGCGCTGGCGGCTCTCGTCCTCGCGGTGAGCTGCCGGCAGCGCGCAAGCGTCCTCGCAGGGTTCCTTCTATCGTACACTCGGCACAGCTCTATTGGCTCCTCGTCGAGCTGGCGCACGCGTTAGGCTCGCCCCGCTCCGTTGGGCCGCTGAAATTAGCCCCGGCGCCGTGCCGGCGAGGGGAGGACTCGAGCGGGCGGCCGCGCACTGACTCGAAAGCTGGCCCGCGTGTGGACGAGCGAGCTGGTTGCTGCTCTGCTCTGTACATCGTACTGCTTGCAAAAGCGCGCTCCTGCTGCCGCCAGTCGACGACGCCGCCAACTACGACCGCGCACGAACCCCCTCCCCGCGCCGACCGCCGACCGCCGTCCCTCCTCCTCCTCGGCCGACGCGCGGAACCTCCGTCGAGACCTCTCGAGCCGACTCTGCGTCACGCACCCGACAACGACGACGACTCGCACTGCAGATCTCGACGACGCCGCCTTGCTCCATCCTCGCGTGACCACCACCAGCTCGAGCGACCTCGCGGCTTCGCCAAGAGTCCTCACCGCGCGCCGACCAGCCTCGCACCACGCCGGCGAGCCGCAAGGCGCACGAGCCCCACGCTGCCGCCGACGGCCAGCTCTCGCCCGCCCGGCCGGCGACCGCTTGGACCGCCCGCCGGCTCGTCCTGCTCGACGCGCGACGGCCGGCGGCGAGGCGGGAAAATCGCGCCCCTCTCGACCCAGCATTCTCCGACTTTAGCGCCAGAGTGTGAGCAATCAACCGCTGTGGGGGATTGTCAGGGCGGAGGTGCGCTCGCCTCGCGGTGCGTCTTCTCGCTGCCCGACCCGACCACCCGACCGCAAGGGTCACCGTGTCCCCGCCCGACGACGGTCTCCCGTGCGTGATTGCTCGTCTGGCCCCGCACTCGGTCACGCTCCCAGGCCAGCTATCCGCCGACGAGCACGCGGCTCGACGACGACGACCGCACGACGCACGGGCCTCCCCGCGCCGACGACCTCCGCCTTCGCGCGGCTCGCATTTCCTCGGACTGCTCGCCGCCGCGCCTCTCGGTGCCTCTGTGCCGGACGCCTGCGGGCCCAGCAAAAAGATCGGGTCCGGGTCTCAGCCTCTTCCGAAGTTCCAGATCTGGCTCTTGCTCGTGCTAGCGCCAGGTGCCCCGGGTATTTCGGGCGCTCGCCGGCGCCGTATCACGAGTGGCAAAACGAGCAGCAGCCAGCGCTCGCCTCGAGCGGGACGTCGACGAGGAGATGGTCGTCGGCGGTCGCTCGCTCGGGCCTCGACACGGGCTCTCTGCTGCTGCGCACGGCTGCGTGCGTCCGTACGGTACGGCTCGAGGTCTGCGCGGCTCAGGCGACGAGCGGGGCGAGCGGGCTCAGAGTTCGGGCGCCACACTTTGACGCCTCGCGGTGCGCGCTGCTGCCCCCCGCGCTCTCCGGCCCTTCGCCTTTTTTGCACCGCGGTGCCTCGTCCGCGCGGTTGCGAGTGCGATAGCCTCCTCACGCGACTCGCCCGCTCGCGCCTTGGCCGCTTTGACTGTCGCTCCTCGCTCTCCCTCTCCTCTCTCTCCCACATCGAGCGACGCTTGCACCTCTTCTCTCCACTCGCCTCTTCCGCTCGACAGACCCGCCCCCCTCGACCGTCGCCATGGTTACGGTCCGCAACCCGTTCAAGCGGCAGGACTCGGTCGACGCTGTCGCCGACCCGACCCTCCACCAGACCGTCTCGAACGCGTCCAAGTCGCCCTCCGACGAGAAGGACGGCTACGCCGCCGACGTCCAGGACACGCTCCCGATCGACAACCCGTACGGCGAGGTCCACAACGAGAAGAACCTGCTCGCCAACGGCAAGGAGCGCCCTATCGAGGTGAGCCCCGCTTTGGCCTCGTCTCTTCGTTCTCGCCCGAGCAGGTCACGCCCGAGCAGGTCACTGACATGCGCCCGACGACGCCTGCGCACAGACCGCCGAGGACATCGCGACGCGCTGCATCTCGCTCGAGGACGACCCGAACATGGTCATCCACACCTTCCGGATGTACTTCCTCGCCATCGGCCTCACCTGCTTCGCCGCCGTCCTCGGCCAGATCTTCTACTTCCGCCCCCAGACGGTGTACGTCTCGCAACTGTTCCTCCAGGTCATCGCCTTCATCCTCGGCCGCACCTGGGCCGCCGTCCTTCCCAACGCGTCGCGCGGCAAGTTCTGGGCGTTCCTCAACCCGTGCGAGTTCACGCTCAAGGAGCACGTCGCCATCCTCATCATGAGCTCGACCGCCACCTCGTCGGCCGAGGCCATCTCGGTGTTCGCCGCCGACGACCTGTACTACGGCATCACGCCCAACTATGGCGTCGCCATCTTTACGCTCCTCGGCTCGCAGCTTCTCGGTGCGTCCCTTCTCCCCTTCCCTCGACCTTTCCCTCGACGTCGACGACGTCTGGTCGACGCTCGACGAGCGCTCAGCACGAGGACAGTGACTGACCTCGCTCGCCTCCTCCCGCTCTCTCTTTCGCAGGATACGGCATCGCCGGCCTCCTCCGTTCGTTCACCGTCTTCCCGACCTACATCGTCTACCCGAACCTGGTCCCGACGGTCAACCTGTTCGACGCGCTCCACCGCGACAAGGACGAGAAGGCGCAGAAGAAGCGTCTGCGCTTCTTCTGGTACGTCTTCATCGCCATTTTCTGCTGGGAGTGGATCCCCGAGGTGCGTCTCTCGCCTTCCTTTGCCTCTCTCGTCGGTACGAGAACGAGACTGACGCGCTGGTACGCCTCCAGTTCATCGCGCCGACCCTCACGGGTATCTCGATCTTCTGCCTCGCCAAGCGTGACTCGGCATGGGTCACCCGCATCTTCGGCGGCTCGAACGGTAACGAGGGCCTCGGCATGTTCTCGCTCTGCCTCGACTGGGTGCGCCCAACTCTCGCCAGTTCATCCTCAGCCGACCTGCGCTCACACCCCTTCCGCTCGCAGAACTACATCGGCTCGGGCGGCGGCTCGCTCGGCGCTCTCTTCACGCCGTTCACGACCCAGGTCTCGCAGTACATCGGGTGCGTCGTCCCGTCCCCTGTCTTTGCAAGAGCGCGCAGAATTGACGCCTCGAACTCGCAGTGTCGCCCTCTGCATCATCCTGTTCTGCTCGATGTACGTCACCAACACGTGGAACGCCGCCGCCTTCCCCTTCCTGTCGCAGAAGCTGTTCTACAAGAACGGCTCGGACTACGACCAGCTCGCCATCCTCAACGCCGACTTCTCGCTCAACGAGGCCGCCCTCGCCGAGCAGGGCATTCCCTGGTACGCCGCGTCGAACGCCATGTACTACCTCGGCTGCAACCTCGCCATCGGCGCCACCCTCACGCACGTCGCCATCTGGTACTGGCGCCCGATCCTGAACGCCATCAAGGGCTTCCGCACCCGCACGATCGACGACCCGCACTACCAGAAGATGCTCGTCTACAAGGAGGTCCCCATGTGGGTCTACGGCGGCATCATCCTCGCGTCGTTCGCCATGGCTATGGCTACCTGCTGTACGTCTGCCGCCTCGAACCGATTCTCGACCTTCCTCTCGAGCACCTTCCTAACTCGCCTCTTCTCGTCGCAGACACCGGCCACTCGCAGCTGCCGTGGTGGGCTTTGATCGTCGCCATCCTCCTGGCGTTCTTCATGTTCCGTGAGTTGCTTGCACCTCTTTCCTGCCCCCATTCGTCGTCGGCGACGGGCCGTCGCTGACCTTCCTTCCCCCCTCGTCCTCTCTCCTCCCTCTCCTCTCGCCCACAGCCTTCGTCTGCGTCATCTACGCCATCACGGGCTTCAAGACGGACGTGCAGCAGCTCGCGCAGATGCTCGGTGCCGCCCTCGTCCCGGGCAACTCGCAGGCCAACATGGTGCGTCGCGCGCTCGAGCCCCTTCCTCGCTCGCTCGCCGAGAACTCGCCCTGACTTGGTCCCTCCCCTCGTCCACAGTACTTCACCCTGTACGGCTACAACTCGTGCGCCCAGGGCCTGTCGCTCGCGCGCGACCTCAAGATGTCGCAGTACACCAAGCTCCCTCCTCGCGTCACCCTCTTCGTCCAGTCGCTCGGCACCGTCATCGGCGCCATCCTCCAGCTCATCATCATGAAGTCGGTCATCAGCGCTCAGCGTGAGCTGCTCCTCGACACCCAGGGCTCCAACATCTGGTCGGGCCAGCAGGTCCAGTCGTTCAACTCGCAGGCCGTCTCGTGGGGCGCCCTCGCCAAGCACATGTACGGCCCGGGCTCGCAGTACTTCATCATCCCGCTCGCGATCGTCATCGGCCTCGTGGTCCCCCTGCCGTTCTACTTTGCCCACAAGAAGTGGCCCAAGTGCGTCCTCCCTTCCTCCCTCCCTCTCCTCGACCTCTTTCCTGAACCCTTTCCTGACGGTCTCTTCCCCTCTTTTCAGGATGCACTTCGACGGCTTCGTGTCGCCTATCACCTGCTGGTGCCTCGGCTACCTCTCGGTCGGCATTAACTCGTCGGTCTTCACGACGATGCTCCTCGCCATTTTCTCCCAGTTCTACCTTCGCAAGTACCGCGCCACCTGGTTCCGCAAGTACAACTACCTCATGTCGGCGGCGCTCGACGGCGGCACGCAGCTCTTCGTCTTCATCGCCGTGCGTCCTCAACCCCTCGTCCTCCTCGCCGATTCCTCCGCTCACACTTCTCTGTCTCTCGCAGACCTTCGCGCTCTTTGGTGGTGCTGGCAGCGAGCAGACGATGCCCAACTACGCGCTCAACCCGACGGGCAACCTCGACTACTGCCTGCGCCTCACGTAGACGGTTCAAGAAGGTGGTTTAGGAAGAGATGGAGACGGGTTCCTCCAGTTGTGCTTTAGTTTTACCCTTCGTTAGTTCTCTCGCACTGTGTCTACATAGTGCTTCCGGGTCTGCAATCAGCGCGATTGCTCAGTCTCTTCTGCGTCGGCGAGAGTGGCCCAGCTCTGCCTCGTCGGGGGACCTTCCCAACTTGCCTTCCCTCGTCTTCGCGCTTCGCGCGGCCACCGCACGTGCTCTGGAGCACAGCCAGTCTTTCGTCCAACTCCAGTAGCAGTACCTCGGCAATTCTCGATTGCGCAGCAGTGCACTCGCGTCGCCGGCGTGCCCGACAAGCTCGTTCGTCGCGGCTGCCTTTTCTGCTGGACCTCGTCGCTCTTGCGCTGCGGCAGCTGCTCTCATTGATGCGGAAGAGGCTCTCGAGTTACTCAGTTCCGCTGAGCAACACGACGAGCGAAAGGTAGACGAGCTAGTCGACCGGCGCACGGGCCTCGTCCGCAGCGGACGCCGTCGACGCTCTCGCACCCCTCTGCCGCGCGACGCGCTCGTCCGGGCAAGAGACGACAGTGTGCTCGCTGCATGCGTGCTGCGCTCGCCGCCAGAGAAGAGCGCGAGCTCGGCAGATGCTCAGGCCCCGCACAGCGGCATCTCGCCGTCCCTTTCGCACTTGCTCTCGCACTTGCCCTCCCACTCGCTCTCGCCGTGACCAGCAATCCTGCTGCAGCTTGATCGAAGACGTTGCTGCACGTCATGTCATGCTCGGCCCTCAGCTACACGGCAAGCCCCTCGCGCCTCGCAAGCTCGAGAAAGTCCCACGTCCCGGGCACGAGGTCCTCCCTCCCGACGCGCGACGCGAGCGCCGCCTCGACCATCGTCCGGCCCTCGCCCTCGACCTCGAGCGCCCACGCCCGAGGGTCGCTCACGAGCTCGACGCTCGCGAGCCCGGCTCGGCGCGCCGCCTCGCGCCGCCTCGCCTCCTCCTCGCCGTCCTCGCCATCGAGCTCCATGTCCATCGCCGCCCGACGCTCACCCTCGCCCTCGCCCTCGTCGCTCAGCCTCGGCCGCTTCTCGACCTGCGCGAACTCGACGACCCGGCGCGGCTGCGTCGCGCGGTACACGTGCGGCACGTTGGTCTCGGGGTCGTAGACGCCGCGGATGGGCGTGTAGACGCGCACGAGGCGGCGCTTCTTGGGGCGCGGTGCGTGAGCGACGGGTGCGGGCGCGGGGGACGGTGCCGAGGGGACGGCGGGCGCCGAGGAGGCGGCGGCGGTGGAAGGGAAGGGGGAGCCGGGCAGAGAGGACGAGGGGAAGGGCGAGGCGAGCGAGGGGTCGACCGCTGCTGTTGCTGGGGAAGGCGCGGTGGCGGCGAGTGGGTGGGGCGAGGCGGCGGAAGGTGGTGGGAGGGACGGCAGGCCGTTCGAGAAGCCGGGGACGGGCGGCGCGGCGGCGTCGACGGCGGCGGCAGCGGCGGCGACAGGCGGCTTGACCTCGTCCTCGTCGACGTCGTCGTACTCCTCCTCTACCCACTCCCAGCAGTCGTCCTCGTTCTCCTCGACGCCGAGCCCGACCTGCACCTGCCCGACGTTGCCCCTCCTGACGACGGCGAGCCGCGCGTTCTCGTCGCGCACGTTCTGCGCGTACTCGAGCATCCAGTTGGACCACGTCAGGTGTGGCGCCGGCTTGGCCTTTTTGGCCTGCGGGTCCCACGCGCGCCCGAAAGGCTGCATGCCCGTGCCGCCGAACGTGGCCGTGTAGCCGGCGCCGCCGCCGACGGGGAGGAGCTCGGCGCCGGGCACCTTGGGCTTGCCCGGGTGGCCGATGAGGTGGTTGAGGCCGAGCGACGTGGCGCCGGGAGGCGCGTTGCCCTTGGACGTGGCGAGCGTGCCCGTGTCCTTGTCCGGGTCGTACGCCTCGATGAAGGCGGGCTCGCCCGGCTTGTGGCCCGCAGCGATCGACTTGTCCTCGTCTGCGTGCGCGTACGAGTGTCTGTCAGTGCGAGTCCTGCACTGGGTCGGGCACACGAAGGAGAGGGAGGGGGACCGACGCACAGTAATCGTCGACGACGTACTTGCCGCCTGCGCAGGATCAACGGAGGGTCAGCGAGTGCCCGAGGTTTCACGAGAGAGAGAGAGAGAAGAGAGAGGGACGAGGGACGCACCCTGCAAGAAGGTGGCGCCCATGACTTTGAAGACGTTCCTCGCGGCGACCATGGTGACGGCGCGGCTCTTGAGGTTGCCGCTCAGCCTGCCGAGCTCGATGAGGCGGTCCTTCTCCTCCTGGTTGCACGTCAACTTGTGGATCATGGGGTTGCGGCGGAAGAAGTAGAGCGAGTCGCGGAAGCCGGCGGCGCGGGCGGCATCGATCGAGAGGATGTAGACGCGGTTCGGGTTCTGGCGCAGGGGTGACGTAAAAGTGTGGACCTTCCACTGGCGGTCTGCGGGATCCGAGAGGTGCCGCGTGAGTGCACGCTCGTCGAGGTGGCCGAGGGACGAGAGGGAGGTAGAGACTTGCCGCCGAGGAGGTTGCCGAGGTGGTCAATCTTGGCCTCGCCACGAGGGTCGTCGGGGAGCAGGATCTCGTCGTCGCGGATCTGGTACGTGACGCCCTTGATGGTCTGCGGGCACGGTCGAGAAGGGGTCAGTCGTGCGCCTCTCGAAGGACGACGAGGAGGAGGGAGAGCGGCGAGAGACGTACGATCGACGTCTTGGGCTCCTTCTTTTTGAGAAAGTTGAGGGCGCGCGAGCGTTTGGGCGGCTGCGGCTGCGGGTCGGGCGTCTGCTCTGCGGTCGAGACCCTCTGGCTCGCCTGCTGGCTGTCGTCGCCCTCGCGGTCGTCGATGAGGTCCGAGCCGAGCGGGGTGCCGACCTGGCTCGAGTTGGCGCCGGTCGGGATCTGGGACGTGGCGCGCGAGGGCGGGACCGTGTTGGTCGGGTCGAGCGACGAGAAGTCGAGGAGGGACGAGGCGTCTCGGGCGACGCGGGGTGCGGGTTGGCGCGTCGGGGCGGGAGGGGTGCCGTCTGGCTCGTACAGCGAGCCTTCCGAGTCGGAGCGGGGCATGGTGGTGGTCGGCGGCGCGGGCGACGGCGAGAGATGAGGATGGGGAGGGGGGAAGGGCGGTGTCGACGAGCCGAGTGCGCGCGTGGCCGAGGGTGGTTGGTGCAGCTGTCGCGAGAGGTGCTGGGCGCAGGCTGGCAGCTGGCGGTGGAAGTGTGCGCGTGTGTGTCGAGCGAGAGAGCGAGCCGTGGTTGCGGCCGGGTTGTGTCCCCGGGTTTGTGCCTCGCCTCGGCGGAGGTTTTGCCCCCGCCTCCAACAGTCGCCTCTCTCGCCCGACCTCGACTGGCGCTGCACCATGAGCGAACGCGCGCGCTCAGACTCGCGCACCTCGTACCGCTCGACCCGCCCCTCGTCGGCCCAGTCGGCTCACGCGGCCGCGACAACACGCACCGCCGCCGCGTCCTCGTCCGCCTCATCGCTCCCCTACGCGTCCCGCCCGCCCCAGCACCCAAAGACGCCAAAGCCCTCCGCAGCTCGCTACGGCGGCCTCGCAGAACGCGACCTCCAGAAGGTGAGCCCCCCCTCCCCCTTTCCCCCTCTTGTGGACCTCGCCGGAGCTTGTTTGCTGAACCCTGCCCACCGGCCAACAGCTCCAGAGCAGCATCCGCGCCGCGAGCAAGACGGCCGGCCATACCGCAAGCTCGACCTATCGCACCGCACGCGCACCGCCGCTCGACGAGCAAGACGAGCAAGACGACGACCAGCCTGCTCGTGAGCCTGCGCCCTCTCTCTCTCCCTCACTCTCTCTGCGCGCTGACTGACCCGACCGCCCTGCGCACAGAACCAGCTCCAGAAGGTAGCTTCATCGCCGAGGCGTCCTTCTCTCGCGCGCCCGTCAACTCGCGCCTCCCCCACATCTCGCCGCACCGTGTCGCCTCCCAGCCCACCACCTCGTCCACCGTCACCGGCGCATCTCGCCGCTCGCGCAAGCCGTCGTCTAACCCTCACGGCGTCGACTCGGACTCGATCTCGGACTCGGGCTCGACCGTCGCTTCGGGCGCCGACGCCGACGAGGACCCGGCCGCGCGCACCCAGCGCGACCACGCGCGCCGCCGCTCGCTCGGCCTCGACAAGGAGCCGCTCGACGGCCTCAACGCCGAGCTGCAGGAGGCCCTCGTCACCGAGGACCTCTTGTCGGTCCTCATGGGCGTCGAAGGCCGCTACGTCGAGTTCGACCCCGAGTACGCGCCCGAGGACGACTACGAGCGGCTCCAGGGCGCCCACTTTGTCGTCGACCCTGCTCTCGGTCCGCCCTCTTCTCTCTCACCTCTCCCTCGTTGGCGACTGACGCCGCCCCGCCCGCCGCAGACCCGCGCATCGGCGCCCTCGTGCAGCGCTTTCTCCCGCTCGCGACCTACTACACGGGCGTGACGGCCTTTGTCGAGGAGTACTCGGTCCTCGAGCACGGTACGGTCAACCACGCCCTGTGCGCCGCCATACGCGAGATGCTCCGGGTGCGTCCCCACCTTCCTTTCCTCCCTCCTCTCAATCGCCCAGGCCTGACTGACCTTCTCGCGCCGCGACCCACCGTGCCCCGCAGGACTACCTCGTGCTCCTCGCACGCCTCGAGGAGCAGTTCAACTCGTCGTCGTCGTTCACGCTCCAGCGCTTCTGGCTCGTCGTCCACCCGGCCCTCGACACGCTCCAGCTCCTCCACGCCCTCACGACCGAGATCGTCGCCCTGAGCGTGCCCTCTCCCGACGACGACGACGACGAGTCGGGCGCAGGGTCGGGCGGCGACGACGCCGAGAGCGACGACGGGTACGGCGCAGGACTCGGCGACGTCCTCGCCGAGCTCAACGCGGCGACGGCCGCCGCCCGCCCGTCCTCGGCCGCCAAGGTCGCCCCCTGGCGCCTCGGCCCCGCCCTCGGCGGCGAAACCCTGCACCTCCTGTCGTCGCTCCACACGCGCACGCGCGGCAATCCGCGCGCCGCAGCCCTGTACGCGCACCTCGTCCTGCGCGCGTCGCAGCCCTACGCGCGCATCCTCGTCGCCTGGATCGAGACGGGCCGGCTCGACGACCGGTGGGACGAGTTCTGCGTGCGCGAGCAGCGAGGGTACGAGGCGGCCGGGCTCGACCGCGACTTTACCGACGAGTACTGGGAGAGGCGGTACACGCTCAGGGGGGACCGGCCGGTCAGTGCGGGTGCGGGACGAGGGAGCAGGGCGCAGGGCAAGGCGCCTGCCGCGGGGCAGCAGTCGGCGGCGGCAGCGGCGGCGGGCGGGATCGACGACCGGCCGCGCGAGAGGGGGCTCGCGCGCGGTGCGGTCGTGCCGGCGTTCCTCGAGCCATGGCTCGACAAGGTGCTCCTCGCCGGCAAGTACCTCAACGTGATCCGCGAGTGCGGCATCGAGGTCGAGGTGCCGGTCGTCGAGGGCGACGAGGCGCGCGAGGACGGGCTCGTCGACATGCAGGAGGAAGGGTACGTCCCCTCTCTCTGCCCTGTCTCCCTCCCCCTCTTACCAGTTCACGACACTCACGACGAGCGTGCGCTCCTGCAGGTTCTACCGCCGCATCGAGACGGCCTACACGTACGCCAACAAGACGCTCCTCAAGCTGCTCCTCGAGGAGGAGCACCTCGTGTCACGCCTCGAGTGCGTCCTCGTGCTCTCCTGTGTCTCCTCGAGCCATAGTTGTCGTCGACTGACCATCTCTCTCGCCGTCCAACCTCTGCAGGACGATCAAGCAGTACTTCTTCATCAACCATGGCGACGTCTTCACGCACTTTCTCGACATGGCCGACAAGGAGCTCGGCAAGCGCAAGAAGCGCATCATGCTCGAGCGCCTCCAGACGCAGCTCGACCTCGCCCTCCTGCGCGCCGCGCCGCCGTCGACAACGGCCGACGGCGCCCCGGCCGCGTTCAAGGACGACCTGCGCATCGTGTTCGAGGACGTGACGGTCGCCGAGTGGCTCCTCAAGGTTGTCAACCAGACGGGCGCGCTCGTCGGGCCCGACGGCGTCCAGGTCGACGCGCTCGAGAGCGCCAAGAAGGCGGCCGCCGACAAGCAGGCCAAGGACCCGGGCGAGCACACCGGTCCGTCCTCTCTCCTTTTTCCTCGTCCTCTCGTCGTCGCCGCGGAGCGTACCCTCTCTCGTACTGACGTCAACTCTCCTCACGTGCAGGGTGGGACGTCTTCAACCTCGACTATTCAGTGACGTTCCCGCTGTCGCTCGTCCTGTCGCGGCGATCCATCACCTTCTACCAGATGATCTTCCGCCACCTCCTGCGACTCCGACACCTCGAGCGCGTCTTCCAGGACACGTGGACCGAGCACCTCAAGACGCCGGCGTGGCGCCGCCGGTCCCCCTACCCCGAGCTCCAGGCGTGGAAGGGCCGCGTGTTTGCCCTCAGGGCCCGCATGTACGACTTTATCCAGCAGATGTTCGACTTTGCCGTCAGCGAGGTCCTCGAGGTGCGGTGGGCCGAGCTGCGCGCCAAGCTCGAGAAGTGCGAGACGGTCGACGAGCTCCTCAACGACCACGACGACTTTCTTAACACGTGCACCAACGAGTGCCTCCTCACCAACGAGAAGCTCCTCGACGTGCGTCCCCTCTTTCTCTCTCTCTCTCTCCCCCCCTCTCTCCCTCTTTGTCTCCGTCGCCGCACCCTGACTCCCCTCGCACGGACCTCCTGCAGCTCTTCCACCAGCGCCTGTTCAACACGTGCTACGTCTACGCCAACTACACGTCGTCGTTCACCAAGATCGTCGTCACGTGCGAGGCGCAGGCCAACGGCGACTGGGCGAGGCTCGGCGGCGAGTTCAAGAAGCACTGGGAGTTCCTCAGCCGGTGCGTCCTCTCTCTCTCTCCCTCCTCTCCTCCCCTCGTCAAGCGCGACTCTCGGTGTCTGCGACCGACGTCGCCGTCGACCTAGATCTCACGATCGGTCGTCGTGGAGCGGCAGGACGTCGAGACTGACCTCTCGTTTCCTCCATTGCCTTCCCCTCATCCCTCGCGCCTTCGACCATCGACATACGCTCGCCGCCACCGCCACAGGTTCGAGATCCACTTCAACCACCACATCTCGCAAGCCCTGTCGTTTCTCCAGCTGCACGCCGCCCGCGAGAACTCGGGCATCCTCCCGCTCATCGTGCGCCTGTCGAGCCTCAAGATGGACGATGCGCCCAAGGCCGGCGCAGGCGCGAGGTAGATGACGAGCGCAATGGAGAGAGTCCGTGCCGAGCGCCGTGTCGGCGTCTCTCGTTCGCCGAGAGGAGAGAGGCTCAAGCGCCCGCTTCGACCTTCTCAAGCTGTCGCTTCTCGCCAGCTGTGCGCGCCCTCTCTCGACACAGTCCTGGATGCGTTCCGTCTGCTCGTTGAGCCTCGCACCGCTGCACGCCTCGCGCCGGCTCGCTACAGCTTGTCTCGCCGACGCTCCTCGAGCGAGCGGATTTCCGGCCGGCCCGCTTTCGCAGCACGGCCCGGTTCGGCTCTCTCTCTCTCTTACGAGCGAGTGTACCGCGTAGCGGGCAGCTGTCGTCGCAACGTGGAAGCGGCGGCCGCGAGCGAGGGCGGGGAACGAGCGACAGGGCGAGGGACGAGGGCGGACGCTCGAGGCGACGCCGCTCACGCGTATGCCGCCGACGGCGAGAGTCGCGACGGCGTAACAAGCTTAAGTGTCCGAGCGAACAGAACGACTCGCAGGGAACGTGGCGGAAGTGCGGCCGGCGGCGGTCGAGAGAGGTCCGTGCCTGGCACTTTTCATTTCCGGGATCGAACGAGAGCTGGCTCGATGCGATGTGGAGGTGCAGTGTATTCAGCGCCGCGTGCGCTCGTTCGACTGTCGAACCCTCCCAGTGCAAGCCTGATGCGGGAGAGGGAGAGCGGAAGCCGGTGTGCGCAGAGCGACGAGGCGAACTGCCGGCCGGGAAGAGCAGAAAGTGTGGCGGTTGGGCCCCCTCAGCAGCGTCCGCTCGGCCGCGATTTCTCAGAGAGGCAAGTCGAGCGCGAGAGCGAGGCGACGCGGTGGCCCTGCAGCAAGCAGCTCCTCCTCGTCTCGTCCCGCCCGCTCACCGCTCGAGCGCAGCTGTCGAGGCCTGCGTCCACGGTCACGCTGCTACACTGGCCAGGTGCGTCCTCTGTCTCTCTCTAGCCCCCCCTCGCAGCGCCCCGTCGCTCATCTTCGCGCCGCCGCGCCGTGCCCAGTCTCTCGACGACCACGACGGCCACGGGCGCCGGCCCCGCCGCGTCACAGCGCGCGCAGCTCCAGCGCAACGCCCAGTGCTTGCGCAGCCGGTTTGTGCGCACCCCGCCGTCCTGCGTCCAGCACAAGAAGGCGCGCCGCGGGCGACAGCAACCTCCCGCAGCAGCCGACCTCGGCTCGGGTCCTCCATCGCCGCCGTCGCTCCACCAAGGGGCCCAGGCCGGCCAGGTCAACAAGCGCGCAAGCTCGCCTCTGCCCCCGACCCGGGTTCCCGCAGCCGTCCCGCCTTCGCTCGCCCATCATCGCCCGACCCTCTCGTCCCCCACCCCGCCCACCGTCAACACGGCTCGCTCAACCTCGACCTCGAGCCCGGCACCAGCTCTCGCCGGCCCAGCAGCAGCAGTACCGGCCCACTTCCTCGTCCTCGCCGCCGTCGTCCTCCTCGGCGGCAGCTTCCTCGTCTACACGCTCGCGCCCAAGGTCAGGCGCCCCTCGGCCCCCAACTACTTGCGCCGCCCGAGCCGGCACTTGATCAAGCGCATCCGCCGAGACCAAGAAGCTGCGGCGACCGACGACGCGCCGAGCAGCAGCGGCGCGGCCGCATCGTCGGCACCGGCGGCGCCCGCACGAGGTCCGCTCAAGCTCGTCACGGCCGGCCTCCCCGCCGCCAGCGCGGCCGCCTTTTCCGAGCTCCTCCCGTCACCCGCATGCGTCACGTCGACGTCTGCCGCCATCATGAGCGGCCTCGAGCGCCTCGGGTCCGCCGTCGGCGCCGCGACCGCAAACGCGCGCGGTCGCGCTCGCAGCGGGTCGGCGTCGGCCAAGGGCAAGGAGCGCGTCACGGACGACGCAGAGCCTGACGAGGCCCCTGGCGTCGGCGGCAGCAGGTCCCCGCTCCCGAGCGCGGGCTTGGTCGTCCCGTCGTCGGCGTCGTCGTCGCTCGAGGGCCTGAGCCGCCGGGCCAAGGGCAAGAAGGGCGCCAAGGCGGGCATCCTGCACTCGCCGGTCGGGAGCACGACCTCGATCGCGTCGTCGTCGTCGTCGCAGAGGGTCCCGAGGGCAGCACCTGCGCCGAGAGCGAGCGTGCGCGAGATCGGCGTCAACAGCGACAAGGTCGCGATGACCGAGTCGGCGGTGCAGACGGTCGACGGCGACACGGACGAGACGTCTACGCCGTCACGAGGACGTCGCACGCACGGGCGCGAGGACTCGGACCCGACGCCGCCGTTCTCGACGCCGGCGCAGCCGCTCGAGCCTCGCCCTCTGTCGACGGTCGAGGTCTCGGTGCAGACCTCGCCTCGCCTTCTTCCCCTCGCACCTTCTGCGCTCCCTCCCTCCCCGACATCGGCGCGTCAGCCTTTGCCCGCCCCCGTCGCGAGGCCCGCCATCCTCCCCCTTCCGTCCGACCTGCACGCCTCGTTCCAGTCGACGCCGCTCGAACCCCCGAAACCTCCTCGCTCCATCCCCTCGTCCTCCGAGTCCAACGCGTCCTCGTCCTCTTACCCGATCTCGGCCTCGCCGCCGCTCTCGCCTCTCTGCCGCTCGCGCTCGCCGACCAGCCGCAGCGCGCACCGCTCGCCTTCCGCCAGCGCCTCGGCGTCCGCCTCCGCGTCGCCCACGTCGCGTCAAGCTGCCTCGCCCTCGCCGAGCGCAAGCCGTCGCGCGTCGGCGACGAGCTCGATCAACGGCCACCTCGCCGTCGACCCGACGCCGAGCCGGCCGCGCGCCTCGCGCCGCAAGTCGGGCGCAGCCGGCGCGATGACGCCTGCAGACGACGCGCAGCCTCGCGGCGTGGTCGGCCTGCCGGGCGCTGTCGCCGCTCCGCGCAAGGGCAACGAGCGCAGCGGTGGCAGCGGCAGCGGCGGCAAGGTCAAGGGCCGAGAGAGGGAGCGGGAGAAGGACAAGGCGCGCGAGCGGGACGAAGAGCACGTGCAGCGCGAGGTGCTTCGCAGGCCGAGCACCGCGAGCAGCAGCAGCGCGAGCGGCAAGGGCGCGCCAGGGCTCGGGCTCGGGATGAGCAGGAGGACGCCGAGCCGGAACGAGGACAGGGAGCGAGACGACGAGTCGGTGCGAGGGTCGCAGGGCGTGGAGGGACGGAGGAGGGACATGCACGGGCTCGGCGTCGGCGTCGAGATGCGCGAGTCGGGCTCGCGCGCCGGCGAGCCGCCCCTCGACGGCGGCTACCCGTTCCCGCCGACGGCGCACTCGGACAGCTCGGGCACGGGCGCCTACATGAACGGCGCCCACACGCCGGGCTGGACGCCCGACTCGTCGCCGCACCCGACGCAGCGCTCGCTGTCGGGCTCGTCGTTCGGCGCCGCGCTCGCGACGCCGACCGCGCAACGTCCGCCCTGGTCGCCGCAGCTCATGGCGCAGCAGTACACGATGATCCCGGCGCCCGCATCGACGCGCCCGCCGTCGCGCGGCAGCTCGCTGTCGGCCCCACCGCCGCCGGGCATGGGCCCGCTCACGCCGCTGCACGGCCCGACGGCGGCCGAGCTCCTCCACCACGAGTCGCAGCAGCAGATGCAGGTCGCCCAGCAGCAGCAGCAGGCGGCGTACGCGCTCGCGCAAGCCCACGCCCAGGCGCAGGTCCAGGCGCAGTACCAACACGCCGTCGCCATCCAGCTCCAGGTCCAGCAGCACCATCAGCAGCAACAGCAGCAGCAGCTCGTCCAGCAACATCAGCAGCAGCAGATCGCCCAGCAGCAGCAGCGCCAACAGCAGCAGATGCGCCGCAGGTCGACGATGCCCGATCCGGCCGACGGCTACGACGGCTTCCTCTCGCCGACCGCCGGCGCGGCACCTTTGACGCCGAGTGGGTTCGTCTACCCTCTCTCGAGTGTCGCCTCGCCACCACTCGGCTCGGCCTCGGCGTCGTCGCCGCTCCTGTCGTCGTTCGCCGCCCAGCACCACGCGCAGCAGCACGGCAGCTACGGCCTGTCGCAGGGCGCCTCGCCGACTACGGGCACCTTCCCCTCGTCCGCCCAGTCGGCGCACGCCGCCGCCGTCGCCGCCGCCATGTACTCGTACGCCGGCTCGCCGAGCCCGGCCGGGACCTACCTCGCGTCGCCGGCCTCCAACACCGGCTCGCCGTACTCGCACGCGCACGCCTCGCCGACCCAGGCCCACTTCCAGCAGTCGCAGCTGTCGCGTTCGGCCGGCCCAACGGCGTCGCTTACGCGCCCGAGGCTGCAGTCGAGCGTGTCGGCCGTCGCGGCGCTCGGCGGCAACGGCAAGGCCGGCTCGAGCAGCGCCGGCGGTGGGCCCTCGGCGAGCGCCGCCCAGGGTCTCTCGCAGTCGCTCGGCCCGGGCGGCAAGTCGTCGCGCTCGGGCGGCGGCGGCGCGGACAAGGCGCACCGGAGCCCGTCGACGCCGAGCGGCAACAGCGCGCCAATCAGTGGCGGCGTGCCGCTCGGCGACCCGCCTGGCGGCATCAAGAACCGCTTGCGCCAGGCCGAGCTCGACGCCGACCGCACGGCCAAGGAGCTCGAGATCGCGAGGTGGAAGCTCGCCGTGCTCGAGGACGAGCGCAAGGCGGCCGACATCGAGGTGCGTCTCACTCTCGCCCTTTCTCTTCCAGCCCGAGTTCTGCGACTGACTCCGCCTCTCTTCCCCGTCATCCGCAGAACCAGGAGGCGCTGCGAGCGCTCGCGACCCGGGCCATGCGGGCCGAGGCGCGCATCAAGCTGTACGAGGACGCGGCCAGGGCGCAGCCGAGGTCGTCGCCTGTCGAGCCGACCACGTCGACACCGGCGTCGTCGGCGGCTCCCTCGACGTCCAACAGCCCGGTCGTCCACTCGGCCTTGCTGCCGGTCGCAGGCCTCACGCCGATCTTCTCGGAGCCGGGCGGGTCCTCGTCGCCAACGTCGAGCGTGCGTCCCTCTCCTCATCTCAACGAGAGCGGGACTAATGTCGTCTCGATCGTACACAGGCTCACCCGCTGTCGTGGCTCGACCTCGACGCCGTCTCGTTTCAGGGGCCGCGCCCTCTCCATCCGCCGTCGCGCTCGCCCAGCCTCCTCAGCTCGCCGAGCGGCACCAACGCCAAATCGCGCAACAAGCGCCACTCGAACGGCGGCAACGGCGGGCGACGTACAAGCAGCAACCAGCGGCGCAAGTCGAGCACGTCGCCGAGCGCGGCGCCGGTCGTCCCGCCCGAGCTTATCGACAGCGACGACGACGACATCCTCATCGTCCTCGACGCACCGATGCGCCGTCGCAGCGCCAACCCGCTGCGGCAGACGCCGTCCCGTCGGTCGTCTTCCGCGCCCGACGACGACGTGCCCGACGGCCACGACGGCGCGAGCCTCGTCGACGACGACGAGATCCCGACGATCGACGTCGACGAGTCGGAACCGCTTTCGGGCGGGGCGCTCATGGGCGAGAGCGAGGACGGCACACGCCAGCACCGCGAGTACATCGGCTTCTTGCCCTCGCGGCTCTCGCCCCGCCGCGTCTTTGCCGCGACGACCGAGTCGCCCGCCTTTGACGCCGTCGAGTGCAGCACGTTCGTCGTCGAGAGCGGCAACCTGTCGACCCTGTCGGTCCCGTCGTTCACGCTCGACGCCTCGCCTACGCCGGAGGAGGAGGAGGTCGACTCGGCGCTCCTGTCGCAGCAGCACAACGCGCCGCAGCTCGTCGACGCCCTCGACAGCCCCGACGAGGACGACACGCCGGTCGTCGTCGTCAGGACGAGCGAGCTCTCGTCATCGGCGCACGAGCAGTCGCCGTCGCCCGTCTCGCCGACGTCGCCGGACGACAAGACGCCGCGCATGCCCGGCCCGCCGTCCCCGCCGACCTCACCTGGTCAGTCGCACACGCTCAGCCCCGAGCGACGCTCGAGATCGCTGCCCTCGTCTCCTCGCCGTCCCCAAGACACGCCCCTCCCGCCCTCACCTCTCGCCAGCGCCTCGGCCTGAGCCACACCGTCTCGCCGCTTGTTCTTCCCCTCCCCTTGTGCATTGTCTCTCGTTCCTCGTCGTCACCCATTCTTCGTACAGATTCCCCTCGTCCCTCGTCGTCGTCCTCGCAGTGTCCGCCCGCAGCATGCAACTTCTGTCCTCGCCGACTCGGTCGCTCCCTTCTTCGTAGGTTCGCCTCGTGCGCTTTCTTGCGCTGCAGCGACGTCGAACCTTGCTCTCTGCGTCTCTCGACCGTCGAGCGAGAGCGCATGCAAGAGAAAGCCAGAAAGAAAGAGAGGAATGCCATCGACGTTTCACCCCTCGAGCTCGCTCAACACCTGCCTCGTCTGCTCCCGCACGAGCGCGTCCTCGTCCGTCTCGCTCACGTACCGCAGCACGGTCCTTGCGCGCACGAGCTGCTCCGGGTCGAGAAGCGACGCCTCGCGCTCTGCCGCCGGCGGCCTCGCCCGCAGGAGAAAGTCGCCCGCGCCGGCGCGCACGGTCGACGCGAACGGCATGCGGATGCCGCCGGCGCCGAGGCCGAAGGGGTCGCGCTCGTCGTACCCTGCGCTCGCGGCGTGCTCGCGGCGCTCGGCAGCTTCTGCCGCCTGGTGCGAGACCGTGCGGACGAGAGCTCCGAGGAAGACGGCGGCGGCGCGGCGCAGGGTCGGGTGCTTGGAGGCGGTCGTCGTCGGGTCGGCGAGCTCCTCGGGTCGAGGCGCGACGCCGTCATGGTCTGGCGTCGGCGGTGGCGGCGAAAGGTCGTCCTCGTCGGCCTCGTCATCGTCGGACGACGCTGATGACGTGTCGCCGACCTCCTCGATGAGCACGGCGGGGCGTGTCTGCTTCCCCTTGCCTTTCAGGCGACGAGGCGGCACCTCGGGCGCTGCGGCGGCGGCGCGGGCCCGAGGCGCGAGCGGGACGCTCTCGACCTGGAGGAGCGTCACGCACGCCTCGGTGAGCACGTCGGCGTGCTGGACGAGGGCGGTCGGCGCCGTCTCGACGCATGCGGCGAGGATCGTGATGGCGGATGCGCGTAGAGGAACGGGCAGGTTGGCCGAGCGGAGGACGAGGAGGAGGGACGGGAGGAAGTCGTCGACTGCGGCGGCGAGAAATCGAATGAGTTGGCGAGGACGATCGCGAAGGAGACCGAGAGAAAGGAGAACATGGACGCACCCAAGACTGCGAGAGCCTCGCCCGCACGCTGAACCACCTGCGTGAGCGTCTCGCCGACCCTCAACCGCTTGTCGAGCTCCCTCATGCCCCTCTCGCCCTGACCCACCTCCCTCGGCCCCGCAGTCTCGTCCCGACGCCTGCCCGTGTACACCTCGAGCAGCCGTCCGACGACCTGCCGCCCAAAGACGTCGACGAGGCTGCTCAGGCCCTGGACCGCGTTCAGATACAGGAACGAGTCCTCCTCCTCGAGCGCGGCGACAAAGATGTCGAGGACGGCGGGGAGCAACGCCGGGTCGGTGCTGAGCAGGGCGTGTTCCTTGTCGAGGACGAGTGACCGCAAGAGGTGCAGGCCTTGGGCGCGCACGGGCAGGAGCGGGTCCTGCAGGAGCTTGAGCGCGCTGCGGTACGTGTCGCGCGACGCGGCGAGCGGGTCGGGTTTGCCGTCGGCGGTCGTCGAGGAGGCGAACGAGGACGAGGCCGCGAAGGCGGACGAGGCGCGGCGGAGCGACAGGACCATGCGGGCCTCGCGGGCGAGCGGCGGGATGAGCGCCGAGCTCGTCGACGCCTGGAGGATCTCGAGCTGGGTGTAGATGACGGCGAGGAGCGGCGTGTTGGCCATGTCGAGTTTGTCGTCGGCTGCGGTGACAGGGAGAGGTCAGGGCCCGGTCGAGAGAAAGATGAAAGGAGGGCGCACGGACCTTCGAGAACGGCGAGGAGCAACGTGAGCGCCGTCATGGCCATCTCGTCCTTGCCAAACCCGGTCCCGAGACCGAGCTCCGACTCGTCCTCGTCCTGCTCTGCGCCCTCGAGCGGCGCCGCCTCGACCTCGTCCTCCTCGACGATGCGCAGGCCCGCAAGCCCTCCCCTCGGCTCGGCCTCCTCCCGCTGCCCCTTGCGCCCTGCGCTCGCGCCCTGACCTGCCTCGACGCCCGGCTCTCCCGCCTGCGCGTCGAGCACGTGCGCGACGAACGCGATGATCTCGCGCGGGTCGGCGAGGATGTCGCTCCCGAGGTGCTCGACCATCTGGAGGACGAGCTGCAGACGCGTGACCGTTCTGCGAGGCGACGGGCATGCTTATCAGTATATGATCAGACACACAGAAGGAGCACGGGCGAGGAAGACCTCGGGCGTGACTGAGAGGGAGAAAGGGAGGGTTGACGCACCTCCTCGCGCCCTCGACGCCCTCGACGCCCCGGAGCACCTTGACCTCGTCGAGCCACCGCAGGAACAAGCCCGCGGCGAGCTCCTTGCGCTCGAGGCCCGCGATCCACCCGACGAGCCACGGCGCATCGACACGAAGCTGGAACTCGGCGCCGTCGCCGCCGTCCTCCTCGCTGGACGCGGGCTCAGCGACAAGCGCAGGCGCACCGTCGGCGGCCCATGACCATCTCCAACTCGACCGCCCTGCTCGCGCCGCGCCGCCATCGTCGTACTGCCCCCGCTCGCTCCCGCTCGAGCCGCCTCGCGCATCGACCGCAAACTCGTCGCCGGCCTCCCAGCGCTCGACCGCCCTCGCGACGCCGCGCAGAGCGTCGGGCGCCGGGACGCTCTTGGCCCACGCGCCGAGCAGGGCGCTCGCCTCGTCGCGCACGACGTGCTCGAGGGCAGGTGCGGCGGCGCCGCCGTCGCTGTCGACGGGGGCGACGAGCCGAGGCGCGTCGAGGAAGGCGACGAGGGCGAACAGGGGTGGAACTAGAGGGGCGACGAGCGTCGAGAGGAAGGACGGGAGTGGTGGCGCGTAGAGGGAGAGGAGGGACACGAGGGCGAGGTGCGTCGCGAGGGGAGTGCCGCCGAGCGCGCCGACGCGTGCGGGTGGCGCAGGCGCAGACGCAGGGAAAAGAGGCGCGTGTAGCGCGACGAGGAGGCGCTGCGAGGCGGTGCGCCCCGAGCGGGTCGGCGGCGGCGCGACGAGGAGGTGCGCGACGCACCACGCGGCGGCGCGGATGACGGGGACCGGGACGACCGAGAGGGGCGCTGCTGCTGGAGCGGCGAGGCGAGACTTGCCCTTGTTGACGGACGAGGCGGCGTATTGCGCGAGCGAGGCGGTGAGGGAGGACGAGGCGGCCGAGCGGAGGAGGTCGAGGAGCTGTGAGGTGATATTGGCGTAGTAGAGCTGTGTCAAGAGGAAAGTCAGTGAGACATTTGGGACCAGGTGAAGGTAACGATGAGAGAGAGAGGAGCGTACCTTGTCGTTCCCTCCTGCGGGCGCCGTCTCGACGAGCCGGCGCACCATCTCGAGCTTCTGCACGCTCACGTCGTCGTCGCCGCCTCCTGCCGCCGCGCCAACGCCGACGACGACGAGGAAGAGGGAGCGGACGCCGGTCGGGTGGAGGAGCTGCGCCGAGAGGAGGGCCGAGAGCCGTGCGCGCGAGGGGGACGCAGCGCGAGTCGCCGCGACGAGAGCGAGGAGAGTCGAGAGGACGGTCGGCGTCGGCGTACTATTGCGAGTGAACGAGTCAGTCAAAAACGACCAGGCACTGAGGAGGACGAGGGGGGACGCACAGCTTGAAAACCCGGTCGAGCGCTTCGCGGGCCCACCTGCCCTCGTCCACGCCGCGCTCATCGCCCAAGTCCACAAGCGCGCCGACGAGCGGACCAAGGAGCTGCGGCAAGACCGTGCCGAGGAACTGCTTGTCGCCCGCCGTCTTGGCGCCGAGGTCCACCTCGCGGTCGACGCCGATGACGCCGCCGACGACTCGACGCACGACGTCCTCCCTGCGAGCCCTGGCCACCTCCTCGTCCGCCTCATCGTCCGAGCCGAGCTCGACGATCCTCGGCTCGACGGTGCGGGCCCGCTTCTGGTGCGCGCGGGCGGGCGTGGGCTCGTCGCGGATGCCCCAGCGGGCGACGACAGCGGCGAGTTGCGCGAGGGCTTTCGCGTCGCCGATGCCGAAGAGCGGCGGCGGTGGCGCGGCGGTGTGAGGGCGGGCTGACGAGGTCGAGGGGCCCGAGGAGGGCGAGATGGGGGAAGTGAGGGAGGGGACGAGGGAGGCGATGCACTCGAGGAGGTCGAGGGCGGCGAGGGCGGTGCGGCGCTGTAGCGCGTGCTCGTCGAGATCGCTCGTAGAGGTGCTTGAGCTGGCTTGGGCGGGCGAGTCGAGCTCTTGCGAGGGTTGGGCAGAGGCGAGTGCGTGGTAAGCGGCGAGGCGAGAGTCGAGGACGGCGGCGAGCGAGGGTTTGCCCGTGGGTGGCTGCTGATTGCGCGAGAGGCCTAGTAGGGCGTGCGCTTGTGCGAGGGCATGCCGCAGCTGGTCTCGCGGGGCCGTGGCCATGTAGTGTGGACGGGCTGATGAGGATTTGGGCGCAGCTCGCTCGCGGCGGAGTCCGACTTCGAACGACCCTCTCGCTCTTTCGACACTCGCCTCGCTGCACACACCCGCTCGTTTCCGCTATGTGCGGGCTCATTCGACTCGACGCATTCCCTGCTACACGCCCGTCCAACTCACGCCGCCGACCGACACCGCCTCACCTCCTCGACCCCCGACAATTTCTTCCGCCCTCGCCCTCTCGTTTCAGCCCGCCCGGCCTGCCTGTACACTCTCGACTCGTCTGGACAGGTTCTCGGCCATCAGGTGCGTCCTCCACTCCCTTCCTGTCTCTCGCCAGATCCCCCCGGAGCTCTGCCCACGCCAAAGACGACAACTACACCCGCTCTCAATCCAAACAACGAGCACGCAACGCCTAGCGGCGGATGCGCACCCCTAGGTGCTTTACGCACTGTTTCCTATTAGACTTAGGCCCATACAGCAGAGCCCGGGAGCCTCGCGCTCTCGCGAACAAACCCTCGCCCTCTCGAAGCCGGCCTGACCTTGTTGCTCGCGTAAACAGCCCTCGACCGCCTCGAGAGCCTCCTGTATCTTCCCTCTCTCGTGCAACGTCGTTCTTTGTCGTCCAGTTCAATCTCGATACGCGACAGGCGAGGGAGAGAGAGGAGAGGGAGCGAGATACGAACCTGCTCGGACGGCTCTCGCTCGGTCGTTCTCTGTCTCTGACACACCCTCTCGCTCTCGACCACTGTCATTGCGACACTCGAGCACGTTCCAGGTCGTTGCTACTGGACGACCAGCTTCTGCAGTGCCGCCCGCATCCCGTCGTCGAGCTCCTTGACCGGCCGCCGGCTGTCCTGGTCGACAAAGACGTGCACCATCTCGCCGTACGCCGCCGCCCTCGGCTCGTCGTCGCCCTCTCCCGCAGGCCGCACGAGCCGCACGCGCCGCCCGGCGCCGGCGTGCGTCGACTGGACGTCGCCGAGCGTGAAGCCGCTCAGGGCCGCTGCGCTCGTGCGCTCGCCGGCGCCCGCGCTTGCCGCCGATGCGCGCTCGTCCTGCGCCGGCTCGACGTACTCGGCCGCAAAGAGGGCGACGCGCCACGTGACGCTGCGGGTCCCGAGGTGCGAGACGGCGAGCGCGGCGACGACGGGCTGCGGGTACGCGACCGACGCGGCGTACGTCGTCGCGCTGTTGACGATGAGGCCGATCGGGCGTGGTGCGGGTGGGGACGGGTAGGCGTGGTGCAGCTGTGGAACAAGGGCCCGCACGCGAGGGCGGGTCAGCAAAGGGGTCCGAGGGGAGGGGAGGAGCGAGGAGGAAGGGGCGGGCGCACGAGATAGGCGTTCGTCACCGAGTCAAAGTAGTGCGAGTAGATGGCGTTGTTCATGTGGCCGTACTGTCACGCGAGAGAGAGTCAGCTGCGCGAGCCTGAGAGAGGGAGAGAGGGAGAGAGAGAAGGAGCGAGGACGGACCGAGTCGTTGTCGTTCCACCGCGTCTGCATTGGCAGAAAGTAGCGGAACTCGTTCGCGGTCGGCGCTCGAGGCCTCGAGGGCTTGGCAGGTTGTGTTGCGGACGAGGACGAGGCGGAGCGCGCAGGTGGGGGAGGGGAGGAGGTGGGCGAGGCGAGGTGGGCCTGGACCTGGGCGAGGCGGGCTGGCGGGGTCATGCTGGGATGACGGGAGCGAGTAAGCAGGGCTCTGAGCATGCACCGAGCGTTGGTGGTGAGAGCGAGGACGAGAGAGCGGGGCCGGCGGCGCCGGTCGCTGGGAAGCCGGGCGTCGCTCCTCTCTGGAGGGAGGGGGCGATGCGAGTTGCCGTGCGATACTGCAGATGCTCTGCGAGAGTAGCTCTGGCAAGACCTCGGCGAGGATGAGCGGTGCGGCGTCTCACAACTTGATCTGCCAGTCACGGTCGAGCTCGACGGAGGAGAGCGTTCGCTCGACTCTACACACACGCACGGCTAGCTCGACAGCAGCCAAGCTACTCGCACAAGGCCTCTACAGCCACTCGGCACCCTTCGCGCCCGCCAGCGCCGCACCAGGAGCTCCCCCCTCCACCCATCCTCGAGCTCATCGCTCCGCCGCGACACCGCCCCGTCGACCCGCCTCGCACACCTCGAGCGAGCACGCCGACTAGCTCGACACCGCCGCACCCAGCTTCGCCTCCCACCTCGACCCGCCCGCGCACCCGCCTTTCGCCATGGCCAAGACCGGCTCCAAGCGCAAGCAGACTGTCGCCTTCCTCAAGTCGGGCGCCCTCAAGGGCCAGATCGACGCCCGCCACAAGCGCAAGGACTTTGCCCAGAAGAAGAAGGGCCGCGACGCCAAGCGCAACAAGGGCGTCCTCCCCGCCCACCAGCAGCCAAAGGCCGACGTCAGCGACGACGAGTTCGAGGAGGTCAAGCGCCGCAAGGAGGAGGCCGACGAGGTCGACAGCGACGAGGACGAGGCCGAGATGGGCGTCGACGACGTGCTCGGCGCAGAGGGGCTCGGCAGTGACGGCGGCGAGCAGGACGGCGACGAGGGCGAGGTGCGCTTTCAGTCTCTCTCCCTCTCTACCCCTTGTCCGTTCATCTCACTGACTCGTGCTTCCCATCTCAACAGGACGACGGCTCCGACCTCGAAGACGACGACCTGTCCAACCTCGAGGACGACGAGGGCCAGCACATGGCCGACATCGCCGCCCTCGCTCAGAAGGACCCCGACTTCTTCAAGTACCTCCAGGAGAACGACCCCGAGCTCCTCGACTTTGCCGACCAGGACGGCGCCGGCGCCGAGGACGACGAGGACGAGGACGAGGACGAGGAGATGAGCGAGGAGGAGGACAGCGAGGACGAGGCGCGCGGCAAGAAGGCCTCGAAGGGCAAGGGCAAGGAGAAGGCGCAGCCCAAGAAGGCGCGCGACGATGTCCTCACCAAGGACGTCCTGCGCTCGTGGCAGAAGAACATCCTCGAGGTGCGCCTCATCTCTCCTCACCCTGTCCCTTCCTCGCCTCGTCGACCTTGTCGCCTGACCCTCTCTCCTCTCGCGCGCAGACCCGTTCGCCGCGCTCGCTCCGCAAGCTCCTCCTCGCGTTCCGCTCGGCGGCCCAGTCGGGCAACAACGACGACGAGACGATGGGCCGCGACGCGCGCGCCACGGCCGCCGCCGAGCGCTACCGCATCGTCGACCCCAAGGTGTTCGAGAAGGTCGTCACGACGGCGCTCAAGTACACGCCCGTCGTCCTCCAGACGTACTCGCCGTACAAGGAGGTCGCCGGCAAGTAGTGCGTCCACCTGCCTTTCCCCTCCTCTTCTGCCCTCGCCGGCGACCCGGGCACTGACCGACGATCTTCCCTCCTCCCTCTTTGCGCACGTACAGCAAGCTGTCGACCAACTCGAAGCAGTACGCGACGACGCAGCGCCTCCTCAAGTCGTACTTTGTCTCGCTCCAGGCCCTCCTCAACACGACCTCGTCGGCGTCGGGCATCCCGTCGCTCGCCGTCGCCGAGTCGGCAAAGCTCGTGCCCTGGGTCGTCGGCAACCGCAAGGTGGCGCGCGGGTGGGTCAAGCTCCTCCTCAGCCTGTACGACTCGGCGAGCGACGAGGTGCGCGTCCAGGCCTTCTTGGCGCTGCGCAAGCTCGCCGTCGCGGCCGACCACAGCCTGCGCGAGTCGGTCCTCAAGGTGCGCCCCCCTCTCTCTTTCTCCCTCGTGCTCGTCGCCGACGACACAGTAGCCTGACCTCGTCGCGTTCACCCGCCTCGCAGGGTGCCTACGCCGCGCTCCTCGGCTCGTCGCGCCAGACGTCGATGTACACGTTGGGCGCCATCACGCTCATGAAGAACTCGGCCTCGGAGCTGTTCCTCCTCCCCGGCAAGCAGGAGGGCGACTTGGCGTTCCAGCTCGCGTTCGGCTACATCCGGAGCCTCGCCATCCTCCTGCGCAAGGGCGTCAAGGACGCGAGCAAGGAGGCGTTCAAGAGCGTGTACAACTGGCAGTTCGTGCACGCCGTCGACTTCTGGAGCCTCGTCCTGTCGGCGTCGTGCGACAAGCAGCGGGTCGCCGAGCAGGGCGAGAGCCCGCTCCAGCCGCTCCTGTACCCGCTCATCCAGGTCGTCCTCGGCGCCATCCGGTGCGTCCCGCTTCTCTCTCTCTCTCTCTCTCTCTACCCTGTTCCTCTTCTCGTCGTCGTCGTTGGCGGGCCCCGACTGACCTCGCGCACGCCCGGCCACAGCCTCGTCCCGACGTCGCGCTACTTCCCGTTGCGGTTCCACCTCGTGCGGGCGCTCCTGCGCATCATCCAGCGCACGGGCACCTACGTCCCGGTCGCGACGTCGCTGTTCGAGGTCCTCGACTCGCCCGAGCTCACCAAGCGGACCAAGCCCTCGACGCTCAAGCCGCTCGACTGGGACTACTACCTCAAGTGTCCGACGGCGTACCAGCGCACGCGCGTGTACGCCGACGCCCTCGTCGACGAGGTCGTGTTCCTCCTGAGCGAGTTTTACGGCGCCCTGTCAACGTCGATCGCGTTCCCCGAGCTCGCGCTGCCGGCGTGCGTCGCGCTGCGGCGGCACGCCAAGAAGCTCGCGGCGCCCAAACTGTCGCAGCAGGTCAAGCAGCTCGTCGACAAGCTCGAGGCCAACGCGCAGTGGATCGAGCAGCGCCGCGAGCAGGTCGAGTTTGCGCCGGCCAAGCGCGACAAGGTCGACCGGTTCCTCGCCGGCGACGACGGCCACAAGACGCCCATGGGCACGCACGTCAAGCTGCAGCGCAAGCTCAGGGAGCAGAAGAAGGCCCAGATGGAGCGCGCCATGCACGCCGGCGAGGACATCTGAGCGAGCGGGCGGGCGGGCGAGCGAGGTGCTCCGACGAGGCGACGGGGCGGGCGGGCTCTCTTGTTGTACCTCCTGCATCGGCGCTTGTTGCGCACACTTTCTTTCTCCCTCTCTTTCGCACCCAGGGGCTCGACGAGAGAGAGAGAGGCGAGAGAAGGGAAGGTCGGCGTTGCAGACTACGTCGGCGTCTCCTTGCCCTTGTCCCACTCGCGAGCGCCTCGCGAGTACCGCATCTCCATGAGCCCGCTTTTGGGATCGTACCTCGCCCCGACCTCCTCCTCCTGATCCTCAGCGTCGCTCGCACCGCTCCTCGCCCTCTTCCCGCCGCCCCGGCTCCTCCTCTCCTCGCGCTCCCTCCTGACCCTCTCCCTCTCGGCCCTCCTGAGCGCCTTGTCCCTCGCCTCGCTCTCGCGCTTGTCCTCCTTGCGCGCGCGCACGACGTCGACCATGCGGTCCCAGCCGTCGAACCCGCCGGGCGCGATCAGGCCCGTCGACGAGTCGGTCACGTCGGCGAGCGTGAAATCGAGGGCCGGGTCGTACGTGGGCGAGAAGTACTTGTCCATCTTGGACGGGACGGGAGCCGAGGGTGGAGAAGGAGGAGGCGAGGCCGGGAGAGGGGCAGATGGCGAGCGGCGCCGGCTGCTGAGAAGGAGAGCGACGGGGCGGACAAGGTCAGTGAACGCTTCAACGAGAGAGAGGACGGGGAAAGAAAGTGGGACGCACCGTTTCGAGGCGTGAGAGGACCCCTCGCGCGACACCTCGTCCTCGAGCTCGGCAAACACGTCGTCGACCGCTCGCTCCTTGCCCTTGTCCCGGTCGCGCCCCTCGGGCGCCGCCGAGCCGGCCGCCGACCCGTCGCGCTTCTCCTTACCGCTCGCACTCGAGCGGTGGCTGCGCTCGTCGCGGCTCGAGCGGTGGGGGTCTCGATCCCGCCCGTGCCGCTCGCGGTCGACATCGTCGGCGGGCGACCGTTCGCGACGGGTGCGGCGACGCCCATCGTGCTCGCGATCGTCGTCGTCGTCACGCGAGCGACGAACGCGAGGCGAGCGCGACCTGCGCGAGTCGCCCCTCGAGCTGCGGTGCGAGCGCCGCTCGTCGTCGTCGCGGTGACGGCGAGCCGCCCTGCGCATCTCGTGCTCGGCGTCTTCGCGGTCACCGCCGTCGAGATACCGACGTCGGCTCCTGCGCGGAGACCGCTCGCGCGCATCGGCGGGCTCGAGGTCGGCCTTTCTGGTACGCTCGTGGCGCCGCTCGTCGTCGGCCTCGTCCCGCCCTCGCCGATCCTCGTCCTCGCCCGCTCGCTCCCGCCACACATCGCCGTCGGTCGCGCGACTCGAGCCGATGCGCTGGTCGCGCCTCCAGCGCTCTGCGGCGTCGCGCTCGTCCTGGTCGCGCTTGCGGGCTGCGAGCTGGTCGGCGCGGCGCAGGGCGGCGTTGTGGTCGTCGACGTTGCGAATGACCGAGGTGAGGAAGCGCGTGTTGGGCTTGCGGAGCGGGGCGTTGCTGTACCGAGGGACGAGGTCAGGCTTGCACGGAGGGAGGGGAGGGAGGGAGGATGGGAGGAGAGGGAGGCGCACCGCTCCTTTTCCGGGTCGTAATAGGCTCGCGTGCCCTGCTGGTTCCACTGCGAGTCCTTGCGCTTGGCCTCCTGAAGGAGCAGGTCGGCGACGTGGCGGTCGAGCTGGTCGTCGGGGACGGCGGCGGCGGATGATGACGACGAGGCGCCGACCTGTGCGCGCACGAGCGAGGCGACGATGGACGACAGCGAGCCCTCCTTTGGCGGCATCGCGCGTGCGTATGTCGGTGCAGGAGCGACGACGAGAGAGAGTGGGGAGGAGGCGAGCGAGAGTGACAACGGCTCCTCCTCCACCGCGACCCCCAACAGCACCAGAGAGCTCTGCCGCAACTCCAGTGCAATACAGTGCACACTGCCGACTTGCCGACGCGGTCCACCTCGCGCTGCGCCGCCCTTGTCGCCCTCGGCCCGCGCCCTCTCGGTTCTCATCAGCGTTGAGCGACAACCCTCGACCCTCGAACGCTGGGCCATCGTGTGCATCCCCGACAGCAACATCTACATCGCACACGGTATGGTCAGCGACCGCACCCTCGGCGGTCAGTCTCTCCTGCCCTCCTCCTCCTCCTTTCCCCCACCTTCTCCCCGACCTGGCGCTCACCTTGGTCCCACGCAGGCACAGGGCTCGTCATCCTCATCTCGTCCTTCTCCTACTACACCCTGTGGACTCTCGTCACGGTGCGCCCGTCTTCCTCCCTCTCGTCGCCCACTCGGTCCCGGCCTCGCAGCTGACAGCCCGACCTCGTTCCCTGCCCCTTCCCTCTCGCTCAACCCGTGCCGCTCCGCACACCCGCCATCCGCCCACCCGCATCGCCGCCTGTCGCCCTCCCTCCAGCCCTTCCTCCCACCCTCCTCCCCCCTGTGCCACCTCTTCCCGTTCTCGCGCGAGTGGGCCATCCGCCTCCCGGCCCTCGTCGTCCTGTGCGGCCTGTCGTTCGTCGGCCTCCTGACCGGCCTCGTCCTCGTCGAGACGGCGGCGAGCAAGCGCGACCGGGCGAGGAGCACGAGGATGAGGGACAAGGGAGACTAAACAAGGCGGCGGGACGAAGTGCGTGCGGACTCTCTCTTTCTCTGTCTTTCCACGCCTGTCGCGGCAGCCCTAACGGACGTACTCGATGCAGATCTCTTTTGATCGCCGTCATTCAGCGCTTCGGGCCGACTCGAGCATCGCCGTCGTCATCAGCCGGCTCGACCTCGCACGCCAACCGCCACCGCCGCGCCAGCGTCGCACGCCGAGCGTCATCCTCAAGCGCATCGTCGTCGTCTCGCGGTCCGAGCAGTACAGCGTGCGCGGCCCTCGCGAGCGCCTCTGGCCGAGTCGAGTCGAGCCTCGCGCTCTCGAGCCGGACAGCGCCGCCGACTTTCGACCTCGCGCAAAGCGGCAATGCGACCTTGTTGCACCTCGCCATCCTCCCTCCCTCGACCGACAACGTCTTCCTCCTCGTCGACAAGCGCTCCTCGTCCCGTCGTCCTCGCCCAGCCCTCCCCGTCCACTCGTCGCCAGCAGCTCGACCCTCGCCCCGCTCGCCCTCGTCACCCGTCGAGGCTCCGGTACACCCTCCTCAGCCTCGCGTCGGCCGACTCGACCTCGCCCCTCGACGACGACGACGCCGAGCTCCCCTCGTCGCCTCGCCCACGCGCCGCACCCGCATCGCCCACCCTCGGCGCCGCGAACCCGCCGCGCGATCGACCGCTCCCCCTCCCCCTGTCCCTTCCCCTCGTACTCGAGCCCGAGCCCGAGCCCGACGACGCCGACGCGAGCGCGACGAGCCGCACGCTGCGCACCGCCGTCCCGAGCACGATGCGCTCCCTGCGCGGCGCTCCTCCCGCCTCGCTCTCGCCCTCGCGCCCGCCCGCACCCGCACCCGCGCCCGCACCCGCACCCGCACCGCGCCCGCGAGCCGCAGCGTCGATCTCGGCGGCGCGCCGGGCGCGGAACGCGGCGAGCGACTCGGCGGGCTTGAACGCGAGGCGGTCGGTCGGCGACGAGGACGCGGGCTGGTGAGGCGAGGGCGGCGAGGCGGACGAGGGGCGAGGGGGAGGGACGAGCCCGGGGAGGCGGAAGGTCGAGGTGTGCTGGGCGGCGGCGCCGGCGGCGGTCGGGCGCGAGGCGGCGCCACTCGAGCGCGAGGTGTTGGGACCGGGCTCCTCCCTCTCGCTCCCCGACGCTCCAGCTCCGCCCGGACCCGCACTCGCACCGCCCATCGACACCTCGCCTGCCCGAGCACCCGCATGCGCTCCCGCACCTGCGCCAGCACTCGGCGCCGCGAAATTCCCGACGTGCCGGAAGCGCTCGAGCCGCGCCTGCGTCGCGCCGCCCGACGCCGCACCTGCGCCTGCGCCCGGGCGACGAGGCGGAGCGCTCGGCGGCGACGGGTGCGCGAGCGTGCGACCGGGCAGGGCGGCGGCGACGGTGACGGTGACGGCGGCGGGCGGTGCGAGCGCGGGCTGCGAGACGCGCGGCTTCTTGCGCGGCGGCGGCGTCGAGATGCGGAGGAGCGGCTCGTCGACCTGGTGCGGGTGCGCCGACGGCGGGAGCGTTATCGTCGCGGCGCCTGCGCCGTGACAAGCGGGCGACGGCGCGCTCGGGGCGGCGAGAACGGGCCCAGGGCGGACGGGGCGGACGGCGGTCGGGCGGAGGAGCGGCGCACGGAAGGCGGGAGGGGACGACGAGGGTGACGGCGAGCGCGGCGACGGGCTGTCGGCGCGAATGGCGAGCGGGGAGGACGAGGTCGGCGGTGCGGCGGGAGCGGCTTTGGCAAGCAGGGGCGAGGTCGAGGGCGTGCTCGGTGCGGGCTCCGAGCTCGCTGTGGACAATGACGATGCGGTGAGTGAGTCTGCGCGATTGAGAGAGGACGCGAGGACGCACCGAGAGACGAGAGGCGGTGCGAGTCGCTCGTTGCGGGCGCCGACAGCGCCTGATCGAGCGCATCTTGCGAGTCGGCCTCGTGCGACGGCCCACGACGAGCGACAGGCGACGGGCTCGAAGGCTGGGCGACAGGGAGCTGTCGAGATGCGCGCGAGAGGGCAAGCGGGCGGTCGGGTCGGGAGCTCGTGGGCGGTGGCGCCGTCGCCTTGACGGCCCGAGCTGGTGCGGCGTGTGGCGGCATCGGCTTGTCGACCTTGAGAGGCGGAAGCGAGGTGCTCGACGGGGGCTTGTGCGGTGCAGCCGGCTTGGCGGGCGTCGAGCGAGGTGTCTGCTTGGAGGAGAGGGTCAGTGGGCGCTTGGCAAGGACGACTCGGCGCACGCCCGACTCGGGCGCACCTTGTACTGGCTCGATGCGACTTTGTGCACAGCTGAGCGGCTCGAAGCGGCGGCGGCCTTGTTGGCGCCGGTGCGCTTTGCGAGGGTGAAGGGCGTCTCGACGAACTTGAGGTCGGCGGGCTCGGCAACGAGGCCGATGTCGACCGTGTCGCCTGCCCATGCCCAGTCGGAGCCCTCGTCTGTCGGTGTCGCTGTGCGCTTGGCGCGAGCGGGCGAGGGCGAGGCGGTGGGCGCGAGGTGGACGTCGTGCGAGTCGTCGTCGTCGTCGTCGTCGTCGTCGTCCGAGTCGCGCAGGGAGCGGGACCAGCTGCCCGGGGTAGCGGGGGAGCGATTGGCGGGCATGGTAGACAGGCTTGAGTAGACGAGGAGCGAGAGAGAGCAAGAGAGAGAGAGCGAGGCCCTTGCGCGTGAAAGAGCGTGAGGCGGCGTCGGCACTCGCTCGCAGAGCAGTGGAGACTGGGACAGGATAGCTGAGCTACCGGCTGTGATCAGAGCTCGCCCCACCGCACGCTGCCGCAAGACGAGGTGACGGTGCTCGGGTTGTCGGCGACGTCGCCCGAAGCTTAAGCCTGCTGCTCGGCGCACTCCTGACGCTCAACCACCGCGCCAGAGCTCAGCCCGCCGAGCTCAGAGGCACACCACTTGTGCCGCGCAGCCCGCCCGCCTTCGACCCGAGCGCCTGCTCCACCGCGCGCCGTTCCTCCCCCCACGCCGGCTCATCGCACCTCGCACCTCCCGGGCCTCGCACACCACCGCAAGCACACCGCCAGGAGCACCGCGCACCTTGCAGCATCGCTACCAGCACTGCACACCAACTAGCCGGCCAAGTCGCCCAGCTCGAGCTCCCCTTCGTCTCGCCTCGCCTCGCCAGCCGACGACCTCACCTCCGGCAACCTCGCCGCCAACATGGCGCCCGCCCAGTCCAATCTCGCACGGTCCACAGCCCTCCTCACGAGCATGCAGACCAAAGGCGGCGCCGCCATCGTCGGCACCCTCTTCGCCCTCCTGTACCTCCGCCGCAAGCTCGCCCAGGCCGCCCAGGACGCTCAAGACAAGCGTGCGTCCCTCGCTCCCTCTTTCGTACGAGTCCTCGTTCCGCCCAACTGACGAGCACGAGTCCCACAGGCAACCAGCAGATGCTCACGACGCCCCAGATCGAGATGGCGCAGCGCGACCTGTACAACCCGTGCGTCCCCTTCTCTCGTCCTCTCCCTCGCGCCGCTCCAAGGCGCCACGCTCACATCTCACATCGCCGACAGGCTACCAGGAGGAGCCCGAGAGCTGCTCGTGCCGACCCGTGGGCGCGTGTCCAAGGTCGTCATCCGCCCGACCAAGGCCAGCACGTTTGCCCGCCACCGCCCTCTCTTCCGCAAGCCGCCGCCGACACCCGCATCCTCGTCCGCCTCATCGAGCAAGCCGGCACCAGCACCTGCCGCCGCCGGCGCGTCGGCGCAGCGCGTCGGCGTCAACCGCGAGTTCTTCCGCCAGCTCGGCGCCATTTTGCGCATCATCATCCCGCACGCGACGAGCAAGGAGGTGTGGCTCCTCGGCGCGCACACGACCTTCCTCCTCCTGCGCACCTACCTGAGCCTCCTCGTCGCCCAACTCGACGGCAAGCTCGTCGGCGACCTCGTGTCGGCCAACGGGCGCGGCTTCCTCGAAGGCCTCGCGTACTGGTTCCTCCTCGCCATCCCGTCCGTCTACACCAACGCCATGATCCGCCTCCTCCAGTCCAAGCTCGCCATCTCGTTCCGCACGCGCCTCACGCGCTACGTCCACGACCTGTACCTCGACCGCACCAACACGTTCTACAAGGTCGTCAACCTCGACTCGCGCATCGGCTCGAGCGGCGCCGACCAGTTTGTCACGACCGACGTCAACCGGTTCTGCGAGACGTTGAGCGCGCTGTACTCGAACGTGAGCAAGCCGTCGCTCGACTTGATCCTGTTCAACATCCAGCTCGGGCGCTCGATCGGCGGCCGGGGCTCGGCCCTCCTCCTCGCGTCGTACGCCGCCACCGTGTGGATCCTCCGCAAGGTGACGCCCGCGTTCGGCAAGCTCGCCGCCATCGAGGCCAAGCTCGAGGGCGACTTTCGCGCGGCCCACTCGCGGCTCATCATCAACTCGGAGGAGATCGCGTGCGTCCCTCTTTCCCTTTCCCTCTCCTTCTCGTGTACCCTCGTCATACTCACGGTATCCTTCTCCTGCGCCCTCTCTGCAGGTTCTACGATGGCGCGCCGATCGAGAAGGACATTCTCACGAGGGCCTACTTGCGCCTCATCAAGCACATCAACTCGATCTTCAAGGTGCGTCGGCTTCTCCTCTGCGCCAGCGCCCTGTTTGACAGTCACTTACGAGCTTGAGCGCGCGCAGATCCGCATTCTCTACGGCATGGTACGTCCCGCCAGTCCTCGCTCTCGGACCTCGTCGTTCGCGCACTGACTCTTCCTCCCGCACCAGACCGAGGACTTTGTCATCAAATACCTGTGGTCGGCGAGTGGTTACTGCCTGATCTCGATCCCGGTCTTCTTCCCCAAGGCCAAGAAGCTCGCGCAGGCCGTCACGGCGGGCTCGGACACGTCGACCAAGGTCGACACGGCTTCGTCGGTCGCGCTCGAGGCGGCGAGCCGAGGCGACGGTCTCTCGGTGTCGCAGCGCACGCAGAGTGCGTCCATCCTACTGTCCTTCACGCGCCGAGAGACGAGGATTGACGAGCTCGCCGGCCCACAGACTACATCTCGAACCGCCGCCTCCTCCTGTCGCTCGCCGACGCCGGCGGCCGCCTCATGCTGTCGTGGAAGGACCTGTCCGAGCTCGCCGGCTCGACCTCGCGCGTCTACACGCTCCTGTCGACGCTGCACGACCTGTCGGGCTCGACCTACGCCGCCCTCCCTCGACCGGCCGACCTCGCGCCCGACCAGCCCTTCTACGACCTCGGCTCGCTCAACGGCCTCCTCGTCGACGACGCACCCGCCGCAGAAGGCGTCTCGTTCGACAAGGTGCCGATCGTCGCACCGGCCCCGGGCGTTGCGCACGGCGGCGAAGAGCTCGTCAAGCGCCTGTCGCTCCGAGTCCGGCCGGGCGAGCACCTCCTCATCACGGGCGGCAACGGCTCGGGCAAGACGGCCATCGCGAGGGTGCTGGCAGGTGCGTCCTATTCTCTCTTCTCGATCCAGGGCGCGAGAGGGAGCCGACCTGGACTGACTGACTCTCTCCCCGTGGCCCAGGTCTTTGGCCCGTCTTCGAGGGCGTCGTCGCACGGCCTGCCGACGAGGACATCATGTTCCTCCCGCAGCGACCGTACCTGTCGAACGGCAGCTTGCGCGACCAGTGCGTCCTCTCGTTCCCTTCCTCGCGGTCGACCGAGGTCGAGCCGAACCTGACCTCGCCCGCCTCGCAGGATCATCTACCCGCACTCGTACCCGGATTTCGCCAAGTCGGGCAAGACGGACGCCGACCTGATGGAGATCCTGCGCAAGGTCCACCTGTCGTACCTGCCCGCTCGCGAGGGAGGTGAGCCGGAATCTCCCTCTCTCTCTTCCTCGATGAGCCAGGACATGGACTGAATCTTCCTCGACGCAGGTTACGACGTGCGCAAAGAGTGGAAGGACATCCTCTCGGGCGGCGAGAAGCAGCGGGCGCGCCCTCCCATTTTTCGAGGACCGTGCGCACGAGCCTGACTCTCTCCCTTCTCGGCGCGCACAGATGGGCATGGCTCGCCTCTTCTACCACCTGCCCAAGTACGGCGTGCTCGACGAGTGCACGTCGGCCGTCTCGACCGACGTCGAGGGCTCGATGTACCAGCACGCCAAGGACGTCGGCATCAGTGCGTCCCGACCTCCTCTCTCTCTCCCTCCCTCTCTCCTACGTTTGACTGACCCGGTCTCTCTCTCCTTCTCTCCCTGTGCGACAGCCCTCATCACGATCTCGCACCGCCCGAGCCTGTTCCAGCACCACCTGTACCTGCTGCGCCTCACGGGCGACCACGGCCAGTGGGAGTTCACCAAGATCGGCGAGGCCGACCAGTGCGTCCCTCTCTCTCTCTCCTTGTCGTACGCCTCGACCCCTGACATCGTGTCGGCGTCCGCAGGGACCTGTCGTTCCAGAAGGAGATCGAGTCGCTCAAGAGCAAGCTCGCCGAGGTCGAGTCGTGGAAGGCCCGCCTCACCGACATCGACGATGAGCTGCACTTCAAGGCCTGAGCGACCTTTCTTCGCTGTCGCCGTCGATGTTTTGCCGGCGGTACTCGTTCAGGATCGAGCCCTCGCCGGCTCGTCGTCGCCAGCCTCTCGTCCTCTTTCCACTCCCTTTGTCCAGCCTCTCTTGTACAGCTCGCGTCCTGCATTGTCGTTGCGTCCCTCCCTCTCTCTCTGTGAGCGACCCAAGAAAGGGCGAGAGTCCTCTCATCGTCGGCAAGAAGCGCAAAGTTGAGAGAGGACGGAACACAGGAATGCGAGGTCGTCGTTGCAGAGCTTCCTCTCGACGCTACTTGCGACTCAGGCGCCGATTGAACTTGTCCGGGTGCTGAGCGCGGTACTCGTCGGCGAGGAGCGAGCTGCGTAGGCGTCGCAGGGTCAGCAAAGTCGAGGCCTGAGCGGCTGCTCGTCCGTGCCGCGACGGCTCGCTCTCGCGCGAGAACAAGGAAGCGCTCGACGCACAGCATGATGTCGTCCTGCCAGGCACCTTCCTGCCAGAGCACCTGCCTGCGTCGCCCCTCGACGACGAAGCCGCTGCGCGAGAGAGAGGACGAGTGAGCTTGCGACTCGAGGACGGAACGGATCAAAGAGAGAAGGGGACGCACTGCTTCTCGTACACTCGTCGAGCCGCAAAGTTCCACTCGAAGACCTGGCATTCCAAGCGGTGCAGGCCATAGCTGACGAACGCCATCTCGAGGAGCCAGCCGACCGCCTCGGTCGCGTACCCTTTGCCCTGTCGTGCGCCGTAGAACGTGAGCTTCACGTCGACGAGCGACTCAGTCGACAAAAGGAGAGAAGATGAGAGAGCGAGAGACGTACGCTGTGCTTGGCGCTGAAGAAGAGGCCGAAGCTGGCGTTGCGGTGGACGCCGCCGAAATCGCCAACGTGCGCGAGGCAGAGCCAGCCGACGGGCTCTCCTGCTCGTGTCGGCTCCTCTGCCGACAGGGGCAGGCACGCGAGGACTCTGCGAGGAGCATGCGCGTCGTCAGGGCCGGTCGACGACGAGAAGTGAGGAGGGGGACCGTGCGCACGCGAGACCGGGCGAAGGGCCCTCGCTCGCCTTCTTGAAGTCGTCGAGCTCCTTCTTGTTGAGCGGCTTGCACGTTTGAGGGATGGCACCGAGCAGCACAGTCGGATCGCGCAAGAACTCGGCAAAGACGGCCTCGTCCTCGGGGAAGGTCGGTGCGCGGTAGACGAGGCGGTCCGAGGTGAAGCCGGTTGGGCGCAGCATGTCGAGAGGAGCAGAAAAGAGAGAGCCAGTAACTTAGCTGCTACTTCGGCGACTCACAAACAGCGGAGGCTCGGCGAGTCAGGGCTTCGGTCGAGTCGGATTCGGTATCGAGAACACCGCGAGGTCCAAACGCGTCCAAGGGTGCCGAGGGTCGGCGCGCTCGCAGATCTCTCTCGAGAGATAACGCGTTCGCCATGGTTGCGCTTCTGCTGCATTACGGTGGTAGGGGCGGGCTCGTCTACAAAACAGAATAAAACGAAAAAGCCTGCGACCCCTCCTCCGCTCGACCGCGACGCCGACGAACGACCCTCCGCCGCGCCCCGCTCTACTCCTTGTGCTCCTGCATGAACTCCTCGTGGAACTTCTTGAGCCGGCGGACGTAGTCCTCGGTGCCGGGCGCGAGGAAGGTCGTGCGGAAGTGCCACGTGCCGGGCTGCTGGCCGAAGCCTGAGCCGGGCACGACGCAGATGCCGGTCGCCTCGAGGAGGCGCAGCGAGTAGAAGGCGTCGGGCGACTGGCCGGCGGCCTTGGCGGCGGCGATGGCCTTGGGCGGGAGCGAGATGGTCGGGAAGAGGTACATGGCGCCCTGCACGTCGGAAAACGAGGGTCAGGGCTCGAGCTGAGAGAAACAGAGAGAGAGAGAGAGAGAGAGAGACGACGCACCTCGGCCTCGTTACAGCTGACGCCCTCGAGCTCGCGGAACGCCTCGACGAGAACCTCGCTGCGGTGCTTGAGCGTGCGGGCGATGCCGTCCTTCTCCTCGCGCCACTGGGCGTACGACGGGTCACCCTCTTGCGGCGGGGCGACGAGCACATCGACACCGATCTGGCCACCGAGCGACGGGCACAGCTGGATCGACGCGAGCTTGTAGACCTGCTCCTCGGCCTCGGGCGAGAAGTTGCAGATCTCGAAGTAGCCGCCGCGACGGCCGCACTCGCCCGTCTGGCCCTTCGAGATCGAGTGGAACGACACGAGCTCGACGTTGTCGGCGTAGGGGGCGCCCATCCCCTTGAGGACCTTCTTGAACGACGTGAACGGCCGGTTCGGGTGGTAGATGTTGTCCTGGTACACCTCGTCGGCCATGAGGACGAGGCCGTGCTCGTAGCAGACGCGCACGATGTCCTCCATGTTCTCGAGCGACAGGCAGTTGCCGGTCGGGTTGCCCGGGTTGATGACGACCATGGCCTTGACGTTGGTGCCCTCGTGCCGCGCCTTGTCGATGTTCTTCTCGACGTCGGCGATGTCGAGGCCCCACTCGGCCGACTCGTTGAGGAAGTAGGGCACTGGTCGTGCGGCGTTGAGGGCGAGGGCGGCGGTGTAGAGCGGGTACTGGGGGATCGGGATGAGGACGCCGTCGAGCGGGCTCGAGATGAGGAGCTGGAGCAGGTTGGACACGCCGGCCGATGCGCCCGCCGTCAGGTAGATCTTGCTCGGGTCGGCGGCGTGGCCGTCGCGGTCTGCGGGAAGTGGGCCGTACGGCAAGGATGAGCTCGACTGCCGCCGGGCGAGAGAGCGAGGATGCGGGCGAGCGAGGGACGCACCGGCGATGAAGTTGGCAACGCGCTTGCGGATCGAGGGCACGCCCATCGAGTGCGAGTAGGCGCCCGTGCTGCCGATCTCCTCGAGCAGGCTCCGTGCGCGCTCGAGAGCGTCGCTCGGGAAGATGTCTTTGGACAGGGGGTGGCTGATGAGGTCCGGGTACTCGGTGAGGGCCGAGATCTGCGCGCGTGCGGGGGTGCGCAAAGAGTCAGTACGGCGTCCTGAGAGGGCGCAGTTGACTCGAGCCGAGAGTCAAAGGGCGAGGGGGAGAGAGAGAGGGGAGAGGAGCTCACCTGGCGCAGGAACGTGAGGGGCTTCTGGTCGAGCTGTTGCGGGTTGCCGATGTTGCACGACACGATCTCTTCAAAAGGCAGGCCGGCGTCCTTGCCCTTACTCTCGAGCTTCTCGCGCAGCTCCTCGGCGCGGAGCGGGATGGCGCCTCGGACGGCGTACTGCGCCTCGAGGACGCTCTTGTTGATGGTGGCGGGCGTCAGGACGCGGTAGTTGGGGTCGCGGGCCTCGCGCGACGTGTGGTAGCGCGCGCTGGTGAACAGGGCCGAGGTGTAGCTCATGGTGGGCGAGGGCGAGGTCGAGGTGCGGACGAGGCGGACGGTCGACGCGAGCCGGCTCGTGGTGGATCGCCGGGCTGCAGGTGCGAGCAGCATCGTGGGCGACGCGATGCGCAGTCGGCGGCGGGTGGCGAGGCGGGAGGGCGAGAGGCGGACGCGAGTGGAGGAGGAGGACGAGGTCGGGCAAGAGTCAGCGCGCGCTCACAGCCGCACCCGCTCCGCGGACTGTCCGCTCTGACGGCGGACGGACCAGGGCCGAGCTCGTACGTACAGGAGAGCTGCAGACAGGTGAATAGGCGCGTGCGCTGAGGTGGTTGCGCGGGCTTGGGCGGTGCTTTCGACAGGGAGGCGGGAGAGAGGTGGAGCCGAACCGACATCAGCGTCGAGCGGGCGGCGCACTTGCCGATACCGCGGCCCGCACCCATCGACGCGCGCGGGGCACTCGCATCCTCGAGTTGGCAGCTCTCCCTCGACCGATCCTCTCTTTGCTCGTTCAGTCGCAAACGCTCGCTTTTCCAAACCGGCTCTCGTCGAATGAAGCTCGCTCGGACCCTTCTCGCCGTCCCTCGGACTGGACCTTCTCAAACTCGCGTTGCCGCTCAGTCTGCTACAGCGACGCCGGCTGAACCGCCTCCCTCTCGAGGTCGACGAGGATCTTGACCTGGGTCGGGTCCTGCCGCAGCACCTCGAGGCCCTTGTCAAACACCTCGCTCAGGGCGATCCGGCACGTGATGAGGTCGTCGACCTTGATGCGCCCGCTCGACAGCGCCGCGAGCACTTGGCGCATGTCCTCGGCGTTGAAGCAGCACGACGACGTCAGGGTGCGCTCCTTGGTCATGAGGGCCTGCAGGTGACGCGGAGAGAGAGAGAGAGAGCGGGACGAGGGAGGGAGGAAGGGGACGAGGGAAAGGCGGTCAGTGCGGCTCTTGGCTCGCTGCTCGAGGATCGAGCGGGAGGAAGGAAGAGAGAGAGAGAGGACGAGCGACACACCCACATGTCGACCGTCGGCCGCTTGGCCTTGTCGAACAGGGCGACCATGACGATCCTCCCCTTCCTCCTCGTCGACTCAATCGCCGCGTCGACCGTGCGCTGCGTCCCAGCGCAGTCGATGGCGACGTCGACACCTTGCCCTCCTGTCGCCTCGCGAACCCGTGCGAGGGCGTCGTCGGTCGTCGGGTCGAACACGGCGGTCGCGCCGCATTGCGAGGCGATGGCCCGCCGGCTGGCGGACGGCTCGGACACGTAGACGGCCGATGCACCTTGCGCAAAGAGGACCCTGCGCGCAAATGATCAAGAGATAGTCAGGCTCGTGCTCTTATGCGAGGAGAAGCTCGCGAGAGCTGCTGGTCGCTCTCGCGGCTGGGGGGAAGGGGGGCGTCGAGGGGCTCGAGCTGCGACTCACCGCGTGACGAGGGCACCGATGGGGCCGCAGCCGATGACGAAGGCCGACTCGCCCATCTTGAAGCCCGAGACGGCGACGGCGTGCCACGCGACCGAGAGCGGCTCGGCGAGTGCGGCGATGTCGACTGCGCGCACGGACCAGGGGCGTGAGTCGCCTCGTTCGACAAGGCGCCGCTCCTTTTGAGAGAAAGAGGGCATTCGGGGAACGCACGAGGAACATTATCTGGCACGACGTGCACGTTGCTGCTGGCGACGTTGACGAACGGCGCGAGCCCTCCTGGTCGCGCGTAGCCGTACAAGCCGATGGCGAGGTCGCACAGCGGGGTGTCGCCCGCTTTACAGGCGTCGCACTGTCGACAAGAGATGACGGGCTCGCTGCGCACGAGAAAGAGTGGTCAGCAGGTGCGCCCGACGCAATCGAGGGAGGGGGGAGAGGTGGCGGGGACGCACATGCAGACGCGTGAACCGACTCTGAGAGTCCTCCGCCCCTCGGTTCCCTCTCCATCCTCCTCAACGCCCTCTCCAAGCTCCTCAACCACGCCCGAGAACTCGTGGCCCAAAGTTTCGGGCAAGGTGCCGCCCGTGAGCGGGTGCGGCTGGCCGACAGGACAGCAGGTCAACGGCCCTTCGAAGACCTCGTGGAGGTCACTGTGTAGGGGGAGAGAGTACTCATCAGCTCGAGGACTGTGGCCAGACGGCGGGGCGAGAGGATTTGGCGACGAGAGCCTGAATGTGGGGAGGCCGGCGGCGAGGAGCGAGGACTCACGAGCCGCAGATGCCTGCGCGCGGTACAGCTGTGGGTCAGCTCACTGTCGAGATTGGACCGGAGAGAGTGGACGCACCGCAGAAGGCGACCTTGACCCGCACCTCGCCCGGCTTGAGCTGGGGGAGCGAGACGTCGTCGAGGACGAGCTCGGGCTTGCCGTGGTACCGCATAGCGCGCATGCTGGCCGGTGCCATGGTGTATGAGCAAGGGCAGCTGTGCCGCGTGCGTTGGAGGAGAGCGAGAGAGCACAAAGGCTCGGACAGCATCTCCCGACGCCGGCTGTACGTGGGGGCCAACACACCCCTGGCGAGGGACCACGCTCGCTACTCTCATGGCGGACGCACAGCTTCCGAGAGACGGCCGCCCTGCTCTGCGAGCCTCGGCGCAGAGCTCTGCCAACCGCGTCGAGAATCGCCTGCGAAGAGAAGTCGACGACGACGTTGCAGGCCGCCATTCTCGGCTGCATCTACTCGCACACCGTCCTCAAGACCTCCCTCCTGAGCTCCTCGTCACCGATCTCGAGACCCTTCTGCACCGCGACGCGCCAGAGCTTCCTCTCCTGCTCGCCCTCCCGGATGCCGGCCTCGTTGCGCACGAACGCGAGGAGCATGGTCGTCGCGTAGAGGCGGTGCTGGACGCTGGGAGATGTCGACGAGGCGGACGAGTTGGCGACGCCGGACAGGAGGGTGGTGAGGCGAGCGAGGACGAGGGCGAGGAGGGCCGAGCGGGTCGTCGTCGCGGGAAGACGGCCGGCGATGGTGCGGATCAGGTCGAGTAGGGCAGTCGGGTCGATGACGGCGACTGTAGAGAGAGAGAGAGACGTCAGTGAGAGAACGAGTGCGAGAAGACGAGAGAGGACGCGAGGACGCACCCTCGCCGCCGACCGCGTTCTCGAGAGCTTCGACCGCGTCGGTCACGCCCGTCACCTGCTCAAACGGCACGACCTCGACCATGTTGGCGACGATCTGGACGAGCAGCCTGCGCTCGGCGACGTCGAGCGGGGCTTGCGCGGCGAGCCAACCGAGGAAGCCGTTGCGCGACATGAGCTCGCGCGCCGCGCTCGGCAACGAGGTCGCACGAAGGAGGAACTGCAGGAGGACGTTCGACGTGAGTACCTGTGCGACGTCGAGGCAGGGAGGAAGGGAGGGACGCACCTCGAGGATGAGCTTGCGCAAGGCCGGGTCCTGCCGGCTCGACTGGAACACGGACGCGAGGATCTCGAACACTTGGCGGCGGCGGTAGATCTTCCAGTCCTGCATACGTGACGAGGTTTGGGTTAGTCACGGCCGCTTTGGAGGGCGCAAAGAGAGCGAGGGGGCGCACCTGGGTGCGCACGAGGCCCTCGGTGAGGAACCGGACCATCCACACTCGCTCGTCCCTGGGCGCCGCCGCAAACTCGTCCGCGTTAGACGAGTAGAGCATCGTGTAGAACATGGGCACGTCGCGCGAGTCGACCGTCGAGCGCTGGAGGAGGAAGCGCATGAAGGCCGGGTACAGCGGCGACGCCGGGGCGCCGACGAGCGAGACGCAATGCGCGAGGAAGAGGGCGATCGAGGCGGGAATGGCCTCGCCGACCGACGAGTAGATGCTGAGGCGGACCTGGGTCAAGACGAGGTGAAGCTCGTCCTTCTCGCGGAAGGTGAGCGACTGCGGGCGAGAGAGAGGCGAATCAGTCAGAGGCTCGTCGTTGACAACGGAGAGGTCGAGGAGGACGGACCTGGATCGTCTTGAGGATCATCGCCAGCGTTGCTCGAGCGAGCCCGCGAAGGCCCTCGCTCGACGACGCGAGCGCTGCGACGACCGTGCCGAGGACGCCGCTCTCGAGCAGCGTCGTCCACTCCTGCGGCTTGAGCTCGTCCTCCTCGGCGAGCGCCGCAACGAAGCCGACGATGAACAGCGGGTCGTAGGTGCGCTCGTCGTCGGCCGCCGTGTAGACCGTGCGCGACGAGGCAAAGGCGCGAGCCCAGCTGCGGCGCACGAACGTCTTCTGTGCGGCGCCGAGCGCGCCGACCCGGGTGCCGTCGAGGAGCGCGGTCGAGTCGGTCGACGGGTTCCACGCCTTGAGGGCGGGCGAGATCGACGCGCCGCCGACGAGCTCGACGCGCTGGAAGAGGTCGAGCAGCGCTCGGTCCATGGTCGACAGGGTGCCGTGGTAGAACGGGACGAGGCGGTCGACGACCCGGGCATTTGCGGCGGCCGTCACCGACGAGGTGGCGAGGGCGAGCACGAGAGTGAGGGCCGAGCGAATCGGCTCGACCGACTCGGCCTGCTCGTTGGCAAAGGTGGCGAACCGGGGCGACGCGAAAATCTCGTTGAGGTGGCGGGTGACCTCGTTGTCCTTGAAGCGGTGGTGGCGCGTCAAGGCGGTCGCAAAGTCGACGGCGTACGGGTGCTCGAGGCGGCGAGTCGCAAGGTTGGTGACGAGCGGGTCGAGTGAGTGGCTCTTGAGCGACACGTCGGCGTGCAGGTGCAGGGCGTTGGCTGTGGACGCGGTTCAAGGTCAGGAGGGTACGGAAGAGAAGGTGGACGAGGAGAGGAGAGAGGTCGACGCACTAAGGGCGACCGTCAAGTCCTTGATCTCTTGGCGGTCCTCGTCCGGCTCGGCAAAGCGCCGAACAAGCCCGTCGAGCGTTCCTTCGACGACGTCGACCAGAGTCGGCTTGAGCGACTCGGCCGTCTCGGCCAGGCGGGCGACGAGGGCGACGTCGCGCGCCCGGTACTCGTCGCGCCCGAGCTTGGCGACATGCGCGTCGAGCACGCGCTGCGCCGAGCCGGCGGCGGTGGACGACTCGCCGACGAGGAGCTGCGCTGCACGGACCTGCGCTGCGCCGAGCGCCTCGTGCGACTCGAGCAGCTCGCCGACAAACCGAGCGGCGAGGACCTCGGGGATGCCCGCCGCCGTGCCCTTGGCCTGGGCGGTCTCGACGAGCGCCTCGAGCGGCTTGGCCAGCTCGGCGAGCGTCCCGTCCTCGCGCGAGTCGAGCGCGGCGACGAGGCGGGCCCGGGCGGCGGCCGAACGCGCGACGAGAGCGGCGAGCGTGGCCGCCTGCGGACCCGAGAGCGGGCGCGCCGCGAGGAGCGCGTCGGTCCACTCGACGGCGTGCACCCGCCAGGCTCCGTCACCAGCCGTGCGGCCGTGCGCGAAGGCGGCCTCGGGCCGGAGCGCGTTCGCGCCCTTCTCGAGGACGGCGCCTGCGGGCCCAGCGAGCGCGGGCACGCCTGCGAGCGCGTTGAGGCGCTCGAACTGCGCCGTCCAGAAGCCAGTAAAGGCGGCGGACGGCGGCAGGGCGAGCACCCGCTCGAGTGCGGCGGCGAGGAGGGCCGACGTGGCCGGGTCGAGCTCGGCTTGGGCGAGGTGTGCGAGGAGGGCGTCGAGGAGAGGGAGGGACGAGGTCGTGTCGAAGAAGGGAAGAAGAGGACCGGCGGCAAGGATGCGCGGCGAGAGCGACGAGGTCGAGGCTGCGCCCTTGTGCTTGCGCTTCTTGGTAGGCGAGGCGACCGGCGCGAGGTCTTGCAGGACGAGGCTGCAGAACGGGTCGACGAGCTGCTTGTCGGCCATGCGCGAGGCGTCGAGGACGGCGCCGAGGAGGTCGACCGTGGCTGCACGAGGGAGAAGGAGGAGGTCAGGGTCGTGCTGCACGCGAGCTCGACGTAAAGAGTACGAGGACGCACAACGGCAAACTGGTGCGGGCAGACTTTCCCGAGCGAACACGCCCAGCAGTCCCTCGCTCCCGGCGATGCGCTCGCGCATCTCCTTCTTGGCCGCCAGGTCGCCGCACGAGCGGTACACGTCGCCGATGAAGTCGGCGAGCGCTTGGGACGTCGAGCCGACGAACCGGTGCAGGAGGACCTGGGCTGCGGCGAGGTGAGCCGACCTGGCGACGACGAGGGCGACGAGGGCCCGAGCGATGGCGGGGTTGGCGAGGTCGGCCGTGCGGGCGTGGAGGAACACGAGCGGGATCGGCATGACGGCGATGGTCCTGCACGACCGCGAGTCGAGTCAGTCGAGAGGCACGACGAGTGTAGGCCAGGCTCAGGGAGAGAGGGAAAGGAGACGGACCGCTCGAGCGACTCGTGTTGCCCCTCGAGCGCGACGAACACGTTCGCGCTCCTCGGCGAGAGGCTCGCGACCGCCTCCTCGAGCACCTCGTCGTCCGACACCGCCTCGACCGTCGCCCGCAGGCCCTCGGGCGCGCCCGAGACCGCCTCCTCGCCCGCCGCGACGGCGAGGCACTCTCTCCAGCCCCGCACCGCCGCCTCGACCTCGCCCTTGGCCGCGTGCGGCTCGAGCGCGCTCTCGAGCGCGTCGACGACGGCCCTCGGGCGCGCGAGAGAGCGCTCGCTCGCGACCATCTGCGCGGCGAGCGCGCCGAAGAAGCGCAGGAGGGCCGCTCCTGGCGGCGACGCGGCGTCGCGAGCGGCGAGGTGCGCGAGCGCCGTGCGCATGAGCGGCGACAGCGCGGCATCGCTGCTCGCGTCGGCGGCGGTCGTGGTCGTCGACGCGGCCGTTGGCGCCTGGAGCGGCTTGGTGAGCGTCTCGCGCACGGCCCGCTCGAACGCGTCGAGGACGGCCGCCGCGTGCTCGTCGCCCTCCTCCCTCGGGACGGGCAGCGCGCGCAACCACGTGTCGACCTCGCCGCTCTCCTCGGCGCCCGGGCCGAACAGCGCCGCGCTGCCGAGCTGCCTGCGCAGGATGGCGCCGAGCAGCGTCCGGTTCGACGGGGTCGCCGGGACGCGGTACAGCTCGAACAGGGGCGCGAGCGTCTGCTTGTAGTAGTCGGCGGGACGGGCGAACGCGGCGGCCGACTGGGACGACGACGACGTGTGCGCGGCGGCGAGGCGCAGCGCGTACGCCGACGAGATGGCGCGCAGGCCCTCGGAGCGCGCCGCCGGGTCCTCGTCCTGCTGCTCGGGCGCGGTCGCCTCGGCCGTGGTCGATGCATCAGGCGCGGCGACGGCGACGGCGGCGGCGGCCTGGCCGGCGCGGGCGTACGTCTGCGGGAGCTTGGCAAAGTCGAACTTGAGGGCGGCGACGAGTTGAGGCGCGACGCGGTGGTACAGGAACAGGAGCCGGAGCGCGACGTTGGTGCGCAGGAGGGCGCCCTCGCCGGCGCCGACCGACGCCTTCTTGCTCGCCTTGGCCGACGAGTCGTCCTCCTTGTCCTCGCCGCCGGCGCCGCCTTTGCCCTTGCCCTTGACCTTGGCCTTGCCGCCGCCGCCGCGCTTGGCGGTCTCGGGCTCGGCCGCCGACGCCGCCGCAGCGGTGCGCGTCATGAGGCTCACGACAATGGCCGGGTCGGGCAGGCGCGCGCGCAGCTCGTCGCGGACCCGGCGCGCCGTGACGGCCCAGCGGCCGCCGTCCTGCTCCTCGAGCGTGCGACTCGCGTCGGCGAGTGCGGTGAGGACGGCCGACGCCTTCTGGAGGACGGCGAGGAGGAAGAGCGACGCGAGGAAGCTCACGAGGGGCGTCTCGTGCGCGAGCGCCTTGGTGTACCAGCTCCGGCTGAGCGCCGCGCCGGCCCCGCTCGACGGCGGGAGGATGGCGTCGAGGATGCTCGACGCGGACGGGACTGCCTGGAGGGCCTGGGCGTCGGGCGTCGCGGTCGGCGACAGGGCGAGCGAGTCGGCGACGGGGAGCGCGACGACCTGGGTCGCGAACGTGATGGCGCTCACCCACCGCGACGACAGGCGCGGGTCGAGCGACGAGGGGAACTTGGCCCAGAAGGCGCCGGCGAGGACGGGCGCGGCCGCGAGGATGTCGAGGCCGAGGGCGCGCTGCGTCGGGTCCTCGGTCACCTTGAGGGAGCGCAGGAGGGTCGACAAGACGCGTTGCGGGCCCGACGACCGACCGAGCGGGGACGAGGCGATCTGGTCGGCGAGCCAGGTCTTGAGGAGGCGGAAGAAGCGGTCGATCGACAGGGACGGGTGCGACGCGGACAGGGGCGCGTCGTCCTCCGGCTGAGGGTAGTCGTGCAGCTTGACGAGCTGCAGAGGGGCGTACGATGTCAGGTCACGGGCTCGTTCGCGGTCGGCGAGGGAAGGAGAGCGAGGGCGCACCTCGGTCATGCACGCCTCGTCAAACATGTTGCGCCTCGCCTCGAGCCCGACGCGGCGCTCGACGACAAGCTCTTGCCCGACCGTCTCGAGCACGAGATTGACGACGACCTCGGGGTCCTCGTCGAGGCCCTTGAACGCGCCGGCGAGGAGGCCCTTGGTCTCGAGGACGAGGCCCTTGAGGCGGACGTCGCCGGCCGAGAGGAAGCCGAGGACGAGGAGGACGAGGAGAGTGCGGATGTCGGGCTTGGCGAGCGCGTTGGCGGTCGTCAGGGTGCGCAGGCGCGTCTTGTACAGGCGACTCGTGACCTGCACAGGCGATGGGGGTCAGGGTCTGCGTCGGCGAGGCGACGAGAAGAAGGAGGAAGGCCTCGCTCGCAAGGGACGCACCTTGGGCGACCAGCTGAAGCAGCCAAAGACGCGGCGGGCGAACCTGCCGCCGCCAAAGCCGACGAGGACGTTGCACAGCTTGAGGGACGCGGTCGTGACGTCGTTGCGGCCCGGGTTGAGCGAGCGGTCAAAGTACGGGGCGTACTTTGTCGACAGGAGCGTCTTGACGAGTTCGGGCGAGGGGTTGAACGGGTCGGTCGACGCGAGGCGGACGAGGGACGCGAGGCATGACAGGACGGCCGCGGCGAGCGGCGAGTTGTTGGTCTGCGCGAGATCGAGGAAGCGGACAGTCAGTCGGCGGCCGAGATCTGGTGCGAGAGAGAGTGGGCTCACCTTGTTGGCGAGGTCCCACGAGGCAAAGACGCCCTGGCAAGCCGGGTCGTGCTTGAGGTAGTCGAGGAGGAGGTCGGGCTGAGCTCGCGGTTGGGGCTTTGCGTTGAGGGCGGCGGCGCGGTTGTCGATCTGGGCGAGAGCTGTATCGTAGGTCACGGTCAGGTCCACTCAGGTGCGAGGAGAGAGCGAGAGGGAGAGAGGGACGGACCGGCTTGAAGCTGAGCGGGGTCGTTGGTCTCGAGGGCCTGCTGTACCGAGACGTGCGAGACGAAGGGGGCAGCGGTGAGGTGCTGGCCCTTTGTGGTGCGGGCTTGTGCGCCCGAGTCGGCCATGGCGAGAGTTGGTCGACCTTGAGCTCGAGGTGGGCCGGGGGAGGAGAGCGAGGTGAGGCGGTCGCGGCTGGTTTGGCGAGGCGGGTCGGGTGGCTGCAGTGAGCAGTGAGGTGGTGGCTGTCTAGCTCTGGCGGTAGAGCTGGGCCGTGGTGAAGACGAGAGCGAGCCAGGTCCTTCTTCATCTCGTCGTCCACTTACTCTCGCCGCTCTCCTCCTCGTCCAGCGTCGACACACATCCCCCGACGAGCGCCACACCATGCTCGCACGCGCATTCACCGCGACCGCACCCGCCCTCAAGCAGGCCGCACCCACCCCGCTGCGTCGCACGCGCGACCCTCTCATCGCCAGCTCGCGCGCCCACCACTTCCGCCTCGACGACTGTGGCCACCACTTTGTCGCCCGCCCGCCACCGAGCATCCTCCCGCCCACCGTCCCCATCCCGCACCCCTCGACCTCGACCCTCCCCGCCGCCCTCGCCAACTCGCCCTTTGCCCACGCCGTCGCAACCTCCCCTTTGCCCGCCGACTCGCCCGCCGCACCCCCCTCGGCCAACGACCACCGCCTCCCGCCCCTCCGCACCCCGGCACCCGTCGCGTCCGGCCGCACCGCGCCCCTCTCGTCCACCGAGGTCGCCGAGCTGCAGCAACTGCGCCGGTCCGCCCCGGCCCACTGGACCCGGTCCCGCCTCGCGCGCAAGTTTGGCCTCGCCCAGCAGGTCGTCGGCACCCTCGGGTGGGGCGACGGGCCCGAAGCGCGCAGGGCAGAGCGCGCCCGCCGCGACCAGGTCGACGCCAGGCAGGCAAAGGTCGAGCAGCGGTGGGGGTGGAAGAAGGAGATTGCCCGAGAGGAGCGCAGGCGCAGGCGCACCATGTGGTAGCCGGAGGTGGTGCAAGGACGTGCATGTCGGTCCCGGACTGTCGCGTTCGTTGCCTGGCGGGCTCGCTCGAGAGCTTCAAGCGAGACTGAGAGTTCGCTCGCCTCTCCTTCTCTCGCGAGCTTGTGTGACTGGGCTGCGACCAGGTGACTGCTGCTCGAGCTGCTCCGGCGAAAGCTTCATTGCGCGAGGAGCAAGCTGCGGCGAGGAAAGCCATGTCGCCGGTCGCTGCGAGTTGCTCGCCCGAGAGGAGGACCGCCCGTCGCACCTGCTCGCCCACACTCAGCCCGGCAAGCTGCCGCTCATAGTGCAACCGCCCGTCACTCGTGGCCCACTCGCCCTCCCTCGCTACCGTCGAGCCCTGGTCGCCGTCGTCCTCGTCGTCTTGATCGCCCTCGTCTCGACCATCTCCTGGCCAACCCTCGAGCTGCACCGCGACCGCCACCAAGCCGTCCAGCCTTCCTCGACTAGCGCCACCGCACAACCACAGCCCCTCTCGACGCAACCCTCCCACCCTCCTCCTCCTCCTCCCCCGCCTCATCATCAGTTCGACCCGACCATGTCCGCCCCGATGATCGTCCGCCCTCAGGGCAAGCACACGGCGAGCATCATCTTTGCCCACGGCCTCGGCGACACGGCCCAGGGCTGGTACCCGCTCGCGCGCGCCCTGTCCGAGAAGCCCCAGTTCGCCCATGTCAAGTGGGTCCTCCCGACCGCCCCCGTCGCGCCCGTCACGGCCAACGGCGGGTACCGCATGACGTCCTGGTCCGTCCCCTTTTGTCTCTCTGCGTGGTCGCAGTGTGGGCCGGCGTCTCTGACTCCCTCCCCCGCAGGTTCGACATCCAGCAGATCGACCCTCGCGCAGGTCTCCTCGCAGAAGACGACGCCGGCATGCTCTCGTCGGTCCGCACCCTGAGCGCCCTCATCAGCGACGAGGTCGACGCCGGCATCCCCTCGCACCGCGTCCTCGTCGGCGGCTTCTCGCAGGGCGCCGTCATTTCGTACCTCACGGGCCTCACGAGCGAGAGGAGGCTCGCCGGCGTCGTGGCCCTCAGCGGCTTCTTGGGCATGGCTGGCAAGGTCAAGGCGGTGCGTCCCCTCCCACTGGCTCTCTCCTTCGCGGCCTGCGGTCGCGAGCCGTCGCTGAAATCCCGCTCCCCCGCAGATGATGACGGACCACGCCGCCAAGCTGCCCATCTTTGTGCGTCCCTCTCGCTCCTCCTCGAGCGTCGGTGTGCCTCCCTGACGCGGCGTCTCGTCGCGCAGCACGGCCACGGCGACGCCGACCAGGTCGTCGGGCACCGCTTCGGCCAGCAGACGGTCGACAAGCTGCGCGAGTACGGCTGCAAGGACGTCACCTTCAAGACCTATCCCGGTCCGTCCCTGCCTCTCTCGTCTGTACTCTCGAGCCTTTCCTGACCGTCCTCGACGCAACTGCAGGCATGGGCCACGCGCTGTGCCCGGAGGAGCAGGAGGACCTCGAGCAGTTCATCTCGCGCGTCCTGCCAGAGGTGTCGTCGTAGAGCGCCTCGTGCAAAAGATTATTCTGCTCTACTGTGTCCTTTGTGAGAGAGCGCTTCGCATCGCTAGCGCTCGGTCGCGTTCGCACCTCGCGCACATCGAGCCTCTCCTGTACGCCTCACGCTTGTCCGCCGCAGCCGCTCCTTCGATGGCAGAGCGTTCAGACGTCTCTCGGGACTGGTTCAGCTACGCGCGAGAGCGAGCGCGAGCGAGAGCGGCGAGCAAACGGACGGCCACGTGGACCTTCCCAAGTCGCCGCCTCTCGTCCTCTGCACGCCGCTTCGCTCGCTCAGCGAGCCTGCCGTGCTTTGCCTTTGTCAAGAGCATCTCGCTGAATGTGCTGCGGCCTCGCTCGGAACGAATCGAGGTTGTTCCGGGACGCACCTCCCGCCCCGAACTACACGCGGACTCCCCGGCGTCTTCGAAAAAAAAGTCGCAGACTTCCGCAAAATTCTGCAAAAATGTTGACCACGATGGGGCTCGAACCCACGATCTCCTGATTTATACGCGCGCTCTCTCCGAATTTCGGAAGAAGAAGCGAGGTCGTAGTCAGACGCCTTGCCATTGGGCCACGCGGCCAATTGTTGAGGGTCGACGTCTGGCTAACGACTTTGTCACAAGTTTGTTCTGTTCGAACCTAGCCGAATAGCTGGCGAGCCCGGGCAAGCCAGAGCGTAAGTTCAGTGCGCGCTTGCCGGCTCATGAAACGCCGTGAACAGGCGACCGAGGGCAGGTTTGTGCGCACGAGGTTACAGCGACGAAACAGTGAGGCTAGGGCGTTTGCGCCGGGCAGCTGGCGACCGTCCTGGCGCGACTGGAAGCCAAGCAGGAGGAAGACGGAGGAGGTCGCTCCAGGTGCGCAGGCCCGCTCCTTTCGGGCCCGAAGAGAGCTCGATTGGCGTGTACATGCAGCGACGATCGAGCGACAAGCCACTATGAGGGAGCAGGACAAGGGCGGCCCCTGGAAAGGGTCCGAGCGGACCTTCTCAAGTGGACCGCTGCCGAGGGCAACTCTCTCTCTCCTGCTACTGGTTTGCCCCGGGTACCCAGCAGACCTGTCGAGCCGCACTCTGAGCTCGACTCGAGCAGCTCACGCGAGAGAACGGAGCCGTGCAAAGAAGGAGCGAGTCCACCTGCACCTCGAGCCAAAGTACGGCTCACCCGCTCGTCCCTCGTCCTTTGGCCACGCGACCGGCTCGGCCCAAGGGCACAAGAGCAAAAAAATAACAAAAGAGAAGGGAGTGCGTAAGCAGCTGCCACGCGTCCGCTCGGGTCCAGAGGGTCAAACCCCGGCGTCCGCTCGAACACAAGGTTCGAGGGTCAAGCTCGGAGCGTCCGCTCTGACCCCGAGGGTCAAGCTATCGCGCTTTGATATCACTATTACTCTTTCCAGCCCGGTATGCATGCCCCAACGTCTCGAGGTAATCCCGCAGCTTGATATTAGGAGAGAGCTAATGAACCTGGGTGGTTCGACAAAGGAAAGTACTACTTTGCAAACGCACGCCACACGCATTCGGTTTACCTCCCGATCGTTCTCATTCTCGCACCTCGACTCGCTTGGACTTGGGAAGGTCGCCATCGTCTCGAGCATTTTCTGTTGCACGTCTGGGTACCCTACAACACCCCCCTTGCGCGGGATGGCGAGCGAGGAGCGAGGAAAAACGTCGGACGAGGAGGGCGCGCGCCCCGGCTCGGCTCGCCTCTGCCCCACATGCTCGCTCCTTTGCCCTCTGTTCCTGCTGCCGCAGAGCTCGGGTTGGACTGTGAGGCCGCTCTGGGAGAGTTTTGTCCCAGTGGCGAGGCCTCGCGAGCAGAGAGCGAGCGAAGAGCGAGCGAACAGAGGGCCGACTCGAGCTCGAGAGGACGAGATGCGAGCTGCTTCGTCGAGCTGTGCTCCCGAGTCTGCTCCTGCACCTTCGAGACCCTGCTCATGGTCTCGGCAGAGTGTAGTTCGAGAGGTCCGGCGACCGTGCGCTGGCCTTTGCGAGCGGTCCGAGCGTCGAGTCGAGGTCAAAGCGCCGCAGCTCGTTTCGACCCGGGACATTCGCTTTCGGCCCCTTCGAGCTCAAGGATCCCCGTGCGCCCTCGTGCACGGTCCAGGAGGACCATGCGGACCGGATCACGTCGAGAGAGGTGCAGCGTCGCCCTCTGCACGGCGCCGCACAGTTTGAGAAGGACGCCTCACGACCCTTCTCTCGCTCGACCCCTGAGCCCGGAAGCACGAGGCTTTGACAGACGAAGATGTCGTGAACGAACTGCGAAAGTGAGAGCGTGGTAGCCACCTTTGCGCGACGCCGAGCCGACACCCGGGCCAAGCCAAAACGGCACTTGACCTCATAGACGCAAACAAAGGCTGACCACTCCATCAAGCCCCTATGGCTCAGTGGCAGAGCGTTCGCCTAGTAAGCGAAAGGTCCATAGTTCGATCCTGTGTGGGGGCAACTTCATTTTTGCATCCAGCCCTGTTAAATCCTTTTGTCCGACGCGGCTGGAGGTACCGCTCGTCGGTGACGCCCTGCTCGACGCCACGAGCTTGCTCCACAGCCGTGCGTCGCATGTCAGACGCGCTCGTGGGAGACGCCGGCTCTCGGACCTCGGATTTTGAACCAAACCGGCTGCGTTGCGGCCTTCCGTGCAGCTTGCCTGCCTGCAGCGGGACGCTGCGAGCGATCTGTCAAACTGGCCGCACCTGCGCACGCGTAGAGAGCCGGCTCGTGACGGACAAAGGCTAGCAGAGACAGCGTCTCTCGCGTCGCTCCTCGACCGAGCCAAAGCGAGCAGAGCAACGCGCGCTTGTGCGCACGCAAGCTCGAGCGCGAGAGCGTCGAGCCTGGCCACAGGCTGGATGGCGAAGCGTTGGGGAGCCGCTTGTGTAAGAGCGGCACCGCACGAGCCGGAACCAGTCTGAGGCCCGAGTCGAGCAAAATAGCGAGTCGCTTTTCTCTCTGCGTCGCACCGCGCAGCGACACGTCTCTCATCGGCTCGTCGTCGAGGAGCTACCGCAAGAGAAAGCGAGAAAGTAAGGCGCGTTGCAGGCAGACGAGACGAGGGGAACCAAGACAAACACGGCGGCGAGCGACTGAGCGCGATGAGGAGGGGGACTGCAAAGGAAGAACGAGGGGTACAAGAAGGAGACATGCGAAAAGCGATGCGCAAGATGGCGGGCGCCGAGAGCGACGTGTCGAGCCTGCGGGCAACCGAGCGAGGTGAGGGACGACTCTTCGAGGGGACGAAAGAGGGAGAGGTCGACGTACTTGACGACGGTCTCAAGGCTCGTAGGCGGGAGGAGGCTTGCGAGGGAGGTCGTGCGTCTTGAACGAGGCGGCGCGGCGAACTTGAGCGACCTCGTCGGCGGCCTTGAGGGAGCGGAACGTGCCTGCGCGTCGTAGAGAGTCAGCTCGTCGGCGCGTGGACGATCGAGAGGGTAGAGATTCGAGAGAGCTCACAGCGGTCGACGTCGTCGAGCTCGAGCTCGATCATCTCGCGACGGCTCGAAGCGGTCCACTGCGCCGGGTCGTGCGCCTGCTCCTCGCTGCCGACGCTGCCGCGCTTGCGCAGCTTGGCGCTCGACGGGCCCTTCTTGCTCTTGGCGCGACGGCTGAGGCAGGCCATGAGGGCGATGCCGAGGCCGAGGACGAGGAGGGCCGAGAAGAGGGTCGGGAGGACGATGGTGAGGACGCCGGTCGTCGGCGAGTCGGCGGTCGGAGCGAGGTGCGGGTTGACAATGGGGCGCGTGGGGATGGTCGTCGAGTTCGGGAACGTCGTCGTCGGGTGCGCCTGGGTCGGGCGAGGGTCGAACGTCCTGGCGATGTCGGCCGTCGGGAAGGCGAGCGTGAAGGGGCGGAAGCCGAGGACCGAGGCGGAGAGCGTGGCGGCGCTCATCGCTGCCTGCCCTTCTGGCGGGTCGACGAGAGGCGTGCGAGTGGATGGCGAAAGGCGAAGAGGCGTTGCCGCGGCTCGAGCGAGGCGAGGGCGAGGCGGCGAGGGAGATCACGGCGGCCTCGGAGCAGCGCCAGCGCCGCAAAGGCTCGAGGCTCGGGCTCGTGAAGAAGCGAGGACCAGTCTCGAGAAGCGTTGAGCGCGCCGCACGACTGTCGAGGAGCGAGAGGGCAGGCGACGGGAGGAAGAGCCTTGGCGCCGGAGGACGACGACGAGTGCGGACCTGTACAGGGACCGAAGCGGGGCCGGACGACTGCATCTACGATGCGTGTCTCTTTGCGACTCGTCGAGAGCGGCTCCGGAACCCCGAACGTCGAACGGCGAGTGTCTCAAGGGAGAAAAGACAGGTGGACGAAGGGCCGACGAGGAGCACACTCGCACGGTTCTCGAATGGCCCCTCGCGAGAAAGGGCGCTGCACACTGTTCCGCGTCGCAAAGCTTCAGTCAGAGAGTCTGGGCTGAGAGTCAGAGAGAGAGAACGCACCGAGCGAGGACGAAAGTCGACCTTCTCAAACGCGACGGTTTGGCTCTCGACGGCGACGAGCGTGGGCCGGGTGAAAGACGATCTAGCAGTACACACAGGGCACTAATCAAGGGGGGAGGGGGAGAGCTACAGACCCGCAGAGACGACCGAGGACAACGAGAGAGAGAGGGAGGCGTGCTCGGCTAGACGAACGACTTGACGATCGAGTCGCCCTTGCGCTGGTACCGGTGCACCTTGACGAACAACGGCGACGAGAAGAACGGCTGCACGTCGTGGATGTCGATCTCGGCCGCCTTGCGCGACAGCTCCTCGACCCGGACCGAGACGCTGTCCGGCTGAGCGCCGTTCTTGACCGTGAGGTACCGGACGCGGTCCTTGACGAGGTTGCCGAGGAGGAACGCGAGGACCTCGTCGTTGTCCTTGGCGACGCGCAGGTACTTGCTGTAGAGGAGGAAAAGGCAAGTCAGGAACGTTCGAGGAGGAGGAGGAGGGAAAAGAGGGGAGGGCGAACGGACCGGAAGCCCCGCTGCAACTGCTTCTTGATGCTCGACTTCTGCGCCGACACGAAGCTGCCGACCATGACCTGGATGGCGAGGTCGATGTCGTCGCTGCGGACGTACTCGCGCAGGTGCATCTTGGCGCTCGCCTCGGCCATGCGGATCATCGACTCGAGGTGGCGGACCGTGATCGGGTACGAGCCCGTCGACAGCGACTCGCGGCGCAGCTCCGAGTACAGGCGCGAGATCTTCTCCTGGTCCATCATCTGCAGCGCCGGCTTGACGCGGTCGCGGGCGTACTGGATGTACTTGCGCAGGAGGTCTTGCGGGATGAGCTGCGGCGCGGCAACGACGACGAGGTCAGTAGGTGCGTGCGCCGTGACGAGGGACAACAGAAGGCGAGAGTGGGACGCACGTCGGCGTCGAGAAGGCCGCTCGCGTTGACCTCGTCCGTGTCGGCGTCAAAGTTGGGGTGGCTGCGCAGGTGGCTGCCGACGACAAAGTTGGCCAGCATCTCGTCGATGCTCGGGTCGGCCTCGTCCTTGACGACGCACAGGATGTCGAACCGCGACAGGATGGGCTCGGTGAGCTCGACGTTCTGGCTGAACGGGATCGTCGGGTTGTACCGCCCGCGGATCGGGTTGGCGGCGGCGACGATGGCGCAGCGGGCCTGCAGCGTCGTGACGATGCCCGCCTTCGAGATCGAGATCGACTGCTGCTCCATGGCCTCGTGGATCGAGGTTCTGCAGGGGCGAGACGAGGCAAGTCAGTGTCGGCTCGACTCGACGGTCGAGGTCGCCCGTTCGAGGCAAAGGTGGAGGAGGTAGGGCTCACCGGTCGGCGTCGTTCATCTTGTCAAACTCGTCGATGAGGCACACGCCCTTGTCGGCGAGGACGAGCGCGCCGCCCTCGAGGGTCCACTCGCGCGTGACGGGGTCCTTGCGCACGCTCGCCGTCAGGCCGACCGCGCTCGCGCCCTGGCCCGTCGCAAACACGGCGCGGTTGGCGGTCTTCTCGACGTACTTGAGGAACTGCGACTTGGCCGTACCCGGGTCGCCGAGGAGGAGCACGTTGATGTCGCCTCGGATGCGGTGCTTGCGGTTGATGTCCTTGGGGACGCCGCCGAACAGCGACAGGGCGACGGCCGTTTTGATGTCGTCGTGGCCGTAGATCGAGGGCGCCATCGACTTGATGATGCGCTTGCCGATGCGCTCGTCGCGAGCCAAGGCCCGGATCGCCTTCTCGTCGTCCTCGGTGAGGCGGAACGACGCGAACAGGTCCTCCTTCTTGTTGACGTGGTTGGCCTCGAGCACGGTCGAGAAGACGGGGAAGCCGTTCTTGACGTTGAGCGACGTGTCGAAGTTGTTGCGGTAGATGCCCGTCACCTCGACCTCGTCGCCGGGCTTGGCCGAGTCGATGAGGTCCCACAGGAGGATGACCTCACGATGACGGGGCAGGCGACCGGCAGGGACGGACCCAGGCGACTCTTGCAGCGTGAGCTTCTGGTAGTTGCGGTACACGGTCTGCGGCAGAAGGACAGGGGCGTCAGGGCCGTGCTCGCTCGCCGCGTCGCCGAGAGAGAAAAAGGAAGAGGAAGAGGGACGCACCTGCTCCGAGTTGACCGTGAACGGGCCCTTGCTGTTGCACGTGCTGCAGAAGCTGATGCGGATCTCGCTCGCCGCCTCCTGGTAGAACGGGCCGAGGACCTCGCCGCACTTGTTGCAGTCGAACTTGACGTACTTGAGCTGCGGGAACACGCCCGAGCGGCGCGTGACGACGCCCGACACGCGCACGAGCGCGTCGAGGTGGCTCTGGCGCAGGTCGCGCAGAGTGTACGATGTCGGGAGCTCGGTGATGCGCACGTGCACCTCGGCGTGGATGCGCATGTAGTGCGGGAAGGCGAGGAGGATGACGTCGAGCGCGACCTCGTCGAAGATGGGGAGCATGGCCGACGGGCAGTTGGCGAGGAAGTAGGCGAGGATCGCCTTCGAGTCGGTCAAGTGCAGGAACGACACCTCGAGCGACTCCGAGTTGACTGCGGGCACGTGCGAGAGGGTCAGGATGGCGGCACGGGCAGAGAGGAGAGAGAGAGGAAGAGAGAAAGGGAGAGAGAGAGGGAGAGGGGAACGTACGCTGGCCGAGCTGGGTGATGCGGGAACCGTAGACCGACTCGTTGTTGTCGTCCGTGTACGTGAGCAGGAAGTTCTTGAACTCGCGCATGATCGTCTTGCGCGTGCGAGGCTCCTCGATCCACTGGGCGAGCGAGTCGGCTCGGATGTCGGACAGCTGCTCGATCGGCATCTCCTGCTCGCGGGAAGGGGGAGGAGGTGAGCGAGCCGCTCGAGCGGTCCCTGACGATGAGGGAAAGGCGGGCGCACCTCGTCAAAGCCCGCGTCGTCATCGCCGTAAGGCTCGTCGTATAGCCGGCGCACCCTCCTGCGACCGAGCAGCTGACCCTCGTCCTCGCTGTCCTCCTCCTCGCTCGCGAGGAAGCCCGGCATCCGCGCGCGCCTGCGCTCGCCCGCCGCACCCGCCGCACGAAGCTGTCTCCGGTCGCGGCGGTCCATGCGCTCCTCGGCAGCGCGGCGAGCGTCGGCGTCGTCCGAGAAGTCCTCGTCGTCGTTGAGGCCCGTCGCGTCGTACGCGTCGAGCTTGCGGTTCTCGATGTAGTCGCTGCAGGAACGACGAGTCAGCTCGATGTGCGCGAGGTCAAGTCGGACCCCCTCGTCGTCGAGCCGAGGGAGAGGAGGACCGCGCGACTCACTTGCCCATGGCGTCGTCGAAAAGGTCCTCGCCCTCCTCCTCCTCGTCCTCGAGGTCACCGTCGCCGAGTCCAATGACGTCGTCCTCCTCAAAATCGCTCGTTGCGGGCGGCGGCGAGCTGCCGGGGAGGGAGCCCGCCGGGGTCGACGCCTGCGCGGGCATGGCGCCGGCCTCGGACGCTGCGTCGGACGATGGGCCGACGGGACCGCCGCGCCTTGCGGGCGAGACGCTGCGGCGACGCTTCTGGGCGGATGGCGGAGCCTGCACGGATTCCCAGGAGGTCAGGTGGATGCGAGATGGACGCGTCGAGATGAGGGCGGACGCACCATGGCTCGAGGGTGATGAGGAGGCTGCGGGGGTGCTCGTGGGGTGGCTGTCGGGGTCGAGGTCGCGCTCGATCTGGCGAGTGCAGCAGCAGGTGCCTGGCACGGCGAGAGAGTGAGGGTGGGCGAGTGAGGAGGGAGGAGGAGGACGAGACGCGTTCGAGCGCGTCGAGCAATTTCCGACCGTCGCAGCTTTCTCTCTCCTCGAGCAAGGACCGTACAGCCGCAGAGCGACTCGCGACTGCGTCATAGAGCTGCCCTAGTTGCGCGCGAGCTACAAGGAGGGACGACCGGAAAAGTGTCGCTCGACCCCCGTTCGCGCTGCTCTGAGCCGCCGTCTACAGCGCCGCCGCCGCGCTCACGCCGCTCGCCTTGCCCAAGAGCACGACCTCGTCCCTGAACCGCTCGTCCTCCCTCGCCCACTGCCGCACGTCGGCCGCGCGGTCGTCCATGAGCCCCTGGAGCACTTCGAGCGCCGCACCTCGCTCGCCGCGGCGCCGCAGGCCGCTCAGGATGCCCGTGTACGCGTGCACGCCGAGAGGAGCGTCTCCTGCCGGCACGGGGAGGCGCTCGGCGAGGGCGCGCACGGCGGGCGAGATGGTCCCGATGGTGCGCGGCAACCCTGCGACGGCGTCGGCAGCGTCGGCGACGTCTGCTCGGCGCTCAAACAGGCGCAGGAGGAAGAGCAGGTCCGCAGCGCTCGTCGCCTGACCCGCTGCGTCGCCGTCTCGGCCGGCCTCGACGTCGCCGTCGCCGTCGCTCCGGCGCGCGCGACGGGCGCCGCCGCCGCCTCGCGCAAAGGCGTTGAGCACGACCGAGTAGTGCGGCGGCTGGGGCACAATGCCGCGCTCGTGCATGTCGATGAGGATGGCCGCAGCCGTGAGCGGCGTGCGCTGCCGCAGGTGGTCGGCGAGGAAGGGCGTGAACGTGTACGGGTCGAGCGACGACGTCGGGCCCGGCGCTGCAGCGTCGCGGCGCGCACGAGTGCGAGAGGGGACGAGGGTGACGTCGGAGGCAGAGGTGGAAGGAGAGGGCGAGGGAGGATTGACGAGGAGCTCGTCGTACAGGTCGGCGACGACGGCTCGGGCCTGGGCTGCGCCGGCTGCTGTGCGCGCCGTCGTCGCGCGCTCGGCGTACCACGGCACGAGAGCTTGGACGAGGAGCGCGAGCGTGTACGCCGAGGGCGGCATCGTCGCCTTCTTGGCCGGGCGGTCGCCTCGTCCGAGTCGCTGCCGGAGCGGCCGGCGGTCGTGCGTTGCGTCCCACAGCGCCGTGCGCATGCCCGGCGCAAGCGCGACGACGTCAAAGTGCGCCTTGAACGTCTCGAGCGCGTTGCCGTACTGCTGCGCCTTGATGTCGGCGAGCATGGTCGCGACGGCCCACAGGGCGCGCGTGCCGGCGCTGCGCTTGCGGGCATCGCGCGCGAGCGAGACGAGGACGCGGCCGGCGCGGCGGTCGCCTTGCTCGGCGAGGTGACGGGCGTGGAGGATCCAGACGGCGAGGGCATTGGCCGACGGGAGGACCCTCGCCCTGCGGATGCCGCCGCTCGAGTCGACGACCGTGGCCTGGCCGCCGCGGCCCGACTCGATGAGCGCCTCGGCGACGACCCTCGACGAGACGGCGAAGCGCGAGCCCTCGGCGTCGTCGTTCTCGACGAGGCGGACGAGCGTGATGGACGTGTTGCCCTTGACGGCTCGGTTGAGGGCCACGCCGTGCTCGCCGCTCGCGTCGCGCAACTCGTCCTCGACGAGCCGTTCGACGCCCTCGGGGCCCTCCTCGATCGAGCTGACGGCGTACTGGTACCGCCACGCGAGGAACGCCTCGCGCGCGCTCGGCGCGACGTCGGCCGGGTCGAACGTGCTGCCGCGGATGAGGAACGGCGTGCGCTCGCGCAGCGGGGCACTGCGCGTGCGCGTGAGGCGACGAGCGCCCGACTGGAGCGAGTCGTAGACGCGCTCGAACAGGGCGAACTGGTCGCGCTCGGCGAGGAGCGCGAGGAGGTGCAGGTAGACGGTGCGCTTGACCTTGACGCGCGCGAGGGCAAACGCGCTGTCGGGCTGCGACGTGGCGACGACGAGGTTGACGGCCGTCTCGAGGCGGCCGAGGTTGGCGTGGCGGACGATGGCGGCGCCGCGAGCGAGCCCGAGCGCCTCGAGCGCCGCCTCGACCCGGTTCACGAACCAGGCCCTCATCGACGCGGCGCGGTGGCGCACGATGTGCGACTCGACGGCATGTCGGCTCGACGTCGAGAGCTTGTGCCCGACGTGCTTGCGGGCCGAGCGCCTGCGGTGCGAGAGGTAGGCGCCCTGGGCGACAAACGCCGAGCGCTGCTTGCGCAGAGAGCGCAGCGCGGTCGCGAAGACGCGCTCACCGACCTCGAGCGGCGCGTACGTCGTGAGGTAAGGCAGCGCCTCGCGGGCGACGACGCGCGCGTACCCTTGGCGGCACAGGACGAGCGAGAACTCCTCGAGGAGCGCGAACGCGTCGTCGACGGTGCCGTCGCCCGCCCGAGCGCCGCTTGCCGTCGCGCTCGCCGGCATGGCCGTGCCGCCTGCACCCTCGAGGACCGGGGCGGTGCGCAACTGGCGGAAGAGGACCTTTGCGGCGTGGGCCATGGCCTTGTCGACGTCGCGCAGGTCGACGACCTCGTCGTGGACCGAGTCGGTGATGGCGGGCGCGAGCTTCCACCACTCGAGCCAGTCGCGCTCGCCGTGCTCGTTACGGGCGACGAGGTCGACGGGCGGGGCGAGCGGCGCCGGGTCGTCGGGAGCGCGTGCTGGGCCGAGGGCGAGGGCGCGCGCGTGGGTGAAGAAGGCGTAGCGGTGCGGGATGTGCTGGCCCGACGCGCGCAGCTCGTGGAGGAGGCGGCGGGCGTCGTGGGGCTTGTTGGCGTCGAGGAGGGACAGGAGCGAGTCGTCGGGCGAACGAGGGACGGCCGGATGGTCGAGGGTCGAGAGGGGCACGTTGGTGTACTCGTCTGACGAGTCCTCGAAGACAGGCTCGTCGGCGGCGTGCTGGACGAGCTGGCTGTTGTGGGTGAAGGCGAGTTGTCGGTCGGGAGGCGGTGCGGCGAGCGAGACGGTCGCGTGAAGGCGGGCGGTGCCGGTCGGGATGCGGGCGAGGGGTGCGCGCGGTGCGAGGTAGCTGCAGATGAGGACCTGCACGTTCAACGGCAACCGGCGGGCGAGCGACATGGCCGAACGACGGGGCGACGGCTGGGCGAGGGCAAACCGGTCAGGGCGGCACGGGAACAACGCAAGGGGCGATGGGGACGCACTGTGAGCTCTTGGAGGGCTCTTCGAAGGCCGCTGGAGAGCTGTCGGGGTGGCTCGAGCCGAGGTGGTCGAGCGGACGAAGCCAAGCCAGCTCTCGCCGCTCGTCTCTCCTCCCTCGCTCTCTCTCCACTCAACCAGCATGGCAGCAAAGCCAGACATGCACGTTAAGAGCGACAAGCGTCTCTACGTCGGCAACCTCTCCACCTCGGTCGACGAGTGCGTCCCCTCCTCCTCCTCTCCCTCCTTGATGACAGCTCACCTCGACCCACGCAGATACTCGCTCATGCAACTGTGCTCCAAGCTCGGCAGGATTGCCAAGCTCGACTACCTCTTCCACAAGACCGGCCCGCAAAAGGGCAAGCCTCGAGGCTACGCCTTTGTCGAGTACTCGTCGGCCGAGGTCCGTCCCGCCTCTCTCTCTTTCTCGCCCCCACACAGTGCCTGCGCACTGGCTGACACCGACACTGCCTCCCCCTTCGACGACTGCCTTGCCCCCCAGGAAGCCAAACGCGCACAGCAGACCCTCCACGACCGCCTCTTCCGCGGCCGCAAGATGATGGTCTCGTTCGCGTCCGAGCAGGTCCGTCTCCTCTGTCCCAGTGCCCTCTCACACCTCGAGGTCACCTTTCCTGACACCTCCGTATCGGCCCCGGCAGCAAGAAGTAGCCCCGACGGGCACGACTCGACCTCGAGGTCCCGTCTCGAACGACGCGCAGAAGCCGACCGCCATCAGCCTCCTCAAGGGCGGCGGCGTGACCAAAGCGTGCGCTCCATCTCTCTCGTCATCTCGATGCGGGCCTTGCACTGACCCTTGTGCTCGCGCCGCAGCCCCGTCAACCGCAAGATTGCCGCGCTCGAGGCCAAGCTCGCCGCCATGCGCCAGTCCAAGGACGGCACGGCGTCGGGCTCGGCGACGGCCTCGCCCGCGGGGTCGGCAACCCCGCCACCAGTTGGCGCAGGCGCAGGCGCAGCGCAAGAGGGCGGCGCCGAGGCGTCGGGCAGCGGGCGAGCAGGCGCGAGCGCGACGGCCAACATCAATCACGCCGCCGCGGGCTTGCCCAACCGCCCTTACTTTACGTCGAGCGAGGCTCCGCGCGAGATGTAGCTCGAGGATGAGCGGCTCACGGTGGGCGGGCGGTCCCGGGGCGTCGACGGAGAGGAGGGAGGAGTCGTCGGTCGGACCTTGTTGTGCTTGTTTCTTCTCTCTCTCTTGTTGTCTTTCCTTGCCTCTTGACCGTCGGTCGTGTAATCGAATGCGCACTTGCACCCTCTGCCCTCCTCTCGAGAGCGCAGTGTCCTCTCTCTCGCTCGCGCGCCGGACGACGATCGCGTCTCTCTCTGTGTCCACGACTCGGCCACTCGCCTCGACCAAGCCGCCTCGTCCAGGCGCCACGATGAGCGCAATGGAGCCGCTCATGCACATCCTGACCGACGGCAACACCGGTGCGCCCTCGCTTCTCTCCCTCCCTCCTCCTGTTGATGATGACGGCGAGCTCACTCCTCGCCTCCCTCTCGCACAGGCCTGCCGCCCGACCAGATGTACAAGTACCAGTGCGTCGAGCTGTCTACTCTGCCTATCGAGCCGTGCAGAGCGCTCAGTTGAAGCCGAGCTGACTCTCTCCACCTCCCCCCCTCTCCCCTCCTCCCCACCTCTCGCTCGCAGAGGCCCATGGTTCTCGACCCAGCTCGTCCTGTCGCTCGGCGTCGGCATCACCAGCTTCTTCGTCTTTTGCTGGATTCGGCGGTACGAGAAGTTCAAGGTCCTGTACGCCCCGAGGACGATGCTCAAAGGTGCGTCCGACGTCGTCAGCGCTCTGCCTCGAGGCTCCTCGTCGGCGACGGCCCTACCGTCGTCGACGTGTGCGCACTCGGTCGAGCCTCACTGACCGCACCTCGCACATCCCGCAGGTTTCTCGCCGCACGAGGTGCACGACCACGAGTCGTTCTTCGGGTGGGTCATGCCGACCTTGCGCACGAGCGAGTTTGTCGTCCTGCAGCTCGTCGGGCTCGACGCCGCAGTGGTGCGTCTCTCTCGTTTCCCTGTCCTCGCCTCGAGGACGTCGCGACTGACCTGCGCTTGCGCCGTGCAGCTCCTGTCGTTCCTCCGCACCGGGTTCTACTTCTTCTTGACGTGCTCCATCCTCGCCTGGACCGTCCTCGTCCCGATCAACTACCACGAGAACGGCACGACCGAGGGCGTCGCGCCCGACCTCAACTCGACCCTGTCGTCGCTCGTCCCGTCGGCCGTCTCGTTCACGACCTCAACCCTCCTCAAGCCGCGCAAGCACACGTCGCTCGTCTACGTCAGCTCGCACCTCCTGTTCACCTACCTGTTCACGATCCTCGCTCTCCTGTTCCTCCACCGCAACTGGCGCCGGTACATCCCGCTCCGCCAGCTCTTCTCGCTCGAGTTGGCCCAGTCGGTCCCGGCCCGCACCGTCATGGTCACGTCTCTCCCGCCGCACCTGCGGTCCGAGCGCGCCCTCGCCGACTACTTCGAGGGCCTGCAGCTCGGCCCGGCGTCCACCTCGTCGAGCTCGCGCGGCGGCGGCGGCCTCGCCGTCGAGAGCGTCGTCGTCACGCGCGCGACGGGCAGCATGCGCGAGCTCCTCGAGCGACGCACACGTGCGCTCGTCACACTCGAGCAGGCGTGGGCCAAGTACCTCGGCAACCCGGTCCCGAGCGAGGGCCAGAACGCCGTGTTCGGGTACGACCGCGAGCGCGAGGTCGACGACATCATCCACGGCGCCGGAGCGTCGTCGAGCCCGGTCAACGGCGACGGCCTGAGCGGGGCTGCAGGAGAAGGTCGGCTCGTCGACCTCGAGGACGACGAGGAGGAGACGGACGGTGCCCGTCGAGACGCCGACGACGACCTCGAGGCGCGCCTCCTCTCGCCCTCGCGCCCGACCATCGTCAACCCGGCGCGCAAGCGCCCGACCCTGCGCCCGCACTGGTTCGCCAAGAAGGTCGACGCGCTCGACCACTACGCCGAGCAGTTCCGGCGCGCCGACGAGGCCGTGCGCAAGCGCCGCCGCGGCAAGTTTCGCCCGACCGGCGTCGCGTTCGTCACGTTCCAGACGATCGCGGCGGCGCAGGTGGCGGCGCAGGTCGTGCACTACCCGTCGGCGGCAGAGTTCCGCACCGAGCTGGGTACGTCCCGGCGGCCCCTCCTGACTTTCTCTCTTTCTCCCTCTATCGGCCTCGCCCTGACCTCGTTCGCCCTTGCCGATGCAGCGCCCGAGCCTCGCGACATCCACTGGTTCAACCTCAACCTCTCGGCGTCGTCCGTCTTCGTCCGCCAGGTCCTCGTCGTCGTCACGCTCCTCGGCCTCCTGTCGGTGTGGGCCATCCCGGTCGCAGCCCTCACGCAGCTCCTCAGCTGGGACACGATCCAGAGCATCGCGCCTCGCTTTGCCGACCTCCTCGAGAAATCGTGCGTCTCCCTCTCTCCTCTCTTTGGCCCGGCTCTTGCGGCCCTCGACTGACTCGGCGCGCGCCCGCCTGCGCCCACAGCCCTCGACTCGCCGGCTTCGTCCAGACGACGCTGCCCTCGCTCGGCATGGTCGCGTTCAACAACATCTTGCCCATGTTCCTCGAGGCGCTCTCGGTCTGGCAGGGCCTGCCGGCGCGCAGCTGGATCGAGTTGAGCCAGCTCAAGAAGTACCACATCTCGCTCCTCTTCACGACCCTCTTCGTCTTTGTGCGTCCACCTCGCCTTCTTTCCCTTCCCTCGTCGTCGTCGTCGAGGGCCTGCCACTGACTCGAGATCGGCGCGCACGAGCAGATCACGACCTCGACCTACACGCTCCTGAAGGACATCAGCGAATCGCCCGCAAAGGTCCTCGACAAGCTCGCCGACACGCTCCCCAAGTCCCGCTACTTGTGCGTCCACCTCTGCCTCCTCGAGAAGCCGGTCGTCGAGTCGAGGTCCGCCGACTCGAGCTCACGACTCCTTCCCAATGCGCGCAGCTTCGTGTCCTACGTCATGCTGTCGGGACTTGCGTTCATGCCGCTGCAGCTCCTGGAGCTCGGGACGGTCATTCCGCGTGTCTTCTCGCAGGTCTTCCTCACCAAGACTCCTCGAGGTGCGCCCCTCTCTCCTGCTCTCTTGCCTTGACAAGACTTTTGGACTAACAGCTCGATTCTCTCCTCGCGACAGACCACGCCGAGCTCAACGCGCCGGCGATGGTGAACCTCGGCGTCGTCTACCCTCAGGTGCGTCCCTCGATTTGCCTCGCCGTACCCTCTCTTTGCGCGCCGATCTGACCCCTCTCGCCGCACGTCTCGCAGGCCCTCCTCATCTGGACGATGGGCATGACCTACTCGATCATCGTTCCCCTCATCCTCCCGTTCGCGACACTCTACTTTGGCCTCGCCTACCTTGTCTACAAGTACCGCTTCCTCTTTGTCTTCTGTGCGTCCCCTCTCTGCGTCCCTCTGTGTCGAGCAAAGAGACCTGACCAGTCTTTCTCGACGCAGATCGGCCGTACGAGAGCCGAGGCCAGGCTTGGCCGTTGGCGTTCAACCGGGTCGGCTTCGGCGTCCTCCTCTTCCAGGTCTTTATGCTCGGTGCGCACCTTCTCTCTCTCCTCTTCTCCGTCGCACCCGTCGGCCGGACCTGACGTTGCCCGTGACGCTCGCGCAGGCCTCTTTACGGTCGGCAAGGACTTTCTCCTCGTCGTCCTCATGATCCCGCTCCTCGCCGGCACCGCCTACACGATCTGGCGCCTCGGCGCGACGTACGCCCCACTCGCACGCTACGTCAACCTGTCGCAGGCGTGCGAGTCGGGCCAGGGCACCGGCGCCGAGGACGTCGTCAAGCTCCGCCAAGGGCACCCGGTCACGGCGGGGCAGACGCACCTCAACCGGGGCCGGTACGGGCAAAAGGGCGAGGGCGTGTACGCGGTCGCTCAAGTGCGTCCCATCTCTCGACGTGGAGCGAGTGCAGGAGGGAGCGCCGAGCCAAAGTTACTGACCGCCGCCCTCGCTCGCACGTGCAGAACCCGGCCACCGACTATCGCGAGCCGCCCATGTCCTCCTTCTACCCGGGCATCCTCAACACGGGCGGCTCGACTCGCTATGGCCACCCTGCGCTGTTTGGCGCGCTCCCTCAGCCGTGGCTGCCCGTCGCCGCCGAGACGCAGCCAGGCGAGCCGGGCGAGGTCCCGCAGGCGGTCAAGGACGCGCTCGTCGTCGTCGACCTCCGTCGAGGGTGGCGCAACTTTAAGCGTGCCGCCAAGCGCGGGTTCAGCGGCGCCGGCTCGGGCGAGGACGGCCGCGCGAGGAGCAGGAACGGGAGGGGAAGGGCGACGAGCTGGGGCAGCGGCAGCGAGGAGGACCCGAGTCGTGCGTGGCGGGGCAGCGAGAGCAGCGTCGCGGCGAGTCCGGCGCCGATGGACGAGGACGAGGAGGATGAGGACGAGGACGACGAGGTCGACGAGGAGGGACAGCAGACGATCCGGTGCGTCTCTCTCTCTCTCTCTCTCTCTCTCTCTCTCTCTCTCTCTCTCTCTCTCCTCGTATGCTTCGGCGCCCTGACTTGTCGCCTCGCAGGTACTCAACGTTCTTCCCGCACCGCAAGGGCGTCAGTGCGCGCTTCCCGCCGACGCCGCCCGGCGAGGCGAGTGGGGACGACGAGGCGTGAGGAGGGTCCTGTCGACGTCTCGAGCCCGGCTGCAACGACGTCGATTCAGCCTTGTCGTTCTTCTCGCAGCCTCGAACGTGGTCCCGAGAGCAGAGAGGCTTCAACGTGCGCTGTGCTGCGAACTCGAAGCTGCGACGAGCGGGGAGCCAGGGTTTCATCGTCGAATCTGCGCCAGAGGCGCTTTGTTCGGCGCGCTTGCTCGTTTGACCTGATCGGCAAGCTGTGAGCGACGCAGCCTGAGCGACGCAACGTCTGCGCCGGTGGCGCTGCAAAGAGAGGAGCGTGCCTCGTGCTTTCGCAACGAGAGACAAGCGTCGCAGCCAATGAGAGTCGATCGTACTAGCTTAGCGCAGAGCTAATTCGGAGCTGAGACCGACCTCCACAACCCACGGCCCGGCCGGATCGCGCTGCCCCTCGTGCAGCGTGCGCGAGCGCTCCTCGCGCGAGGTTTCCCTGCCTTTGCTCGTCGCTCCTCGTCGCCCCTGCTGCGATTGCGTTCCTCCCCGCGACCCTCAGCAACCATGCCAGGCTCGAGCTCTTCGACCGCGGCACCGAGCAAGCCTCCTCGCACCATGGGCAAGGTCCGTCCGCCTCTCCCTCGCCCTTTGTCCCCGCCGGCTCGACCCCGCCGACTCGAGATAGCGCCTCTCCTGTGCGTCGAGAGCTGACAGCAGACGATGCACACAGATCGCGATGGTCTTTGCATGCGGGTGAGTCCATCTCGAGCCGAGCGCACGAGCCCCACGACGAGGCTTGGGAAGGTCGCCGGTGTACGGAACTCGTCGCTGACTCTTCCTCTTGCCTCTACGTGCAGCACTGCGCTTGTGTCTGACGGCTACGTCAACTCGGCAGCGGGTGAGTGAGCGGAGGAGGCCAGAGAAGCTGTCGCCCGTCTGCCCGAACCGAGTGTCGAGCGAGGCGGCGACGCGGACACGCGCCGCTGACCCTTATTCCTCCTGCAGGCACCGTCAATACGCTCCTCGCACGCATCTACCCGGGTGCGTCCGCGAAAGCCCTCGTCGACGCCACGTACTTGTACTGACACGAGCCGTCGTCGCACGCAGACGAGTACGGCAAGAACCACTACAGCGAGTTATTCTCCGGCATGGCGTACCTTGGCACGAGTGCGTCCTCCTTCCGCTCGCTCGGAAGGACACGAGCCTGCGCACCCGGCGCGGGAGCGTACCTGACGAGCGTGAGGACCTGACGAACCCCCTCCTCGACGGCGGGTTTTCCCGCTTTGCAGTCATCGGCATGCTCTTTTTCGGCTACTTTGTCGGTACGTACACCTTCCGCAACGAGCGAGATGGTGAAGGGTTTCCTAGAGCGCGAGGGCCGCCGAGCGGAGGCCTGAGCGGTCGCTGACTTTGCCGCCTCTTTCCCTCGCCCTCCTCGTCTCCTCCTCTCGTTCTCTCTGCAGATCGTTACGGGCGCAAGTACGGGTGCGTCGAGCTCCTCTCCAACTCGACGTGACGCTGAGAACCGACAGTCCTGCGCGCCGCAGCATGCTCGCTTCCTCGTGCCTCATGATCCTCGGTTCGGCCCTGTGCGCCGGCGCCTATGGTGCGGGCGGATCGACGCAGGGCATGTTCGCTGCGCTCATCGTCTATCGATTCATCGCGGGCGTGCGTCAGCCTCTTTCTGTTCAATCTCTCTCGCGAGCCTCGTGGCCGTCCTGGCGTCTCTCGTCAGCCTCTCTGGGCCAGACTACTGACCTTCTCGGTCGTCCTCCTACAGCTCGGCATTGGTGGCGAGTACCCGAGGTGCGCTTGCTCCCTCAATTTGTCCTCTGCGCCGGGCTCACCAGCGTCTCCTCCCCACAGCGGGTCCGTCGCGTCGAGCGAGGCCACAGCCGAGGAGGGCATCGACGACCGTGTCCGAAACATGCTCTTTGTCCTCAGCACCAACACCGCGATCGACGTAGGGTGAGTACACGTCCTCGAGCGCCCAGCTCGTCGAGCAGTCGTGCACGGACCCTCGAGTCGCCGCTCCTCCTCAACGCGGTCACTGACTCTCTACGACGCTCGCAGCTTCGTGGCCGCTGCGTGAGTCTTCCTTCCACACCTAGACAGGTCTGCAAGTGCGCGTAAAGAGCATTCTGCTGACCTCGCCCGTGTCGGGACCTTCCTAAACAGCGTCGTCCCTTACGTTCTTCTCTTCATCCTCGGCGAGTCGCACTTGCGGGCCGTCTGGCGCCTTACTTGTGCGTCCCTCTCTCCTCTTATCGGTATTTGGGCACGACTGACGCTCGTCTCGTCGCAGTCGGCCTTGGCATCGTTCCTGCGCTCCTCATCCTCCTCTGGCGGCTGCGGATGCCGAGGGAGCCGACCCGGTTCCGCGAATCTTGCATCAAGCGCAACGTCCCGTACAAGCTCGTCATGAAGCGCTACTGGCGGTCCTTCGTCGGCGTTTCGTGTGCGTGGTTCCTGTATGAGTGAGCCCACTCTCCCTCGAACTCTACCTCGACGCCTCCTTCGAACCCTCTTTCCAGCCCGGCATCGTCTCGCTCCTGTCCCTTCCGTCACTAGTCAGAAGCTGACGATGAGAGAGGGGAAGTTTCATTACGTACCCGTTCAGCCTTTATTCGTCAATCATCGTCGACCAGGTTACCGGCGGCGACGACTCGCTCAAGACCGTGTTCAAATGGGGGATTTGCATAAACAGCTTCTACCTGCCGGGCACAATTATCGGCGCGCTCCTGGTCGACTGGCTCAAGGTGCGTCGCCCTCTCGCGAGGCCGCCGATCTCGACACTCGGACCCAGTACTGACCTTCTCGCAGCCCAAGCGCCAGCTCGTCATCTTCCTGTGCCTCCAAGGTGCCGTCGGCTTGATCATGTCAGGTGCGTGAGCCAGTCTCAGCCTCTCGCAGCGCCGGCGAGCGTCGGCGTCGGGCTGACTTTGCCTCGCAGGCCTCTACGAACGCCTCGTCGCCCACATCGCCGCGTTCAGCGTCGTGTACGGCATCTTTCTCAGCCTGGGAGAGATATCTGCTGGTAATTGCCTTGGCCTCCTCGCGTCCAAGACGTGGCCGACGGCGGTACGTCTCGATTCCTCTCATCCTCGGACCCATCCCGCATCCCTCGAACCCTTCCCGCATCGCCATCGTCGACGGCCTTTCCTGTCCCAGATCCGCATACTGACAACTGAATCGCGGTCGCCATACGCAGGTGCGCGGTCAACTCTGTGCGTCACCCGTCCCCTTGTCGCCGCTCGGACCCTCCCGCATCCTCTTCCTCGAGGGTCCCTCGCTCGACGAGACGCTCTCCTTTTCCTCGACAGCTCTCTCCTCCATCAGACCCTCGTACTGACCCTTCGGCAACCACGCGCAGACGGTCTCGCTGCGGGTGCGCCTCGTCCCCTTCGCTCCTCGGGTTCAGCTCGTCTGACCCTCTCTCGCTCCCACACAGCCATCGGTAAAGTCGGCGCGTACGTTGGCGTGTGGGTCTTCCCCCGGATCATCGCGGCAGTGCGTCACAGTCTCTCCCGCTCTGCAGCGTCCCGACCTGACTCTTCGTCTCTCGCAGTTCCCGAAGGGTGTCAGCCAGACGCGTGGGCCGTTCTACGTCGGGTCCGGCCTCTGCTTCCTCTCTGCCATCATCGTCTTCCTTCTGGTGCCCGAGGTTCAACGTGCGTCGCGCGTTCCCGCCGAGCGTCGCCGAGTCGGCGACCTTCCCAAACGCACGAGCCTGACCTGTCGCCTCGCCGTGAACAGGAAATTCGATGACCCAGATCGACGTCGACTTTCGCGAATACCTCGTTGCGTCGGGCTACGACATCAGCCAGATGGGCCAGCTCGACGCGAGCGACGACGAGAGGAGCTCGCTCGACCACGACAAGAAGCCGCACCACCGCGTCGAGTCCTTCACGACGACGACCTGAACGGGCTCGCCTGCCCACCGAATCGATGTCGGACGGGCGGCATCTCTCGAGCAGGTCACATTCGGCGACGCGGCGCTGTTCTCGTCCTCCTCTCCTCGTGACCGACAGCCTCAACGCGCCCCTCCTCGTCTCTCTCCCGTAGTACTGTTGCATCTTCCTCTTCTGTGTCCTCGTGTGCGTCGCTCGACGCTGTCCTCGCGCGTACGCCGAGCTCGCGCCGGCACGGAGGAGGCTCGAGAGCTGTCGAGCGCGAGGAGAGCGACCGCTCCGAGCCGAAATTGTCTCGCGCCGTCGGGCACCCTATGAGAGTGTCAGAGAGCGAACGTTAACAAGCAAACGACGGCAGGAGCGCGAGCGAGCCTTCGTGGTCGCCGTTGCCGCCGGCTCGCGCTCTCCTCCTCCTCCTCGCCTCAAGCTCAACCCCTCGGCTCGCTAGCCTCTGAGCTCCCCGTCCAGCAGCTTCAACAGCCAGCGACACCTTCCACCCGGCTCCGCCCGCCTGCTCATCACCCGCACGGCCAACCGAGCTCGACGCTTCGCCCTTCCACACTGATCATCGCCTCGGTGCTCGTCCAGCCATGTTCACGTGCGTCCACCGTCTCGAGGAGACTCCCACACCCATACGCAGCCGACTCACCCGTCCACCCATTTGCGCAGCGGCTCGTACCCGTCCACCTCGCCCGCCTCGTTCTCGCGAGAGACGAGCTTCCTCCAGCAAGCCGTCGCGCGAGGCCAAACTTCGCTGCACGGCCCCAGTGCCGCCAACGGCCGCGACGAGTCGGCTCTCGATACGGAGGGCGCAGCAGACGAGGAGCGCGGCCGTGCGGCGGCAAAACGGCGCTCGGGTGCGGGGCGGGCCTCGCGCTCGTCCTTCTCGGTCGATGGACGGCTGAGCCCGACGCAGGAGGGAGAGGAGGAGGCGACTGCGAGTGAGGGAGAGGGGGTGCAGCAGCCGCTGTTGTCGAGGGTGCGTCTCTCGTTTCCCTCATCTCTCTGCCCCTCCCCTCGTTCCTCCCGTTGTCATTCCCTCGTCGCATGCACGGCTTGACGCGAGCCACGGGCATTGCTCCGAGCAAAGAGCTGACCCGCTCGTCCCGGACCTGCAGGAACGCCACGCTGGCCAGTACCGCCCCTTGAGCGAGACGACGCCGCTCCTCGGCCACTCGGCGACGACCGACGGCGTAACCTCTGCCGCCGAGGACGCCGCCATTCGCGACGCCCGCACCCTGCGCGACGACGCCAACTACAAGCGCGCCGTCGCTCACGAGACGCGCACCCTGTTCAGCTACACCGTCCCCATCCTCGCGACCCACTTCCTCGAGTACTCGCTCATGGCGACCGTCGTCGTCGCGACGGGCCACCTCGGCGAGACCGAGCTCGCGGCAGCGAGCCTCGGCAACCTCACCAACAACGTGATCGCCCTGAGCGTCATCCAGGGCCTGTGCGCCGCCCTCGACACCCTGTGCCCGCAAGCCTACACGTCGAGCAACCCGAAGGACACGTCGATCTACGCCCTGCGCACCTTTGTCCTGTGCAGCATCGTCGCCATCCCGCAGGCCCTGTTCTTCTGGAACGCCGAGTGGATCCTGCGCGACGGCCTCAGGCAGGACCCGGACGTCGCCTACCGCGCCGGCCAGTACCTGCGCGTCCTAATCCTCGGCCTGCCCGCCTACTCGGGCTTCGAGTGCATCCGCCGGTGGCTCCAGGCCCAGGGCCTCATGCTCGCACCCGTCCTCGCCCTCGTCGCCGCGGCGCCGCTCAACGTCCTCCTCAACTGGCTCCTCGTCTGGGGCCCGATCGACGCCCTCAACCTCGGCTTCCTCGGCGCGCCCATCGCGACGACCGTGTCGCTCAACGTCATGTGCCTCGTCATGGTCCTGTACGCCGTGTTTGCCGCGCCTCGGGACGCCTGGGGCGGCCTGAGCAAGGACTGCCTGCGCGACCTCGGCCTCAACCTGCGCCTCGGCATCTCGGGTATCGGCATGGTCGGGTCCGAGTGGTGGTCGTGGGAGATTGTCTCGCTCGCGAGCTCGCTCCTCGGCTCGACGGCGCTCGCGGCGCAGAGTGTCCTCCGTGCGTCCCTCTTTCCCCTTGTTTTCTCGCCCCTCGCCCTCTTGAGCGGTCGCCTGACTCTTGCCCTGAGCAACAGTCACGTCGGCTTCGTTCTTCTACCAGGTCCAGTACGCGCTCTCGGTCGCCGCAGCCGTCCGCATCGGCAGTGCGTCCCTCTCGTTCTCTCTGCCCCCTTCTCTCGCCGAGACTGACCTCGTGCACGCCCCACAGATCTCCTCGGCGCACAGAAGCCGCACCTCGCCCGCATCGCGTCGCGCTGCACCATCTTCATCGCCATCGCCGTCTCGGCGCTCAACTCGGTCCTCCTCATCCTCGTCCGCCACCGGTGGGGCTCGCTCTTCTCGTCCGAGCCCGAGATCATCCGCATCGTCGCCAAGGTCCTGCCGCTCGTTGCCGCGTTCCAGCTGTGGGACGGCCTCTCGGGCGCCATGGGCGGCGTCTTGCGCGGAGCGGGCAAGCCGACGCTTGGAGCTATTGTGCGTCGCCCTCTCTCCTTTCTCTGCATCCCCGCCACGAGCCTGTCCTGACTATTGCACCTGCAGATTAACACCGCGAGCTACTACGTGCTCGGCCTGCCGATCGGCATCTTTGTCGCGTTCGCCGGACCGCACATGGGCCTGAGCGGTGCGTCCTCTTCTCTCCCTCCCTCTCCCTCTCTCGTTCGTCACTCATGCCTTACTCTCTCTGCGCAGGTCTCTGGCTCGGCCTCACGATCGCCCTCACCTTCACCGGCATCAGCTCGACCTGGATCTGCTGGAAGATGGACTGGGAGAAGGAGAGCGAGACGACGAGGGTCCGGCTCGGCGAGGCCAAGCGGCCCGTCGAGGAGGAGGCGTAGCCAGAGCGACGAGTCGCTATTCTCGCAACGTGCATGCACGCGTCCTCTCTGCCATCCTCTCGCTCGAGCCGATGCAGCGAGATCTCGCGAGAAAGGAAGGAAGCGTTCTCTCGAGCGAGGGCGACGACGAAAGAGGGGCACAGACTTGCACGGACGCACTATACGGAGAGAGAGAGAGAGACGAGTGACCCGCACAGACGCTCTAGAGCTTGCTGCTCTTGCCCTCGGCGAGGACGAGCGCGACGCCGCCGCCGAGGCACACCTTGCCCGTGCCCTTGATCTTCTGGACAAAGTCGACGCGCTGCCCGCCCGAGGCGGCGTCGGACGAGACCCACATGGACGTCTCGAGCTGTGCGAGGGAGCGAGAGGGCTAGTCAATGACGAGGGCCGAGGAGAGGAGGTCCGGGCGCGAAAGAGGAAGGAGGGACGGGGGACTCACCTCGTCACCGGGCTTGACGGGCGACGTGAAGCGGGCGCTCATGTACTTGAGCCTGCGACCGTCACCCTTGGCGACGTTGAGGACGACGGCGCGCGCCGCGTGGCCGTACGAGCACAGGCCGTGGAGGATGACGCCGCCGAACCCGAGCGCCTCGCCGACCGAGGCGTCGATGTGGAGCGGGTTGTAGTCGCCCGACAAGCGGTAGACGGCCGCCTGCTCGGGCGTCGTGCGCTCCGAAAAGACAAAGTCGGGCGTGCGCTGAGGAGGCTTGCCGCCCTTGAGCGGCTGCTTGGGCGCGATGCTCTTGGCGAACCCGTTCAGGTTCGACTTGCCCGAGTAGAAGCCGTAGCCCGACGAGATCATGCGCACGACGACCTTGCCCGACGGGTCGAGGAGCTCGAGCGCCGTGTCGATGATGAGGCCCTTGCTGCAGAACGGCACGAGAAGAGTCAGTTTGACGCTCACAAGAAGAAGGGCTCATGCTGCGCGCAAGCGTCGGTCGCGAAGAAGTGGCACTCTGGGTTCGAGGACGACGCTGCTCGTGGGGCGAGGACGTGCAAGAGGGAGAGGGAGCTGGGACGCACCCCGTGTCCTTGACGCCGACGCAGCGATCCTTGAGGGTCCAGCCCTTGCCGCTGTCGCTCGGCAGCTCGCCGAGGATCTCGATGCTCTGCTCGGCGTGGACGACGCGCTTCGGGTCGAGGGCGGGGAGGCCCGGCGTCGGGCCAGAGCGGTCCTTGGCCTGGGCGAAGTTGACGGTCGACTGGCCGTCGCCCTTGAGGCCGAGTACGAGCGGGTACGTGGGGAACGGGTGGAACTTGGGGTCGTCCTCGTAGGTAAAGGCGAGCTCGTCAACCTTGGCGCCAATCTGGAGATAGGAGAGTCAGCAAGTCGTCGAGGAGGAACGAGGAGGATGGGGGGGCGGACGCACGCCGACAGCGTAGAGGAGGAGGTCGCGGGTGTTCCACGACACGGCGAAAGGCTTGCCTTCGTGGCCTGCAGGTCACGAGAGGGTCAGTGGGACGAGCGAGGGGATGTGGGGACGTGGAGGAGGAAGACGAGGGAGAGGGAGCGGGGACGCACCCAGAGCTTGCTCGACGTTGCTCGACATGATGCTTGCCGTTGTGTAGAGAGGAGAGATGCAGGAGCAGAAGCACAGCGAGCGGTGCGGCGAGAGGGAGAGAGAGAGCAGGATCCGGCTCGCTCAGCCCGGTCGAAAGAGCCGGGCCGCGAGTTGCGGCCGACTCTGGGGTCGAGGGGAGGCTTCCGCCGGCTCAATACAAACCTCGCCGTAATCCAGATAGTAATCGTCGGTATGCAGACTCGCCGACAACGAAACGTCGCTGGCTCGCTCCTCTCACGCTCGTCTGTGCGGTCCGGCGTAGTGCCCCCGAGAATGAGTATAACCTCGTCGACAGAAAGCGCGAGCGGACCCTCACCGGCACGAGGCGAGACCAGAGCTGCACCGCCCTCGACCTTCATCTGAATCAGGTGGACGACTTCCCTCGCCCGGTGTACCTCACCGCTCTCACCGCCAGAGTCCCGTGCAACCACCTGCACGATGGCACCGAGCTTCAAGAAGCCCGCACCCGACGTCTCGGCCACCACCAAGCTCGTCCGCGAGTTGCAGCACTTTGGCCAGGACGACCCCGCTCAGCACCAGCCCGACCTCGACAACGAGCAGGAGGACCTCGCCGTCGGTCGCAACGCCGCCAGTTCCTCCAGCAAGGCCCCGCAGCCGCAGCGCAGCTCGGCCGACTCGAGTGCGCCGACCGCCCGTCTCGACCAGCTCTCGCTCCAGGACAAGGGCAAGGGCAAGGCCGTCGCACCACCAGCCGCCAAGGGCAAGGACTCGCGCAAGTCGCTCAAGAACCTCCTGCGCTCGACCGAGCACACGATCGAGCTCGTCGGCGCCGACGGCAAGGTCGAGTCGAGGGTCCTCACGAGCTGGAAGATGGCCGACTACGCCTACAAGCGCGAGCCCTGCCCGTTCCCGACGCGCGCACGAGGGCTCTTCACCGAGCGTGTCCGAGGCGGCGACGGCGACGGCGGCGAGGCAGAGTACCGCATCGTCGCTCGCGGGTACGACAAGTTCTTCAACATCAACGAGGTCTCGTGGACGCACGTGAGCCCGCTCTCTTCCTCTCGTCCTTCCCGGCCCGCTCTCTCGCAGGAAAGCTGACCCAGTACACGCTTCGCAGTGGAACACGATCGCGCAAAACTCGACTGGCCCGTACGAGCTCACGACCAAGTCGAACGGCTGCATCATCCTCATCGCCGCGCTCGACGCCAAGCACCTCGTCGTCACGTCCAAGCACAGCATCGGCAACAATGTCAACGCCAACACCGAGGGCGGCGTGTCGCACTCGCAGCGCGGCGAGTACTGGCTCGACAAGCACGTCGAGCGCGTCGGGCGCACCAAGGAGGACCTCGCCAAGGAGCTGTTCGAGCGCGACTTGACTGCTGTCGCCGAGGTGCGCCCACTTTTCTCCCTCTCTCTTTCTCTCGTCGACGAGCGAGCTTCCGTCCTGACGCTTGCCCCTCTCGAATCAGCTGTGCGACGACGAGTTCGAGGAGCACGTCCTCCCGTACCCCGAGGAGCAGACGGGCCTCCACCTGCACGGCCTCAACGTCAACGAGCCCGTCCTCAACACGCTCCCGTCGGCCGAGGTCGCCGCGTTCGCGCGAGCGTGGGGCATGATCGCGACGCCGTACAGCGTCTTCCCGTCGGTGCCCGCCGTCCAGACGTACTGCGAGCGCGTCGAGGCCGACGGCGGCGTCGAGGGCCCCGACGGCAAGGTGTCCCCCGTCGAGGGCTTTGTCGTGCGCGGGCACCGCAAAGGCGGCGCGCCGGGCGAGGCCTTCTTCTGGAAGGTCAAGTACGACGAGCCGTACCTCATGTACCGCGAGTGGCGCGAATTGACGCGCAAGCTCCTCGCGGCGTACCCGAACCTCGAGACGGTCAACCCGGCCAAGATCCGCAACGGCGACAGCCGCCTGTACCTGTGGTGGGTCGCGCGCGAGATCGAGCGCGACGTCGCCGCGTTCGACTCGTGGAAGCACGGCAAGGGCATCATCAAGACGCGCGAGGCGTTCCTGTCGTGGTCCAAGACGCCCGAGGCCAACGTCGCTCGGCGCGAGCTCGGCGTCAAGGTCGCCGTCAGCGAGGAGGAGCGCCGCAACCGCAAGTTCGACAAGACGCTCATTGTCCCTATCGCCATCCAGGGCTGCGGTGCGTCCCATTCTTTCTCTCTCTTTCTCTACCCAGTCACACGAGTCAGGCCCTGACACTCGTCCTCTCACAGGCAAGACCGCCCTCGGCCTCGAGCTTTCGCACCTGTTCGGGTGGGGCCACGTCCAGAGCGACGACTTTCTCCAGAAGAAGCCGGCGCCGCATTTCCTGCGCGCCGTCAAGGACCAGCTCACCAAGCACGACGTCGTCTTTGCCGACAAGTGCGTCCTCCTCTCCCTGTCTTTCGCCCAGCTCGAGCGCACCCCCTGACTCGCTCGCGCCTCCCCGACTCGCAGGAACAACCACATTGTCAAGCACCGAGACGACCTCGTCCAGCTCGCCGCCTCGCTCGACCCGCAGCACAAGGTCCGACTCGTCGCGCTCGTGTGGCCGACCAACTCGACCTCGCTCCCGCGCGACAAGTTCCACTCGCTGTGCGCCTCGCGCATCGTCGAGCGCGGGCAGAACCACCAGACGCTGCGCGCCGGCGACGAGCACGAGGACGTCATCTGGAAGTTCCTCGGCCAGCACGAGCCGTTCGACGACGCGGCCAACGTCGCCGACAGCAAGTTTGACGAGGTCGTCGAGATGAGGGCCGAGTGGGGGCAGGCCGAGGCGCTCGAGCAAGCGGTCGAGGCGCTCGCCAAGCTCGACGGCGTCCTCCCTGTCGACACGCAGACGCCGCTGTCGAGGGCCAAGGTCGACGAGGCGGTCGCGTTCGCCAAGTCGTGGACGACGACGATCCGCAAGGAAGCGACGCCGGCTTCGGCGCAAAAGCCTCGCGCCAAGGCGAGCGCCGCACGCTACTACGGCATCGCGGCCGACGTCGACCTCGCCCAGATCGTCGAGGCGCACCTGCCCGCCGCCGCCAAGTCGGAGCGCGACGGCCTGTGGCCCGCCCTCGTCAAGGCGCTGCGCGTCGAGCGCAAGCCGCACGTCACGCTCGTGCACCGCACCGAGCTCGAGCACGTCGACGACGCCGTGCGCGCCGAGAAGACGACCTTGTGGACCCGGTACGAGGCGCTCGTCGAGGCGGCCGTCAAGAACCCGGACGCCGTCGCGCGCCTCGACGTCGAGCTCACGCTCGGCCCGAGGCTCGTGTGGGACACGCGCGCCATGGCAATCGAGGTGTCGGGCCTCGTCAGCACGGCGCCATCGTCGTCGGCGTCCGCCGCCGCGAACGAGCCCGCTCGGCCCGAGGTCGAGCTGCCCGACCACAAGTCGGCCCACATCACGGTCGGGACGCGCTCGTCCGACATCCGGCCCGTCGAGGGCAAGTTCCTCATGCAGGCGGCGTCACAGGGCGCGACGACGACCAAGGACGGCGGCGAGATCCACGAGGTCCGCATCGGCGAGGTCAAGGTCCCGGGTCGGCTCGCCGGGCTCTCGTGAGCATGGGTGCGCCTCGTGCACCTCGTGCACCTCTCTCTCTCTCCCTTTCTTTGGCTCGCGAGTGAGCGCCAGACCGACCTCTTGTTGTAGATCCTCTCGTTCTCTCCTCGCACTGCAAAGCAGCTCTCTCTTCCTCTCTCTCTCTCGCGTGCACGTTGAGCCTCGTACGAGAGGGATATCGCAAGGTTGCGGCATAGCTACAGGGCAGAAAGGAGGTCAAGGCGGCTATGGGGTACGGAGGAGGAGAGGCTGCTGGCGAAAGAAGGGCGGAACGACGAGAGTGGGTACAACGGGAGCGGCCCGAGGCGCTACGAGCGACAGTGGTTGAGCCCTGCGCCGCACGCCGAGGCGACGAGAAGGTACAGGAGGAGCTGCAGGCGCGAGAGAGGCGGGTCAGTAGACGTTCTGCTGCAGAGGGTCGAGAGCGAGAGAGAGAGAGAGGACGCACGACGCCCGAGAAGCCGACGGCAAAGAGTGTCTTGGCGTTGCGGTACCACATCTTGCGGCGCAGGACGGTGGCCCTCTTCCGGAACGCCCTCGCCTGCGAGCTCAAGTCGTCGGTGCGGTCGACGAGGATCTCGATGCGCTCGCCGCGCGACAGGACGGCGTCGATGCTCTGCACCATGACGTCCTTGGTCGCGGCGAGCTCGGCCTGGGCCTGCTTGATGGCGTCCTGCGGCGGGTTCTCCTCGTACTGGACCATGAGCGACGAGATGTGCGGCTCGAACGCGTTCATGCCGTAGGCGGGCGCGCCGGCGATCTCGCCCATCGGGTAGGCGGCGACGAACTGCGAGGGGGGCACAGGTGAGCTCATCGAGACCTCGAGCCGAACGAGGGCCAGGGAGGACGAGGGGGCGCACCTTGCGATGCAGCTCGGCGAGGAACGAGAAGGGGACCCGCCGGCCGGCCGTGTCCTCGGCGACGACGAGTGCAGTGACGCCGTCTCGCTTGACGTAGTGGATGAGGATCTGGTCGGCTGCGTGCGGTGTCGCCGGACGAGGGCGAGGGGAGGGTGCGAGGGGGAGAGGGTCAGCGGAGGAGGCGGGTTGAGGAGAGAGAGAGAGGTGGGAGCGGTGCGCACCGGCATAGGTGAGCTTCGAGTCGTTTGGCGGGATCTTGCTGAGGATGGTCTGGCACGCTGCACGGGGCGGGAGGGCGTGTGAGCGGTCCGGTGACGAGGCGAGCTGATGAGGACGAGGGTGGGGGAGCGGGCTCACCAGAGAAGTACTGCTCGCCGGCGGTAGAGTGGGCGGCGAGGATCGTGTCGTCTCGAGCGACCAACGCAGTCAGGAGGCTCATGGTGCGAGGTGGAGCGAGTTGGCGAGAGCGAGCCTGGTCGCTTCGCTCGTCGCCGCTCTCTGAGCCTCATCGGCTCCCTCTCGCCTCTTTCGAGCTGTTTTCAAGCTGTAACAGGCTCATTCTTTCCACGATAGAGAGACCCTCGGCGGACGTTTCGAGCGAGAGGGAGGAAAACACCGCTCGCGCTCTCGAAAGCTCTCCGCCGAGTCGAGGTGCAGCAAGCGCTAAACGAGGTGCGGTGCAGCGAGACGAGGCTCTACTATGGACAAGGTACGGTGTAGGGGTAGTGCTACAGGGTGGGGATATGAGGGAGAGAGGGGAGAGGGAGAGCGAGGGAGGAGGTCGAGTGGGTGCGAGCGGCGCGCTCGTCTCCCTTGCACGCCGGCTCAGTACGCCTCGCGCGTGACGGGCCCGTGGCCGGTCATGCCCTGGACGTGCGCCATCTCGGGCTGCGCGACAGAGCTCGCGGCCGACTGCTGCGGCGCGTACGCGCCGTACGAGCCCGCCGTCGACTCGCTCGGGCGCGCCGTGCCCATCTCGACGGCGTCGAGCGTCGCGTTGTTGTGGTCGAGCTGGCCGATGCCGCCTGGTGCGCCCGGGAGCGACGCACGCTTGTGGAAGTGGAGCGTGTTGGCCTTGTCCTCGGCAATGAGGCGCTCGTCGAACTTGTGCCCGACCGTCTTTGTCGCCGGCCACAGGTCGAAGATGAGCGAGACGAGGTACACGCCGTACAGGACCGCGATCAGCCACTCCAGGCACGCTATGTCCGCAAGTAATAGAGAGGTCAGGCGCCCAGGAAGTCGTGGGAGAAGGGAGGAAGGAGAAGGGGCGCACCTGCGGCGGACTTGACGCGGTTGCACTTGGCCGAGAGCGGCACGCCATCCTCAGAACCGGCGCATACGCCGTACGCACTCGCGAAGGCCACAGCTGCGGCGATAGCAAAGGCGACGATCACCCACTTGATGATCGTCCCGCGACGAAGGTGCTTGCGGTCGACGTGGTCCTGGTGGAGCCAGTGGAGCTCGAGGGTCTGGGCGAGCGCCGAGGCGGCGATGCAGACGACGAAGATGGCGGTGCAGGTCCAGTGCCCGGTCGAGTGCGTGACGGCGTTGAAGCAAGTGAGGAGGATGAGGGCGATGCCGCCGCCGATGCCGAACACGAGCGCGACGATGTCGGCGTTGCGGTCGCGCTTGCGGAGCGCACCCGGGATGCGACGAAGGTGGCGGAGCCAACGCTCGGAGAGGAGCGAGAGGATGTCTGCGAGCGAGCGAGTCGTCAGCAGGCTGCGCGAGTTGGGAAGGTCGTCGCCGACGACGAGAGGATTTGGGGGACGCACAGAAGACGGCCGTCATCGAGCCGAGGAAGATGAAGAGCCACTGGTGGGCTGCGCCGATGTTCGAGACGTACTGCGAGGCGGGAGAGAAGAGGGAGGGTCAGTGGCGGTCCTCGCGAACGACGGGCTCGAGCGCGTCTCGCGCATCTTCTCCCGAGTGTGCAGGAACCTGGACGTACCACGATAGTCGCCTGCTCGACCTGATACTGCCTCGCGTTGTCGTCGACGGCCCACCACAGGAGCAGTCCGACTGTGCGCGACGAGGGAAAGGAGGTCAGCCGCCGCCGACACTCGCGAGCGTAGCTCGCTCGGCTCGACTCGGATACAAGGGGAGGGGGGCGCACGAATGAGGGAGAACCAGCTTGCGGCGGCGATGGTCGGGAGGACCCAGTACAGCGAGTTGTACCGGATGCGGCGGCCTTGCGGCACGTTGACGACGGGGCCCGTCATGAGCTGTGGCGGCGACTTGAGAGGGTGGCAAGGCGATATCGAGTGTGCGCGAGGGGTACTGCGGCGCGACGAGGCGAGGCGACGAGGTGCAGGTCTGCATCGGGATCGAGCAAGGTCAGCTCGGGCGAGTGGAGCTCGAGGAGGAGGAGGACGTCGCGGACGCACACTTGGACGAGGCGCAGCTGGCGGGACGAGTGCACACAATCGCTCGAAAGCGACAGAAGCAGACAAGAGCGCGAGTTGGCCGAGCGAGGTGTTCGAAAAGAGAGCGAGAGTGGAGGAAGGGCAGACGATCTGCTCGACCGCGTCATTCAGTCGCACTCTGGTTCGGCGACCGACGCGCCGTGCGTCCGGCCTCGCTTCGGGTCCACCGGGCTGCGGCGCATCCGAGCTAGTCTGTTGCGCACTCTCGTCCCTCGACGAGGCGATCGAGCTTGAGCAAGGCCGAGCGCTCGCAGAACCGGCGCAGTCGAACTTCACGGTCAGCTGGCGAGGCGACGGCTGTCGACCTTTGAGCTCCGTCGCCCGCAAGAAGGAGGCCTCGTCGTTCGCCAGAAGGAGGGCGAACCGGAGTCCCGAGCGGTCAAAGCGTTGGGCGGACGGGCCGCGGCGCGGTGTTGGGCTTTCGACTGAGCCTCCCCTCATCCTCTTGACATTACTGCTCGCTTTGTAGTCTCAATCCAAAGCGAGTTGGACGACCTCGTCTCGCGGGGCAGCAGCCACTCTTGGTCCGCTGTACTACGCGCCACATTGTACCATCCTCGGGTTTCCACCTCCCTGAGGACGGCCTATCGATGCGCGCCAGACCGACACACCCACCCTGCTCTCTCTCGCCTGCCCGGACCTCTTCAAGCCGCCCTTTCAGGACGACAGAGGAGACCTCGAGGGAGCTGCAGGCTTCGGCTAGCGCTCTCCGAGCCCGAGGGGGTGACCGAGCAGGGCCGGCACATCTCCCCAAGAGCGGTAGCATCGATGCAGGGCGCAGGCAGGCCGCAGGAGGGAGCGAGGGCGGCACGGAGGACGAGGAAAAGGTTCGGGAGGAGGACGAGGAGGAGTGGAGGTGGAGCTCGCTCAGGCCTGGCTCGTTCTGTTCGGGGTCAGCCCTGCTGCATTGCACCACACATCTCCATCGTCTGCCTGAGCCGTCGTCCCTGCGAGAGAGCTGCCGAGAGCTGCCACGGAGGAGTCTGTCGTCGGCTGCCGACCGCCTCGCTCGCCCATAGTCTCGCCCACGGCACGAGCGCACCAGCTGCGCAATCCAGCAGCACAGCACGAGCTCGCAGCACGCCCTGCAGCTCGCACGAGCGCGCGCAACGCTGGCCATCGCGTCCTGTCGCGTCCGTCGTTCTCGGCGAGGTTGACGTCGTCTCGACATGGCGGCATCAGCAGCAGACGCAGCGGCGGCAGCACCGAGGGCCATTGCCAAGCTCCCGGAGCACGTCGTCAACCGCATCGCTGCAGGCGAGGTGCGCCCCATCTTCCTCCTCTCCCCACCTCCCGAACTCGCTCAGCCCGCTCACTCGCCCGCTCCTGCCGCAGATCATCCAGCGTCCGTCCAACGCGCTCAAGGAGCTCATCGAGAACGCGCTCGATGCCGGCGCGACGAGCATCCGCATCACGGTCAAGGACGGCGGCCTCAAGCTCCTCCAGATCCAGGACAACGGCAGCGGCATCCGGGTGCGTTCCTCGACTCCTCCTCCTTCCCTTCCTTCCGTCGAGGTAGCCCGGCGTGGGATGGCGGACGGCGCTGACTCGTCTCGCACGTCGGCCTGCAGAAAGACGACCTGCCCATCCTGTGCGAGCGCTTCACCACGTCCAAGATCAAGGCGTTCGAGGACCTGTCGTCGCTCGGCACGTACGGCTTTCGTGGCGAAGCGCTCGCGAGCATCAGCCACGTCGCCCACCTCATCGTGACGACCAAGACTCGCGACGAGACCTGCGCCTGGAAGTGCGTCGCCGACAGCCCTCTCATTCGCGCGCCTCGCGCTCTCGAGAGCTGACTCTCTCGCACACAGGGCCGCATACGCAGACGGTGACATGGTCCCGGTCAAGTCGGGCAGCAAGGACTCGGCGCCTGTGCCGTGTGCGGGCAACGACGGGACGGTTCTCGCTGTGCGTGGTCCTTCCTCACCCTCATTCCGCTCGCCCGTCAACGCCTCACTCACGCTCTCCTCCTCTACAGGTCGAGGACCTGTTCTACAACACGCCGCAGCGCCTGAAAGCTCTTCGCTCGGCCGCCGACGAGTACGCCCGCATCCTCCAGGTCGTCATCGCCTACTCGATCCATAACGCCGGCGTCGCCATGTCGTGCAAGAAGGCGTCCGCCGGCTCGTCCAACGCAACGGCCGACGTCAACACGACCGTCGGCGCGAGCACGCTCGACAACATCGGCGCGACGTACGGCGAGCCGGTCAAGAGCCAGCTCTTCGAGGTGGCGGCCGACAGCGCCGAGCCGAGGGTCAAGCTTCGAGCGTGGTGCAGCGGGACCAACTACCAGGGCAAGAAGGGCCGGTACCTGTTCTTCATCAATAGTGAGCCCCGTCCCTCTCCCCCTCGTCTCTCTCGCTCTCCCCAGGAGACTGACTCAGAGCCCTCTCTTCCACAGACCGCTACGTCGACTGTTCGCCCCTCAAGCGTGCTCTCGAGGCCTTCTACTCGAACTTTCTCGCCAAGGGCACGCACCCGTTCGTCTACCTCAGCCTCGAGCTCGACCCGAACAAGGTCGACCCGAACGTGCACCCGACCAAGAAGGAGGTCGGCTTCGAGGACGAGACCGAGATCGTCGAGCTCGTGTGCGAGCGTCTCGCCGACGTGCTGGCGAGCCAGGGCGACAGCAGGAGCTTCAAGGTGCAGGTCCGTCGACCATCTCGCTCCCTGCCTGCCGTCATCGCGAACGTGACTGACCCGCCCCGCCTTTGCGCACAGACCCTCCTTCCTTCCGGCGGCACGCCCAAAGCTCCTCGTCCATCCTCCACGACTACGCCTACCACGTCGACAGCTCGCAAGCCGGCCGGCTCGTCGTCGAGCAAGCCGTCCAAGGTCGCGCCCAACAAGCTCGTCCGCACCGACGCCCAGTCGCAGACGCTCGACGGCCTGTTTCCGACCATCCCGTCGGCATCCAAGCTCCGCAAGGCGACCACGACGAGCGGTGTCCTCGACGACGGCGCCGACGCCGACGACCGAGACGCCGACGACCGCGCGAGCAAGAAGCGCAAGTCGGACCACGACCCGGCGTTCGCGGCGCAGCTCGCGGCCGACCAGGCGACGGCGCACCGCAGCGCGAGGGTGCGCATTGCGCAGAGCGAGTGCGCCCTGACGAGCGTCAAGCAGCTGAGGAAGGAGGTGCTCGAGGCGCGGCATCAAGGTGCGTCCGTCTCTCTCGTCGAGCGACGAGCGCCTGCTCAACGGGATCCTGACTCCCTCCTCCTGCAGGTCTCGAGGACGTCGTCAAGAACCACATCTTCGTCGGCGTCGCCGACTATGCGACGTCGCAGTCGGCGATCCAGCACGGCACCAAGCTCTACCTCGCCAACCACGCCGTCTTCGCGTGCGTCCACCTCTCCCTTTTCACACCTCGCCCACCTCACCCACCCTCGACACGTCCCTGACGCCGTCGCTGGCCCGCACGCTCGCAGCGAGGAGCTCTTCTACCAGCTCGGCCTGCGCCAGTTCGGCCGCTTCTCGCGTGTCCGCCTCAAGCCGGCGCACAACGTGCGCAAGTTGCTGCACCTCGCGGTCGACAAGGCGAGCGCGAACGGCGCGAGGGAGGGCAAGACGTCGTGGAGCTCGGACAAGATCGTCGAGGTGCGTCCGGCTCGTTCCTCCTCGACTCTTGTTGCGCCGTCCTCGACGGGCGCTCGTCCCTGACCGGCGATCTGGTTCGACCCGCAGCACGTATACACGTCGCTCTTCGACGCTCGCGCCATGCTCGACGAGTACTTTGCGTTCGGCATCTCGGACGACGGCGCGCTCGAGTCGCTGCCGCTCGTCCTGCCCGGCTACCAGCCAGACATCCTCAAGCTCCCTCTCTGTGCGTCGCTCATGCTCCCTCATGTCTCTCTTTCTCTCTCCATCGACTCATTCACTGATTCCCTCGTCAAATTGCGCAGTCCTCCTGCGCCTCGGCGCTCACGTCGACTGGCAAGCCGAGAAGCCGTGCTTCGACGGCTTCCTGCGCGAGCTCGCCTTCTTCCACTCGCCGGCGCCTTCGCCCGACCTGCCGACGCCGAACCCCGAGTCGCAGGCCCAGGCCAAGCACGCCGTCGAGCACATCCTGTGGCCGACCATGCGGCAGTACCTCGTCCCCAGCGACAAGCTCATCGAGGACAAGGCCGTCGTGCTCGTGACAAAACTCGAGCACCTGTACAGGACGTTCGAGCGGTGCTGAGCGGGTGGAGCAGAGAGACGAGGGAGTGGCAGGGTGTGTCGCCGTCGGCGTGTTGTTGTACACCTTCTCGTGCTTGCCAATTTCTTTCCGTGTTCGCCCTTTCCTCTGCAGCTAGCCACAGCGAGACGTGAGCGACGAGTAGAGAGACATGTGCTGCGAATTGCAAGTGCGACGGCAGAGTCGGAAAGGCTACGAGGGTGCCGCCGCCGTCGCGAGGCCTGAGCGCTCTCGCAGCTTGAACGTGCGCTCGATTGCCGCCTGCAGGTCAATGGTCATCAGGTTCGGGATGCCGAGAACGATGCGCAAGGACCAGAGGGAGGAGAGGACGCACAGCGCTCGTGTCCCACCGGTACCGACTTAGAGCCCTCTCCTGCTCGACCTCCCGCTCGTCCTCGCTCTCGTCCTCCTCACTCTCCTCGCTCGCCCGCCCACCTTTGCGCGCCTTCTTCTCCGCCAGTCTCCTCCTCCGCACCGCCCTCCTGGCCTCGCCCTCGCTCGCCGGCGCCTCGGCCCTCACCTTCCCCCCGACGTACAGCCTCACGAGCGGCACGTCCCTGCTCGTCGGGCCCGTCGCGAGCCCGAGGTCGTAGCACGCGCCCTGGTTCTCGTCGGCCGACGCGTCGAGGACCGAGAAGGAGAGCGATGGCGAGGCGTACTGCGCCGAGAGGCGCGAGAGCGTCATCTGCAGGTCGCGTGAGGTGGACGAGTGCGGGACGTGGAAGTGGACGAGGTGGGCGAGAGTCGGGCTCGGGGCTGTCGTGGATGCGAAGGATGAGGAAGGGGAGGAGGAGGGGAGCTCGACGATGCGCGGACTGGCGCCAGTCGAGTCCGAGGAGAAGGTCGAGGTCGGCGGGAGAAGGAGGATCTGGGTTTCGAATTCCTGCGAACGAGACCGTGAAAGCGAGCGGCTTTCTCGGCAAGCTCGCACCGATAAGAGAGAGGGACGGACCTCGCCGTTCAGAGCGCGCATCTTTGACGGCCCGAGGTAGTCGGGCTGAGGGAGGAAGAACGAGACGGCTGCGGGCGTGAAAGCAGAGGTCAATGTCGCTCCCGATGAGTCGAAAGAGATAGTCGACGCACCGAGCCACGCAGAGAGGTAGGCAAGAGTCCACCAACCCGAGATGCCGAGCGGCTTGCGGCAGAAGAACAGGCCGCACAGGTTGAACAGGCGCAGCTGCGACGTCGTGCTCGCGTGCAGGGTTTCTGTGCGTGTCAGGCGTCAGGTTCGGACTCGTATGCGCATGATAAAGAGGGGAGACGGACCGAGATTCTCGGATCGCTTGCGCAGAGCCGCCGAGAGCGACAAGAGGACGGGCGTGGCGAGGAGCGCGGTCGTGAGGGCGGTCGAGGCTCGAGACGACGAGACGAGGACGGCGGGTAGGGGCAGGCACAGGGCCGAGTTGGCGTAGTAGTGCGGATGGTTGAGCCGTTGTGCGAGGTGGGTTGTCGGAGGAAGCCGTTCGGGCGTGGTCTGCGAGGTCAAAGAAGTCAGTTCGGCGACTGACGAGGGTGATAGGCAGGGGAAGCTCACAGAGGTAACTGGTTGCATCGTCTGCGTAGGGAAGAAAGGCGCAACGAGGGTGGTCAGCGCGCTCAAGGAGGGAACGAGGAGGGTGCGAGGCGAGCAAGGCCGTGTCCCGCCGCCCTCTCCAGCTGCTGGCCCGTCCGCCCGCCCGAGCACTCGATAGTGCTTCTGACACAACTTGAGGGCGCCGTACCTTGACCAACGAGTGGACGTGGTCGAAGGAGGGGTCGTCGAGGTTTGGCGACTGATGAAGAGGAGGGACGACGACGAGGCCTCTCGCGGCGCTGCTGGGACCAGGAGAGCACCCTGGCGCACCACTGGGTGCTGTACAGCGACGTCTGCGGACCCCTTGCCGTGGCGGCGAGCAGCTTTCGACAGAGGCGAGACTGAGAGCCAGCCTCCTCACTCTCCCTCACTTCGAACGGCCCCTGCTGGCCGAAAGCTGGGCAGACCTGCGCAGAGCACAGCATGCCACGGCCCAGCTTGCTGCCCGTCTCGCTCGTGTGCTCCATCATCGTCCTCGTCGCCCTCTGGCGGTCCACGCACCGCCCCACCGCAGCGTGAGTTCCCTCCCACACAGCCAGTCCTGGCGTGCCCTGACTCACGCCTTCACCGTACAGATCACTCGACGAGGTCGAGCCCGACGTCGACCCGTCCCTCCTGTGCGACCCGTTCGCCGAACCTGGCTTCCTCGTGAGCCTCGCCTCTCCCCCATCTCGCACCACCTAGCCCGTCAGGCCGCACGAGCTGACACGTTCCCGCCACCGCAGCACTATGACGAGGACGATCCGCTCCAGGCGCGGTGGATCCCGTACAGCCCGACGTGCGAGCCCGCGCCCGACTGGATCTCGCACATCCGCAACCGCGACCACGACCAGCTGTCGTTCCTCGCCAACCGCACCATCCTCATCCTCGGCGACTCGGTCGACCGCAACGGCATCCACCACATGGCCGAGATGCTCGGCCTCCCGCGGTACGTCGTCCCGTACGACGACTACAGCAAGAAGGGCGTCGTGCCGCCAGGGTGGGACGAGCGCGGCCTGCCCTGGGTCGTCGAGATCCCGTGGACCAACACGTACTTCACCAACGGGTTCATGTACGGTCTTGTGCGTCCCCTGTTTCGCCTCTCGCCGCTCGCCCGCAGCCAGGCGGTCCCGAGCTGACCTCGTCTGGCCCCCTCCCTCCCACTATCGTCCGCGCGCAGGACGACGAGGACAACTTTCGACAGCAACCCGACTGGCACGCGCCGGGCAAGGCCGAGGACCGCATCGACACGCTCTTCAAGGTGCACACGGATCAGCTCCCGTTCCCGCCGTCCTTCATCTCGCTCCACTCGGGCTGTGCGTCCCTCTCCTCCCCTCTCGACTGGGTCGACTCATCCATGAAGGGTATTGACGTCGTCATTCCCTCCTCCTCGCAGTGTGGGACCTCGCCTTCTTCGGCCGCCAAGATCGCGTCTCGCGCCTGTCGACCGAGATCCCGCTCACGCACGCGCGCGTAGAGTGGTGGCAACGCCGCCTCAAGGAGGTCATCGGTCACGTCAACACGACTTGGCCCGGCGTGCCGCTTTGGCTGCGCAAGCTGCACCGGGTCGGGCCGGTCGGGCCCGCGAGCTGTACGTCCGCCCTTTCTCTTCTCGTTCCTCCTCCGCCTTCTCCTCTTGCCATCGAGGTCGAGCCCGCAGCTCGAGGACGTGTCTGACCTCGTCTCCCTCCTTTTACGTCCCTCCCTCTCTTCTTTCGCCCGCTCGCTCGCGTGCAGATGACTGGCGCCACACCGGCTCGGGCGACGACGCGACCAAGGAGCAATTCTCCAACTTCTTCACCGACATCCGGGTCCACACGATCCGCGAGATGTCGGACCAGGTCGTGCGCGACGTCGGCGTGCCCGCGTTCGACTTTGGCGAGGTGTGGGAGGGGTGGCAGAGCCACCAGGACATGGTGCACCCGAAAAAGGTGCGTCCCGCGCTCTCTCCCTGCCTCGTTCTCGCTCTGCCTCGGTGCGGCCGGGTCTCGCATCGTCGGCGAGCCCGAGCTGCTCGATACCAGGTTCGCGGTCGACACGGACTGACGCCTCGCGCACGCTCGCAGTTTCCTGGCGGGCCCGCGTACGTCCAGGCGCTGCTGCACCACATCTGGATGGAGTCGCAGGGGCGCGACAAGTGGCGGCTTGCGGCGAAGCGGCCGCTCGCGGCGGTGCCGGGGCAGCAGGGCGCCGAGCGAGGGCGGTTGTAGCGAGCGGGAGGAGCGCTCAAGGAGGGTCCGGGCGGGCGAGGCTCGCTCCTTTTTCGCGCTCTCTGCAGTGAACATACCCTGAGCCAACGTCCTGATTGGGCTGCACCCGAAAGCTGTCCACAGCGAGCCTGTAGCGGAGCAGCCGAGCCAAGTTGGTCGCTCTGCGGCCAAGTCGCGCCGCGTCGAAGAGGCCTCATCTCACCCTCGCTCAAACCCGCCTCGAGCACCGCCGGCAGCTCTACACTCGACCCGGGCACTTGTACAAGCACCGCCAGACGCGCGCACCACTCGCCGCGACCCCTGTGCTCCTCCTCGAGCCTCCCCCCGCTCGTCACCCACTCGGGCCCTCTCGTCCCGCCTCAGCCGCCCAGTGAGCCTGGCCGAGCGCACCAAGGAGCTACACGACTCGCACAAGACCGCCCGGACAGCGCGCCCATCATGCCGGGAGTCTCGCTCGTCGCCATCCTCGACCTCAAGGGCAAGGTGAGCCCTCGCCTCTCTCCCTCGCTCTCTACGGCCTCGAGCTGCGCAGGACACGCCCTGACACGGCTTGAGTACCGCCACGCAGTCCCTCATCCAGCGCTCGTACCGCGACGATGTGCCCGCCTCGGCCATCGAGCGCTTCCTCCCTCTTGTCCTCGAGCAGGAGGAGGAGGGCTCGTACGTCGTGCCGTGCTTCTCGAGCCAGGGCATCAACTACCTCCACATCCGCCACAACAACTTGTACCGTGCGTCCAACTTCCCCTCGTGCCCCTCTCGAGAACGACGAGCCCGCGGACTGACCCCACTTGGCCCTCCTCCCTCTCCCTCATGCAGTCGTCGCCCTCACCAAGAAGAACTCGAACGCCGCCGAGATCCTCACTTTCCTCCACAAGCTCGTGTCGGTGCGTCCCTCTCTCCCTCGACCCCACCCTCCTGCCCCGGACCCGCACGCTGACCTCGACTCGACGCGCACCCAGGTCCTGACAGAGTACTTCAAGGAGCTCGAGGAGGAGTCGATTCGGGATAACTTCGTCATCATGTGCGTCGCGCTCATTCTCCTGGCCACGTCTCGACCGACTTGGACGAGCGCTGACCTTGAGGACTTTGGACGGCACGCAGCTACGAATTGTTCGACGAGGTCATGGACTTTGGCTACCCGCAGACGACCGAGAGCAAGATCTTGCAGGAGTGCGTCCCACGCCTCCCTTTGCGGCAGTCTCCTTGCACGAGTCACTCACCAATCTCGTCCTCGCTCGCAGGTACATCACGCAGGAATCGCACAAGCTCGAGGTGCAGGTGCGCCCGCCGATGGCCGTCACCAACGCCGTGTCGTGGCGGTCCGAGGGCATCCGGTACCGCAAGAACGAGGTGTTCCTCGACGTCGTCGAGAGCGTCAACCTGCTGGTCCGTCCCCGCCTTCTCCTCTCGTCCTTCTCGCTCGAGCGCGCGCTCACGCAGTCTCTCGTTGCGCAGGTCAACGCAAACGGCAACGTGGTGCGGAGCGAGATCCTCGGCGCGGTCAAGATGAAGTGCTACCTGAGCGGCATGCCCGAGCTGCGGTTGGGCCTGAACGACAAGGTCATGTTCGAGAACACGGGCAGGAGTACGTCCCGCTCCCCTCGCTCTCTCGCATTTTCCCTCGTGCGCCATTGACACCCTCGTCTTCGGCGCAGCATCTCGCGGCAAGGCGATCGAGATGGAGGACGTCAAGTTCCACCAGTGCGTGCGCCTGTCGCGCTTCGAGAACGACCGCACCATCTCGTTCATCCCGCCCGACGGCGAGTTCGAGCTCATGAGCTACCGCCTCAACACCCAAGTCAAGCCGTTGATCTGGGCCGAGGCGCTCATCGAGCAGCACTCGGGGAGCAGGATCGAGTACGTCGTCAAGGTGCGTCCCTCTTTCTCTCCCTCTCTCTTTCTCTCTCCTCTTGGAGCAGCCTTCTCCTGACACGCTCGACGACGTCTCTCGCAGGTCAAGGCCCAGTTCAAGCGCCGCTCGACGGCCAATAACGTCGAGGTCTTCATCCCGGTCCCGGACGACGCCGACTCGCCCAAATTCCGCGCGAGCGTCGGCACGGTCCACTACGTGCCGGAAAAGTCGGCGTTCGTGTGGCGGATCAAGCAGCTCGCCGGCGGCAAGGAGTTCCTCATGCGGGCGCACTTTGGCCTGCCGAGCGTCCGAGGAGGTGCGTCCCCTCTTTTTGTCCTCTTTCTCGTCCTTCTGCCCCTCGCCGCGGTCCTTACTCACAGTCTCGACGTACGCAGAGGAGCTCGACAAGCGTGCGCCGATCACGGTCAAGTACGAGATCCCCTACTTCACCGTCTCGGGGATCCAGGTGCGGTACCTCAAGATTGTCGAGAAGAGCGGGTACCAGGCTCTCCCTTGGGTCCGGTGCGTCTCTCGTCCTCTCTTCTTCTTTCTTCCCTCTCTCTATTCCCCTCGTCGGCGACGGCGACCTCGCGCAAGTACTGACTCGCTCGGTCCCCCTCCTCGCCCACCTCCCTTCTCTTCTCGTCGCCCGCCTCGCCTCACAGCTACATCACCCAGAACGGCGACGACTACTCGCTGCGGACCAACGTGCACGCGCCAAAGACGCAGGCCGGCGCCTTCTAGATACCCTCCCTCTCTTGCTCGATCTCTTCCTCCTTCTCGTCGTCGTGCACCAGTCGTTCCGCTCCCGTCCTGTCTGTAACTTTCGGATGGGCTGTCCCTCGCACACCTTCCTGAGACGAGCGAGCGAGAGAGCGAAAGCGAGAGCAACTTGGGCTCTCTCGAGAGCGGGCTTTCCTCGGCGGCGTCCGGGCGACAGCGAGGAGAAGGGCACTCGAGTTTCAGATTCAGGGCACGGCATGTTGAGGCAGAGCTACGGTAGAGGTACAGGCGCGAGGAGGCTAGGGCTCAAAGCGAGAGGGAGGGGGTGACACAGAATGACGAGGCGAGAGAGACGAGGGAGGGGGAGGGGGACCGAGCGGGGGCCGCTCAGAGCTTGGCCGGGCGGGTCGGCGCGGCGTACTCGTCGAGGTGGGGCCTGCAAATGACGCTCAGAGTCAGTTCAGGAATCGTCGAGGACGAGAGAGAGGTACGCACGTGAGGTCGGTCGTGAGGAAGTCGGACAGGGCCTGGGCGCGGATCTGGCTCTTGAGGTACCGGGCGCACAGGTCGACGCGCTTGTCGTCGAGGCCGCTCTTCTTAGTCTTGACGGCCTCCTCGTCGATGAGCTTGTCGACGTAGGCGTGCGTGATGGGCTTGCCGTCGACCGTCTTGGCGCCGTGGCGGACCCAGTGCCACAGCTGCGAGCGCGAGATCTCGGCCGTCGCGGCGTCCTCCATGAGGTTGGCGACGGGGACGCAGCCGAGCCCGGCGACCCAGTTGGCGCAGTAGTGCAGGAGCGCCATGCAGTTGCCGCGCACGCCGTCCTCCGAGATGCCGCCGGGCACGTTGGTGTTGAGCAGGTCGAGCGCCGTCACGTGCACGTCCTCGCGGCGAATGTGGTACTGGTTCGGGCCGGGCATGCCCTTGTTGAAGATGTCGAGCGCGATCTTGACGAGGCCCGGGTGGGCGACCCACGTGCCGTCGTGGCCGGCGTCGCACTCGCGCTGCTTGTCGGCGCGCACCTTGTCCATGACGGCGTTGTTCTTGGCCTCGTCGTTCTTGATCGGGATCTGGGCCGCCATGCCGCCGATGGCGGCGACGCCGCGCTTGTGGCACGTCTTGATCAGGAGGCGCACGTAGGCGTCCATGAACGGGACCGTCATCGTCACGTTGCTGCGGTCCGGCAGGACAAAGTCCGGGTGCATGCGCATCTTCTTGATGAACGAGAAGATGTAGTCCCACCGGCCGCAGTTGAGGCCCGACGAGTGCTCGCGCAGCTCGTAGATGAACTCGTCCATCTGGAACGCGGCCGTGATCGTCTCGATGAGGCACGTCGCGCGGATCGAGCCACGCGGGACGCCGACGTAGTCCTGCGACATGCAGAAGATGTCGTTCCACAGGCGCGCCTCGAGGTAGTGCTCCATCTTGGGCAGGCTGTGCGCGCGAGTCGAGTTTAGGAAGGTCACGTCGGGCTCCTTTGACGGACGACGACGACGAGGACGAGGGACGCACTAGAAGTAGGGGCCCGAGCCACGCGCGAGCGCCTCCTTGGCGTTGTGGAAGAAGAACAGGCCAAAGTCGAAGATGGAGCCGGACATGGGCTGGCCGTCGACCGTGATGTGGGGCTCGTCGAGGTGCCAGCCGCGAGCGCTGCGGGCGACGAGAGGGAACGGCCTCGTCAGTGAACGCTCGAGAGGGAGGAGGACGGGGAGGAGGACGAGGCCGCACCGGACGATGAGGGTGGCGATCTTGTCGTTGAGCTTGTACTCCTTGCCGTTCGGGCCCTTGAAGGCGATCTTGCGGCGCACGGCGTCGTACATGTTGACCTGGCCGTCCATGTTGTTGAGCCACGTGGGCGAGTTCGAGTCTGCGAGGACGAGGAGGGAGCGAGTGAGCCACGGCGGAACGAGGCGAGGGTCCGAGGGGATGTACCCTCGAAGTCAGCCATGAAGGTGGCTGCGCCCGAGTTGAGCGCGCTGCAGGGTGAGAGTTCGAGTCAGTGACGGACGTCGAGGGAGATGGGACGAGCGAGGGGACGCACTTGATGACCATCTTGCGGTCGACCGGGCCCGTGATCTCGACGCGGCGGTCCTCGAGGCCGGGCATGGGCCGCGGGCCCTTCCAGGTCGGGTCGTTGCGGACGTGCTCGGTCTCGGCGAGGAAGTCGGGGAGGGCACCGGCATCAAACTGGGCCTGGAGGAGCTGGCGGCGGTGGAGGAGCTGCTTGCGGGTCGGGTTGAACGAGCGGTGCAAGACGGCGAGGAACTCGAGGGCGGCGGGGGTGAGGATGTCCTTGTGGCGGCCTGCGTAACGAGGGGTATGGGCGTGTCAGTCGAGTGCGAGAGGAGGGGGCGGGCGAGGGCGGAAGAAGGGCGCGGGGAACTGCGGAGGATAGCCTGGGAGGTGCGGGGAGCTCACCCTCGACGGGACCTGTGGTGCAGAGGGTGCAGAGGCGAGTCTAGTCAGTGTGCGGTCCTTGGCTGCAGGCGGGATGCGCCCTCTGCGGTGCCGTGTCGGCAGCCCGTGTCGTCCCGGCGAGCTGGCCCCTCCGACCTCGCTCCGGTGACGCACTCGTCGACCCACGCCCACCCTGGGCACTGCGCCGCCCGTGTGCTGCACTGTCCAACGCGATAAGGTGCCCTCGAGCCGGGCTGGCAGGCCCCACGCCCGCTCGAGAGGCGAGGAGAGCTCGACGAGCCGACGCGGAGATGGCGGCGAGGCGGCCGCGCGAGACGGGGACAGAGTGGGTGGAGGGACGCACCGTTGATCTTGACGCCCTGAGGCAGCTGCGAGGTGCTCATGGTGTGTGTCGGTGTGCTGAGAGTGGGTGGGTGGTGGGAGAGGTGGAGCGTGAGAGGGCCGACGAGGTCGAGCGCTCGAGCGAAGGCCGGTTATCCGGGCGACCTCTCTCCCTCTTGCGCGGACAACTCGGGCTTTTCACTCGCGCTCCTCTGTTCCATGCGACACGCTCCCTTGACTCTACACGCCAAACATGCGCAGAAACATGCGCCCGATCCAGTCGCCGTCGTCGTGCTCGCCCGCGTACTCTCGACTCTCCTCGGCCAGCTCGTGCGAGATGACCCCCTTGGCCTCGCGCATGTCGATGACCTCGTTCACAATCGTGCTGTTGAACTCGGGATGTCCTGCACACACGCGCGAGAGAAAGGGCGAGTCAGGACGCCGCCCAGCCAAACGTTCCCGACGGCTCCGGCGGCACGACGGCGGGAACGGCGAGAGAGGAAGAGAGAGCGAGGACGCACCTTGCAGCGTCAGGATCGACACGTTCTCGACCGTGTGCGGCGCGCCCTCGTCCTCGACAAAGCGCACCATGCCGTGCACGTCGCACCCGGACGACGACCCGAGGAGGTCAAAGCCCTCGGGCACAGTCGGGACGTGATCCCGGTGCATCTGGTGGATCTTCTGTCGACGTGTGTGCATCGAGTCAGTCCCGGCGCAGCTCGTCGCGAGAGGAGAGGGAAGAGGAGGGGGAGGGGGACGCACAATCTTCTCGTTGCCCTCGAACAGCTGCTTGCCGCGCTGCGTCATCTCGATCCTCCTCGTCCCGATCTCCCAGCCCTTGGGGCTGCGCTCGCACGTGCCGCCGTACGCGCGCGCAATGACCTGGTGCCCGAAGCAGATGCCGAGGAGCTTGAGCGACGCGTTCTTGGACGGCAGCGCCTTGATGAACGACATGAGGTCGAGGATCCAGGACTCGTCCTCGTGCGCCGATGCGGCTGCAGTTTGCGACGAACCGAGTCAGTTCGGGTGCTCGACCGAGGCGCTCAAGCTTGAGAGGTGGACGCACCGCTGCCAGAAATGAGCATGCCGTCGGCCTTGCTGAGCTGGTCGTCGCTCGGGAAGTGGCCCTCGACGACGTTGAAGCTGTCGATCGTGAGCTTGTGCCCGCTGCCCTCGGTGCCCGGCTGGGCGCCGTGCTCGGTCGCGGCAAGGCGAATGCCTCGTCGAAAGAGGCCGGTGAAGATGTCGTGGTAGGTGCCGAACTGGGCGACGACGCTGCGTGCGAGGGCGGGAGGGTCAGAAGGGGGGGCGTCATGAGAGTGGGAGAGAGGGGACGCACGCCGGGATGGGCTTGTCGGCGAGGAGGAGGAGGATCGAGACGTCGCGAGATGCAGTGAGCGGGAGGTCGAGGGTGGCCGTGCGGGGAGCCGTGTCGTCGGGGGTGGCCATGACCGGGGCGTGTAGAGCAGGGAGCAGTGCAAGCAGAGCAGGCAGAGCAAGATCGAGCAGGATGTAGCCGAGAGAGTGAGAGGGCGGAGGCGGAGTCTCTTGGCGCCTCCGTCATCACTCGCCCCTGCACCGGCCGAGCACCTGCTGCCGCCCCTCGAGCCTCTGTGCCGATCGAGGTAGCAGCTGGCGACCCCGTCCGACGCGCCTGTGCGCACGCGCGCTTTGCCGCGGTCGTCGAGCGAGCCGGCTTCGAGGTGGACGACGGTGACGGCGCACCTCACCTCGTACGGTGCTGCCTTGCCCGCCAGAACATAGTGTGAGTCTACGCAGCCCTGTTACCGGTCTCACCTTGTCCCCAGAGCTGACATGTCGCGCCCACTCTCATCGCCTCCAGGTTCCTCCTCCCCCCGAGATCCGCCCTCCTCGCCTTCCATAGAGCGCCGTCTAGACGCGCATGACCTCTAGATACGCCATGCTCAACATTGCACCCTCCAACTACCTCCCCGGGCTGGTCCCGGTTCCGCCCCCCTCCTCCGTCCTCGACTCGCTCTCGCGTCTCGCCGCCGCCTACGCCACGCCACCTTCCACCCTCGTCGACTTGCGCCCTTCCGTGTACGCCTACAGCGCGCCGGGCACGAGCGCGCATGACGCGAGCGAGGACGAGGACGAGGCCGGCGACGCGTTCGAGTTCAGCTTCGCGCGAGGGTGGCTCGAGAACGTGCTCGCGCTCGGTTCGAGGGCGCTCGCGAGGGGCGTGGACGAGACGGGAGAGTGGGAGCGAGCGGTGGACGAAGCGGCGAGGCTGCTGGCCGACTTGTCGGGCCCGTCAGGTGCGTCTCGAGCCGCCCTTTCCTCCTCGCGTCTCTCTCGGCGCCGCGCTGACTCTGTTCTCGGGGCGTGCAGCGCAGGGCTCGACGACCAAGACGTACCTCCTTCTCGATTCTGCGCACGGCCTCTCGACGCCTCTCGCGCACCCGTACCCGACGCCGCCGCCAACCCGACCCAGCTCGACCGCCCCTTTCCTCCCGCACACCTCCCCCTCCTCCGGCCCCGCGAGCACTTCCACCGACATCTCGTCGTCATCCCTACGCCTCACGATCCGGGACGGCACGCTCCTCGAAGCGTCGACTGGCCACCGCACGTGGGGCTCGGCCTCGATCCTCGCGCACCTCCTCGCCGCCTCGCCCTCGCGCTTCTTTAGCTCTATCTCGCCCTCTCCTCCCACGCCCTCGCCTCCTCTACGTGTCCTCGAGCTCGGCAGCGGCACCGGCCTCGTCGGCCTCGCGGCTGCCGCCGTCCTGAGCCGGCTCGGCGTCGGCGCGCGAGGAGGAGCCGAGGTCGTCCTCTCGGACGGCGGCGACGAGCCCCAGGCTGTCCTCGACAACCTGCGCGGCAATGTCGACGCTAACGCGGCCGCGATCGGTGACGGCGTGCACGTGCGCGTCGAGCGGCTCGACTGGGGCGACTACGTGCCTCGGGGCAACGGGCCGGCGCCGCTCGAGCAGGTCTCGCCGGCGTCGAGTGCGGCCGAGCGCTTCGAAATCCTCCTCGGGACCGACCTCGTCTACGAGCGCGGCCAGGCGTCGCTCCTGCACGCCGCCGCCGCCGGCCTACTGCGCTTCCCTTCCCCCTCGTCCTCCTCGTCGACCACCTCGCGCCCGACGTTCTGGCTCGCCCTCCCGATCCGCCCGACACACGCCGACGAGACGGCCGAGGTCGCCGAGCTCTTTCCCTCTCGCTTTTCGGCGGCGGTCGCGACGCCGGCGGCGCAGTTGCGCCGCACCGACCCGGAGACGGGCAAGACGTACCGCCTCGTCGCGGTCGAGCGGGAGGAGCTCCTCGGGCCGTCGGGCTTCGTGTCGTCGGGCAGGACGGGCAGGGGTGGAGCGGCGGCCATGGGCGAGCTGCGGTACTGCGTGCTGAGGATCGAGTGGGACGAGGTGCGGTGAGGGCTCGAGCGGCGAGAGGAACAGCAACGATAGAGCGTTGGGCGTGTTGTTATCATCGTGTCCTGCATCTGCTGTCGAGCTTCCCAGGCGAGCTTCGCGAGAGCTGAGCGTCGCTGAGGAAATTGACCGGCTCGCCGTCGGCGCGAAGGTGAGGGGGACATTCCGCTCTTCCTGGCCTTCGTTCTGCACAGCCTAGCTCTGCACAGCCAGTACTCGACTCGATCTATCCGCACTGTGCGTCCACGTTCCGCCCACTCGCCTTGCGCGCTCGCTCACCTCGACCCACCTCCTCCCCACCTCTGGCCACCGCATCGTCTCCCTCGCCTTTCCAACAACCCGCAGACCAGACCAGCACCTTGCAAGACTCGCATCATGGCCCACACTTGCCGCTGGGGAATCCTCGCGACCGGTGCGCCCCGTCTCGCTCTTCCTCTCCCTCTCGCGCCGCAGCTCATCTCGTCACCCAATGCGACAGGCTGGATCAGCACCAAGTTCGTCCTCGACCTCCTCGTCGACCCGACTACGCGCAACGTGACCGACGTCAAGCACCAGGTCGTCGCCGTCGGGTCCCGCTCCGCCGAGAGCGCGGCCAAGTTCGTCGACTCGGTGTGGACCGAGGCCGGCGTCACCGAGGGCAAGGACCAGGTCAAGCGCTACGGCAGCTACGACGAGCTCTTCTCCGACTCGGTGCGTCGTTCGCTTTTGCCCCGGTGTGTCGACCGAGACCTGACCTTTCTCGCGGCCCCTCCAGAACGTCGACTGCATCTACGTCGGCTCGCCCCACTCTCACCACTACGCGCACGTCCATGCGGCCCTGTCGGCGGGCAAGAACGTCCTGTGCGAGAAGAGCCTGACGGTCAACGCGCCGCAAGCCGCCGCCCTCATCCAGCTTGCGCGCGACAAGAGCCTGTTCTTCATGGAGGCCGTCTGGACCAGGTTCCAGCCGTACAGCTACAAGGTCCAGGAGGTGATTCGCTCGGGCGTCATCGGCGATGTCGTCGCCGTGCAGGCCGAGCTGTGCGCCGACTTTACGTCGCAGAGCGACGAGCACCGCCTGAGGAACCCGTACTTGGCCGGCGGCGCCCTTCTCGACCTCGGTGTGAGTCCTCGCTCGACTTTCTCGTCGACTCGAGCTCAGCTCTGATCGTACACTTACGATATCGCCTCCCGCAGCCGTACCCGTGGACCCAGCTCGCCCTCCTCCTCCTCCCGCCGTCCAAGACGTCGACCGACCCGCTCCCTGTGCCCAAGGTCGCCGCCTCGGTCCTCAAGACGTCGACCGGCGTCGACAGCTCGGTCGTCGCCGCCCTCACGTTCCCGCAGGCCGACGGCCGCCTCGTGCACGGCACGCTCACGACGGCGCAGGACCGCCAGACGGCGCACACCCGCTGCGTCTTTGTCCAGGGCACCAAAGGCTACCTCGAGGTCGCCTTCCCGACGTACCGCCCTCGCGCCTTCACCTACTACGCGTACGACTCAGTCGAGCAGGCGGGCGACCCGAGCGCGGCGCCGATCAAGAGCGAGACGTTCGAGTTTGAGCCGCGCCCGGCCGACATCTGGGGCTTTGGGTGGGAGGCCGACGAGGTCGCGAGGTGCCTGCGCGACGGCAAGAAGGAGAGCGAGCGCATGCCGCTGCGCGAGACGCTGCTCATGATGCAGGTGCGCTCAACCCTCTCTCCCTTCCTCTCATCCCTCTTCCTCTCGCTCCCTGTACCTCAGGCTCAGATGCAGCTCGAGGATGACGCTGACTCTCGTCGACGTCCCTGCAGGTCTTTGACGAGATTCGCAAGCAGGGCGAGTTTGTGTACCCCGAGGAGCTCGAGACTCTCGATTTCGCGCAGTAGAGAGACTTGACAAAGACGAATTTGCAGAACAACAGAGACTCGGGCACAGAGGGGATAGGAAAGCTACAAATGAGAGAGAGAGAACGGCCCATGGCGAGCGCGAGCCAACATTATCCGCTCGGGTCGATCGACGGCGGCGAGGACGGCGAGAGGTGCGACGAGGACGAGGTCGTGCTCGTGTCGGCAGGTGCAGGTGAGGACGGGGAGGCGAAGGCGACAGAGGGCGTGCGCGAGCGAGGAGGAGGTGATGCCGAGGCGGGGACGGGGGCGGCCGGGCTCTGTGGGGCGGCAGGCGTCGACGCAGGATGCGGCGACGACGTGGGGCGCAGACGAGGGTGCGGAAGGTGCAGGCGCGGCGTGGTGGCGGCTCCCGGCTTGGCCGCCGCTGCAGACGCGACCTCGTCGTCGAGCGGGTCCGTGCCCTTGTCGACCTCCTCGCACAGCTCCTCCTCGACCTCCTCGTCGCCGAACCCGCCGGCCGGCCGACGCTGGAACATGCTGCTACCCTCGCCGCTCTGCGCGCCCCGCACGCCGGCGAGCTGCTCCTTGAGCCGCGCGTTCTCGGCCTCGAGGTGCGACATGCGCGCGGCGGCGTCGCTCACGACGGTCGCGAGCTGCTCGGCCGACTCGAGGAGGAGGTCGAACTGCCGCTCGTACGAGACGAGGAAGAGGAACTGTCGAGGCGCGGACGGTCGACGTCAGAAATTCGAGGGAAAGGGAGAACGGGAGACTGGGAGGAAGAGGAGGGGGCGAGGACGCACGTGCTCGGTGTCGCCTTGTGAGCTGGCCTCGGCCAGACTTGCAGCGCCTCGCTGAATGAGCTGGTCGACACCGTCGGGTGCGTCCTCGGCGGCGGCGAAGAGGGCGGAAAGCTCCGAGGGAGGGTGGCCGTTGCGCCCGAGCTGCTCGAGGCGTCCTCGTCAGGTTCGTGCGCCGCTCGGGACCGAGAGAGTGAGAGAGTGGGACGCACCATGAAGTAGCGAGCGTGCGAGTGAAAGCCCTTGAGGACCCTGACGATCTTGTCCGGCAGGCCCTCGCCGTCGCGGCTGAGCGGCTCGAAGCCGTCCTTGCTGAGGAGACGGCTCGAGATTCCCTGCGCCGACTCGCCGCGTCGACCGTCCTTGTTGCCCTTGACGCGCCGGTACGCCTTCTTGAAGCGACCGTCGGTGAGCGACGACTTGTACCGCGCCGACCACGACTCGGTGAGAACTGCGCGCGGCGGGCACCAAGGTCAATCCAGGTTACTGGCGATGACGAAGAGGCATGGGAGCGTACCAGAGAGGAGCAGGGTCATGCTGGCGATGCCGAAAATGCTCCACGCGACGAAAAAGGCCCGACCGGCTCTGCGACGTCGAAAAAGGGTCAGTGCGGGTCGTACGAGATCGAGAAGGGGACGATAAGGCTCACGGAGACGTCGGCGTGTAGTCCCCGAGCCCCAGGGTTGTGAAATACTCAGCCGAAAACCAGATGCCGATCCAGAAGCTCCAGCCGTCCTCCGTAACGGAATAGATACCGGCGCCGGCGAGCCAGAACGTGAGGAACACGGACAAGGCGACGGCGAGCTTGACGCGGAACTCTTGCCGTTGCTCGCGGCGGAGCGAGTTGCGGAGCGAGACGAAGCTGCGGTCGATCGAGGTCGTCGTGATGGTCGAGCCGGCCGTCGACGTGCGCTGCAAGTTGCCAGGACCCGGCTCGGTGGCGGCCTCGCAGTCGTGTTCGACCTTGCGACGACGAGGGATGTACTTGGCGACGTAACGACCGGCGACATGAACAGGACGGACGAGCGCTTGCGCGAGGCGCGAACGGGAGGCGGCCGACTCGACTCGCTCGAGGGCGTCGAGTGTCGGCAGCTGCGAGCGCGCCGTCTCCTTGCCCGCCATGGCGCCGATCACGGGCATGGTTGCGCCGAGACCGGCGACGAGGGCGGACCTGCCCGACGGCGGGACGAAGTTGAGCGACGACGGCGCCGGTCCTGCGGGGCCCTGGCGCAAGAGCTCGTCCTCGGCGGCACGACGGGCACGATGGCGCGCGAGCTCCTGCTTCTTGAGGATCGCCGCCTTGCGCTCTCGCGCCTTCTGGGCGAGGCGGTCGCGGCGCGACCGGTACGACCGCTCGAAGCTCTCGATGATGGTCTCGCGCGCGACGGCGACGACGACTGCGAGGTTAATGATGCCGAGAGGGGTGTAGAACAGGGTAAAGATGCGGGCGCCGACCGACTTGGGGAGGACTAGGAGGAGAGGCAGGAGGAGAGGCAGGAGGAGAGGGGGAGGGGGCAAAGTCAGGGCCGTCGGCGAGGTTGCAGAAGGTAGATAAGGGAACGGACGGACTGTCCCCGAATCCGACAGTGGTGAGGATACACTCGGTGAAGTACATGGCGTCGATGAAGCGCAGGTCGGGGATGAGGTACGAGTAGGCGAGCGACCCAAGGCCGAGGTTCAAGAGGAACGACATGGCGACGATGACGAGGGCGCGCTGCTTCTCGGTGAGGCCGCTCCCTGTACGCGCAAAGAGTCAGTCACCGGTACGATGAGGAGAGAGGGCGAGGACGCACCCTTCTTGTCAAAGTTCTCGGTCCTCCACAGGTCGAGCCCGAGCGTGATGTTGCACGTCAGGCTCGCGACGACGGCGGCGAGCGACAGCCACAAGCCGTCGCCGTACACGAAGCCGTCGTTGAAGCGGTGCACGACGAGGAACCAGACGCAGGCGGCGATCGCGATGGCGTCCCGGATCTGGTGAGAGAGAAAGTCAGCGAGGACCGAGGGGGGAACGAGGCAGAGAGACGGGGCGTACCGTGAGCGAGATCATGGCGACCCAGGTCGTACGGCGAGGGCTGTGCTCGAGGAAGCGCCAGATGAGGGCCGCGTTGGCGAGGACGCCGAGCGCGAGCGCGACGGCCTGCTCGACGTCGAGAAGGACCGGGTTGGGCTGCGAGTCGACGATGAGGTCGCCCTGCGTCTTGATGTACCACGGCGTCGTGAGGCCCGGGATGTCGAGGAGGACGGCGAAAGGGCAGGCGAGGCCCGAGATGATAGGCAGGAGGCGAGTGTCGGGAGGAAGGGCGAGCGAGTCGTCGGGGTCCTCGCCGTCGCCGTCGCTCTTGGCTGCCGCCGCCGCCGCCCGTCTGTGCCGTCGCCGAATCATCCATCGCGCAACGAAGCCCGACACGCCCTTGCGCGCGCCGACGGCCTCCTTGTCCTGCTCGCGGCGCTCGCGCAGCTCGTCCACGGCGGCCTCGATCTCGGCCTGCTCGGCGGCATGCTCGTCGAGCTCCTCGTTGTCGGTGCCGTGCTGCGACTCGACCTTGTCGATGGCGGACGCGCCGGACTCGCTGCTTGACGACGGTCCCGAGGCTGGCGCGGGACGAGGGCGGTGGAAGGCGTCGACGGCGACGCTTGGGGAGCGTGGGGGCGCAGTAGCAGCGCTCATGGCGCTAGGAGCGCTCTCGCACGGCCTCGGGATCAGCCAGTGATGTCGGGCGAAGAGTTGTTGGAGGATGAGTGTGGCTTCCCCGGCTCGTCCTCGTACCAGCTCCCCGCCTCGCTCGAGGGCGCGCGCCAGGACACGCAGACCGTCTCTACCGCGACTGAGTGCCGGCGCACCGGCGCGATCGCACCCCGAGCCGCCCCTACCTCCCCGCTCTCCTCGCGCCGCCGTCATCTCTCGTTCGACTCTGACTGTCACCCACCGCCTCCGTGGAGCAGTCGATCCCGTCGAGGTCTTCTGAGCGCTCCTCGCTATGCAGGGGCCGGCTCTGTCGGCCTTGGCTCGCCTCCTTCGTCGACGGCGCGGCGGCGGCTCGCGTCGAGCCTCCTCTCGCGGCCAACAGGCTTGCGCCGCGGTATCTGCTGAGGCTGAGTGGCGGCGGGGCTCTCTACGAGACTCGTCTCGGTTGCTCGAGAGGCCGCGAGCTGGCTCACGGACACGAGCCGGCGCTTTGCCTGAGCGCCGCCTTCTCTTCTCTGGATCGCGCTGCGTTCCTCTGCGCGAGCTTTGCTCGTCGCGGCTACGAGCTCAAGCTTCGCTCGATACGGCACACGTGGTCGGAATGGCAGCCGCTCGGGCGAGGCTCCTTTGACGAGGGCTCCTCGCAGAGAGGCCGCGGGCTTTGCGCGAGTGGCCCGCTTCGCAGCTTCCCGCCTCTCGAAGAACTCGCGTCGATCAGAGAGCCGCAAAGGCCGAACCCGAGCAACGCAGGCGTAAAGCAGGACCGTCGCCGTCAAGGTCGGCTCGAGAGATGCACGTGCGCAAGTGCACGGCGTCTCCTCGCTCTCGCTGCTTCAGATCTGGATGGAGCAAGCAAGGCTCGTTCGTGTCGTACGGTGGTCATAATCACGAGCAGGCGCAGTGCGAGCGATGCCGTTTCAGCTGCAGCGGGCGAGAGCTCCCGACGCGACCTCTCTCCCCCCGTCACTCGCCAACCACCGCCGCACAGCGACAGCCGACCTCGCAGCACCGACACACACGACCGGGCCGCACGCCTGCGCCCCTTGCCTCTCCACCGTCCCCGTTCGCCTCGCCCGCCCGAATGCCCGCCGCCTCTGTCGCCATCCCCGCGACGGCGTGGGACCGCCTGCAGCTGAGCGCGTCGAGTGCGTGGATCCCGCCACCGACTGCCGCACAACGCGCCGCCTTCAGCGCCCGCACGGGCAAGCTCCTCCCCGGCGAGCAGCACGCCGTCAATCTCGTCGACCTCACCCGGTGGAGGAGCGCTCACCCCGACGAGCGGCTCCGGCCCCCAGTCGGCACCGACGGGGCCGCAGACAAGACGTGTGCTTCCAACTACCGGTGCGTCCACGTCCTCCTCTCGTCTCGTTCGAGCTGGGCAGCGGTGGTGGGGCACGGGCGACCTTCCCGCTCTCGAGCGACTCGGCCGCGGCTTCCGCTGCACCCGCTCTGACGGAGCTGGGTGCGCGAGCAACTGCACCGCACCGTGCTGCAGTCCCCGAGCCGCTGCAGCCCTGTGCTCAGCGCGCGCTCGTCAACTCGACCGCGAGCCCCGCACCGACTGCTCCCGATAGAGGCCGCGGGCCGAGACCAATCGGGTCGCGCGAGGGCAGCTCGAGATCTGCGGCTCGTGCTGCAGCTGTCACGGGCGGGCTTGCAGGGCTGGGCATCGTCGCGGTCAACGTCCCGGACGAGGGAGACCGTTCGTCGAGGCCGCCAGAAGAAGGAACCTGCGCTCGTTCTCGCAGCGCACCCGCTCGCCCGGACGTCGACTGACCTCGTCCTGTCCCTTCCTTGCAGCGCACCGCAACACCCTGCCTCGCACGTCCTCCACTCGATCCCGCCTCGTGCCCCCTCGCGCTCGTCGCGCTCCAACATCCTCTCGTACACGATCCACCTCGCGACGTCGTCCCGCCTGTCTTCCTACTCGTCGGCATCTGGGTCCCGCCAGCTCCTCCACCTCGCCGAGCTCGAGCGCGACACGCAGGACGGCATAGACATTGACGAGTCGTGGTTCGAGGCCGAGCAGAAGACGCAGGGCCTGTGGAAGCTCGGCGCCAACTTGCTCCAGTCCAGCCGGCGCGAGGGCGGCGTCCTCCCGCCAGCCGTCGAGCGCCGAGTACATCTCGCCGGCCTCGCAGAAGACGTCCTCCTGTCGCCGGCGGCCGAGCGCGCCGTCACCAAGATCGACGCCGACTCGGTCCAGCCGTCGGCCGAGGTTGACGAGCTCGTCGCGCTCAAGCCCCTCACGGCGCCCGACTCGAGCACGCACTACCACTCGTCGTCGGTCGCGGCCGCAGGCGACGACCCGTCGGGCCGGCCTCGGGTCAACTCGGTCGCCCAGTCGCTCATCGACCTCAAGTTTGGCGTCAAGGCCGAGCCGTCGTTGTCCTCGTCCGCCACCGTCCTCCTCGACGACGACGACAAGCCCCTGTACGACGCACCCGAGTCGTTCGCGGGCGTCCCGTCGTCGTCGACCTCGGACTCGACTGCCGCCGCCGGGCCGTCGACGACGCCGCACATGGACTACCGCATCGTGCTGTCGCAGTCGATGCGGTCCCGAGCGCGCTCCATCTTTGCCCACTCGCCGCTCCCGTCGCTCCCGGCGTCCTACTGCCGGCGGCACCGCGTCCGCTCGTGCGCCGTGTGCGCCGCCCTCGTCGCCGCCGCCTCGGAGCGCGAGAGCAACCACGGCGCCATGCGCCGCCTCAACGTGCCCGGCGCAGGCCTGCGCGGCAGGGGCGCCGACGGCGAGGCCAAGAAGCCGCTCGTCGGGCTCGTGCCGGCGTTCCTCAAGTTGAGCGCGGCCCTCCTCGAGGACGTCAGGGAGCGCGGCGGCCGGTCCGCCTCGACCGACGCCGACGCGCTCTTTGCCGCGGCGGCGGTCGATGCGGGTGCGGCGGGCAAGGGCAAGGGGCGAGCGGGTGCCGGAGACGAGGACGAGGACGAGCAGCGCCGGCACGACTTGCACGTCACGGCCGAGTGGTTCGACCTGTTGACGGCGCTGCTCGTCCAGGCGTGCCTCGAGGGGTACCTCGTCGACGGCTGGACCGGCACCGAGGGCGTCGAGACGCTCTTTGGCGTCGGCTGCGGCGTGTGGGAGGGCCGAGGGTGGAGCGCGCCGACGCCCGCCGCCGCCGTCGCCGCGCCGGCCGCCGCCTCTTCTTCTGCGGCGACTTCGCGCCGTGCGTCGGTGCAGCACCATGTCGAGGACGACGGCGACTGGAGCGAGAGCGACGAGGACGACGACGAGGGCGAGACGGACGACGAGGCCGAGCGGCAGCGCGTGCGCGAGGAGGAGACGCGCGCGCTCGTGTGCGCGGCAAAGGTCCTGTTCGGCTCGAGGGACGTCGCCCAGGCCGACTACGAGCGCGGCATGCGCGACAGGACGCACGAGGTGCGCTCCCCTCTCCCTCTCTCTTCCTCGCCGAGCATGAGAACCTGACCCTCTCTCTCTCTCTCTCTCCTGCAGTTCCTCAACGTCTCGCAGAGCAAGGACCTGCACCAACACCTCGACGCGCTCAACACCAAGTACCCGCTGTCGCAGTTCGAGGACGCCCTCGTCGACTTTATCGAGGCGGGCGTGCGGCTGCTCGGCAAGCCGGCTTTGGCAAAGGTGCGCCGGACCGCTCTCTCCTTGCGTCGAGCCTGCCTCTCTCTCCACGAGACCGTCATTGACGCTCGTTCTTTGGGTCCTTCCTACAGCACGACCCTCGCTCGACGGCCTCGAGCAGCGACTCGGACCCGTACGCGCTCGTGCGCTACTTTGCGCCGACGGCGCGCACGACGGCGCCAACCCGGGCCGCTTCGCCCGCGCTCGACGACGCGGCAGATCGAGCGGGCAAGCGCAGGAGGGTCGACTAGCCCGTCGAGTGCGTGCGCCTGAGCCTGCTCTCGAGCCTCTCGGTCGCTCAGACCCTCTCCTCCCCTAGCTCTCGTCTCTATACACCTGCCTAGATGCCCTCTCGCTCTCTCTCTGTCTCTGTCCCCCACACTAAGTACACAGTGCCTTGTAGCAATCCGCCACGACGAACGAGTCTATTCGCCCCTCCTTCTCTCGCTCTCGCTCTCGCGTTCTCTCGAGAGGCAGAAGGTCGCGAGGAAAGATGCGAGCGCCTTCAGGCGTCGCGCAGCTTGGCATTGACAGTCCGCAACAGCTCCTGCGCGTACTTGCCCGCCTCCTGCGCGCGCGAGAAACCAGAAAGGTGAGAAACGCTCGGTCGAGAGGCCAAAGAGTGAGAGAGAGAGCGAGGGACGCACCGAGACGAGGGGCATGACACGCGCAAACTCGACCTCGCCCTCGCCGAGCTGGACGAGGCCGCACACGGCGCCCGAGGGCGTGAAGCCTGCGAGGAGCTGCGACGACGAGGCGGCCTCCTCGAGGACGGTCGCGTCGAGGTGCGGGAGCTGGTTGATCTGTGGACGTCAAGGCGGTAGCGTCGAGAGGTCAGTCAGGTTCTGTGAGGGAAGCGGGAGAGAGGGAACGCACGAGGTTGAGCGTCAAGCCGACGGGAAGGTCCTCCCACCCAGCGAGGCGCACCCCTCGCTCGCCGCCGTCGACGAGCTCAAAGTCGACCGCCTTGACGCCGCTCTTGCCGCCCTTGACCAAGCCGCTGAAGCCCTCGTCGACCGTCATGCCGTCCTTGCCCTCGGTCGCCTCGCCCGCGTCGTCGAACCCGATGCTGCGCGTCGGCGGGAGGCGCGTGCTCGCGAGTGCGGCGCGCGCGGCGAGGAGCGCCGCGTCGGACGCGTTGCCGCCCGAGGCCGACAGGACGAGGACGTCGAGGTAGAGCGTCCACGACTTTGAGCCGGGGAGGACGACGAGCTGGGAGAGGAGGGAGGGTGGGAGGGCCGAGGGCGAGAAGAGGGTGGTGAGGAGCGAGGCGAGGTGCTGAGGGAGGTCGGGCTTGAGTGCGGGAAGCGCTGTCGGGGCACTGCAGGAGGAGAAGGTGTCAGTGCATGGGTCGGGTCGAGAACCGTGAGACGGGCCAGGGCGGAGCGTCCGAGCCCCGCCTGCTCTCGCCTCCTGCAAGGATGAGCGGACGTACCATTCGAGGCTGACGACGACCCTGCCACCTGCGCTGCCGGCCTCCATCGACTCGATCTCGCCCCTCACGCCGGCGTAGACCTCGGTCGTGCCGCCGCCTCCCGACCCGGCCGCGTCGTCGAGCGAGACTCGCGCGCTGCCGAGGGCGCCCTGGGCGTGCGAGACGTTGGTCTCGAGGACGATGTCGCGGTACTGGAGCGGGGTGCGGCCGTCGAGGCGGAGCGGTGGGTCGTCGAGCGGGTTCGAGGTTGCGGCCGAGTGGGCGAGCGGGACCTGGGCGAACGAGAGCTCCGAGGGCGAGAAGAGGGAAAAGGTGGCGGCCATGGTGCGCCAGTCGGACGGGCTGTTGAGGATGCGGCGGGCGAGCTTGAGGGCGAGACGAGGGAGAGGGGAGCTCGACGAGGAGCAAAGGGGCGGCAACGGCAAGGGTGGAGCTGAGGCTTGCTGAGGTGTATGCTGTGCTGCTTCTGAGAGGTTCTAGAGCTGCGCAGGTGCTCCTGACACTGTCGGGTGGTGAGGAAACCGGACTTCCTCTGCCGGCGAGCTGTCCTCATCGCTTTCGCCTCCGTCCTCCACTCGCTCACGCTCGAGCTCGAGTTGAGAGCCGCCCACCTCGTCCAGACTCGTCTACCACTCGCCCGACACCGGTCGCACCCTCCCGCGGTCTCGCCTCACCTACCCTCCCTCGCCTCGCCACCTCACCTCATCAACCCACGCGCCGTCCATCATGCCCAGGGCAGAAGCCGGGTCCGCAAAGGCCCTCTCGAACAAGATGAAGTCCAAGGGCCTCGGCAAGCTCCGCTGGTACTGCCAGATCTGCGAAAAACAGTGCCGCGACGTGCGTCCACCGCCCTCCCTCTCCTCCTCGGCCTCGCTGACACTCATCACGGTCTCTCGGACGCAGGACAACGGCTTCCAGTGCCACATTGCGACAGAGGGTCACTTGAGGAAGATGCTCGTCGTCGGCGAGTCGGCGGGCAAGCACATCGGCGACTACACGGACCGGTTCCAGGGCGAGTTCGTCGCGTTGCTCAGTCGCCGGTCCGTCCCTGCCTTTCTCTCGATCTCCCTGCCCTCTTCACTAGCCCACGACTGGCGTCGGCAGTCAGGCTGCGTCGGCGCCGAGCCGTCTGGCTCGCGTCGCCTGCACCCCCCCTCGCTCGCGCCGCCCCGAGCCGTTCACTGACTCGTAGCCGCACACAGCTGGGGCACCAAGCGCGTCCGCATCAACCAGGTCTACCAGGAGTACATCTGCGACCCGCACCATCTCCACATGAACTCGACTGTACGTCCCTCCCTCTCCCTCGTCGACGAGGACGTTCCTGTCGCTCGACCTTGACTGACCTCTCCTTTCCACGCCTGCAGCGCTTCCTCTCGCTCACCGAGTTCGCCAAGCACCTCGGCCGCACCGGCGTCGCCCACGTCGACGAGAACGAGAAGGGCTGGTGGATCTCGTGGATCGACACGTCGCCTCGCGCGCTCGCGCGTGCCGAGTCGAACCAGAAGAAGGAGCGCGGCGACGTCGACGACGAGATGCGCCAGCGCAAGCTCATCCAGGAGCAGATCGAGCGTGCGAGGGAGGAAGGCGAGCGGAGGAAGCGCGAGGCGGCGCTTGCGGCGGCGGGCGGGTCGGCGGCGGGAGCGGCCGAGGGCACGGGTGCAGTGGGCACGCAGGTCGAGGAGCCGAGCAACGAGCTCAAGCGCGATGAGGGCGAGAAGCTCTCGCTCAGCCTGTCGTTCAAGACGCCCGCCGCCGCCGCCGCCGTCGCCGGCCAATCACCCTCACCGCCTCTCGACGCCTCGACCGCCGCCGCCGCTTCCCCTGCCGAGCACGCCGCACTCGCCGACGCTTCCACCTCCTCCTCGGCTCCCTCTCTCGACGCCGCTGCCGTCGCCACGACCGCCGCCGCCGCCTCGACACGCGCACCCGCCCCTGCGCCTGCGCCCGCCCCGACCAAGTTCATCGCCCCGCCCTCCAAGCCAGTCATCGGCTTCACCCCTCGCGCCAACCCGCTCGCGGTCAAGCCCAAGCCCAACCCGCTCAAGGCCGGCGGCGGCAACCCGCTCAAAAAGCCGAACCCGCTCAAGGGCCCGGGCGCGAGCGGCGCCGGCGCGGGTGCGGGCGCGACCGAGAAGCGCAAGGCGCCGATGAGTGCCGTGGAGCAGATTGCGATGGAGGAGATGGCGAGGAAGCAGCGCAGGATGAAGTGAGGCGGCGCGGCGGCGAGCGGGAGGTGCGGCACGAGGGCTATGTGCGAGGCGAGCAAGGGGATCGAGACGGCTTGTTGTTCTTTCTTTGCAGTACCACACTTTGTCTCTACGTGTGCGGCTTGGGAGCCTCTCGTTCCCGCTCGTGAGGACTCGCCGCCGCGAGAGCGTCCCGCTCGTCTCCCTCGTCCCACCGCCCGAGCGTCGAACTCACCGCTGAGCCCGCTCGAGTCGGCTCGCCAGAGTACCTGCACATGTCGGCAACAGCTGCGAGCTGCACCCGCACCGCCGCGAGCGCTCGCCGCCGGCGCAGGGCGCGTCGCATCTTCATCAGTAACTCGCGTCGTCCGACCTCTCTCATCTGGTGGCAACGGTTCGTGGGCCTGTGGGCATCGTCTTCAAGGACTAAGGCAGCATCAAGGAGACTACTGGGCAAGGCGACCGCGCTGCGCGGGCTGTGGGCGACTGGTGCGTCCACCTCCTCCCCACCTCCCCGTGTTTGGCCCCCCTCTCCCTCTCCCCTCGCCCCCTCTGCTACCTCGCAATACGGTGCAGGGGTCTTGGTCGACTGACTCGGTCACCTTACAGGCAGAGCGCCTGCGCACGGCGAGAAGGGCGGTCTTCTGGACGACGCGAGGCGGGCTCTCGACCTCGAGGCGGCTCATCTTGTCCTTTGTACGTCCCGCGCACTCTCTTTCTTCCCTGCAGGACCTTCATGTGGGTCTGTGCTCCTCGCCGAGCCGCGCACTGACCCTCTCGACCTCGCGCCGCAGGTTAGTCGCGCCCTCGATGGCACCTCCCCCTTCTCGGCCTCGAAAGCTTCCCCTCGCGCCCTTGCTGCGCCGCGCGACGGCGCCCTTTCCTCTCCGAAAGCTCTCCTTGTCCCTCGCGAGCGATCCCAGACCGCGCAGAGTTCTTGTTCGTCGTCGCACTCGTTCCGACGGCTCAGCGAGTCGAGCCGTCGCGGACGGGTCTTTACGAGGCTGCGCCCGCCCTCACGTGCCCCTGAGGGCAGCGGGCGCACTGTGGTGAGCCGCTCGCACGGCGCGCACCCCTGCGGAGTGCCCGTGCGCCCGGCCACCTACAAAAGACAGGGGGATCCTGCGCACCCTCGCTCAAACGCTAGCTCTTGATCTAGCATGGTTACGGCCTTCTGCTCGCGCCAGATCGGACGACGAGGTGTCTGCGGTGCAATCGAGCGCGTTTCCCGAGCTACTTTGTCGTGTAGAGCGCGAGCTGGCCTCCTCGCCGAGTCCTTCGAGTCCAAGGTCGGCGAGGCCGCGAGAGCTCTTCCTCGGCTCGTGTCGTTGTGAGCTCTCTCTTTACAGCTCTGAGAGTGCTGCCTGAGCGGCGCAGGGGGGCCGGCCCTTGTGAGCGGCGCAGTCCTCGTCGAACTTGCTCCCATCACCTCTTCTCGTGTTGGTCGCGCGGCGTCGCAAGGGCTCATCCTCCCGGGTAGCACTCTCTTCGCGTGTGTTGGCGTACGTCCTGGCCGACTGAGAGAGAACGAGCGAGTTCATCGCACTCCCAGCATCCTCCGAGCCAGGCGAGAGACAGCGAAAGCGAGACCGAAAGAGTCGCACGAGCCTCGGGTAAGCCTTGCTCGTCGTCTCGGCGGTCGTAGTAACCTGGCACCTCTCTGCGCACACCGTCACTGAGACGCTTCGTCGACTCGGCTTGGGCGGCAAGGGAACGTGCGGCGGCGGCGGGCGTAAGAGCGCGGAAGCGGTCGCGAGGCGGGCTTGGCTCCTTCCATGAAGTGAGCGTCGCCGCCGCATCTGCCCAGCGCCTAGCCTAGCCTACACGTCCTCGGGCACAGAGCGTATCTCAGAGCGACCGGCGGTGCGCCCGCAGGCCGCGAGAGACGTTGCAGCGCAGTCGAGGCCGGACAGTTTGAATCAGAATCCGCGGTCCGAGAGCCGGCTTGTCGCACCGAGCGTATTCCTCATAGCCTCAAAGCTGTCGAACGAGCAGTTCGCCCGGCTTCTGAGCGTTCGGGAGAGGCGACGACGAAGAGGTGCGACGCCGAACCGAGCAAGTTCAACTCGAGCGCGAGCGACAGCGCTCAGGTCGTCTCGCGCTCGCAGCTCACCGTTCTATTGCTCTCTTGCTCTCTGGCCCAAGCCCACACGCAAAGCATCGAAAGGAACGACTGCTGGCAGTACAGACTCACAGCCTGCAGCCCTCACGCCTCGACCTTGTCCCGCTCGAGCACCTTCTCGAGCGCCTCAACCGTAAAGCCCTCGGCCTCGTACTCCTTGAGGACCTCGCCCATCGCCCACCTGACGACCGACGTCGTCGGGAGCACGACCGGGCCGACGACCCTGTCCATCGTCCGCCCGTCTGCCCTCGGCGCCGTCTCGTCCGTCACGGCCGCGCTCCATCTCAGCTCGAGGAGCCGGCCGCGCACCATGCCGTCGACGGCGCGAGCGCCAAGCTTGCGGCACAGCGGGAAGTACGGGAGCGAGTCGTCGGCGCCCGGCTGCAGGCGCTGCATGACTCGCAGGAGGTCGATGGGCTTGAAGTCGGCGCCGTCCGAGTCGCCGAACGGGGACGGTGCGGCGTGCGGCGACGCCTGACGCAAAGGCGAGTAGATCTTGAAGCCTTGCGAGGCCGACTCGGCGTCCGAGTGGATGAGCTGGAGGTTGAGGAGGCTGTGCGCCTGGAGCGCGTGGCTGCCCTCGCGCGGCGAGATCTGGCCGTCCGAGTTGTTGTACTCGGCCATGTAGTCGCTCAGGTGGGCGAGCTTGGTGCCGAACACCTTGTGCAGGTCGTCGAACACGGGCGGGGCGAGCCCTTCACGAAGATGCGGCAGGAGGTTGTCCTCGAAGAAGCGGCGCGCCTCGTCCTTGGACGGGTCGCCGACCGACAAGATGATGCAGTGCTGCATGACGTCTGGAGGGCACAGAGTCAGTAAATCGTCCCTCGAACGAGTCCGGGCTGGGGGACGAGGGAGGACGAGGGAGGAGGTCCGAGCGGGAGAGGGAAGGGCAGCGACGACGCCGCAGCGCCGCCGAGGCCCAGGGCCCAGACAAGTCGAGAGGAGGAGAGAGACTCACTCATCTGCCGCAGCCACTGCGTGCACGAGACGGCCTCAGTATGCCGTTCTGACGAGCGGGGAGGAACAGGTGGGCAGAGGACGCACGTGCAGGTAGAACGGGTCCGAGGTCGCGTGCATGATGTCTGCGGTGCGACAGAGAGAGAGAGAGAGAGAGCGCGAGTCAGTCGGGCCGACGAGAGAAGGGAGAATGAGAAGGAGAAAAGGAATAGGAGGAGAAGGTCGAGGAGAGAGGGGGACGCACGGCAAAGTCGGTCTTGCTTGCTGAGGACGAGGCACGCGTCGAGTAGCGTCTTCATGCCCTCAGGCGACTGGATGAGCGCCGGGAGCTGCGCGTTGTGAAAGGACACAGAGTCAGTACGTCGACCCTGACCTGTCGGCGCCGATGAGCGGCCGGTCGAGGACTGGCAACGAGAGGGACGGACCTTGTGCGCCTCGTCCAGGAAGAACACGGGAATCCTCTTTGGAGGCGGCTGCGGCTCGTCCTCCTTATCGCCCTCCTCTCCCTCCTTCTCGCCTGCCGCCCCCTCCCGCACCTCGCCCAAGCTCCTCGAATCAATCAGGTCGGGCCCGCTCGCCTTCTCCGGGACGGGCTCAGGCACGGCGCCGAGCGACGTGCGGAACTTGGTGCCGTCGCGCTTGCTCTTGGTCCCGGCGGAAGACGAGGAGGCCGTCCTGCCCGACAGCGACGACGGGCGCTCCTTCTTGTCGTCCTTGGACGGCGACGAGCCCTCGCTCTGCTCCTTCTCGGCCTGCTCCTTGAGCTTGCGCTGTGCGGCGCTCATGGGCTCGAACGCCCAGTACGAGAGAAGCGCCGACTGGAAAAGCTCGAGTAATGCCGCGAGATCGCTCGTCTTGACCTCGCCGCCGTTTTCGACGCGCTTCTGGACCTCGAGCCTGGAGATTTAAAGAGTCAGTAGCCGGTATTTGACGTGCGGCCGAGGTACCGCAGCCAGAGGGGAGCGGGCAGGACGAAGAGGGAGCTCACCGATGATGCTTGAACGACCAGCCCTCCTTCTCGAACTCGTTCCACCCCCATTCCTCGCCAAGAAGCTTCGGGATGCAGGCAAAGTACGACTCGAGCTGCGTAGAGAGCGAAAAGTAGAGGGATGGCAGGCTGCGCGCGAGCGGAAGAGTCAGTCTTGGGTGCGCACTCAAAACGGCGCGAGTGCGAGGAGGGATGGACGACGACGCACTCGGCAAAACCCGCGATGCGCAGGTCAAAGTTGAGGACGTGGTACTTGTCGCTCGAGAGGACCTGACGCAAGAGGGCCGTCTTGCCGACGCTCGACGAGCCGAACAGGGTCGTAAAGGTCGGGACTGAACCGAGGGCGCGCTCGATGGCCTGGATCTCGCGCGGCCGGTCGAAGAAGCCGGGTAGAGGGGAGAAAGTGTGAGAAGGAGGAACTGCCGGCAATGTTGAGGTTAGCGACCGCTGACAGGGAAAGGGCGTTGAGGAGGAGAGAGAGCGAGAGGTGGACGCACTCTGGGACCGCTCTTGCGATTCTCTGAGCTCCTGCCGCGCTTCTTCGAGCAGCTTCTTCGACTCAGTCAAGCTCCTGAGGACCTCGCTCGGCTGTTGCGACGAGGACGAGAGGGAGGACGTCAGCTCCTTGCGCCCGCGGAACGGCAGCGAGCCGCATGGCCGCATGGTGGCGCCTGCCCATGCCTTGGCATGCGCCAAGACTCCCTGCGCACTGCAGCTGCCCTCCAGACGGCACCTTCTGCTGCCGTGGCCGACGAGACCGCCGAGCTCCCTCCCGCCTCGCTCAACCCTCGTCCTCGCTCGCTCCCACCGCGAGAGAGAGGCGGACGCACATTCGAGATGACACCGAGAACCTCGCCGATGCCAAAGAAGGTGCGCCGTGCGCCGGGCGTTGCGAGAGGCGGCGGCCGCACAGCCACCCCCACCGAGGCGCGAGCAGTGACGCCCGCGCAGGAGCAGCTGGCGGTCGGGCGTGGGCGCGAGAGCGCACGCGGCGAGGCGAGAAGCTGGCGTGTCGGCTTCATGCCACTCGGAGCAGGCGGGCGGTTGTTGGAGAGGAGCGAGAAGACGAGCCAAGCCAGCAATCGAGAGGAGCGACGACGTCCGAGAGACGAAAACGCGAGTTGCACAGGTGTTCGACGAGGGACGCTACAGCGGCTAGTAACACACAGGGGAGGGAAAATGCAATAGGAAAGGCAAGTAACAAAGTCGAGGGCGGGACAGATAAAACAGAGGGCGAGGTCCAAGGGGGTACAGAAGGCGACGAGCGAGAGGCAGGCTCACGCCGAGACGTGGTCACGACGACAGACACTGCGAGCGCGATGGACGAGAAAGGTCAGGGCCGGCCGGGAAGGAAAGAGAGAGAGAAAGAGGACGCACGGGCAGGTTCCCTTCTGCGTCAACCACGACCGCAGGCACTCGTCGTGGAAGCCGTGCTCGCACACGGTGAGCATGCAGTCGTCGTCGTCCTCGTAGTCGCACAGGCAGATGCCGCACCGCGTCTCCTTGTCGAGCCCTGGGCGCGCGAGCGTCGGCGGGTCGAGCGAGTGCGCGCTCGTGCTCGCGACGGGTGCGGGTACGGGTGCAGGTGTCGACGAGGAGGCGGATGCGGGCGGTGACGAGGCGCGCGTCGGGAGGGGCCAGTCGGCGTACTTGTACTTGCGCAGGCTTTCGAGTTGGTCGGCCGAGACGCCCTTGGGCTTGGCGTCGCCGAGTCGCTCCGACAGGCGGATGAGCGCCTCGTAGCTGTTGTCGAACTCGTCATCGTCCTGTAGGCGCGAGAGCGAGGGTCAGTGGCGGATCAAGGGAAAAGAGGGCGAGGGCAGGACGACGCACGAGGTAGTTGCGCGGGTCGAGCGCCGCCGAGTCGCGCGTGAAGAAGCCCGCCAGGTCGTCGTCCCAAATACCGATGAGCCCGGCACGACCGCCAAAGGCGTACCTCGTCCCGCCGCCGCCGAGCCCGCGCAGGAAGTCGCCGAGCCCTCGACCCCTTGCGCCGCCGGGCGACCGCGCTCGCGCCTGCGGCGGCGTGCCGGTACGCTCGCGCATCGGCTCGGGCGGCGCCCACGGGTTGGTCGCGTCGAGCGGCCCTCGCTCAGCCGAGGGCGAGGCTGCGCCGTCGCCGATGTCGTCGCCGCCGCCGCCGAGGAGCGTGCGCATGGCGTGGCGCTCGCGGCGCAGAGCCTGGAGCCGCTCCATGCGGCTCGCGCGGTGCTGCGCGAGGCGCTCGACGACCGTCTCGTCGCCGTACCGGAACGAGTCGAGCGCGCGACGGCGCTCGAGAAAGTGCGCGTCGGCGTCGTCGCCGATGGACGGACCCGCTCGGGCCTGCTGCGGCTGCGCACGACGACGACGCAGGCTCGTGTCGGCCGTGTCGACGTCGGGAGGAGCAGCGCGCGCCCCGAGCGACGAGAGCGTGTCGGTGAGGGACGAGCGGCGAGGCGCGATGCGGCTCGCGAGCGGGACGGCGTTGGCGTTGGTCGCGGTCGTGTTGGTCGTCGGCAGGTCGGCCCACGGGTCGAAGCGCGCAAGGGTACGGCGCGAGGCGTAGGCCGAGGCAGGGGCTTCGTGCCAGGGCATGGTGCGGCGGGCGCCGGACGAGGGCTCGTCGCGAGGCGGATCGTGCTGCACAGGGTCAACGAGTCAGTCTCAGGCCGCCCTGGAGGCTCAGAGCAGAACCGAGTCGACGCACAAAGAGGTGGTCGGGCCCAAAGTTGCCGAACGGCGACGCGCTCCTCTGCCGCTCCATGCCGAGCGCCGCTCCTGGGTCTGCCGCTCCAGCCGCCGCCGCCGGGTGCGGGAACAGCATGCCGTCGCGCCCGCTCGGCAGCATGAGGGGCAGCGTGAGCGGCGCGGCCCATCCACCAGCCCTCGACGCCGGCTGACGGTGCTCGTCGTCGTCGTCGTCGTCAAAGAGGAGGCGAGGGCGAGAGGTCGAGCCGTCGGTCGCCGAGTCGGGGCGAGGCAGCCGAATGGTCGGGCGCACGAGGTCGACCGTGTGGCGGTGGCGGTGCTGCTCGAGCGAGTGGCGGCGCGGCGACGTGCCCTCCTCGGCCGCGTTGAGCGCCGCCGTCGAGCCGTAGCGCTCACGGCGCAGGCTCGGGCTCTCGTCCCGCACGCGGTCGAAGTAGTGGGCATCGCCGGCCTGCGTGCCCGTAATGGACTCGCGGCGGTCGACGCCCGTCGGGCGCATTAAGCGGCGCCACGGCGGCGTGCTCAGGCGCGAGGTCGTCGACGTGGCGGTCGTCGTGGCCGTGCTCGGGCCCGCCGTCATCGAGAAGGGCGGCTCGCCGCCGCTCGGGCCGAACCGCCTGCGCTCGTTGGCGACCTGAGTCGGGCCGCGAAGACGCCGAACGATGCCGCCGGTCCCGCCGGCGCCGTTGGCGACGCCGCTCGGCTCGCCCCACAGTGACGTCTCGGGCGCCGGGTGGATCTGCTCAGGCGCGGCGGGCAGAGCCGTGCCGAGGTCGAGCGACTCGCTGACGCGACGGCGCTCGAGGAGGCGGCGGTTGAGCCTCTCGGCGGCGGCGAGCTCGGCCGACTCGTCGTAGCTCGACTCGGCGAACGGGCCGACGAGCGGCGGCGACGGGAGCGTCCACGTCCTGAGCGCCGCCGTCGACGACGAAGCCGAGGGCGAGGCAGTCGGGAGCGTGCCGATCGTCGACGTGCTCGAGACCGCGGGCGGTGAGGCTGGACTCGACTCGGGCGGCGAGACGGCGGTCGAGTTGCGCGACAGGCGAGGTCGCCGAGCGCGCAGCTGTGTGAGAAAGCTGCGCGCGCGGTTCGAGGCCGACGACGACGTGCCGTCGAGCGGCGGGCTGTGCGGGTCGGCCGTCTGCGGCGGCGGCGACGAGAACCCGGACGACAGACTCCACAGCGACGAGCGACGACGATGGCCGAGGACCGGGAGCGGCGGCGATGTCGGCGACACCGGCGCAGGTACGGGCGACGACGGCGTCCAGCCCTCGCCGAGCCGGATGCCGATGACGGGCCGCTCGCGCACCTCGCGCAGGTAGTGCAGCCCGTCGGTCGACGGCAGACGCTGCGCGACCTGGCGCTCGCGCTCGCGCTCTCGGTCCGCCTCGCGAGCGCGGACGAGCGCCCCGGCGCGCCCGACCTCCTCCTCGGCCCGCGCCAGCACGCCGGCCGCCTCGCGCAGGAGGCCCTCGCCGCGCGCCGCGAGAGCGTCCGAGCGCGCCGCGTGCGTCAGGAGCGCGTCGTACGCCTGCTGCGGGTCGTGCGGCGCCGAGGTCGACGATGACGGCGCGCCATGCACGGCGACGAGGAGGGCCGGCTCGGCGACGATGCTCGTCATGGCGGCGTCGAAGGGGAAGGTCCCAAGTCGGCCCTGCGTCCTCGAGCGAGCCGCCGCAGCGTCGTCGCCGGCCGTGACCGAGCGGGCTGCGCCGCCGAACGAGTCGCCGCCGCTCGCGCCGAGCGTGCCCGAACGGCGGCGCTTGCTGTGCGCGCGGTCGACGGCGCTCGAGCCCGACGGCGCAATCCAGTGCGAGCTCGCGAGCGACGAGTCGCTCTCGGTCGGCTGGCGGGCCCTGCGGCGCAAGAGGCCGAGCGACGACGAGGGCGCGATGCTGGGCGACGGCGCTGCCGCCGTCGCGGTCGCAGCGACGACCGATGTGGTCGGCTCGGCGCGTTGTGCGTCGTACGAGAACGAGCGGCGCCACCGCGGCGAGACGGCTCGCTCCTCGGCCGGCTCGGGCGGGCTGAAGAGGCTCGTCGGGCGCGCGAGCGTGTCGCCGAAGCTCGCCGGCGGCGTGTGGCCGGTCGAAGGGAGCACATCGGCGTGCGAGCGCTTGTGCGACACGGCGTCGTCGAAGTTGAGCGGCTCGTCGGCAAAGTCGGCCGCGGGCGCATCGAGGTCGAGCGAGTCGGTCGACGACGAGGCGTACCGCGAGCGGAAGGGGCGGTGGATCGGGGCGGCCGTGCCGAAGGGGGCGACGGCGAACGGGCCGTCGAGGAGGTTGCGCAGAGGTGCCGAGCTGCGTGCGTCAGGGAGGAGGGTCAGGACGAGATGCGGCGCAGGATACGGCCCGAGAGTGGACGCACCTGTCGAGGTCGAGCGAGCCCTCGAGGTCCATGGCGACGGCGACATCTTGACCGGCGTCGATGTCGCCAAGGTCGACGAGGTCGTCGAGCGCGAAAGGCGGTGTGGTGCCCCTGCGCTCGGCCCTGGGCGGCGTCGCCGGCTCGGTGTTGAGCTCGTGACCGGCGAACGGCGCCGTGTCGTTGCGAGGGACGGCGGCGTCGTCGACAAAGTGGGCGGCGGCGGTCGGGAGGGAGGCCGGCGGGGTCGGGAGCATGCTGAGCATGGCGAGCGAGGCCGAGGGCGAGGCCATCAGGGCATCGGGAGGTGCGGAGGTGGGGGAAGAGGGGGCAGGCGTCGCGCCACCTTGGCCGCGCGCGGCGGCGGGCTTGTAGTGCGAGGACGAGAGGGCGGCAGGAGGGTTGCTGGCTGCGTCGGTGAGGTCGCGGTCGAGGAACAGGGTCGAGTGCGGGGCCGACATGGCGCGAAGACCCGCGGCGGGAGGTGCGGGCCGATGGTGGGCACGGCGTCGAGTCGCGCAGGGAGGTGGACGCTGGTCGTGCGGCTCGCCTGGTGCCTATCGGTGCTGTTGAGCGGCTGGGCGAGCCCCTTGGCGCGGACAAGGCGGCGTCGAAGGCGGGTGCGCCGGTTCGACGACGGAGGGCGAGGGCGAGGCGGCGGCGGCTGGGGGGTGGCTCTCGTCTGGCGCAGTGCCGTGCTGGGCGGCGTAATCGAGTGCTGCTGCTGCGTCGGATGCAGTGCGAGCGAGCTGGGTCGCGAGTGAGGGGAAGGAGAGAGAGAGCATGCTGCAGACGGCGCTGCAGCTCTCGCGATGCCTCGCGTCCGCAGACCGCTACCGAGCAGCGTGTGTCGAGCTAGTTCCACTTCGTAGAGCGCACACTCTATCAAGGAGCGAGCCGTGAGCCACCTCGACTCTGAGCCGCCTGCGAGGTCTCGCCTTTCTCTGTCCGCTCCGACCTGTCGCTCGCGCCCTTGCACGGTCTCGTCCGGCGCCATGCACAGCGACAGGCTGAGCGAAAGGCCACAGGAAGAGAGCGCCGCGAGAGAGGGGTCGAGGGTGAGAACGGGCACGGGCCTCTCGAGTTGGTAGCTGCTTCCTCTCTCGAGCGGCGACGAGCGCGACCTCGCAACAGTACCGGGCCCGTGTACATCTCGCCCGCACCTCTACGCGTCCTGCACCTCGACGACGACCTTGCCCCTCGCCCGGCCCGTCGCCAAACGCTCATACGCCTCCCTCGCGCGCTCGAACCCGAACGTCGAGTCGACCGAGACCTTGAGCGCGCCGCTCGCCGCCTGTGCCGCAAGGTCGTCCAGCCACGCCGCGTTCATGTCGAGGAGGATGCACGCGTAGCGGTACGCGAGCGAGCCGGCGTCGCTCGCGTCTTGGCGCTCGCGCATCGTGCGGTCGACGCCGAGGAGGAACGCGCCGCCCATGGTCGAGCGGTCCGTCTTGTCGCCGACGATGGTCGTGTAGGACCCGCCGTGCGGGAACGACGAGGGCGACTTGGGCGTGAGGAGCGACGGGAGGGCGTCGAGGAGCTCGGTGCCGCCGACGCAGTCGACGATCGAGACGAAGCCATTGGCGGGGCGGACGGCCCGCAGCGACTCGAGGACCGAGCCCGCCGTGTAGTCGATGACCTCGTCGGCGCCGAGCGAGCGCACGAAGGGCTCAGACGCCGCCGAGCACGTCGCGACGATGCGCAGGCCCGCCGCCTTGCCGAGCTGCACACAGCACTGGCCGACGCCGGACGACCCGCCGAGAACGACGACAGTTGGCGGCTCTTGAGCGTCGGCGTCGCGGGTCGGCGGCAAGCGGAGGAGCGGCTCGGACAGGGTCGTCTTGGCGGTGAGGGCGACGAGCGGGAGGCCGGCCGCCTCGTTCCAGCCGAGTGCGGCTGGCTTGCGCGTGATGCACGAGCTGTTGATGTCGATGACGGCGAGTGTGCCGAGCGAACCGCCGAACGGCGTCTTGGGCTCCTGCGCATGGCAACGAGGGTTCAGTCAGGAACGGGAGAGGCGAGGGGCGAGCGAGGGACGCACCATCTCGAACGTGAGGCCCATGACCTGGTCGCCGACCTGCCACTTGTCGACGCCGTCCCCGACAGCAACGACGGTCCCGGCAAAGTCGCTCGCGAGCGACGCAGGCGCAGCGAGGCTCTCGCCGTCGGCGCTCTTGCTCGCCTTGAGGGCGCAGACCTGGCCGTCGACCGGGTTCAAGGCGGCAGCGACGACCTTAACGGCGATCTGGGTCGGCTCGACCGTCTGCGCGCGTGCTCGAGAGGGTCAGCTGGGCACTCGAAGGGAAGCGGAGGGACGAGGTGGAGGTGATGACGAACCTCGGGAGCTGGCCGCTGGACGAGCTCGAGGGCTTGAGGGAAGGGGAGCTTGGTGAAGACCCAGGAGCGCACAGAGCTGTCCATGACGATAGCGAGCAGCGGTGAAAGAGAGCAAGCTTCGCGCCCCACTCGACGCGGGACCGATGGCGCCGCCGACGGCGAGCGCTCACCTTTGCGGCAAGGAGCTCGACGAGCGCAGCGCAAACAGACTGACGGCTGGAGTACAGAGTGCTTGCGCGCCGGAATGCGCCTCCAGACAGGCTCGCTCGCTGCTTTCCTCGCTGTCGGACCTCGGCTCGCTCTCGACTGGCAGGCAGGCACGGGATGACAGCTGGACTTTGCAGGCCGGGCCACCACCACCGCTCTCTCCGTGCAGACAGGCCCATAGTCGTCGTCGCCAATCAAGAGCCTCGCCGCCAGAGGTTGATGAAGAAGGAGATGTCGGATTGCAAGAAGCAAGGGGGGTTTACTTCTTGGCCTTCGACGCGCCGTCAACGTCGTTGACCTTGAGGGCTGTGGTTCGGGGCAAGAGAGGGTCAATTCGGCGGCCTCGGGCGCGAGGGAGATAAGGTGTGCGGGACGCACTCGGGGGGAGCGACTGGCGGAGCTTCTCGGCCTTCTCAGCGTCGGCGAGCTGGAAGGTGTAGCTGCGAGACGAGGAAGAGGTCAGACCCGGAACTCGAGACAGGACAAGGTGAGGGGAGGGACGCACAGGTACTTCGAGCAGCGGAGCTTGAACTTGGTCTTGGTCGCGCCGACCTTGCCGTTGCGGGCAAGCGACTTCTTGATGGTGACCTCTGCAGGACGGACAAGAGTGTCAGTGATGGGAACGAGGCGCAGGCGAGGACAGGAGGAGGAGGGGGACGCACGACGGGCGTCCTTGCGGCGCGCGTACTCGAGAAAGGTCTTGATCTCCTTGACTTCGGCGGGCTGCGCGAGGGGGAAAGGGGGACGAGGTCAGGACACCGCACGTTGGCCCTGACGAACAGGAGGGCCGGGCAAATGGACTCTGAGGTTGATGAGGAGGATCAACCCGGCGGGGACGAGCACCTGCGCCGCCGTCCACTCGCGAGCCGGCTGCCGCGCACCCGAGGGCAGCGACGGCAGCGACTGGCGAGGGAGAGGGAGACACAGGCGACGCCCCCGACTCGTCCGCCGCTGGGTACGGCTTACGCGGAGAGCACCCTCGAGGTGGACCGCCAAACGAGCTGGGCTCCCGCCTCCCGACTGCCGCCGCCCTCGTCGCCCTTGCTCCTGCCTGACGTGCCGCCACCGCAATCATGCCGAGTGCTCGCGCGCCTGGCGCATGTGCTGGACCGAGGCGACGCGGTGTCGAGGCCGAGGCGAGGTGGGAGAAAATCGGACGGTCGGACGAGGGGCGCGCGAGGCTGGCGGGCGCAGCGGGGTGGTGGTTTGTGGTGCAAGAGCTGGTGGCTGGTGGCACGAGGGGCTCAACTGACCATGGTCAACGAGATTGGCGACTTGGGGGGTGCACGGAGGGAAAGAGAGGAGGACGACTCGAGCCGAGCGCGAGGAGGTCGGCCAGGCGGACTCGTCTCTCGTCTCTCCCTCGCCCTCTGCTGCGCTCCGAGTGCGCGCAGCTGCTGCACGCAGACTCTCGCTGTGCCTCTGCGCCAGCCGATCAGCCGCTTGCGCCGTCGCTGCATCGCTCTCTCATCGCCTTTACGCACCGCTTGCCTAGGGCGACTGCTCGCTCTCGAGGCCTCCTGCTAGCTGCTAGAGGGGTCAGAGGCGGTCCTGCTCGCCTTTGAGCTGCACTGCCCGCCCGTTCGCCTTACCTCCGTCACCTCGGGCCGAGTCTCGGCGGAGGGTCAGCTGCACCCCAGCTTTGGACGGCCTGCCGCCTTATCTATCGAGCGTCGGGCTGTGAGAGCTCGCGAGAACGCTCCTTGGCTTCCTACCAACCGCTCGCACCACCCTCGAGCCGCCATGCGTTGGGTTGCCGCCCCCTCGTCCTCCTCCGCACCCGCCAATCCCTCGCTCGACAGCTGCCTGGTGCTGTGGCCAATCGGGCCCGCCCTCGTCGAGGCACTCGGCGCTTCCTTCCGCGAGGTCGCCTACTTCCCGATCCAAGGACCCGACGCCGACCTCGACGCGCCTCGCCCAGTCGCCTACGACTACGCGCGCGCCGACGCCATCTTTGCCTTTGCGCTCCCCGCCGAGCTCAAGCACCCGCGCCAGACGCCTCGACTCGCGCTCTTCCAGTGCTGCTCGGCCGGTATCAGCCACCTGCAAGAGACGGCCTTCTACCAGGCGCTCGGGCCCGAGAGCCAGGTCGTTTGGGCAAACGCGAGCGGGATCCAGGCGTGCGTCCCTCGTCTCTCTCGCCGTGCCTCTCGACGAGCATAGAGACTGACCTCGACCTTTGCGCAGCTCGACGATCGGCGAGCATGTCCTGGGCACGGTGCGTCTCGTCCCGCTCGGGCCTCCTTCGTCCACCCTCTCTCGAGACGCGCCGACTCTGACAGCCTCGGAAACGCCGCAGGTCCTCATGCTCACACACAAGGTCCACTACCTGTACCTCGAGCAGCAGGTCAAGCAGCGGTGGGTCCCTCACCGCGAGCTCGGCGGCACCTTCATTCGCGAGCTCAAAACGCTCACCGTCGGCATCGTCGGCTACGGCAACATCGGTGCGCTCTACGTCTCTTTTTCTTTCTCGAGATACGTCGACCTGACCGTGCGCCCTCGCCCGCAGGTCGCGAGACGGCGCGCCTCTTCTCGACGTGCGGCTCGACCGTCCTCGCCCTAACGCGCTCCGGGCGGCCCGAGCCCTTCCCCTCGTCGTCCTTCTCGCTCCCCTCGACGGGCGACCCCTCGGGTACGCTCCCCGCCGCGTACTACTCGACGCAGCAGCGCTCGGAGCGCCTCGCGTTCTTTGCGCGGTGCGACGTCGTCGTCAACACGTTGCCGGACTCGGCGGCGACGAGGGGCTGCTTTGGCGACGACGAGTTCAGGGCCATGAAGGGCGAAGCGATCTATGTCAATGTCGGGAGGGGGTCGACGACCGACCACGACGTGCTTGTCGAGGCGCTCAGGGCTCAGCCGGGCGAGGGAGAGGCGCGCGACGCGGTCGGGACGCTGCGCATCGGCGCTGCGAGCCTCGAGTGCGCCCCCCCTCTCTCTACGTACTACTCGACATCACTGATCCTCTCGCTCGCGCAGCGTCGTCACCCCCGAACCCCTCCCTTCCTCGTCGCCCCTCTACCGGCTTCCGAACGTGATCCTCACGCCGCACTCGGCGGCGCTCTCGGCCGAGTACTGGCACCGCGCCGTCCTCGACGTCTTTGCGCTCAACGTCAAGCGGCTCCGGCGCGGCGAGCAGGGCGTCAACGTGTGGCGCGCGCCGACGACGGCGAGGGGTCCGGCTTGAGGCCTGAGCGGCGGCGGCGACGGCCTGTGTAGATCTCTCTCCCTTGCACGACGTTCTCTCACACGGACCGACTCGAGCGCACGAGAGAGAGAGAGAGGCGAGAACGACGAGCAAGAGTTGCAGGTGCGGGCGAGGAGGGAGCGCTCGAGAGAGGCTCGAACGAGGGGAGAGGGCCGGCGGGTACTGGGACAACGAGGTGTGGCGAAAAGACACTGCAAGAGGGAGCGAACGAGGGAGAGGGACCGAGAGAGGGGGTATGCTGGAGGGACTAATGCTGCAGAGAAGGTCTCGGGGGAGCGCGAGAGGGAGGTCGGGCGAGGCAGAGAGGTCAAACCTGTACACGAAGACGACGGTCAGTTCCGGCGTGCGAGAAGGAAAGAGAGAACAGAGGGACGCACGTCGAGGTATATGAGGAGCGGCTCGCCGACGTCGCTGATCTCGGGAATCGTGCACTTGAGGTCGAACGCCTGCGCGCAGCCTCAACTCCTAGCATCAGCGGCGGCTGCTCGAGGGGCATCGCTCGACGCAGTGACGAGAGGACGTGCGGCGCACCTTGCTGAGGACAATCTTGAAGATCTTCTGCACGTTGATCGAGTGGCTCGTCGAGCAGAAGATCAAGGGCGCCTTCATCGCCTTGGAGAAGCGTTTTGCCTGCGGGTGCGCTCGTCGAGGGTGTCAGTACGCTCGGTCGGAAGGCTGTACGCAGGTCGGGGAGGGCAGAGAAGGAGCGGGTGCGGCGTCGAATGCGGAAAGAGGAGGGGTTCAGAGGGAGAGGGGTCCGGGCGCACCTGCCGCGCAATCTCCTCCTGTTCGTCTTGCGAGAAGGTGCTGTACGCGTCGTACTTGGTGCCGACGAGAAAGGGAATTGCCGTCTGTGCAGGCAGGACGCTCATGTCAGTCGACGGACCGGAAAGAAGAGGGGGAGGACGAGAGGGGGACGCACCTTGTTGAAGCCCCTCGCCTGGCGGTACCACTCCTTTATCGAGTTGAGCGTGCTCTTGCGCGACAGGTCAAACATGAAGAGGATGGCGACGGCGTCGTTGCAGACCAAGGGCAGCATCGAGACGAACTCGCGCTGGCCGCCGAGGTCCCAGATCGAGAACGTGATCTCGGTGTTGCGGATCGAGATCTGTGCGGCGTCGAGGTTGAGCTGTCGAGGTACGGCTGGCTTGGAGGGAAGAGGAAGTGGGGCGCACCGTCTTCTCCATGAAGTTGACGCCTGTCCGAGGGGAAAGGGGCAGGTCAGCTGCGGCCTCGGAGAGGGGCGAGAGGAAGAGATAGGGAGACGCACCGAGTGTCTGGATGTAGTCCTCATCGTACGAGCCCTCGACGTACTTGACCCTGTTGGTGACGCGAGGGTCAGCATGGTCCGAGCGAACGAGGAGGAGAGGGGGACGACGACGTACATGAGTGAGGTCTTGCCGATCTGCGAGTCGCCGACCATGCCGACCTTGAGGACGACGCTGTGTTTCGAGTCTGTGTCAGGGGGCGAAGGGTGCGAGGGCGGGAGAGCAAGGGTCGCACCTGTTCTTGTCGTCGGGCGGGGCGGTGCTGGAGCTTGCGCCTGCGAAGCCGCTCATGTTTGGCGGGCGAGGGTTGTTTGGGTCCGCTGTCGGGTGCTCCGGTCGGCTGAGGAGGTACTGCGAGAGGGCGACAGGCGAAGGAGCTGACGGAGGTGGGTTCGGACGAGGCGGAGGTGGGGAGGTGCGAGCGAGCGAGGTCAGCTCGCCTGGAGCCTGAGGCAAGGAGCTCAGGGGATGCGTAGAAATGTGGTTAGTGCTCACTGGATGTCGGCGGAGCGCTGGCGGGGTTGGCCGTGGCTGACGAGAGGCAACGCGTCGGGTCACTCGACGGGGCTGACGAGAGGCGTGGGGGGCGGCCGTTGCGGCTGGCGGTGGTGCGGCCGGGGGTGATGGAGGTAGGTAAGGCTGATTGACCCTGTGGAGTACAGCGCAGACCCGAGCAAGAGGGTGGTCGCGGAGGTGCGAGAGGTCAACCGTGAGATGAGGACGACGACACCGCTCTCGCTCCCACTCTCCACCCCGGCAGCTGCCATGGACTGCAACTACGCCCTCGTACAGCCGCAAGACATCCCGCGCGCCTTCCAGCTCGAGCAGCAAGGTTTCCCCGACGACGAGGCCGCCTCGCTCGACTCGCTCCAGTGCGCCCGCCCTCCTCCCTCACACGAGATCCACAACTGACCTGCTGTCCGACAGGTACCGTCAAGCCAACGCAGGCGACCTCTTCCTCGGAGCTTTCACCCGCTCCCCTCGCCAACTCGTCGCCTACGTCTGCGCGACCCGCACCTCGTCGCCCACCCTCACGCACGACTCGATGCAGGCCCACGACCCGCAAGGCCCCTATGTCGCCATCCACTCGGTCTGCGTCGACGAGGCCCACCGCCGCAAGGGCGTCGCCGTCGCCCTCGTCAAAGAGTACCTCGCCCGCCTCGACCGCGACCACGACTCGGTCCTCGGCGCGCGCCTCATCGCCCACGACAACCTCATCAAGTTGTACCAGCGCGCCGGATTCCAGCTCGTCGGCCGCAGCAAGGTCGTCCACGGCGCAAAGCCCTGGTACGAGCTCAAGGTCGACTTCAGCCGCGCGTCCACCTCGGCCTCTTCTTCGTCGTCCTCGGCACCCGCACCTGCACCCGCCGCACCCGCCACTCTCGACACCGACGACGAGGGCAACGTACGCTCTCCCGGCCGTCTCCTCGCTCGCGCAGGCGGCCTCGGCGCCCTCGTCGACCCGGCCTCGGGCACCAACGCGACCGACCTGTTCTGCCCGCGCGCAGAGTGCCGCTGCCTGCTCCTGCGGCGAGGCGCCGGCACCTTCGTGCGTGGTCACGCGAGCGACTTTGAGGTGCGTCGGGCTCAATTCTCTCTCGGGCGGGCCTGTCGGCCTTTGCGCCGGGTCCTCCTCTTTCCTCAGACCTCGACTGACACTCTTCCTCTACCCGCCTCTCTCCCGTCGCCCCGACAGCTCCCCGCCCTACCTCGTCCCATCTCGGCTCCCGAACCCGCACCGGCGCCCTCGCAGGGCTACTGGTCCGTCTCGTCCCCGCTCGCATTCGAGAACATCGGCTTCTCGCGCAACGCCCCCCCTCCCTCGACTGCCTCCTCGTCCTCGTCCGCCGTCGCACCACCGACACCGACAGCAGGCGCGACGATCAAATTCCTCACGTGCGCCGACTGCGACCACGGCCCGCTCGGGTGGCACGACACCGAGGGGCGGGACCTCGGGCTCGAGGTGCAGGCCGAGAACGACGCGCGCGAGGGTGCGGGTCCAGCGGGCGAGGTGAGGAAGGGGCGAGAGTTCTTGCTCGCGGTCGAGAGGGTGCGGTACCGTGTGTGAGAGCTGAGCGCGGTCAAGTTGGGCGAGGGCGGTGCAACTTGTTCTCTCACCCGTCCCTGTGTCTGCCTTTCGAGAGTGGACTACTGCGAGTCGGTCTCTCGTGTAACAGGCCCTCACGCTGCGAAATCGCGAGCGGGAAATGGCGAGACTCCCCGCTCGCCCGAGGAGCCGACGGCCGACTCAATTGCTGATGAGGGCGGCTCGCTTGCTCCTGCGCCCACGCACCGCACCCAGCGCGGCAGCAGACAGACGCACACGATGACGGCCCACCAGGTCAAGCTCGACACGCTCCTCGTCATCACGCCGCTCGCGCCCGACGTCCTCGACCTCCTGCGCTCCCTGTTCGCCGAGGTGATCCACCACGCGACGCCGCCGTTTGCGCCGTACGACCCTGCGCACCCGATCCCGACCGCCGACGAGTACGCGCGCGCAGACGCCATCTTTGCCTTCACCGTGCCCAACAACCTCGACTCGTTCGAGCAGACCCCGCGGTTGAAGCTGTGGCAGGGCCTCAGCGCGGGCTACTCGCACCTGACCGACACCAAGTACTTCAAGAGCATCCCGACCGATTCCGAGGTCATCTTTGCTTCGGCGTCGGGCATCCACGTGTGCGTCCCTCGTCCTCTTCCTCCTTGCCCCTCCCCTCCCGAGCGAGCCTTGACTCGCGCCCTCACCCGCACGCAGCCGCACGATCGGCGAGCACGTCCTCGGCACGGTGCGTCTCGTCCCGCTCGGGCCTCCTGCGTCCACCCTCCCTCGACACGCGCGCCGACTCTGACAACCTCGGAAACGCCCGCTCGCAGGTCCTCATGCTCACGCACAAGCTTCACTATCTCGCTGTCGCGATGTACAACGACAAGCGCTGGGTCCCGCACGCCGAGCTCGGCAACAACTTTATTCGCGAGCTGAGCGAGCTCACGGTGGGCCTCGCCGGGTACGGGCACATTGGTGCGTCCAGATTGTCTATTTCTCTCTCTTGCCCCGAGCCGAGGAGCGTCGCACTGACGCCGGGCCCTCGAGGAAACAGCTCGCGAGACGGCGCGCCTGTTCTCGTCGTGCGGCGCCAAGGTCGTCGCCCTGAACCGCTCGGGCAAGCCGGCGCCCGAGACGGGCTTCACGATCCCGCACACGGGCGACCCGTCGGGCTCGATCCCGGACCAGTACTACTCGACCGAGTCGCGCTCGTCGACGCTCGACTTTTTCGCCCGGTGCGACGTCGTCGTCAACACGCTGCCGGACAGCGAGGCGACGAGGGGCTTTGTCGGGCGCGACGAGCTCACGGCCATGAAGGGCGACGCCATCTATGTCAACATCGGGCGCGGCACGACGACCGACCAGGACGCGCTCGTCGAGGCGCTCGAGGCCAAGGCGCGCGACGGCGAGGACGAGGGCGCGACGGGCACGTTGCGCATCGGTGGAGCGAGCCTCGAGTGCGTCCTTGGCTGTGCCCTCTGCCTCTCTCTCCCTTTCCCTCTCGGTCTCTCGCGAGCCTTGGACAGCCGCACTGACCCCTTCTCGGCCCTCTCTCGCAGCGTCACGGTCCCCGAGCCGCTGCCCTCGTCCTCCCCGCTCTACACCCTCGACAATGTCGTCCTCACGCCGCACATGAGCGGCCTCAGCAAGCTCTACTTCAACCGCTGCGCCGAGGTCCTGCGGCAGAACGCGGCGAGGGTCCGGGCCGGGCGAGGAGCGCTCAACGCGTTCCGCGGCAGGGGCGAGGACGACTGAGCGGCTGCGGCCGAGCTAGACCTGAAACGAGACGAGCAGTACTTTCTTCGTAGCCGTTCGAGAAAGCTCTCGTCCGTCGGTCGGTCGAGATCGAGAGAAGGAAAGGCTCGAGTCGACGCGATGCAGCGATAAATTACGTCTCTGCGTCCTCTACAGCTCGCCTGCGAGCTTGTCCGCCGTCGCGCCGTGCCCCATCCGTCCACACGGGCAATCCCTCCCGACAATCTCGTCGTCCCACCCGCTGTCGCCCGCGCCCTCGCCTCGCCGCCCGAGAACCGCTCCGAGGACGAGTGCGCCGAGTGCGCGCCGCCAGTGGTACAGGGCAAAGAGGGCGACGAACGGCAGGAAGAAGGAGAAGGCGGCGGGCACCTCCCATGCGGGCTCGCGCAGGCCGACCCGCCACGCGACCTCGCCCGCTCGGCGCTCGTCGTCGTCGTCGTCGTCGTCGTCATCATCGCTCTCGCCCGCCTCCTTGGCGCTCCTGCTGCTGCTCGACGTAGCCGGGGCGACGAACGTGCCCCGGGTGCGGAACCGCTCGACGAGCTGGTCCTTCTCGGCCCACCGCTCGCGCAGCCAGCGCTCGAACGCCGCTCGCTCGTCGGGCGTGCCGTCCTCGTCCTCGTCGGTCGCGCTCGAGCGCGACAGGTCGCCGAGCGGGATGTCGGCGAGCGCGAACGCGCGTACGTGCAGGTGGAGCTCGGGCGGCGGGATGCCCTGGAGCAGGATCGAGGGGAGGGTGTAGAACTCGCTCGCGTACTGCGGCGAGGCGGGTTTGGCGGACGTCGAGGAGGGGCGCGGGAGAGGGTAGCCGACGGTGAGGTCGACGAGGTGGAGGGTCGGGATGGAGCGTGCGAGGTTGCGCAGGGCGAAGAAGAGGCCGGTCGAGCGCGGGAGGAGGAGGTGCTTGAAATCGGCGACTGCAAAGGGGCGAGAGAGTGTCAGGGACGCGCACAGAGAGTCGAGGAGGAAGAGAGAGAGAGGGGACGCACCGCCCGACTTCTCGGCAAAGCGCTGTGAGATGCCCCTCGTGTTCTCGGTCACGATCGTTCCCTCGGGGAACAGCAAGAAGGCCATCTTCTCGTCGTCGCCGCCGCGGTTCGTCTCGCGCGCGATGCGGTCGAGCTGCGCGGCGAACGGCTGGCGGTCCTCGGCCCACTTGCGCTCGAGGAAGGCGAACCCGAACAGTTGGCACGCCCAGCCGATGATGGGGATGCGGCGGAGCGACGCCTTGAGGGCGATGTAGAGCGCGCTCGAGTGGCCCGACAGGTAGGCGAACGACCACAGGTACAGCCAGTCGGCGAGGGTCGTGTGGTTCGACATCTGAGCGGGCCGAGAGGGAGGGTCAGCTGTCCGTCGAGTGGGGCGAGGCAGGAGGAGGTGGACGCACCCAGAGGCCTTTTGCGGGCAGGTTGAGCTTGACCGCCCGTCCGTCTGGACCGCGCTCGACCCAGTCTGGCCGCATCCCCTCGCCCGCACTGAGGACCAGCTCGGTCGGCGAGAAGAGGCCGAGGACGAGGACGAGGAGCCGGCCAAAGGTGGCCTTGCCCGTGCGGAGGTAGGCGAGGCGGGTCGGCCCGAGGTAGGCCAAGGGGAGGAGCAGGACGAGGAGGGCGAACGTCGTGAGGATGCCGAGGTTGAAGCAGAGCGCGAACGCGGCGGCGAGGGGAAGCGTCGTCGCAAGGCGAGCAGGGCGGGTCGAAGCGCGCTGTGCCCACAGCGGCGTCTGCTGTACTGGCAGAGGCATGCCGGGTGCGCTCCTGGTCGGTCAGAGGCGATGTCGAGGGAGGAGAGCAGCCTCAGCGGCACGCTTGCGATGAAGACCGGCTCGCGACGAGGACCCTCCCGCCGCTCTGTGCGAGACGTGGAGCATGCGGGATTCTCTCGGTACCAGCACAGACGGACTGGACCTCGCACAGGTCGCGCAGAGTAGTGAGTCCTCGCCTCTCTCTCTCTCTCGCGTCGTCGGACAGCGAGCCGGGCGTCGAACAAGTCATTACAGGCACGGCAGGAGGGAGAGCGGGGGCGAGGGTATCATTGCGAGGGAGGTCGAGTCGGGTTTGTCTAGGTGGCCGGTCGGGGAGGTGGTGCCGCGAACGAGGTGCGAGGTTGGCGACGACGGAGAGAAGAGAAGCAGCTCTAGGCTTGCGGGTTGGTGCCGTAGCGACGCGAGGTGAACCTGGAGAGCTTTATGTCAGTCAGGTGCTTCTTTCGAGGGCCTTACAGCCCGAGCCGAGCAGATGTGGCTGCCCGACTGCCGGCGGAGGAAAAGGCGAGAGAGACGCACTTGGTCAAGTCGTCGACCGTGACGATCCCGAGGACGAACTTGCGCGCTGCACAACATACGAGTCAGTGTGCTTCTCGTGCAGGTACGACAGGCCCAGAGAGAGAGAGGACGGACCGCCATCCGTGACAAGCGCGAACGCTGCACCGCTCCCGCTCGGCCCGCTCTGCGCCGTGAAGAACGCCTCGAGCTCCTCGAGCGGCGTGTTGGGCGTGATGACTGCGATAGGACGGCAGATGGACTGTCAACGCCTGACTCGAAAGAGGAGGCACTCGAGGAAAGGAGAGAAAGAGCAAGAGAGAGCGCCGACGGACCCTTGTACGTCTTGCCGCGCTTGAACGTCTTGACCGGCCGCGCACCCTCGCTGTCCTCGGCGGCACCGGACTGGAGGCTGCTCAGGGGCGCGTCGAGGTCGAGCTCGCCACGTTCGGCGGCGGGCTTGAGGGCGTCGACCGAGAGCCAGCCGAGGAGGGTCGCGCGAGACGAAGGGTCGTGCAAGGGGAGGATGCTGCGAGGACGTCATAGTGTCACTTTCAAGAACCTTCACATGTACCTGCTGCAGGCGTCGAGCTGCAGCTGCAACTCGCGCTCGCGCAGGTCGAGGAGAGCGGCGACACTGACCTGAAGTCGCGCTCGAAAGCCACTGCGCGCACGAGGGGAGCGAGGGTCAGCGCCGCCTGTGAAGGCAGAGGTGAAGGTGGAAGCAGAGACACACGCTGGAGAGCCGTGCCGATCGAGGTCGAGACGGGGAGAACGAGAGCCGGCGAGAGCTGTGCGCGACCGGGGGAGGTCAGCGGCGGGCACAGGGAGAACGAGGGGGGGGGGACTGCAGACGCACCTGGAGGTCCTCGACGGTGGCACCGCGGTAGTCGGTCATCGCTGTGCGGCTGGACGACGAGGAGGAGGGCGAGTGGGAAGGCGTGCGCAAGTGGGGGGACACGAGGGCCGGGGCGAGGCTGCAGGCGTGTCGAGTGTGGTCGTCGAGGTGCAGATGCGTCGCTTGCACTCGTGGCTGAGCTAATCGAGTTGGGCGAGGCGAGCTTGAGCGTGGCAGGCGTGGCCTGTGGAAGCTGATCGCCCGGCAAACCGCGCGCCCGGCTCGAGCCCAATTCCTATTCCGATTACAGACTTGCATTAGACTCTGGCGGCCAATACCGAATCTGAGCTTGCGCCCCCACCTCATCGCCATCAGTCAGCCTCGTCTCTCGTCTCTCGCTCTCGCTCGACACACACACCTCGCACCTCGCCCAGCTCGAGCCACCGACCATGAGCAACAGCGAGCAGCCGATCCAGGACATCACGCCGGTCCAGCAGCAGGAGGAGGACGGCCCCGAGTTCCTCAACGAGGAGGACGTGCTCGAGGTCGAGGAGCTCGGCGGCGACGACGCCATGGCCGTCGAGTCGGACGACGACGACGAGTACGACGCCAACGCCCAGCATGAGTACCACGGCGAGGGCGAGGGCCACGACGACGCCATGACCCTGCTCGACAACGGCCTCGACGACTCGGTCGCGACCGCCCGCCTGCACGCCAACGAGGGCGGCGCCGTCTTCTGCCTCGCCGTCCACCCGCACGCCGCCACCCTCGCCGTCTCGGGCGCCGAGGACGACCAGGCCTTCATCTTCCGCACCGACACGGGCGCCCAGGTCGCGTCCCTCACCGGCCACTCGGACTCGGTCACGAGCGTCGGCTGGAACTTTGACGGCAGCCTCGTCGCGACCGGCGGCATGGACGGCAGGGTCAACGTGTGGAAGGCGCGGCGGCCGAGCAGTGACATGGCGTGGGAAGAGACTGGGTGGGAGCTCGCGTGCTCGCTCGAGGGCCCGGACGAGGTCAACGTGCGTCCCCTTTCCCTCCTTCTCTTGCGCCACCCAGACGACGTCTGAAAGCTCTCTCTCCACGCGGAGTTCCTCGACTGGCACCCCAAGGGCAACGTCCTCATGGCGGGAGGCGCCGACGGCACCGTCTGGCTGTGGAACCGTGCGTCCGGCCTCCTCGACTCGACCCCCTTCCTCGAGACCGACGTACTGACTCGCCCTACTCTCGCAGTTCCGTCTGGCGCGACGATGCACGTCCTGTCCGGGCACACGTCGTCCGTCACCTGCGGCCGCTTCACCCCCGACGGTCCGTCCCTTCCTCTCTCTCTCTCCTTCCATCTCTCCCTCTTTCGGCACTGACGAGCGGCACCACACAGGCAAGAAGATCCTGACGGCGTCCGAGGACTCGACCCTGATCCTGTGGGACCCTCGCACGGGCGAGTCGGTGCACAAGCTCACCGGCGCCGACGCACGGTTCCGCCTCGAGGGCGGCATCAACTGCCTCGCCGTCAACCCGGCGTCGACGGTCGCCATCGTCGGCGGTGCCGAGGGTGGCCTGCGCGCCGTCAACCTCGTGCAGGGGACCGTCCTCGCGCAGATGGAGGGACACGAGGAGGGCGCGTCGATCGAGCAGGTCGCGTTCAACGAGATCCCGACCGTCGGCGGCGCACAGTCGGGCGCGAGCGTCACCGTCATGGTGAGCGTCGGCGTCGACGGGCGGGTGTGCACGTGGGAGGCGAGCGGGTTCAAGCTGAGGAGCACCGGGTCGCACGAGGTCCGTCCTCCCTTTTATCTGTCCTCGTCGCCCTCTTGTCTTGCAGAGACCTCGTCCTGACGCCCCTCTCCCTCGCACAGGACGCCGTCACCTCTCTCTCGTTCTCGCCCCACACGCCCACGTTCCTCACGGGCTCGGCCGACAAGACGCTCAAGCTGTGGGACTACCGCACCGGCTCGTGCCTGCGCACCCTGCTCGGCCCGCGCGACATCGTGCACGCCGTCAGCGTCAGCCGCGACGGGCGCATCGCCGTCAGCGGGTCCGAGGACGGCACCGTCCTGACGTTCCGCCTCGACGGCAACGACGAGAAGCGGTAGAGCCTCGCGAGCGTGGCCCAGGAGACGTCGCCCGGTGCTGCACAGCTGTTGTCATATCTCTTTCGCGCCGTCACCAACGCCCCGAGAGCGTACCTCTGCGAGCGAGAGAGCAAGCATGGCTTCGGGTTCTCGAGCAAGGCTCGCTCGGACCTCGAGCCTCGTCGAGGAGACCTCCTCGCTGTCGAGCGTCGAGCGAAGGGCCCAGCCGAGGCGCACGAACTATAAAGCGAGTCTCGGGCACCTGCTTGACGCACGAGAAGCAGCCTGAAGAAGCGGTCGGGCTCGAGAAGGACGACGGCAAAAGCGCTCGATGGCAGGACGAGAAGAGGATCTATGGACGACACGGGCGGGTGCTGGTACAACGCGGAGAGTGTAGGTCTAGGCTAAAGGGGCGGAAAGGAGATAAGGGAAGGGAAGGGAAGGGTGGAAGCGCTAGTCGAGCTCGTTGAGCCCGCCAAGCTGCCACTGTCCTGCGCTCGTCTCGACGTCGTACTCGTCCCACGCAGAGCCCTCCTCCTCCTCCTCCTCGTCGTCGTCGTCGATGACCGAGGTGGCGTCGATCTCGAGGTCGCCGTCGTGCTTGCGCGGGTGCTGCGGGTCGAGCCCGGGGCAGCGCTCGCTCTCCTTCTTGACGACGCGGCCGTTGCGCAGCGTCCACATGATGTCGTACCTGCGGGGGCAGTATCGGGCGTCAGTGACAGGGCCCAGAAGGCACAGGGCACGGGCGCGAACGAGGAGGAGGAGAAGGAGTGCGGGATGGGACGCACCGCTCGTCCGGGTACGGCCGGGTCTTTGCGCCGAGCTCGTGCGCAATCTTGTGCAGCATCGAGTGCTTCTGCGTGGCGGGAAGGTGTCTGTGTCAGGAAGAGAGCTCTGGTCGCTCGGGCGAGGGGAGAGAGAGGAAGCGAGGGACGCACCCAGCACACGACGACGTCGCCCGTACCGCCCTCTCGCGCGTACTGGTCGATCTTGCGCCGGACGCACTTGGGGTCATCGACCTCGCACTCGACGTCGACCTTGAGGCCGAGGTCCTTTGCGAGGCCCTGGACCGTCTCGAACGGGCGGCGGCGCTTCTTCGTCTTGCGGTCGTAGTCCTCGGCGAGGATGAGGCCGACGTTGTGCTCGCCTTGTGCGCCGAGAAGCTGTACGTTGCGCGTCAAAAGAGTCAGTCGAGTGGCTCAGGCCGGCTGCTGCGAGAGGAGAGGAGAGGAGTGGTCGGACCTTGCGGAGGCACTTGGCGCGGCGCTTGCCCGCCTCGTTGAGGCCGACGCTGCCGTCGCGCTTCTTCTCGCCGTGGCGGATCAGGAGGACCGTGTTCTTGTGGCGGTGCGGCCTGAACGGGTCGGCGGCGAGGGCGGCCATGGACGGCGGGTCATCGTTGGACGAGGACGAGGCGGGGAGGGCGAGAGCGGTCGTGGCGAGGAGAAGCGCCGGGAGGGTGGTGCTGAGCAGCATCGTGGGCGGTTGCTGTGCTGTGCGTCGGTCTCGCGTGCCAGGGAAGTCGGGGAGAGGGCGTCGAACGAGGCGGGTCGAGGGGCGCGACGGCGGGGCGGGCTCAGATTGGCGCAGCGAGTGGACGTGGGGCGTGCGCTTGTCGAGTGCGTGTGCGAGAGTGCGTGCGGTGCAACAGCAGGAGCGTGCAGGTGAGCGAGAGACGTGGCCACTCGTTCTCCTCGGCGAGCGGCTCCTCGGCCTCGAACGAATCGTCGGACAACCAGCGGCACGTGCGTCTCGCTCTCCCTTGCTCTCGCGCTCTCCTCGCGGCAGTCGCACGCAGGCTCATGAGATAAAGGTGTTGCACACAAGGCAAAGCGGAGCATCGTCCCCGACCAGCGCGCTCAGGACACCATCTCGAGGTCGTCGTCGTCGTCGTCGTCCTCGAGCAGCAGCGCGCCCTCGCTCGTCCCAGGCTCAGCTTTGACGCCTCCTGCGCCGCCTGCCCCGCCTCGGGCCGCCGCCGCACCGCCTGCGCCGCTCGCGCTCGACCCCTGCTGCGCCGCCGCCCCTCCTCCTCCTCCTCCTGCCGCACCGGCCCTCGCCGCCGCCGCCGTCGCGCCCTGCTGCGCCTTCTCGCCCGCCGCGCCCTTGTACTCGGGCCGGAGCGCCCACATCTGGGCGTACGGGCCCTTGGGCACGAGGATGGCCACCTCGTTGAGCGTCTCGCGCAGGTACGTCTGCGGCTGCTGCACGTGGTCGTTGAGCGCGCGCAGGTGCCAGTACGGCGCCTGGGCAAACAGCGGGAACAAGAGGTCGAGGAGCTCGTTCTTGGGGATGCGCGTCAGGCGCTGCTGCTGCGCCGTGCCCGACGACGTGCCCGCCGCCTTGGCCCGGTTCGACGTGTTCTGCGGGTCCGAGAGAGTCAGTTCGGCCGCACAAAGCTCGAGCAGAGAGATCGTGCGAGAGGGAGAGAGAGAGAGGGGCGCACAGCGAACGTGGCGACCCTGCCCTTGAGCCCGGCCGTCCCCATGCCGCTCGCCATGCGGTTCGCCTGCGCCTTGTCGACATCGAGCATCTTGAGCGTGCGGCGCGGCTCGGACGCCTTGCGCTGCCGCTCGCGCAGGATGCGCGCGTACGCCGCCGACGCGTCGGCCGACTGGATCGACGGCGTGAGCGAGCACTCGTGCGCGACCGTGCCGACGAGCGTCGTCTTGCCTGTGGGTGGGGAACCGAGGAGGGCGAGCAGTCAGTCTCGGTCGACAGGGACGTGTGACTCAGAGAGGAGAGAGAGAGAAAGGGCAACGACGCACGGCGTTTTCTCCTCGCACCCTCGTCGCCCGTCTCGACGTCGTCCTCGATGCGCTCGCCGAACACGTACAGGTTCTTGCTGCTCGTGTTCTGCATCGTCAACTTGTACTCGGTCGGGACGCCGTCGGTCGCGCTCGCGGGGCGCTTGCCCTTGACGTCGGGCTTCTGGTGGGCCGAGGACGAGGACGGCGAGGCGGTGGTTGAGGAGGAAGCGGCGGACGGGTCGTTGAGGATAAGGGCGATCTTGGGCTGGCCGTCGGCGCCTTTCCTGAGGGTGGTAGCCGAGTCAGTCCGCGACGAACAGGCTTGAGCACGACGTAGGAGCGACGAGCTCCTCGCGCGTGCAGGTGGGGCAGGGACCGTCGAGGGACCGAGGGACGCACTCGTCGTAGACCCGCACCCGCCCGAGCATCTGCCCTTCCTCCTGCTGTTGCATCCACTTCTCCATGAGGAACCGCGGGACCTGCGCGACGAGGGAGCACTAGTCAGTGAACGAGGTCGACGAGAGGGGGGGCCAAGGGAGTGCTCGCAGGAGCACGCCGGGCGGCTGTTCCTTCTGGGAATGGATGCAGACGCAGAGTGCGCACACGCAGAGCCAGGGGTGACGGTGCTGCCGCTCGTCGTCGCGCGCTCCGCCGTCGGGTGGGGAAGGAGGAGGAGCGGTCGCCTCTCGCCCGCCTTGCCGGCCCGCCGCTAACTACGCCTGACTGCGCCCACGAGTCCATGACCTCCTGCGAGCGCACGAGAAGCGCCCCGCACCTGGCCGAGGCGAGCTGCTCCAGCTAGCCCGGAACCCTGACAACAACCTGGCCGAGCCACCCGCCCGCCCACTCGCTCTGGAAGAGCCACGAGGGAGAGAGAGAGAGAGCGGGTGCGCACCTTGCACAGCCAGACGTTGTTGGGCTGGTCGGGCAGGTCGAGGTCCTCGTCGTCGCCGCCATAGTCGCGCGCGCCTGGGCGGCCACCGGCCGAGGTCGAGGGCTTTGCGTCGTCGAGGTCGAGCGAGCCGTGCTCCTCCTCGAAGGCTTCTGGCAGCTTGTTGGTCGGGAACGACATGGCGTGCGAGAGGTGAGGAGGAGGGGCCGTCTCCGCTCTCCTCGCGACCGTCTCCCGTTCGTCCGCGGAATACGACAGCGCTTGCACTCTCGTCTGCAGTATTTTCGAGGGTGCTAGATGGACGAGCTCTGGCTCGGTGCGGCAAGCAGCGCCCGCGGTCAAGTCAAAGGCTGAAGCTGTGTGACCAGAAGAAACCGAGTGACGCAAGTGCGACTACGAGCCAGGAGCAGCGAGGCTAAAGTGCGCGCGAGGGACGCGGCGGCCAGATTGCGGAGAAGTGTACAAGGGACGCGCGTCGAAGCGGAAAGGGCGCCCGACCGACCGACCAGGAGACAGAGATGACGGCCTCGAGGTGTGCGGCCTTCGTTGCACCACCACCACCACCGCGCCCTGCCCGCTCCAAGTGCATCTGCTGCATCCTAGCCATGCGCGCACACAAGCCCGGCAACCTGCCCAACTGGCCCCCGCAACTGCCAGACGGCCCACCCCCCGAGCCGCCCGCGTCCACTTCATCTGGCTCGGACGACACGACCGTCGCAGCGCCCATGGACCGCTCCACGACCGGCACCGCGAGCCACCAGCACGCCCACGACCCGCAGCCGCAACCTCTGCGCGCGTTCGACTTTGGCGCGTGGTCGCCCTTGGACGCCAACTCGCCGTCGGCGTCGCATCGGCCACCACCTGCAGGGGTCACCACCACCTCGCCCGGCTTCCCTCACCTCGAGCCACCCCCGCACCACCACCACCAGCACCGCCACCAGCAGCAGCCGTTCACGTCGTACCAGGCCGAGCCCCTCCCGATCGACCAGCCCTCGTCGTTGTGGCCCTCGCCGGGCTTCTTCTCCGCCGAGCGCCAGTCGCTCCAGCACGCCAACAACGGCTACCACGGCGTGTCGCTCTCGATGCTCGAAATGGGCGGCATACCCCCGCCGTCCGCCGCCTCGTCGTCGTCCCAGCCGCGATCGAGCACCGGCACGACGGCCAACTCGTTCGGCATGCCCTCGTCCGCCCCGACCTCGTCCTCGTTCATGCAGGTCGACGAGCCCGCACCCCTGTACGACCCCTGGCGCGCCTCGACCCATCAGCAGCACCAGCATGCCCCTTCCGCCGACCCGCACCACCACCTCCACTCGCCCGACCCGAGTACGACCTCGCCCCGCGCAACCAAGCGCTCGCGCAACGAGTCGGACACGTCGGCGTCGAGCATCTCGGCGCTCGAGGCCCTCACGAGCGCCGGCGCCCTCGGCGAGTACCCGCTCTTCGGCGGCCAGGCGTTCGGCGCCCTGCAGCAGCACGTCGGCGGCTCGTGGCAGCCGCAGCTGCAGCCGTTGTCGCAGCACCAGCAGGGTCAGGGCGGCGACGATGGCGCGTCGGCGATGCGGCGCGCCGACCGCAGCCTGAGTGGCGCGAGCGGGAGCGGGAGCGGGACGGGCAGCGGCAGCGGCAGCGGCAGCGGCGAGAACGGGAGCGCGAGCGGCGGCGTCGACAGCTCGCGCACGAGCGGCGGCGACGGCGGGTCGTCGCGCCCGAGAAAGGGCGGCGCCGCGCCGGCGCCGGACGCCAGCGCGAGCGGGCTCGCCGCCTCGGCTGGCGCGGCGGTCGACGACAAGAAGATCGTGCAGCGCGCCGACAAGAGCTGCAAGAAGTGCCGGTGCGTCGGCGTCCTCTCTCTCCTCTTTTAAAGACGGGAACTGATTGTCGTCGTCGTCGCGCAGGGAGCGTCGAGTGCGGTGCGACCGAGCGTGGCCGGCGTGCGCGAGGTGCCTCAAGCGGCGCGAGACGTGCGAGTGGACCGACGTGACCAACGTGTGCGTCCTGCGCCTCTCCCCCTCCTCTCACACGATGAGCTCGACCCTGACCCTGAGCTTTCTTGCAGGGACGAGATCGAGGAGGGAGGCGACGCCGAGCAGATCTCGCAGCTCCAGGCCAAGGTCGCCGCGCTCGAGCGCCAGCTCAAGTCGACCTCGTTCGGCCACGGTGACGGCGGCGGCGACGCGAGCAACAGCAACGGCGGCAGCAACAGCGGGCACAAGGCGTCGCCCTCGGCCGCCGGCGGGTCGCAGCGCGCCATCAGCGACTCGTTCGCCAACGCACGTGCGTCCTACTCGACCTATCCGCTCGACAGCGCGGCGGCGAGCATCCCGGGCGCCGTGCAGGACATCTGGACCAAGACGTTGCAGCTCGGCCAGGACGAGGGCGACGTCGTCGCCAAGTTCGTCGCGCAGCAGACGGGCGCCGACCTGGACCTCGGGCGCAGCAACGTGCACTGGCGCATCGGCCAAGTCGAGATGGCGAGGCACCTCACGTGCCACCTCATGGACGGTGCGCTCGACTTCTCCTTCCTCGCCGTCCCCCTCGTCGAGCCCGACCTGACCTCGCTTCTCTCTCTCTTCGTCCCGCAGCCGCCCTATACGCCTGCTGCTCGAAGCTGCCGGGCGTCAAGCCGCTCGCCGACCGCATCGGGTTCTACAAGATGCACCTCGACACGCTCGACCCGGCGCAGCAGTGCGCCGTCGCCGTCCTGTGCGCGCTCGGCGCCCGCGCCACGCCGCACTCGCAGCTCCTCGGCATCAGCTCGATCCACCTGGCCGACGGCACGCCAAGTCCGCCCGCCTACCTGTTCGCCGGCGAGCGGCGCGAGCTCGCGTGCCGCCAGCTCGAGGCCCGTGCGCGCGAGCTGTGCTGGAGCCACAACTTCTTCCAGGAGACCGAGCCGTCGATGCTCGACGGCATGGTCGGCCTTGTCCAACTGCTCATCTGTGCGTCTCCCTCTCTCTTTTCACTCCCTCCCGCCGCGCTCGTGTGCGGCTGTCGGCGCTCGACTTACAGATCCTCACCACCTAGTCGAATTGCCCTCGTTGTCCACAGACGAGGAGGTCCTCCCTCGGCAGAGCCGCTTCTTCGCCCGCAACGCCATCGGCATGTACTTCGACATTCGGCACGACGCGCTCGAGCGCGGCGAGCGCACGAGCAAGGACCCTCGGATCGGCCCCGGCTGCGCCCTCTTCGTGCGTCCCTCTCTCTCTTCCTTCCTCCTATCTCTCTCGACGTTACCTGACGCTCTCGACGTGCAGCTCGCCGACGCCATCATCTCGTCGGCCTCGTCCCGCCCCTCGTACATCACGACGGGCGAGCTCGACCAGTACATCGTCACCGACGGCGTCCAGATCCCCGACTTCCCGAACGCCGACCTCGGCGACGAGCTGCGCAAGTGCACGCAACGGCCGTTGACGGTCGAGAAGCTCGTCGACGCGCTCACGACGTCGTGCCTGTGGGTCTGTGGCTGCGCGAGGCTCTTTGCCCAGCTCTCGACCGGTGCGCTCCCTCTCTCTCCCTCTCCCACAGACTCTCGAGGACGCCTTACTGACCTCTCGCCTTCGTACGCTCGTGCAGGTCGCCGCCAGAACGCGCCCTCGACGCTCCCGTTGCTCAAGAGCCTGTGGAAGCTCATCGACAAGGTCCACAACGCGATCCAGGAGCTGCAGCAGCTCCTCGTTGGCCTCGCGTGCAACCAGGTCGCCGGCTGCGAGGACCAGCCGTTCGGCCTCGAGCACTTTGTCCTGCTCGGCGTGCGGTACGACTCGCTCCTTGTCGACTTGATCAACCTCCAGCACGTGTACCTGTGCGTCCCTCGCCTTCCTCTCCCTCTCTCTCTCTCGTCCACCTTGATCAGCTCCTGACGGTGCTCTCGCCGCCCGCAGCATGAAGAACCGCGATGGTCCCGGCACGTGGGCCGAGCGCGAGGACGACCCGCTCCTGTCGTCGATGCGCCAAGAGTCCGAGTTGCGCGTCCGCAAGTGCCTCAAGCTCGCGTCGTTCTACGCCCAGCTGTACCTCCAGAGCCAGGACAAGCACCTCGTGCACCACATGATCATGGAGCTCGAGATGCTCCCCGAGTGGACGACGTGGGCGGCGCAGCGCGTCGGTCAGCCGGGCGGGCCCGTCTCGGAGGAATACGAGGTGTCGGTCGACGAGCTCGACTGGTTCCAGCAGGCGCTCGAGCTCAGCTCGTACTACACGCCAAAGGCGGCGCACCGCCTCCAAGCCCTTTCGCAGGCGAGGCAGCGCTTCCAGAGCCGCAAAGCCGAGAGTGCGTCCCTCTTTCCTTCTCTCTCTCTTCTCCTCCCCTTTCCTCCTCTCTCCCCCTCTCGTGCATCCACATCGACAGAGACTGACTCTCTCGTATCGCTGCAGCCGTCGAGGAGCAGCTCCGCAACGCGCCCAATCCGCTTCCCTCGAGCGCCCTCCCCGGCGTCGACCACGTCAGCGGCCACCAAGCCGCCATCGAGTCGCACGAGGCCGACAACCCGCACTACCACTACGACTTGCCGCCCAACAGCCGGGCGTCGTTCGCGGCGCTCGCTCCCCCCGACGATCCTCAACTCATGTATCACGTCTCGAGCGACCACGCCCAGCTCCCGACCCCGTCCCAGCTCTACATCTTTGGTGCGTCGCCATCTCTCTCTTTCTCTCTTTCTGCTTCGCGTAGAGCTCCAAGCGAGACCGAGAACTTACTCGTCCTCGCCGTCGCAGACACGTTCGGCGTCGCGTCGTCGCAAGGCCAAGCCCTCATGGACCAGCCGCCCGTGCCCGAGCTCGACTTTGTTCAGGAGCGCTTTGACGGGCGCGACAAGTGGTCCGAGCTGGGCGTGCGCGACGGGCAGCAGGCGCTCGAGAGCCAGTACTCGGCGGTCGGGCAGGGGCCTGAGCGCGACAGGGAGCGGAGCGAGGAGTGGATGAGGAGCGCCGGGAGGAGCAGGGAGACGAGGCCAGAGTGCGAGTGGAAGGGCGACTGAGCGGCAGGGGAGCGGACGGTGACGGAAGAAGGAGGAGACGCGCGCGACATCTTACCACGCCGAGTGCGCCTGTTCGAGCGACGCCTGTCGTACTGTAGCCATTTCTGTCACTTCTAGACGTGCTCTGTGCCTCTCTCTCTCTCTCGTTTACTATCCTCTGCTCTGACGAGAGACACGCTCGATAAGTTACAGCTTCGGGAGCGGACGCCCCGAGTCTCCTGCCCGCATGTCCTCCCAGCCCTCGCCCAGCACGTCTACGACGTTCTCCCTCAAACACCCTGCGTGATTGTCGAGCACGTCGTCAGGATTATAGGCGCAAACCGAAAGAATCTCAGAGAGGGAGAGAGAGAGAGAGGGACGCACCTTCGACCGTCAACCCGATCTGGCCCTTCCTCGGCGCGAGCACGTACGACCGGTTCCTCCTCCCCTTGCCGCTCCCACCCTCCTCGACCCGCGCCTTGACCTCGTCGAGCCCTGCGCCAGCCTCGTACGCGTACTCGTCGTCGCCGGGGAGCAGCGTCGCGCGGCGCTCGCGCCCCTGGCCGTCGACGACCTGGGCGATTTGCGGCGTGAGGGGCACGACGCGCCTCGCTCGAACGACGGGCGCCGCCGCCGGATCGCTCGAGGCCGACGAGGGAACGACGAGCGACGCGAGCGAGCGGTGGTTGCACGCGAGCTCGGCCATGAGGTTGAACTGGGGCGGGTGGAGGATGATGGGCCCGGCGTTGCTCGACGACGAGGGCGACGGCGCGAGCGTCGCCGACGTGAGCTCGTCCGTGTAGGCGACGGCCCGCCCGATGGCCTCGAGGGGTGTGAGCCAGTCGGCCGACGACGTCTCGACGCCGTCACTCGAGACGAGCGACTCGTGGGTCGGGGCGTGCGGCGACGCCGGCGAGAACGAGGGCGGCAAGACGGCGATGAAGAAGTGCGTGTCGAACCGGCGAGGAAGAATGACGGGCGTACTGTACGGGCCGCCAGAGTCAGTGAGGGTCGCGTCGAGAAATGGACGGGTGAGACGTACATCCACCGGGACCAGTGCGTAAGGGAGCTCAACGCGGGCTTGGCGTCGTCGCCGAGCATCTTGAGCAGGTCGAGGAACTTCTTGCCGTCCTTGTGCACCTCCTCGCGCCACCGCGTCTTGTCCTCGGCCGGCAGAGCGTTCCACGTGTGCTGGGCCGATCCGCCCGGCTCGAGCAGGAGCAGGCCCGACTCTTCAAACGTCTCGCGCACGGCGCAGATCTTGAGGCTCTGGAGCTCGGTCGCGGTGAGGTCGGGCGAGGTCGAGGGGGCGGACGAGGAGCTGGACGGGAAGAGGCTCGACCACGCGGCCGTGTCGAGGTCGATCGGGTCGATGTTGCCGCCTGCGTTTCGAATCGAGGGTCAGTACGGAGTCACTGAGTGGCAAGAGAGTCGAGCGCACCTGGCATAACGTGCGCCGAGTCGTACGTCCGGCTTTGGGCGTGCCGCTTGAGCAGGAGGACGCGGTAGTCGAAGCCCTCAGGCGTGCGACTGGATAGCGGCGCGAGTAGTACGAGGCTGCAGGTACAGGCTAGAGTCAGTTCGAGGTCCTGAAGGCCCGTCGTCGACACGGGAGCGGCTCGGACAGTGGCCAAGTGGGGAAGAGCCCGGCGCGAGGAGACCGCTGCGCTCTCACTGCGACCAGGGCGGGCGGGGCTGGGATAGAGAGAGTGGGCATACCTTGAGCTGAGAGACGGGCGGATCCGCTCTTTGCTGCCCGTGGTTGACGACGTGGAACGAGAGTTCATCTGGATCGACGACGACGAGGTGGTGCGGGCGGTTGACGGCACGACTGGGCAGTGCAGCAAGCGGAGGCGGACGAGAGAAGGTGCACAAGCTGCTCTGAAGCAAGGAGCAGGCCCACGAGAGGTGAGGAGCATGGGTACAGGCAGCGAGCGGGGGAGCTTTCGGCGCGGGGCGAGGACGAGCCGGTCTCGCGCTTTGTCCCCGCACCGCTCTCTCGCAAGCTGCACACGGTGGAGCGAACCCGTACTTCCAACGCAGACATTCTAGCAAGAACAAACAGCCCTCTACATGACGACGCACTTGCGCTCGTGCAGCCCCATCTCCTCGAGCTCCTCCTTGGCCGCCTCCTTGGCGTTGTGCTTCTCCTTGTCCTTGACCTCGTGCGGGAACCACCGCTCGAGGAACTGCTGCAGCTCGCCGTCGAGGTTGGACGCGTTGGCCCGCAGCACGACCGCCTTGCGGCACTGCGGGCAGTTGTCCTGCCCGCGCTTCTGCATCTTGACCAGGCACCGCACTGTTTCGCGAGAGCTCGTGTCAGGTCGACACGCACGAGGACGACGAGAGACAGACAGAGAGAGGAAGCGAGGGACGCACCGCAGAACTTGTGGCCGCAGTTGAGCCGGATCGGCTTGAACGCGACGTCGCCGCAGATCGAGCACTCGTAGTCCTCGAGCTGGGGGATGATGGGCAGGAGCGTCGTCGTGAATGTCGACAGGAGGACGTGTGGGAGCGAGGGGAAGCCGGGGAGGGTGAGGATCGGTCGAGGCTTGCCGTCGTCGCCGTTGAGAATTAGCTCGGTCGAGAGCATCGAGGTCGAGTCCTCGGACGCGATGAACTTGGGGAACCGCAGCGACGCCGTCAACGCCGTGCGCTTGTCGTGCTTCTTGAGCTGCGAGGGGACCAACATCCAGGGTAAGTCGACATGGTCGTGCGAGAGGGAGAGGGAGAAGGAGGAGGACGAGGCGGACGTACGATCTTGCGCGCAGCCTCCTCGTTGGCGACCTGGAACTTCTTGAGGTCAAGCAGCTCGACGTTGAGCGCGATGAACTTCTCGAGCGCGACCCGGCTCTCCTTGTGCCGCATGCGCTTGGCGAGCTTGCGCCTGGCGACCTGGTCGACGAACCACTCGAGCTTCTTGTCGACCTCGTCGATCGAGCGCTCGCCGCGGTCGCGCTCGCGCGACGACTCGAAGATGGCCGCCTCGACCCACAGCGAAAAGATCTCGCGCCAGATGTACAGGTCCGACTTGGGGCGCGAAGGCGACGATACGGCCGACACCTCGCGCGCGAGGAGCTGGACGGCCTCGGTGAACTGGCGCTTCTGCGCGAGTTGGAGCGTCGCGAGTGAGTTGAGGGCCGACGCGAGGAGCGTCAGGAACTCGGTGTCCGAGTTGAGCGGGATGAAGACCTCGCGGCGGTGCTGACGAGGTCGGCGCTTGCGGCGGCGTCTGCGAGTTGAGGATCGACGTAAGTCTGCCGTTCTCGATCAGGGAAAGAGAGAGATTCGGACGCACGGTGTTGCTCGAGAAGATGGCGCCTCGCCCTCGTCGTCCGCCTGATCGGCCTGCTCGCCCTGCTGCTCGACCCTCTCCTGCGCCCTCCCCTCGGCCGCCAACTCGAGCGACTTCATCGACTCGAGCAGCTCGGACCGCAGCGGCGTGCCGGCGGGCGCGCGCAGCGTCTCCTGGCTCAGGGCGCGGTGAAGCGCTCGCGGCGTGTCGTGCGGCGCCGATCGGCCCTGCGCGACCTCGAGCGCCTCGTCGGCGTCGAGCTCGACGATGTGCGCGTCGCCCTCGCCGTCGTCCTCGCTCCAGCGCCGACCGACGCCGTACATGCGCTTGAGGAGCTCGTTGGCCTGCGGGCCGGCGCCCTCGAACTCGACGCCGTCGGCCTCGCCGCCGACCGACCCGGACGACTCGGTCGCCTCGGTCACGTCCTCGGTCGACGGCAGCGAGAACGGGTCGTCCGTCGACGGGCCGGACGAGCTGCCCGCCTCGACGGCGAGCGACGCGGCCGCCGAGTCGCCCTGCTCATCGTCGTCCCCGACGACGTCGTCGTCGCCCTCGGACGACGCGAGCTCGACGACTTGGCTCTTGGGCGACTTGCCCGACTTGACCGACTTGCGCGAGCCGGCCGAGCGCTTGCGAGCGTGCCGCTTGAAGAGGAAGTTGGCCGGCGAGGCGGCGATGCCGTCGAGGTCGTCGTCGTCGAGGTCAGACGCGGTGCGGTGCGAGCGGCCATCGTCCGACTCGGAGAACGACTCGGACGAGCAAGAGGAGAAGACGAGGTGGATGCGAGGTTCAGGGTGGGCGGTCGTGCCTGTCAAACAGCTCGTCAGGTTGCGCCCCGACGACGGATCGAGACTGACACAGAGAGACGGGGGCGTACCTCCGAGCTCGTACGACGCGCGTACCCGCCTCTTGCGTACGGCCTTCTGCTTGCCCTTGGCCTTCTCGCTCAGCTGCGGCCCGTCTTCCTCCTCGGCCTCGACGACGCCCTCGACCTCGTCGAGCACCTCCTCGATGCGCGCCTCGGACCCGCCGTTCTTCTCGTCGTCGGTCCCGCTCCCGGCCCCCTCCTGGTCGGCCCACCGCAACGTGCCGGACGAGGGCAACGGCGCGGCGGCGGGTTTGGGCGGCGACGACGGGCCCGCGGCGGCAGTGGCGCCCGGCTGCTGGAGGAGCTCCTTGAGGACTTCGCTCGTGAGGCCGAGGTCCTTGAGCTCGTTGGCGACGCGGTTGATGACCTTCTTGAGCTGTGCGCGAAGAGACGAGTCAGTTGAGCCTGATCGTGCACGGAGGGGGAGAGACGAGGGGCGACGAGGCGCACCTTGCGGTACTCGATGGCTTGCTGACGCCACTCTTCAGGGAGCGAGTCGAGCTGGTCGGCGAGCGCCTTGCCGTACTTCATGGCGAGGCGAGAGCGAGGTCGAGAGGCGGTGCCCCGACGAGAGGAAGGGGGGAAAGGGACGGCGACGGCGCCTTGAGGCGGTGCTGAGGACGGCGGACGGTGTCGCGAGGTGGTGTGCGGGTGCCCTGCGAGCTCGCACGGCTCGGTCGAGCGGCCGGCGGGCGAGGATGAGAGGCGAGAGTCGAAGATGGGGGCGTGCCGGGCTGAGGCGGCGAGCGGGCGCTGGCGAGAGGCGGCGCGGGCGTGGACGCAGGCTTAGTGTGCCCGTGCGCGAGTGTGGCTGTCGAGCTGTGAGCACTCGGGCGTAGGAGCCCGGCGAGACGAGCGGAACGTGGACCCGCTCTCTTCCCCTTGCTCCTCCGCATCAGCTCACCGCGGAGCCCAACTTTGGCGGGCCGCTCAATTCGCTCGGGTTGTGCTGCTCGCCTCGTCCTCTCGCCTCTCATGCTACCGCCGAGAGAGCAGTTCAAAGCTTTTTTACACCTCGTGCGGCTCAGCTCGCGCGTCTACTTGCCCGTGTCCATCGCCTCGCCGCCGTCCTCGCCCTTCTCGTACCCCTTGTTCTTGGCCAGCATGACGTCTGCGGCAAGGAAAGGAGGCGAGGGAAGAGAGAGTTAGGTCGGCGCGCAGGAAGAAGAGAGAGAGAGGGAGAGGAGGGGACGTACAGCCTTCGAGGACGTGCGAGTACGGGATGTACTCCTCGGTCGCCATCTCGGCGCGCTCCGTGTGCCCGAGCCGCACCGGCGTCGTGTGCGTCTGGAAGCCCGAGATGGTGCGCGGCTTGCCCGCCTGGCCGACAACGTCGACGGCCTGGCCAACGCGGACGCTCGTCGGGAGGAGCTCGCCCGTCTGGTCGTCGAGCGTGATGAGGAACCGCGGGTACATGGCCATCGTGAGAAAGTAGAGCATCCAGTGGCTCTTGTCGAGGACGAACGCGCGCGTGTCGGTGAAGCCGACCAGGGTCGCGAGTAGGCCGCACACGGCGACGGGCGACACGAGCGACCGGTCCGTGTGGAACGGGTTGACGCCGATCGTGCCCTTGCCCATGTGGACGAGGCCCTGCGCGATGCGCACCATGAACAGGCAGTCGGCCTCCTTGGCGTAGTAGCTCGCGAGCTGGCGCAACATCTGCGCGAGCTTGGCGTTGTTGGTCCCGGCGCCGACGAGGCCCATGGCAAAGATGGCGTTGGTCGCGACCTCGAGGTCGTTGTCGTGCGAGTACCGCGACAGGGTCTCGAGGATCGTCATGACCGGGTTGGACGCGCTGAGGAGGCCGAGCGCGAGCGGGACGGCTCGTCGCACGACGGGCTCGCCGTAGTGCATGAGGTGGTTGAACTGCCGCAGCGCCATGGCGCTCCCGACGTCCTCGCCCATGGCGACGAGCGCGATGCCGATGACGCTCATGGCCTGGTGCAGGTCGCTCTCCTTCTCCGGGTCGAGGTGGTCGGTCGCCGCCTGCAGGAGCTGCTGGATCTGGAGCACGTTGCCCGTCGCCGCGTACGACGACATCTGGACGAGCGCGATGGCCACCTTGCCGAGCGGCGCCTCGATCGTCTTGAGGACCTCGACCGTCGCCTCGGACTGCTCTGTCCGGCCTGCTCGAGGGAAAGGACCGAGAGTCAGTGCCGGGCGCTCATGCCTCCTCGACGGGGCGCGAAAAAAGAGGAAGGTGACAGAGACGCACCGAGGTACAGGAGCGCAAGGCCGAGGGCGAGGAAGCGGCCCCACTTGTCCTTGAGCTGCGCCTCGTCGCGCTCCATGATGCTCTGCGCGACGCCGAGCGCAACGTCCTCGTCGCACGACCCGACAAAGATGAAGCCGAGCGCGAGCGCCGCCATGCTCGCGACCTCCATCGACACGGTCGAGTCCTGGAGGGTCGGGAGGAGGAGGTCGCGCAGGTCCTCGCGCTGCGACCCGGCGTACGCGATGCCGAGGCCGATGATGGACGCGACGCGGAGCTGGACCGACGGCGACTCGACGTGGTCCGACAGGAGGGCGAGTGCGGCGTCCATCTCGGTGCGGACGCCCGAGTGGATGAGGCCGTTGGCGAGCATGGCGCCCGCCTTGATGTGGTCCTCGGACGCGTAGGCGTACTTGTCGATGTGCGACAGGCCGACGTCCGTGTCCCATAGGAGGCTGAGGCCGAGCGACGCCGCGGCGCTGAACATGCCTGCGCAAAGGGGGGAACAACGAGAGCGACGTCAGTCGGGCGCTCTGGGGGCAAAGGGGAGGGAGCGAGGGGGGACGCACCGTGGTCCTTGTTCTTGTAGATCCAGCTCTGGCCCTCTTCGGCCTCGACCATGAGCTTGTCGTTGCCGAAGCCGGCGTTGACGAACGCGTTGACGAACGTGCCGGCGAGGTTCTGCTTGGCCGAGTCGACCGTGGCGGGCGCACGACCGGGCTCGAGGTGGCTCTTGTACACGTCGTCGAGCGAGCGCGGCTCGGTGACGCTCAGCTCGGCGCCGAACCGCTTGAAGCCCTCGGACAGCTTGGTGTTGTTGAGGATCTCGCGCAGCGTCTCGTCGTCCTCGTCCTTGATGTCGACCTGCTGGCGTGCGAGGATGTAGGCGAGCTGTCGCTTCATGACCGGGTTGGTCGGCGCGTCAAAGTCGGCCTTGATCGCCTCGGGGTCCTGGAGCCGGAGTGCGAGCGTGAGCGCCTCGGTGTACCGGTTGTGCTTCTTGTAGATCTCGCGCGCCGTGCGCAGAAACTCGACGTCGTCCGGCGGCGTCAGGTACGAGACCGCCGAGACCATGTACAGGCACACCCGCGAGAACGTGTTGGCGTTGACGAACGGGACGATCTCCTTGATGGCCTCGAGCTCGAGCAGAAGGTCGACGGCGTCCGACTCGGCGTTGTGCGACAGGAGGAACGGCACGAGGCGCAGGCCGAGCGCGAGCAGGTCGGCCGTCGACTCGCCCTTGTCGACGCGGCCGTCGTACTCCTCGCCGATCTCGGCCGCGAGATGCCTGCGGGGGCGCGCAACAGCGGCGTCAGTCCGTGTCGAGAGGATGCGAGTCGTCCCCGCACGCAGAGAGGAGAGGGAGAGAGAGAGGCGAGGACGGACCGCACGTATTCGTGACCCCACACGCCCGGGTCCTCCTCGCTGCCGCCGGTGAGCCGGTACTTGAGCGTCTCGCGCTTGCCCGAGTCCGAGTAGGTCATGGCGAGGACCGACAGGATGTCGGCAAACAGGCCCTTGTCGGTCACGCTCGACGGCACCTTCTTGTCGTCCTGGCTCGCCGCCGCCGCCGCCGCCGCGTCCTTGCCCGCCTCGCCCTCGCCCGCTGCGGCGCCGTTGCCGAGCCCGACTGCGGACGCGACGGCGCCGACGGCTGCCGAGGCCGAGTCGACGACGGCCTGCGAGGTCGACTGGGCCGGGGCGACGTCGGGCCACGAGGCGTGGATCTTCTGCAGGTCGGCGTAGTGGGGGCGGAGGAACTTGAGGGGCTTGGGGACCGACGTCATGGACGAGGTCGCGGTGCGAATGAGGGTGCGGAGCGACTCGAGCGCAGGGCGGTACAGCGCCGTGTCGGATTCCTGCGAGCGAGACGAGCGAGGAGGTGAGCGGGTCGGCGCAGACGAGGGAACGGGCGTGGCGGGCAGGGGCGCACCCGTAACCGCTCTACGAGCATCTCGAGCTCGCCCTTGAGCGTCGCATCCTCCTCGTTCTGCGGTTGCGAGAGAGGAGGGAGGGTCAGCAACCGAGTCGTCATCGCCACCTCGACAGAGGTCGACAGAGGGACGCACAAGCTCGTCCGAGTCCTTCTTGAGCTCCTCGCGGGCCTTGGCGACCTTGTCCTGCTCCTGCGTCGGCTTCTTGGGTGGCTGAGGGTCGTCGGCCGGCACCGACACGAGCGCTTGCGGGCGCTCCTTCTCCTCGACGGGCATGGGACGGCGGTGGGTGCTGGCGGGCGGTGGGTGGTGCGAGTGCAGAGAGTGGTGTTGGGCTGTGTCGCGGCGGTCTGGGTGCGGCGGACGAACAGCGAGTTGTGGAGAGGACAGCGGGTTGGCCGTCGTCAGCGCTCGAGGCCAACTTGGTCTCGAAGCTCGCTGAAGCTGTGCTGGCGTGGCGCAGGGCACTCTCAACGTGTTGTACGACTGCTCGAGCCGATCCAACTCGTCCAGCGCGAGGAGCTGCTCTCGACCTCTCGGACCTCTCGCCGCTCCTCATGCTCAAACGCGCGCTTGCGCGCCTCCTTTTCAGCAGCTCCGTCTATGCTTTCGACACGCCGCCGTCTAGAGGAAGCTCAATCCGAGCCCGAACTGGAACCCCTTGACGCCGCCCTCGCCCCTCGTCTGCACGACGGGCACGCCGACGTTGGCCTCGATGCGGACGAGCGAGTGGCGGTACATGAGGCCGAAGCCGGCCGTGAGCGAGGGAGGTGTCGCGACGATGGCCGAGACGGGCTGGCCTGCGAGTAGGCGAGGCGAGAGCCTGAGTTAGTCGGGGGGAGGAAGGACCAGGGGAGAGAGAGAGGGACGCACCCGAGCCGACGAGCTTGCCCGCGTTGACCCACGCGTGGCCGTGCAGGTTCTCGCTGCTCCACCACTTATTGGCGGCGCCCTTGCGCCACGGCGTCGGGATGTGGCACGGCGTGAGGACGCTCGCGCCAAGGGCGTAAAAGGCGTCACCGCCGACGTAGTCGCCGAGGTCCTTGGGGCCGAGCGCGTTGAGGCGGAAGTTTCGGACCGAGGTGGGGCCACCGAGGTGGTACCGGTCGGGGAAGAGCGAGGTGCGCGGGGTGGAGGAGGACGAGGATGAGGAGGGAGGGCGGACGGCCGAGAGGGGGAAGAGGAAGCCGGACCGGCCAGAGAGGGACACAGACTATGCGCGAGAAAGGTGTGTCAGTACGGGCGCAAGACGACGAGGTAGAAGAACAGGGACGCACATAGCCGCCGCCGAGAGAACGAGCGACCGAGCCCTCCTGCTCGAGCTTGAAGAAATTGGCGTCGCCGCCGAGACCCGCGTACTCCTGTAGCGCGTTCGTGTGAGTCAGTGGCGAGTGCAACGACGACGGCGAGGAAGCGGAAGAGGGCGCACCTGCTTGAGCTTGACGAACGCGCCTCGGGTCGACACGAACGGGTCGTCGCGCGTATCCCGCATAAAGACGTGCGAGATGGCGCTCTTGACCGACGGGCCGGCCGCATCGCGGATCCTGTACGGCAAAGCGAGACGATGTCAGTAGGCGCGTTGGTTAGGGAGGGCGCGACGAGGGAGGGGACGCACGACATGGACGCGCTCGGGGCGACGTCGCCAATTTGGCGCAGGACAGCCTCGTAGGCGAGCTCGTGCGTGCCGAACGGCGTAAGGGTCTGCGAGACCGTCCACGACTTCTATCAGTACCGGGCTCGAAGCAGAGCCTCGCGCGCGAGAGGCTGATAAAGAGGACGGCGCACGCACCCTCAAGCGCGCCATCGTGCCCTTGGTCGCCTCGTGGCAGCTCGCGTAGAAGCCGAGGTCGCGCTGCGCCGAAAAGATGCTCAGGTCGGCGTGCGTCGTCGACGACGAGTTGACGGGCGTGTCGAGGCGCAGCTGGAGGGGCAAGTGCGGGTCAGGGACGGCGACGGTGACGGTGGCCGGGGAAGAGAGAGTACGAGGCGCACCTGGAAGGCCGACTTGGTGCGCGTGCCGAAGCTGACGTTGCCCTCGACCGTCTCGGCGCCGCCGAACGCGTTGCGGATCTTGGCCGTGCCCGTCTGCGAGTGGACGCGAGCGAGCGTGAGTGACTGGCGCGCAGGCAGGACAGAACAGGCGAGAAAGGGGACGTACAGCGTTGCCCTCGCCGTCGCCGACGTCGGTCGCGGTGCGCAAGAAGTACTTGGGCGCCTCCTGGACGCGCAGGACGATGTCGACGTCCTCGCGCTCGCTCAGGACGCTGTCGCTGCGCTCGATGGTCGCCTCGACGCCGCGGTACAGGTCAAACTTGTCGAGCGTGCTCGACAGGTCGCGCGTCGCCTGGAGGAGCGAGCGCAGCGTGTGCTGCGAGGGCGGAGCGGGCGCGTCGGGGGCGAACGTGGCGGCGAGAAACGAGGGAGGCGGGAGCGGCGACAAGTAGGGGGCAAAGATGCGCGACAGGAACGAGGGGCGAGTCGACTTGGCGCCAAAGATGCGGATGGCGTTGAGGCGGAGCGGCGTGTCGAGGTTGTCGTGCACCTGCGGCGGTGGTCGATGAGGACCAGGGTCAGGACGACGAGGGACAGGAGTGAGATGGGCGGACGCACAATCTCTGCGAGGTGCTTGCCTGCACGCTCGTACTCGCCGCGCATCTTGCGCTCGATGCGGTCGCGGTGCCACTGCTCAGCGTCGGCGCGGTCCTGGTCGCCGATGACGATCTCGACGCCGGCGGCCGTGACCTCGCCCTGGGGAGGGACGAGCTCTGGCGGACGGCTGGGCGGCGGGAGCGAGTCGGCGGCGGGCGGAGCCGTGTCGGGGGCCGGAGTGTTCATCGAGGTCGAGGCGGCCGGAGGAGGGGGAGGAGGGGACGAGGAAGGCGGCTCGGGGGTGGCGATGAGGGGCCCGCGGACGACGACTTGAGGGACAGGGACGTCCTCGGGGGCGAACGCGCGGGCTGCGTGCTGCGCTGGCGTCTCCCTTGGTCGAGACGACGACTCGGCGGGCGATGAGGACGACGAGGACTGCAGGAGAGCGAGTCAGTCGGGGGACCTTGGGGGACAGCTTGGCGATGATCCACGCACCTGTCCTACCATGCTGCACTGCGCCACTAGCCAGTCGAGCGAGGTGGAGCGGATGGGGGCGAGTCTACCCCCGCCTCTCTCTCCACCGGCTCGCCCTCTGCTCGCTACCACGCTCTCCCGCCCTCGGGATCGACTGCTACTTCTCCTCGCCAGCTACAGCTCCCCCAACCGAGCCGCCAGCCTTGCCCGTTCGCGCCGCCATGGCCACGTTCGGCGACAAGTTCGCCGCAACCGCGCTCGAGGACTCGCTCGACGACCACTCGTGGGAGCGCTCCGATCCACTCTTCGACCGAACCGAACACGGTCCAGAACCCGACGAGGCGCGCGACGCAGACCGCGACGCCCTGTACTCGATCCTCAACCTCGAGCGCACCGCCTCGGACGACGAGATCCAGAAGAGCTACCGCCGCCTCGCAGGTCCGTCCCCTTTGTCTTTATCGACCGAATGAACCTCTCTCGACGGGCGACACTGACCGTGCCCTCGGACCGGCAGCTCTCCTCCACCCCGACCGCCACAACGACCCGTCGCTCAAGTCGGCCGCCAACTCGCGCTTCGCCAGCGTGCAACAAGCCTACGAGACGTTGTCCGACCCGCACAAGCGCGCCATCTACGACGAGCTCGGCGCACAAGGGCTCAAGACTCAGTGGGAGGTCGCGACGAAGGGAAAGACGGCGGCAGAGGTGCGCCTTGCGAAGGTCCCTTCATTCGTCGCCACGAGCCGCACCTGACGCCCTTGTTCGCCCGCAGCTACGAGCCGAGTACGAGCGCATGAACCGCCAGCAGCTCGAGCAGAACATTGAGAATCTCGTCAGGAGCAAGGTGCGCCTCTCGTCCTCGCCCGCCCCACGTTCCCTGATTGACGTCTCCCTCCTCCACAGGGCGAGCTCACGATCGTTTCGGACGCCCGAGTGTGTTTCCTGCGCGACGCCGACCTCGAGCGACTAGGCGGGCCCGAGAAGCTCGGCCCGCTGCAGCGCCTGCAGACGATCTCGCAGCGCCAGGTCTTCCTCAAGCACTCGTACACGACGCCGCTCACGCCCACGACGGCGCTCGTCGCGACGACCCAGGTGACGGCGCGTCAAGGGTCCGGCGCGGGCAATCTCCTCCTCAAGCTGCAGCACAACCCGTCGCAGCGCCTGTCGCTCGAGATGGGCACGACGCTCCTCCGCCCGCGCGCCCTCACGCTCAAGGCGACGTACGCGCCCGACCCCGACTCGTTCGTGCGCGTCGACGTCCCCGTGCGCACGCTCGACGCGCCGCCAAAGTTCAGCGTCGTGCTCGGGCGCCGCATATACGAGCGCACGACGGGCACGGTCACGCTGCGCAGCGGCGCGTGGGCGCTCGGTCGGTGGGGCGAGGCGCTCCTGCAGCCGTACTCGGACAGTACGCTGTCCGTCGGGCTCAGCCACGCGACGGGCTGGGGCATCGAGGCGACGAGCGCCATGTTCGTCAAGCAGGTGAGCCTCAGCTGGGGCAGGACGGTCCTCGGCGGGTTCAAGGTCGGCGTCCAGGGCGTCGTGACCAACGTCGGCGCGGCGAGTGTCGGCGTCAGTGCCGACCGGCGCGTGACGGAGAACTGCAAGGCCGGCATGGGCCTCGAGGTGGCCGCCAACGGCGCCATGACGGTCAAGCTTCGGTCTGTCGCCTCCTTTTCCCTCTCTCGTGCGCTTTCGTTCTTGCCAGTACTGACTCTTCTGCCCCAACTGCCCGCAGCTTCTCCCGACTCGGTCAGCGCATCAACCTCCCCGTCATCATCTCGTCCGGCCTCGACTACCGCCTCTTTGCCGCTTTCACGGTCGTGCCCGCCCTCGGCATCATCGCCACCAACCAGCTCGTTCTCGCGCCACGCAAGCGCAAGCAGTTGAGCGGGCGCGTCCACGACCTTCTCGCGCTCGTTCCCCTCCTTCTCTCCTCAGCGCCCGACTGACCTTTTCCTGCCCTGCCGGCCCGCAGCAAGCTCAAGGAGCTGCGCAAGGAGCACGCCGAGTACATCCGCGAGAAGCGCAAGGAGGCGCTCGACGCGCAGGCGCTCCTCGCCGAGCACGTCAAGAAGCGGGTCCGGGAGGAGGAGGCGAAAGAGGGTGCGCTCTCTCTTTCTCTCTCGCTCTGCCGGCCACCTTCATTGACTCGACGACTCTGTTGCGCGCAGGTCTGGTCATCCTCGAGGCGATGTACGGCGTGCTCGAAGCCGTCGACGACAAGGTGCAGGACGAGGCCGAGCTGCGCTGGCTCGACGTGACAGGTGCGTTGCTCTCTCTCTTTCCTCGGTCTCTCACTCTCGCAGACCCTCACTGAGTCATCCCTCGCCCGTCACAGCTCCTATCCAAGCCCTCCTTCCTACCGGCCTCTCGCAGCTCACCATCCCGGCCGGCCGCTCGAAAGCGTCCCTCCTCGGCTTCTGCGACCCGGCGATCGGCGAGAAGAAGCGGCTCAGGGTGCGGTACCGGTTCAAGGGGCGCATGCACGAGGCTGTGTGGAGGGACAGGGAGGCCGTCGCGCTGCCGATGAAGGGGCACTTGATCGAGGAGGACGAGGGGGACAGGCGGAGGTAGCGATGCGGGCAAGGTGCAACTAGAGGAGCTCGCCACTCTCACGCAGCTCGCTTGAGAGAGAGAGAGGTACTGCTAATGCACTGCGAGGACGAGATCTACACAAAGGGAGAGCGAACGACGAGATCTACGACAAGGTGATGTATACGTGGCGCGAGCAGATCTTTGCCTCGGCGCCCGGGTCGAGGATGAGCGTCTGGGTCCCGTCGACGATGGCGCCCGGGCCCTGCACGACGTCGCCCTTGTCGAGACCTTCGAGCCGGTACACGGGCACGTTGATGCGGCCCGTCGACTCGAAGTACATGGACGCGCGCTTCTTCTCGGCCTTGCTGTCGACGCCCTCGCCCGAGAACGTCGTCGCGTCGATCTCGCTCAGGACCGACTCGCCGAGCGAGTCGAACGTCTTGCCGATGCCGCGTACCCGCACGTCGTCGACCATGATCGCCTTCTTGTCGAGGTTGAACCCGAACTCGCTCTTGTACAGCGCCTCGAACGCGGTACCAAAGTCGAACGAGCCGTCTGAGGGCGCGAGCGTCATGAGCGACGTGTCGGACCCGTCGTAGCTGCGTCGGCGGAAAAGGGGACCGAGCGTCAGTCTTGCCGGCAAGGAGCGCGAGAGGAGAGAACGAGAGAAAGCGGGACGAACCGCATGTTGAGGTAGCACTCGAGCTCGATGCGGTCGTCGGCAAAGCCCTGGCGCTTGAGCTCGACGCGGACGTCCTTCTTGAGGCGGTCGAGGCGCGGCAGGAAGGTCGACTTGGTCTCGGCGGTGAACTCGGCCGCGCACGGCTCGCTGCGGTCGTACGCTCGGCTGCTGAGCGCCATGCCGTACGCCGACAAGATGGACGAGTAGCGGTGGATGAGGATCTGGGTGATGCCGAGGGTGCGCGCGAGCTCGCAAGCTGCGGGAGGAAGACGACGAGGATGAGGGTCAAACTCGACAATCCTCGACCACGACCTGCCGAGAGGGAGAGGGAGAGAGACAAAGGGACGCACCGTGCTGCCCACCGGCACCGCCAAACGCGGCGAGGATGTGCTTCGAGGTCGAGAAGCCCCTCGCCTCGGTCAACGCGCGCACAGGCCTCGCCATGACCTCGTTGGCGACCTTGATGAAGCCCGCCGCCACCTCGTCGAGCGACATGTCCTTGCCCGTCTCGGCGTTGATCTGCTTGCGCACCTCCTCGAACGCGGCGACCGACGCCTCGCGCCCGAGCGGCTGGTCCTCGGTCGCGCCGAAAATCTTGGGGAAGTAGTCGGGGAACAGGCGCCCGAGGACGAGGTTCGCGTCGCTGACGGCGAGCGGACCGTCCTTGAGGTAGCAGACGGGTCCCGGGTGCGCCCCTGCCGACTCGGGCCCGGCGTGGAACAGGCCGTTCTTGAACGTGAGGCAAGAGCCGCCGCCGGCGGCGACCGTGTTGATGTCGAGCTGCGGCGTCTGGATCGAGACGCCTGCGGTCGTAGTCTCGTACGTCGTCTCGTACTTGCCGTCGAAGCGCGAGCTGCGTGCGGGAAGAGCGTCAGGGTCAAAACCCTCGCAAATTTCTCTCGACGAGGCGGTCGAGCAGGAGAAAGGGGGACGCACACGTCGGACGAGGTTCCACCTGCGAGGAAGGGGGAAAGCGCGAGTCAGTCGACGCGACTAGGGCCGTAGGGGAGGGCCGAGGAGGAGAAGAGTTACCCATGTCGAAGCCGATGATCGGGATGCGGTGCTCGTCGCTCCAGGACGTGGCCGAGTAGCCGACGACGCCGCCTGCAGGGCCCGACAGGATGCTGCGCAGACCCGAGAAGTTCTTGACGTCGACGAGCGTGCCCTCGGACGTCATGAACTCGACCTTGCCCGCGTCGCGCAGCTCGTCGTCGAAGCCGTTGAAGAAGTTGCGCAAGTACTCGCCGAGGACCGGGTTCAGGTACGCGTCGACCGACGCCGACGTCGCGCGCGGAACGGCCTTGATCTGTGGCGACAGGGTCGACGAGACCGAGACCTGGGTGAAGCCGATGTCGGACGCGATGGCGGCAACGGCTTGCTCGTGGTCGGGAAACGTGAACGAGTGGACGAAGCAGATGGCGACCGAGCGGATGCCGCCGTCGTACAGGGCCTGCAGGTCGGCACGAACGCGCTCGAGGTCTGTCGCAGGTCGAGAGGGCGAGATGGCGGGCAGGCGAGCGAGAGAAGGGTAGAGGAGAGAGGGCGGAAAAGAGAGCGCGAGGAGAGAGAGTTAGTCCGTGAGTCTATCGAGAAGTATCGAGTTGAGGAAGAGCGGGACGCACCCGGCTTGCGCATGATCCTCACCGGCTCGCCCGAAACGCCGCGCACGATCTCGCCCTCGTGCTCGCTCACGACCTTGCCGTCGTCGTCGAACTGGACCGTGTTCTTGTCCGCCTCCGGGTCGTAGCTGTAGCCGACGAGCGTCACGCGCTCGTCGACTTCGAGCACGTTGTCGTACAGGACGCCCGGGCGCTGCACTTTGAGCGCAAAGATGCCTGTTGGCACAAGTGAGGAGGAAAAGGGTCAGGTTCTGGATCAAGGGTGCGCCGAGAGAAGAGATAGGAGAATCGAGGGCCGACGACGCACTCGGTCGGCTCTGGTTGTTGATGCGGAGCAGGTCCCGGAAGCCCTTGGTGACGACGAACGCGTGCTTGGCGCCTTTGCGCTCGAGAAGGGCGCTGCAGGGGAACGAGCTTCGAGGTCAGGAACGTGCGCAAGGCCACAGGGAAAGAGGGCGAGTGCGAAGGGGACGCACTTGGTCGCGACGGTGGTCGACAGGCGGATGTAGTCGAACTTGCGGACGTCAAGCTTGCGCCCTCGCGGGATGGTGGTGCCCGTTGCCATCTCGAGAACTCGGCGGCAGGCCTCGGTCGGCGCGTCAGGGTAGTTGGACGGGTCGACGCTGAGGAGCTTGACGACGACCTCGTTGAGCCCGCCGTCGGCTGTCGGCCACGAGGCATAGGCGTCGGCCATGGTACCGCCGCGGTCGATAGAGACCTTGATCGAGTTGTCCGGGAGCTCGAACGGCGGGAGGATGGACGGCATGGCGGTAGAGTTGAGGATGGTGAGGTCGAAGAGGGTCGAGGTGGTGAAGGCGAGGGCAGGGGTGCAGTGCGCTCGCGCAATCTAGTGGAGACGCTCGGTGGGTCGTGTGTTCCGGTCGTCGAGGTGGTCGGATGCCGCGGAAGTCGGTGGAGGAGCGGCCGGAAGTGGCACGGTCGGTCGCGGGGGAGGCGAGGGTGTCGAGGAGTGGGAACGCGAGCTGGAGCGGACTGAGGTGGCTGGGTCGCCGTACAGGAGATGTACGAGGCCGTGTGCGCTCTGACAGGCTCAGCCAGGCGGTGTGGCGAGCGTGGTTGGGCCGGAGAGATGAAGTCTCCTGGTGAGTTCCGCTCGGCGGACGAGCCGCTCTCGCTCCTCGGCTCCACCCTCGATCAGACTCGCACGGCCACCACACCCTAGTGCAGCTGGTCAAAGTCGACTTCCGCCCCCTCCAACCGCGACTGCAGCCCCGTTCCTCGTCGTCCTCCCTCTCGCCCCCACCTCATCTCGTTCGCCTCTCCGTCACACCACCTCGCGCTCAAGCTCCACCGCCTTGTCGCAACTACCTCCCTCTTGACCTTCACTCCACCCACACACACCCTCCTCGCCTCGACCGCCCACCATGACGGTCGACCTCGCCCTCGACAAGCCCGACCCGATCCTCCTGTCGCTCTTCGCCAATCGCTTCATGTCGGTCGCAGAAGCTGCAGGACGCAGTCTACAGCTCACCTCGATCGTGCGCCCGCCTCTCCTCCTCTCCCACGTCCACCCGGCCCATCGACTGATCGTTTCCCCGTGCCGCAGTCGACCAACATCAAGGAGCGCCTCGACTTCTCGTGCGCCCTCTTTGCGCCCAACGGCGACCTCATTGCCAACGGTGCGTCCCTAGCGTGCCGCTCGTCGACAGCAGAGGCCGTAACTGACGATTCTCTCGCCGCGCACAGCTCCTCATCTTCCTGTACACCTCGGCTCGATGTCGTTCGCGGTGCGGTACCAGGTCGACACGCTCGGCATCGGCGCAGATGCACCGAGTGGCGACGGTATCGTCGACGGCGACGTGCTCCTCACCAACTCGCCCAAGGCTGGCGGCTCTCGTACGTCCCTCCTTTCCTGCTTTCCTCTCTCATGTCTCCCTCTCACGTCGCCCGACCTCTCCCTTAGGCCGTTCTTGAGCACACGTGTACTGACAATCTTCCTCTGTGTCCGCAGACCTGCCCGACATCACCGTCATCACGCCCGTCTTCGACGAGTCGAAGCAGAAGTTGATCTTCTTCACGGCGGCGCGCGGCCACCACGCCGACGTGGGCGGTATCCTCCCTGGATCGATGCCGCCTACGTCCAAGACGATCTTTGACGAGGGGGCCCAGGTCACGTCGTTCAAAATCGTGCGCGCCGGCAAATACGACCGCGAGGGCCTCATCGAGCGCCTCGTCACCGAGCCGGCCAAGTACCCTGGCTCGACCGGCAGCAGGTGCTTCCGCGACGTCGAGTCGGACTTGCAGGCCCAGATCGCTGCCAACAACCGCGGTGTGCAGCTTCTCCATGCTCGTGCGTCCCGACCTTCCCTCTCCTCGCTCCGACCTCGCTCATCATCTCGCCTCGTCGCACGCAGTCATCGCCGAGTACGGCCTCAAGACGGTCCAGGCCTACATGTACCACATCCGCGACAACGCCGAGGACGCCGTGCGCAACCTCCTGCGCAGCGTCGCCGCCAAGATGGGCACCCGCCTGCACGCCATCGACTACATGGACGACGGCACGCCCATCGAGCTCACCATCACGATCGATCCCGAGTCGGGCAGCGCCGTGTTCGACTTTGAGGGGACGGGCCCGGAGAGCTACAGCTCGTTGAACGCGCCAGTCAGCGTCTGCTCGTCCGCCGTCAGTGCGTCCCTCCCTTCTCCCCTCCCTCTCGCTCTCTCTCAGCCTCGATCCTCCTCACTGACACTCTCGTGTCCCCGCAGTCTACTGCCTGCGCATCCTCGTCGACGAGGAGATCCCGCTCAACGCCGGCTGCCTCGCGCCCATCGAGTTCAAGATCCCCGAGGGCTCCATCATCAACCCGTCCGAGACGGCAGCTGTCGTCGGCGGCAACGTCATGACGTCGCAGAGGGTCACCGACGTCGTCCTGCGCTGCTTCGAGTGCGTCCCTCTCTCTCGCTCTCTCTCCCCCCCTCTCTCTCGCGCGCTCGGACCTCGGGCCTGACTCGTTCGCCTTCCTGCAGGGCCGTCGCCGCCTCGCAAGGGTGCTGCAACAACCTGACGATGGGCGAGGACACGTGGGGCATGTACGAGACCATCGCCGGCGGGTCGGGCGCGGGTCCCTCGTGGCAAGGCGAGAGCGGGATCCATTGTCACATGACAAACACGAGGATCACGGACGTCGAGGTCCTCGAACGCCGGTACCCGGTCATCCTGCACGAGTTCAGCATCCGCGACGGCTCGGGCGGCAAGGGCAAGTTCAACGGCGGCGACGGTGCGTCCCCTCCTCTCTCTCTCTCCTCTCTCGCTCGCCGCCTCGCTCGGGCCGGACTGACCTCTTACACCACCTTGAGCAGGCGTCACGCGCGATTTCGGGTTCACCAAGCCGCTGCAGGTCAGCATCTTGAGCGAGGTGCGTCCTCTTCTTTCTCTCCCTTCCCTCGCGTTCCCTCGACTCACGCTCTCGTCTCCTCGCCTCCTTGCAGCGTCGCGTCAACCAGCCGTACGGCCTCAAGGGCGGCGAGCCCGGGCAACGCGGGCGCAACCTGTGGATCAAGCAGCGCCGCGAAGAGGACGGCGACCTCAAGCCCGACGCCGGCCCTCGGTCCGTCCCTTTTCCTCTCCCCTCTTGAGTGTCCTCGACCTGACCTCGAGCTCGTCTCCTGCAGCACGATCAACCTCGGCGGGCGCAACACGTGCCGCATGGGCGCAGGCGACCGCATCCGCATCGAGACGCCGGGTGCGGGCGCGTTCGGGCGCGAGGGCGACGCCGACGACGAGGCGGTCGAGGACAAGCCGAAGCGCAAGCCGACGCTCGTCGGACTCGTCGGGAGCTTGGCCGAGCGGGCGGCGGCGCAGCTGGGCGTGTAGTCGAGGGCTCGAGCGTGTGGTCGTCTCTGTGCAGTCAATTTTCGGTTCGTGTTGTCCTCCGGTCTGAGCGGCTCTCGATCGATTCCTTTTCTTCGAGAGAGTCCCGTGACCTGTGTGCCGCCGCAACCATCGCGAGCGACGAAGAAAGTTGCGCGAGACCTCTCGAAGCCGCCGCCGGCCGGCCCGGCTCGCGCTCCTCATCACCTCGACGCCTCGCCCTGCACCAGCCCGCTCGGCGCACACCGCTGTGCGCGTCGTCGACCCGCCAGCTCTATCCATGCTCAGCCAGTCGCGCCCGGACAAGGTAGGCCGCAAGACGACCTCTCGAACGAGCCAGGCGGGCAGGAGCGGGCGCAACGTCTCGCGGGCTTGCCAGAACTGCCGACGCAGGTGCGTGTTCCCTCACCAGTCTCTCAGAGACCCTGCTCACACTTTGCGCCGCGCAGGAAGAGCAAGTGCGACGGCCAGCAGCCGACATGCTGTGCGTCTCCCCTCCCCTCCTCATTCGCCCGTCTCCCCCACTCGGGCAAAGGCGAGCTGACCCTCCCTGCCCTTCCCCTCGGTTCTCCTTCCCGTGCAGCGACGTGCGAGCTGTACCACGACGACTGCACCTTCACTGCCGAGCAAGACGGGCGACGGCCGGCCGCCAAGTCGTACGTGTCGGCGCTCGAGGAGCGGGTCAAGGTCCTCGAGCGCATGCTCAAGCAGGGCACGGCGCTCGGCGAGGAAGACGCGGGCGAGAGCCCCGAGGGCGAGGGCGGCGCAGGGCAGGAGGCTGCAGAGCTGGGCTTGGACCGTCTCAAGGTGAGCCCGCTTCCCCTCGATCCTCCTCCTTATTCATTCTCGCGTCCCGTACTGACCATCTTGGCCCTGCTCTCTCCTCGCCTCCTTTCCCTCCGTCACTCGCAATTATTTGGACACGCCTCTACGCCCCGACAGCTCGACGAGGAGACGCTCGAGCTCCTGCAGTACGGCCCGACCTCGGCTTTCCAGCACCTCCCCGACCCGCAAGAAGGTCGCGACCTGTCGCTCTCGCCCGCCGCATCGCTCCCCGCACTTTCGCCGCACGCCGGTTTCGATACGGCGGCGGCCGGTCCGCTCGACTGGCGGCGGCACCTGCCGCAGGACGACGACCTCAACGACTGGGACGACCGCCTCCACGACTCGCTCCTCGACCTCTTCTTCTGCTTTTTCAACCCTTGGTGCTGGTGGTGCGACGAGGACGCGTTCCGGCGCGACATGGCGATCTGCCTCGGCACCTCCCTCCCCTCCCCGCCGATTCGGCTCTCCGGCTACTCGCCCCTCCTGCACAACGCCATCCTCGCCCTCGCCTGCGCCCTCAGCGACGACTCGCGCGCCAAGATGTCGGGCGCGGCCAACAGCCTCGCGCGGCAGGCCAAGGCGCTCGTCGAGGAGGAGGGCGAGCGGCCGACGCTGTCTACGCTTCAGGGCCTGCTTCTCGTCGGCTCGTACCACTCGGGCAACCGTCTGCAGGGCCTTGGATACCTGTACTCGGGCGCCGGCTTCCGCATGAGCCAAACTCGTGCGTCCCTCTCTCTCTCTCTCGTCGCGACGTCTCGAGCCGACCTTGCCTGACTCTGTCGACACGCTCGCAGTCGGCCTCGGCATCGACTGCTCGGGCCTCGTGCGTCGTGGTGTCCTCACCGAGGCGATCAAGACGAGTCGAGACCGGGCCATGTGGAGCGCGTTCACGCAGGACAAGTGCGTCCTCGGCGTCCTCGCACCTTCTCTCCCCCAAACCCTCGCCCGTACTGACCTCGCCGCGCTCCTACAGGCTCTGGAGCAGCTACGTCGGCCGCAACCCGACCCTCAAGCGCGCCGAGCTCGAGATCGCCCTTCCCGTCATCGACTCGGCGCGCGACCGCGAGCCATGGGCACCTGTCGGCGTGTCGGACGACGCTCGCCGCAAGACGACGCCTAGCTTCATGTCGTCGACCTTCCACTGGCTATGTCGACTCGCCGTCATCCAGGAGAAGATCCTTTCGACCGTGTGCGTGTCTGTTTTCCCTTGTCAACGACCTCAAGTTTGTTCTCGTCCTGACCCTCTCGCTCTTGCAGCTACGCCCTGCGTGTCGCCCTCTACTCGTCGTCGGTCCAGAACCGGGTATCTGAGATCAAGTGCGTCCCCTCGACCTGTCTCGTCCTGCGGTTCTCGCTGACCTTCGTCGCCGACACAGCCTCGAGCTAGAGGCGTGGGCCTCGGACCTGCCTCTCGACCTCAAGATTGCGCCTCAAACGTCCCGACCTCCTCCGCCACACATCATCATGTGAGTCCGACCGTCACGGGTGCCCTCATTGAGCGCCACTGACCTTTCCCTCCCCTCGACAGGCTCAACGCCATGCAGCACTTTGTCCTCATCCTCCTGCACCGCCCCTTCTATACTCGCCACAACTCGAGCACCAATCTGCCGATCAACGACATGGCGATCCGCCGGTGCAACGCGTCGGCAACCCGCATCGTCGCCCTGTTCGAGGTGCGCCCGTCTGTCCGCTTATCTCTCGAGGCCGTCCTGACGCCTTTCTCAACCCGCCGCAGCTGTATCAGCGCAGCCCTGGGCTCCGCTACGTGCCCATCTCGGCGACGCAGATCGCTTTTTCCGCCGCGACGACGCACCTCCTCGCCCTCGTCAACGCCGAGAGTGGCAACCAGCAGAAGCGGGCGAGCGAGCTGCGCGAGACGACCACGGCTTGCGTCCGCATCCTGCGCGAGATGGGCAAGGCGTACGAGTGCGCGCACGCGACGGCCGACATCTTCGAGGGCCTCGTCGTCAAGTGGGCGGGCCCGCCGCCGTCGACGACCGGCCGCGACGAGGGCGCCAGGACGGCTTCTTCTTCGTCGCCGACGCATTCGAACCCGCAGCCTCAACAGCTCTCGGCCGCCCAGGCGCTCGATCCGCACTCGGACCTCGCCAAGGAGCTCCTTCGCCTCGGCTGGACGCCCCCTAGCGCGACAGCTCCTCTCGACAATACCTCTCTTGTGCGCCCGCACCTTTCTCCTCGTCTTTCTCGCCCCGTCTCGTCTCTCTCACTAACACGATGACCGACACAGCCTCTCTCGACGCCGCCTGTCATCGTCCCCACACCGCCACGTCCCCTCGGAACCTCTCCCGCTCCGCCGCCCTCTCAGCTCTCCACCGACTTCCTCGCCCACTTCTCCTCGACCCCATCGTTCTCGTCGCTGCCGCCCTATGCGACTTTCCCGACCCTCGCCGCATCGCAAGCACCCACTGCCGGCCTCCCGACCTGGCCCTTCCTCATGTCCCCCTCGGCCGGCGGCGCCCCCTTCTCTGCGCCTGGGCAGCAACATTACCCGCTCGCCGACGACGTCCTCGCCGGCCTCTTGAGCTCGGAAGGTCGTGCAGCGAGCGACGTGACGGGCGACGCGTTCTTTTCGGCGCCGGGCTCGAGCTCGTCCGCGGGCACGAGCCTCTTTGGGGGAGCAGCGCCGGGCGGCGCCGTCTTCTCGCAGCCTGGGTGGTTCGGGTTCGGCTCGAGCGGGGTGTAGCGACGGTAGCGCGGCGGCGCAGCTGAGGGAGAGCGCGCAGGACGGACGAGGATGATTCTCTCAGAGAGCGCAACTTGCAATGCCAGATTCTCTTTCCTTGCAACGATTCTCTTGCTCACAACTCTCGAGAGTGCTCACGAGAGCATGCTGTCCCTCTCGCCGCCAAGAGAGAGCAGCGCACGCACGCCGCGGCTCGGCAACCGTCGGCGCACACCCGAGCGCAGCCAGCGACACCGAGCGTCTCTCGTACTCTGCTCACTCTCGCCGTTCGCTGTGCGCCCCTGCGCCTTGCCCTTGCTGGCGGCTTTCTGCGGCGACTGGGGCTTATCGAGCCTGCGCTGAGCGCGGCGGGTCGGGCGCGGCGGCCCACCAAAATCTTCATCAGCTCGCCGGAGGAGGGGGAGGAACCACGACTCCTGTGGGGGACGGGGGGGTGATTGGGGGGATTCAGGGAGGATCAGGTGGTGTGCTCGACCGCGGGAGAGCAGCGGCGAGCCTGCACAAAGGCCGGCAGGAGGAGCTCGATTGCTCCAAGGGCAGCGGCGTGCGGGGCCGGCCGAGGAGCTCGAAGGGCGCGCCGCGCGACTTCCGGCGACGAGCTTCGCTTCTCTGTCTTCTTCCGCGCACCTCAGCTGCCCCGCTCAGTGTTCAGGCAGCGTCCTCGCTATCTGGCGCGTGCCGAACGAGGGGTGCCGCCTCCGTCGTCGCCCGCTCGTCTCTTGCCCTCTTTCCTCCACTCTTCCTCGCTCGCCCTAAGATCATGAGCAAGGCGCTCGACACGACCGAGAAGACGGCGACGTACTCTACTGGTGGGGACGAGCCGAACGAGGCCGTCGTCGGCTACATGCAGGCGCAAATTGGTCCCGACTCGACCGACGACGAGCTGCTCGCGTACATCATCGACCCAGCCGAGGAGAAGGCGCTTCTACGGCGACTTGACTCGTTCATCGCGCCCATGGTGGCGATCCTGTACCTCATCTCCTTTCGTGAGTCCCTCACCTCCCCCTCCTCGGCTTCTCTTTCATCATCTGTCCTTCCTCGCTCACTTAGGCCCGTCCACGCCACAGTCGATCGGTCTAATGTCGGCAACGCGGCCACGGGCGGCATGTTCGACGATATCAACGCGCCGTCAAACGGCTTGAGCCTCGCCACGAGTCTCTTCTACTGCACCGTGAGTTCACCTCTCACGTTCTCGTCGAGGAGCAGCAGCGCCTGACGCTCGATACTCCCAACAGTACGTCACGTTCGAGCCGATGTGGACGACTCTCCTCAAGTCGGTCCGCCCGAGCATCCTCCTGCCTGCCGTCACCGTGGTCTGGGGCGGCGTCGTCCTCGGCAACGGCTTCATCACCAACTTCCCTTCCCTCATCGCCCTACGACTCGTGTTGGGCTTTCTAGAGAGCGCGTTAACCCCGTGCCTCTTCCTTATCCTCACCTTCTTCTACTGCCGCAACGAGCTCGGTACTCGCACCTCGTACATGTTCGTCTCGGCGGCCACGGCCGGCGTCGTCGGCGGCTTGATCGCGGCAGGGCTTCTCAAGATGGACGGCCTGCAAGGTTTGGCAGGTTGGTCGTGGCTGTACATCGTCGAGGTGCGTGCGCGCGTTTCTCCTTCCTCCCGCCCCGCCCTTCATCCCGCCCGGGCCGTCCTCCTCCCACCTGCCATGGGCTCCCGATACAGTACACTTACTCTGCTCGTCCCACAGGGCGCCATCACTATCGCGATTGGCGCAACCAGCTACTTCTTCATCGCCGACTCGCCCGAGACCGCCTGGTACCTCTCGCCGCGGCAGAAGCTCCTCACCCGTGTTCGCAAAGTTCAGAGCAAGCAGTACAACGGCGACGAGTCGTTCAGCTGGGTCGAGGTCCGCAAGGCCTTTTCTGAGCCCCTCATCTGGGTCTCGGGCGCGATGCAGGTGCGTTCGACGACGAGGTTCGAGCGAACGAGACGTCCTGCGTGACCGAGACGACCTACCACTCCGTACACTGACTCTTTGCGCCTCCAGCTCGGCTTCGACGTGACCCTGTACGGCGCCTCGACCTTTTTCGTCGTCATCGTGCGCGGATTCGGGTACTCTACCATCGACTCGCAGCTCCTCACCGCGCCCATCTACGCCTGTACGTCCTCTCGCTCCTCGTCTCGCCTCGTTCGACCACCTTCCTGATACTCTCGAGCGCGCAGGGGCCGCCATCGTCTACTTGACGTGCGCGCATTTCGCCGACAAGAAAGACGTCCGGTTCTGGCTCATCCTCCCGACCTGCCTCGTCACCTGCGTCGGCTACATCATCCTCATTGCCGCCAAGGAGTCGACCGGAGCAAAGCTCTTTGCGTGCTTCCTCGTCGCGAGTGCGTCCCTGTCTCTCTTCCTCGTCGCTCGGACCCCTTCCTCTCCCCCAATCCTCGGCCCACGTTCCTCTCGCCCTCTCGCCGTCGCGAGAACCCTTCCCTCACTCCTATCTCCTGACCCACGTGCCGACCACCATCACCTCCCTGGCTGTCGCTCCCGTCCCTCGCATGCCTGGCCACCCGGGCTGACCCTCTCGACGAGCAGCCGGCGTGTACACCTCGGTCGGCCTCAACGTCTCCTGGAATTCGGCTAATATCGCAGGCGCGAGGAAGCGCTCGACAGGCATCGGCCTTCAGCAGCTGATCGGCAACTGCGGCGGCATCGTCGCCGGCCAAATCGTGCGTCCATGGCTCTCCTCCTTTCCCTTCCCCTCGTCTCTTCCTTCTCTCTCTCAACCTCCCCTTGCCCATACGCCCCTCTTCTTCCTTCTCTCTCTCTCTCTCTCTCTCTCTCTCGCTCTCTCTCCCCACTGCCTGTTCGGTCTAGTGAGCTGGACCTGACGCACTCGTCGCCGTCGCAGTACCGGTCGCAGGACAAGCCATACTACCGCCTCGGGCACGCCGTGTCGCTCGCGTCGATGGTCTGGGGCATCTCGTGGATGCTCGTGTACCTCTACATCGTCAAGAGCCGCAACGCCAAGAAAATGGCGATGACTGAGGAGGAGAAGGAGGAGCAGGACCGCAACGGCGTGACGGGCGATCGCCACTGGTCGTTCACGTACGTCTTCTGAGACGAGAAGGGGGCGTACATGGTGTCTTTGTCGGTCTGTGTGCATCAGTGACCCTGTTTACATTCTAACGCGAGCGCGAGAGCTGTTCGCGCAACTTGAGAAGGTCGCCGGACGAGCGACTCGGCTCGAAAGCAGCCTGGAAGAAGGCGCACTGTCTTGCTGCAGCCGAGCAATGGCGCGTACGTGCGACCGAGCAGCCTGGGCAGGCGAGAGCGCGGGAGGAAAGTCGAGAAAGCTTCCACGAGCTGGGCTCGCTTCAAGCGTGCACGGGCCGCTTCAGCCTGCGGCCGTCGTCTCTGGCCAGCTCGCTCGCGTCGGGCTCGAGCGCGTTCGGGAGCTACTGCAAGCGTCGCCTTGAGCGTGGTCGCGCCTGAGCGAGAGTCGCCTGCTAGCCGCGCATGTTCGGCGAGCAGGGCTGAGCTGGCAGCATCGGGCTCACGCTCGCCTTCTCTCTAATGCGCTTTTCTCTCTGCAACCCTCTCAAAAGAGATACAGAGGTGAGCGACATGGTAATACAGCTGATGTGTCGCCGATTCGACTAGGCACAGACCTCCTCGTCCCGCAGGTCGAGGACGAGCATGTGCCCTGGTGCGTGCCCGAGGACGCAATCGGGCAGCTTCGACTCCATGATGACGTTCTGAGGCGTCACGCCGCAACCCTGTTGAGGAGACGGAAAGAGAGGGTGAGCTCGGCGGCGAGAGGAATGGGGAGGAGGAAACCTGAGGGCGGACGCACCCAGTACACCGGGACCTCGCCTTCTCGCACCTCGCTCGCCTCGCCAAAGTCGGGGCTCTCGCCGAGCGGGTCGTCGATGCCGAGCTCGGCGGCGCCCTTTGCGCCCCAGGCGACAGGCTCGCCGTGCGCCCGGACGAACGGGCGCGTGAGGTCACGCGCGAGCTCGACTTGCGACGGCAGATACGGTCGCATCGAGACGACCATGCGACCCGAGAACACTGTGCGAGAAAGAGAGAGAGAGTGAGCGCCGCACTCGGACGAGACAAGACGAGGGAGAGGCACACCTCCTGCCGCTGCGAGAGGCGCGCGCGTCTTGTCTGCAGCGCGCTCTGAAAGTCAGTGTCGAGGCGCCAGAACGTGGCGCAGAGAGTAAAGGTGGACGCACACATGGGCACGTTCTTGCTGATCTCGATCTGCCTCGGCGTCAGGCCACCAGCCGTAAGGGCCGCCTCGAACGAGAAGCTGCAGCCGATGAGGAAGCACACCGAGTCGTCGCGCCACTCGTCGACGATGTCCTTCTTGGTGGCGACGAGGTTGCCGCCGACGTAGACGTTGTAGGCCGGCGCGTCGGTGCGCACGTCGCAGTCCTCGGCGAGGTGCGGCGGGAGGGTCGGGTTGCCGGGCGCGACCGTCTCGCCGAGGAGCGGACACGGGACCGGGTTGCGCGCGCACAGGGCCCGAAAGTCGTCGGCGTACTTGCTCGGGAGGACGACGAGGTTGGCCTGGACAAAGCCGGCGCAGTGGCCGGCGGTGGAGGCGGCGTTCCACTGGCCGCTACGGCACGCCAGGCGCACGTCGAGGGGCGTGAGGGGGCGAGGCGCGATGGTCATAGTAGCCGGGTCGAGGGCGGGCCGGCGTCGCGAGCGAGTATCGAGGTGCCGAGGGCGAGCGGGCCGAGGAGGAGGAGGAGAGGAGAGGCGGCGAGGCTGAGTCGAGAGGGGCGGGAGCGGCGGACGCACAGCCGACGGAGGACGTGAAGAGCAGGAAGGCAAGCTGCGATACGAGTCGCGCGCGGCAGACTCGAGCGAGCGGGGCCCGCAAGAGCTCGCGCGAGAGCAGATTCCCCCGGAAAAAAAGCGGGGAGAAGAGCGGCCGCGCACTCCGGGCCGCTGCCTGCAGCACGAAGGCCTGCGCATGCTGTACCTGGGCAGCTGGAGCTAGTGCCCGAGCGGGCCGGTGGTGCGTGGTGGGAGAGAGAGCTTCATCAGCTCTCGGCACCGAGGCTGCGTCGCCCTCCTCCGTCCACACACCTCGACGAGGCTGTTGCTGCACCTGCTGCACAAGCCAGTGTCTGTACCGACCCAGCCCGACAGTCGAGTACCGCGCACGCACTCGCCACGCCCGCGCACCTCCTCGACCTCGTCCGCCCACCTTCGCTCTCGACCAGACCTCACTCCCTGGCAGGTCACTCTTGTGCGTCCACCTTCCCTGCCCCCCAGACCCGTCACTCACATCTGAGCTGACCTCACGCGACCCTCACGCAGCGCAACATGCTCGACCAGCTCCCGCCCGAGGTCCTCTGCAGCATCTTCTCGTACATCCTGCCGCCTGTCTCGTGGAGCTCGAGCCGCTCGCGCCGCAAGATCCTGTCCCGCCTCGGCCGCGTCTCGGTCAAGTGCGCCCGTGCCGCCCAGACGCTCCTGTTCGAGGTCGTCCAACTCGACTCGCTGCCGACCGCAGTGTCCTGGTGCAGGACCGTCGAGACGGTCCCGCAGGCGCGTTTCCTCGCCCAGTGGCGTACCCGCAAGCTCTTCATCTCGCCGGGCGACCTGCGCATGGCGCGCATCTTGGTCGAGCGCGTCCTCAGCACGGTGCCGGCCGTCAAGGAGCTTTGGCTCGCCGACGTCGCGTGCAACCTCCTCTCTGTGTCGATACTGCCTCGTGCGTCCACGACCTCTACTCCTGTTCCTCGAGCCCGCAGCACTGACTCGAGCCTTTCAATCGACGCCCACGCAGAACTCGAGTCGTGCTTCATGTCGAGCGTCGACCTCCGCCTCGAGGTGGACAGCAACAAGTACCTGCTCTACCTGCCCGAGCTCCGCGTGCTCGCCCTCAGCCTGTGTGTCGTCTCCATCGGCTCCAAGGTCCTCGAGTTCAGCGACCTCCTGTGCCTCGAGTCGTTCCCCAAGCTCACGGCGCTCGCCGTCACCTGGTCCAAGGACACGTCCGAGCCCGAGATGCACCGCCTCGACAAGCAGCTCACGCACCTGTTCCTCCGTCGCGTGCCTCACGGCCGCAGTGCGCGCGACGAGTACCCAGTCCTTCCCTGTGGCGAGCTCAAGCGCGCGACGTCCCTCCAGCACCTGTCGCTCGACCTGCACGACGCCGACGAGATCTCTGCCCTCGAGGCCGTCCCCGTCGAGCTGTCCTCGCTCCGCATCATGAGCAACGATCGGTCGCAGCCGACCCTGATCGAGCGCGACGTCCTCGAGTCCGACTACACCTGCCTCGACTCGCTCCGGTACCTCATCGTCGAGCGGGTCGACCACGACGAGGCCGCCATGCGCGAGGAGACAATGGCCCTGTGCGACGCTGTCGCCATCGAGCTCGTCGAGGTACAAAGCTCGGGCAAGCTCGAGGACTTTGCCGACGAGCGCATGTGGTTGCGCATGACTCGCGCGAGGATGGCGCCCGTGCCGGTGCAGCGTGTCGGAGCGAGGGCCGTCTTTGGCGCGGGCTCGGCGTCGATCTCGCCTCGTCCAGAGGCGTCAACGTCGGCGGCGGTTACGACGACTTGACGGGCGACGGCCCCTCTCCCTCCCTCTCTCCCTCTCCCGTTCAGTAGCTTTTGCCTTGCCAATGATGATTTCAGTTCCTTGTTCTCGCTGTGGACCGCTCGCAGTCGGTATGAGAGAGCTTCTGCCGTCGAGAGATGAGGGAATGCCGAGACAGGTCGACGACGAGGAGGACGAGGAGCGCTCTGGCTTCCGCTGCCCTCGACTACGAGCTCGACTCGGCAGCACACTCGCCCTCTCTCGCCGAGGTGCATGCTGAGTGCGCTCTTGCGACGCCCCACCCCTCGCGTGTTCCTCTCGCCGCTCCTCATCTCGCGCACCATGTCCGCCCCCGCCGACTCGACTCGGGCCCCGTCAGCACCTGCAGGCGACACAGCGCCGCCTTCCAGCACTGCCACCGCACCGACAAAGCCCAAGCGCAGCCGCCAGAAGCGCCCGCCAGTCGCTGTCGACGGCGCCGCTCCCCCTCTCGCACCTCCCGTCCCCGACTTCCCCGCCGTCCTCAACGCGCCCAGCTACGCTGAGCAGCGCTCGCAGCGCGGCACATGGCGCGGCCGCGGCCGCGGCGGCTTTGGCAACGGCGGCGACGCTCGACGAGGACGCGGCGGCGCAGCAGCAGCAGGCGGGCCGGGCGGGCACAGGGCGGCGCGCGGCATGAGCACGTTCGCCGGCGGCCGCATGGCTCGAGGAGGGCACCCGTCGAGCCCGCACAGCAGCGCGGGCGAGGACCTCGGCTCGAGGCTGTTCTCGCAGACGCCGTTCGGGCGCAGCACGCCCGTGTCGGCTCCCGTTGGCGGCGGCGGCGCGTCGGGCTCGGGCAGCTGGAGGGCGACTCACAGCGACTCGTCGGCGCAGTCGTCGGCGGTCGAGGGCGCGGGCGAGCCGGTCGGCGGGATGACCGAGGGCGGGAAGAAGGGCGGCAAGGGCAAGGGCAAGAGCAAGGAGGAGACCAAGGCGGACAAGCTCCTCGAGGAGGCGGCGCTCAAGGACGGCGAGGAGGGCGGGCTGTCGACCGAGATCATGCGCCTGTACGAGGTGCGCCCCCTGTTTCCCTGCCTCTCTTCCGCCGCGAGGGAAACTGACTTTCGACGCACGGTCCGCAGCTTCAACGGCCCTCGCCTGCCGCCATCGCCGCGCGAGAGCACCTCGTCGACGAGCTCACCGTCTGGCTCAACCAGGAGCGCTTCGGGTGGGGCCACCAGCACAACCCTCGCGCTGCGCCGCTCGAGGTCGTGCCGTTCGGCTCGATCCGGTTCGGGCTCAGCACGGCGACGTCCGACCTCGACCTGTGCCTGCTCGACCCGTACCGGCCCAACGGCTTCGAGGAGAAGCACTTCTCGTCGTCGGGCCCGGCCAAGCCGCTCCCCGAGATCTACAACATGCACCGCATCGCCGCTTCGCTCCGCCGCGCCAACTTGACCGACGTCACCTCGATGTGCGTCCTGCTCCTCTCTCTCGTCCACGACGTAGAGGTCCTGATGCTCGACTCTCGCAGCGCCGACGCCGCCGTGCCCATCTGCAAGTTCAAGGTGCTCATCGACGGCCATGTGATCGAGGCCGACCTCAACACGAACGAGCGACTCGGTGCGTCTCACGCTTGCCTCTCGCCCTCTCTCTCTGAGTCTCGCTCACTCGTCGACTGTCTGCAGGCGTGTTCAACTCGCGGCTCATCAACAGCTACTGCAACCTGCACCCGCTCGTGCGGCCCTTGAGCGTCTTCGTCAAGTTCTGGGCCAAGCAGCGCGGCCTCAACAACCCGTCGGGCTCGCCGACCACCTTCTCGTCGTACACCTACATCCTCCTCGTCATCTCGTACCTCCAGCACCTCGACCTCCTCCCGAACCTCCAGGACGCCGACCTCATCGCCGAGACCGGCACCGCCCGCAACCGCTTCTTCTCGACGCCGAGGTCGCGCATGGGCCGAGGCGCGTCCAAGCGCAACCGCATCATGCGCAGCGTCGGCTGGGACGTGTCGTTCGTGGAGTACGACGCCGCGCCCGAGGGCTATGCGCCGCCCGAGGCCGACCTCGCCTCGCTCGCGCGCGGCTTCTTCCACTACTGGGCCGACGAGTTCGACATGGACCGCGACATCGTCAGCATCTGGAACGGCCGTCAGCCTCTCGCGCGCGAGCACGCGTTCCAGAGCCAGGCCGACGCCAACCGCGAGAAGGAGGCGGCGCGCAAGGCGCTCGAGGCCGAGACGGGCGTCGAACACGCCGAGCGCGTCAGGCAGGACGCCGAGGACGACGCCGTCGCCGCGTTCGCGCAGGACGCAGACGAGGTGGCGCGCAGGGCCGACGCGCCGGCGCTCGACGCGGCGGTCGCCGAGTACGACGCCGGCCAGCAGGCTGCGGCCGCGGGCGAGGGCGACGCGCCGGGCAGGCCCGACTCGCGGTCGTCGAGCCCGCTCGAGTACACCGAGTACGAGGAGCCCGAGCGGTGGCGGGAGAACCTTCTCGTCGTGCAGGACCCGTTCATCCTCACGCGCAACACGGCGGGCAACGTCCACCCGGACTGGGTCGACGAGCTTCGAGTGGTCCGTCCTCCTTCCTCTCTCTCTCTCGCTCTCTCTCTCTCTCTCTCTCTCTGTCGTCCCTCCTTCGAGATTCTCGGAACCTGGCCTGACCTCGGCCTCGCCCGCAGCAAATGCGCCGTGCTCGCGACCTCATCGACTCGGCGGCGCCCTTGTCGACCATCTGCCTGTCCTGCACCGCCGACCCGACGTACCGCCCGATCGCGTTTGCTCGCGCCGAGGTCGTCCGCCAGGAGCGTCGCGCCAAGAAGAACCAGCGGCTCGAGGCGGCCGTCAAGGCCAAGGAGGCGGCAAAGGCGCAGAACAAGGTGGCCAAGGCCGAGCGCCGGGCGACGAGGGCGGCAGAGGCGTCGGGACAGTCTGCTGGTGCGGGAGACGGTGCGCCGGCCGAGCAGCACGGCGTCGAGCGGGGCGAGGAGGGTCCGGCGAGCGGGACCGGTGCGGGCGAGGAGGTTCAGGAGCGGGAGCTGGCGGCGGCCGAGGTCGGCGCACCGCAGCAGGAGTCGTCGTCGTCGCAGTAGAGCGCGTGCAACTATGGCCGTTCCTCGTCCTTGTCGTCGTGAGAGGGACCTGCAGCGAGCGTGCGCGAGCGGGCGGTCCAACCGCAATTCGAGCTGGTCAATTGCGCTTTCCCGGTCCGGGCGGATCGTACGTGTGAGTACTCAGTAGACGCTCGAAGATGACTTGCAAGCCCGCTCGAGAGAGGTCGACTCGTCGCACCCCGCGGTCGCGGTGAGCGGGCGGACGCCGGCTCGTGTCCACTCCGTTCCACCACCTTGCGCCGCTCGTTCAGCATGGCCTCGCACCACCGAGCGACCGCCAACAGCACGTGGGCGTCCTCGAGCGTCGGCCACACGCCCTCAGCCCGGGAAACGCTCCTCGCCTACATCGGTGCGTGCTCCACCTCGCCTCGCCAGGCCGTCCCGCCACAGCTGGGCAGCTGAGGACCTCGCCAGTCCTGTTCTGCACTGACACAGCCCTCTCACACGCGAACAGAACGCGCTTGCGACCCTTCCCTGCACGAGCCCAACCTGTCGCTCGACCTCGAGATTGCCGACCTGATCAACAGCAAGAAGGCCAACCTGTGCGCCCCTCGTCCCGCCCGGTCCCACACAGACAGTCCTGACTCGGTCCACTCGCGCGCGCAGGCCCCGAGAGGCAGCGGTCGAGGTCGTGCGCCTCGTTAACCACCGCAACACGCACGTCGCCATGCTTGCCCTGCATGTGCGTCGCACCGGTCCACTTCTGTCCGCCCACGTGCAAGCTGACCCATCCCGTATCGCACGACCGCAGCTCCTCGATATCCTCGTCAAGAACTGCGGGTACCCGTTCCACCTCCAGATCAGCACCAAGGAGTTCCTCAACGAGCTCGTGCGGCGGTTCCCCGAGCGCCCGCCGACCTTTCCTCCGCCGCCGATGAAGAAGATCCTCGAGCTCGTGCACGAGTGGAAGTGCACGATCTGCGCGTCGAGCAAGCGCAAGGAGGACCTCGTCCACATCCGCGACATGCACCGCCTGCTCAGCTACAAGGGTGCGTCCCACTCTCTCTACCCACTCTCTCGCCTCGTAATCTTCCGGTGACTGACTCGGCCCTCCTCGCGCAGGCTACCGCTTCCCGAATGTCGACCGTCGCGCCGCTCAGGTCCTGAACCCGACCGAGGTGCGTCCTCGCTCGCCCCCATCCTGTGTCACCTCGCTCGGTGCCTGACTTTCGCTCTCGCCCGCAGAACTTGCAGACGCCTGGCGAGCTCGAGGAGGAGGACCGGGAAGCGCAAGCAGCGGTGCGTCCCTCGCGTTCACCTTCGTCCTCGTCATCTGTCGTCAATCGGCCGTCGCTGACAGTGGTTCATGTCCCGCGACGCGCAGAAACTGCAAGAGCTCATTCGGCGAGGTTCGCCAAAGGACCTCGCGGCGGCGCAGGAGCTCATGAAGATCATGGCGGGCGCAGTGCGTCTCGGTCTCTCGCCCTCGCCCTCATCGTCTCGTCCTCTCTCGCTCACACTCTCTCTCTCGTCGCCCGCCGCAACAGGAGCCGGAGAAGAAGCCCAACTACGAGGAGCAGGTGTCGAAGGAGCTCGACCGGGTGCAGCAGCGTGTCCTCTTGCTCAACGAGATGCTCAACAACGCCAACCCGCGCGAGCGGTTCGTCGAGGGCGACGCCTACGACGTGCGTACCCCCCCTCCCTTCATGCCCTCGTCGTCGCGTCCCCTGCTCACCTGCGCCTCGTACCGCGTCACAGCAAATCGCGCAAAAGTGCCGGCACGTCCAGCCCAAGTTGCAGAAGTGGATCGCCGACTCGGCAGAGAACGACCCCGACTCGATGGGTCCGTCGCCTGTCGTCTTCCTCGTCCGCGTCGTCGTCACGAGACGTGCCGCTCACGCTCGGCCGTCCCCACTCGCGCAGACCGCCTGCTCCTCATCAACGACCTCATCAACCAGGTGCTCAAGCGGTACGACGCGTTCAAGGCGGGCGACCGTACGGCGACGGCCGACATTGACCCTGCGTGCGTCCCTCTTTCCTCACTCTCTCTCTGTCTCTCTTGTCCCGCCGCCCGACTCACCCTGACCTTCCTCGCTCCCCTCGCATTCCCCTCCTCGCCTCTCACAGACTTGCCTCGGGCCAGCCCGGCGCCAAAGCGCGCTCGCAAGCCCAGCAGGTGTCGCTCATCGACTTTGACGACGACGACGCCTTTTCGGCGCCGGCGCCGGGCACGCCGGGCCTCGGAGCGGGCGCGCCGGCGGCAGGAACGAGCACCAACCCGCTCGACGACCTCGCGAGCCTGTCGCTCGGGGGTGCGCCGGCTGCGGCGTCGACGGCGTCGGGCAGCAACTCGCTGTTCGACCTCGGCGCCGCGTTCGGCGCCCCTGCACCCTCCTCCGCCGCACCCTCACCTGCTGCCGCCTCTCGCCCGACCCAGGTCGGCGGCGGCTCGTTCTTCTCGAACCCGGCGTACGGCAACGGCGGCGGCGGCAACGGTGGTGCGGCGGCGGCGCACAGGACGGCGTCGCCGTTTGGCGGCGGGTCGGGCGGGCTCGGGAGCATCTCGCTCGGGACGCCGGCGGGCGCGGCGGGCATGGCGGCCATGGGTCGAGCAGGAGCAATGGGCGCGGGCGTCGGTGGGGCTGGCGCGAGCCCGCCGTTGCCGCCGGTGCCGCCCAAGACGGCGCCGCCGGCCAAGCAGGACGCGTTTGCCGACCTACTCGGCGATTTCTGAGGCGACAACGCGCTCTCGGTCCTCGTCTGCCGCGGTTCTCGCGCCCTCGTCGTCTCATCTGTGTCTCTCTCTCGTTCTCCTTTCAGTATCTCTCCCTGTTCCCTCTCGCTCGACGCCGTCGGAAAAGGCAGGTCGCAAGTCGTTTCATGTTCGCGTTGCACGAGGAGCAGGCCGCGAGAGACGCCGTCTACCGCACAGAGAGAGAGAGGGACATAAAGGAGAAGGGAAAGGGTGACGTGAGAGAACTGAGGGGACCGAGAGAGAGAGCCGAAGAGACGAGCCGAGAAGGGAGGACGAGGGAGGGTTTCTTCAGGCGAGAATGACGAGTCCCGCCACGGCCGCGAGCGCGCCGACCGCACCGCCGAGCACCGCACGCCCAGCGTCGCTCGAGCCCGACGCGCTCGCGGCAGGCGCAGAGCCCGAGGCCGAGGCCGACGGGTTGGCGCCGCCGCTCGAGCCTGCGGGCGACGCCGCCGACGAGATGGACGACGCGGCGGACGCGGCGACCGACGAGGCCGAGCTGGCGGCGGACGAGGCGGGCGTCGACGAGGCGCCCGAGCCTGTGTGGGACGAGGAAGGGGAAGAGGTCAGGCTCAGGACGAGGGGCTCGAGCGGCGCGCAGGTCGCGATCGAGGGGGACGCAGACAGAGAGAGGGCGGGCGACGCACTGAAGCCCGAGGGCGTCGTGTCGATGTTGATGGGCGTGCCGTTCGACTCGCAGCTCTGGGCGCCGTACTGCTCGGCCGCGTTGAGGTCCGTCTCGGAGCAGGCTGTGGGGGCGAGGAACTCGGGGTCAGGACCAGTCGGGCTCGCGAGAGGACGGCGAGCGAGAGGGGGGACGCACTCGACTGCTGGCACTGGTAGTAGGCGAGCTGGAATTCCGACGAGGTGCAGACTGCGAGGGCGGGCGTCGCGTGGTGCAGAGGGTGGAAGGGTCAGGCATGTCGGTGAGGGGGAGGGGGACGGGGGACGCACTGCAGGTGAGGTTGCCCACGCCGTATGCCGCGCACTGTTGAGGACGACGGGCGCGAGAAGAACGTTGTCGGGGGTCGAGGTGGGGGAGGGTGGGGAACGAAGGTGTCAGCTGGCGCCTCTGGTCCACGTCGACAGTGCGGGGAGGGACGGACCGGAGACGAGGGCAAGGTGGACAGGACGCAGGTGAGGGCGCAGCCGGGGACGGCGGCGGTCGACACGGGGACGGCGGCCGACGAGGTTTGCGAGCCGGCCGAGTCCGACTGGGCGAGGGTGAGGCCGGCGAGGGCGACGAGGGCGGCGAGAGGGGCGACGAGCATGGTGTCGAGGTCGGTGTGGTGCTGGTGTGAGAGAGAGAGTGACCAGCGAGAGAGGGTGAGAGGCAGAGGGAGGAGGAAGCCGCGATCAGGAACAGCTAGCCGGACCCCGTCTTCCCCTGTGCACACTCGCATCGCACCGCTCCGCACCGCTGCGACGGCACCACCAGCCACTCGCTGCACCCCCTCACCCGTCAAGCACCCGCCCACCGACACCCGCCCCCGGCGGCACGCTCCTCGTCCTCGTACGAGTCGCCGCCTCGACCCCGCGCTCCCTCTCAACACGGCCACAGCCCCCGAGTGCGCCACGAACTGCGTACCATGCTCCCCCGAGCCCTCGCCGTCGCCGTCGCCGTCGCCCTCGTCGGCCCCGTCCTCGCCCAGCTGTCGTGCTCAAACTACGGCGTCGCCCTCCCCAACGGCACCTGCCAGTGCCCGAGCGGCCTCTCGCCCTCGACCGCCTGCACCGCCCCAACGTGCGACAACCCGCTCGTCCCGCCGGACAACCGCCAGCTCTTCTCGGCCGTCCTGTCGGGCAACAGCACCGCCGGGTGCGGCCGACAGTGCTCGGACGGCTTCGAGGGCCCGACCTGCGGCGTCTGCACCTCCGACTCGGCGTGCTCGACCGCGCTTCAAGCCCTCAACGGTGCAGCATCGTCGTCGTCGTCGGGCCTGACCCTCACCAACGGGCTCGGCAACCCCGTCTGCTCTCGAGGGCCGTGGACCTGGACTGAAGGATTCGGCACCTGCGACGTCGTCGTGCGTCCCCTCTCTCACACTCTCTCTCGCCTGCGTCGTCGTCCTCCTGACTGACTCGCTCGAGCGGCGCGCAGAACCCGACCCTCCAGTCCGCCTTTGCCGGCTCGACCTTCCTCACCTTCTCCAAAACGGTCGAGCCGTCCGAGACGCTGTCGATCCCGTTCGGCGCCAACGGCACCTTGACGGCCCAGCTGTGGTACGCTCCGTCGACGGGCAACACGACGCTCGCCGAGCAGTTCTACTGCGCCGCGTCGAGCTGCACCCAGGCCAACTCGTCGAGCACGACCGCGTCCGACGTCGACTACACGTGCGCGACCCTGGCGTGCACCTGCATCCCGGGTACGGCTTTTTGCGGCGCTCCAGGCGCCCAGATCGACCTCTCGTCGACCATCAACGACCTCGAGGGCCCGCTCAGCATCACGTGCGACAGCGCGACCGGCGCCCAGTGCTCGTTCAAGCAGGGCGTCCTCCAGACCCTCTTTGGCGCGAGCGGCCTCGGCCTGTCGGCCTGTCGGTGGGGCGAGTGCGTCCTCCCCGGCACGATCGACCGCCTCGCGGCGAGCCTCGCCGGGTCGGCGGCGTCGTCGTCCGGCGGCGGCGACGGCCCGAGCGGCGGCGTCATTGCCGGGCTCGCCGTCCTCGGCGCACTCGTCGTCGCGCTCGTCGCCCTCGTCGGCCTCGGCTGCGCGAGCCAGCGTCGCGCGCGCTGTCGCGCTCGCGCTCGTGCCCCTGTCGGCGGCCTCTCGAGCTCGTCGTCGTCCGCGACCGAGCCCAAGGACTCGGCGCCACCCGTCGGCATCAGCATCAACCACCTGTCGTACTTTGTCCCCGTGCGGCACAGCGCCTTCTCGCTCAAGAGCGCGTCGCGCGACGACCGCCAGGTCCTGTCGGACGTGTCGGCCACGGTCGTCGGCGGCTCGTTCTGCGCCATCCTCGGGCCGTCCGGCTCGGGCAAGACGTCGCTCGTCGACCTCGTCGCCGGCGTGCGCAAGACGGGCTACCGCACGGGCGCGGTCGACCTCGTCGTGTCGCCCCGAGCGCACGGACCGGCGTCGGGCGAGGAGGGCCTCGGCGCGACGGCCAGCGACGCCGATCGCGTCAGGGTCGGCTATGTCGACCAGAACGACGTCCTGTGCGAGACGAGCACGGTGCGCGAGGCCGTCATGTTTGCCGCCGAGCTCAAGTTGGGCGAGATCCCGCAAGAGCAGAAGCGGTGCGTCCCCCTCGTTCTCTCGCCGTCTCTGCCAGACTTTCTCGAGCCTCACTGACTCGTCTCTCGCACGCAGTGAGCGCGTGTTCGAGGTCCTCAAGCAGCTCGGCCTGCTCGACATCGCCGACAGCGAGATCGGGAGCCCCGAGGCCGGCGGCCGGCGCGGCATCAGCGGCGGCGAGCGCAGGCGGGTCAGCATCGCGCTCGAGCTCGTCGCTCAACCCGCAGTGCTCATCCTCGACGAGCCGACCTCGGGTGCGTCTCTGCGTCCTCCACGCGGTCCGTGCGCATGGCGGCCCGAGTACTGACTTTCCCGCCGCGCACAGGCCTCGACTCGACGTCGGCGCTGCGCATCCTGCGCGAGCTCAAGGCCCTCACGACACCGCCTGCACCGCAACGCCCGACGACGGTCCTCGTCACGCTCCACCAGCCGTCGTCGCAGCTCTGGCATCTGTTCGACGACACGCTCGTCCTCGCCCAGGGCGGCGCGCAGCTTTACTTTGGCAAGGCGCACGACGTCTCGGCGTGGTGGGAGGCCAAGGGCCTGCGATGCCCTGAAGGGTGGAACCCTGCCGACTGTGCGTCCCACTCGTCGCCCTCTTTTTGCGCCTTCCCAACTGACTCGCCCCGTCGCCCGCAGTCCTCCTCGACCTCGCCACCTCACCGCCGCCCGACTTCCTCCCTCTACGCCCGACGCTCACGACGCGCAAGTCGTCCTACATGCCCGTGAGCCCCGACGTCGCCGCCGAGTCGGCCCTCGTCGACTCGGCCGTCCTCGCGATCCCGCCGCACCGCCGCCGCTCGTCGGCCGTGCCCGCCATGCTCGTCAAGAACGACAACGCGCACAAGGGCGTCGATCGGCGACCGCAGACGACGGTGCTCACGCAGGTCGAGGTGCTCGCCAAGCGCGAGGCGAGGAACCTCGTGCGGGACCGGGGAGCTCTGGTGCGTCGGCTTGCTCCCCCTCGCTCGAGGACTTTTTGAGGGACGACAACTCACCTTGCTCGACTTTCTGCAGGTCATGCACCTCGTCGTGCTGCCTCTCGTCGCCCTGTTCGTCGGCGGCATGTACTACAAGGTCGACCTGACGATCGGCGGTCAGTTTTGTCTCCCTCTCTCTTTTGCCCGACTACCTCACTGACTCTCTCTCTCGCCCTGTCGACAGGCTTCCAGTCGCGCATCGGCGCCCTCTTCTTCTCGGGCTGCCTCGTCGCGTTCGCGTCCCTGTCGGCCCTGTCGCAGTTCGCCAAGGCGAGGCGCCTCTTCATCCGCGAGCGCGCACGGGCCTGCTACCACCCGTTGGCGTGGCTCGCGGCCCAGTTCGTGTTCGACGTCGTGCCTTTGCGGCTCGTGCCGACGATCCTCCTGAGCGTCATCGTCTAGTGCGTCCCGCTCGCCCCTCCTCCTCCTCCTCGTCCCGCTCGGACTCGTACTGACCTCGCCCTCGCCTTCACTGTCGCAGCTGGATGGTCGGCCTCGCCGCGACGGCCGCCAACTTCTTCAAGTTTGTCCTCGTCCTCGTCCTGTTCGCGCTCGTCAGCACCGTCTGGAATCAGCTCCTCGCGACCGTCATCGACGACGTCGGGTCGGCCATCCTCGTCTCGGCCGTCGTCGTCCTGTTCGAGATGGCGTTCGCCGGCTTTTTTGTCAACCTGGGGTCGATCCCGCCGGTCCTGCGGTGGCTCGAGTGGCTCGCGCCGCTCAAGTACACGCTCGAGGCGCTCGCCGTCAACGAGGTCAACGCGGGCCTCATGATCGAGGACTCGCTCGCCGGCGCCAAGGTGTCCATCTCGGCGACCATCATCATGGACACGCTGTTTGGGTTCCGGCCCGACGCGTACTACCGCGACGTGCTCGTCCTCGTCGGCTTCCTCCTCGGGTTTGCTCTCCTCCTCACCCTCTTTGTCCTCCTGCGCCTGCGCGAGTTGCGATAGTCCCCTCCTCCCTCTGTATCTAGTCCTCTCTCTCGGTTGTACCGTTCTTGTAGATCGTCCCCTGTCGTCGCCGTGCAACTTGTCCTTCTTCCCTTTCTCGAGCCACCGCCGAAGCGCATCTTGGTTCAGGCTCGTCGCTCTCGGCTTTCGTGACGAATGCAAAGGGCACGAGGCGAGAGCGCGAGCAGAGCGTGCCTGTCGTTCAGAGTGCCGCGCTGACCTCTTGCAGCATGCCGCAAGTTCTCAACAGAGGGACGACGTCGAGTCGGAAGTCGCTCGAGCCTCTCCTGCTGCTCGCGCTCTCGTTTCGCATCCTGTTTTCTGATTGCTCGCAAAACACTCTGCTCTCACTCGATACAGGCCCATGACGATACTCTACTCTGTTCTAGCCCCGTCGCCGCTGCACCCGACCTCTCCCTCACTCACGCCCCTCCCGCACCAGATCCCACCTCGCGCTCGCCGCCGAGCGCAAACCGCTTCTTCTCCGGCGTGCTCGGCGTCACGCACACGCTCGGCGCCGTCCGGAGCTGCCGCGTGCGCGGGTCGACAAAGCTGCGCTGCTTGGTGATGATGCGCGCCGGCGGGGGAGGCGGCGGGCGCGGGCGCGCTCGCTGCGGCGTGGCGGCCTGGGCGCGCGCGAGGGCAAAGGGGAGGGGAGGCGCATGCCCGAGGTCGGCGAGGGCGAAAGGGTCGAACGGCGGGAAGGCCGACGACGGCGAGTCGAGCGCGCCCGGCTCGTCCTCGGGCGCCGCACGGACCCCTCGTGCGGGGGCGGCGGCGCCGGTGGGCGCCATCCACGCGAGGTGCGCGGGCGCCGTCGCGCGGAACGGGTCGTCGTCCACGTCCGTGTGGTGCGACGACGACGAGGCCGACTCGTCGGACGAGTAGAGGCCGTCGGGCTCGTCGTCGCTGCTCGATGAGTAGTAGCGTCGCGCGTCGTCGGCCTCGTCGTTATCGTCGCCGTTGTCGTCGTGGACGGGTGGAGCGAGTGTCGGGTCGAACAGGGACGAGAGGGGCTCGGTCGAGGGGTCGACGACCGAGTCGTGCTTGAGGAGGAGGTCGCGCAGGATGGCGGCGGCGGACGGCGGGGCGGTGTGCGCCGCCGGCAGGGCGGGAACGGCAGGGGCGGGCGACGACGACGAGTGCGAGGACCGCAGAGGGTTGCGGAGGGTGATGGACGAGGCCGACTTGCGGAGAGAGGACGCGAGGCGGGAGCGGAACGAGGTCGGGAGGGGCTCGAGCGTCGGCGACGGGGGAGGGAAGGCTGACGCCTCGGCGAGGGTGGCGAACGGGTCGTCGTCGAACAGAGGCGAGAACGTGGGCGACGTGACGGCGTGCGGCGACCGCGGCGGGAGCTCGACCGGGACGGGCGAGATGCTCGCGCTCGACGACACGCGGCGGATCATGCGCGGCGCCTTGAGCGTCGCAACCGACTGCGCCGCTCGCAGCCTCGACACTGCCGCCGACGGCGAGGCGCACGTGCCGTAGGCCAACGTCGGCAGGCCGTCGAGGTCCTGCTGGTCGTACCCGGACGAGCGCGAGGGGACGGCGGCCGCCTTGCTCGACTCGCTCGCGGACGTGTCCCAGGTCCCGCTCGACGACGCCGGCGAGTCGGTCGATGCGTCGCTGAGCTGGGACGAGGCGGCCGACGAGGCGAGCGAGACGTCGTCGTCGGCCTCGCGGCGGCGGCGGAGGGCATCGCGCACGAGGCGCGACACCTCGTCGGACGACGGGACGGGAGGCACGGCGGCTTGTGGTGGTGCCGAGGTGGCGCCGTACCAGCGTTTCCAGCTGAAGAAGCCGTCGTCGGTGGTGCCGAGTCGGGGCGAGAGGTCGAAGGCGGAGCGTGCCTTGCGCAGGGACGAGGAAGGAGCGGGGGAGGGAGCGCGCTGAGGGGCGGCGGCGGCGGCGGCGGCGGCGAGGGTGTGGTTGAGGTCGTACAGGGTGCTCGTGTCCTGCAGGCGTGTGTACTCAGTCAGTCTGTGGCTTGCAGGCGGCGGCGAGAGGAAGGCGGAGACGGACCTTGCCCACGCTCGCTCCTTGCGAGTCTGCGCCTCGTGCTGTCGCCTCGTCGTGCGTGTTGCTGCGCCACAGGAGTGCCGCCATGTGGTACGAGTATGCTCGTCTGGTGCGTGCCGGTGGAGGGAGGGCCGAGGACAAGATGAGGGGAAAGTGGTCGAGTGATGCCGGCGAGGACGACGACGGGCTCGTGGGGCGGTTCTTGCGGGCTGTGGCGGGTGTCGATGCTGCTCCTGGCGGGTCAAGCTCGTGTGACTGGCCCTCAGCGGTCGAGGAGGGCGAGTGGGACGAGGTTGAGGGAGGGAAGCTCGCCGCCCCGCGTCCAAGTCGCGCTCGCCCTCTCGCTCTCTCTCTCGTGCCTGTAGCAGATCCACGGTGTTGCTTCGCGTGCCTCTGCCGCCTGAGACGACCGCGAGACCCCGTCCGAGAGAGCGCACAGTCGGACGACCAACTCTCGGCTTGTCTCTCTCGATCCTCCTCGAGGCTCCGACGACGACTGGTACAACACGCCCGACCCTGCATTGCGACGACGACGACCCACCGCCAGCTACATCGACCTCGCCGTCCCGACCCACGGCAGCTTGGCAAACTCGGCCTCGGAAAACCGCAGCAGGCTGCTCGTCCCGTTGTCGACGACGGCGAGCAGGATCGTGCGTCGCCCCGTCTTGAGCTGCGGGTACGGCGACGGCTTGCGCGGCGCACGGCGTGCGGCGCCGGTCGTCGTCGGGGTGGGCGAGAGGGCGAGCGAGGGGAAGAGGCGAGGGAGGAGCGGGACCGAGGCGAGGAGGGACTGGAGCCGAGTTGGGGGAGGCGCAGGTGCGACGGCGGGTTGCGGGTTGCGGGGAGGGCCTCGTAGAGGAGGAGGTGCGCGAGACTTGGCGGCGGTGGCGACTGCCGCACGAGGCGCCGACGACGAGGGCGTCGGCTCGTCTGGGAACGGCGACGTCTCAAACATGGCCGTGAACTCGAACAGGTCGGGCATGGGCGTCGTTGCGCCGCTGCGAGAGGGAACCTGAGAGTCAGGCGAGCTCGACGCCTCGAGGAGATGAGAGAGAGGGGGCAGAGACGCACTTGATGACGACGAGCTTAAAGTCGGGCGGCGGCGGCGAGCTCTTCTTGTACTTGGTGACGGGCTTGTAGACGTGGAAGAAGGGCTGGAACGGGAACTCCTCGAGGCTCGGCAGGCCCTCGGGCCGGCTCGCCTCGGGTACGGGCACGAGCGGGTTGAAGACGGACGGCTCGTGCGCGACAGGGCCGCGAGGAAGGGCGCGGTCGTGCCCGCTCGGGATGATTTGCAGCCGCGAAAAGATCTGGTCTGTGTGCGCAATATGAATCCGTAAGCTTCCTCGACCGACCGGGGCGACGAGAGGAAGCGAGGAAAACGAGGGCGACGCACCGTAAGAGGTCCACCTCCCGCCGGCCGCCAAGCACGCCATCTGCCCCTCGCGCTTGCCCACCGCGCGCGTGACGTGCAGCCGGATGCGCTTGGCCGTCGTGGGCGAGGCGCGGAAGAGCGCCTTGGCGGCGTGCGTGAGGCGCAGGACGAGGTCGCGCGTCGAGAGGAAGGGGATCGAGAGGTAGTCGAGGACGGTGCGGTAGATAGGGGTGGGCTTGACGAAGGCGGGCCGCTCGGAGCCGGCGATGGGGCGAGCGCGTGTGAGGACGTAGCCGAGTCGCCGCAGGAAGGCGTAGACCTGGTGCGGCGCGAGGATGGTCAGTCGGGCGAAACACTCAGAGAGGGGCGAGAGGGGGCGCACCTGGTACCGTTCGGGCGTGAGCTCGTCGTGCCCGATGAGCTCGTTCCACGCCTGCTGCACGCTCATGGGCACCCTCGAGCCGTCGTCGCCCTGCCGCCACAGCTCGACGGCGCCGCGCTCGACCATGTACAGCGCCTCCTCGGGCAGCAGCTCGAGCTGCTTACGGAACTGGTTGAAGTGGCCGATATTGCTGAAGTGGATGCCATACGACGCGTTGCCGGCATCGCACGTCGCGCGGCCGCCGTCGAGGTCGGGTCGCCACGTGAAGGCGTTGTGCGCGCGCGACGAGTGGTGGCGGGAGCCGGACGACAGGGCCGTGTACAGGGCGTTGCGCGAGTCCTGGAGGAGCTGGCGCTGGTGGGCCGAGAGGGTCGCCTCCTTGCTCGAGGGCGGGAAGGCGTCGGACGAGGTGATGGGCTCAAAGTCCTTCTCGCCGCGCTTGGGGATGAACGGGACGAGGACGGCGCCTTCCGACTTGTCGCGGTTCGACCTGGCGGGCAGAGGTGGGCGTCGAGCCGGGTCAGCTTGCCGGTGCGAGTTGAGCGAGGTTGAGCTGGAGAGAGACGAGAGCTCACTTGGCGAAGGACGCAAAGCGAGACCAGTCGGGCAGCGCATCCTCCTCTGCCTCCTCCATGTCGACCTGGGCGGCACTCGGGCGGTCGTCCTCCATCGTGGTGGTCCAGGTGAATCTGCCCCGGGGAGATGAAGATGAGCTCGAGAACAGAGGCGAGGACGAGCCCGGGGCGAGTAGTGGACGCACCGGTGGGTCTTGGAAGGCACCAGGAGCGTGCTCGTGTTGTCGAAAAGCCCGTTGAGCGTTGTGAGCGGTGGTTGCGGCGACGAGAGCTCGCACTTGCCGACGCTCTCCTCCTCTCCTCCTTCCTCGCCTCGCGCGCTCTTTGCTGTTGCGCAGCTGCGCTCTCGGCAGCTTTCCGATCAGCCCCTCGCTTCTGGCGCGTGTCACCGTCCCCGCTCGACGCACGCGCGGTCCTCTCCTCCGCGCTCGGCCGCGTGCCCGGCGCGGACGCTCTTCGGCGCTTCTCGGTGCCGCACGGCAACAGCGAGCGTGCTCAGGCGACTGCAGAGGGGTTTCATTCGACCGCACAGCTGCGGCGGGACCCGAGCGAGCGACGACGGCGTCGTCCTCCCAGCAGACGACCTTTGCTCGTCTGCAGGCGCGCTCTCTCTCCCGCGCTCGGGCGTGCGCCTCCGGGCGTGCGCCTCCAAGCTGTCGAGACCGAGCGCGTGCCGCTAGCGTCGAGCGGCGAGCATGAGGCCGGCGCTAAAGTGCCTCTTCTCCTCGTCAGCGCTCAGGCCAACTCAGCCAACTCAGCCTGAGCGCGCAAAGCTGCTCTCTCTTCTCTCTCCATCTCTCTCGCTACCCCTCCCTCCACCCTCACCTCAGTCCCTCGTTACCATGCTCTTCGCTCGCCTTTCCCTCGTCTCCCTCCTCGGCCTCGCCGTAACCGCCCTCGCCTCGTCGCCCTCGAACGAGCCCCTCGCGCTCGAGAAGCGCCTCTCGGTCGCAGCAGAGGCGAGCATCTCGGCCGCACTCCAAGTCTGCGTCGTCAGTGTGCAAGAGCTCGGCGTCGAGCTCGCAGGAGCCCTCGAAGGCGTCAAGACGGGCAACGCCGCCGCCGTCCTTGCGGTCGCCGGCCCGATCCTGACGGTGCGTCGTCTTGTCTTTCTCCCTCGAGCGTGACGGCGACTGATACGAGGCACACACAGGACATGACTGCCGCCGTCGGACTCGCCGCGCACGCTGTCGTCAAGGTCTCGAAGCGCGACCTGCAGACTCGCAACTTTGACCTCAACACGAGTGCGTCCCGCTCGCCTTCTCCGTTCCCTCGAGGCGTGTCTGACCTCCACTTTCACTCACACAGTCGGCGCTCTCGTCGCCGACCTCATCAACGCCGTCCTGGTCGCGCTCAGGCCGCTCGAGGAGCACATCTCGGCGTCGCCGGCGCTCGGGCCTCTCCTCGCGCCGTTCCTCTTGCCGCTCAACACCCAGTGCGTCTCTCGTTCCTCAGATGTCTGTCACATGAAGGTGTCACTAACCGTACGCCTGTCCCACAGGCTCGTCCTCCTGCTCAACTCGCTCTTCGCCGTCGTGGTCGGCCTCCTCAACGTCGTCCTCAACCTCGTGCGCAGCACCGTCGTCGTACCGCTCCTGCACTCTCTCGGCCTGGGCCCCGTCCTCTCGATCCTCACCCTCTGAGCCCGCCTCGCCGCACCTTTCCACCTCCTCGCACTTCCTCTTTCTTTCTCGCCTCTCTCTTTCTCAAGATACCCCCTCACTCTCTCGCGTAGCACGCTCGCCTGAATTCAAGCTCGTTGCACCGACTATGGACAGAGAGAGGACGAGAAGCGCTATTTACACAGAGCGACGTCGAGAAACGTTTCGAGGCCTCGCGCACGGACTGACGTTGGATCAGAAATGCCCGAGCCACAGGGCCGACAGGGCAAGGAGCGTCGCGATAGCTGCGCCGTTGCCGCTCGCCGAGGCAGCCCGGTGCGCTGCGCTCGTCCCCGGGCACTCGCGGTACTGCGCCGGCGGCGTATAATTCGAGACGAGGACGACGTCCGAGCACTGGGTCCACGTCGGGCCATCCGACTCGTCGTAGTAGACGCTGCGTGCTCGGTACGAGTCAGGACGACGATCGTGGACGAGCGAGGAGAGGACAGGGCGCACATGAGCGTGCCGAGCGCGCCCTCGGTCACGTTGCCGCCCTCGACGTCAAGGAGGAGGCTTTGCACGTTCGTCTCGTAGCAGTCGTACTGTGTAGAGATCATCTCAGTACGCCCGTCGAGCGTTCGAGAGGTCGTCGAGGAGCGAGAGAGGGGACGCACGAGCCCTTTGCCTTGACCGTCCAAATCGTCGAACAGCTCGTTGTCGACCTCGGTCCCGTTGCGCAAGATGCCCTCGTACGGACCGTACGGCGTCGGGTCATCGCCCCAGCTGATCGTCGCCGACACGTCGGCCTTGGACGAGTTGTCGCCGGCGCGAAGGACGAGCGGGAAGGTGCCGCTGAGGGGAACGGGGATGCGCGTGCCCGACGTCGTGTTGCGAGGGGCGCAGTAGCCTGTAGCGTTGCAAGGTCAGTCACAATCGACGATTGTGCGAGGAAGTCGACGCACCAGTACGACCGGACTCGTCGGCAAGGTCGCGAGCGGTCGGGTAAAGAAGCGCGAAGCCGTCGCCGCGCAGGGTCTGTGCGGCGACGAGGGGCAGCGCTACGGCGGAAGCGAGGAGGGTGAGCGGCGTGGAGCGCATGATGCGGGTAGGAGGACGCTCAGTAGCGAGGCGGTAGAAGGAGGAGGAGGGAAGGAGCGCAAGCGAGAGCAGGGTCCGGCACCGCCGCGGCAGCACAAAGACGTGCCGAGCGCGCGCATGTGCGCAGGTGACGCAAAGCTGAGGCAGGCGAGCTTCCCGTGGAGGATCAGCTCGAGCGAAAGCGTCGGCCGAAAGGGTCCGAACGCGTGCGCCAAGGCCGCTTGCGAAGAAATGGGAGACAGTCGAAATCCAAATCGCGACGGACGAGAGCCTGCACCCGCAGCTGCGGTGCCGAACGTTCGCTAAGTTACCTGACGCGCAAAGCCCAAGCGACGAGAGACAATCTGAACCGCAGCACACGCGAGAAGCTACCGTAGGGCCCGGAGCTCAAGAAGGTAGAGCTCTCGTCCGGCGGCTCGGCCGGCAACGCCGACCCACACGCTCGCGCCGGGAGAGAGAGAGGGAGCATCGGGGCTGCGTTGCACATGAGAAAGAGTCTATCGCCGTGTTGCACTGACAAAGAGGGGAATGAGAGGGTGGGAAAAGGAGGAGAAGACGCAGGTGCCGCCAACTCGGGCAGCGCCCGCTCGATACCCCGGCGCTCATCAGAGCAGGCCGAGCACGCTCAGGAGTGACCCGCAGCCCATCGTCTTGAGGATGACGACGAACTTGGCGTCGAGGAGGGCCACGACGGCGGCGAGAAGGCCGCCCGAGACCGCAAAGAGGACGTGGCAGAGCGAGGCGAGGCTGCGGGTACGGGCGTGAGCAGGGCTCGACGGGTACGAGGAACACGAGTGGAACGTGCGACGCACGTGAAGATGATCGGGAGGAGGTGCACCGCAAGGAGGACGACGAGACCGGGTGCGTGCGCGACGAGAGCGTAAAGCGGGACAAGGGCGGCGAAGAAGGCGTTGAGCAGGCCGGCGAGGAGCTTGGCGACTGCAAGGGCGACGAGGCAGGTCAGATGTGCGGCCCGAGGAGGACACAGAAGAACGAGAAGGACCCACCGACGCCGACCTCGAGGGAAGGACCGCCTTGCCCAGCGATCGACACGCAGGCATGAGCAGCGACCTTGATCGCGACGTGCATCTCCTGCGAGGGGCGACGCAGACGGTCAGTTCGACTGAAAGGGGAAGAAAGGGAGAGAGGAGGACGCACGAAAAAGATGTCGGCGCAGGCAGCGACGACCGCCGACGCACGCCTCGTGTCGCACGACGCGAGCGCCGTCTCGATCTCGGCGCCAAGCGAGCGAACTGTCGACGTGCACGCCTTGAGCGACGCCTCGATGCCGGCCTGACCCTTGAGGGAGCCGGACGTCGAGACCGAGCCCTTGCCGCCCGACGAGTGCGACGACGAGGACGACGAGCTGACGGCCGAGTGGCTCGCAGCGGCTGCGCCCGACTTGTGCGGGGTCGCCTTGGTCGTCGAGGAAGACGAAGCCGACTTGTGCGCGCCGGACGAGCCCTTGTGCGTCGCCGACGCCGTCGCGCCGGCCGTGCCGCCCTTGCTCGAGCCGTGGGCGCCCGAACCGCTTGTGCCGGACTTGTGGGGCTTGGACGCAGCAGTCGACGCGTGTTTGGCCGAGCTGGATGACTTGTGGACCGACGACGACGAGTGCGCCTTGTGCGCCGAGTCGACGCCCTTGCCGGACGAAGTACCGCCCGACGAGCTCGACGCCTTGTGGTGCTCAGCCGCCGACGAGCCGTGCCCGTCCTTCGAGCCCGACGACGACGAGACTGCGCCCGTGCCCGACGACGAGCCCGACGAGCCCGCGGACGAGTCCTCGCAGGCGCACCCAGTGCCGCCAGTCGACGCGCCGACACCTGCGCCCGCACCGAGGCCGGACCCGCCGCCGAGGCCGGTTCCGAGGAGGCCGAACGTGCGCTTGTCGAGCGCGAGCGCGTCGTCGTTGGCGAGGAGGGAGGACGCGGTCTCGGCGAGGGCGGACGAGGAGAGCGAGAGGAGGGCGACGAGGGCGAGCGAGAGGCGCATGGTGGCGAGGGTGAGCGAGGGCGAGGTGGAAGGTGAAAGGGAAGGGATCGAAGGTCGAGGCACTGTCGGAGAGGAGAGTGAGGACGAGAACAAGTGAGGGAAAGAGAGTAGAGCCGCACCTCGTTCGACGGCGGCTCTTGTGCTCGCCCGGACCCGAGTCGACGCCGCGTGCTCTGAACGGCGTCGAGCCCGACGAGCGTATGCTGCACGAGGAAGGCGACGTGAGACGGCGACGGGCGGGGAGAGAGGAAGGGGTGAGGTCCGCCCCTTGAAGACGCACGGCCCGCTCCCCATCGCCCGCCTCGCCCTCTCAGCGGCACCCGCCCACACGCCCTCGAACGACGAGAGGCGGCGCCATGAAGCATCTGCCGGGTCCGCGACGTGAAAGGCGCCCTCGAGGGCGCAGAGCAGCGCCAGCAACGGCTTGAGGCTGCACCTCGGCGACGGTCGAGCTAGCGAGGCCGGCGCAGCGGCACCGGGCCGTGCGACGATGCGCAGGGGAAGGGAAAGACGAGGACGAGGAGCTCAGACGAGGTGCGTTGGCGCACGAGGCGCTCAGCCGGGGAGGAACGGACGACGAGGCTCTCTCGATCGGCAGGGCGAGGCCCGAGCGGAACGTGCGCCGTCGTTGCGCGGGATCTCAGACGCCCCAGCTGCCGCCGCCGCGCTTGGTGTACACCTCGACTGGCCGGCGGAAGGTCGAGCCTGTGTGCGAGAGGGTCGTCAGGCCGAGGTCAAGGTCGACGAGGGGGAGAGACGGCAGAGAGAAAGGGACGGACCGACTTTGCCCGTCTCGCCGAGCAGTTCCCGCTTCTCAAACCCGACCAACTCGATCAATACCCGCTCAAAGTCGCCCTCCTCGGCCCGCCACCCTTTGTCGGCGCCCTCGACGAGTCGCGCGTAGTTGTCCTGCAGATCCTGCTCGTGCGACGCTCGCGCCGAGCGCGCGTACGTGCTGAACGGCTGCGGCTCGAGGAGGAGGCGGCCGCCAGGCAGGAGCGCGTCGAAGCACCGCCGGAAGAAGGTGAGGAGGCCGACGTTGAGCGAGCGGAGGTGGATCCACTTAGTGATCGAGAAGCTGCGGGCCCAGGATCGATGCGGGTAAGCCTGCGCTCGAGGGGGAAAACGGCGAGACGGAGAGAGAGCGCGGGACGCACGCGAGGATGACGTCGTAGCCGTCGCGGTCGTCGGGGATCTCCTCGTTGACCCAGTCGGCGTGTGCGAACCGGATGTTGTCCGGGAACGCCTTGACCTCGAGAGGCATGACCTTGCGCTTGCCCCTGCGCAGGACGCCGACCGTCTCGACCTCGGGCTGAGGGTGGTGCGTCGTGAGGAGGCCGCGCGGCGTCGGGAGGTAGCCGAACATGCGCGGGAGCGACAAGGGGAAGTAAGGCGGCGCGCGCGACGTCGACGCAAAGGGCGACTGGGTCGTGGTGTCGAGGTCGAGGGGTGCGAGGGTGTGGCTGGGCGAGGGCGAGCGTGACGAGGTGTGGGCGTGCGAGAGGTAGGCCGCCTCGTCGACGAGGCGCTGGAGCGGGGCCTGGCGCGACCATACGAGCTCGGCTGCGGGCGAGAGGGGGACATCGTCAGTGTCTCTTTTCGCGACTGAGCCACCCATGAGAGTGAACGAGTAGGCGCACCGTGTTTCCTCGCGGCGCGAACCAGGTCGGCATCGATGTCGACGCCCGTGACCTTTGCCGCGAGCCCATGCTGCGCCACCTCGACCGTGACGACGCCGCCGTTGCACCCGACGTCGAGGACGCGTTTGCCCCTGAGCCACTCGGGGGGCACGAGGGCGAGTCGCTCATCGGGTGCGTCGACGGCGCGAGGGGCGGCCGGCCCACCGCCGCCCGACGACGGCACGAGGCCGCGCCTGCGCGAGTAGTAGCCGCGAAAGTTGCCGTTCGGGGCCGAGGCGCGGTCGCGCTTGCGGGCCTTGGGGGCGCCCGGGTGCCCAGGGTCGGTCGAACCGGTGGGAGCTGATGAGGACGAAGCCGAGGGCTGGTGGAACGACGGCGGCGGCTTGCGCGTCGGGTTGAGGTTGGGCGCACTGTCGAAGAAGGTGGTGCGCGGCCGCTTGGCGTGCGGCTCAGGCTCGTGCGACATGGCGGGTGAGATTCCGAAGGCGACGAGGGACGAGGGGAGACGAGGCGACGGAGGTGGGGGCAGCTCGCTCTCTGTCGCCAGCGCAGCCAAGCAGATTCTCACACGCACGACACAGACTCTCGAAAGACACGCCGAGAGGGATGGGAAACGACATTGCGAGCTCGCGAGCGACAACACTCCTCGACCTCGACGACGGAACCACCGACGACCCAGGCTCGGGGCTGCGACAGAGACGGGCGCACGTACTCCTGCGCCTGCTCCGCCGTACACCTGCGACTGCCCAGTAGATCCACCGACGAGAGAGACGAGAGCCACCGCGCACGAGTCCCTGTCCCGCAGCGCGACCACGAGAGAAAGACGACGACGGCTCGAGCTGCTTAGAGCTTGAAGCCACGCGACTTGCGGCGACCGCGACCGATCTGTGAGGCGACGGGGAGAGCGCAGGAGTCAGTGAGAGGTCGGGAGAGGGAAGGAGAGAGGCGCGAGGCGGCGACGAGGCGCCCGGACGAGCCGAGGCACTCGAGGCCGTCTCGTCGCCGTTCTCGCGCAACGAGAGTCAAGGGACGCACCTCCTCCCTCTTACCGCCGCTAAGGACGTAAGGCTTCGCGTGCGTGACACCCGAGCCTGTTGCGAAGGAGAACGGACGAGAAATGAGCGAGATGCGCGAGAAAGGGTCCGAGACGACGACGGGGACGGACCAAAGTGCTTGTTGGCCTCGCGGGCAGTCTTCTTGCCGCGGAGGAGGAGCGTGTTGGCGCCGGTGGGCTTGCGGAGGGCGAGCTGGTCGAGCGTGAGGCACTCGCCGCCGGCCTTCTCGATGCGGGCGCGTGCGGTGCGGGTGAAGCGCAGGGCGGCGACCGACAGCTTGGGGACCTCGTTGAGGCGGACGTCGTCCGTGATGGTGCCGACGACGACGACCGTGTTGTCGGCGGCGATGGCCTTGCCCGACTTGGAGACCTGGCGGGCGATGCGCGAGATCGAGACCGGCGGGCGGTTCGTCTTGCTCATGTACAGGCGGCGGAGCACGACCTTGTTGAAGCGCGAGTCGGTGCGGCGGGCGAGGAAGCGGTAAAGCTGTGGGGCGCGTTCTCGTGTCAGAAGACAGAGGAACACTCGCTCTCCCGCAGAGGGGAGAGCTCAGGTGAGGGCGGCGGAGCGCACCTTGACAAGGAGGAGGAGGTACGGGTCCTCCGACTTGGGCGCCGAGCGGTTACCCTTCTTGACGTGGTGGTGCTCAATGTCGATTCCCTGTTTGCGCCGAGAGACGCAAGCGAGGGAAAGGACGAAGAGGGGGGAGGGGAGGGGGAGGGGAGGGGGAGGGAGGGTGCAGGGCAAGTTGTGGGTTAGCTGGGTGCTCCAGGATGGTCCTCGTGTTCCCGATGCTCCTCCCTGGCCGTTCCGCCGCCTTCTGGCGCGAGGTGGGCCGCCCGCAGGAAGTGCGAGAGGTCGCGCTCGTTCCGCGTCGAGCTCGCTCGTCGAAGCCCGGTGTCGCGCCAAGCTGCGTGCGCCTCTCGTGCGTCACACGAGGGTACTGGTCGCTGCAGCGAGGCCGTGGCGGACAGGACGAGGCGGCGAGGGCGGTGGGTCGAGGTGGGCGGGGCAAAATGTCGAGCTCGAGGGCGGTGGACGAGGCTGGCGGTTGTGCGGCGCAGGGAGGGGATGTGCGGCGGGTAGGGGCGAGTGGACTGCTGAGCAGGAGTGGCAGGACTTGCCATGGTTGACGAGTCGGCAAGGTGGAATGAGTCGCGAGGAGACAAGCCGAGCCAGCTCGAGGCGAGCGGCGAGGAGAGGCGCGAGTCGGGGCAAAAAGCTTTCGTCCGCTCCTCCTCCCCACCTCGCTCGTCTCCCCCCTCGACCACACACACCATGGCCGACTCTGCCCCGAGCGACTACCCTCGCTCCCTCGACCGCGACCGCGACCACGACATGGACCGCGACCGCCGTCCCTCGCCTCCTCCTCTCGCCCCCGCCACCCGCCCCGACGACGACGACCACTACCGCCGTCGCGATGACCGCTCCCCTCGCCGTGACGGCCCGCCCTCGGCCTCTGGCAGCGGCCCTCGCGACCGCGCCGCGCCCCCGCCCAAGCCGGGCAACGCCCCCGCCGCCGAGCCGTCCAACGTGCTCGGCGTCTTTGGCCTCTCGATCCGCACCCAGGAGCGCGACCTGTACAACGAGTTCTCGCGCTCGGGCCAGTGCGAGAAGGCCGTCATCGTCGTCGACCAGCGCACCGGTCGCTCGCGCGGCTTTGGCTTCGTCACCATGGCCTCGGTCGACGACGCTCAGCGCGGCATCGACGACATGAACGGCGTCGACCTGCACGGCCGCCGCATCCGCGTCGACTTTTCCGCCACCAAGCGCCCGCACGAGCCTACCCCCGGCGAGTACCGCGGCCCGAGGCGCGACGACGACCTGTACCGCGGCCCGCCCATGGGCGGCGACCGCTGGGCCGGCGCCGGTGGCCCTCCTCCTCCTCGCGGCGGGCCCTACGGTGGCGGCGGCTACGGCGGCGGCGGCGGCTACGGTGGCGGGTACGGCGGCGGCGTAGGAGGGTACGGCGGCGGAGGGTACGGCGGCGGCGGAGGGTACGGCGGCGGCGGGCGCGTCCCTCCCCCTCGCGACGACCGCTGGGGCTACGGCGGCGACCGTGGTGGCGACCGTCGCCCGCGCGACGACTACGGCCGCGACGACCGCCGCCGTGACGACCGCGGCGGCCGCTCGTACCGCGACCGGTCCCGCTCGCGCGAGCGCTCGCCGCCTCCGCCGCGCCGCGACCGGTCGTATTCGCCCGCCGGTGCACCGCCGCGCGACCGCTCGCGCTCGCCGCCGCGTCGCCGTCGTTCGCCGAGCCCGGTCGGCGACAAGGCGCCTCGCGACGACGACTACGAGCGCCGCGACTAGGTCGGCGCCCGTCTCGGCTCGCGGTCCTCGCCCTCTCGGTTCGCGTCCCGCATCAGCCTGTCTGCCCTCAACCTCCTCAATCTCGTCCCCATCATCAATCGTGCCGTTTGTCGTACAAGAACGCCCCCTCCTCTTTCCCTTCATTCTCGTCGTCTCGTCACAAAAACGCAAATTGCCGTCAATGTTCAAGCTCTTCGTCTCGCTCGTGCCCCAAGTTGTTCAAGGTCTCGCCCGAGGTCGTCTACGAGAAGAGCAAGACCAAGTGCACGTGCTTGACGGCGTCGCGGCGAGCGAGGCTCAAGAGCAAGAGAGCGACCCGGTCGATCCGCCGCGAGCCTGGCGACGTCTTGGTGTGGTACTGACCTTGTCCGCCCGCAGCTCTCTTTGTGCGCATGCCGTCACTTCAACTTGTCGGCCCTGGGCGTCGGCGTCTCGACCGCTCGTCGCCGTCCCGAGCCCGCCCTCGAGGTGGCGTTCCTCCTCGACCTGCACCTCTCGGCCTTTCGCTCTCTCGCGTTAACTCGTCCGACCTTCTCGCCATCGACGTCGAATTGCGGGTTCTCAGACGAGCGAGGGTCTTTCCGTTTCAGCCTGGCGGCGTCGACTGCGTTGCTCGTCGTGGGCTTTGACGCATTCGAGTCGACTTTGCAGTGTACTTTGCAACGCGCTCTTTCGCCCGTCTCGACAAGCCGTTCGAGAGAGCCAGAAGAGAACCTGGCAGCAGTCGAAAGACGCAATCGAGCCACCAAGCTGGAGAGCCAGGAGCTTGCAGGAGGCGCACCGCCTCCTCGCACCTTCTCCTCCTCGACCTCAGCTTGTCGCCCCGTGCTGGCCCGCGCTCGATGCCCCTCGCGTCCGCAGTGCACTTTCTGAGCGCCGCGTCGGCCACCGACGGCCTGTACAAGGTGCTCGCGTGCGGCCTCGTCGTCGCCCTCATCGCCAGCGTCCGGTCGTGGAGCAAGGGCTACGTGTGCGTCGAGGAGCGCGAGCTTGCCGGCAGGACCTTCATCATCGATGTGCGTCCCTCTCCCTCCCTCTTCGGAGCGGTCGTGGAGCCCTGGACCCCTCGTCCTCGACGAGCTGATGAAGCGCGAGCTGACCGTCTCTCCCCTCCCTCCCCACGTACGCAGGGCGCCTTCTCCGGCACGGGCCTCTCGGTCTTCCAGTCGCTCGCGCAGCGCGGCGCGCAGGTCATCGCGCTGCACCCGGGCCCGCCCTCGCCCGCCATCGTCCAGCTCGTCGTCCTCCTGCGCGAGACGACGGGCAACGAGCGCCTGTACGCCGACGAGTGCGACCTCGCGTCGGTCGACTCGGTGCGGGCATTCGTGCTCAGGTGGAGGAAGGACGCGAGGGCGGGCATGATGGGCGAGCACGAGGTGCGGCTCGACGGCGTCGTCTTCCTCGAGGGCGACGCGCCTGGGTCCGACTCGTCGACGCTCGCGCTCGGCGCAGCGCAGAAGTGGGCCCCGCAGCGAGCGTTGCCGGACGAGCGCCTGTCGCGGCACCGCATGCGGCGCCTCACGGGCCGACACGCCCTCGTCCAGCTCCTCCTTCCCGTCCTCGTCAAGTCGGCGAGCACGTCGACCTCGCCGCTCCGCATCGTCAGCACCGTCAGCCCGTTGTACGCCATCGCCGCCGCCCAGCCGCACAAGTTCCGCCCGGACGACCTCGACTACACGCTTAAGGCGGCTGAGGGCGACGGCGAGCCGCAGCAGTACCCGAGCGGCGCGCCGTGGGAGGCCGAGGGTCGCGTCGCGCTCGCCGCCGTCCTCCTGTGGCGCGAGCTCCAGGCGCGCCTCGCGTCGCTCGCGAGCGTCAAGCCCGGCTCGGCCTCCTCGAGCACGACCGCCACCTCGGCCGCGCCCATCCTCGCGCTGTCGGTTTGCCCGGGCCTCACGCGCGCATCCCTCTTCGCGACGCTCGCGCCGTCGCTGCGGCGCGCGCCACTGCGCCTCGCGCTCGCCGTCGTCAGCGCGCCGCTCGTGTGGCTCCTCGCCAAGAGCGCCGACGAGGCGGCGCAGGGCGTCCTCGGCGCGTTGCTCGGGCCGGTCGAGGGCGAGAGCGAGGCGGCGAGGGCGGCCAAGGGGCCGGAGAGGGTCGAGATTGAGAAGGAGCAGGAGCAGGCGAGCGCGAGGGCCAAGGGCGCGGGCAAGGGAGACGATGAGAAGGAGGGCAAGAGGAGGATGAGGGTTCGAGGCGGCGCGCTCTACAGGGAAGGGAGGGAGGTCCGGTGCGTCCTTCTTTCTCTCATTCTCTTCGTCGAGGTGGCCGTGTGCGTACGCCGACTTGCACTGACCCTACCTCGGCCCGCAGCATCGCCACCCTCGACGAGCTCCCGCCGTCGGTGGGCGCAGCCCTGTGGGACAGCGAGTCCAAGCTCGTCGAGCGCCTCCTCGTCGCTGCGGTCGAGGCGCAGAAGCGCGAGGACCAGGAGAAGCAGGACAGCGAGGCGTCGAGGAAGGAGGAGGACGAGGTCCGGCCGGAGGAGGCGAAGAAGGACGTTTAGAGCGGCCGGTTGCGAGGCTGCCATGGACACTTGCCTCGTGCTCGACGCTCTCTCTGTCTCTTACGACGCTGTGCTTGCTTCGCCGTCGTCGTCGACGACGGAATTGTGCGACCTCGGCGACGAGGACGGCCGAGACGTTCGCCTCCTCTCCGGCGCACGCACCGCCGTCCCTCCTCCGCACTTGTTTGCCCTCGCCTCGCTCCTGCTCTGCTTGATTCTCTTCGCTCTCGCTCGATGTCGTCCTCGAGCAGTGCTGCGCAGGGCAGGGCTCGCGCTCTCGCCACGTCGGCGCTCCTCGCCTTCTTCATCGTCGGCGCAGCCGCCTCGTCGTCGCTCGAACGAGCTCGGCCAACCTCACCACCCGAGCCGGCGATCTGCTCGCTCTCGTCGCGTCTTGAAGGAACAGACGGCGTCGCTCCACTCGCCGAGGCGGTCGACACACGAGACGGCACCTCTCTCAGTTCTCGCCTCGCCGTCCGTGCGCCCGCCGAGCCGACCTCGTCATCGGTCCTTCCCTCTTCCTTCGTCCTCGTCGACCGTTCCTCGACACTCTCCTCCTACCCGGCCGCCTCTCTGGCATCAACTCGATCGGCAGCACCGGCGGCGAGCGTCGGCCGGGTGCAGGGACGGGCTTTTGGCGGCGACGGCAGGGCGGGTTCCGCAGCGGCGAGCGCAGCTGGGTTGGCGATGTCGAAGGAGGACGTGTGCAGCTTCGGTGCGGACGGAGCCGATTTTGCGGGCGAGAAGGACGGCGGCGAGCGCGCGAGGGAGCGCAGGTGGGAAGGTGCGTCGTCCTCTCGCAGTCCCTGCCCCTTCTCTTCGCGCAGGCCACGAGCCTCAGTGCGACAGAGTCGAGACTCACCGAGGCCGTTCTACCTGCAGGCTGGGAGACGTCGACGTCGACAGTCTGGGTCACTGCGTGCGCTCGAGCCCTCTCGCGCCTCTCTCTCTCCCAAGGACGCCCTGACCCTCCTCCTGTCCCGCAGGTCCGACGAGGTGCCCGACGCCGTCACGGTCTACACGACTTATGGCGAGTCGCCCGCCGTCGACGGCGGCGTGATCACCGAGACGGTCTACAAGGACGCGTCGACGCTCACGGTTCCCGGCCCGTCCTACCTCACGATCGTGCGTCTTGCCTCCCCCTTCTCTCTCCATCGTCTCCCACGAGAGTGAATGTAGCTCGCGACGGTCGCCAACTGATCTCGTCGTTGTTCCTCCTCATCTCGCACTCGCACTCGCGCAGACCTTCTACCCTACGACGACGACCTACGCCACGTCGCACACGACTATCCCGACGACGACCAAGACCAAGACGCAGTCGCCGTCGCAGGCCGCAGCATCGAGCACGCCGACGACGTGCGCGCCGGGCGACGCCGACGAGAAGCAGTCGACCGGGCTCAAGCCGACGCACGACCAGTCTATCACGCTCTGTGCGTCCTCTCGTCGTTCTCTCTACCACGTTCGACGACATTGACGGTCCTTCTGTGTCCTGCTACAGACGTCATCGCTATCTGTGGGTCCGAGCGCCTCTCCTCCTCCCGTCGAGCCGAGAAGGGAGAACTGACTTGGCGCGCCCTCCTCGTCCACAGAGTACGCCGACCTGATACTTTCTCGGACCCTCAGATTGTCCCACTGACACAGTCTTCCACAGTATCGTCGGTATCGGCATCGGCTGGAACCTGTTCCTCTTGCGAGACGTACGTCGAGCGCCTCATCGTCCGGTTCAAGTGCGCGCACTGACCCTCTCTCGCCCATCTCGCAGCTCCTCTACCCCTTCAAGGTCCTCACCGTCGCAGTACACGAGATGGGGAGAGTTCCCTCTGTCTGCCTCTGCCCCTACATGCCAAGCGCGAGGACTGAACCTCTTCCCCTCCCGCGCTCGTTCCCCTTCTCTCGCCTACCACGAACCCTCGCTCTCCCTCGGCGCAGTCACGTCCTCGTCACCATCTGCCTCGGCGGACACATCGGCCTGTTCTGCATCGACCCGAAAGTCGGCGGCCTCACGCGTCAAGCCCTCGGCGACGACCGCGAGCTCCCTTTGCCTCTCGCCGCCCTCCCGCCGGGCTACGTCATGAACATCCTCGTTGGCGGCGTCCTCACCTTCTGCGGCTTCAAGACGCTCGCGAGCAAGATCGCGTCGTTCATCCTCGGGCTGTGCTGGATCGGCATCTTCTTGCGGGTCGAAATGGTCGCCAAGCTCATGACGGTCCTCGCCGTCGGCCTCATGGTGCGTCCCTTCTCTCTTTGTCTCGTCCACAAATCACTCTCTGACAGCTGCCGCTCCCGCAGATCGGCCTCTGGTGCGTGCCCGTCTGCTCTCGAGCGAGCTCTCACTTGAGAAGGTCGACCTGATTCCTCTGCCGTCACAGGTTCGTCGACCATGCTTGGAGCCTGCGGTGGTACATCCTGTTCGTCGGCGTCATGCAGTCCTTCTACGTGTGCGTCCACCCTCCTCTCTTCTCCTCCCCTCGCACCCCTTCCCTCCTCGTCCTCCCGCCTCCCCTGTGCCGCTCTCCTCGACCCTCACTGACGCGTCCTTTCCCCGGCACATTCACAGGCTCTGGGACGTCGCCGACGACGCCTTCTTCGCCAAGCAGAACCCGTCGTGCCCGTACCTGCACTGGGAGAGCCAGCCGGCCCTGTCGCCCGCTGTTTGGACCCTCATCTGGCTCGCGGCGAGCTTTCTTCTCTTCGTCGGGTTCGTCCTCGCCGCTCTCGCGACGTGGAAGCAGAGCCCGCACGCCATGTACTGTCAGGCGCAGACGTTCCTCCCGTGCGTCCCTCCCTCCCTCTCTCTTTCTTTCTCCCTCGCCCTCTCGATCGTGCTCATCTCGCTCTCTTTCGCTCGCAGGACTCGATGATCTGGCGCAGGCGGACGCGAGAGTTCATGAGGGGCGCGTGCGATTGCAGTAGAGACGAGGCGTAATGATTTAGAAACGTGAAGGGACGATGCAGAGAATAAGGAGGAAGGACGAGGCGAATCTACCCAGAGAAACGACGAGAGTAGCTAGCCAACCACCCTGTCGGCGAGACCAGGCGGCAGTGCGTCTAACCTCGCGACACGAGGTGAGCCATCTTCTCGGCCATGAGCCTGCAACGAGAGAGGGACCGAGAGGAAGGGGAAGAGGCGAGGGAGGAAGGTCAGCGCGCGTGATAAGGACACGGCGTCCGAGACGCGAGAGAGAGAAAGAGGGGACGCACTTGTGGACGCTCGTGACCGGGTGCAGCGTGTCGAAGTAGAGGTGAGACGCCGGGTCCGAGCAGACCTTGCCGGAGGAGCTGTTGTAGCAGGTCGCCGAGGTGCCGGCCGAGATGCCGTAACTCTTCGGGTTCGAGTTCATCGAGTACCACTGCGCGAGAGAGAACGTGTCGAGGTCAGAGGGAGACAGACGAGGGAGAGGGAAAGGGCGAGTCGAGGGAGGAGAGAGAGGAGACGCACGAGCGAGGAGAGGTCGTAGAAGAACGCCTTGCCGTTCTTGTTCTCGGACGACAAGGCCGACGCAAACGTCCTCAACTCGTCGTTGAACTGGGTCGAGAGCGTCTTCATGAGGGCGAGCGCCTGCGCTCGCCTCGCAGACGAGTAGCCGGACGGGACCTGGTACGCCGTCGTCGGCACGATCTCGAGCGGCGGAATGCCGACGACGAGCCAGTCGACGCCCTTGGTCTTGGTCTTGACGGCGCTGCTCGAGCTGATCGAGCGCAGCGCGGCGGCGTACGCCTGCGTATTGGCCGTGATGGCCGACTTGGCCTTGGCGACGGCGTTCGAGCTGAGCCCTTGAGCGACGGCGTTGTTCCAGATCTGCATGACCGGATTGATGCCGCTGTTGGCGTACACGAGCGTGCGGCTCGAGCCGGTCGACACCTTGCCGCCGGCGAGGTCCGACAGGAACGACGCCGCTTGGTCCTTGGCGGCGGGCCACGACGAGCCCGTGCCGCTCAGCTGGTTCTGGATGACCGAGCCGCCGTACGCGTCTGTGTGTCAAAGCGTCAGGACCACGCTTCACAGAGGCTCGCGAGGGAGAGAGAACGAGGACGCACAGCCGAGGAGCTTGACGCCCGACGACGACTGCTTGAGGCCGGCCTCGGCCAGGTACTCGACGGCGACCTTGCCTGTACGAGGGAGGGAGGAGGAGAGTGAGCTTGTACTCGCGGAACGGGGTCGTCGCTCGGCTCGAGCGGAGGGAGGGCGAGAGCGCGAGAGAGGAGAGCGCACCGTTGGCGTAACGACCTCCCCACTGCTCGTAGGGCCAGTACTCGCGCAGCGAGCCGGCGTACTGCGGCTCGCGCCAGTGAGCGTTGTCTGCGAGGGAGGGAGGGCGCGGCGAGGTGAGCGGTTTCGCTCGACGGCGGTCGCGAGCTCGAGCGAAGGAGATAAGGGACGCACCGGTGTAGCTCGCGCCCAGGGCGACGAGTGCGGAGTACGTGTTGGAGCTTGTGCGCTTGCTGTTCGGGATCGAGGCCCGCTCGCCGAGGTCGCGTTCATCGAGAGCCCGCTCCTCCAGGGAGGGACTGTCGGTGAGGGGCACGCTCCGGCGCACGCGCTTCTGGAAGCCCTGGTCGCGCCGGGCGAGCGCAGGTGCTTCGAGTGCGGCCTCGGGAGCTGCGAGGGCTGGTGCGGCGGCCGAGGCGAGTGCGAGGACGAGGGTGACGAGCGAGAGGTGCATCGTTGAGCGAGAGGTCTAGTGTGACGAAAGAGGCGAGGGGAGGAGGGGGAACGCGTCGAGCGTGTGAAGGTGGTCGAGGGAGAAGCGAAGGAAGGGGGGAGTGTGCACAGCACAAGGATGGAGCCGGTCCGTGGGGAGAGGGAGAGAGGAAGAAGCACCGGAGATGCCGGCGAACACGGGCGCGCGAGGGCCTGAGTGCGGCGCGCTCGCCGCGTGGCCGGCCTGGCGTTCGAGAACTCAATTCTCCTCACTCTCCCTCGCTTGGCGCGCTCTCGAAGGCGCGTCCCGCCCTCTCATTTCCCACCCCTCGCGTCGTAGAAGAGTGCCGTTGCGGGGCGAGCAGAAATGAAAGGCACGGCGCTCCGAGTACTTCGCGGGCGAGGACCTGGTCGTCGCGTGCTGTCTCCTGCACGAGCGTCCTCGACAGAGTCGCCGCCGCGCGGAACGTGGGCCTGCGGCGGAGCGAGGTTCGTGCGACGAGGAAGAGGTCCGGGCGCGCCGCAGGCCGACTTTTGTACATATTGGCGGGCCTGCTAAGTCGAGGTTGACTTTGCTAATCTCCGTCAGCTCTTGACATTTCATTACAAGCCGCGCTTGACTTTACTATCAAGCCAGCCGGCGGCCTCGGACGATCTGCTCGCTCGCCATCGCGTATCGCAACATGCTGGCCGCCTTGCTCGTACGAGGTAACGAGGAGCTCTCTCGCTAACACCGCAACCGCTTCAGCTCGAGCTCTGCGAGAGAGTTCCGAGTGCGCGGCTCGCCGCCGTGACCTTCCCAAACGAGTTCGCCTCGTCGTGGCTCTTCGACCGGCCGACGTGTTCAGCTGCTGGCCAGGCAGCGGTGAACGCTCGAAAGCCTGGCGGGCGCATCGCATGTCGAGGGAGCACGCGAGCCGTCGGCAGCCTGTGAGCCGGACTCTGTGAGGAGCCACGCGGCGGTCCGCAGCGAGGATCCGCATCCCGCAGCGTGTTGATCACACAGCGATCCTTGCGGTTTGCAATTCGGCTCCTGGCGCGAGGCCACGCTCGCAAAGCACAAGGGGAAGCTCAACGCAGGACGAGGCTCGTGCGCGCGGCGAGGCGCACGAGAGCCGAACGGACGAGCGAGCTTGGAGTGCGCCTGCACGCACGAGCGATGACGACGAGAGGAGCCAGTCGGGGGGAACAAGGACCGGAGGAGAGCAGCCCGGCCGGCGCAAGCGGACGAGGCGATGCACTCGAATGCATCTTTTGGTCGAGATCCGAACGCGATGTGTCTCACACAAAGAAGCGGGCGGAGTCGAAAGCGCGGTGGAGCTTTGTGGGAGTTGCGGCAACCGGGGCAGGGAGAGGCTCGTCTGCTTCCTGCACACCCACCACCGTCGCAAGAGCTATGGCGCAAGCAGCCGTGGCCCTGAGCCCGCACCTCCGTGAGTCTCTCTCTCCAGCACCGCCTCTCGCACTTGTGGGGGAGGGCAGCGAGGTTTCGATCGAGTTCCCTCTCTTCTCCTCCTCCCACCGTCCGCCTCGAGCCAGCCAGAGGCGCTGATGCTTCGCCGTGCCGCAGACGACAGCTCGCTCGCGGCCGCGTTCGGCGGTCGACTCTCGCCGTCGCCGTGGAGCCGGTTCCTGTCGCCGTCGCTCTTCAGCCAGCGGTCGTCGACCCCGAGCCAGACCCTCGCTCCCCCTCTCGCCGCCGCCGCACCACCCCTTGCCGCCGCCGGTTCGCCGCTCAAGGAGTCGACGACGGTCCACCAGCCGCACCAGCCGGGCCAGTTCACGCACGCCCGCGAGATCAACCCGTTCGAGCGCAGCTTCGCCGTCCTCGATGGCACTGCCGCGATCCCCCTCCCGCGTGGGGCCGACGGCGGACCCGCGCCGTTCGGCGGCGCAGCAGGCCTGCACCTCGGCGGCCGCCTCAAGCGCAAGCGTGCCCTGTCGAGCCCGGCCCTGTTCACGCCCGGCGGCTCGCCCCACCAGCCCGACTACCTCGCGCACGAGGCGGCCGACGAGGACGACGACATGCGCGCCTTCCTCCAGGCCAAGCGGCCCGGGCTCCGCTTTGCGCCCAACAACGACAGCGGCGTCGGCTTTGTCGAGGCGGGCCCGGCCGTTGACATGGTGCCGTCCGGCTCGGCGTACTCGCTCCGGTCGCGCGGCTCGTCGTCGGGCCACAACTCGTTCGACTCGACGACGGGCACGTCGCTCCTCGGTCGCCGTCGCGCTCAAAGCGCGTCCGACTCGCCCGATACGTCGGTCGCGCCGTCGCCGCCCTCGCCCAAACTCGGCGTCGGCGCCGACACCCACCAGTTCGGCGGCCAGGTCCCGCCGTCGACTTTCACCCACTTCCAGCCGCAACCGCTCGCCTTCTCGATGCCGCCCTCGACGACCGTCGCCATGCCGTACGGCGACCCGAACGTCCTCGCCCTCTCGACGCTCGGCCCGGCGTCGATCGCGCCGCACGCCGTCGCTCCCCTTCCCTTCACCGCCGAGCCCCAGCCGTTCGAGCCCGTCGCCATGCCGCTCGACCCGATGACGTCGTTCGTCGCCGCCTACCCGACGGCGCCGCAGCCGTTCGCGTCGGGCCCGCCCAACCCGACCTCGCTCGCCGCGCCTCTCCCTCACCCCCTCGGCATGCCCGCCGCCGTCCCGCACCCGGTCCCTGCGCCCGCCACGCACACCGGTCCCTCCCCTGTCCCTATCCCGCATTCGCGCCTGCCGCCCATGCCCGCCTCGGCTCGCGCGCCCACCGCCGCGCCCGTCGCCGGCACGTCGGCCTTCCTCCCGCCCTACGCCGCCCCGCCTGCGCCTGCGCCCGCCGCCAGCACGGCCAAGGCGAGCAAGAAGGCGTCACCCGTCGCTGGGCCGAGCCGGCAGCTCGGTCCGGCGCCCCTGTTCGACGAGGCGGACGACGACGACGACGACGACGACGACGCGGCGCCGGCGGCGCCGACTCGGCCGGCGGGCAAGAAGCGCGGGCGCAAGCCCAAGAACTGGGACCCGACGCTCGAGACGACGGTCGAGCTCGACCCGGAGGAGCAGGAGAAGCAGCGCAAGCTCGCGCTCGAGCGCAACCGCGTCGCGGCGAGCAAGAGCCGCAGGAGGAAGAAGGAGCGCGTCGAGCTTCTCGAGACGGGTGCGTCCCTCTCTTTCTCTCCTCTCTGTCTCTCGCACGAGGCCAGTTCCTGACCCTCTCTCTCTCGTTCGCCGACAGCCTCGACCGACCTGTGCTCGCGCAACCTCGCCCTCCAGGCCGAGTGCCGCAACCTGTTCACCGAGGTCCACGCGCTGCGGACCATGCTCGCGCAGGCGCACCCAGAGCACTCGTGCCAGTGCCCGCACATCGTCGGGTACGTCGTGCGCGAGCGCGACGGCGGCGGGATCCCGGCCATCCTGTACGGCGCGAGCGGCACGACCGAGCGCGACTACACGCGCGTGCCCAAGTGGGGCACCGAGGACGACGTCTTTGCCGGCACGGTCGAGGCGCAGGCGCTCGACGTCATTGCCGGCGGCGGCACGTCGCTCGTCAACATGGTCGGCGGGCGCGGCGGCGCCGAGTACCCGAGGGCGACGTCGTCGATCCGCAGCGACACGCCCGGCCTGAGCATGCACTACCAGCACCCGCACCCGCACCCGCACCAGCACCAGCACGTCCAGCCCATCCCGATGGTCGCGCCCGTCGCCGCGCCGCATCACGCCGCCGGCGCCAGCGTCGGCCACGTGCGCCAGCCGCTCCCGCTCAAGGCGCCGTCGGCCTCGGCCTCGACGGGCAGGTCGCCGTCGAAGAAGTCGCGAGCCTCGGCTGCGGCCGCCATGGTCGGCGGCGAGGGCGAGTCGGACGAGTCCGAGGAGGAGACGGTCACGCTCAAGAGCCGGCGCGCGAGGGCCATCTCGACCCGCAACAAGTAGCCGCCGCCCCTCACCCTATCTCGTCGTCGTTTCCCTCCTCGTCGCCCCAGTCGTCGCCCGAGGCGCACCCTCGTCGTCGGCCTCGCGCCGGCACACGCCTCGAGCGTCCTCCTCGGCCCCGACACCTCGATTCCCCCACCCCTTTCGATTCCCTCTACGATCTCGCTCGTACTTTTGTGCCCCTCTACCTCTCGAGCGCATCCGTGCGCATGTACCCGTACCCCTACTTGCCGATAATCGCTTCGAGCCTCCCTCTGTGCCGTTCATACTCCTCCCTCTCTCTCTCTCTCTCTCTCTCTCTCTTCGCCTCTCCATTACCTTCTTTGTGCCCTTCGTTGCCACTACCACTCGCTCCTCCCGCTCTCAACTCCTCCCTCGCCTCCCTCTTCGTCTTTCACCTCTTTGTCGAGAACCTCTCCCTCTCTCTCTCGCCTCGTCTTTCGTAGCTTGCCCCGCGCACGAGCCCATACACGCAAACAGGCCGTCGTTACTCTCACTCGCGCGCTCTCGAGAGAGAGGCACCTTAGAGAGCGTCGAGAGAGTCGAGGAAGCGAGGGCGAGCTGAGAGCGCTCGGTCCTCCTCGAGCAGGGCTCGCTCGTCATCTCGCTCTGTCGCTCTCGCTCTCGCTCTCGGTTCTGCATGACGGTCACAGTCTCTTTCTTTGCACACGCGCCCTCGTCTACAGTCGTCCCCGCAAGAGTCACTTGGCGGCCTTGAGCACCTCGGCGTGGAACTTGATGTGGGCTGTTCGGGGCGAGCGTCGGTTCGCGTTCCTCGAGGGTCCGCGAGGAAGGAAGAGAGAGAGAGGGAGAGAGAAAGGGAGGACGCACCGGGCGCAAAAGTCGAGATGAAGTAGTACGAGTGGTCGTAGCGCTCGTGGAGGTTGACGGCGAGCTGCGAGGCCGAAAAGCCGGCGGCGTCGCGCGCGGCGATGAGGTTCTCGGGGAGGACTGCGAGGCGGTTGCGAGCGCGGGTGCGACGAGTCGAGGGAGGAAGGGGAGGGAGCGGCGGCGAGGGAGGGAGAGAGTCAGGGCCGGGCGCTCGAGAGGGAAGAGGAAGAAAAGTAGATGCGACGCACGCTGCTTCTGCTGGTAGAACTGGTCGCCGGTCCCGACGTCGACGAGCACCTTGAGGTCGACGCCGTCCTTGCCCTTGAGTTGCCCGACGAGCTCGGTCGCGTCGTACTGCTTGCCCTCGTCGAGGCCGCCGGCGAGGTAGCCCTTGAACGCCTTGTCGCCCCACGGGCACTGGGTCGGGTTGGCGATGGGCGCAAACGCCGAGGCCGACAGGTACTTGGTCGAGGGGGACGTCGACAGGAGCGACTTGAGGTACACTGAGGAGATGCGCAAAGTGAGAGGGGGGGGTCCGAGAGCGGGGCGAGGGTCGGGGTGGGAAGAACGAGAGCGCGAGACGCACAGGTGAGGGCACCGTGGCCGCCCATCGAGTGACCAAAAATGGACGAGCGCGACAGGTCGAGCGGGAGGGACGCGGCCGCGAGGAGCGACGGCAGCTCCGAGGTGATGAACTCGTACCTGCGACGGGCGTGGGCGAGCATCAGTATCCTGCTCTCGGTCGCCCCAGGTGCTTCGTCTCGTCGTGTAGTCCGAGTCGCGACGTGCGTGTACGTGGCGCCGTCGTCGTCGAGCGAGGTTGGCGGCGAGAGGCTCGTGCGCGACGACATGGGCTCGGCCCAGGCGAGAGGGGAAGACAGGCGCGACGAACATGTTGTAGTGCTTCTTCCACGGCTCCTTGCTCGCCGTCAGGTAGAAGCCGGCGCCCGTGCCTGCGCGTGCGGGTCGAGGGCGAGTCAGTCGGGCGCCTGGCCAGGGTGCAGCGCGCGTCGAGCGTAGGCGAGCAGGGACGGACCAAAGTCCCAGTCCTTGTCCTCGCCATCGATGTCGGCACCGCGAGGCGACGTGTCGGGGAAGACGAGGGCGATGCCTGTGCGCAGGAGGACGGGGTCAGCTCAAGGAGGAAGAGGGACGAGGGGAAAGAGGGGACGGACCCTCGGCGGCGGCATCGCGCAGGAAGCCGCCCTTCCACGGACTGCGAGAGATTAAGGGTGTGAGTGTGAGGCGTTCAGGGCGGGAGAGGGGCAGTGAGAGAGCGAGGGACGCACGCCGTGTCCTCGTTGCAGGTGAGGCCGGCGAGGTAGTACAGGACGCTGCGGCGCGGGGTAAAGGAGTCAGGGCGGGTCGCGGATGGAGTATCGGGTGTGTGCGGTGCTCGTAGGCGTGCGTGGAAGTCGGCAGGTGCGGTGGTCGACGAGGGAGAGTTTAGCCGCGTGGACGCCCCACATGACGTGAGGAGGGGTGGTCGGCCGGCGGGTGGACGAGGGTCGTGGTTGCGCGGGTTCGGGGGAGAAGGAGCTCACGGGACCTTGTCGCCGTCGAGGGCCTGCCTCGGGAGGAAGACGTTGAAGGTGGTCTTGAGTCCGCCGAGCGAGTTGGCGGGTGCCGACAACTTGACGAGCTCGCCGTCGAACGAGGCGTTGGTCGACAGCTTTTCCGGGGCAGTAGTGGACGACATGGTGGGCACTGGTAGCTGGACAGGCGAGAGGAGCACAGCGAGTGGAGTGAGAGAGAGAGAGGAGACGGAGCCGCGCCGAGTCGCTCATCTCGCCCACCCTCTCACGCTGCTCGAGCGAGTGCAGCCATGGCCTCAGACTGGGCACAGCTCAAGCACAAACGCCTCAGCAAAGCCCCACTCGCATCCACCTCGTCCTCGTCGACCCCTCCTCCTCCAACCTCATCAGCTCGACCCGATCCTCCAACCGCACCAGGTCCGTCCCCCACCTCACCACACCCGGCACACTCGAGAGCTCACTCTGCCCATCCTGCAGCCGCCACCACCCCTCCCGTCGCCTTCTCGCACCCGCATCTCCCCTCGTCGCTCGAGGTCCGCATCCTCCCCGGCCGCGGTCGCGGCATCGTCGCCAATGCCGCCTTCCAGCCCGGCCACACCCTCGTCACCACCGCTCCCCTCGTCTCGGCCCTCGACAACCTCCACTACTCGTCGCGCTGCAGCTCGTGTTACCGCGCCGCCGACGACCTCGACTCGGCCCTCCCGCCCGCACGCCGCAAGCTCCTCCAGTGCTCCCTGTGCCACGCCGTCCAGTACTGCACCGCACAGTGCCAGAAGCGTGACTGGCCCGTCCATAAACACGAGTGTGCCGCCCTCCGCAACGCCGCAAACGCGACCGCCGGCAACAAGCCCGTGCCCGACACGCCCGTGCGCGCCCTCGGCAGGCTGTTGTGGACGAGCGAGGTCAAGGGCAACGACCTGGTGCGTCCACCTTTTCTCTCGTGTCGCCCCTCTCTCGCGCGCGGCCGGCTCTCTGACGTGGCCCGACCTCTTCCCGACGCAGTGGACCCAGGTCGAGTCGCTCGAGTCGCGTGCGTCCCTCTGCTCCCTTGCCTTTCTACGAGTACCTCACCTGACCTCCTCGCTTCTGCTCGACGCAGACCGCACGCGCCTCTCGCCCGAGGAGCAAGAGCGCTTCTTCCACCTCTCGATCGCGCTCGCCCAGTACGTCGGCCAAGAGACGCTCAAGCGGGCTTGCCCCGACGCCGCCGCCGTCCTCGACCTGTGCTCTCGAGTGCGTCGCCTCGTCGCGCCCATCCACCCCTCCCTCGACTCGTCGCACTGACCTCGCGCCCTCCCTTTACGTCCGCAGTTTGCCGCCAACTCGTTCGCCCTCACGGCGCCGACCGACCTGTCGAACCTCGGCGTGTCCATCTCGCCCCTCACCGCCCTCTTCAACCACTCGTGCGCGCCCAACGCCGTCGTCGTCTTCCCCTCCTTTCCCTCGTCGCCAACCTCCTCGCGCCACATGCACGTCGTCGCCCTGCACCCGATCCAGCCCGGCGACGAGGTCGTCACGAGCTACGTCGACCTCGCGCTCCCACGCGACGTGCGGCAGAAGGAGCTGCGCGAGCGGTACAAGTTCGAGTGCGGGTGCGAGGCGTGCGAGGGAGGAGGCGAGGGGCAAGCGGTCGACCCGAGGGAGGCGCTCGCGTGCTCGAGGGCCAAGGAGGGGTGCGAGGGGCTCATTCGGCTTCCAGGTGCGTCGACGGCTCTCTGAATGGGCAGGGACGGGTCGTCGTCGGTGCGCGAGCCGTCCTGCTGCGCTCGCAGGTCGCCCGTACTGACTCGCTCTCTCTCTCGCAGACCGCGACTCGACCGTGACCTCGGTCACCTGCCCGACCTGTCGAACGACGAGCTCGTACAAGAGCGTGCATGCCGCACTCGACGCCGCAAAGCTGGCCTTTGCCGACGCCGACAAGGCGCAGTACAAGGGTGCGTCTCCCGGTCCTCCCCCTCGACTCGTCCCTGCTCGGCGGGCCGCAGCCTGACCTCTCTCTCTCGAACGAACAGAGCCACATGTCGCCGCCCTGCACCTCCAGCACCTCCTCACCTCGCTCACCGCTCCTCTCGACTCGACGCCCGCTTTCGCCCCCTCGGCCTACCCCGTCCTCCCCGCCCTTCAGCTCCTCCTCACCCTCCAGCTCCACGCCTCGTCCTTCCCCGCCGCCCTGTCGACCGCCCGCCTCGCGCTCAAGGGCACCCAGCACCTGTACGCCCGGGGCCACCCGGTGCGCGCCCTCGTGCGCACGACCCTCGTCCGCCTCGAGACGATGCCGCCGCCGCAGGACGCGGCGCACCCGGACGCCGAGACGCGCTACTGGAGCGACGTGCGGGCGCGCGAGGGCGCGCTCGAGGCGCTCGTCGGCGCGCTGAGGGAGGTCGAGGTCGCGTTTGGGGACGGCGGGACCGGCGCGGTCAAGGGCGGCGAGATGGCCAAGATGCTGCGGGACCTCATCAGCGACCAGGAGCAGGGGATCGTCGTCGGGAGGAGGATACGTGCGGCGGCAGTCGAGGAGCAGCGGCGGGTGCGGACGCTCCAGAGGTGAGGAGGAGAATGGGTCGGAGGGGGCTCGAGCGCGGTCGACTCGGCCGGCGGCGCAAGCACCTCGTTTCTCGATCGACGCCTCTCCGATTCAGCTGCGGACGCACGTCGTCGTTCGGCTTGTCGGCGTGCTTGAGCCGCATGACGCGCTCAAGGCGGGCGCAGCGCCCTCGCCGAGCGCTCCTCTCTGCTTGTTCCTCCCTCTCTCGCTCTCTTCTCTCGCTTCTCGCTTCTCGCTGTTCGTCCCTCTCGACTCGTCGACACCGTCAAGATGCGCCTCACCGCCCACCGCTCCTCGACCTCGCTCGTCGCCTCTCTCGCCCTCGTGCTCGTCCCGCTCGTCGCGGCCGACGACGACAGCGGGTGCACGATGAGCGCCGGCAGCGACCTCATGAACTGCCTCGGGACGTGGGCTTCGATGCCGCCCGTGCTGTCGGCGACGGGCCTCGCCGTGGGTCCGAGCGCCGAGGACTTGTGCCGCCAATAGTGCGTCGCGCTCCCCCTCTTTCTCTCTCGAGTCGAGCGTCGCTCCGAGTGTAATTCCTGACCTCGTCGTGTGCGCGCAGCTCGCAGATGGCTGACTGTTGGGCCGCCGGGACGTACTGCGCCGAGTGGCTCCCCGTCCGCACAGCCGGTACGTCCTCTCCCTCGAGCTCCTCTTGCGGCGGACCTACCTGACTTTCCCTTCTCCCTCTCGTGCGCCCACAGCCGACAAGTTCTGCGCGCTCGCCCAGGCCGACAACATCGGGTCGTCGGCGTCGCTCGTCCCGAGTTCGGCGCTCTCGTCCGTCGAAGCCGAGGCGTCGCGCGTCGTCACCTCGATCTGGTACGTCCTCTTTACTCCCCCTTTCTCTCTCTCTCTCTCTCTCTCTCTCTCTCTCTCTCTCTCTCTCTCTCTCTCTCTCTCTCTCCTCGCGCACCCGCCTGACTCGTTCCCTCTCGGGCCTCGCAGGAACAACGACTCGGGCTCGTCGGTCCCCTCGATCACGAACGACCTCGAGACGCGCTCGCGCCCGACGGCGACGCACGCCGAGACGGCGCCGGCCCAGACGGGCACGGCGGCGACTGTGGCACCGTCGGCGTCGGCGTCGGGGAGCGTAGGCGCGGAAGGAGACAGCGGGAGCGTCGCGGCGAACTTGGGAAGGTCGATGGCGGCGGTCGTGCTCGTTGGGGCTGCCGGCGCAGGCATGTTGGCGATGCAGAGCCGAGAGGGATTAGCTGTGTCCAGGGAGTGCCGGCTCTCGACACCGGTTTCTCGCACGCATCGCTTCGCCTTGACGAACTCTCGCGCTCTCGTCCGCAAGCACGCATAGAAGAGAGGAATCTGTACATTATAGACACTGCCGACTAGAGAAGGAAGCTCGTCCACCGCCTCAGTTGCCCTTGCCCATGAGCGCGTTAAGGAGAGACTGGACCATGTTGCCGATGCCGGCCGCGTTACCCGAGCCGTTGCTCGAGCCCGCACCCGCCGCCGCACCTGCACCTGCACCTGCACCTGCGCCGGCACCGTTGGCGTTGCCCGAGCCGCTGCCGTCTGACGTAGGGGAAGACGAGAGAAGGAGGAAGTCAGTGACGGGCTCGTGCGAGCGCGAGGAGGAGAGAGCGACGCACTGCCTGCCGAGTTGCCCGAGCCCGCGCCGTCTGTGACAAAGAGGTAGAGCGTGAGTTACTGTGTGCGACAGGAGACTGACGAAGCAAGAGGAGGAGAAAAGGCGAGGTGAGAGAAAAGAGTCGCTCACTGCCAGCCGAGTTGCCCTCGTTGCCGTTGACCGTGCCGGCGTCGTTGCCCGACCCAGCACCGTCAGCCGAGTTGCCGTTGCCGACGCTGTTGCCCGAGCCGATCGACGGCGAGAGGAGACTGTGAGGGAGGAGAGGAGGTCAGGGTCGTGCAGCTCGAGAGGGCGAAAGCGAGGGACGCACCCGCCGAGGATGTTGTTGTCCGAGTTGCCCGAGCCGATGTTGTTGACCGACGAGCCGGCGGGCTGAGGGCAGGGGGCGGCAACGGCGAGCGAGGCGAGGGCGGCGAGGGCGAGGAACGAGGTGCGCATGTTGGTCGAGGGTCCGAGTGCGAGGAAGGGAGAGGAGCAAAGACGAGAAGGGGCGGGTGCGGGCTGGAGAAAGGATGGGGAGCAGGCGGTGGAGAGAGAAGGAAGGAAGCAAGAGACGAGCTGGATTCCGAGGAGCGGTGAGAGCTCGACGAGCGCTCCAGCCGGCGCGACCGGGCTCGTCACTCGAGCTGACCGAGGCGGATGGTCACCGTGGGAGCGCACGCCGAGCTGTGCTGCCCCTGGATGGCGAGCACGAGGGGTAGGGGCAGCGTCACAGCTTGTCGGGCGACTCGGAGGAGCAGGCGCAGGGGCCGCTCTAGCGCGCGAGGGCACGCATTCAAGCCCCGCAGACGAGCAGCTGCACTTCGGTGACCGTGTGGATCGAGCAGCTGAGCGACACGGTCGAGTGGGGGGAGAGGACGAGCAAGGGCGAGCTCGCTCAGAGCTGATGAAGTCGCTCGAACGGTTCGGCCTCGCACCACACAGCCGCCGGCTCTGCTTCCCGGCGCTAAGTGGTTCAATCGACTAGCTTGATGAAAGCTCGCCGAGCTCCACCCTTTCGACGCCGCCCCTCTCGTCCGACCCACCCGCCCTCGTCAACATTCGCTCCCGCTCGCCCTCCGACGTCCTGCCCGCCCTCGCTGCCTGCCCCGGGTCCGCCAGGCGGTGCTGCCTGCGATCTGAGCCGCATCAAGCGATGTGCGCGGCGATCCCGGCCTGAAACCGCTCCGCTTCATCGAGCGCGGCGCGGGTGGAGTTGGGGGCCGAGGAGCGCACTGCTCGCTCGAGGGGCACAGCTCTCCCGCTCATCTCGCTCAGCTCCAGACGAGTCGCACCCGCACCCAGCACCCGGCCCCCCCTCCTCCTCATAGACCATGCGCGGCTTCGTCTCCTTCCTCGCCAGCCTCGCGCTCTTCCACCTCGCCGTCGCCGCGCCGGTGTCGCCTCAAGCTCTCGAGACTCGTGCCTCACTGTGCCGCAACGTCGCTCGCAACGCCGGCCGGTTCAGCCTGCCGTGCGCGACGTACGCCAACTCGCTCACGTGCCCGGCCGGCATCAACGGCAAGAAGGGCGGCGTCGTCCTCCTCGTTCACGGCACAGGTGCGTCTCTCTTCCTCCCACAGTCTTGAGCTTTCGTGAGACGAGCACGAGCTGATCGTCGCGGTCCTTCCTTCGCAGGCTCGACGGGCGAGGAAACCTGGGCGAACGGGCCCTACATCAAGCTCCTCCCGTCGGCCGGCCCCGAGTTCGACGTGTGCTGGGTCACGCTCCCGGATCGGTCGCTCGGCGACATCCAGGTCTCGTCCGAGTACATCGCGTACCTCGTCGAGTACCTCGCGTCGCGCTCGGCGACCAAAAAGGTCGGCCTCGTCACGCACTCGCAGGGCGGCCTCAACGTCCAGTGGGCGCTCAACTTTTGGCCCTCGCACCGCTCGCTCGTGTCGAGCTTTGTCGCGCTCGCCCCGCCGTTCAAGGGCACGATCGAGGGCCCGCCGGCGTGCCTCGTCACGAGCCTTCTCGGCGGCTGCAACCCGTCGGTCATCCAGCAGAGCGTCGCCAGCAGCTTCCTCGACGCGCTCAACGTCCAGGGCGACGTTGCGCTCGTCCCGACGACGAGTATCTACACCGCCTACGACGACGTGTGCGTCCCCTTTCCTCGTCTACCTGCGTCTCCTGTCCGTACCTGACCTCCTTTTCCCCGGCAGCATCCAGCCCGAGCTTCTCGCACCGACGAGCCGGCTCGTCAACGCCAAGGTCGTGCGCATTCAGGACACCTGCGGCCCAGCCTACGTCGTGTGCGTCGCTGTCCGTCCTCCACCTCGGCCCGACTCGACGAGACTTACGAGGCCTCTCTTTCCCGCAGCGAGCACTTTATCATTCCTTTCGCGTCCTACCCGTACCACCTCGCCCTCGACGCGCTCACCAACAAGGGCGTCGCCGATACGTCGCGCGTGCCCAAATCGACCTGCGCCTGGCTCGTCAACGACGTCCTCCTCGACAACTTCAACCGCGCGCCGTCGATCCTCAGCGAGGTCGTGCACGACGCTCTCGCCGTACTCCTCGGCACCAAGGCCCGCAAAGAGCCGCTGCTGCAGTCGTACGTGTGCAAGCGCGGCGACGTCAAGTCGGGCTGCGCATCCTGAGCCGCTCGTCCTCTCTCTCCCCCTCTTTCGCCCCTTTCCTCGTCCATAGTTTCCTCATAGCTTGTATTACATTACATGATGACATAGCGACTGTGTCCCGCAGCGAGATACAGAGCAAAGCCCGTCGAGCACGTCGACGAGGAAAGCGCTCGGGCCTCTCGGCGCGCGACAGCGCGAGAAGGCGCTCGCACGTCACTTCTCTGCAATCCACGCTCTCTCTCTAGCAGTCTTTCGATATCTCGACGCAACTCGACACTGGCCAGGGCAGAGAGCGAACGACGACAGAATTACAAAAACCCAGACGCTCAGGAAGCCTCGCAGCCGCCCGTCTCGCTCGCACCTTTCGCCGAGGCTGTCCGTGACGGGATGGGCAGGCTTTTGAGCAGGCTTGGCGCGTTGGCGAGGTCTCGAAGGATCGACGGGTCGAGGGTGATGTCGACGCCGTCGAGCAGACCTTGCCCCTCGAGAGCGATAGCTCGAGCGGTCGTCGTTGGCGCCGGCGTGGCGCTCGCCCGCGTGCGCGTAGTCGTCTGAAAGATGCCTGACAAGATGGACGGGTTGATCGAGAGCGCGATGCCGTCGAGGAGGCCGTTGCCCTTGTAGTCGACGCCGACCGGCTCGTTCTCGCTCACGATGTTCAGGGTCGAGTTGGCGTCGGTGAGCGTCTCGCAGACCTCGTCGACGAGCTGTTCCGGGTGTGCGAGGCGATGAGCAGGCGAACGCGAGGCAGGAAGTTCAGAGGGACGCACATTTCGGCGCCGCAGTTCCTGCACGAGGACGCCATGTAGGTCGTCGGCAGCTGCTTCAGCCGTTGCCCACGCGTCGACGAAAGCGCCGAGGTCCGAGTTGGACAAGAGGTGCTCGCACTCTGCGCGAGAAGGCTGTCGAGGCGAGGTCAGCAGTGCGGCGGGAGGAGAAGGGAGAGGTTCGAGGGACGCACCTCGTCGAGGACGTGCCCGTCTAGCTGGACGAGGGAGCAGACGCTCGAGATGCTCGAGGCCGTGGGCAGGGGAGCTGCGAGTGCGGGCGCGAGCAGGAAGAGGGCGGCGCCGCAAGCCGCGGCGAGCAGCTCGAGGACGACCGAGCGTCGTGGCATCGTCAAGGGCGGTGTCAAGGCGGCGTGTGCAGGAGCAGCTAAGCAGCAGCTGAGCAGGCAGCGTGCATGCACACGAGAGCGCGCCCTGCAGCGAGCTGGCGACACAGAGCTCGTCATCAGTTGCCTCGGCTTTTTGCCGGGCTCGCGGCTCGAGAACTCGCGCCCGGCAGCTGTCGGCCGAGGCGCCGTGGCCCTTGAGAGTACAATGAAGCGGCTAGTGGTGCGACATCGTTTCATCGAGCTGCGAACCCGGGTGAATGGACGAGGCCGAGCAAGTCTTTCGTCTCCCCGCTCTTCCTCCCCTTCGTCGCAACTTGCCCTCCACTCGACGCTCGCTTCTACTCGCCCACGACTGGCAAGCTGCTCGGCCCGCTGCCGCCCGCCGCTCCATTCACCGCAGCCGACGTCGCCTCGTCCTCGGACTCGCTCGCTCGCCCTTGGCCAATGCGCGCCCCTCCTTTGCGAGCTCGTCAGCGCCGCTGGCTGCATCGTCGCATTCCTCGCGGTGCGGCTGCAAGTCGCGAGGATCGCCGCTAGCCTGTAGCGAGGCGACACCGGGCTGCACCCGGGGCCGCTCCCACTCTGGAGCCGGCCAAGCCTGCTCGAGGGCAGACGCTCAGCTCGGTCGCCCTCTCTTTCGCTCGCTGCAGAGGCTGCTTGTGCTTCCTCTTCCTTTTCTCTCTCTCCCTTACCCCATCCTCCATCACTGCCAGTCAGGATGAAAGCTGCCGCGTGCGCCGTCCTCCTCCTCGCCCAAGTTCTCGGGTCGTCCGCCTTCCCGTGGATGGCAGCTCCTGGCGCCGAACAAGGTGCGTCCCCGTCTCTCTCTCGAGGTGCATGTAGTGCACGTCGTCTCGTCTCGTTCGTCGCCGACCTCGACTGACCTCGCCTCTCCCTCGGACAGCCACGCACGACTACCTCAAGGAGCGCGGCCTGCTCCTCGGCAAGGACGGGCTCCTCGGTCAGCTCGGCGACACGCTCACCAACAACGTCGGCGGCATCATCACCGGCGTCGAGGGTGCGCTCGGCGACGTCGTCAACGGCCTCAGCGGCGCTCTCGCGACCGGCGTCAAGGAAAGCGACAGGCGCCCTGACGCAGCCCACCCGTACAAGGAGCCCGGCCCGACTGACCAACGCGGTCCCTGCCCCGGCCTGAACACGCTCGCCGTGCGTCCTGCGCCCTCTCGCGGCGTTCCTCGTCAACCTCGAGTTCGACACTGACATTCTCGTCCGGCCCTGCAGAACCACGGCTACCTCCCTCGCAACGGCATCGTCACGGCCGAGCAGGTCACGAAGGCGACGTCTGAGGGCTTCAACATGGCGGCCGACCTCTCGGGCGTCCTGAACCTCATCGCGGTCCGTGCACTCCTCTCTCCTCCTCCCCTCATTCCTCTACGAGGACGTCGTCTCACCTCATCTCGCTTCTCGCGTATACTGCACCCGTCATCTGTGATCGTGTACTGACTCGAGAGTGCCCTCGCAGGTCGCGTTCGGCGGCAACCTCGAGACGACGACCTTCTCAATCGGCGGCGAGGACGAGCGCACCTACTCGGCGAGCGGCATTGGGTCCAAGGCGGCTGGCCGCCAGTTCGGCCTCGACGCACACTCGCGCTGCGAGGGCGACGCGTCGGCGTTCCGCCGCGACTACTTCCTCAACGACGGCGACAACCACTCGCAGCAGCCGGACCGCTTCCGCCGGTGGATCGAGCACGCCAAGAACAACAACGGCGAGTTCAACGTCCAGTCGGCCAACCAGCTGTGGGCCGAGAACGCCAAGGAGTCGCTCGCCAACAACGACCGCCTGTACTTCCAGGTGCGCCGCTACCTCCTCCTCCTTTTCCTTTCTCCTCGAGCAGGCGTCCCACTGACCCTCGTCCGACACAGGCCTACACCATCGTCGTCGTCCTCGGCGAGTACCCGTTCCTGTCCAACTTCTTCTCGAACGGCACGTACGGCGCCGGCGGCGTGTCGAACCTCGAGTCGATGGCGCCGCTCCTCGGGTTCAAGGTCAACGACGACGGCTCGATCTGCTCTCAGCCCGAGCGCTTCCCGGACAACTGGTACCGCCGCTCGACGCCGTACGGCGTCCTGAACGGCCTCGTGCCCGGCCTCGTCGGCACGTACGCCCAGTACCCGCTCCTCCCGAACCCGCTCTCGGCGGTCCTCGAGGGCGGCGAGGTCAACCAAATTGGGTGCGTCCGGCTCGTTCTCTCTCTCTGTCTCTCTCTCGCGCACTCTCACTCTGTCGAAACGAGGCACTGACCGCTCCTCTCCTCGCCGCACAGCTGCGCCCTCTACCAGGGCATCACGAGCGGTATCCCGGCGTCGCTCCTCCTGTCGACGACCGACGCCGTCTCGTCGGCGCTCACCAACCTCCAGAACAAGCTCATCCCCGGTCTGCCCAACCTGTTCGGGTGCGACATCAGCCAGAACGACCTGCAGCAAAACTCGACGCAGACGTACGACGACTCGATGCAGGAGCGCAGCACGGGCGGCGGGCAGGTGTGTACACGTGCGGCGGTTGAGCTGGGTTCGCCCCCGAGCGTCGAGAGCTGCACGCTCGAGACGTCGTGAGCGAGTTGCGCGATCGTCTACATGGACGCCGGCTCTTCTCGCCCCCCCTTTCCCTCTCCCTCTCCTTCTCCTCCTCGCCGTTCTCTCCCCCTCCTCTCTACCTCGTACAAAGTCCTCATGTCGATCTATGAAATGTCGAATCTCGCAAGTCGAAGCCACATGCGCACAAGTCTAACCGTGAGTTGCTGGACGAGAGCCGGCAACTTGAGAAGGTCAACCTGCTCGCCCTCTCATGCGCTGAAGCGAGCTCGTGCTCGAGAGTCATCGAGTGAGAGGCACACACAGAGCGGCTCGGGCATCCTGCGTCCGATGTGAGGGCACGTGGCGAGCAGGCGAGCGAGCGGGGAGCGGCGCGCGTGCGCGCGCGCACGAGCCTCTCTGGCCTCGCGGCGCCCGGGGTCGAGGCGTAGCTCACGCTTTCGCTCTCGTCGTGTTCCTCGAGGCACGTGCAGCTCGCTGCAAGTCGAGCCTGAGCGGCGGCCGTCGCGCACACCCCGCAGCTGCGTCAGCTGCGCGCTGGCATGGTCGCTTTTTTTCCTTTCTCGCGGCGCTCGCTCGCCCTCGGCGCACTGCCTACATGCTCGCACGGCGCATCGCGACCAGCTCGCTCGGACGAGGGCCCGCACGGGGCAGAGCGGACCGAAAGCGGCCAAGCTCGAGACGAGCGGCCAGCCCTGGCTCGACTTGTTTGCGCTCAGGCCTTCTCTCTGCCGCACAGCTTGCAGCATCTCTCTCTCTCTCTCTCTCTCCCGCGTCGCCTTGTCGATCGTCAACAGCTGTCCTTCTCTCCCACTCTCGGCGAAGCTCAAAAGGCGCTCTCGCTCGCGAACCGCACGCCGACCGAGCGCGCGACAGAGCAAGAACGACATCGAGTGTTGACAGGGCGAGGGTGACGCTTCGTCGAGTGCTGAGACCGGGCAGGAGCGGGCACACGAGGGAGGAGAGTCTACATATGGGGATGCGGGTGAGGGAAGGAGGAGGGGAAATTAGGCGAGAGGGGAAGGGGGGAGTACAGGTGCGAGGGGGACAACGAGACACCGTGATCGGCGCCGGGCGTCCGACGAGGGACACGAAGGAGCATGTTCGCTCGACCGACCGACGGACCGGGCGCACGTGTGGAGCGGTGGGCGCCTCACGCGAGGTCGGACGAGCCAGAGAGGTAGTAGCGCCACCGCTCGAGGACGTGGGCGAGGTGGGGCGGGAAGTAGGCGAGGGCGCAGCCGAGGAGGATAAAGAGGCCGAGGACGACCGAGTCTGTTTGGTGAGAGAGTCAGTGCCTGGGTGGGCGGGTCGAGAGAGGGAGAGGAGGTGGGGGGGTTGCGACGCACGGACAAAGATGACCTCCCACTGCGAGAGAGGGGCGCAAGAGGGTCAGTACCAAGAGGGACACGAAAGACAGAGAGTGGGTTGGGGGCGCACCTGTTCAAACATGGAGCCGACGGTGAGGCTCGAGTACCAGATGCGCCAGGCCTCAAAGGTGCCGACCCGGCGTCGGGGCTTTGACTGGATGCGGGTGAGGCCGGTCGGGTCCATGAGCTGGGCGCCTGGCGGGACGTGCGAGTAGGCCGAGTGGCGGTCGCGCGAGTCTTGGTGCGAGGGAGGGTGGATGGCGGCAGGAGGGAGCGGGACGCGGGGAGGAGGGCCGACGAGGTCGTTGGTGGTGGTCGAGGTGGACTGGGAGCGGGTGCGCTTCTGTGCCGACTGGCGGGTGTGGGGCCTGGTGGCAGTCGAGTGGGAGCCGACGGGGGGAGATGAGGACGAGGGCGACGAGGCCGAGGGAGGCGAGCGCGAGAAGTGGGCGAGGAAGGACGACGACGAGGTCGCGGGAGCGTGTTGTTGCGGTGGCGGCGTCGACGGCATGGCTGCTGGCGAGGGCGTCTGCGAGGCAGAGAGGGAGCGAGAGGGTGATCGCGTTCGTTGTTGTCGCACCTCGCTCGACGGTGAGCGACCCTCTCCCTCTCTCCCACAGCCACTCGCAGCCATGCAGGACCCGCAACCGAACCCTCAGCCACCCCCGGTCAAGCTCGGCCGCCGTGCCCAGCTCACCCAAGACGTCCTCCTCGCCGCCTCGTCCAGGGTCATCAAGGTCCTCGAGTCAGTCCACAGCTGGCGCGCACTCCCTCACCGTGTCACTCTCACTCACTGCAATCCCACTCCCACAGCGACAAGGCCATGCGCCAGTGCTTCCCGCAACGCTGGGCCGACGACTACCCGCACCTCGTCCCCGGGTTGAGGCAACTCGTCGTCGACACCTACACCCAGGGCGTACCCGTACGTCTACTCTCTCTCTTGCCACGTGGGCTCTTCTGACTGACCCACCCACCCGACGCGTACAGCTCGCCTGGAACGACCTCGCGCGCGCGCACGACTTTGTCCACAAGGCCAACCAGCTCGACCTCCTCCTCGCCGACGCCCAGCTCCGCAAGGACCGCGGCGACCCGCCACGCGACCTGTACCAGTGCGCACC